CTCTACTCAACTTTCTCCCCATCCAGCGTGTTTTATAAGAAAAAACGACTTTTCCTGACTCTTCTCTCCTCCTAGATTTGATTTTCATCTTTTCTTCTTTTCATGTATTTTTCATATTTTCCATTTTACTATTTTCTTTATACTTTAATCATATTAAACTCTTTAATCTACTTTAATAAAAAAAAATAATTTCCCCTCTCTCTTTTTCCATCACTTTTCCCCGCTATTCTCATCTTCATTCACTCCTCTATATTCTATTCTTTCTATTTCTTACTCAATCTTTCTTGATGATTCATTTATTTACATTTGTCTATCTTATGCTTACTTTCACTAAATTCACAAAAACACCTTCACTACGCCTCACCTTCACTCTAAACACTCTTTCTACTCCTCTAAACGCTTCTCTCTTGTTTTTTTCTTTTTTTTTATCCACTCACTTTTCCCCCTCCCAGCTTATCACCTACTTTTACTTTTTTAAAAAAATTCATCTTCCCCCACCTTAAACCATTCGTTTCGTCTTTGATGGCCCTCCCCTTCTCGTCCCCCTCCGACTCTTTCCCTTTCATTCATTTTTTTCAGTGGCTCTCAAATTCAATCTCTACAGCTCATCTTGATCTCTGAAATATTTCTTTTTTTTATTTCAATCTTGATTTTATTTCAAAACAATGCTTAAATACACTATGGAAATCTTTCTAAACACTAATTTCTATCAATTCTTATATCAACGCTTCTGTCAACGCTTCTGTCAACGCCTCTGTCAACGCCTCTGTCAACGCTTCTGTCAACGCCTCTGTCAACGCCTCTGTCAACGCTTGCAAACACCAACTCCATTCATCAACCCCCCCTCCCCCCATTGTTCTATCCCATCATCTCTCAGTACGGTGCACCTCAACTCTGGGGTAAATCCGGGGTAGGCGCTGAATGCGCTGATAACGACATGGCACAACAAACAGCGGCCATTCAGCCGAGGGGTACAGGCTATTTGCACAGGGAACACGCTACTTTATGTGTAATGCACTTTCAATTGATGCTGAAGAGATCATATCTACTCTTTCCTCTCCTACCCTGCCTTCTTATCTAGTAAATATACATGCCCATTATTAAATCCTGCCCATTTGCTTTTTAAATCATGAATGAAATCATCATTGCCACCAACACCCCCCTCATCACACTCCACCCACTCATCCTCAACCCTTCACTCGGCTTCACCTCACCCGCTTCATCTTCCTCTCCTGTCGTACACTTCGTAGGCTTACACCGCCTCGTCGAGGTGAGTGTTATTCTCGATGTGACCGTGGACGTGGTCGTAGATGTGCTGGTATGTGTTGATGTTTTTGTGACCCATGTGTCTGTTGTCTGCAGAGACTGGCACTCTGCCGTCTTTCCTTCTCCTTCTGTCTTTGTTGTTGTTGTTGTTGTTGTCGTTGTTGTTGTCGTTGTTTCTATTTCGTGTGGTTTTATTTCTAGTGGTTTCAATCCACCACATGCTTTTTCAATTTTAGTGCATGCGTCCTTAATGTCTTCACATTCCTTCTTAAATCCACATCCTTTCTCTGAATCATGACACAATTCTTTTAATTCTACATACAAGCTAAATGCTTGAGATACTAAATCAAATGCTTTTAACTCTCTTTCTGTAACATATGTTTTTTCTGTCACAGGTGTGTTTATACTTCTTCTTACAAGTTTAAATAATACTGTGTTTTGTGTTGTATTCGGTGCTGCTGGTGCTGATCCTGATGGCGCTGATCCTGATGGTGCTGCTGGTGCTGCTGGTGCTGCTTTGCCTGCAGATTTATCATCTGTTGCTTTTGCTTTTGATAAAACGAAATTTGCATCATTCATTGCTTTCACCGCTTCAGTTTTAAGCTTCTCGTAGTCTTCTTTTTTTTTAGGTAGCTCCTCACTTGCCTTCGTGAGTTTTACTTGCAATACAGGACATTGATTTTTTACTCGTTCTACTAGTTTTTTGCAGAGTTTTTTCTTAGCATTTCCATTTTTATTAGTTTTGTCTGTGCACAAAGTGCTAAGATGATTAGTTGCATTTGTCCATTGTGTGCAGTATTTTTCAAGTGTATTTTGACACTCTTGTTCCGTTTTCAAAGCACCCTTTAATTCATCGATTACTTTTTCTTCCAATTCCTTTCTTTTAATGAATGATTCACATTCCTTGTTAAGCTTTTCACATTCCCCATCACCAGAAGTCGTTAGATTCTGGCAACTTGACACAAATTTTTTACAATAGGGTGCCCAAGAGTTGCAAGTCGCTTCATTTTTGTCATTATCCTTTGCAGTCTTTATAACATCACTTGCTTTCATACGTCCTTTCAATGTAGTACACTTAGACCCTACGCTTCCTGTAAGAATCTTGCATGTAATATTCTGTGCTACGCATGCGAGAGCAAATTGTGCTCTTCCTCTTCTACTCCATTTATGACATTGTTCTCCCAGATTTTTTAAACATGAATCGAACTTATCCAAATCCTTCACCTTTTCTTCCAACAACCTTTCTTCCAATTGTTCAGCAATATCCATCCTATTGCAATGATGCTCTAGCGTATAACAGGGCCATTCAAATTCCTTAAAGTCTTGTTTCAGATCATCGCACTTCTTTCGCAATTCTCTGCAATCCTGCTTCATAGGAAAATCTCGTTTTTCATTTAAATCTTCTTGCAATAAATCTGTTTTCATATGTAAATCCATTAATACTGCATTGACTCCTTCTTTCGGTTTCACACATAACACAAACAATTCATTACTCGTTCCTTTCAGATCCACACACACCTTTACTAACTCTTTTTGAAGCATTTCAAACCATGTATCATTTGTATACTGGAATTTTCCTCGCATTTTGTCTTGCAGTACTTGGTATGCAAGTGCGTTACGTCCTTTTTTATAACATGCTGCCTTAACATTCCTACAATGTTTATCAAAAGATGTTTGGCTTTTGAAATAAAAACAGTCTGATTGTAATCTCGTGCAGTCATTTTCGGTAAGGAGACTTGGTAATTCACCCCATAATGTGATGTCATCTTTAAATTCTTTGTTTTTAAACTTTGCAGTTAGAAAAGCCTTTTTTCTTTTAAATTCTTCTTCAAATTCTTTACATTGATTTTCATAACTGTTTGCATTTTTACATAAATTTTCTAAATTTTCTGCTAAATGTTTAATAGAATTACATTTAGTACTGAGTACAGTTTTGCATTTATCTTTATCAAAATTGTCTTCTGACAGAAACACTAATAAATCAACAATATCTTCTTTTAGTGTTCTTCCAATCAGAACTCCCTGTGTCGCTGCTTCTTTGTAAAGTTCTTCCAAACCTATTTTTTCTGCTAGCGTAGCCTCTGGTCTTGTAGGATCAAATTTTGAGCCTGGTGGTATATAAATTATTCCTGCATTTTTACATTTTTTCTTTAAGTCATTACAATTCGGTTTGTCTGTTTCGCAGTTCTTACTGTGAAAATGACATTCTTTAAGTAAAGAATGCCCTTTTTTTTGTAACTCCCCATTAAGTTTTAATACTTCCTCTATTTTCTTCTTCAAAGATTTACACTTTTCTTTTGCTGCTTTTGTCAGAGAGGTGCATGCTGAGCCCGTATCAAAACACTTTTGCGCTAATTCATCACTTTCTTGACCTAACTTTGGACAAAGTTCTTTAAGTTTCTTTTCGCATGTACTATCATTGGTTAGACTTCCACTAAGTGCCCTTAAAAGAGCTTCTTTAGCCACTTTGTCACGCTTCTTTTGATAACAGTTATTCCTTAATTTATTGCAATTATCTTTAAGATTTTTTGAGCATGCTCCTTCTAAAAATAAGCACTGTTGTTCATTTTTCGTACATTCATCATTTGTCAAATCTGAGGCATCCTTATTCGCCAATTTTTCCAATTCTGTTTTAAATTCATTGCACTTTTGAGTAACTTTATTTTTTATTTCTTGGCATTTTGCATCTTGTTTTCCAGTATTACATAAATCTTTTAATTTATTATGTATTTGTTCGTCTTTTAAACCTATTTTCTTTAAGTTTTCACAATATTTGCTCAATTCTTCTTTGCATTTTTGATCTTCTTCGTAATTTTCTTTTAAAATCAACGCCAAAATGCTCACTTCATCATCATATTGCCCTGGTGCTTTTACAGCTCGCCGCTTAACCGCCCGCGCCACCGCCCGCGCCAAGCTGTGGCCGACGAAAGTGGGCTGTGCTGTGGTGTGTGGTTGAGTTTGGGTTTCCATTAACGTGTTTCGGTTGCATGTGAGATTTTAGAGCCATGTCTTCAAATTTGAGTATTAAATTATTCTTAATTTTAAGAGAGTTCAAGTAAACTTAGTGATAAAACCTGTCAGAGAAGCACAGTGTGTGCTGAAATATATCTTTAGTGTGTCCATACAATATTCTGATGTTTGAATATCGTAGTATTTAAATTTGTGTGGGGTAAATGTGGGGTAATCGTAAAATCTGAATAGATAAAAAGTAGAATATAAAAGAACATAAATGAAAAATAAAGGCTATGCAAGCGAAAAATATGGGACAACTGGCTAGGGGACACGTATTCTTTTGGTTATAATGCACTTTCAATTGATGCTGAAGAGATCATACTCTACTCTTTCCTCTCTTACCCTGCCTTCTTATCTAGTAAATATACATGCTGCTCTTATATCCCATTCCCATTTTACATTTAAATCATGAATGAAATCATCATTGCTAGTAACACCCCCCTCATCACATTCCACCCACTCATCCTCAGCCCTTCACTCGGCTTCACGTCACCTGCATCATCTTCCTCTCCTGTCGTGCACTTCGTAGGCTTACACCGCCTCGTCGAGGTCAACGTTATTCTTGACGTGACCGTGGACGTAGTCGTGGATGTGCTAGTATGGGTCGACGTCTTTGTGACCCATGTGTCTGTCGTCTGCAGAGACTGGCACTCTGCCGTCTTCCCTTCTCCTTCTGTCTTTGTTGTTGTTGTGGTGGTTGTGGTTGTGGTCGTTGTCGTCGTTGTTTCTATTTCGTGTGGCTTTATTTCTAATGGTTTCAACCCATAACATTTATTTTCTATTGTTTTACATGGATCGCCACAACCACATTCTTTTTTAAATACACACTCCTTTAATGAATGCTGACATACCTCCCTCAATTCTACATAGAGTTCAAATGCTTGTGCTACCAAATCAAATGCTTTGACTTCCTCTTCTGTCACTTTTGCTTTTGTATCTCTCTTTACAAGTCTAAATTGTGTTATATTTTTCTCTTTATTTAATACATTAGGAACAGAACTATTCGTTGACTCATTATTTGATGCTTTTACTCTTGATAAAATAAGATTTGCATTTTTCATTGCTTCTTCTGCCTTTTTTCTAATTTCTTCATAGTCTTTCTTTTTTTTCTCCAATTCATCCTTCACTTCTTCAAGTTTGCTCTTCAACCCTGGGCACTTTCTTTTTATACGTTGCACTAATCTTTTGCAAAGCTTTTCTTTAACTTGAGTTTCATTCATTTTTTTAGTTTCACCAATACACAATGTTTCAAGTCCATTCTTTGCTTTTTTCCATTCCGTGCAGTATATGTTAAGTGCATTGTTACATTCTCTTACTTTTGACAAATTACCTTTCAATTCTTCTGCAACTTTATCTTCTAAGTCTTTCCTTTCAAGGAATAGCTTGCATTTCTCATTAAGCTCTTTGCATTTTCCATCCTTTCCTCCATCTTCTTTAAGTTCATTACAATTTGGCATAAACTTTTTACAATACGGAGTCCAAAACTCGCATGTTTCTTCCATTTTATCTTCTTGAGTTACTTTCTTTAAAATATCCATAGTTTCTATGTTTCTACTCAATGCAACACATTTAGATTTAACATTTTCTGTAATCTTTTTGCAAGCAAATTCTAATGAAAGACATGCATGAAAAAACTTGTTATTTTCCCTTCTAATCCATTTTTTACAGCGTTTATAAATTTCTGCCTCACATGTATCTTTATCTTTTAAATATCCTTTATTTTCCTCTAACATTTCTTTTTCCAAGTGCTCTATACTTTCCAGCCGATTGCAATGTTGCGTTAATGTACGACATGGCCATTCAATCTCTTTCGAATCATGCCCTAGTATTCTACATTTCTCTTGTAATTTTTCACAATCTTCTTTCGTTGGAAGATCTCGCTTTTTGTCTAAATGTCTTAGTAAAAAGACTGATTTCATTCGTAAATCTGCTGAAAGCACAATAGCCGTTTTTAGCGGCCGTAGACATAACAAAAACAATTCATCGCTTGAAAAAACACCGTTACCCTTTTCTCTAAGTTCCTTGCATTCTTTTATTAGCCTTTTTTGAAAATCTTTAAGCCATGTTTTGTTTGAACGACGTAACATTCCCCGCATATTTTCTTCCAAGACTTCATTTGCTAACCCATCAAGTCCTTTTTTGTAACATGCAGCTTTTACATTCACACATGCTTCTTTACCATTTGGACAATTTTCTCCATAATAAAGACAATATGACTCTAGAGTTTCACAATCTCCATTGCTGAGAAATGTTGGCAATTTATTCCATATAATAATTCCATTATTTCCTTTTGTTACGTCAAATAGATGATTATTAACAATTTTTAATGTGAAAATTTTGCATACTTTTTCAATATCTTCCTCCAATTTACCACATTGTGCGGTTCCATTTCCATTAGCATTACCACCAGTACATAAATTTCCTAGAATGTCATGATCTTGGAAATCTTTACATTTATTTTCAAGAACTTTTTTGCATTTTCCTTCTCTACCACCTGCTTGACTTTTAAGACTTGGATCTTGAATCAATAATGATAAAAGAGCAATTGCATCTGCAGCAGGTGACTTCCCAATATGAATTCCTTTTTCCGCTGCTTCTTTATAAAGTTTTTTTAAACCTATTTTTTTTACTAGTGTAGTTTTTGATTCTGTAGGATCAAAACTCGAACCTGGCGCTATATAAGTAACTTCTTTTTCTTTACATTTTTCTATAAGTTTCTTGCAATCAGGTTTATGTGCTTCTTGACAGTTTAATGTGTAGTGGCATTCCTCAAGAAATGATGGACATTTTTTTTTTAATAGGTTATCATTTTTAAATACGTCTTCAATTCCCGTTTTCAAAGTACTACATTTATTTTGTATCTTGTTTACAAGATCATTACATGTCTTCTCTTGATCAAGACATGATTTCATTAATTCGTCATTTTCTTGACTTAACTCTAAACAAATTTTTTTGAGTTCCTCTTTACATTTATCTTTATTTTCAAGACTTCCTTTAAGTGCTCTCGAAAGAGCTTTTTGTGACACTTCGTCACGTTTCTTTTGATAACATTTATTTCTCAAATTATTGCACTTATTTTTGAGATCATCAGGATATGTTCCTTCTAAAAATAGGCATTGTTGCTGATTTATACAATCTGTTTCTGTCAACTGTGGAATTTCCTTTTTTAATGCATCATCAAGTTTTGTTTTAAAACTAGTATACTTTTTATCAATGTTGTCTTTTAATCCTGTACATTTTGGTACTCCATTATTTTTGCAAATTTCCTTTAGTTTTGGATAGACTTTATTTAAGTCCTTGTCTATTTCATTTAAGCTTTTACAGTATTCTTCTAAATTTTTTTTGCATTTTGATTCTTCTATTGCATCTTTTTTTAGAAGAAAAGCCAAAATAAACTCCTCATCATCATATACATTTACTCCTGCTCCTTGTGCAGCACGCCGCTTAACCGCCCGCGCCACCGCCCGCGCCAAGCCGTGCCTGACGGGGGTGGGCGCGCTGTGGTGTGGTTTGAGTTTGGGTTTCCATTAACGTGTTTCGGTTGCATGTCAGGTATTAGTGCCATGTCTTCAAATTTGAATATTAAATTATTCTTAATTTTAAGGGTGTTCAAGTAAACTTAGTGACAAAACTTGTCAGAGAAGTAGTGTGTGCAAAGTATATCTTTAGTGTGTCCATAGAATTATTATGATACGTGCTTAGTATGTATTTAAATTTGTGTGGGGTAAATGTGGGGTAAATGCGGGGTAATAGTAAAATTTGAATAAATAAAAAGTAGAATGTAAAAGGACATAAATGAGAAATAAAGGCTACTTAGGCAAAGAATAGTGGCCAATTAGATAGGGAACATGTGATTTCATGTGTAATGCACTTTCAATTGATGCTGAAGAGATGACTCAATCTACTTTACTCTTTCCTCTCCTACCCTGCTTGCTCATCTAGTAAATATACATGCTCATCATTAAATCCTGCTCATTTTCTTTCTAAATCATGAACGAAATAACCATTGCTACTATCACCCCCCTCATCACATTCCACCCGCTCACCCTCAAGCCTTCACTTGGCTTCACGTCTTCTGCATCATCCCCTGTCGTACACTTGGTTGGTTTGCACCGCCTCGTTGATGTGAGTGTTATTTTTGATGTAATTGTAGATGTGATGGTAGACGTGCTTGTGTGTGTCGAAGTCTGTGTAACCCATGTGTCTGTTGTCTGTAAGGATTTGCATTCCGTTGCCTTCGGATCGGCAACGGTCGTTGTTGTCGTCGTGGTCGTCGTTGTGCTTTCTGTCACTGTTTCATGCGGCTTCACCTCCAGAGGCTTCAGATTGCGACAAGCCTTATTAATCTTTTTGCATACTTCTTCTAAGTCTTTGCAATCCTCCTTAATTCCGCAATCTGATTCCAATTTATTACATCTTTCTTTCAAGTCTACATATCTTCCAAATACTTCTGCTGCCAAATCAAATGCTTTAGCTTCTAATTCTGTTACGGATACATCCTTAACTCCTCTCCGTAGTATTTTCACATGTTTTGTGGTATCTTGAAGTCCGTTTGAAACGTCATTCTTATCTTCGCTTTTGCTATTATTTTTCGGTGTATTATTTCCGTCTTTCTTAACGAGTGATAAAACAAGGCTGGACTTGTTCATTGCTTTCTTTGCCTCTTCCTTAAGTTCCTCATATGTCTTAACATCTTTTTTTAGATTGTCTGCTGGTTGTTTTAGTTCTGCTGGTAATGTTTTGCATTGTTCTTTTACTTCTTCCACTAATTTCTCACAGAGTTCCTTTTTAGCATCTTCGTTGCTCTTTTTAGGGTTATCTTTGGTGTTAGCTTTGCATAAACTTTTGATAGATTCATTATTTAATTTTTCTAATTGTGTACAATATCCTTTTAGTGCCAAATTGCATTTATCTTGATCACCTAATTTTCCTCGAAGCTCTACTTTGAGAGCGTCTTCCAAGGCCTTTCTTTTATAGAATGGTTCACAATGCTTCTTGATCTTTGTACAAAGAGTATTTTCTTTCGTAAGATCTAGACAATTAGGTGAAAATTTGTCACAATATGGGTCCCAAAATGGGCAAATATTTGCTAATCTTGTTATTTTACCCGTGTTATTTTTAAGAAATCCAATGATTTTTGAATTCTCTATATTTTCTTTGAATACTTTGCACCTATCTTGTACGTCTTTTACCATCAGCTCACACGTAGCGTTTTGGAAGACACATACAAAAGAGAAACGGTCATCGCCTCTTCTAGACCATTTATTACACTTTTCTTTTAGATATTCTACACAACTTTCTTCATCTTTCAAAGTATCCTTGTGTTCATCCAATAAAACCTGCTTCAAAATTTCTGTAGTTCCTAAGCGATCACATTGTTGCTTTAGCGTATGACATGGCCATTGAATCTGATTTGAATCCTTTCCTAAAGCCTCACACTTTCTCCCCAATTCCTTGCAGTCTTTGTCTGTTGGAAAATCTCGCTTTTGATCCAATTGTTTCCGCAAAAAGACCGCTCTTGTTTGGATATCAGCTGCAAGTATTCTAACTGCTTTAAGTGGATCAATACATAGCAAAAACAACTCATCACTTGTTGTTTTAAGTTCCGAACACTCTTTCATTATCTTATCCAATAGCTTCTTAAACCATTCTTTGCCTGAACCACGGAACAATCCGTACATCTTTCTCTGCAATGCTTCATTGGCTCGTGCTTCAAGCCCTCTCTTATAACATGCTGCCTTCAGATTATTGCATTCTTTGTCAAGAGGTGCTTGACTTTTTAAATAAAAACAGTCTGATTCTAACCTTGCACAGTCACTGTCACTAAGAAATGTCGACAACTTATACCATGGAATGGTTTTTCCGGATCCAGAGAGATGTTTATTCTTTATTTTTTCAGAAAGAATTTTAGTACTGTTTGCTAGCTCCTTCTCTAGTTTTCCACACTTTTCAGTTCCATTTTGACTAGCAGAGCCATTATCATTACACAGATATCCCAAAACCTCGTGTTTTTTTAACTCTTTACACTTATCTTTAAGAACATTTTTGCATTTTTCTTTTTTTTCCGGTTGAGTATTAGTTGGATTCTGAATCAAAAGTGCCAGTAGAGCAGTTGCATCTCTTACAGGAGGCCTTCCAATATGAACACCTTCTTCTGTGGCCCTCTTATAAAGCTCTTCCAGCCCTATGTCCTCTGCTACTGTAGGCTCTGGCTTAGTTGGATCGAAATCGGGTCCCGGATGCATATAAACAATATTTTCTTTTCCACACTTCTCTGCCAATGTATCACACTCTGGTACATATTCTTTGCAGTCTTGTTTAGATTTATTACAGTTTGGTATACCTTCGCAATCTCCTCTGTAAAAATAGCATTGCTCAAGTAATGGTAGACATTTTTCTCGTAATTCATTCTTCTTAAGTGCTTCTTCAACTTCTTTTTTCAGAGTATCACATTTACTCTTTCCTCTTGCTACAAGACTTACGTATGTTGTTTCTTGATAAAGACAAAGCTTCGTTAATTCATCACTTTCTTGACTCAACTCTATGCAAGCTTCTTTGAGCCTTCCTTCACATGTAGTTTTATTAGTTAAACTTCCGCGAACTGCCCTCAAAAGGACTTCTTCCGCTACACCGTCACGTTTTCTCTGGTAACATAGATTCCTTAGTTTGTTACAATCCTCTACAAGATCAGGGCATGCTCCCTCCAAAAATAGGCATTGTCGTTCATTTTCTTTGCAATCATTATCAGATAGTTTCTTTAACGCTTGTTCTAACTTTTTTGTTTTAAATTCATTGCACTTTTCAGTAACTTTAGTTTTTAGTTTTTTACATTTTTCATCTCGTTTTGTGTTATCACAGATATCCTTTAGTTTTTCATGAACTTTTTCCGTTGTTAGTTTTGCTTCTTTCAGTTCTTGACAATATTCTTTCAATTTTTTTATACATTTTGTTTCATCCAAATCATTTTCTTTTAGAATTAAAGCTAAAACATGCTCCTCATCAATGCTATTCTGTGCACCTTTTGCCTGCCGCTTAACCGCCCGCGCCACCGCCCGCGCCAAAATCTAGAGGACATTAATGTGAGAGAAAGCGTGCTTGTTGGCTGTGTGGGCAGACTTTTAAAGCTGTTTCTATTTTATATTGTCTTCATTAAGATGTTGAATATTGAAAGTTTTAAAGGTAGTTTTTTGAGAAAAAAGAGTAATCCTGTGCCATTTCTGTGTTAATGACGATGTTTAAAGTGTCTTTTCAATTAATAATATGAGTATAATTTGGAAATACTTAAAAATTGAGGTTTGCATTTGAATTCGATACTGGAATCTTTAGGTCTGATTAATCTTCATGTTGTTGCACTAAATATTTATGCACTGTTTAATATTCATATTGAACATTTTTTTATTGGATATTTCTAAAGTTCTTCTTGAGTCTCCCATATCTTTCTCTAGGGAATTCTCCTTCAGATCACTTTTTAGAATATCTTCTGAATTTCTCGAGTTTTACAGCCCAATGCAAATGCTTATTATTTTTTAAAACCATAACAAAAACTTTTTTTAAATCATAGCAAAAATTCCCTTTAAATCACAACAAAAACTTTTTTTAAATCATAGCAAATGTTCCCTTTAAATCACAATAAAAACTCCTATTACCCATATAACAATACTCGTTACTCCCAATCCAGATATCTTTATCCCCTCGTTCGGCATTACTGTATGATCTGTTTTACTTCTAGTTTCAGGCTTTCTTTGTGTTTCTTCCGTTGTACATGGTACTGGTTTGCATTTTTGTGTCAGTGTTGTTACTGATGTAGTTGTAGTTGTTTTTGTAGATGTTGATTTGCTTGTTACCCACGTAGTCTTTGAATGAAGCGCAACACACTTTCCCTCCATCATTGTAGTTGCTACAGTAGATTCCGATTGAGTATCCGTTACAGTTGTTGACTCTGTAAGCGTCGTTGTTGATACAGACGTTGTTACACGAGGCTTGGCATCAGGCAACACAAACGCCTCACAAGACTTACGTATTTTTCCACATGAATCTTTAAACTTAGGACAGTCATCTTCAAAGACACACTCTTGGATAAAATGATCACAGATGCCCTTGGCTTCCAAATACAACTCTACAAGTAAAGACACCAGATCAAACGCTAACCCTTGACGCACTGATGGCTCTATGTCCAAGTCATCCTCGCGACGTACAAGTCTAACATAAGCCGTGTTATTGCTGTGAAGATGATGATTCTTCTTATCTGCTGTTTGAGAAATTGCCAAGAATAAACCAGAATCATTAATGACTTTTTCAGTTTCTTGCTTGGTTTTTTTAAATTCGTTTGCTCTATTTTCCAAGTCTTTAGCAGCTTTATCCAATTTGACTGGTAAGGTATTGCACAATATTTCCATCCATTTGACAAGTTTTTCACAAGTTTCACTTTTTATGTTTTCATCTTTACCATATTTTTTACATGAATCTTCAAGAGTCTTGTTTGAGTGTGCTGATTTCGTACAATAATCATTTAGTTTCTTAACGCAAGTATCTTTTTCTTTTAAAGAACCTTTTAAATTGTACATAAGGGCTTTTAATAGAGGCAATTTTTCGCGAAACGCCTTACAGTTCTTCTTGAGACTCACGCAAAGACCATCTTCGCCATTATTGCCCTGTTTTAGTTTATCAGGACAATTCCCTGTAAGCATATTGCAGTATCCATCCCAAAGAAAACAAATATTATCTCTTTCTTCATCTTCTTTTGATTTTTCAATAACTTTGTGATCCTCCATATTTTGTTGGAATGCCAAACAATGATTTTGTACCTCTTCAATCATTATAACGCATGATTTGTGGAGTGCTACACATGTAAGATTGAATGGATTTATTTCCTTCCTAAACCACCGAGGACACTTCATACCTAAATATGTTGTGCAATTATCGACGTTTGCCAAAATATCTGTATTTTTACTCAACAAACTGTCTTTTACTTCTTTTGTATTCCTCAAATGAGCACAATTCCTTTTTAGCGTAGCGCAAGGACCATTAAGCTCTTCAAAATCCTTTGTCAGGTCTTCACATTGTTTCTCCAAAACGAGACAATCCTTTTCTCGGGGATAATCTCTCGTTTTATCTAAAATATGCCGTAGACGATGACTCTTTCTTTCTACATCCTCTGCAAGTACTTCACATGTCTCTTTTGGCCTTAAACACATTGAGAGAAGATTTATATTGTTGTTTCTGACTAGTTTGCACCTTTCTAATAATTTAAGTGCGCATTTTTTAATTCCATCAGAATCTAGGTTGTGAAACAATCCAAACAACCCTTCCTCCAACACGTCCCTTGCTAGTCCGTAAGTTGCCGATTTAAAACACTCTAGTCTTAGATTTCTACAAGCATTGTAAAGAGTATTATTAGAATATGGATCTATACAATAGCATTTGTAGTTAAGACTTATACAGTCTTCCTTAGAAATTTCTCCTGGTAGTTCGCTCCATGAGTACGATTTAGAGTCAGCAGTATTGCTTACGCTAGAAAGCTTTTTGTTATAGAGAAGCAATTTGAGAGACATGTATTCTCTTTTCAGTTCATTGTTTAACTCTTTGCATGTTTCATTTTTGTTAGTTGCGCTGCATATATTTGCTAGTTCTTCTGTCAGATATTTAAAAGAAACGCAATTTTCCAAAGATTTAGTGCAAGACTGAGTATTGTCTAATTTACTTGCATTGTCTCCAGTATAATAGTTTGAAAATAACAAAAAATGAGAAAACTTTGTCGACAAGGACCTTCCAAGAAAAATACCAAAAGTTAACGCTTCTGTATGAAGCTGTTGAAGATCTATTTTCTCCTGCAATGTAGGTGGAAAGTCTAATGGATTAAAAGAAAGACTGTGTGTGTGGGGGGGGAGGGGGGGAGGGTATGTGATATTTTTTTCTTTGCAACGTTTTTTAAACTCCACACAGCTCTGTACCTTTTCATTTTCACAGTTTGATGAATGAAAATAACATTTTCTGAGTAAAGGATAACAGTCATTTTTTAATGTATTAGTCTTTTTTAATGTATTTTTGAGATCTTCAATAGCTCCACAGTTGTCTCTTATTTTATTAACGAGAATCTCACATGTTTTTTCTAAGAGAAAACAAAACCAGAGTAAATGATAACTTTCTCTATTTAACTTGAAACATGATTCTTTAATTTTTTCTTCGCATGTTACTTGATTTTTCGAATCTCTAGGAAGAGCCCTTAAAAGAACTTCATAAGCTAAATCTTCATTTATTTGACGATAACATTGTTCAGCTATCTCATCGCATATAGAAGAAAAATTAAAAAATTCTCGGAAAATCACGCATTGGATATGAGCATAGTTGCAACGGGTTTTTCCTAAAACCATATTACCTGAACTACTCGTAATAATATCTTCAAGATAATCCTTGGCATTACTCGAGAGAGTATCAATTTGAGTTTCAAGATTTTTGCATTCCTGTTTTACATTTTTACAAAATCCTTCTAATGTAGGATGCACGTTCTTTGGCTCCAAGGCCAGACCTTCCAAATCGCTGCAGTATTCTTTTAGTTTTTTTTCACATTGAATTTCTGCGTTTTTTCCTAGAATCAAAGATAAAACTTTTTCTTCGCTGCATAAAAATGTTAGTTTTGTATGTTTTGTTGCTGCTTAAAATTTTCTATACCTTAATGAATCTAATGATAAATCGGATGGTAAGTCTAATGGATTTTGTGATGGATCTTGTGATGGATCTGATGCAGATCTTTTATGAATGAATTCTAAAAAAAAGTTAAAAATGTGAAAAAATAAAATATAATACATATAATACCAATGTTTTTTGAGAAAGCATACGCTATACCAAGAAAACTGGCTAACGCAAATGTTTTCATCTATAATGATAACAAATAATTTTTATAAAAAATGGTTCATATTTGACATCGAAAAAATATCGTTCTCACTAAAAAATAACGATAAACGATAATATTAATAACCGATATGCGATAAATAGATAGATATTGTTTTGTATTATATTTTGTATTATATTTACATGTTTTATTTTTCATCTAGTTTTTACTTTTAAATCTATAAATTTTCATAAAAATATATTCTTAAAATATATTAAATATTTTAAATGATATAATTTTATTAGTAATACTTTTTATAATTCCTATTTCTGTATTTTTTATTATTTTATTTTTTCTTGCGTTCTTATTATTAATTTTCATTTTATCTATTTTGGTTTTATTTTTTAAATCTGATTTTGTTTAATTTTTTTTATTATTATTTTTCTTAAAAATATGATTTTAGAAATATGATTTAAGATTTTTGCTAATTATTTTTTATTCACTTTTTATATTTTGTTTTATTAAGTCAAAATGTAAATTTAAAACTATATAAATAAGATTTTGTATTTTTCCTAAATTTTTTGCAGATTTTTTGTCTTAGAACTGAAATTATAAAAATATTTTTTAAATAATGATTATTTTTTTTTAAATTTATTAATATCTACGTATTTCATTAATAATCTTAATTTTTTTTTACTTTTTTATTTATATAATTTTTTATATGCATTTACTTGATAAATTGTTTTAATTAGCTTTAAAAAAATTTAATTTTTATTCTAAATTTTTTTGTTTTTTAAGATTTTTTTCAATCTTTTTAAGAATTTTACGTTATTCAGGTTTTTTTATAATAATTAATTTTTTATGATATATTAAATATTCTTAAAACTAGATGTTTTGTTTATTTTTCAGATATTTAGCATTTGAAAGATTGAATATTTTTTGTCATCTTGCTTTTAAATTAATTCATTCTTAAGTTTGCTTTAGAAATCCATGTATTTGTTTTTTTTATTGTTTTTTTTGGCTTTTTATGTATTTTTCTTATTTACAGAACTTTTGGAATTTTCCATTTTATATTATGTTTGTAGAACTATGATGCATGTTTTCTTTGACTGTTCAAGGTATTTTTTTAATATATAAAAGGCTGTTTTTTTTTTTTTGAATTTAAATTAACTGTAAAAAATATGATCAATTTATAAAGAATTGATATTTTTTTAGAAAAAAAAAATAATTTTCAAAAATAGTAGAATAAATGCATTGAATGTATTTAACTATAATTCTTTAATTTATTTCATAAAAATATTCAAATGAATTTTTCATTCTTATAAACGAGTATTAGCTATATAATCATCCAAAACATTTCATGAAAATACTAATAAATATTAATAAATGAATATTATTCTAATTTTAAACAATTATCCACATTCCCAGTATTGTTTCTGCAACCATCCAGATTAACTCTATTCTCTTTAATTTTCTTTGGCTAATTCCAAAGCCTACTGTACGTCTATCGTCAGAGGATGTCGTTAGTTTAGGCCTTAATGAACGTGTAGTTGAACGTGTAGTTGATGAATGCGTAGCTGATGAATGCATAGTTGATGTAGTTGGTAAATATATTGTTAACAATTGTGTACTTGTTAATATTACAGTTAAATTTGTCAGTGTTGGTTTTGGCTCTGACAATTCTGGTGATTCTGGTGATCCTGGCGGTTCTGATGGTGCTGGTGGTTTTGATGGTTTTGGTGCTGGTTCTAGCGGTATCTCTGGTTTTGATGGTTCTGATGGTTCTAATGGTTCTAATGGTTCTAATGGTTCTGGTAATTCTGGTAATTCTGAAGGTTTTGGCTGTTCAAGTAATTTGCTGCATACACTAGTAAAGTTATGACATAAAGGAAGAATTTTAACATTCGTTTCATTGCAAGAAGATGCTATAGATGAACATAAAGGTGTTAATTTCTGACATTCTATTTTAGATTTAGAATTAGTAAACAAAAATTTAAAAATTTTTAATGTAAGCTGATCACATATTTCTTCTAAATGTAATTTCAAAATTTTGCATGTATCATTAATATCAGTACATAGCTCATTCATTGTTTTTTCCAGAATAGTATTATTGCATACTTCATGTAATTTTTTTTTACATTTACTATGATTAGATATTTCTTCGCCAACGACTTTGATCAAAGCGATAACGTTTTTCTTTCGAGTTGAAACTTTGTTACATGATTGTTCGACTTGAGAACATATACTAGTTAGATTAGGACATGTTTCTTTAAGCATTTCACAATAATTGAGGAATTGAGAACAACGACCATAATTTATATGATTTATTTGACCATTAGAAGATTTATAATATGATAAATAAAAAGATAATTGTTCGCAGTGCATTGGAATTTGATCTAACATTTGTGTACATGATTCATTTTTATTAGTACATATGTGACTTGAGATATTTTCCGAACAATAATTGTTAAGATAATTCAAACAAGTAACGTTATTTTTTAAAACTGAATTTTTTTCCTTAAGTGCACTTAATTTGAATTCCATTAACTTATCCACATTTTCACACATCTTTTTAAAAATTTTGCATAATATTAACGTATATTCAGAATATGGTCCTAATTCATTACATTCTTCTTTTAGCTGTCTACACGTAGTATATTCAGGATTTGGAATTGCCGCTTTTAAATTTTTCTCTAATCTTTCGCAGTTTTTATCAAGAAGATTTGTTAAATTTTTGCATGTTTCTTCTGGATGTAAACATTTATATAGTATATGATAACTATGATACATAAAATTGCCACATTCTTCTAAAAGAGCATTTTTACAATCGCTCATAGTTCGATGTAAAGCCATGATTCCTTGAAAATTTCTTTTTAATTTAAACCTTCCACTCAACTTTTTTATTAAAATCATATTTGTAGCTGCATCTAAATCTTCTTGATAACAAACAATTCGTACATATTTACAAGTATCGTATTTCTTCCAAAAACCAGAATTCCAGTAATTGAAATATTTATCAATAAAATAACATATTGAAAGATATTCTTCACATTCGGTTTTCGAAAGAGGACGATCTGAATACTTCAAAAATTGATTGCTTTCTTTAAACTTTTCTAAAAGTGAATAACAATAATCTCTAGTTTTGTAATATATGCTTTTACAAATTTTATATTCACTATTCGAAGATGCATTGCACATAGGCTTGATGTAGTTTAAATAATTTATCGAAGAACATTTTTCATCCAACACTTTTTTACAATCTCTGTCTACTGCTTTTGTATTATTTATCAAAAAATCGGCAATTAATAAATCTGAAAGATTCTGTATTTTAGCAACATATATGCCTGAATTATATAGTTTTCCATATGCATATTCAGCACCATTTCTGTTCATATGAGTAAACGGGTTTTCAAGAAGAGCAAAATTATAATTTTCCGAAATATCATAAAAAAAGCCTTTTTCTGCACAATCTATTTTTAATGAACGACATTTCGGACGAAGAGCTGGACAGTCTGAAAGAATAGAATAGCATTTCGCTAGTAAAGTCTTACATTCTTTTTCTGAGATTTGATTCAATGAAAATAAAGCCTGAGAATTTTGACATTCCTCTTTAGATTTCAAAATAAATTTACTACAAACTGTGTCAACATTGACACACAAATCAAATAATTCGGGACTTCGCTGATTAACTAATTGACATTCATTTTGAAGTTTCCTTATGCAAGTATCTAAATTATTTGAAGTTCCTCTCAAAAAATCATAAACAATTATTTCAGCCACTCCCATACGGACTTTATTGTAGCAATACTCTTTTAATGTAGCACATTTAGCACCAATATGCCATGAACCATGAAGTTCCAGGAAAAAGCATTTAACTTGTAATTTATTACATTGATCACGTTCATTTGTTTCTTTATCTGAAAAGCTAATAGCTATTTCTTTTGCTTTATTGACAATTTTACTGTATGCACCCTTGCATGATGCTTCAGGGTTTTTACAAATCTTTTGGAATCTTTTATTTACGTCTTCTATACTAATGCAAGTTTCCTTTAACTTAGCTTCACAATAACGGTATAAATCATTGTTATCTAATATAGTAACTAAATCATTGTAGTTATCTAATATAATAGCTAAATAATAGTAGTTATCTAATATAATAGCTAAATAATAGTAGTCATCTATATAATTCTGCCTTAAATTCTCGTGTTCTATCCATTTTAATTGTTCATATAATTGAACATGGTATTCATCACTCCTAAGTATAGAGGAAAGTAATGGATCATCTTCATATAATGGAGAATAATCATTGACAAGATCTAAAAAATTAAAATTAAGAAAAAAAAAACAAAAGCTACCTAAAAAACCGTCATCTTCTGAAAAAACTCTTTTTATACTAATAAAGACTAAAAAAATACACGTTCCTAAAAATAATTGCATAAAAAAAAATAATAAATAATAAATGAATAAATAAATTTATCTTATTTTCTAATATACAATTGATTTGAAAATAGATAAAAAGTTACGATATCAAAAAAATTATTTACTAGTATATTAGTTAAAAAATAAAAAATATTATTCTTATAGATATATATCTATAACTTGATTATTTATTTCAATAGTTTCCAATATGCCTTTTGTTCTATTTTCAATAATCTATTTTAAAATATTGACTTTTAAGTTTCTTAGTTTAGAAGGTTATTTAGAAAATTCTTAATAGTTTATGTTATCTAGAATACTATAATAATAAAAGGATTTGTTTTTAAAATTTTTTTCGTGAAAAATGTATTAATTTTTAAGATTTATTAATTTTTGTTTTTAGATATTTAGGGTTACTACGCATAACATTTATTTTGAATGTTTAAGAAACATTAATAACTAAAAATTATATTAGATTATTTGTTTACAAAATTTGAAATAAATTAGTATTTTATACATAACGCAATATTGATAATTTGCTAGTAAATTATTTAATTTAGATCTTAATTTCCATTTTTAAGACTAATTTTAATTTTATAAATTTAATAAGAATGGTTTTTATTATAATTATATATATATTAAAGGTTTAGTGAATGTTTTAAAAATTGTTAAAATATTTCTTGGAAGTAAAAATTGTTAGAAAAATATACTTTGAAAAATATAATTGATACAAAGCTTTTATTTAAAATTTGAATTAATATTATTAAAGTTATTAATAAAACCAAGAGTAAAAATTGATTTTAAATTTCAATTTGATTTATATTTAAAAATTTTAAATTTTATTTGAAGATTTTAAATATTTAATTTAGAAACATTATTTATGGTTTTATGAATTTATAAATATTTTTAGATAAACGTTATTCTGATAGTTAATAATTCTTATTTCAAACATATATTTTTTTCATAAATTATTTTATATTCTATATTTTTAATTTTTTTATAAAGATTTAAAATATTATTTCAAAGTATATGTATTTGATAATAATTATTCTTATTGATTAAAAAATAGTTTGTAAAATTATTTATGTTAAAATTATTATTATGATGGATTTTTTTAATAATGTCTTATTTTTTATCTAGTTATTAAATTTTACTACATTTTTTGTTCTTTTTATTGTTTTCTGTATCTTACATAAGTCTAAATTTATAATTAAATGTTTAAATTCATTAAACCTTAGTCTGTTTTTAATACAATATAATATGGGATAGTATTAAATATTACTAAAATTAATAATAAAATTTATTTTATTTTATTATTATTTTCTATTTCTTTTATTTTTTCATTATTTCAATCATATTTATGGATATTTTTGTTAATTAGCATTTTATATAATTTACAGTATCTTAAATATATTTAAAAAAATCTTTTTTTTTCTTTTTTAAATTCCAAGTTCTAATTTTATTTTAATTTATTTATTTATTGTTTTTTACAAAAAAAGCTCATAAATATATTTTTTTCAATCTTACCTATTATAAAGAATTTAAAGATTTTATGTAACTTTGTAACTTAACCTTCAAATCAATGTTTTCATAGAAAATTTGAATTCTAATTACCTTTTTTAAATTATTTTTATTTTATATATTTTAAATTTGTTTTTTTAATTATACTATTCTAAATGAAATATGCCAATTTGAATTGAAAGAATTTGTAAAAATTATAAGAGTTATTTATCAAATTATTTCAGAAAAATCATAATATTATCAAAAACACGAAAAATATTATAAATTCAAAACAGTCGTTAAATTTAATTAAATTCAATAATAATTCTAAGAAATTTTATAATTATAAAAAATAGAAATTTATATAACGATATGAAAATATATAAATATTCGAGAATCGGGATTTCTAAATAGTTTTTTGATTCCTTAAATTCTTATTTTTTACAAATTTGGTTTTAAATTTTAATTAAATTTTACTTATACCTTTTAAAAATTTATAATAAATCTTTAAAAGTTAAAATTATGATATTTAAAAATTAAGTGTTTTTAACTTGAAATTTATATGATATTAAGATTTTGTAAGTTCAGAAATAAGTGTTAACTTATAATAACTTATAACAGAAGGTACAATACTTAATAGCTCACACTGAGGAAAATAGTTTTTGAAGCTTATTGTATTTTTTATAAAATTTACAATTTATATTAGCACATGTAGCAGACATATATGCTCTTGCTATAACTTCAGAATTTGCCTTAACTATTTCTGGAGATTCTTATCTTAGAGTTTAGGATGCTGATTCACAAGATCATCGTCTTATTCATAGTTTTAATGCAAGTCATAAAATTGGTGGACATAGTATTTCAAAAAATTGTCATGATTTTATAGCAGCAAGTTCTGGACTCATAGGTGATGTTATAATATGGGGTCTTAAGGAATTTAAAGAAATAGCGCGTTTAGGTGGAAAAAATGGAGAGACAAAGCCCGCAGAAGCATGGACTGTTGCATTATCACTTGATGGGAAAATATTAGCATCTACATCTTATAAAGGATCTTTAAATATTTTAGACATATCAACTAAAGAAAATATTGTTGAGCTTGAGTATGCAAATTATCTAATAATGTAAAGATTGTATTTTTTGGTTGTATGCACAAGACAAATAGCTGATCACTTTTTTCTTTTAGACCCACACATGCCTTTACTAACTCTTTTTGAAGCTTTTCAAAGAATGGGTCATTTATATCATGAAACTTTCCTCGAAGCTTATCCTGCAATACTTGGTTTACTAATTCATAGAGCCCTCTTTTGTAGCACTCTATTTTAACATTTTTACATATTTTTTCAAAATCTTTTTGACTTTCAAAATAAAAGCAGTCTGATTCTAATTCTGCACATTTATTTTTAGTAAGAAAGTTCGGCAGTTCGTTCCATAATGTAATTTCATTGTTTTTAAATAAGTTATTTTCAAACTTTGCAGTCAAAGCGACCTTTGTTTTTTCAAAATCCCCTTTAAACTCTTTACATTTATCTGTATAATTTTTTTACTGTCACATAAATCTTTTAATTCTTTTTCTAAATACTTAAAAGAATCACATTTATTAGTGAGTACATTTTTGCATTGAACTTCATTAAAATCGGTTTTCTCTGAGAGAAACACTAATAAATCAAAAACATCCCTTTCTGGTGGTCCTCCAACTAGAATTCTCTGTGTCGCCGCTTCTTTGTAAAGTTCTTCTGAGCTTATTTTTTTCGCAATTGTAGTTTTTGGTTTTGTAGGATTAAAATCTGAACCTGGAGGCATATAAATGATTTCTTTTTCTTCATATTTTTTCTTCAAACTACTACACTTTGATTCATTATTGTTACAGTTTTGTGTATAAAAATGGCATTCTTTAAATAATGGTATACATTCTTTTTTTAATTGATTATTCTTTAATGCTTTTTCAAGTTGTATTTTGAGAAGATTGCATTTTTTTTACTTTTATCTATAAAATCATTGCATATGTTTTTTCCATCAAGACATAATTTCATTAATTCATTACTCTCTTTAATTCTTGGCAAATTATTTTTAAATTTTTTTTGCAGGTATTTTCATTTTTAAGATTTCTATTAAGTGCCCTTAAAAGTGCCTCTTTTGCTATTTCATTAGGTTTTTCCTGATACTATAGATTCCTGAGCTTATTGAAATCCTTTGTAAGATGATTAGGGCATGTTTCTTCTAAAAATAGACATTCTTTTTCATTTTTCTTGATGACATCATCTTTTAACGTTGAAATACCATTTATTACTTTCCCAAGTTCTGCTTTGAATTTTAAATTATTCTTAATTTTAAGGGAGTTCAAGTAAATTCTATGATAAAACTTGTCAAACATGCAGTGTGTACAAATATATTTAAAAGGTGCCCGCTGTCTAAGGCGTAGTTGGCTGCATCGTGATACTTTAAATTTTGGGGTAAATCCGGGGTAAATCCGGGGTAAATCCGGGGTAAACGCAAAAATGGATGGATAATAAATATAATGTAAAAAACTCTGGAAAAGAAATAAAGACTATTTGAGAGAAAAATACGAACTAGTTGTATAAAAATACATGTTTTTTCTAATATGCAGTTTAAATTGATGTTAAAGGAATCATTCAGATTATTCTCTACTTTTTGTTCTATTCTGTTTCCCCATCTTTTAAATATAAATGTCTTGTCCTAAACCATGCTCATCCTAAATAAATATATAGATCTTTTTTTAATATTTTCATCCCAAATACATATGTTTTTTAAACCACTCCCATTTATTTTTTAAATCATAGTTGAAATAATCATTGTTAACATTACTCCTTTTATCAGACCCCATCCATTCATCTTTAATCCTTCATTTTGCTTTACATCCCTTGTTTCATCTTCACTTCCGGTAGTACATTTGACTGGTTGACATCCCTTCGTTGATGTCAATGTTACAGTTAGTGTTAGTACGGATGTTTGTGTAGATGTGTGTGTGTGTGTTGATGTACGCGTAATCCACTTGTCTGTTGTAGAAATCGATATACATTGTTCTCCTGTTGTCAGTGTTTTTTGCGTTGTATTTGTCTCGGTTTTTGTAACAATTGTTTTTATAGTTTGATTAATTGTTTTTGTTTCTAAAGACTTGATTTCCAATGACTTTAATTTATTACATGCATCTTCGATTTTCTTGCATACATCTTTGTATTCAGAACAATCTTCCTTAAATTCACATTCTAATTGCAGACCTTTGCACTCTGCTTTGACTTCTGTATAAACCTTTAATGCTTCTGCTGCTGCATTAAACGCTTCAACTTCTTTTTCTGTAATATTCACTTTTGTCTCCTTTTGTTCCAAATACTTTGATTGATTTTTCTGAGTTACATCTGTTTTTAAATTTACATTCCTGTCAGCATTTGCATTATAAGCTAGAATTAATATTGTGTTATTTATGTTAGAACCTGTTTTTTGTTTGCTTGAAGTTAAAATAAGATTTATATTCTTTAGTGCTTTTTTTGCAGCTTCGTTCAATTCTTCAACAATTTTTATGTTTTTTTCTATTTCTGTAGCCATGTCATTTAATTTTGTCAACAATTTTGTACATCTTTCCTTTACACGTTCTAATAATTTTTTGCACAGTTCACTTTTAGTTGTATTATTTTTGGTATCAATGTTATTATTACAGAAATTCTTGAATGTATCATTTTTCGTTTTATCCCAATGCAAACAGTGTTCATTAAAGGTTGATTTACATTTATTTTCGCTATTGAGACTTCCTCTTAATTCATAGATAAGTCTCACTTCTTGTTCTTGTATTTCACGATACGATTTACAGCTCTCTTTTAGTTCTTTGCATTTTCCATTCTTTCCATTATTTTGTGCAAGTTTTTCACAGCTCAACGTAAATTTATCACAATAGGGTTCCCATAAATCACATATAGGGCTTTTCATGTTTACATCATTATTCTTCACTTGATCTAAAACGTTTTCAATTTCTATGTTTTTTCCTAATGCAGTACATTTAAATTTAATACTTTCAATAATTATTCGACAAGTAGCATTCAATTGTATACATGAAATAATAAACTTTGTTTTCTTTTTTTTAGACCATTTATTACATTTTTCTGAAACTCTTTTTATACATGTATTTAAATCGCCTAAATTTTCTGCTTTTTCCTCTAATAAAATATCTTCCAATTCTTTTGCATTCTTTAAGTGATCACATCGCCCCTTCAGTGTAAAACATGGTAAGTCGTTCATTTTTGAATCATGTCCTAACATTTCACATTTCTCTTTTAGTTTTTTGCAGTCCTCTTCATCTGGAAAATCCCTTTTCCAATCCAGATCGTTTCTAAGTCTCTTACTCTGCCTTTCAATATCATTTGCAAGTTCTTTACAAGTATCCCATGGGTGTAGACAAAGATCCATTAATATAGGATTATTATTGTTAATTATTTTCTTACATAGAATCCATAGTTCATTTACACATATTTCAAGTAAATTATTTTCTAAATCATGCAGTTTTCCTTTTAATACACCTTGAAATAGTTGATACTCTTTTTTGAAAAGCCGTGTTTTTAAACATGTTGATTCTAAATTGATGCATGCATCAAACATTTTAATACCCGCGTCATTACAAGGTTTCTTTAAATAAAAACATTTTGATTCTAAATCTATACAAAGCTTTTCATTAAACTCAGTAGATTGCTTGGTCCATTCTATAAGCGTAGCATCTTCATTATCTTCTTTAGTATTTGATAGTGACAAATTATATAATTTTGATTTAAAAAACCTACATTTAGGTTTCAATTTTTCTTCTAAGGTATTACATATTTCTTCCTTGCTTTTATCCATTTTTTCTTTAGTACTGTCATATAAATCCTCTAATTGAGGTAAAAGGCTGCAAAATTTATGACAGCTTTCAATATTAGTTTTGCAGCCATATAAATAATTATTTGATAATAATACTAAAAGATCAATTGTATCCTTTATTCCTGGTTTTCCAATTTCATCTTTGAATAATTTTTCTTTTCCAACTTTTTCTATTAATACAATTTCTTTTCCTATTGGGTTAAATGGTAAAGAAAAATGTTTGTATTCTACTTCATTTTCACACTTTTTTTCTATTTCTTTACATTTATTATTAAGAGTATTATTGCAATTTGATTTATGAAAGTAGCATTCCTCAAATAATGAATTACATTTTTCTTTTGATATTTTAGTATTTTCGATAAAAATTTGTGCCTCAAGTTCTAAATTATTGCATTTTTTTTCCATTAATTTTATGAGATCCTTACATCTATTCGAGGGAGTAAGACAAAATTTCATTAGTTTATCACTTTCTTCCATAAATATAAGACATTTCTTATCAATTATTTTTTCACAGTCTCCTTCAGTTTTTAAATTGTTAGTAAAAACTCTTAGAAGGAATTCTGTTGTCAAACTGTCTTGTTTTTCTTCTTTACATAATACTCTTAAATAATTACATTTTTTTTTAAGTTCATTTGGATAAACTCCCTCTAAGAACATGCATTTAGATTGCATAATACATTTTAGGCTGTTTAGTGATGATTCAGTTTCTATATCTTTTAAATTCATTTTAAGTGCTTCATATTGTTTTGCAAGTCGTTCTTTCAAATAAGTACATTTTCCATCTAATTTAGTGTCTTCACATAGTTCACTTAATTCCAGAAAAACACCACTTAGTGCTTTATTTGTATTTTTAAAATTTTCGCAATATTTTTTTAGTTTTATTTTACATTGATTATTTGTTGCGTTTTCTTTTAAAATTAAAGCGAAAATTCTTTCTTCACTAGATAAAAAATTTGTTAATTTTAAATGTTTTGGTGTTACTTAAAGATTTCATACACTATTGGATTAAATGATGTATTTTGTAATGAATTTAATGAAACAGACTTTTTATGAATAAATTCTAAAGAAAGTTAAACAAAATAAAGAATAAAATAAAATACCAATATTTTCTGAGAAAGCACGTATTATTCCAAAAAAAACAGCTAGTATAAACGCTTTCATTTATATTTAACTATAAACGCTTTCATTTATATTTAACTGAAAAAAATATCGAGAAAATCATTTTCATTAAAAAATACCGATAAGCGATAACAAATTAATAATAAATATGCAGTAAATAGATAAATATTATTTTATATTACAATTATATTTTTTATTTTTTTGCATCTAATTTTAGAGTTAAAATGCAACTTTTAAATTATTTATATGATATTCTTTTGTGTTTTTTTTAAATTTTTTGTTGAATTTTTCATTTTAAAATTATTCCCCATGGGGTAGTGCAAGTAATTTGGGGTAAATGTTTTGGATAAACGTAAAAATAAATAAATGGAAAATATAAACATAATATAAAAGGTGTAAGCAGTGAAAAAAGGACAGTCAAGTGAAAATCATGACTTAATTGTTTAGAAAAAGATTCTTTTTGTTAAAATTCATTTTAAATTGATACTGAAGATATTATTTTTAATTTAATTTATAGTTCTTTTTTTGTTATTTCATTTTCTTATTTATTAGGTATAGATACGTTGTTTTAAACCTTGCTTATTTGTTTTTTAAATGTTCAAAAAGTGTTTTTCACTTATTTGTATATCCGTAATTTTAAAAAAAATTAAAGTCAAATGGTTTAATCCGGGAAAAAATTATACGAAATGATATTTAAAATTTTATTGGTTTTTTAAATTTAAAAATAATTTTTAATTTTAGAAAATAGAAATGTAAAAAAAATTTAAAATATATATATTTTTAATATAACATATTTTATGCAAATAGTAGTGGAAAATATAAAGATATAAAAAATTTGTTTTACTATAAGTCTATGAAAATTTGTTTTTAAAAATAATTCTTTGTTTAAAAATTAGCATTCAATAATTATTCTTTTTGAAATTAAAGAGTATAAGATTCTATTGTGTTGGTTTGATTTTTTAAAAAATTAAGATTAAATTTCAAGTTTAGTGTAAAAATGTTAAATTTTGTTATTTTCTATTTATTATTTTAAACAAAAATTCCACCTTTGGTTTTATTAATATATTTTTATTTTCGTTCTTTTACTTTTCTTAAATTGAATTTATAGCAAAATGTAATTTTATAATTTAATGATGAAAATATACTTGTTAATTAATATGATTTTTAATAGTTAAATTTTGATTTTATTGTTCTATATATTATTATATTTCTAATATTAATATTCCTTGATATACTTTTGAAAAATGTTTTTTGAATTATTAGAAAAATAGAAAAACAATTTTTTTGATAATATTATTTTTAAAATCAGGATTCTAGACTGTATTTTTTAAATAAAATGTAATTTACTTTTATTATTCAATGAAAGATAAAGTTTTAACGTAAAATTTATTCAATTTTAAAATTAGATCGACTTAAAGTCAAATTTTTCAAAACCTACAATACCATTCTTATGACAGGACTCTTAACTTATCACATGAATTACAAAAAGTAGGATAAGTATCAGATAAAAAGTTGCATTTTGGACGACAAAATAAACATTCTGAAAGAAAAGGATATTTTTCTATATATAGAAAGTCTATCTGCAAATCATTGTCTTGCTGAAACATCATCCCAAAATTTTTCATAAAGGCTGTTAGGGTTAGAAATGCCATCTAAACACCATCTAAATAACATTTCATTAGCTCCTCCTAACTCAGCACATACTTCTGGAATATGTTTAAGTAAGAAAGAGTTATTAGACATTCGGTTCCTAGGATTAAAAATAGTAAAATTATTGGAAGGTAACCCTCTGAACTTTTTCCATATAACATTTAAGTTAGATATTTTATATCGTGCTTTAAGCCAAAAAAGATCTAACATTTTGCATAGATCCTCATTAGGACAAAGAGCTACAAAGTAGTAACATTGTTGAGTAAATGCAGAGCATTGACGTATAGTTATATTGCTTTTGCTACCCCATAATGTAGTAATAATACTTTTTCTAGAATCAAGTCCAAACTTTTCAAACGTGCTTTTTAGATTTTCGCATATTTTATCTATTCCTTTTACTACTTCATCGCATTCATTTTTATAGTTCTTACTACAATATGCACTGAGATTAGGAAATACGTTTTTATGTTTTTTATAATCTTTAAAAACTTTTTCACATTCATCTTTTAAACTATTAGAATTTTCTATTTTGGAATCGATATATCTTAAGAGTGGTAAGATATGGTCTTTTTAAAGGAACTGGAATCCCTTTTCCTTTTGCTTTAAAAAAAATCAAATCCAAATGATGGTGTGCAAATGTCGAATTACATTTACCTAATTTAATATTTCCTAGAGTTTCTGCAGTCGAAGTACTTGTTGCTTGATTAGCTTTTTCTAGAGAATTAGACGTTTGCTCTATTTCAAAGTAAGATTTGACAACAATAGACCCAAAAGAAATTAAACAATGACATTGATTACGGAGTTCATCGTGGCATAATGTTTTTAGTAATGTTTTTAAAAGTATTTTTCAATGATGCCTGTAAAACCATATTATTAAACTTCTCTTCAAATATTTTATAACAATAACCTTTTAATCTGAAGTATAAATTGCGAATATTTTCATCACAATTTTTTTGAAAAATGTTATACATTGGTTCACAATTTTCATAATCTTTAACAACTACGTTTTTCTGATTTTTTTGAACTAAATTTTCTTCTAAAGTAGAAAAAGGACTAATTTTCATTTTTAATTCATTACATTTTTTCTAAACTGGGATAAATCTTTGGTTATCTTGCTTAGTTAAAAAGTCACATAAAGTGCCGTCTCCAGTTGCACAGAATTTCTTTAGTATATCATTGAACCCCCCCCCCCCCTTCTCCAATAGATGGATTTACCTTTACATGATCATATATGTTTTAGTGCTGATTTACACTATTCTTTGTTTTTTACAAAACCTCTAAGAATTAGAAGAGATAAAGAAACATTGTTTTCTTTAAAATCAGAGTATTCAGATAAACGTTTCGATAACGGACTAATTAATTCAGACTGTGTTGATGGATTAAGTATATTTAGTTCTTTTTTTGACTCGAAAATATAATAGTTAAAAAAAAAATAAAAAGAAATAAAAATACCAAAAATATTAACGTTTTTTTGAAAAAATATATGATATGACACTTAAAACTGTAAAGCTAAAGACTTTTATTTAAGACAGAGGATAATTATTGATTTTTTTTATGAATTTAGTATTAAGAGTTCAAAATTTAGATCAAAAATACACATTGTAGAATAATAAATTTACTGATGTTATTTTTTTAATATTATTTGATTTTGTGATTTGTTTTTTTAATTTTGCATATTTTTTTAAAAAATTATTTTTTATATTAATTTTTGCAAAATATAAAAGTCTGCATGAAAAATATGATATTAAATATAATTTACAACTGATTTCATTTCAAATAATAGTGTTATGATATGTTTAATTAAAAATGTTTTTTTGTTTTTTTATTATTAAATATTAAATGTTTTTTCTATTTTGTCGTAAAATTCATTTATTTCTCAAAATAATTTGATCATTTTTCCCTAACTTTTAGAGGTATAGATTTTGTTTTTAATCATATATTTTTTATTTTTAATGATATGTTTTTTATTTTTAATAGATATACTTTTTATTTTTTAATAATTTAGTTAATTTACATTTTTATTTTAATAAAATGATATATTCTTTATTTTTAATATTTTTAAACTTTCAAGTTCATTAATTACTTAAATCAATTATTTAAGTAATAAAAGTTGGCAAAATTTATGGATGTTTTATGTAGTTGTTATAAATTGGTGTTATTTGTAAAGAACTATTTTATTTAGTTTTTTTAATTTTTTACTTTTATTTTAATTTTTTTATTTTAAATTTTATATTAAAATTATTATCAAAGATAAAATAAATTCTAGTGATTTTTTTACATTGAAGCTTTAGAGTCTTATGATATTTTGATTCTCCTGGACTTGACTATCTTATGGGAGAAGTATGATCATTAAGATAATCCAGGGTAAATAGAATGTAAATAAATAAGAAATATAAAAGATATAAGCAATAAAGTTTCCTAAATTAGGAATATTATTAATTATCTTGAGATATGTCTTTTGGTTAAAATACATTTTAAATTGTTATAAAAAACAGCATTTTTCTTTTTAATTTTTATTATGTCTTGTTTTACTTGTTTATCTATTTTAAACATGCATATTCTTTCTTAAACTTATTTTTTTCTTATATTATAACTAAAATAACTATTACTAGTACTATTTCGATTGTGTTTATTCACTCATTTTCAAACCTTCGCTTAATTTCAGATATCCTACTTCTTTCTGTAATATACATTATGGATCTGTATTGTCTTATCGGTTTAGTGTTAGAGAGTTAATGCAATTTTAGAAGTTGTGGATATAGTCATGTATGTTCATGCATATGTAACTCAAGTATTTCATGCGAATTGCTGTGTATTTTTCTTTTACCATCTTTCTTGCTCCATTTATCTTTATTATTAAAGTTGCTTTTTTTTGTTACTGTTTTTATTTTTTGTAGCTTCATTTTTAATGGTTGTAATTTTAAGCTTATTCTATCTATTTTTTCACATAAAGTTTTACGAGTACATTTTTTTCTAAAGTTATAGTTTTCTTTAAGATTTCATTCGCCAATTTATCAAGTTTTTTTTTCTGTAGTACTTTGTCCTTGCTCCAGTTTATTTATTCATACTCAATTTATAATTTATTTATACTTCTCTTGCCTTTTCCTCTGTTGTACACTTTATAGGTTTGTATTGTTTCGTTGATATGAATATTATTGTTGACATTACTATAAATGTCAGTGTAAATATAGATGTATTTATCGAGATATGCATAACCCATATATTCATTATATACATTGATACAGATTTTTGCTCCTTTATTGTTGTTTTTTTTTCTATTTCTTGTGTTTTTATTGCTGTGAACGCGGTATTTCGAACCACTGTTACTACTTCTAATTTTACTTTTAATGGTTCTAGTTTTGTACATATTTTTTCCATTTCCTTATATAAAACCTTTGATTCACACCTCTTTTTAAATTCACATCCTTTGTTAAATGTTGGTATATTTTTTAATTTTATATAAAGAACAAATGTCTTTGTTACCAATTTAAATGTCCTTGCTACTAAAACAAATTCTATTAACTTTTTCTTTGTCATATTCATTTCTATATTTCTTCTAAGTTTAACTGTACTGAGTTTTTCGTGTTGTAGATGCAATAAGTATAACCTTATTTATTGAAACATTATTTGGTGTTTTTGTTGATAAAATGTAGTTAACTGTATTTATTGTTTTCTCTATTTTTTTCTTAATATTTTTATACTCTTTTTGTTTCTTTATTAACATTTCTTTTGTTTTTATAAATTTACTTTTCAATCCTATATATTTTTTTTGTACTTGTTTGAGTAGTTTTTCATTGAATTCTTTTCTTGCTTCAGTATTATTTCCTGAATTAATAATACCGGCACAAAAATCACCAAGTTCATTGGCTTTATTAGTCAATTGTATAGAATACTTGTCAAACATTAGTATATAAATGTTATTGTTTGATAAGTTATCTTTGAATTTATTAATTAATTTGCTTTTTAATTTCTTTTTTCCAAGAAATAATCTGTATTTATTATTAAGTTTTCTGGATTTATCATATGTTCTTTTTTTTCGAGTTTTTTGAAATTTGGTATGAACTTTTTATAATATACAGTTCAAGGTTTGTATAGTTCTTCAGTTCTATTTCTTTTATTTTTTTTAGAATTTTTATAATTTTAATATGTTTTTCTAGTGTAATACTATTATATTTAACATCCTTTATGATTTTTTGCAAGTCCTAAAACAGAACATACAGGAGAAGACTTGTCATTTTTTCTTCTAGCCCACATTTTACATAACTTCCTAAATTTTTTACTGCTATTCTCATTTTTTAAATACTCTTTTTTTCCTTCTAATAACTTCTTTCCCAAATATTCTGTACTCTTCAGTTGATTGTAATGATGGTTTTGTCAACAACATAATTATTTTATTTTTCCGAATCATGTTTTATACTCTTATAGTTTTTCTTTAGGTCGTTGTAGTCCTTTTTATCAAATAATCCTGTTTCTTGTTGAAACATCTCTATAGAACAATTTTCTTTATTTGTAAAACTGTAGAAAATATATGAATTGTTTTGTTAGGTTTACATATAATACAAATAATTTGTTGTTTTCTTTATTTTGCTTTTTGCATTCTTTTATCAGTTTTTTTCAAGCTTTTCAAGTTATTTTTTGTTAAACCATGTAGAATTCCTCGCATCTTGTTCTATAATACTTGATTTTCCATTGTTTCACGTATTTTTTTATAATATGTAGCTTTTAAATTAGTGGATAATTTTTAAGAAAATTATAATTTAAAAACAAAAATGCTCTAGCAGTTTTTATGTAGTTTTTCTGCAAAAATGGCCTTAATTTTTGCCTGGGAATAATTTTGTTTGAACTTTTTCTGAAGATATTTTTGTTTATTTTCCAGAAAATAGATTGAATACCTATTGCTAATCCATTTTCTAATGTTTAGAGTTTTATGCTTTTTTAAACAGTTATATCTATTTCTGATTAATTTAGAGATTCTTCTTTAGTATTGTCTTTAAGTGTTAGATCCCAAGTTAATAATGTTAATAGACTAATCACATTTTTTACAAATGGTTTTCAATATAGAGATTTCTTTTTGCAGTTTTTTTATAAAGGTCTTCTATGTTTATTTTCCTTGTTAGCGTAATTTTTGTTTTTATAGGATTAAAATCTGAACATGAAGTTGTGAGACGATACTTTTTTCTTTATATTCTTTCTTTAAATCACAGTACTTTAGTAAATTTTTCCGTATTTCTGTTTATAAATGCAACATTCTTTAAACAATCACGAAAATTTTGTTTAAATATTATCATTTTTATTTAATATTTTTTGGATTTCTTAATTAAAAGGATTGGAGCATTCACATTTAATACTTTTCACTGTTGTAAGTTTATGACATGTTTTTTAGTCAAGATACTATCTCATTAGTTTATCAGTTTCTTTACTTAATTGTAAGAAAATGTCTTTAAGCTTATTTTTACATGTGTTTTTATTTTCAAGATCCCCAATGAGCTTCCTAAAAAGAGCTTTCATTGTTTAATCATCATATCTTTTTTGATAATATTTGTCCTTTGGATGCTACAGTCATTTTTAAAATTTTGGAATGTTCCTTTTAAAAATAGATATTATCATTCTTTTTTTCAAGATCAATTATAAAATTTATATTTACTTTTTTAATTTTTGTATCAATTTTTTACATTTTTTTTTACTATTTTTTAAATTATTGCATTTTGTTCCTTTTGTTTGATCATTTTCGTATTTTCTTTTGGTGTTAGAAAATATTGTAAAAGTTTAAAATTAATCTAAGACTTGATAAAATACATCTGAGTTTTACTTGATATTTATTGTTTCTATTATTTACATTTTTTTAAGATCATTACTAAAATATTTTCTTACTGTATAAAAGATATATTAATTCTTTATATTTTTAAAGGTTTTATATATTATTGAATCTAAAGTAGATTTTATGAATAAATTCTAAAAAGTTAAAAATAAAAGAAAAAAAGTAGAATAACAATGTTTTTTTGAAAAAATATATATATAAAGGAAATTAATAGAAAAGTTTTCATATAGCAAAAATGATGATGATGGTAAGTACTTTCTTTTTTATAGAAAATACTTCATATCTGACATTAAAAATAAGTGAAAACTTAAAGAAAAATATTAAAATGATAGTAAAAAGTCGATAATAAACAGCATGCTTTTATTATTATTTATTATATTTCTGATACTTTTTAGAAGTTTGACTTTTTAGTGAATTTATTTTAATTATATAAAATTGTTTTCAACATATAATACTCAAATTTCAAATAATACAATTTTATGAATATTTTAGATCCTTGATTATAATGTTAACTTATATTAAATCTAATTTTGAAGAAATATTAGATGATTTAAAATTAAGATTATAGTAAATATTAGATTGTGTAATTTTTCCGATTTATTGTGTTTTTAAAAGATATAATGTATTTATACTATTTTATTTAAAAATAAAGATTTATTGTTTTTTATTGTTTTATATTTTTTTATTATTTGAATTTTTTATTAAAAATAAAAATTAATTTTATATTTTTGTTATTTTTTAAAAATCGAGACCCCAAAATCTTTGTATTCCCGAGATTTTTATATTTATATTGTTACGTTATTTATAAAAAGAATATTGTGATTTTCTTGTATGTTTTTTAAATTATATTTAACTGTTAGTGCACCATATTTATAAAAATGTTAAAAATATTTATTTGATTGTTAAGTAAATATTTTTATAATATATATAAAGGATATTTAAGAGCTTTAAATATATATTAAAAGCATGATTTAGATATTTTATTTGATTATATAATTTATAAAAATTTTAGAAATACGAAAGTTTTTTGATAGATGCAATATATTCTCAGAAGAATTAGAATTAAAAAAATTTAATTAGCAATGAAGTTTTGGTTTTATTTATATATAAATAATGCTTAAATTTAATTTTTTTAAAAGTTTTAAACTCATAAAAAATATATTTTATTTTTTTAAGGAATTATTTTATAAAAATACTTGATTTCTTTAGAATGTTCTGTTTTGGGAAATAATTAAATGTATCTTCGTCATTTTTATATTTTAATTGAAATAAAAATACACCCGAAAAAAACATTTTTTAGGAATACAATGAATTGGACCCGGTCTAGTGGCTTAAAAATCAAAATACGATTATTTATGTTTAAAATTTAATAATTGTTTAATTTCGGTTTAACATCTCTACAAAAATTTATCATTCTTATGAATATAAAATCTTAAAAATGACATATTTCTACAAGTATCAATATTAAAGTTTATTATAGAAAAATATAAATAAACAAATATTCTTTATATCTTAAACAATTATCCACATCCCTGCCATGATTCCTATAATCAGACAAATTACCCCTACTCTTTGAAATCCTTCTATTCGGACACTGTGCCCTTTATCACTTACTCCATTGTTATCTGATTCTTCTGATACTGTTACTGTAACTGTTGCATCATATCCATCATTTATTGTTACTGTCTCCGTGTATGAACACTCACTATCACTTTCGGTCGAATAGGTCTCTGCTGGCTCCTCTGTAGGTTGAGGTGGATCTGTTGGATCAGATGTTGGTTCTGGTCCCGGCTCTGGCTCTGGTTCCGGCTCTGGTTCCGGCTCTGGTTCCGGCTCTGGTTCCGGCTCTGGTTCCGGCTCTGGTTCTGGTGTATCCGTTGGCCCATGTTCATCTGTTTCCTCAAGGTCTTCTGTGGAGCTTGGTGGCTCCATTGAGTCTGAATCTGTTGGTTCTGGTTCTGGATCTGATTCTTTGGTTGGGGTGGGACAAACAGTTGCATGAGAAGTAGTTTTTGAAGTAACTTTCCCTTTTGCACAACTTTTACGCCATGATTTACCTGAACAACATTTTCTTATTGTGAATACCACTTCTGTATGAGTATGGTATAACACCTCTGTTACATATTCTGTTTTATCAGCAATATGGGTGTGAGTATTAACAAATTTTGATTCTTCGTGATTTTTGGGACTATTTAAATATATATTATTATTTTCCAAGTATCCTGTATTATCCAAAATATTGTCTGAATTTTCATACGCTAATTTTAAAAATTAAAAAAAAAAAAAACAAAAAAAAAAGAAAAGATACCTGCAATATTTATATCTTTTAAAAGAGCACGTACTACCCCTACAAAAAATGCAAATACGGAGGCCCTCATTAGTAAAATAATAGGGGAAATGAGTCCGTATGTTCTTATAAATCTTGATTTTTTTTAAGAAAAAAACTTACGAAAATTCGTAATACAATATATTTTTAAAAAAAAGTATGCATATAATGATAAACAAAGAATAAATAAATTTTATTTTTAATGATATCTATTGTCTATTTTAATCATTTTTAACAAATTAATATGATTTTTTTTTTTATAAATTCAATTATGATTTTATTTAAAGTAGATATTTTTAAAAGATATTTTTAAAATGAAGTAATTTAAAAACATTTAAAAAGTTGTATGGTTTTATTTAGTATTATATATATTATGTTTTCATTATTTTAATATTAGTTTATATTTAATTTTTTTTTCTAAATTTAGTTCTAAATTTAGATAATGGATGAGATTAGGGTTAAAGGTGAAAATATGATTAAGCCTAATAATATTTAAGATCTAAATAATTCAAGTAAATCTAATAATTAAATTTTGGATTTATTATTTTTATTACTTTTGAATTTCAATAACTTTGGATAGTTTATAGTTTCTAGATTTAATTTTTGTTAAAAATGCAGCAAGAACCAAGTGAAAAATTAACTGATGAAAAGGCTTTAGATCAAGTATCTTTAAAAAAAGATACTTTTCAAATTGAAGATGCTTTCCAAGACACTGAAAATGCCGAAATAAAATATAAAACCATGCTATGGTGGCACGCTACTACTTTAATGATTTCGGAAACTGTTTCTTTAGGCGTTTTGTCTCTTCCTTCTATGTTTGCGACTATTGGGATTAATCTTGGACTTTTTTTTGTTCTATTTCTTGGTATTGTAGCAACATATACGGGTTATGTTCTTGGTCAATTTAAATTGAAATATCCTTTTGTTAATACTATGTCTGATGCTGCTTTTGTACTTTGGGGACCGACTGCTCGTAGTATTACTGGAGTGGTTCAAGTTATTTTTCTAATTTTCTGCATGGGATCGCATGTTCTTACAGGCGGGATTGTATTTAATGTAGTAACTGAGCATGCTACTTGTACTATTATTTTCACTGTTATTACAACAATCATATGCATTTCTATTACTCTGCCACGCACTCTTAAGTTTGTTTCTTATTATTCTGTTAGTTCGTGTATTAGTATTGTTGTTGCAGTGTACCTTATCATGATCGCAGTTTCTGCTGGCAAAAAACCTGCTGATATTACTTTTGGGTTTCCAAAAGGGACTAGTTTTTTCAGGGCATTAAACAGTATTACTAATATTATATTTGCATATGGTGGTCATATTGTTTTTTTTAATATTATGTCAGAAATGAAGAATCCGAAAGAATATACAAAAGCATTATATTGCTTACAAGTTTTTGATATATTTGTTTATCTTTCTGTTGTGTTAATATACGTTTATGTTGGGAATGAGGAATTTAAAAGACTTAGTTATGTTACTGCATTAAGTGCCGCTAGTCCACTTATCAGGAAAATTGCATATTTGATTTCTATTCCTACCGTTATTGTTTCTGGTGTTATTAACGGACATATTGCTGCAAAGTATATTATGGTTTATCTTGATAATAAATATAAGAATTTACTGCATTCAAGAAATACTAGATCTACGGTTATTTGGGTGCTCATATGTTCTGCTTTATGGTTCATATCTTGGCTAATTGCAGAATTAATTCCTATATATAATGATCTTCTTGGTTTAATCGGGAGTTTATTTATTTCTTGGTTTACTTATGGTACAGGTGGTATATTTTGGCTTTATCTTGAGAAAGGTAAATACTTTGTCTCTAAAAAAAGTACTTGTTTATTTATTGTTAATACTTTAATTGTTGCTGGTACTACTTTTGTTATGTTCTTTGGTGTGTATTCTAATATCAGAGCTGCATATGAAAATCGAACTGTAAAGGGCGTTTTTTCATGTTCTGAATAAAAGATAAATTTATTTGATTTTAGCAATTGTAAAATTTTAAAAAAGATATTGTTTTTTAAAATAATATCTATATATATAATTTTTATTTTATATATTTGTTTTTAATATATTACTTTTGACTAATTTTGAATTATTTAAAATAGTTTAAATATTTAGAAGTGCTTTTTAATTATGTTGATTTGAAATTGTAAATTGAAATTTTAAATAACAAATAAGAATAGTATTTATATTTTATGAGATTTTCAATTATAGTTTTGGTTAAAAAATATTTTTGGTGTTAATTTTAATTTATTTCTATTATATTATTTAACATGCAACAATAATATTATATTTATTAAATATCATGATATTTTATTTATAAATATATAATATTTTAAATTTTATAAAATTGTTAATGTAAAATTAATATTTATATTTTAATAAATAATGTGAAAAGTTACATTAAATATTTAAATTTAACGAACATTTTAAATAATTTAATATGAAAAAGATATTTTTACTAAAATTAGGATTATAGAATCAATTTTATTTAAATCTAAATACTATACAAATTTTTCAGTAATGAAAATTATTGATATAATTAAATTCTTTAATTTACATTGGTAAAATAAAAATTAATGATTGCATTTTTATAAAATATATTATATCTATATAAATTATATTCAAAAACTATACTACAAAATATTGACTAATTAGATTTTAGTTTAATTTTTGGTTGTTCTGTGGTTCTTCTATTGTATAATAATGTGGGCTAAATATATTATTAAAGTAATATTAAAAAAAGTACTTACGCTAATTCAAGTAACCATTCTTTTTTAACTGTAGTAATATCACGCATAAATATTTTTTTTCCTGTTTCTAAAACTTCGTTAAATATAACCCAATCAGTTTTACGATTAAACATGATTGAATTAGGATGAGCATAAAGAATCTAAATATTAAAACAAAATTATGGATTTATGTTTTATTACCGCATCCCCCTTTACAAGACGAAATGATCCATCTGGCTGCATCTTAGCTGCATGTGAAAAATAGCCACTAATTAAACATTTTCGAATATTATCTGTTCCATTTTTAGGATTTTCAGATTTTATTGGAATTTTAAAACGTTCTAAATATCTACGAAGCTGAGTCTTTATACTTAATGCTCTTGATAAAGCTTTAAAATTAAGAAAATTTTCATGACACCATTTTGATGATTTTTCTCCTTTTGTAATAAATGCATGAAATACTAGATAAAATTAACTGCATAATTTAATTTTGAAGAAAATACTATTCATTAAAGTAATATGATCGCCTTCTTCTACAGAGAATTTTTTTCTAACCGCTTCAAACGATTTTCTATCTTCTTGTGGTAAAAAAACATTTTGAACAGATACCATAGCAGCAATGCTAAGAATTTGCTCAGTGCAGCCAAATTCGCTTGACGTTAATAACTATACAATTAGTTAATATATATTATTATCAGGTATTAGAATACTGTTTTAGCCATTTTTGGATCAACTGGGAATTCTGCCATTCTCATTCCTAAAGGATTAGTTAATCTTCCATATTCATCTAAAGAATTTAAGGAAAATAAGAGCTATTTATAATTATATTAGACTCAAAAACCATATTACTAACCTCGAGTGAATGAATTACCATTTCTGAAGGTGGATTGGTTATATAATCAAATCTTGCAATATTATCAATACCAAGGGCTTTCAGTTGCAAAATTAATCCTGTTAAATCACTTCTTTGAATCTCTGGAATACTTGTTTCTCTCAAATTATTAAAATTTGCACTATTATATAGTCTAAAACATTTTCCTGCTTGTGTTCTTCCAGCACGACCTGCACGTTGTAGTGCAGAAGCCTTACTAATAGGTGTAACTATAAGAGATTCAAAATTTGTATGTGTATTGAACACTCGCAGCTAGAATAAATTGATTAAAAGCTTTTTTATAAAAAAGATACGTACTTTAACAAAACCAGAGTCTATAACATACACAATCCCATCTATTGTAACGCTAGTTTCAGAAATATTAGTACTAACAACTACTTTCCGTACACCTTGAGGAGATGATGCAAATATTTCTAATTGTCTTTCTGTTGATAAACCTGAGTATAAAGGAAGAGCTAGTATTTTCCGATCATTGCTTGAAAGTAATTGAGTAGAACGTTCGATAATTCCTGAAACACACGCGTCAATTTCTTCTTTTCCAGTAAGAAATACAAGAATATCTCCATCTTTCTCCTATATTGATTAGTAATTTTTTAGAATAATAATTATAATACTTTTGAATTGATTTCAAAAACTGTCTCTATAGATTTTTCAACATAATTAGAAGTTGGCTCGCTTAAATATAAAATATCAACAGGATACATTCTTCCTTCTATAGAAATAATTTTAGCTGCATCATTATTATCTTTATTAAAATAAGATAAAAATTCTTCTGCATTTAATGTAGCACTTGAAATAATTATTTTTAGTTCTTTTCTTTTTCTTTGAATTCTATAAAATAATAAGATTATTAGTTGTTAAAGAATAATTTACTTTTTTAATATGCCCAATAAAATGTCTGTATATATACTCCTTTCGTGAGCTTCATCTAACATTATTACACTATATTGAGAAAGTAATGGATCAATTAGTGTTTCTCTTATAAGCATCCCATCTGTCATATATTTAATTTTTGTTTTTCCTGGAGAAGTAACATCTTCAAAACGAATTGAATATCCAACCTATATATTAGTTATGATTTTATATGAGGATTTAATTAACTTCATCTCCTAATGGGCATCCAATTTCTTCAGCAACTCTTATTGCGACAGTTGCTGCTGCAATTCTTCTGGGCTAGTTCTAATTTCAACATAAAAATGAATTTAATCATGCAATTATACCTGAGTACAAGCTATTATGTTTCCATTATTAGCCCAGCCTATTTCTTTTAAATATTGAGGAAGTTCTGAAAATAGATTATTAAATATAAAATTTGAATTATAAATACTACGTGTAGTCTTTCCGGATCCTGTTTCTCCAACAACTATTGTAACTGGGTTTTTTTCAATTAAATAAAGTAATGCATTCTCTGATAATTTATTGACCTTACAAATTTGAATATTAAAATGGTTTATAAATACATACTATAATGATAAATAGGAAGAAGTTCACGCTGCCGTTTAATTGATAAAGCTGTAAGTTTGTTTATAATAGGAATATTTCCTTCATCAATTTCATTTTCTGATGCTCTGTCAGCAGCCGATCCTCTAGATATCATTAAAAGTTATTTTAATGATCGTGGAAAATATTGATAAAATGTGATAATTTTTTTAATTTTATTTTAAAGTATATATTAGTTCAAAGATTTTTTAAATTATTTTTCGTATTTGTATGAGACAGGTTAATATGTTTTAAAATGAATTATGTACGAATTTTAGATTATTAAATTGGAATTAAAATTCAAACAGAAAATTATATAATATCATAATTACATGTATTTTTAATTATCATTATTTTTTATAGTTTTAGATATATTCTTATTTTTGAATTAATAGAATTAATTAAATAACTAGTTTCAAATTAAAAACTAAAACATATACCATTAAGGTAATAAATATAATGTTAAAGAATTATAAAAGCTTTAAATTTGACAAAAAAGCTAAATTTTTATGATTTCTATTTAAATAAAGTATTAAACTACAAATGATATGCAAAAAATATGTACATAAATGTGATATTTTTGATGTTTAAAGCAATTGTGTATTCAATCTAAATGATTTTAGCTATCATTTTAATAATACAATATAATTATATGTATTGTTACACATAGGTATTTTGTTTTTTATATTTTTAATTATAATTTTAATACAGCTGAATTTTTAATTTTTTTATTATTTTTCTTCAATATTTGAGCTGAGATATTTTTTGCTTCATTATTTGGTTGTATTATTTTAATATTTCCTTTTTTTAATATTTTAGTAATTTTATCGGTTAATCTATTAGTTTTGTTTAATAATGATCTGTGACGTTTTTTTTTTGACTCAAGTCGTCGTCGGATCCTAAGTTTCTCTTGTCTTGTCATCTCATCTTTTGCAATTACTACGCCTGATCTTTCAAAAACTTCTTTGTTATTTTTTTCTGAACCAGTAACATATATTTCATGAGGGGCTAGCATAGTAGATGCGGTAAACGACGATGGTTGAGCTTCTTCCATAACAATTGTTGAAACATTAGATACAATATTAAGAGAAGGTTTTGCCTAAATTTTATAAGAACGAATATTTAATATAATTCAGTTTAATTACATATTTTGGTTTGTAATATAGATTACTTAAAGAGTTAAGTTTCTTTATTGCTTTCTGGAAAAGTTCTTTAATTTCATTATGTTCTTTATTTAATTTTTGATCTTCTTTTTCTAAATAAGTAGGGTCTGTCTTTTTTTTATATTCATCTTCATAAATTTCTGTTAAACTTTTTTCATTTTTTCTATCATAAATTTCGAGTAATTTGCTAGTATTGAATATTTTTTTTTCTTTAGGATAAACTTTCTGAATTTCGTCAAAATTGGAATCCATAATCCTTTTTCTAATTATTTCTTCAAGATTTAAAATATTTTCTTTAGTTGTTATTGGAATAGATCTTGTTGCTCTTTCGAATTCTATATCTTCTTCAAGCAAAGAATTTATAGATCTATCTTTAGCTTTTACTTCACCCATTAATTTCCAATCTTTCTTTGTTATGTTTTCTATTTCAAGCTCTTTTATTTTTTTAGATAATATTTCTTGATTTTTTGTATACTTTGATTTGTCTATTGCTACTTTTTTTTCATTTATTTTATCATTAGTAAGTTCAAATAGATCTTCTGGAACTTTAAATGCATTATTTTTTTCAACTTCTTCCATATATGTACTTTCTTCAGATTTATCCGCATCTTCACTACCATTTTCTGTTATGTTTTTTATAGATAATTCTTTATAGTTTAACTCTTCTGTTGGAGAAAAAAAATCAGTATATCTAATTTCATTGGTATTTTCAATTTCCTGAGTTGCATATTCTTCATTTATTTCAGTATCATTTAAATTGAAAAGAGAATGTGTTTCTTCTGAATCTTCTTTTTCATAAAGTTTGTCTATTTTCTTTAATTTTGTTTTATTAAAACCATCAATAGAAACTAAATTATTTTGCTTAGAATCTTTTGTTCTATTTACTTCTTTATCTTCCTAATTATTTTAAGAAAACTTATAAATGAGTGTATTAAAATTTTTACCTTCAAAGTAAAATCATCATTAATTAATAATGTATTGTTTACATACATATTTAAACATGTTTTATTTTTTTTGCTATCCCTTTCAGTAATTTTTAAAGAATTGTCTATATTCCTTTCTATTGTATCTCTTTCTGTTTCATTATGTTTTTTTTTTTCTTGAAAATTTATTTGACTTTTTAAGATAAAATTTAACTCTTCTAACTTGTCAAGTAGTTCATCTGTAATTAATTTGACTTCCTCAAAAATTTGATTATTGTCCAAATTATCAATATATAATTCTTCAAAAATACTGTTTTGTTTAACTATAGGATCGAGTAGTTTTTTTACTTGACAAAGAATAATAGAATGAAGTTCATTCGATGGTTTTAAAAATAGTTTTGGATTACATAAAAGGCTGTTTAGTTGTCTGGAGGTTTCATATCTCATTAAATTTGGTAATTTATTTAATTTAGTTTTTAATTTTTTTTTAAGAGGATTTATTTAATAATAATTTTAAAAATTTTATTTGCGATTTAATTTTAAAATTTAATTAAAATTATACTTAACTTGATTTTATATACTTAAACATTGAGTTTTATTGAATAATAGTTTTTTATAATTGTATATATGTTTTGAGTTAGTAGTTTATACGCAAAATTAATATTTTAAAAATGTGTTATTTATTAAAAGAAAAAATGAATATACCAATATTTTTATTAACAATAGTTTTTTAAATTTTATTAAATAATCATTTTTAATTTTTATAATCTTTAAATTTTTTATTACACAATTGCTTTCTTATATGATATTTTTAACTTTTATAAAACTATATATATTGATTATTATTATTAAATTTATTAAATTTATTCTTAGATAATTTAGATTTATTGTTATGTAAAATTTAATTTTTTTTAATTAGAAAAATTACCATTTTTTATAAATTTTGTAAATATAGTTTGAACACATTTTATCGTCGAAATTTTATAACCTTTAATATGTTAAAAGAATCAAATATTATTCAAATTTACTTGTAATTTTTAATAGTCTGTTAGAAGCCATTTTAATGGGTATTTTAATTAAAAACTAATATTATAATATTCTGTCATATTTTTTTTTATATTTTTGAAGAGTATGAGTATCAGAAATCTTCGAAAGCTTAAAGAACTTCAAAAGGATAATTTTTTATCATCTACTATTGATGAAGATCTAGATTCTGGAATAAGTTCAAGATATAGTTTTGATATAAATGCACTTCCTTCAAATAATTTTAATCGTTTTTCTATAGTAAAGTACTAAATTTATTAGACATTTTCTTATAGAACATAGCTTGATAACAATATTCAAATTATTGAGGATAATGTACCAGAAAGTGATAATATTTTTGAATATGAGGTTCACATTTTGTTTTAAATTTATATGAATTTAATGATTAATAAAGAATAAAAATAATATACATTCTAAGAAATGTAAAATTAAAAAAAAAGATAAAAATAAAACAAGAATGGTTAATAATGATCTAATTGAAACAGAAAAAGATTATATTTCTGAATATTTTAAAATTAACAAGGTCATTGATGAAAGTTCTAAAAAACATGATTTTCCAGAATTAATTGTAGATGATTCTGAAAATAAATTGCAACAAAAGCAGTTAAATTTATTAATTATAGATCAAAATTTTCTTGATTCTGATGCTGAAATGAGGAAACTTTTTGGAAAGATTGTTGTAGATAACAATAATCATTCTAAAAAAAAATCGAAAAAATATAGAACTAATTTTAAGAATAAATCCAATAAATCCCCCTTAATGGTTTTCAAAGAATCATGGCCACCATTTTTCAATAATGGTTTGTCAATGGATATTATTGATTATGTCGACGGTAACTTAGGTTTTTTTTTATTAAATATTGATTTCCTAGGCATTGGGTACTTTAAATTTGTTTTTTCTAAGGCATATCAAGATTCTCAACATCAGTTTTCAATTGCTGTTAATTCTTTTGATCCGAGTAATCTTATAGTGCTATTACAACATAATCGTTATATTTACAACCTACTGTTAATGTTTCAGGAAGCTAACTTATTTTAGCATACCATGTTGGTACATTACTTCAAGTATCTGAAATTTTAAAGCATGAAGGAAATTATCATAATTCTATAGATTTGGTTGGTTAGTTATTATTTTTTGATTATAAAGGTTTAATTGCTATAAGACCGTGCATTATACTCTTTAGGGCGTGGATTTCACCCGACGTTTAATATATCAACAGGTTGTGTTCGTCTCCCTTTTAAATATTTTGAAAATCGTGTTATGTATCTTGCATTGCATAAACATATTTATAATTTAGAGAAAAAAGGCTGTTGGAGAACTGCTTTTGAGTTTAATAAACTTTTGCTTAGGTATTTTTGTTTTAATTACTCTGTGTTATTTAATAAGTCTAGTTTAAGTCCTTTAGAAGATAATGATAATTATGGTGCTCTTTTGACTTTAGACTTTTTTGCTTTAAAAGCTAAAGAATATGATTATATTATTGAACTAAAAGAATGGCATGACCAAAAGTATTTAAGAAGACTTCCTTCTTTTGCATTTTCGTATGCACTAGCTTTTTTTCACAAAGAAAATACAGATGATTTACATATTGTCTCTAAAGAAAAAATAATCGATGCTGTTTCTTCATTTCCTTGGGTCGTCAGGCCACTTTTTTTATTATTAAAGTTACCTATTCCTAATGGATATGAATCACTTAGTCCTCCTACAAATCTCGATGCTCTTTATATGGATATTTATTTATCTCGAGTAAAAGATATTTGGAATACTTCCAAGTATATAGAGTTCTTAAGTTCTGTGTCTTTACCTTCGCCGCTAATTAATATGAACTTTCAAAAATTTGATCATGAAATTCCTGCAGGTATATTGAGATATGTTTTACTTTCAGGAGATAAAAATCTTATTCAATATTTACCTTTATCGATTACGTCTCAACCAATCATGGAATATGATCCTTTTCCTCCAGATAATTCTGTATCATTTACTCATACCTCTATTCCCGATTCGTTGGATAATTCAGCTGTTCAAGAAAATTATACACCTATTAATTCATCTGAAATTTTACTGCCGCAATACAGTTCTGAAACAAATTTACAAGATGAACATAATCCTGAAGCTATTATAGAATCAAATAATTCAGGAAATGTTTCATCGGATGAAACTAGCGTTTATTTAGCTAGAATTTCACGAAGAATATTAAGTTTATTTGGGATTTTTTGGAGAGATAATATATCTAATGAAACAGATTTTTCAGGTAATGATTAAGAGTAGAAAATAAAAAAGCTAAAAATCAAACAATTTATATATCAGATATAATTATAGTTCTTTTTCAACCTGTATTAAATTTTAAAGTTGAACGAAAGCAAATTATTTTATGAAGAATTATGCAGAACACTTTCAAAATTAGTAGAAGGAATTTAGATTTAAGTAATACCATTTCGCAAGATTCTGGGTCTTCAATAGAACAAGCAATTATTTTATCATCATATATATTATTTTCAAATTCTTCATATTGGTTTGTTTTTCTATTTTCTTTATGTAGGTTACTATTATCTAATTGTTTTGTATTTTGATCATTGGATATTGTGTCTTCGGAGTTAGTTTTTTTGTCATCTAAGGATTCTACCAAAGGATTCATACTAATACCGATGTGTTTTAAAGTAGATGGCCGTTTTTTTAAAACTGTTTCATCGACTTCTTCAAGAGCCTTACGATCCACAGTAAACTATTTTTGGTAAATAAAAGTTAAAAAATCAGCTACTTACTTGAATTGGTGCACTCGCTGCTTGTGTTCGAAGATAGTACATTCCAGTTTTTAAACCTTTTCTCCAGCCCCAAAAATGCATACCAGTAACTTTTGAAAATTAATGAAAAATTCAGTAACGTGAAATATACTTTTTCCAAATGATGGGTCACGAATATGAATATTTAGACTCTGGCTTTGATCAATAAATGCGCCACGATCTGCTGCATAGTCGATAATAGTCTATTAATATATTAACATGTTTTTTTACACTAAAAAAAGACCTTTTGAGACAACTCCCATACAGTTTTATATAACGCTTTAATTTCTGCTGGAATACTAGGTATATTTTGAATAGAGCCATTATTTGCAATAATTCTATTTTTCATAATATCATTCCACAATCCTAAATCAACTAAATCCTTAAGTAGCCATGGATTTACTACTTGAAATTCTCCTGCAAGGACACGCCGAGAATATATGTTACTGGTATATGGTTCAAAACACTCGTTAAAACCAAGGATTTGAGATGTACTTGCGGTAGGCATAGGTGCTACGAGAAGAGAGTTACGGAGGCCATATCGTGCAATATTAACTTTTAAACTATCCCAGTCCCATAAATCTGTAGGAACTACGTTCCACATATCATATTGCAAAATACCTTGGGATGCTGGCGATCCTTCGTAGGTTTCATATGGACCTTCTTCTTGTGCCAATTCGCATGATGCTTCTAGAGCTGCATGATATATAGTTTCAAATATTTTAATGTTAAGCTCTTTTGCATGAGGTGAGTCAAATGGCATTCTAAGAGATAAAAAGGCATCAGCAAGTCCTACTCTTTTTAACATGAGAATAATTTATAGTTTGCTTTTGAACCTTGAACACCAATGCCAATCGGGCGATGTCTTTTATTTGACCTCCTAGCTTCTTCCACAGGATAATAATTAACATCAATAATCTTATTTAAATTTCTAGCTACAACTTTTGTAACATCATGTAGCTTTTGAAAATCATAAATGCCTTTGTCAATAAAAGTTGGTAAAGCAATACTTGCAAGATTGCAAACAGCTACTTCATCTGGAGATGAATACTCGATTATTTCAGTGCATAAATTAGAACATTTGATAGTCCCAAGATTCTTCTGATTCGATTTACGATTGCATGCATCTTTATAAAGCATAAAAGGATTACCTGTCTCTGTCTGTGCTTCCAGAATTGCATACCATAGTTTCTGTGCTTTAACAATTCGAGTTGCTCGTTTTTCTTGCTCATATTTTTCATATAAAACCTTTTTAAAAATAAGTTAACATGATATATATAATAGTAGGAAAAAACCTCAAACTCTTCTCCGTAAACATCGTCTAGACCAGGGGCTTCGTTCGGACAAAATAAGCTCCAATCTTGATTTGCTTCCACTCGTTTCATAAATAAGTCAGGTATCCATAAGCCATAAAAAAGATCTCTTGCTCGAATTTCTTCTTTACCGTGATTTTTACGAAGATCCAAGAATTCAAATATATCTGCATGCCATGGTTCTATATAAATAGCAAAGGCGCCAGGACGCTTGTTCCCACCTTGATCAACATATCGAGCAGTATTGTTGAATACCCTGAGCATAGGAATAATACCATTAGATGTACCATTAGTTCCCGCAATATAACTCCCAGTAGCACGAATACAATGAACATTGAGCCCAATTCCTCCTGCTGTTTTACTAATCATGGCACATGTTTTAAGTGTATCATAAATTCCTTCAATGGAATCATCTTTCATAGTTACTAGGAAGCAGGACGAAAGTTGAGGATTTGGAGTTCCTGCATTAAATAATGTAGGTGAAGCATGTGTCATATATTTTGCAGACATAAGATTATATGTTTCAATAGCTTTTTCAACATCATCACCATGGATACCAACTGCAACACGCATTATCATATGTTGGGGTCTTTCTGCAACCTTTCCATTAATACGAAGAAGATAACTTCGCTCTAATGTTTTAAATCCAAAATAGTTATATGTAAAATCACGATCGTAGATAATTGCACTGTCTAGTTCATTGGCATGTCTCATTACTGTTTCATATGTTTTTAGAGAAATCATTGGGGATGGCTTGTTATTTCTTGGATTAACATAGTGATATAAATCCGAAATAACATGAGAAAATACTTTTTTAGTTTGCTTGTGAAGATTAGATACTGCAATACGTGCTGCCAAAATAGCATAATCGGGATGCTGTTTTTATTAGAAAAACTATATTATATTTCTGAGAAGAAATACTTTTGTAGTCATATAAGCCGCTGTTTCTGCTGCTAGGTTATCAAGCTCTATTGTTGTTACTCCTTGATATACTCCAGAAATAACTTTCATAGTAATCGATGCTGCGTCTACATGTTCCATGTCTAAGCCATAACACAAACGAGAAACTCTGGCTGTTATCTATAACATTGTTTATTTTACAAAAAATACTTTTTTAAAAATATACTTTATCAAAAGCAACTCGTTCTTTTCGTCCATCTAAATAGATTTATCTTTTAAAAAATAGTTTACTATTAAACAAATAATATTCACCTCTCTTATAAACAAACATTACTTATGTTTTTCTAAAAAAATTATTTATTTTTAAACTGATTTTAAGATAATGAACGATTATGAAATTTACGCGTATCGTGTTTAACACGGCTCGATACCTAAATTTATGTAGTTAATATAAATTACCTTAGTTTGAATAATGGATTTTATAAAATATGAGTTTAAAATAAAATTATTTAAAGGTAATAATTAGGAATTTTAAACAAAAATTAGGGAAAAGGTAGTTTGTTTTAGATTCTGTTATATTTATACTTATTTTTTTTAGATAGAAATAAGAATAATTTTGATTAATTTCAAAATCTATTATTTTATAAAAACTGGTTATTGAGATATTATCTAATTTTTATTGTAGTTTCTGAGAAAAAGATTTAAGATTTAGTAGAGTCTCTTGTTTTTATAATGCTAAATGTATGTTTTTTAAAATATTCTCAACGACAATTTGTACAGTTTTTAAGTGGAACTATGTTGGTTGCATCATCGATTTATTATTTCAGAAGAGAGAATATTAATGCAGAATGTCCTTTTGGAAAAGACTCTTTTAATACCAGTGCATTCTCAAAAATGCACTCACGAGAGGAACAGATAGAAAAGCTTAAGGCACATTCTCAAAATGATGGTACTGAATATGATCTTTTAATAATTGGAGGAGGTGCCACAGGAGCTGGATGTGCATTGGACGCTTCCAGCAGGGGATTGAAGGTAGCATTAGTTGAGAAATATGATTTTTCTAGTGGAACAAGCAGTCGAAGCACAAAATTAGTACATGGTGGTATACGATATTTGGAAAAAGCAGTTATGGTATGGTTTTTATACTGAAAAAGTAGTGAGTTATCACTTAGATGAAATTTGAAAATTTAACTAATATTGAAAAAATTATATTATTTTTAAATATCAATTTTAAATTTTTCTAACGTTTTATTAGAAATTAGATTATGATCAATATTCTCTTGTGCATGAAGCTTTATGTGAACGGAAGACTTTTTTGAGCATTGCACCACATTTGGCATTTGCTTCTCCAATAATGATTCCTATTTATAAGTACTTATTTGTTATTTTTGTTCTTTTTTGGAATTAACTGTTTTAGATGGTGGCAAATTCCATATTTTTGGGCAGGTGTGAAGGCATATGATTATTTGGCTGGAAAAGATAATATAAAATCTTCATATTTTTTAACTAAAAAAAAAGTTATGGAACTTTTTCCTATGTTAAAGACTAAAAATTTGGTTGGTGCTTTAGTATATTATGATGGTTTACAGAATGATTCTCGAATGAATGTTAGTTTAATATTGACGTCTGTATTATATGGAGCAAATGTTGCAAATTATGTTGAAGTTTCCGAATTTAAGAAAGATAAAAATGGTAAAATATGTGGAGTGATAGTTAAAGATCGTTTAAATGGAGATATATGGACAATTGCTGCTAAAGTATAATATTTTTTTTTAAAATTATTTTAACAGTGACAGGGTGTTATAAATGCTACTGGCCCTTATACTGACATTTTGAGAAATCTTGATTCTCCATCAAGTTCTAAAATGGTGTCGTTATCATCTGGTGTGCATATAGTTCTTCCTGGATATTATTCTCCTAAAAATATTGGGTTTATTGATCCTAATACGTCAGATGGACGTGTAATTTTCTTTTTACCATGGTATTCTATATATATATGTATAATTTGTTTTTTATAATACTTATTTAGGCAAGGAAATACTCTTATTGGAACTACAGATTCTCCCACAGAAATTTCAGATAACCCAACTCCTAAAGAAGAGGAAATTTCTTGGATTTTAAATGAAATCAAGAAACATTTAAATAATGATTTTGTTATTAGAAGAGAAGATGTTCTTTCTGCTTGGTGTGGTATTAGGCCTTTAATTTCTAACTCTGCTTCAAAAAATACAGAGAATTTAGTAAGAAGTCATATAATAGATATTAGTGATAGTGGGTTATTAACTATTTCTGGTGGAAAGTGGACAACATATAGGCAGATGGTAGATTTTACTAGTTAATTAATTAATTAATTTTATTATTAGGCTGAAGATACTATTGATAGAGCTGTTAAAGAGTTTAATCTTAAGCCTTCTTCCGTTAAATGTTTAACGTCAAATATTCAATTAATAGGTGCTTCTGGATGGAAAAGCACGTTATATGTTTCTTTGATTCATCAATTTGGAATTGATACTGATATTGCAAAATATTTATCTAAAAATTACGGAGATCGTGCATGGTCTGTTCTTGATATGTCAAAATTAACTGGGAAAAGGTGGCCTTCTAGAGGCATTAGATTAAATAGTAGATATCCCTTTATTGATGGGGAAGTTCGTTATGCAGTTCGAGTAGAGTATGCTCAAACATGTGCAGATGTTTTAGCAAGGCGGACAAGGTATAATTTTAAAAGAAAAATAAATAGGTTAAATGAATATAGATTGGCATTTTTGGATGTTTATGCGGCATTAGAAGCGTTACCCAAAGTTATTGATATTATGTCTGAAGAATTGAATTGGTCTAAAACACGTAAAGAACAAGAATGGAAAAATACACTTGAATTTTTGTGTTCTATGGGTCTTCCTGAAACAATGCATTATTTGACAAGAACTGATGTTGAAAATTATAAATTTTTAAAATAAAATATTAAAAAGTATTAATATTTCTATTATGATTTAATTGTTTTTTTATTTTATAAATATTTTGAATAGTTGTCTTAAAATTATAGAATTTATATTGTTTTTAATAAGATGTTAATTGAATTTTTGATTTTTATTTTTAATAATATTGTAAAATTTTTCAGTTTACTGTTTTTTAAAGTATATAATTTAAAGGCTTTTCTTAGTATTTAGATATTCTATTGAATATATCTAAGATTTATTTTAGATTTAATAAAATGTTTTAAAAAATAAAATATGCATGAATTTTTTTAATTTAAAATAGTTTGTATAATTTTGATTTATTATTATGAGCTTGATTCATATAATTGATGTATTATGTTTATGTTTGTGGTTATGTTAAAGTATATAATATTGAAAATTAATATATTTTAATTGATAGTCGTTTCGTATAATATTTATGATAAAGTTTGATGTTAATTTAAACTAAAATATAAAGAAAAAATCATAAATTATTTTTATAAAGTTGTATTTTGTCTTAGATTATTAATAAAATTCTAATATTTTTATCAGTTTTATGAAAATAATATCTTGATTCAACCTGAAAAAAAAATTTAAATTGTTTTGCATTTAAATGCTTAAGTGCTTCGATATATTCATTAGCTATTTCTTTAGGAATATTTACTGAAGGAAAATATATATTACATAAATATCTTTCGAATTCTGCTTGTTTTTTTTGAAATATTGTGAATTGAAGGTTTGATATTTCACTTAAAACCTAAAATAAAATAAGATAATTTTTTATGTTAATTTAAGTTTACAGTGATAGTTTGCGTATCTTGTGGGTTAAAGGATTGTTTTGAAGGAACTTCAAAACAAAGTGAAGAAAGCGATTGAAATATGAATTGATCAAATCCAGAAACTGTTTTTTTAATTTTAATATCACTTATTTGAGATTGATCAGATGCCCATAATGTAATCATTTTGTTTAAAATAGAAAATGCTATTTTTTCTATTGAAGGATCTGATATATTTGCTGCAAAATGGATGATACTTTGAAGAAATGCTTCAAAATTTGGTTGATTAACTTTAAAAATTACGAAAATGTTAAAATATTTATAAAACTCACCATCGCTTATAAAAACCGAATCTAAATCATTATTAAGTAATCCTAAAACAAATTCAAGGTATTTTTTTTTGAGATCATTTTGGTTAATGATATCGTCTGTACCTTCTGCTGGTTGGTTAAGAGATTGAAAAATTCTATTTAAAAGAGGCGTAAATAAAGTATTCAATATATCATATATATTTGACTAATTTAGAATTAGATAGTTTTAAAAAAATATATTTGAAAACCTTAAATCTATGAGCAAGTAACCCAAGAAATGGAAGAAAGTCAATTATTTCAGATGTTTTGCTTTCTGACAATAACCCGTTTATCAAACGTGGAAATTTGGACAATATTTCAAGATCGAGTATGTTTGTTAACCTTACAAAAGATAAACGTGCCTGTTAAGCTGTTATTAGGAATCTAATGGTTGTATAATATTAACCGCTTCTCTTATTATCTCTTCGTGTTTTAAAGTCTCTAAAGCAATAAGAATAAATTCACTCGCTTGCAAAAAGGTTTCTGAAATAGGATTTATAATAGAAGATTTACGAGATATATCAGGAAACCCTTTAGCAAAATTTCCAACTGCCATAATAATATTACGAATATGTAAAATATTATTATTATCATTTATATCTTGTGAAAGACATATTTGGAGATCTGAAAAAAGTGGTTTAAGAATAGACTATTTTAAAATTAGACTTTAAAGGAAGATATAGAAGATTAGACCTCTGTTAAACATATTTTCTTGGTTTTATCTATCGTGTCTAAAGATATAAGTAGTCCAGCTGCTTCAAAGAGATATAATGTGCTGTCGATTAAGTCTTTAACAGTTGTAATATCAGTATTAACATTATTATCAGTATTAGTATTTGATATATGTTTTATTTTTACAACGAGTAAATCTTGAATAGCTTTTAGTGTAGTTTCTGCATAGTTCCCTATTTTATTTGATAAAAGACGAATATATCTTGAAAAAAGATAGCACGCTCTTTTTTTTACATGAGTATTATGATGATATAGTCCTCGTTGATCTACCATAGCTTCAAGAACTTTAGGAATAAGTGAAGGTTGGAACTCAAAAAATGATACATATCTAACTGCTATCTCTAAATAATGGAGCTGAATAGATGGATGAGGATATGATGATATTTCTGAATTTATTATCATTCCAAGTAGCTGTCCTAATATAGTAAATGAATTATTATTGTTATTATTTACATATGTGGTGACTTTTTAGAATTAGTTTGACTAATATTAGATCAAATTTATTAATATACCTTTTAAATTTTCCCCAAAAGATAATATTTCATATAGAATGAGTTCTAAATGTCTCCAGCTTACTTCAGAAAATCCTTTGTTTAATCCATTAGTTACTAAATTCAGAATGCAGTTACAATAAAGGTCATAATCAATAGATCCGACCATATCTTGGAAAGTTCGAAGTTTTTTCCTTATTTCTAAAAATTTTGCGTTTTCATCAGCTTGTGCTTCATTTAACCAATCTGAGGATTTATCATATTTTGTTTTTATAATTAATGCATTTAAAATAGATTTTAATAAATCGTTTCGAGATGAATCCATTTGCCCTCTTTTTTTTTGTTTTCGAATCTAAATTAATTAGAAATATAAACGTTATTGAACTTTTAAAACCAGAGCCAATAAATCATTCAAGGCTGGAAAAACAGCTGATGAAGTATCGTCATATTCATTTGAAAGAAATTGAAGAATGAATGGAACTGTATTAAAAAGAAGAGAATCTGCTTTTATATAAATTTCTTTGGACATCATATTCTATTATTAAGTTAGTGTATATTGATTTAATAAAAACATTTACATCATTGCATATACAAATAAGTTCAATAGTTTGTGCATTGACAAGTTTTGCGATGTTTTCTGTAAAATTTGGATCACTAGTTAAATCTAAATTGCTTATATGATCTGTAATATTAAGAAGAAATATTAGTTCAAGTTTATCAGTGTGCTTCATTTTCTTGCTAACAATTTCGACAAGAGTTTCACATGCAGTATTGCGAAGTTGTTGATCGCCTAGAAGTCCGAAAATAAAAGTCATATATGAATTATTGACGATTAAAGATATATCTATCCATGCTTTTTCTATTAGCTTGTTTTATCTGTTTATTCTTGGAATTAACTTACAAACATATTTACTTATTACTTTCATACAGAATTCAACAATATTTTTATTTGTTTGCTGATATTGGATCATAAGTCTATACCACGATTCTGTTAAACGATGCATATCATTTTGACGAATTTTATCTTTAAGTGAATTATTTCTAGAAATTTGGTTCGGTTCTCTGGAAGTATGTTGATCTGCTATTTCTTCATCGATAGAAAGAAGAATTTTAAGATAGAATTCAGCTGCTTTTGCAGAAGACTTTTCATTTTGTGATGAGGAATTTTGTATGAGAGCAAAAATATCTGTAAAAAAAGAAGACCATGATGTAGTATACAATGTAATGAATAGTAAAGCAAAAAAATGAGAAAGCTTGCTATGCAAAACTAAAATAATCAATTATAATGGCACATGCAAACTAAGAAACTTACATGGAGGATCTGTATCTTCTATTCTCATTGGAGAAAACTCCTGTATAACCCAATCAAAAATCTGGTTTTTTATAAAATTGAGAGATTGGGGTGTTAAGTCATTAATCCTATTGCTAAGTATAAATTTTCAAAATACAATTAAAATGGGAAAGGCATTCTACCTTGATTTGATAGCATATCCTAAAACCTGTAAAGCAAATAGTCTTGTTTGTTCTGATCTATAAAAAAAATTATTCATAATTATAATATAATAACAAAAATATTTACACTTTGGGTATTTTTGTAAAAAGAGAAAGACACACTTGCCATCCTTCAGGAGAATTCTTTATCTGATCACAAAACGTTATAGCCTATAAACAATTAGTATAAACAATAATTACTGGAATTTACTAAAACCTGTTGTTTCAATGAAGGGTCTACGTGCGGTTGAAGCATTATATTAACCGCTTGATCAATATTTACCTCCATTAGTGTTTTTGGCTAATTTTTTTGGTCTTTTCTCCTTCAATTTATTCAATTTTTTTGTTTTTTCAAAACTCAATAAAATATGCTAAAAAATAGAACTCTAAACAAATATATATAATTTTTAAATATATAATTTAGAAAATTTCCTTCTATTCTTTCGTTTTTGTTAAAAAAAAACTTTCCCCAAAAAATATTCAACAAAATTAAAAAGGTTTTTTTTTGATGGATTTTCTTAGTCGTCTCGAAAATCAGGGTTCAAAACAATCTATACATTTAAATGTTTAAAAATTGAAGAGGCAAAATAATAGTAATTTTTCTAGAATTACAGTTTCTGGTGTTTTATTCTTTTTTTCCTCAGTTATTATTTCTGGGATCAGTTTGAGATTATTAAATATAAATTTGTAATTGATATTACTTTTGTTCATAAGAAAATTTTATAGATATGGAAACAAGAATAAATTCTCAAGAGCCTTCTGAATGCCAAAGAAAGGGTCTTCGTGCTCAGCGTTTGGAGGATCTCTTGGCAAAATCATTATCACAGACCATTAAAGCGTGTAGGTGAGATTTTTGTGTTGGTACAGCACTTGAATATTTATCTGTATAGTTATGAGCAGGTTGCAAAGTGTTTTCCTGCATTGGCTAAGAATTCTCCAGAGGTTTTGAGGAATGCACATAAACAGGTTATTTCGTTTTTGCAGAGTTCATGTGAGGTATTGTGAAAAAAACGATAATGATTTTATTTAGAGAAAATAGAGGGAATTTATGTCTATTTTGAAGGAGAGAGATGTTGTTTCTAGATTGAATGAGTTGGATAATCTTATAACGAATGCAAAATTACGTCAAGAAAGTGGAGAGCCGCCTAGTATTTTGTAAAATTATTTGATTTTGGTTTGTGATAAATTAATTGATATAGACCAACCTTGTTATCGCCTGAGCATGTTGTGAATTCCTATCTTTATCCTCTTAAAATGAAAGAGCTTTCTGTTTTGAAAGAACAGTTGAAAAATGTATATTTCTATTTTTATTTTGGAATGATCTTAATTTTATGATTTTTAGACGCAAGCAAAGAATACAGATTCTTACAAAAAGGTTGCATTGCAGCGTGATGAAATAGCTCATTTAGCTTTATCTATAAAAAAAGCAATTGAAGAGCTAGATCTTGCTGTACAGCATTCTATTCAGACACCTATACAAGCTATGCAAACACAAATGGACGAGATTGTACCAATACTTCAAGAAGGATTATAGTTTTCTATTATTGGTTGTAATATTGCATTTTTTTGTTATTTTAGTTTTTATTCCATATTATTCATCTATTTCTTTAGATGGCTTTTTGGTGTAGCATTATAAATTCATGTCTAAATATTTGTGTAATATTTAACAAATAGATGTTGTATGTATTTTTTGTTTCATTATATTTTGTATTTTATGTTGTTTTGTTTAACAGTTTTATCCAATGGTTACTTTTCCAGTTTTAAAGTAGTTTAAAGATTTATTATATTTTTAATAGAATTGTATTTTTTTGAGTATATTTTTTTGATTACTTAGGTAATTTTAGTATTGATGATGGTATTAAGGTTTTTAAGTATAACTTGAAATTTTGTTTTTATCAATATTGCTTAGATATTAATTTTTGGAAAAGATTGAAGAATTTTTGTTTCTTGGTATATTTTTAGTGGGGTGTCAGTGTTTCAAGCTATCTGAAAGTAAATTAAATAAAATAAATGAACCAAGTTTCAGAGTATGTCTAGAATGAGAAGGATATGTTTTGTGAATTAAGATGTTGAATTAGAATACAAGAATATAATATAAAATAGAAAAATAATATGTGTACTTTTTTATTTATATGTTATAAATTTTTATTTTAAATGTTTGATTTACGCATTTTATATTTATTAAGTCTTAGAATTTTATTTATATTTTTTAGATTTATTTGAAAATGTTATGTGAGATAGCTATCATTATTTTTAGTGAATTGGTTTTTATATTATGATATATTGTATATTTACTCATTTATTTATTCGTTTATTTAAGTAATTAATTATTTTATTTTTTACTTTTTCTATAACTAAATACTTGTATCATTTTTTCTTGAGAAATTGATCTCTTCTGTTTGATTTGTCTTATTTATTATAGGTTATTATAGGGTTAGCCCTATTCTTAGTTTTTGAAAGATACTTTTTTGATATGAAATTTAAAAAAATATAAAATTTAAAAGATTTTTATCTATTTAATTTATTAAGAGGGGAAAACTTAACATGGAAAAATTATCTTTGGATGAAGTTGGATGGTTTTTTGTTCAAGAATATTATACATTTTTGAATAGGGAGCCTGGGAGATTGCATGTAAGTTATTTTGTTAGAAATATTGAGTTAATTATTTATTATAGTGTTTTTATACTAAAAGAAGCACACTTATTCATGGAAATGAGGGTGAAAATGTTAACCCATGTTCTGGACAGCAGGTATGTATTTTGGTATTTTGAAATTTTTAAAATGGAGTATATTGTGATAATTAAATTTTATTACTTAAATTGTATTTTTGTATTTTTTATTATGTATGTTATAGTTAACATATATTTTTGTAGGAAATTCATAAAAAGATTATTGAGCTTGGATTTTCTGACTGTAAAGTTCTTGTTTCTAATGTTGATTCTCAAGCATCTACTAATGGCGGAATTGTGATTCAAGTTCTAGGAGAGATGAGCAATTGTGATGGGCCTAGTCGTCGTTTTGCTCAAACGTTTTTTTTAGCTGAACAACCTAATGGATATTTTGTTCTTAATGATATTTTTCGATATCTTAAAGAAGACATGGAAGATGGAGAATTATGTAATGGTGAATGTCATTCTCACACTGCCGATCTTAAGGATGATGGATTGTCGTCTTGTATTGAAATTAATGATAATACTCAATTTGTATCAGAACAAAAATATATTACGACTACTACTTCTATACTTTCATGTGATAATAATGCCAATACTCAATCTACTCGGCTTAGTACTATTACTGATTCACTTCAAGATTCTACTTCTATCCCTCCCACTTCTGTAGCTAATACTCATCATGAAGTTGATTATGAGAAACTGCCTTTAGCTTCTTCACTTGAAAAAATATCTTTAACTGAGCATATACCCGACTCTACAGAGAATATTGGCTTTGATAATCCGCAGCTTTGTCCTACTATATTTCAACCATCAGTATCAGTGTCATCGGCACCTAAAACATGGGCTAATCTTTTTGATAAAACTTCCCCTCAGTTAAACAAAACAGTTTCCTCTGTAGTTAAACCAACTGCTATTCATGTGCAGGCACCTTTAGTTTCTGAGCGTACTCTTATGAGTTCTGCTTCAGGTAGATTTTATTTATTATGATTGTTGTTTACCTAATTTTTATAATCAAGTTTTTGTAAAGAATATTAAAGATGGGATCTCTGAGGCTGATTTGAAACATGTTTTTTCTAAATTTGGTTCTATTCATCATATTGATATTAAAAAAGAAAAGGTAAAATTTATGTTGATTATACATTTTTAATATTATTAATAGAGCTGTGCTCTTGTTTATTTTGAAACATCTGCATCTGCTATTTCTGCAATTGCTGCTGGTTCTGTAAAGATTGCGCAGGATACACTTTTGATTGAAGAAAGAAAGAATAATCGCGATAGAAATAGGAATAGTAATGGTGAACGCCGTGTCGGTGGACGAGAATATACAAAATATGGGGATGAAAAAAGAACTAATACTGATAAACGTGGATATATGAATAAAAATAGAGCTTATGATAAAAAATGATTGGTTTAAAAAATGATTGGTTTTATGTACGAGTTATCGTAATTTTTAACTTACATGAGGTATAATTAAGATGTAAAATAACACAATATGTTTGCTATCTTTTTGTATATTAGTGCATATATTTATTATTAAAGCTTATTTCTTTGCACTAATATTTTTATTCTGTTATTTAAAATTTATGCTGATTTCTTTGATGATTTATGATTTTGGGGTATCTGTGGATGATGTCAATCTAGTTTAATACACAATACTGTTATGTATATATTTATTATTATTATGTTGTATTTTTAAGTTTCTTTTTTGTTCAATTTTCTATTTTGCTTTATTTTTTATAAATAAAAAATATTTGTGTACATTAGAATATTCAAATGGGGTCTTGTATGTTTAAAATTGTTTTTGTTGTTCTGTTGTAATATAAACATTGTTTCTAGATTTTTCTCTATACGTTAACTTGCACACTTTCCTTCACGTGACTATTCATCTTTAATATTAATAAATATAACAAAGAACACTTTTCTTTCCTTCTTTGATATATTTAAAACTATTTATACTTGTTTCTCTTTTTCTGCTTCATAATAATTATATAATGTTCAAAACATCTATTTAAGATTAATAAAATCTATTCGTTTTTCGTGTTTTTAAAAATACATAAATGTCTTTTTATTTTTCTTTTTTAGTTATATTTTGTAAAACAATTACTAAATCTGTTTTTTTTCTACCTTCCCTGATTTTATTTAACAACATTTTTTATTCTTTTTTCTATCTTCAATTTCGTGATTGCCAGATTTTTCGAGCAATTTCTATCCTAACCCAGTTTTGCGGGTTTTTAGCGAAGGGTATAAAAGGGTGGTTAAGGAGAGAAAAAATCAAGACAGAACGTAGAGGATAAGGAAAAATAAAAGAATAAAAGAATAAATAATGGCACAAGCAGAAGAGTTTCAGTTTCAAGCAGAGATCTCTCAGTTGATGAGCTTGGTATGTTTAAAATAAGAGGATCTATCCAAGCAACATATGTTTATGTGTTTTTTGGATGGATTTAGAGGCAATGGGATACTAATGTATGCTAGATCATCAACACGGTGTATTCAAATAAAGAGATCTTTTTGCGTGAATTAATTTCAAATGCATCTGATGCTCTGGATAAGATTAAATATCAGTCTTTTTCAGATCCTTGTCTTCTTGATGCAGAGAAGGATCTTTTTATTCGGTTGATTCCGGATAAAAAGACTAAGACAATGAGTATTCGGGATTCAGGGATTGGGATGACAAAAGCTGATCTTGTTAATAACCTTGGGACGATTGCTAAATCAGGAACAAAGGCTTTTATGGAGGCAGTAATGGGTGGTGCTGATATTTCTATGATTGGTCAATTTGGTGTTGGGTTTTATTCTGCATATCTTGTTGCCGATAAAGTTCAAGTGATTACAAAACATAATGACGATGAACAGTATATTTGGGAGTCATCCGCTGGTGGGAGTTTTACTATAAGATTGGATACCGAGAATCCGCCTCTTGGTCGTGGTACGGAAATTCGTCTCTTTATGAAGGAGGATCAGTTGGAGTACCTTGAGGAAAAGAAGATTAAAGACATTGTTAAGAAGCATTCTGAATTTATCGGCTATCCTATTACTCTTTTTCATATGAAAGAAGTTGAGAAGGAAGTTCCCGAGGATACTGAATTGGTTGATGCCGATAATGAAGTAGAGTCGGAGAATAAAGTTACTAAGATTGAGGAAGTGGATGAAGAAAAGAAAAAAACTAAGATTAAGGAATTAACTGAGGAATATGAAGAGCTTAATAAGACTAAGCCTTTATGGACTCGTAATCCTTCTGATATTACTCAAGAAGAGTATGCATCTTTTTATAAATCATTGTCGAATGATTGGGAAGACCATCTTGCTGTTAAGCATTTTTCTGTTGAAGGCCAGCTTGAGTTCCGTGCTATTCTTTTTGTTCCTAGACGGGCTCCTTTTGATCTTTTTGAGTCTAAGAAGAAGAAAAATAATATTAAATTATACGTTCGTCGTGTTTTTATTACCGATGATTGTGAAGAGTTGATTCCAGAATGGCTTTCTTTTATCAAGGGTGTTGTTGATTCTGAGGATCTTCCTCTTAACTTGTCTCGTGAAATGCTTCAGCAAAACAAGATCCTTAAAGTTATTCGCAAGAATATTATTAAGCGTGTATTAGATCTTATTCAAGAAATATGTGATGATAAGGAGAATTTTAATAAATTCTATGAAGCATTTGGGAAGAATCTTAAGTTAGGTATTCATGAGGATTCTCAGAATCGTGCTAGATTGGCTACTTTCCTTAGATTTTCTTCCACTAAGTCAGGTGATGAGCCTACATCATTAGCAGATTATATTACAAGGATGCCTGAGTGTCAAAAAAATATCTACTATATTACTGGCGAGTCTATGACTTCTGTATCTACATCTCCATTTTTGGAGATCTTTAAGAAAAAATGTTATGAAGTGTTATTTATGGTTGAACCTATTGATGAATACGCAGTAACTCAGCTCAAAGAGTTTGACGGGAAAAAACTTGTTAATATTACTAAAGAAGGTTTAGAGCTTGAAGAGACGGATGAAGAGAAGAAGGCTCGTGAGGAAGAGGCTAAAGAATTTGATGATCTTTTGAAGCATGTTAAGGATGTTCTGGGTGATAAGGTTGAAAAGGTCACTCTTTCTTGCCGTATTATCAACAGCCCATGTGTTATGGTTACTGCGCAATTTGGCTGGAGTGCAAATATGGAGCGAATCATGAAAAGTCAGGCTCTTCGAGATACAACCATGTCTTCTTATATGGCATCTAAGAAAACATTGGAGCTTAATTCTAGACATTCTATTATTAGAGAATTGAAGGATAGAGTTACCGCTGATAAAAATGATAAGACTGTTAAGGATCTTGTGATCTTGTTATATGAAACATCTCTCCTTACTTCTGGATTTTCTCTTGATGATCCTTCGAGTTTTGCTGATCGTATTAATCGGATGATTGCTCTTGGGTTGTGTATTAGTAACACATGTGAAAGTAATGATGTAGAAATGCCCATTCTTGAGGAATGTCCTTCAACTACACCTGCTACTAACTTAGAAGAAATTGATTAATTTCAATTGAAGTGGCAAGTTGAATTTCTTTTAGATTTCTGTTATTTAAAGTATTTTAAAAAAGTATTTATGCATAGTTTGACGTTTAAAAATTAGCTTTTAGTTTATAGATAAATTTTGGTGAGCCTTTATAGATTAAAAAATGTATTTAGCAGGCTTCACATTTTCATGGTTTTTTATATTTTTAATGGTTTTTTTATTTTTTAGAAAATATAGCTCCTTATCATTTTCTCTTTAGATTTTTCCGAGTTTTATATTTTTTTTAAAAATGTTTAGATATCTGATTAAGTTTCTCCGTTAATAAATTGTATATTATTAGAATATCATGGGGTTTTTAGATTTTGATGCTGATCTAAGGATACAGAATACAAACGAAGATGCATTGAGCAGTAAATGGTACGTTTGTATATTTTAAAAATATTTACTTATAAAGATCTAAAATATTCTAGGTCAGCTGTGCAAGCAGGATATCTTAACGATTCTTTTGTCAAATATATGATAAAGGATAAGGCGAAAATAAAAAGACCTCCAATCATTAATAGGGGTACAAAAGTTATTAATAGTGGCGTTTTTTAGTTTATTTAGGGACATATATAAGAACAGTAGTCATTGATAAACTTATATACTCTTTTTTGCGATCTATAAATCCACTACAAAAAAAACAAATTATCTCTTTTGGTGCTGGCTCTGATACACGTTATTTTAATATTATGGTAATTTTTATATTATTTGAAAGTTTTTCTTAAAAGACATCAAGTCTGATTTGGGTAAAACTGTTAATTTTATTTTTCATGAATTGGATTTTCCTGTAGTTACTAAACGTAAAGCATCTATTATATCTAAGACACCAGCACTTTATGATCTCATACACTCATCTTGTAACAATTTCGATGATTTAAAAATAGGTAGAAAAATTAAGAGATAAAAAGACTATTAATTTTCTAAGATCTTTTTAATGGGTCTATATTATCTCCAAGTTATTGTCTTCATCCAATTGATTTGAGGACTCTTACATCAATATTTTCACTTCCAAAAATTGATAATGATCTTCCAACACTTATATTATCTGAATGTTGTCTTGTGTATCTTGAGCCTCATGAAGCAGATCAGTTAATACAATGGTGTGTAAATGCATTTGCTTCCAAAGGATCTGGAATCGTTATTTATGAACCTATTAAAAATTCTGATTCATTTGGTAAAATGATGGTTAAAAATCTTGCTGTGAATTTTCATTTTTATTTTTATTACATGTTAAGATTATAGTCTAGGGGAATTAGTTTTAAAACTTTGGATACGTATTCAACTACAGAGAAACAATGTACCAGACTTTACAATCTTGGTTTTACTACTTATCAAAAGGCAATTAGTATAAAACAAATTTTTGATGAATGGTCTGATCATGATGATAAAATCAGGTAGTTCTTTTAAATATATGTATTATATATAACAATCTATTAAGAATTTCAAAAGTAGAACTTTTAGATGAAGTAGAAGAATGGAATTTATTAGCAAGTCATTATTGCGTCGCATGGGGATGGATAGATGAGCATGAAAATGGGTATTTTAATGAATGGGCTACATTTTAGTTTATTATTTATATTAAATGATTGGGTTGTATTTATATGTTGTATTTATTATTTTATGTACATTATCAAGAAACAATAAATATTTTGTTTTATTGTTAATTCATGTGTTTTACTTTTGAAGATCTAGATATATTATTCTAATATTAAAATTATATCAAATGAAAAATTATATCAAATGAAACTTTTGTTATATATAACTTATAATAGTTTTATAGCTTTAAATTATTTAGTATAAACTGTAATTTATGTTTTTTTTTTAAATATTATTTTGTTTTAATAAAATTTTTTGTAAAAATTTATTATATATAAAATGTAATTTGTTTAATGTTTTAATTTAAAAAAAAGTATTATAATTTATTTAATATTTGCTTTATAAATTTAATGTATATATGTAAAAGGGTTTATGTTTATTGATAGTAATTTTTAGCAAATAAAAATGGATGAGAAGAAAGAGTTTGTGGGATTTTTTGGCGAAGAATATTATGATAGCTATGATTTTGAATGGTTCAATGATAATGAAAAAGAAAAAAAGAAAATGACAGAAGCAGAATTTATAGAGCAAAAAAATGCATGGAGACCAAAGATTGAAGATAAGCATGTAAGATATTTTTTATGATGAAATAGTATCGAGTCAAATTTAATACAATTAGACTTTTTCGAAAATTTCTATTCCTATTCCTCGACCAGCAAATAAGTTTTCTTTAGCTGAATTGAAATCTGCTGCTGAAGAACAATATTATTTAAGAAATTATCAGTTATCGCTTAATTATGTTAATGATCTTTTGAAACCTAAAAATTCTAATTTTCCAACTGATTGTAATCTTCATGGAGCAGAAAAAAAAGAAATGGAATATTTAAGAGATATGTGTCTTAAAAGGTTATCATTGGCTTAATTTTTGATAAGCTTAAAAAGTATTTAATTAATTTATAAATAATTTTTATGTTGTTAGATGATAAGCTATTTGTATTTTTTAATAAAATTGTTTTTATAATTCTTTGTATTTTTAGAAATAATGAATTAAAAATAATTAATCATTTGAATGTATTGTTTTTGTAATTTTTTATATTTAATATTTTAGTTAAAAGTAATAGTACACTTTTGAGATTAATAGTTATTAAAATAACTATATAATTCTTTAAATAATTATTATTAGTTTATAATAGTAATGGACAAATTGGATACAACTCTTTAATATATTATGCATGTATCAAACAGTGTTTATTTTGTTTTATTGATTTAATAGATATTATTTTATAAAATTTAATTGAATGAAATTTAAATGAAATTTGAACTAGTTAAAATATTTTTATTTCAAAAAAGAAATTAAATTTTAGCTTTATTTTATATATTATGATTAAGTCTCGAAGATTATAAAATTTATTAAATTTATTACAGGTATTTTGTTATATAATCACTATAGAATAAGAATATATAATTAGAATGATTTTCTTTATCAGAGTAAGTATAAAAATGTGTATTATATTTATTAAAGAAATTATTAATTTATTTTATTGATTCATTTTTAATATTTATTTTTTGGTTAAAAATATTTTAAAATATTTTTTTATTAAAAAAGATATATATAATTTACAATAATAGTATATATTTTTGTAAATTTAATATAATTATTACATCTAATAATTCTTAAAATCAAATAAAATTATCTGTTTGATTGTTAAAATTATTGTATTTTTACATATTTTTTTTTAATATTACAATTTTTATTGATAAAATTTAAAAAAATTTTAATATAAATAGTATTGTATAAAGTATTTATATAAAATATTTAAAGATATTATTGTTTTTATTTTATAAAAAATATTTATTGTATAAATATATTTAATAAATTGAAAAAACTTTTATAGAATTTTAAAAAATATTTTAAGATTGTTACATATATATAAATTTATAGAAGTATTTTTTTATAAATATATTTTCTAATTACTTTAAATTATTAGATCTCCATGAAAACTTTTCATATGTCTTTTTAAATCGTACTCCCTTGAAAATTGCCATTTACATCCTTGAACAAGACAAGAAATATCTCTACCACTTTCCAAATAATTGGATCCTGTTAAAAGGTTTATAGTACTAGGCTTATTTTCTTTTTTTTGTTTTTTTTCTATATAGTTTTTTTCAGGCTGATTATGAATTCGTGATTGGTGTGTTATTAATAATTTTTTATATCCAAACTTCATATTACAATTATCAATATCACAAACGAATTCCCGTTTTTGTTCATGGACAATTTCTATATGTTTTTGAAGAGCAAAGGACTATAGCTTTAGCAATGTATAAAAAAAGCAGAAACATTACCCTTGTAAAACTTTTTTGACAATTCTCTACTGGACAATGATGTAATCTTCTTTCTTCTAGGGTTTTTTCATGAACTTGTAAATGAAGTTTTAACTGAGTATCTGTTGTAAATTTTTTGTTGCATATTTTACATATCGCGGGATGATTGTTTTTCAAATGTTTTTGCAATAATGACCATTTTGTAAATTTTTCTTTTTGATGACAATCTTCCATTTCGCAAAAGTAGTTTGGAATTGGTATATGGATGCGAGATATGTGAGAGTTAAGTTTAGATCCTGTATCAAAAGATTTTTTACATTGATCGTATTCGCATGGAAATGGCTTTTTATGAGTATGTGTATGAGCAATATGAATTCGAAGTTGATGGTTTTTCTGAAACGCTGCGGTACATGGTGGATATTTAGTACACTAATAAATACAGTGTCATTTAAGTAAACAGATAATTAGAAATTACTTTATATGGTGTATCCTTAAGGTGGATTGCTTCATGTCGTCTTAAATGTTGATTTGTATTGAATCGTGAAGTACATTCTTTATAAGTACAAAAATATGGTCTGTCGTTAATATGTGAATGAATATGTGCATTTAAATGTGATTTTCTAAAAAATGCTTTTTTGCATCTCTCGTAATTGCAAACAAATGGCCGCTTCTTCTATTTAGCAAATCCCTTCCTATTTACATGTTTTACTATTTCACCTCTCCTGTATGTGAGCGTATATGCTCCTCAATACGACATGGTTTAGAATATGCCTTTTCACATCCTTCATATGTGCATTTGTATAGTTTTTTTTCTATTTTTCGTCTTTTTTTTCCACAAAAATCCTCTTGAATTTTCTGTTTTTCTTCATTTTCTTCATTTTCTTCATTAAGGTTTCTTATCATAAAATCCATATCCAAAAACATTAATATCTTACTTAAACTATATTTTTGGGTTTTTCATTTGCCTTTATTGTTTTTATAATGGTATTTTAATGTCTTAAAATTACATTTTATATAAAACATTTGAAAATCTACGTCTCCGTAAGGTGATGTAACGTCAAAAAATTAAAAAAGATGTCTGATTATGGAGATGATGGAAACAGGTATTTGAATATTTTTATATTGAAGAATATTTAATGCTTATTTTCCTTAGATATGATTTTGATGAACCAGTTTTAGATGAAGATGAACTTTTGCCATTGCCAGATGATGAAATTATAGAAGATGATAATATAAATGGTTTAAATGAAGAAGTAGCAGGAGTTCCTGGTTCTTTTGGAGGTTCTGGAGTGCAAGATGTGGATATGATTACGATTGGTGATTCAAGGCCACGGTTTTCAAGAAATCGAGGAAAAGGAAAGGCAGTTGCTCCTGAAAACAGAATGACAACACCATATATGACAAAATATGAGAAGGCAAGAATTTTGGGAACTCGATCTCTTCAAATAAGGTTGCTTTGTATTTTAAAAAGATGTATGAGGCTTATTTTTGTACAGTATGAATGCACCAGTGCTGGTAGATCTTGAAGGAGAAACAGATCCATTGCAGATTGCTATGAAAGAATTAAGTCAGAAAAAAATTCCTTTGCTTGTGAGAAGGTATCTTCCTGATGGAAGCTATGAAGATTGGGCAGTAAGTGAGTTGATCACTGAATAAATTACATTGGTGTTGAGATGAAATTTTATATTAAAAAGAATAAACAAATGGGATTTATTGTGTATAAAAGTGTAAAATATTATTATGTACACAGATAAAAATTGTAAATAATTTTGGTTAGGTATTATTCTTTTGTTCTTCTGTCCCTGCTAGAGCATTTACTAAATCTCGATACAGAATATAATTCCCGCTTACAAATCGTTTAAGAGCATTATTAACTTGTTCTTCTGACATTCTTGATCCCATAGTCATAAGTGCATCTTTTAACTCATTTAAATTCACTTTTCCCGAGTTATTTTCATCAAAAGTTCGAAATGCATCTATAATTTCTTCTCTTGGAGATATTGCTGAAAGATGTGTAGAAAAAAAAGTAAGATATGCCGCAAAATTTAAAGGACTTGGCATAAGACTCAGCATGTAAGATATATCCGACGTTGATGAATCTTGTCCTTCAAACATCTTAGAAATATAAAATCCATAGATAAAAAATAATACCCAATGATATAAGCATCGCTTGAAGGTCTTCTTTCTCAATTACTCCATTACCATTTTTGTCCAATAAAGTAAATGATTCTTTAAGTTCTAGAAATACTATTAAAAAGAAAATATTAAAAAAAATTGTCTTTTTTTTACCATTAATCTGTGCTGATGTCAATTGTGCAAAGACTCCAGATGTTGATCGCATTTTCCATTGAGATGTCTTTGTAGGAGATCTGCTACAATTAATTGAAGGTTGTTTTTGAGAAACATTTTTGGTTTTCTATAACTTATTAATTAAAATACTTTTTTAATTTGAAGTTTGTTTCAAATACCATTATTTTTCTTATTAATATTTATAAAATGTTTTTACGTTCTGTTATCGTGAGGATAAGCGTTATTTTAAATCTTTTTGTTTTTAAAGAAAATGCAAAGTATATGGCTTTTGAACAATTTTTTAAGATTTAATTTAAACTTTTGGATTTATAAGAAGAGTAATTTTCAGCCTTATAGGATTTTTAATGACAGAATACATTTACTTGATGAATGGAATAGATATATGACAACTCGAACAAAGAAAGAATCAAAATTAATAAAGCAATATCGTAACTCGAATATTATGTTTATTGTGCTTCTCACTATTCTTGGTTCTCAAGCTATTCATGTTTTATCTATTAAACAGGAGTTTAATGAATTTGAAACGCAAATAGATGCGAAAATATCTCTTTTGCGTGATATTATTGATCGTATTCAAAGAGGAGAAGATGTAGATGTTTCAAAAGAGCTTGGGACAGGTGTTAATAAACAGGAAAAGGAATGGTTGGATGGTAAGGATTTTTTTTTTTTAAATAAAGGTTTATTTTTGAATTTAGTTATGCAACAAGTAATAGAAGATGACCAATGGAAAGATTATAAAAGAATTAATTGAGTTTTATTCTATATTTCTTTAATTTGTTAATTATTGCTTTGGTATTGTTGATTTTTGTAGAAATTGTTAGAGTACTTATGCTTAGATGAATTTTTAGATTTCAAATATTGTGTAATTATGAACATTTTTATAATATTTTTTAGGTTTGGGTGTTTATTTTTGACTAATACTATAAAGTATGTCTACTTTTATTTTGAAAAGTTTGTTATTTTTAATAATATTAAATAAAATAGTATTTATAAAAATATTTCATATGCATTTGGAGATATTATATTTATTGTAAGCATTATTTTATGATTAGTTGTTTTTAATATATATATTGGGAAAGTTTTTATTTGAAATTGTAAATTAATAATTAAAATAATATGAATGTTTCTATCTAAAAGTATACATTTACAACAGATTTTTTAAGTACTTAGACACATTTATTAGATATATTTTTGTATATATAAATATATCAAATTTTAGTTATAAGGAAAAAATTGAATGTATATTTAGACATAGAAACAATTGTATATGAATTATAAGGATTTATAGAGACTTATCATGGAACTTGGCTTGATTTTGAAAAAAATACAATCTAATGTTATTAGGTATTTAAAAGGGATAGAAAAAATATAGAAATAGATATAAAAATAAAATATATGAACAAAAGTGTTGGTAAAACTGATTCTAGCCTTTCAAAGAAAATCGAGGCCAGTGCCCAGTATGCACCATATTCTATATGCACGTATAAATATATACAATTTGGAATATAGATACAAAAATGTATAAAGACAATGTCTATTTTTAAATATCGTGCATTCTGACTGATGTTTTAAAAATATTAGTACTGTTTATAAATGATTAGGGTTAGGTAATGATTTTGAAACAATTAACAATTTTTTGTTTAGAAAAAATAATAAATATATGTTTTTAATGTTACATATAAAATATGTTTTTCTAGGGTGTTTTAATAGATAATTATGGGGCAGAATATGTATATATTGAAGTTCGTGTTTTTAAAATTTTTGAATATTAAAGAATTGATGTTATGAATTGATGTATAATAAAAAAATTGTTTTTCTAAACGATTATTTTTGAATTTGTATTTAAAAATATGTTAGTATTATTTTTTTGTTTAAGTATTTTAATGTTTGATTTTTTGAAATATGTTGTAATAAATTATGAAAATTATTAAAAGAACTTATAAATTTATAGAAATTTTGAAAATTTTTAAGGTGTTTTATAAAGTGGCATTTAATTTTCTTTTGAAAGTGTATGTGTTTCTTTTATTATTGTATATATTAAGATTTAAATATATTTTAATTTTTTGTTTAAAACAATATTGAATATAAGGATCTTTTTTATAATAAATATATAATATATATTGTATTTTTAATAGGAAATATAATTTTTGTATAAAAGCTGTATATATTTGTTTGAGATGATGCTTTTACAGGAAAATAATATATCTATATAAGTTGAAATTATATTTCTGACAATTATAAAATGATTTTTAAAATTAAATTAAGTATAAAAGAAATTCCTAGTAATTGTAGAGTTAAAAAGGAATAGTATAGTACATATATTTAAAGTTATTTTTTTATTTAGAACAGATCGTTAAAAAGTTTATTGGAGAACTAAGAAATGGTAAAATCAAAGAATGTAGAAGCTTTACAAAAACCGCAAGGTAAATAAGTTCTATATAAAATTTAAGGGCTATTTCATAATATAATCCTTTAAATTTTGTGTTTTTTATGCTATTGTTATTGTATTTCTAAATTACTTTAGGCATTGATCTTTATGCTCGTTATGCCTTTGCTGGTGCAGTATGTTGTGCTGTGACACATGGAGCTCTTACTCCTGTTGATGTGTATTGGATTAGATTGGATTTTTATGATTAATTTTAATTTTACTAGTGTTAAAACTAAGATTCAACTTGAGCCTACCATTTATAAAAATATGTTTAGTGGGTTTCGGCATATTGTTCGCAATGAAGGAATAGGAACACTTCTTACTGGTTTTGGGCCCACATTTGCAGGTTACTTTTTGCAGGGAGGATTTAAATTTGGTGGCTACGAATTCTGGAAACAGCGTGCAATTGATTATTTTGTATATTTTTTCTTCAAGTTTTGATCACTTTTTTATTAATATAGGGAATTGAAACGGCTACAAATAATCGTACAGCTATATATCTTGGATCGTCTGCGGTTGCTGAATTTTTTGCTGATGTTGCTTTATGTCCACTTGAAGCAACTCGTATTCGTCTTGTTTCTCAACCTACATTTGCGACTGGTCTTGTTCCTGGATTTGTTAAAATTCTCAAAAATGAAGGCGTTCCTGCTTTTTATAGCGGATTTGGTCCTATTCTTTTTAAACAAATTCCATATACTATGGTATATTTTATCTATGAATAAAGACGTTATTTACTTTATAGGCTAAATTTGTTGTTTATGAGCGTGTAGCTGAATTGATTTATTCTTGCATACCAACGCCTAAGAATAAACTTTCTTCTGGCACAACTACTTCTATTAATATTGCATCTGGTTTGGCTGCTGGTGTTGCTGGTTCGTTTTGATTTTATATATTTCCTTATTTTTTCTTATATTTTCTAGCTGCTATTATTTCTCAGCCTGCTGATACTCTTCGTCTGTTTTTCCTGTTTTTTTGTTTTGATTAATTTAAATAGTTTCAAAAATTAATAAGGTTCAAGCATTACCGGGTGAAACAACTACATCTCGCCTTATTAAGTATGCCAAAGAACTTGGTGTTCGTGGATCATTTACAGGACTTGGTGCTCGTATTGTAATGGGTAATTTTTTTTATATTTTTTTATATTGTCTTAACTGTATATAGTTGGAATTCTCACTTCTGGTCAATTTGCTATATATGGTGACATTAAAAAGGTTTTTTCATTTTTTCTTTTTGTTTATCTTCTAATGTGCATTTTAGGCTATTGGCGCAACAGGAGGAGTTGAGATATATCCTTCTAAAACTTAATGTATTTTTTAAAAATCATTTACATCTTTGTACGTTTTTAATAACTTAATACATTATTTTCAATTAATAAAAAGCTTCATTTATTGTTGCATAAGAAGTATTCTTTTGATATTTGTTTTTTAATTATTTATTATTATATATTTTTCTTTTAAGATATCGAAGGTTTGGTAAAGCCTTATTGATGACATCTTTTCCAGATGAACATTTTGACTTAATATATGATAATATCATGGATGATGTACATAAAAGAAATGAGGATGAAGGTGTTAGTGTTGGATTTTCAATATCACCATTTGATGATGAACATGCAAATCCATTTGCTGATGTAGTTTCTTTTGGAAAAAATCCACCAAAAAATTTGGAAAATATAGAAAAATTAGTGGTATCTGCATATGGTAGTCACCTTAGGTGTTTATTCTTATAAGGGCATTTTTAATATATTCTAGGTGATGATAAATCTAATCAAGATGAATCAACTAAGTCATGGTCTACTCCAAATAAGCTTCAGCTTAATGTATCATCTTTTCGTAGTTATAATAGTGGAAGGAGTCCTATATCATGTTTACAGAACGTGGAATTAGATTATGATCCGTTAGGACATTTTGATGATAGTTCTACGAATTTAGATATTTCTAATGATGCTACTCATACATCTTTCACTTTGGGTACTTTAAATAAAATGTCACCTTTAGCTAGCAAATTAAGAAGCATTGACTTAGATGATAAAGAAGGTGAAAGATCATCTGAATTATCCAAAAATAATACGTCTAATACTATAGAAACATCGTTACATAATGTTTGTGAAAAAAGTAATAAACCTACATATACCGTTTCAGTAGGCGATCCTCATATTATTGGTGATATTGCGTCTGCGCATACTGTGTATAAAGTAACTAGTTGTGTATGTAATATTATTTTTAAATAAACATATTTTGCTAACTTCATTTTTAGGTAATATCTAATACATCTAAGTCTATTGAATATGTTGTACATAGACGTTATCGTGATTTTCTTTGGCTTTATAATTCTCTTCATTCAAATAACCCTGGTGTTATTGTTCCATCTCCTCCTGAAAAACAAGCTGTTGGTATAAAGTGTCTTTTTTAAAAAAAAATGTGTTTATTTTTTAGGTCGGTTTCAGGAAAATTTTATTGAGTTTAGAAGGAATGCTTTTGAACGGATGCTTAGAAAAATAGTTGCGCATCCAATTTTGCAGAATGATTCATATGTTAAGATATTTTTAGAATCTGATACATTTACAGTAGATGTACATTTTACTAGAAAATATTTGTTTGAAGATATTTATTTTTTTAGATTAAAGTTAAGGAGAAGGTCCCTGTGCACGAGAATAAGGGATTTATTAGTTCTATTGGTGAAGCTTTTACAAAAAGTACATTTAGTGGGAAATTTGTAGAACAAGATAATGTAGGTTAAAAATTGGATATTATTTACTAATTTTGTTTTAGTGGTTTAATAAACAAAAGCAAATATTTGATTTATTAGATCTTCAGTTTAAAGGAATGTCTAAGGCTATTGATGCAGTTGTTAAACAAAAAAAAGGTATATACTTTTGTTAATATTATTTGTCTTATTTTGTTAGATCTTGCACAAACAATAGGCGATCTGAGTCTTGCTTTGTTGAATCTATCTAATGTAGAATTGGATAAGGCTTTATCATTCACTTTAGTATCTTTTTCTGATCTTCAAGTAAGAATAAAAGAGTTTTATGAACGTCAAGCTCAACATGATATTTTGGTTCTTGGATGTATGGTTGATGAATATATTAGACTTATTGGTAGTGCTAAACATGCATTTTTTCTAAGGCAAAAAGCATATTTAAGTTGGCAAGCCGCTGAATCTAATTTGTTTAAATCTCGATCAGAAAAAATGAAAAATCAAACAAAGCTTAATCAAAACTATTCGTATGAGCAATCTGCAGAAATTTCACACGTTGAAAAGCGCTGCGAGCAATTAAAGAACGATTTTGATGCTATAAGTAATATTTTAAAAGAAGAAATTGAGAGATTTGAAATTCAAAAAATAGATGATTTCCGCGGAAGTGTAGAAACATTTTTGGAATCAGTAATAGAAGCACAGAAAGAGGTTGGTTTTATATTGATTTCTAAGTAAAAATTTACTGATTTTTTTAGCTTATTGAATTATGGGAGGCGTATTTAGTTGAGCTGGAAAAAAAAGGTAGCGTTTAATGATTAGATTCCTGATAATGATTGATCATTGTTTATTATTATGTATTGTTATTTATAAATGTCATTAATGTAGTATCTCTGGTTATGGGATTTTCAGAATTTTTTTATATATTTTTATATAAAATCAGTATTTTAAAGTTAACATGCGTATTACACAATATCGTAAGTTGTTCCATATTTTTGTTTAAATTTTTTAAGACGGCCTTCATTATCACTTTCATCAATCTGTCTTTTTTTATCGGGATTCCAAAGTGGATGATTTCTTTGATCCTTCGTGATCCAAATAATAGGTTTTGGAGACGTTGTAGATATTGTAAATGTGCTCCCATCTGATAATACCACCATTTGTTGGAATTTTCGAGGTCTTGCTATTCTTTGAGTAATATTTCTTGTTTCATATCTATTTATTTGTAGGGGTTTTATGTATTTAAAATGTATACGTCCAAATATGTTCATTTTCTCTTAGTATACGTATATATTCAGCTTTTTAAAAATTAGTTTTTTTGTATTTGATTCTGATTAGATTCTGTAAAAATATTTTAGTTTTTTTTTAAATTATAAATTTGAAAAGTAGAAAAATGAATTTTATTAAAAAAATAAGCAAAAAAATATTTTTTTAAATATTTGTAAATACATTTTTTATTGGAATGGTAAAGTGTTGTAATTTTTAAGTTTTATAAATTATTTTATTTTTAATAATTTAAGTTTAAATATTTTGTTTTTTTTTTTTAAAAATATTTTTAAAATAGAATATATATTTTCATAGAGATTCTATCCATGAATTGCTTTATGAATATTTTCAAAGAGCTGATAGTATAGAATGTTAGTTTTTTAGATGTATTTTTGATAAAAAATAAACGGCTTAATTTCTATTTATTCTGAAATTTCCTTGACAATATGATAAAGACATTTGGTGTAATGTATCTTGGTTTTCTACACATTCAACTGTTGCAAACCATATTTTATGGTCTCCTATTCTTATTATCTTTTTTGTAGTACAATAAAGAATTCCAAGAGTTCCAGTTAAAGTTGGAAGTCCGTTTAAGGATAAACGATAATGAGTTTCTAAAATGTTTGACATAGTATTTTTTTTAGATAAAAAATCAGATTTTGCATAATTCTGTGCAAGTTTTATTTGATCATAATGTGACTTTAATATATGTATAGCAAATTTTTTTGACTTTTGAAGAAGAGAAACCATTCGTGATGGAAATTTAATGCTAAAAGAGACTATAGGTGTAGGATTTATAGAAATTGATGCAAATGACGAGACAGTTATAGCACGACCTAATCCATTGGTCTTGGAATCACATGTTGTAATAATAACAACTGGTTGAACAACACATCTCATTAAGCATAAATAATTGTTTTTAACTTTTGAATCTGGTATATTTGACAAATTTGTTTCTTGATAATGATATGTTTTTGACTTAAAAAATCGATAAAAATCCAAATAAAATCCATGTTTTTTTGTATATAAGAAATTTTTTTTTTTGCTTAATGCTTCTTTATGAACGTTAAGTATTGAAATACAATTTTGCAGATTTTTACGCCAAAATTGAGATGACATTAGTTTTTTAAAATTAAGTTTACCGATAAATTTGAAATGGTAAATTTATGAGAATATTAAGTTCTTTTAATAGTTATAATATATATTTGAAGCTAAACATATATAAAAATATTAGAAAATGTTTATCTGAATTGGAACTATTGGTACCAAATGACTTTCAAAAGATTTTTATTATGAATAAGTGTTTAAAAAATATAAAATTTCAAGAAAAATATTTTCATAGTGGAGTATTAAAGGATAAATGTAATGAACAAAATAAAGCTCTCTTAGGGAATCCATATGGTGTTTTTTTTTTTGAATTATGGTTTTTATAAATGACTAATTAATATAAAAGCTCAAGCACTTATATCTCCAATTCGTAGAGATATATTAACAGATGCACGGCTACCATCAGGTATTTTTTGTATAGAACCTCCTAGTGGTTAATGATTTAGCTTTTTTGTTAAGGTTTCTGGCATGCATTAATCCACAAACAAATAAAATATGGATTTTACCAAATGGATTAAAGCATACTGTAGTAAAGAAAATAGCTCAGAGTCGGTGGATTGTAAATAATAAAAAATGTATAAAGTTTGTAGGAAGAGGTACTTGGAAGCGTATGCTTCCTGATTTCGCGCCTTTAGATGCAATATGGAGAAGTGATATGGATGATTTTGTTTTAACACAATTTCGAAAAAGAATAATGATAGAGTTAAAGAATATTGAAAAATATTTTTTAGATATTCAGTTAGTAAATGATGTTTTTGTCCGAGATACAAAAAGTGATGACCTGGATAAAAAAATTGGATGCATTATACATAAATTTGATAATGATGAAGTCTGGTGTTTAAAAAATGTGGTTAATCAAGAGTTTCGTGTACCAGTTATAAATGCTTCTACACTATATGACGTTGATGATACTGAAGATGAATGGTTGAGAACGTTTGTGTCTACAAGAAGTATTGCTCTTCCATTGGGGATAGAGACTGTGAATGCAATTTCTTGGCTTTGGAAATTTCGAAGTTATATTTAGTATAATGAGTGTTTTGATACGAAGCAATATAGCGTATTTATAATATGCTTATTTCGCAGATACTTTCATACATTAGTCCCTTTTGTGTTTCACGTGCACCCATTTTGAAAATGCATATTTTATCTACTGTAACATCCCCAAAAAGAAAGTTAGGAGGAAACTTTTCCATTAAAAATGATGCATCAATTAATCTGTTTTCTTTTTTATAGCTTTTTTCATAACGTGTATTTAAAATGGTTGAATGAAGCTATGTCATTAGTTTAGTAATATTGAATAGTAATAAATGTACCACTAAAGGATCAGAATCAGTAAGTTTTGCATCTGTGAATTTTTTGATAAGAAATTCTTTTACAAGTTATAAATGAAATTTTAAATCTTTTGTAATTTACCACAGAGTGGAAAAAGAGTTGGTGATGATTCTTCAATACTGGGCTTTAAATATACTACTCTACAATTTGTAGGTTCTTGAGGAAAAGTGCCTAATCCTCTAAGTCTTATGTGAATTTTTTTATTGTTTGAAATGCTTGATATTTCATTTTTCAGTGTATGTAAAAGAGAAGCTGCATCTTTTATTTTTCCATATGAAGGAAGACGAAGAGTACAAATTGTTAAATGTGAAAGAAGATGGCCTCTGAACATTGATAAAGGTATTTTTTTAGAAATAGAGTCTTTTATGCTTTCTAGTGATTTTTCAAGAGATTTTGAGCTTAATGGCAGTGCAAGAAAATGTGTAAGAGGATGGTTCTTAAATAAGTTTAGAGATTTAAGCAATGAAAATAAAAATTACCTTTTTTTTTATATTTTTATCAAGATTCGTTGTATTTAAATAGTTTTTTTCTTGTTCATTGTTAAATTGATAACTAAATTGTAGTGTAGAGTAAGTTTCTTCAAAATTTTGGGATAATTTCATGTCGTCTATAGTATATTTTCAATATTAAAAAATATAAATAAGAATATATACTTTTTTCAAATCTTTTCATATTTAAGTTTCTTTTAAAGTTTTTTATTATTTGGTTTAATTTTTGATATAAATATTATTGAATAATAATATTGTGCAGTTGAATTCGGTAATATTTATCTAATTATGTTTTATATCTTTAACAATATTATTATGAATGTTTTATATTAAAAAAAAAATGTATAGATTAGAATGCTGTTAATTTGAAATATTTATTTAATATTGTATTTTTTAAGTGTTTTTTGATTAAAAAAATATTAGATATATAACTTAATGAAATTGATCAAGAATTAGAATTATAAGGAAATTTTGTTTGTTCTTTATGTTTATAGTGTTTTTATAATTTTATGTAATGTTTATAAATATCATAGATGACTGTAATAATGTATTTTTATTTGGATAATTATTTAAATAATTTTTAATTAGATAATTGAATATATTTGTAAAATATTCTATAATTTTTATGGTTTTTTGTTTTAAATTTTTTAAAATTTGCTAAATTATATCAATTTCTAGATAAATTAATAAAAATTTGTTTTATTTATAAAGGATATTTGCTTTAAATATATTTGTATTTTTTTATTTTCAGCATATTTTTAAACAAAATGTACAAACAGATATTATGTTATGATATTATTAATATTTTTTCTTACTTTTTTTGTAATTTTGATTTTTTAGAAAGAATTCTCGAAAATGCAAACTTTTGGAATCTATTTAAATCACTGATAAAATGTCTACCTGCCTATATATGTTAAATTTAGAATAATAAATAATATATTAAACTTACTATATGTGAATCAAGTCGTTCTAAAAGCTCTGCTATTGCAAATTGGACTTTTGGATTTGGATGAAATAAACCAAATGCAATTGGTGCTAAACCACCATGTAGTTGTGGAAGATAACAAAGTAACTTTAACAATTTTAAAATTATACATATTTAAATAAAATAATTCTTACTTGACTTAATTCATCTGTTGTGCGTACATTATCGTTTAATGTTATGTATATAGCTTCTGCATCTTCATAAGACATGTTTCGTAAAATTTTTAATCTATTTAACTGATGTTGTAAGCAAAATTTTTTTTCAATTGGTATATTATTTAATGCAAGTCGATCCTATAAATGTTATTAAAGTGTTAAAAATGTTAGATTTTGCCTTTATATAATATTGGTAAGAACTCGTGTTTCTCCAACCTTCAAATCTTGGCATATTCATGTATAAATCACGCATTTTTTGTGTTTCATCTGCCCAAACCCAACCCGTTCCTGGTATAATGAAATTTTTTGCATTTTGGTTCGATAATTGAGAAGAACCATAAACAAGAGTTTCATATGTACATGCCATTTTAGTAAATCTTAATATCCAATCTCTCCATCTAGATCGTACGGAATGTTCCCCATATTTACAAGATATAATATGTTGCATCTAGAAAGTCAGTAATTTTAAATAATAAAAGGATATTTTATACTTCGTCCATAAATACCGTGTCTATATCATTTCGTTGATATTCATATGTATAATCACAAAAAAAATTTTCTAAATGACTTGGTATATTTACAGGAGATATATGTGATGATATTTTTATTTTTCCGGAATCAATATTACAAAGAACGTCCCACCATTCAGGGTGATGTTCAAAGGCTGGGTTTGTAACACCTGCTATATATCCTTGACTAAAAAATATTAGTAAAGATTATTATAAATATCAAATACATAGTAAGTAAGTAATCTATTTTCGATAGATCGGTATAGGGAAATGTTCTTTCCAAAAATCCTCGCAATACTCCTAAACCACTAGCCATAGCACATGCTGCTAATACGTATTTTGCAACATCGCTTGCAGATTGACCATGTCCTAGGAATACAATTCTTTTTTGGGTAAGCATACCATTCATTAGGACAATAATTGGGTGAGTATGAGGACCAATAGTAGTAAGATGAGCATGTAATGGGAATGATTTTGTAAGTAATTTGGGAAATGTTTGAAATAAATTTATAAGGGAAAACTATATATTTATTAATTCCTTTTTAACGAAAGCATGCTTTTACATCACCAACAACTTCTGGTAAGATATCCAAAGGTATTTTAACAGGTATTCGTACACCAAGGTAAATTATGTTCGTTTCATATTCATGACAATCTCGTTTAACTGCATCCTTCAAGAATGAATCTATAAGCATTTGCCATTTTTTTTATATATTTAGATTTTAATTACTTGGAAATTTCTCATAATACATAGTTTTATAGTCATTATTTCCAAGAATAATACGTTCCCAAATGTTTAGTTTAGGCATCATTTCTAAGTTCATAGAATTTACAGAATTGAAAATTTGTTCTAATGTTGTTTTTTTTGGATGTTCAATGTATTTCTCTAGAGCAAGTAGCAAAATTGGCTTTTGGTATTAAATAATATTTAAAGATACGTATAAGACAAACCTTATAAATATGCAAAAATGAATGTCTAGTACATATTGCCATTGCTTTTACAAGAGCTCCTCTAATTTTTTATATTTAAGAATAAGAATAATTAAATTAACTACTACATACCGCTTGGCATCTGGATCATGTTTTGTATTTACTAAATTCAGAACATACATTAATTTTGGTTCACTCTCTTCCGTATCCTCTAGATTTTCGTAGATATTGATTTCATCTTTAGTTGATTTGCTGGTATCTTTATGTAAGAAAAATATTGTCCAGTCTTCTGCTCTCATATGAGCTTGATCTGGAAGCATCAATTCGGCAAGGAGTCTTAAAAAATTAGTATTTGACTGTGTCGTTTGAAAAGGATACTTTGTATCACTTCCTATAGTATGTGGATATTGCTGAGAAATTGTAGGACCACGGTCAATATCAAATTCTGCTACTAGAATATAGTCTACATGATGATATGGCATATTCAAAAAAATAATAATTCTTATTTTGTTTCTAACAACAAATACGTGTTAGTAATATTCAAGTGTTCTTTTTATTTTATTAAAATACTTCTATTTTTCTTAAATTTTTAATAAAGTTTTTGTACCTAATATTTTAAACGATAGCTACATTTCGAATGACAACAGCTTTAGAGTGTAAAAATAAGAGGGAATATTATTTGTTATTTTTATATAAGTGAGCAAAAAGAGGATTGGTGCAGAGAAGTAAGACTCTATGTCTTTTTCTGAGTCGAAAGAATTGCTAGATACTCTTTTATGTAAGTTTTCATGTCAAGAAACATGTTCATTAGCAGTGATACAACAAATCACAAAAATACTTACAGATGAGTCAATTTCGAAACCGCTGCCTTCAAAAAGTAGACGTAGATTAGTGAGTTCTGCAAAATCAAAATGTGATGTATCGGAAATTAAGAAAGAAATCAATATACCTGCAGTGAAAAATGATACAGTTGATAAAGCTCAATTTGCGATAAAAGTGTTCAATGAGTCTTTGAAATTATTATCTGAAATAGTTAAATTATCTGGTGATCATCAAAATTCTTCTCGAGTTTTAGAAAGTAAAAAACAGACACATTATAATATTGCTACCAACTGTGTTGGATTGAAAAAAAATATTGTTAATTGTTCACTATTATCTTTTAACATTATTAATGAAAATTCAAATAAACTTAATATAAAACAACTTGGAGTTTATAAAGCACATGCTAATATGATTAATAGACTTATTGATTTAGAAATGGTATATGAATTATAATTAATATGGTTAATATTTATTTTTCTAGATTTCAATGGCATTTCATGAGCTTATTTCTTTGCGTAATGATTTAGGATGTTATGTAAAGCTTATTGTGGAGAAAGGTTTTTGGGCAAAGTCATTTAAGCAAAATAAATCTCAAATTAATGAAGAAACTAGAACTAAGTCTGAAATAGTTACGTGGCTTATAAATATTGAATCACCTGTTAATTCTATGGAAGAGGATGTAATAAATTTTATTACTGGGTTTCAGCTGATGACTTTAAGATGTGCTTCTCGACTTCAAGATATGACTATTGATGAGGTATTTGTTAGCTTTTATGTTTGTTTTAGATTTATGTTTTTAAGTCATTATTGAATTCTTTTAACTCTTGTTTTGGTCCAAAGGCATTTTTTAAAAGATTAAATGAATTAAATTCGGAATTAGGGAAAAATCAAACTAACATTTTGTATCGCGTTGTTTTAAAATTATGTTCATCTCATTTTTCTTATCTTTCATTTCAATTTCAGCTTTGTACCATTGAGTGTTTGCATCATGAAAATATAAATAATAATGATCACATTATGGACGGGATATCACGAATTGTTATACAATTATCTAAGACTAAAAATGGATTTCTTTTTTATCCCTTATGTAAAGTATCAGTGGAAAATTTTTTAGATTCTGTTTGTGGTGATATGCTTTCAAGGACTGCTTTTATTAATCTTATTTTTCATATGTCTTTTTATGCAGAACAAGTATATTTTTTATTTTATGTATAGTTTGGTAATGGATTTTATAGATTGAGAAATTCGATGATGCTTTAAATTGGAATATGTTGTTGATTAATAAATTTGGTCAAAATGATATTATTTCTATTTCGCTGAGTTTCCAGAATGGTTCTCTTGAGCTTTCTGGTGTGTTTTCAATTGGTACATTGTTTAATCAGTATAATTTGATCTTGTTAATTTATTTTTAGAGCATTTTGATTATTTAGAGGTCATTAAAGAGAATTTAAATAAACTTTTATATATGAACGATGATATTCAAAATGCTTCAGAGGGGGAGCTAATTAAATTAATCAAAAGCATAGATAGGTTGCGCCGTTCATGTACTTCTGCAATAAATAGTTCCACTCGTTATTCCGAGTTTTGTCATTCTTGTTTTGAAATAATGTTAGAATTTGTTCAGAAATATAGAACTAAAGAGGTAAATTTGTTTGTATACTTATATGTATTTGATTTTCTACTTAGATAGGCGAAAAAGAGTGTTTTAAAGCTCTGAGTTCTAATATTTTAAGTAGTGTTATATCTTGTTTTAAAGCATATTTGACATCTTCTGTATCTGACGAAGTATACCATTCTATTTCTCTTTTGGATATTTCTTTGGAGTTTGCAAGGTCCATAGATGATGTTGCAGCTATAATATCTATATCAAATGTTTTTTGGAATTCTGCAATAATATTGTATCAAAATGGAAGTGACGCTATTGATTTTGTAAAACGAAGTATTTTGACTTTAGAGAATATTGATTTTTCTAATTTGGATATGGATCATTATATTGGTCGCTATGAGCTATTGATAAAATGTTATTTGTTAGTTAAAGATTATAAGGTTGTATAATTGAAGTTATTTTTTATTAATAAAATTAGAGTTCTTTAGATTATGGTTTTAAGGCTATGAATATCCTTTACAAAAGTGGGATTATTTCTCAAATAGCTTATGAGTCTAATCGTGTTTTGCTATCAGAAGTTTTTAAAGAACATCGTCATGTAGCTAGAATCGTAACTTCCATTACTCAGAATGCTATAATAAGTGGTTCTTGGTCTGATAAATGCCTATTAAACTATTTTGATGTTCTTGACAAAGGGCCACTTTTAGAATTGCAGCTTCAAGTTGTTCTTGGACTTCAATATAAATATGATATTTCTAAGCAGTTGCATGTTCTTCAGAATAATCTTATGGATATTTATAATGAAAATTTCCCTTTTCGTAGAATGAGGTATCTTGTTTTTTAATATTTTTATTACTGAGTTGAATTAGGGTATTATTGCAAATATATCAATGTTTACAAAATAGTGCTAATGATATGGGTGATGTTTTTGATGATTTTTATAGGAAAAGTATTTCTGATTTAATGAATAATGTATAAGATTTTATTTAAATTTAATATGTTTAACTCTTTTAGAATCTTAAGGAAGATGTTGGTTTTGAGCCTTTTAGATATAATTATATAGCAATGTCTCGATCTTTTTTAGCTTTGAAATTGTTTTTAACTCAGAAACAATGGCAAGACGATATGAAGGCTGCATTTAAAATTTGGAAGATGATATTTGATGATATCGAATATTCAAAAATGCAGAAAACATTGGAGATGTGTATAGACAGTCCACTTAATCTTCTTTGTCATTTTGGTATGTTTGAACAAAAATATTGTTTACTTTAAATAATATATTTAGAAATGTTAGCTGATTTTTTCCTTGTTAAAGGGCTTCCATTGAACAGGTTAACTATTTTAAAATTGAGATTAAGATTATGTTTATTGTCCCCTGAACTAAGAGGCCCGGGAGGTTTTTTTAATTTTTTTAACATTTATTATTGTTAACATATTTAGAATTGACTAGAATATATGCTATGTTAGGTTTACAATATCTTTCTCTTGGCTATACAGGCAAAGCTGGTATGATATTTGCTGCTGCTCAGAATCATAATCAGAAGATGAATCCTGATATCAAGAGCCTCATAGAGTTTGAGATTTCATATGTTGAATATTTATCTACAGTTGGTTGTGTTTCATCAAGGTATTTCTTGAGCTTTTCTTTGTATATTCTTATGAGTATAGTTGGAATTCTTTCATAAAAGTTGCAAAGATAGTAAATGGGAACTTTCAAAGTTTGGATGCAGGGTTATCTATGTCTTTAGATAAACGAATTGAATGGTATAGTTTAGTAGCAAAAGGTTCTTTCGTTTATGCTTTAATTATGCTAGAAAAGGTATATAATTTTTTGTAATTTTTTTTATTCATTTTTTAGGGCGCAATTTTTGATGCTTTGTATTATGTAGAAAATTCGTATCGTCTCTATAAACGTATTATAAAGAATAATGTTAAATATTTTAATAAAGGTATATCTTTATCAAACAAAAGAAATAAGTTAAAAGTGGAAGAAAGTTTAGTTCTAAATGATAACGATAATTGTCAAAAAATGGTCTTTTTTGAATTTGGGCAGTCTCATTGGAGGGTGTTAAGTGTAATTTTTTTCTGTATTGTTTTTTTTTGTTGATTCATTTTAAGAATTTTATTTCTTGTTTGTTATTATTGGCAAGACTTTACGAAATTCAAGGATCTGTACTTGATTCTGAATATTTTTATTCCCAAGCTTTAGAAGCTGCTGAAAATATTGATTCTTATTTGGCTATAGTAACCGTTTTAGTTATGTTGAGCAATTTATATGTAAAAACTGAGAGGTTTCAAAAAGCACAAGAAAATCTTGATAAAGCGAAGCATTTTTTCTCTCAAATTGAAAATATTAAAGAATCTGTCTCGCTTTCATTTACACAAGCAAGTCTTCAGAGTCGACAAAAACTTTGGTGTTTAGAACTTGAGTCATATATATTGGCTGAGAAACAACTGAAAGAGCTTATGAGTCCTGAATTTATAATAAAATTGGATGAAATAGCAATGGAAAATGTTATTTTAGGGTATTTTTGATTTAAGTTAAATACTTTAGACTCATTTTTCTAAGAATTGAGACAATGACAATCTCATCTCCATTGAAGTTAAATAATTTAGATATTAAGAAATTACCACTTAATAAATGTAGGTTATTGATTATTCGTATTTTTGAAATTTAATGAGTTAGTTTCTACGCAATGTGAATGCATTGTTCTGTCTCGTCTTAAAGGGAGGATAATGACTTTCAAAGGTACTATTTTTATAAGTAGGAATTTATACTTATTGAATAAAGGGTATAATTTTGCATTACAAGGGAAAATTGCGGATGGAAAAAAGTTTTTGAAAGAATCTTTTGCTGTAGAATGTGATATGGATGATTTAGTAATATTTCTTTTGTTTATTTATTTATCTAATTTTAAAAAAGATTATTCAAAGGCTTTATCAATCGAAAGTTTGTTTTCTGGAGGCTGAAGCTCTTCTTCAAAGAGATCCAATTTATGGTGTTCTTCAAGACTCGGGTTCGAAAATATTTCATATAATATCTTTATTAAATATTTTCTAGTAATTTCTGTTCCAAATATATGTATACATCGGTTTTTGGATAAATCTAGTACAAATAAATCTAAGACAAGAATAGATGCTTCTAAACAGGGGCTTAGTGCATCAAGGAATAAGATTTTGATTCTTTTAGAAGAAACTAAAAAGAATATTATTGAAATTTTTAGTGAAGCCTTAAACTATGGACAAAGTACATTAGTTAGACAGTTAGCGCAAATGATGGCTTCGACTACGGTTTTGCAATCTGCTCTTTATATTCCTGGTGATAGTAATCAAATAAAATCTATTATTCCGTCATATTTTCTTGGTAATATTTTTTTGTTTGTATAACATTTTTAATAGTTTTTAGAAATCTCCAAAATGATATCTTTTCAAAGAGAACGTGCATTTCTTCAAAAAAATATTAAATTAAAAAATAATAATAATCAAGATGTGCAATGGCCTTTAATTCTTGAAGAATCTCAAGATAATGTTTCTTTAGATCATAAAATTGTTTCTTCAGAGCTATTTTCTAAGTTATTTTTTTGCGATATATCACAGTTTCAACATGAATTTCTAGATAAAATTCCTCAGTCATGGATTATTCTTACTATAGGAGTAGGCGAATCTAAGAATGATTTATATATTACTAGATTACAGAGACAGTTAAGTCCATTGGTTTTGCGTTTACCCTTGAATCGCAGTAATTCGAGAGATGCTGATCAAGATACATTAACGTATGATAATGTTTTCAATGAATTAAATGACATCATTCTTCAAAGTAATGAAACAGCACAGACGGCAAAAAATATTAGTACTAGTGCTCATAAACTAGGATGGTGGAAAGAACGACAAGAACTCAATGCAAGATTAAAGAAATTGCTTACAAATGTTGAACACTGTTGGCTTGGTGGATTCAAAGTATTCTATATTATGTTTTGATTTATAATCTAAAATTTTGTAGGGTATATTTTCTCAATCAAATATAAATCAGGAAAGTTTTTCAAAGTTTAAGACCCTTGTAAACCAAATTATTATAAAACATGTATTTTCTCGTAAACTTTATCGAAAGAATAAAAATGTTGCATCTTTCGAGATAGAATCAAGACTTTTGGAATTATTTGTAAAATTAGATCTTGGTGATTCAAAAATAGAAGAGTATTTAGAGGATCTTATATACTTTATATTAGACATTTTTCAATTTCATGGTGAAACTGTTGCTTATGATGAAATTGATATTGATCAGGTTTTAAAAATATTTGCTTTTATTTAATTAATGATTTTCGTCAGATAGTTGTTGATTTTCAGGAAGCTATTAGTAATTATAATAAAGAGACTACCGTTCTTCCAGGTAAAAAGCATCAGCATTTGATTTTGGTTTTGGATAAGTCTGTTCAATCTTTTCCATGGGAATCTTTGCCTTGTCTTCGGAAATTACCTATATCCAGGGTTCCTTCTTTATATTGCATTTATGATAGACTAAGCATGGTAAACTTTGACGCATATCAAAAGGTTAATCGCAAAAATGGATGTTATGTCCTTAATCCTTCTTCCGATTTAATTAATACTCAAAACAATTTCGAAACTTTACTTAAGGATCTTGATGGTTGGAAAGGAATCATAGGAAGATCACCTGAAGAGTCTGAATTTCAGTCATATTTGTCTTCTTTCGAAATTTTCTTGTACTTTGGACATGGTGGCGGTGAACAGTATATTCGCAAAAATATAGTTAAAAGACTTTCAAAATGCGCCGTTTCTTTTTTAATGGGCTGCAGTAGTGGACTACTAAAAGACATGGGCGATTTCGAGCCCATAGGCATAGCTACTAGCTATCTCTTGGCCGGATGCCCCGCACTGGTTGCAAATTTATGGGACGTAACGGATAAAGACATTGATCGATTCAGCACCCATGTCTTAAAGTGCTGGGGATTAGTCCCAAATGGCCCAGAGGGCTGTCAAAACGAGGACTCTGGCCCGGGAGCCTTAGGAGCGCGTGCTTCGCTTGCTGAAGCTGTCGCTTTTTCCCGTGACCAGTGTGTACTGAAATACTTGAACGGCGCGGCCCCTGTAATATACGGGGTCCCCGTATATCTTGAATGAACCGAATTTTGCTTACAACAACATTGTATATAGACTAACAATACACATTGATATCTATAATCTGACAATAAAAGCTAAATGAAGAATTGCTACACAAGTAAAACTGCACATGTCGCGGTATCCGCGTCCTTATTTGCTCGACGATGAGTATTCTACAAACATCAAAAAATATTTCCTTAAAAAAAAAATAATACTTGTTACAGCCTTCGTTCCTTCAGACACAGCATGTTTTGCAAGTTCACCAGGAAGTATCAGACGAACAGAAGTTTGAATTTCACGTGAAGAAATAGTTGACTTCTTGTTGTACGAAGCAAGTTTTGAAGCTTCACTAGCAATACGCTCAAAAATATCTACAAATTTAAAAACACGCCCCATACCCCTACAGAATTACCATTCACAAAGCTATTAAGAATCGACATCGCTTTGTTCGATATACCCGTGTCCGGGTGCACCTGCTTAAGCACTGCACGCGTCATTACTCTCCCCCCGCTCCCCTACACGCCTACCTTTGTAGATATACGACGAATACGTCTCCTTTCGCGACCTCGACCTCTTCTTCTTGTCTGCTGACATCCGCTTCCCTGCTTCCTTCTTGTCCATCGGCGCCTTTCCCGCTGGCATTTTAGTTGCCATCTTCCTCTCTGCTATCTTTGGTGCCATCTCGTCCGCTGTGGTCTCACTGGTGTTTTCTGTCGTCTGCGCGCGTTCGCGTCCGTTTATATCTTCCCGCCGAGCCCTAACCCCTAACCCTAATTATAACTATAACCCGATCGTTATCCCTAACCCTAACCACTAATACTACCACTAACCCTAACACTAACATTGGCCTTCCGCGCATGCACCCTAAAACCCCCTTCTACCCCTTCCGAGTCACTTTCCGAGTCCTATCTTCCGAATACGGTACCCCTAACCCTAACCCTTGAAGCATTGCCTAAACGGGTACCCCTAACCCTAGCCTTGCTCGACTGTCGACCGGGTGCGGGTGCTGGCGAAGCCGACTTCTCATCGTACGCCTCCATTCTGGCAACCCTAACCTCAGCCCTAACCTCAGCCCTGATGTTCCCGAATACAGTACCCACACACTCCAACCTGAAGAGACTGAAGAGACACCCTAACATGGCGCACACCACTGCGGTGTCTCGCTACCGCCCCTACACTCCCAGACACGCAGCCCTAACCCTAACCTTAACCCTAGCCCTAGCATTCACACAGCAGCCCTGGTCCTCCTGAAGGCTCCTGGGCCCAGGGGGCTCGGACTGATGCGGCCTGCACACCAGTCCTGTGCCGGTGCTGCCTGTTTGCCGGCTCCCCGCTGGCTGCCCGCGCGCCTCTGCTGGCGCCGCTGCCTGCCACTTGCTGCGGCGCTGTGCCTGCTGCTAGTGCCCGAGCCCTGCCGCCGCTCCGCTCGCCCGGGCGACTCGGCGGCTCTGCACTGGCCCAACCTTAGCCCGGCCTCCGCCCAAGCCTGTGCCAGGCCGGTCCTGCATTCAGCTGGCCCCACACTGATCCTGTGCTGGGCCATAAGCTGAGGCTGAGCTAGAGCCAAGCCAGAGCTTGGCTGAGGCCAAGTTGGCCCTCGGCTGCCCTCAGGCGGAGGCCGGGCTGAAGCTGGGCCGAGGCCGGCGCAGTGCGGCACGATTGGCCGATTCGGTCTGCCGCACCAAAAAAGGCATCATGCACCGGCGTCGATGCACATAAAAACCGGGCGAGCCCAAAGGCGCAGTGACGCCGGAGCTCCAGGCAGGCCAAGCACAGAGGACCCCCGCAGGGCTTGAGGACACTGTTTGGGGTGATGTTTGAGCTGGAGTTTGATAAGCGGCTGCGGAGCGCATCAGAGGGAGGCAAAGCCAAGAGCGGCGAGGACGGGTGCAGCGCAGCAGGCACAAGGCGGGTGAGATCAAGCTATGGGGACCGGTAGGGCCGGTGGGAACTCAAACTGAGAGGGACTGATAGGAACCAGGTTCATCCCGAGCCGCGATGGGATTGATCTGCAGGCAAGCTTCAACCTGGCAGAAGTCTCAGAGGCGGGGTCGAAGGGGAAGCGAAAGCCGGGGAGTGGGGAGGCAGAGGGGCAGAGAGGTAAGGGCGGAAAGAGGACCAAGGCTGACGGAGGCAGCGGAGGAGTCGAATAAGATATTCTTGCATCTGCTGCGGTCGGAGCTCTTTGGGACGACAGTGGGGGGAGGAGGGGGAGCAGGGGGAGAGGGCGGAGAGACGCCGCCTCGGCAGAAAACGCCGAGCCGGCCGCTAACGCCGTCAACGCCGTCGAGGAACTTGTTTTCGTACATGTCGCCGCAGAACAGGACGCCCACGAGCGGGACGCGGACGTCGGGGAGCGGGGGGAGGAGTGGGATCGACGACCCGACACGGGAGATCTACTCGCTGTCGCCGGTGCGGTTTGACTCGCAGCGGCTGCTGCTTTCGCCAAGGAAGCAGCCTCGGGCGATCTCGAAGGTCCCATTCAAGGTGCTGGATGCACCGGAGCTGCACGACGACTTTTATTTAAATTTGGTTGACTGGGGATGTAACAATATACTGGGCGTAGGGCTCGGGACATGTGTGTATCTGTGGAGTGCACATTCGGGGAAGGTGACGAAGCTGTGTGATTTGGGGCCGAATGACTCGGTGACGAGTGTCTGTTGGATCCAAAGAGTAATTGGGGGGGATTTTGGGGGGAGGTTTTTACATTTTTAGGGATCTCATGTTGCACTTGGGACGAACAAAGGGTTAGTACATATATGGGACGCAGAGCAGTGCAAGCGCACGCGGACGATGCTGGGGCATGCGTTGAGAGTGGGTATGTGGGGGGTATTTGAGGGGTATTTGAGGGGGGGGCTGATGCAGTGGGTTTAGGTTCTCTTGCTTGGAACGAGCATATTCTTACGTCTGGTGGAAGAGACCACCAGATTTTCCACCGAGACGTCAGGGTTCCGGAGCACCATATCAAGCAGCTGGGAGCGCACAAGCAGGAGGTATGCGGGCTAAAGTGGAATTGTGAAGACGGGCTTCTTGCGTCGGGTGGGAATGATAATAAATTGATTGTATGGGATCGTTTGAACGAGACACCATTGTACAAATTTTCAGAGCACACTGCAGCAGTCAAGGCTATTGCATGGAATCCGCACCAGCATGGGATTCTTGCTAGTGGGGGAGGCACAGCAGATAGGACGATAAAATTTTGGAATACCCTTAACGGACACCAAATTTCGGAAATAGATACGGGATCGCAGGTATGCAACCTTGCATGGTCCAAAAATTCAAATGAGATTGTTTCGACGCATGGATATTCGGAAAATCAAGTTATAGTTTGGAAATACCCTTCTATGACACAAGTTGCCGCTTTGACTGGCCATACTTATCGGGTTTTGTATTTAGCCATGTCGCCCGATGGTCAGACTATAGTGACAGGTGCAGGTGATGAAACCCTGAGATTTTGGAATGTTTTTTCAAAAAGTAAAAGTGATTCCGACCGAGATTCGTTATTAGATCCTTTCACGAAAATAAGATAGACTTATTTATGGGAATTTTATTCAGGATATTACATTTTGGAAAGTTATATAACAATGTATTATTAGGATATTTACGTAAATGTATGTATAAGACTGAATTGCATTTTTGTCTGTGTATTATTTTAATAAATTGTTTAAACATTCAAAGCGATTATTGAGATAATTGTTCATTTTGGATAATTGTTTTTAATTATTTTTATATTTCTAACATGAGAAAGTGGTATACAATAATAATTAAATATTGATAATACAGTTTATAGGAATCTAAAATTTCCCCAAGCTCCGTGCTTCTTTTATCTAAACATGGAATTAGTCGTTAGATAACAAGAGTTTAGTTTACTTGATCAAAACTTTTAAGGAGTTTGCGTCGTGCACCAAGGGCTGCAACTCCTTTCATTTCCAGTTGCTCATCTGTCATTTCAATAAGTTCCTCCCAATTCATATCTCCCAAATTGTCAGAATATTTGTGAAGTCTTAACCCTCTTAGCCAAGCAGGAATGTCATTTAGTAACAAATCATTAACCGGGTTTTCAGGAGGCTTGGATGTTACTCGTCTTCCTTTCCTATTTGTTGTAATTGCGTCTGAATTGTCTGATATATATTCCTCTACACTTAATAATGGAGATGATACTTCAAAGGGTGCGAGATATCCATTAGATTGAGAAGATGCTGATACATGCCATCCAGGTGTTTCTGTAAATCCTGGAGGAATAGATGAATCCGATTTTGGTGATATCTTCCGTAACAATAAAGGAGAGGAAACGCTACGTTGAGAAGGTACTTGCATCAAATGTCCATGTTCTGTATACATTAAAGTATTTGTAGGATGAGAACCGTATCCATTGTTATCCGTGATAGACGACAATAGTATATTTTTCCCTCTTCGATACTTTTTTACATCTGTATCAAGAATAACAGGATCGCTGTTCTGAATGCTCGACGATAAGGATGCTAATTTCGATGTTGCTCCTTTAAGAAGATCGCTGTTTTGTGAAGGTGCTTGAGAAAACATTGGAACTGCTGGTGTATTAACCATGGATGCCCAATTGCCAGCAGGACTAAAAGGAGAAAATTCCCCATAGTCAGTGTTAGATATAGAATTATCAATAATATGAGGATTCATTTGTTGTGTATTTTGAATCTTTCCAATATCTACTGATTTGGGTCGATTAAGCTCTAAAGGGGTACTTTCAGGAATCTTATTTAAAGACTGAGACCATAAAGGTGACGCTAATGTGTCCTGCTTTAATAATATTGGACTATTGTTATTATGTACTGATACTGTATCTTGATTATGTGTACTATTAAAGACGCTAGTGTTACAATTAGTACTTAGTCTTGTTTTTTGACTAGCCAATGTTGTAGGGGCATTCTGAAACATTGCATTGATTGTTTTTGCTTCTAAATGTGATCCATTTTGAATATGTACTGAGGAAGAATGATTAATAGATGGAGAAAGAGGCTTTATTACAACCCCATTCTTCCTATCAAGACTAAGTTGATTTATTGCACTTGATAAACTGTTTTTCATATAATCTTATGCGATTAGAAGGTAGTTTATAGTTTTTTATTGATAATATACCTTTATCAAGATTTGCTGGAGACAAGAAAGCATTCATTGGGTCATTACGAGCCATTTGTTGAAGAATAGTTATAAAAAAGCGTATTTGGACTTGAGTGGCTTGATGTAAAAGAGAATACAGCGCTGCTGTACGTTCTGCTTCTGAGAGTACGCGGAACCATTGTTCTATTGCTCCTAATTCTTCCTTGAAATTTTGATCCAAAGATGCAGATTCCATTTCTTCCAATGTGTTTTCATAGCTTTGCAAATCCTCAAGCCATTTATCAAAGGCAGCAACTATGTAATTAGAATACGTTTGAAAGAAATAAAAAATGCATTACCTTCCGGCATTTGTGTTTTTTGTGGAGTTCGTACAAAAACTTCTGAAGTAGGACGGTTACCACGAACAGAAATAGGTGAATTGTAATTAGACAGGTCAAAAGATGTTCTTAGTTGAGGGTTAAGCTGGATTTTCGATGTTAGATGTTTTAATGATGATTTATCATGGTGTTCTGGTGTCGGTGTGATTGACATTATATTATCCCGTGTTCAACACGATTCAAATGTTATTTAAAGTCTTGTTTCTTTGAAAAGTTTTCTTTTTTTTGTTTTTGCAAAATTTCTTGATAAGTTTTGAATTTATATGTAGTTTTCTTGGTTTTTTGAGTTTTTAAAAAAAAAAAGGCCCCGTTGGGTATTCCTTTGGAAATCTTTTGAATTCACCAGGATTTCTTGTGTTGCTTATCCTATCTTCCTTTGTTTTATTTGATTAATTATTTTCATGTTTCCAAAAGGGGGGAAGGTTAACGTACGATGTCTTTTTGTGAATGTCTCTCTTTAATAACGTAAAAAATAGAATTGAAAAAAATGCATAAATTGTCATAAATAATAAGAATATTTTGTTTTTCTATGTTTCTTATGGGACTTGGTTGATGGAATCTTTTTTTGAGCGATTTTTTTTGGGTTAAAGTAAAAATGATAAAAAATGGATAAAAGTGAGAAAAATATAGAAGATGAATATTGGCATATATTACATGAAGAGATTTCAAATGTTGAAGCTCAGAAAGGAGCATATTTTCACAAGGATGAGTTTTGCGTTCCTTTGATTGATCTACACGCGAAAGGGCTATGGTCAGATGATGAAGATATGAATGATAATGAAAATGCAAGACGTATAGGTTTTGAGGGTGATACAGATGATGTAATTGGGATGGTGAGATGTTCTGAACAAAGTATGGCGTCTGAAGTTTCTCAATTCCAGAAAGATCTTAAGATAGCATCTGGATTTCGAAGAAATAAAGGAAGATCAAAGGTTATCGATATATTTTTAAAGATGTGTTCTTTTTAATGTACTTTTAAGGGACGTAGATGTGTAGCGGATATGGAGCCTTCAGAAGAAGTTAAATGCTTGCTTGGATATGCGAATCAGGCGTTTGCTTCTGGTGATTTTTCAGAAGCTTTAAAAACTCTTCAAGAAATTATTCGTATTGATTCTAATGTTTTTGCTGCGTGGCAGACTCTTGGAGAGGTTCATCGTGAAAGAGGTAATATAGATAAATGCCTTGGTTCGTGGATTAGTGCTGCTCATCTTAAACCTAAGGATGCTGATCTTTGGTTAACTTGTGCAAAATTAAGTCAAGATTCCAAACTTTGGGATCAGGCTGATTATTGCTATAATAGAGCTATCCATGCTCGTCCGTTTGATGTTGATGCTATATGGGATCGGGCTATTTTGGCTCGTGATAGAGGAAGAATGAAAAAGGTTTGTTAATTGTTTAAGTACTTTTTAACCTATCAAAGGCAATCGATTGTTTTAAAAGTCTGCTTAATATTGTGCCAAATGATATGACAGTAGTTCGTCAATTAGCTAGGTTATATCTTCAGACTTCTCAGGTTTCTGAAGGAATAGCACTTTATGAAAAAGTTGTAGAATATTATTTATGTTTTCAGAAGCCCCCAGAAGGTCATTGTGGTCTCAATTGGAGTGAATTGCATATTATGTCTGAACTTTATATTGCCGATAAACGATGGAAACAATGTATATATAATATAAAATATATAGGGCGATGGTTATGTGGTAGGAAATCTGAAGAATTTTGGGATGATTGTCCTGATGATAGGGAATGGGATAGTGATAATGAAAGACGAAATTTAGTTTTGCATTTTTTAGACGGAGATAAAACACGTTATGAAATGCCTTTAGAATTAAGGGTTAAATTAGGGATATGTAGATTACATATTGGTGATACGGATGAAGCGTTGAGACATTTTGAAGTATTAGATGAAAATCCAAATGTTGAAAAAAATATTGATTTGATTTTTGATGCTGCTAATGCATTGAGTGAGAAAAAAATTTATGATGAAGCTCTTCGACTTTATTCTCGTTTAACTGAATGTGATTCTGTTAGTATATTTATTTTGTATTTTATATTTTTAAAGTTTTTAGGCAAATGGGCCTGATTTATGGTTTTCTATGGGGAAGTGTTACAAAGCTGTGGATGATTTAGAAGCTGCGGAAGAGTGTTTTAAAGGAATTGTGGCTAATAATGAAAAACATATTGAATCTCTTATTCAGTTAGCAGACATATATCAAATTACCGGTCGTAGAGAAGAAGCTCTTGATGTAGTTAACAAAGGTTTATACACGGAAAACGTTTTCTGCTATTTAACTGTTTTCAGTTATTTATTATCAACAGAATGATAATCATGTTGTTGCAGAAGTGCAAAATGAGTCCCAAAACAATTCTTCTAAGCTTACTTTTATTGTGGATACTAAAATTTCACGAGATAGATTGTCTAAAAAAGTGTCTTTAAAGTCGTGTTTAAATGAAAGGATTGCTATTGAAATGAGAAGGACTGAGCATACGTTGTTTAAATGGCAAAAGTTAAGTATAGTGCGTGATAGAATGTTGCAGGGCGATCGTCAAGCTGTAAATGAATGGTTAGATACTGCAGGTGATATGGTTGATGATTTTCGTAATGTACGTGCATTTTATCCATCTGAAAAATCAACAAAATTTAAGGGTATTATTTCTGTTGCAAAACGACGTATGCAAAAGATGGAAATAAATCATAAATTAAAAGTTATGGCTAATAGACTTCAAGAATCATTGGGTATGTTTTTGGGTTTAATAATATTGGTAAATAATTTTTGAAGATTTTTGTGATGATGAATCCTATTGTGAGAATACTATAAATAATGATGTAAATGAATTTCGAGGTTTAAGCTTTGATATTTGGTTTTATATTTTTATGCAGGTATATTATGTATATTTTTTAAAAGATTTTGTTAAATTATATAAGTATGCAATTTGTTTGACAAAATATGATGATTTTCTTGATGCTTTAGATGTAATTAAAGCCGCTATGGGTGCTAATGTTTTTTATCAAAGTCATGAACGTTTAAATAAAATGCATGTTACTCGGCTTGGTATATGGTTATTTTGATATTTTAGATTGTTAATTCTAAATATAGCATGTTCTTTATGGTCTAAACAATATTCTGTTGTTGCTGAGGAATGTAGATATTTTTCTAATTTATACAAATTTAAGTCAGATGGGTATCGTTTACATTTTGTAGCTATGCCAACTGGTGAAGCAATGTTGCATTATTCAGCTAATTCTGCTTTACAAAAGTATCTTTTACGTCAGATAAAAAGTATTGATTCTATGATATCTGGAAAGAAAAGTAAAGAGTCATTGGTAGCGATTAAGAATGAAAATGATAGTTGTATTCCGACCCAATATAATGTTGTGCTTCTTGTTTCCTATGGTCATGTAATGATTGGTTCTAGAAGTTATGTTCAAGCGTTGCGTATGTTTTTTAGTAATTAGTTGATTATACATTTATATTATTGTAGACTATTATGGACGCGCTTATGCTTTAGCTCCGTCTGATCCATTAATTTCTTTGTCAATTGGAATGGCGTATTTACATAGAGCTATGCAGCGCCAGTCAAATAATCGACAATACCAAATACTTCAAGGAATGACTTTTCTTTTTCAGTATTATGAGCTCAGGAAATCTATGGGTGTTTATGAACATCAAGAAGCTGAATTTAATATTGCGCGTGCATTTCATCAGTTAGGTTTGTTTATTATTTAAATAATTGGTATGAAATTTATCTAATTTTGGACTTTAGGTCTTGCGCATTTTGCTGTGCCTTATTATGAACGTGTTCTCTCTTTGGTTACTTCGGATTTTAATGAATATGTTTATTTTGATTTGCGTCGACATGCTGCTTATAATCTTTCTTTAATTTATGTTGCTAGTGGGAATGCTACATATGCACGTAGTCTTGTAGATACTTATCTTTCTATTTAAAAATATATATATTTTTGTTTATTATGTATATATTATTATACTAGATTGATATAGTATATTTTTTTCGTGTATTTGACTTTTTTTATAGGTCTAATTAAACTGTTTAATGTATCATATCTGCATTTATTGTGTACATCTATATTTGTCATATTTAATCTATTAAAATACATTTATATAATTTATTATTTCATGTTGTACAAGGGGGTTTGTACTGTTAAGATCGTGTGATTTAAGGTTAATATTATTTTAAGTCTGTTGTGATAAAGAAAGGATAGAGAACGGAAGGATTAAGGGTCGTTTTGGAGAATAGGTGGTGTTTAAGGTGTTGTGTTAAATAAAAGGGTTATTTAAATAGTCTACATAAAAAAAGTATTTGAGAAGGTCTAAGGGAAAACGAAGGTAAACTATTGTAGAGAATATATAAGATGAAAGTTAATAATGATATTTTAAGCACTTTTTTCCGCATAGTTGCGTTGGTATATAACAATTTGTTTTGCAGTGATTTTTTTTTTATAAAAATTAGATTTAGAAAATTTAAACTAAGGTATGTTGAAAATGATAAAATTAAGAGAAAAAACTGGCATTTGGATTAATAAAAGGCATTTATGCAGGATGCTTTTTTCATAAAAATATATGTGAAACGTGATTAATTATTATTATTAGGATATATTGATTTGTCTATTGTTAAGTTTTTCTTTAGTGAAAAATAACTTAGACTTGTGATTCAATGGCTGATCAGCATGAAATTGATCTCGATTCCGTTATAGAAAGGCTTTTGGAGGTTCGCGGAAGCCGTCCTGGTAGACAGGTTCAATTAGCTGAATGTGAAATTCGATTTCTTTGTATTAAAGCACGTGAAATTTTTGTTAATCAGCCAATCCTTTTAGAACTTGAAGCTCCTATGTATGTTGTATTTTTATTTCGTGTTTTTTTAGGATTTATAGTTTTTAGAAAAATATGTGGAGATATTCATGGTCAATATTACGACCTTTTACGGCTTTTTGAATATGGAGGTTTTCCTCCAGAAGCTAATTACCTTTTCCTTGGGGACTATGTAGATCGTGGAAAACAGTCTCTTGAAACTATATGTCTTTTGTTGGCATATAAAATAAAGTACCCTGAGAATTTTTTTATACTTAGAGGGAACCATGAATGTGCAAGTATTAATCGTATCTACGGGTTTTATGATGAATGTATTTAATTTTGATTATTTATGTTTCTGTGTATTAATATTCTTTAGGTAAAAGAAGATATAATATAAAATTATGGAAGACATTTACTGATTGTTTTAATTGTCTTCCTATTGCTGCTATTATTGATGAAAAAATATTTACTATGCATGGAGGTCTTTCTCCTGATCTTACATCTATGGAACAAATTCGTAGAGTGATGCGACCGACTGATGTTCCGGATACTGGTAATTATTTAATTATATATGAGTTTTTGTAATTTTATATTAGGTCTTTTATGTGATCTTTTGTGGTCTGATCCTGATAAAGATATAACGGGGTGGAGTGAGAATGATCGAGGTGTTTCATTTACATTTGGACCTGACGTTGTATCACGTTTTCTTCAAAAACATGATATGGATCTTATATGTCGAGCACACCAAGTAGTTGAAGATGGTTATGAATTTTTTTCTAAACGCCAGCTTGTTACATTGTTTAGTGCACCTAATTATTGCGGAGAATTTGATAATGCAGGTGCTATGATGAGTGTAGATGAAAGCTTACTTTGCAGTTTTCAAGTATGTTGTATTTTGATATAAATTGTTTAATATTAAGATTATTAGATTCTTAAACCAGCAGAGAAGAAACAAAAGTATTTATATGGAGGTATGGGAAGTGGACGTCCAGTGACACCTCCACGAAAACAGAAAAATAAGGGCGGAAAAGCTTGAATATTATTATTTGTTGTTCGTACAGAATATCAGGTTTTTTATATATAGTGAAAAATAGACGTAAGCTTTATCTTGAAGCGTGAGTATTATATTTGGGATAAGGGAAAAGTAGCTGGATATGGCTAAGAATATGTTTCTTGATATTACCTGATTTAAAAAAAAACTGGAAGCTTCCTTTTTGTAACCTTTCAAAATTTCATTTATTTTCTTATCGTTCTTATATTTATCCTTTATTTTATCCAATTTTCATGTATTAAAATATTATTATTTTACACTCTTTTTTTCTATTGTTTTCGTTTAATAAAACTAATTTGAATATTTTTTTTTTATGTTATATTTTAGTAATATTAGAATATATTATGTTTAATCTTTTGGAATATATTCTTAGGGTTTATTCGGAAAAGGTCACAGTAATTATCCGATAATCGTTAATCACTTGTAAATTTGTTAAAGTTTTTTGATTTCTTAAGATTAGGATGGCGCCAAAGGTACGAAATGTTTTATTGTGTTATTTTTAAAGATCTTTGATCTTTTGTGTTTTTTTTTGGATTTTGACCTGACAGTTATTAATATAGATTGATCCTAATGAAATTAAAGTTATTTATTTGAGAGGTAAATTCTATTCGTTTTGTAAAAATGGAGAAATTAATAGAAGTTTCTTAGTTGTTGGTGGTGAAATAGGTGCCTCGTCTACTCTTGCTCCAAAAATTGGGCCTCTCGGTTTAGTATGAATGATGGTTTTGGAAATATAATATGATTAATTAGTATAGTCACCTAAAAAAGTAGGGGAAGATATTGCTAAGGTGACTAGTGGTTGGGTATATGTTTTGTATTTTTGTGTTGATTATAGTTGATACTTTCTAGAAAGGATTGAGGGTTACTGTTAAATTGACTATTCAAAATCGACAAGCAGAAATAGAAATTGTTCCTTCTGCATCTGCTCTTATTATTAAAGCATTGAAAGGTACTCTTTTTTCTTTTTGGGTTGTTTTTTATATTTTTTAGAGCCTCCACGTGACCGTAAGAAAGAAAAAAATATTAAGTAAGTTTTTCTGTATTTTTGGGAATATGTGTCTTATTTAAAGGCATGCAGGGAATCTTTCTTTAGACGATATCATTGAGATTGCGCGTCAAATGCGATTTAAGAGTTTTTCTAAAAATCTTTGTGGGACAGTTAAAGAGGTTCTTGGGACTGCATTTAGTATTGGATGCTTTGTAGACGGTAGGAATCCTAAGGAAGTTATTGATGAAATCGATTCTTGTCATATTAGTAGTACTGTTTAGTTTTTTTTGAGGTATTTGCTAATTTTTAATTCTAGTCCCTTTGGAATAGATGATTTAGTGCTTTTGTATATTATAATTAAGTATTTTGAGATCGTATTTCTATTTTTTTGCTTTTCTCCTCCTGGTGTTTGCTAACACTCTGGAACACTTTGTTTATATAAATTGTTCTAATTTAAGTGCAAACAAGATTAATTTTGTTTTCATTTACCAGTTCTGAAGCTATCTCTATATTCAGGAACTTATTTTAGAAAAACATGTTTTTCATTATATTTTATTTTTTAAGATTTATGTAAAGATAATTATAATTTAAAAAACACATTTTTTTATATTTTTAGTCTTTGTACGAAGTATTTTTTAGAATTAAAATTCATAAAAGTGAAAAATGAGCTTAATCCGAACATCAGTAAGACAGTTTTTACATACAAGAGGTTTTCTTCGTTTTTCATCTAGAGGGTATGCTAAAGAAGTTTCAACGGACAAAATTTGTTTGACGTTTTCTCTTCCGCATAATGTTCTTTATAATGCTCAAAATGTGTACGAATACATACTTAGGTTTTTAGGTTAATTAGAATAATAATGTTTATAGAACACAGGTGAATATACCTGCGACATCTGGGAATATGGGTATTCTTGCATTACATGTTCCTTCCATTGAACAACTTCGACCTGGTATTGTTGATGTAATTGAAGAAAATGGCATATCTAATAAATTTTTTGGTAATTTTGTATTTATAGTTGTTTTTTAATTCTTTTTTTAGTTTCTGGCGGTTTTGCTATTGTGCAGCCTGGGTCTAGTTTATGTATTAATGCTATTGAGGCTTATTCATTAGATGACTTTAGTTTGGAAGTAAGTATTATTAGCTTTTTATATTTAATGGTAAATATTCTTTAGACGGTATCTGAGAAACTTCAAGAGGCTCAAAAGATTGTTTCTGGAAATGGAAGTGAAGAAGATATTGCTGAAGCAAAAATTCAAATAGAAGTACTAGAAAGTTTACGAGAATCTTTAAAATAGATTGAGTGTTATACTGATGTATTTCAATATTAATATTATTAGACTGATAGTTAGAAATAGATATCTTCTGGTAATACGAGTATTTTATCTCCATCTTCTCTTATACTTTCTTTTAATTTATCTCGTCGAAGTGGTTTTCGCATATCTATAATATTAATATAGTATTTTTTAAGAGAGATATTTACCTAGAGCATCTTCATCATTTCCTTTGCTTTTATTATAATATTTTATTACTCTACGAAAAACTGAATATCCAAAAGATTTATACATATTGATCGCAGCAAGGTTGCTAAGTCGTACAAACAAATCCATGAAATATCCATTATGCCTGAAAAAATAAGTTATTTATATTAATTTTTTGGCAAGATTTATACATGTTTTCGCTTACGTCCTCAAGTAGTTTCATAAGATTTCGGGCAATACCAAGTCGACGATATTCTAAAGCAACAGATAAAGCTGTAACATGCCCATGCCACTGCTTTCCTACCCCTTCTACTTTTCCCATCACTATTTAATTTTTGTTAAGTATATTTTGTTTTGTTGTATTTTATACCATATCCCATTAATTTTGATTCTTTGTCTCCGAATAAAGATAATTCTTGAACCAAAAACAAATCAGGCCATTGTGCTAGATACGAAAGGTAAAATGAAATGTCATACTTTATTTTTTTTAGAAAAGTTCTGATATTGGTATTATATTTACTGTTTCTGTTAAAATATCAAGATTTCTAAACCAGTCATTTTTTTATAAAGAAAAAAACTATAAATACATATTATTAAATAAGAACATGTCTGTTGCTCTAAAACGGCGAATTTCACTCATTCTTAACTCTTATAAACTTTTATAATTATGTTTATTTTTTTGAGGTTTAATGTGTTAATATCTAAAAGTTAAAACACATAATGAAATTTCTAGTTATTAAATTTTAAAAAGGGAAATTTGAAGTTTAATAGTTTTGAAAATGTTATCAGATTTGCTAAAGTGAATTTGAAAAAATTGTTAATATTATTTTTGTGACCGTTTTTGTGATATTTTAAGCTATCGATTATTTGAAAAATGTTCATTTAAAATATTGTTGAATTAAAAGGATGGCAAAATCAAAAAATCATGTAAGTTTTTTTATAGGTTTTATTTGGATTCCAATAACCTTTTTATTAGACAAATCATAACCAAAACAAAAAAGCGCATAAAAATGGTTGATTTAGATATAATGTTAAGAAATAATAAATTAATGATATTTAGGTATCCATCGACCAAAAGTTCATCGGTATTTATCAATGAAACATTTGGATTTAAAGGTAAGTCTTATATTTTTTAAGATTTATTCTTAAAGTATTTGAAGTTTCGATTAAATTGTAAATATGCTATGCGTGGAACGCAAAGGGTATTGAAAGAAAAAAGAGAATCGAAAATTATTTAATATGGTTTTTGGGATGTGGTTATGGTACTCATAATGGCTTTTCTTGAGTATATAAAGTTCAATAATAATATTTTTTTAAACTTTCTCTTATTTTTTTTATAATGTCTTTTATTGTGTTTTGTTAAATTGATGTTTAGCACAAGATGTGTGTACAGCTATGGAATATATATTTTCCAAATTGCTGAAGGAAATAATTGTGCAAAAAAAAGTCTCGAATCCTAATATTCTTCATAAGTATAATTGTGAGGATAAATGGGTACTTTTTAAGAGTTACATTTATATATGTTTTTAGTTGTTATAATCTATTTTAAATATGTTATATAATTCAGCTTTAATAATATGTAAGATTGTTTTTAAAATATTAAGTTAAATTTTGAATTTAAATCTAAATTTTATTAATAATTGATTTGTTTTTTCGGTTTTAATAATAAAATTATGTTTTTTTGATAAAGTGTCATGAAAATATATAAACTGTTTTTTTACTCTTTGTGTTTTAATGATTAAGTTTTTCCTTGAATCATTGAGAATTATGTTTAAAATATTAAGAATTAAATATCTTTCATAGTTTATATAACTTATAGTTTTATTTATATTAGTTTTGGGTTTAGTTTAAGGGTCAATAAATTTTAATTTATAAAATTTTATATATTAAATATTTTTTGACATATTAATTTTAGGAAAGTATTGCGTTGATTAAATTTTTGTTTATATGTGTTTTAAAAAGTTAAAATTTTTTGGTCGTTATATTATAAATGTTATTTTAAATATAGATTATAGATTGAATAACTTTTAGGGTTGAATTATTTATAAAAAGATGAATTTTAAATTTAAAATAATATTAAATAAATATTATGTTATGTTATTTTTTTATTTTATTTCTTAGAATTTAATTTTTTATAAAAATGTTTTTATAATTATTTAAAATTATTCAAAATGTAAAAATGTTTTATTTTTGTTAATTGCTAATATTAGTTATAAATATATAAATGTTAAAAATTGTTTTATTTTTCTAAACATTTTGATTAAAATATTATAAGTTTATAATAATAATTTATAGTATTTTATACATGAAATTTCAATAAATTTTTATTAATAGTAAATTTAAATTTAGAATAATATTTATAAAATAAAAAATGTAATAAGAGTTAAATGTTTTAACTTTGTTCTTATGTTTTATTAAAAAAAAAATTATAATTTTTTACAAAAGATTTTCAAAATGTTAAGTTTCATGAACTATGTTTTATAAAATATTCGAAACATAAAACTGTTTAAAAATTAAATCATTTTTTTGTGAATTTTAAAATAAAAATAATTAGAAGTAATATATATACTAATAGGATTAAAATTTCTTATGTAATAAAAATTAAAAAAATACATTTATTATTCATAATATTTTAGAATTTCGACCTTTATATATAATAATTGTTCACCTAATATGTTATCCTGTTTTACTGGCCACCTGTGACAGCCAATCTAAATTTAGTTAATTTAAATTTTAATTTTTATGATGGACTAACTTTTTAAGATGATCCATAAATGTCTATATTTATATTAAATTTTTAATCTAAAAAAATACTAAAAATATACCTGAAGAGAAACATCATCGGTAAAAACAGCTTGTGCAGAAGGCGTGCCATAACTGCCTGTTGCGTGAGTTGCTGATGGGTTAATCCTTGAAAGTAAAAACCGAGCTTGACTTCCTCCTTGATCACAAACAACTTTTAAAGTTAGAAAAGATTAGAGGAATATACTAAATTATACTATATCTTGGTATTGGAAATCTTTCAATCAAAAGTTCCTATATAAAATAAGTTAATGTATAAAAAGTTTATTAGATAGTACAGCAATCTCATGGCGTGGAGCTTCTAATAATTCTTTGAAATTTTGATATCCTTCTTGATTCTGATATCCTGTTTTTCTCCATGATGCAATTATTTCTCCATGCCAAATTAAAACATGAAAATATGTATCAAGAAGCAAAATAACATCTGGTTTGATAGAAATAGAATCAAGCAATACTGGTTGCGGTTCTTGGTCAAATGAGAATGATATTAAAGTAGGTTGTATCATAATTAAAGAATTATTAACATCTTCGTGATTCAAAACATGACGATAAAAGGCTGTTTCATCTGGAGAGTTATTAAATACTTGTAAAAATTGACTTCGTCGAAGATGAAACATAAATTGTGGATAAAGACTAAAATTCTGTGAAAGGCGAAAAGATGATGGGTCATCTTTTCTATAATCTGCAAATTTTTGACAAAGCCGGATAAGCATTCTGTCAGCCCATCTAAGGACATCAGGACCATCATCTATTTCAGCTTTATATACTGCTATTCGTGCTATAATAACAGCAGCAGTTTCCTGGTCAAATGATTGAGGTATAAGAGGACTAGTGCTATCTGCAAAAGAACGAGCTGCAGTTGTTACACGAAGTCTAAAAGTTCCTGATGAGTGTTGATAATGAGTAATAAATTGAATAAGCCCTCTTTGACTCATTTGGGTTTGTTGTTTATCTTGGTCTGATATTTCAAAATATGCTGCATATGCTGATTTGGGTAAAATTCCACACATTTTCCATGAACATGTATTTCCAATACCTATTTCAGTTTCTCCGATAGACACTGACTTTTTATTAAGTGAAACTGCATGACCAATTAATCCAGATATTTTTAGTTCTTTTGTAGTCTGAAAATAATAAGAAAAAATTAAAAAATGTTATGAAAAATACTAATATTTCCATAGATGCATTAAAGGCCATTTGTAAAGATCCTTGGGCATCAGTATTGAAAACTCTTTGGAAACTTTGTTTAAAAATAGAAGAAGAAAAGGCATCAGAAAGAATCATATGTCCTCCTGTAAAATTTGTTAGAGATTTCATCTCTAACATTCCAATTTGATCAAGACATCCTGCAAAAATATCTATAATATGTCCGTTTGTTGATGCTTTTTTAGCTAAGAGTTCGTAAAACTAAAGACATTAAAAAATCAATAATTGATTGAAATTATTTACTCTAGACGCTTTTTTATAATATTTTATATTATTTCTTTCTATATCATGATGGGATCTAATTGATTCACGTAATTCAGTACCAACAACCATTCCTGGGCCTTGTGTACTTGGTCCTCCTGAAAATAACATAATGCGCCCTCCAGTATTTGGAAATACGTTCTATATTAAATAAGAGAAGTGTTTATAATATTATTTTTGAACCTCCATCAAGCTTACAGCAATACTTATAGCAACGCCTGTACATCTTTCTGGACGTTTATCATTTGCTACAGGCCATGGATCTTGTTGTAATGATTCAAGTATACTAGTTAGTCGAAACTCACAAATATTAATTGGCAATAAGAATCTAACATACTAAGAAAGGACAATATATTAATGATAATTATACCTAGCTGTTGCTCCATAATTAGATTGTGTTCTTCTTGGACCAGGTTGTTGAGGTCGTAAAGATGTTCCCATTAACCCTAATAATTCTTGAACTTGTTTTGTAGTATAATCTTTTGTTCCCTGAAATACATAATATTTTGTGCACTCAGAATAACCGAGTTCATAAACATTAGTCTAGTATTATTAATTTGATATTTCTAATTAGTGGATTGTGAACCATAGTTCCATATGTAATCAAACCAACTAAAGAGTCATGTGGAAGAAGACTAAAGCTTACAATGAGAGCATCTTTTAGAGCTTGTAAATTATCTTCTTCAAGACATGTATCAACGACGAATAAAAATACAGGAGGTGTTTGAGATGGTCGTGATAAAATATATTCTATAGTCGTATATTTTGGTAATAGTTCCATTGGAAGACTTTGAGGAGAAATATCTTTATACATGGGAGGGAGTTGATTTCGAGTTAAACAGAATGGACCTAAGTATACTTTAATGTTACATTTTTGCTTATAATAAAAGGCTACAAATCCAAATTCTTCCGCGCATATCAACTTGACTATATGTGAAAATATTAGTTTTTTAAGAAATAAAGAAATTACCAACCAATAAGGATTCAAAATTGCTCGACATGGTGCTTTACAGGATACTGGTTCGTATTGTACTGGAGGTAAGCCAGGACGTTCAATTAATGGCATATACAATGCAGCAATAGGAACTACCATTTTTGAGTTTTCTATACGAGTTGATGGGAAAACGTTCCATGAAAAACTTAGTATTAAAGTTAATAATATTTTAAAATTAAAAAGATTGATTTACCGAATTCCTTCGGTTTCTTCAATTTCTTCATAATTCATAGTATGTGTTTCCATATCTACCGTATGGAATAATAGATTTATAAATGTTTTTTATTTTGAACACTTTAATTGCCTTGAAATTATGTTTTCTTAGCGTTAACGTTTATTCTTAATGGTACGGGTTGAACCCTAGAGTGGTTGAAAAATAGTATATTTAATATATTAATATATAAATTTTTAAATAAAAATTATTGAAAATACAAACACTTTGTATGACTTTAGAATATATTTAAAAATGCTATTATTCATTATAATTTTGTAACTAAAAAAGTTAGATATTAAAAAATAAAAGAATGAAATAAAACATTTAATGTCAAAGACCTTGAGCTATTAGAAGCATGCTCTCTATAAATTCCTAGTAATGCTTCTGATTGATGAAAAAGACCATTTTTTAAGCTAATAACAATAAACTGAAACCCATTGCCTGCATGCTGACGTATGTAGTTTGCAATTTTGGTTACATTTGCATTGTCTAATGCTGCATCAACCTCATCTAATACGAAAAATGGTGATGGTTTATAAGAATGAATTGCAAATAGTAATGCTAATGCTGCTATAGTTTTCTCGCCTCCTGATAATTGTTCCATATCTCTAAATCGTTTCATTGGAGGCATTGCATGATATTTAACACCGTTTAGATAAGGCTCCTTTATTATATTAATTTTATTTTATTTTTATGATTTAATTACCTCGGTATCTTCTAAGCTTAGATAAGCTGTTCCACCCAAAGGAAATGATTTACTTTTAGTTAGATCTTTATATATTTGATCTATTTGTTCTGATATATGTGTATATGCTTTGTAAAATAATGAATATCTATTTTTTAGATTTATTTTATTTTAATTTAAAAAAATACCTTTTCCGCTTTATTGCATTAAAATTATCTCTCGCTTGTTTAGCTTCTTTACGTGCTTTATCAAAATCTTTTTCAGTGTCGTGCAATTTGCTTTCTACACCTTCTAAACGTTCAATAGCTTTCATATTAGGAGCAATTTTTTCTATTTCAGATGTTAGTTCTGATATTTTTTCAAATAAACGATTTTCTATATCTATAGATCCGTTCTCTTTAAGACTTTTGTCTAATGAGCTATAATCAATTTCAATTTTCCAATCAGAAACTATGATATTTGATTCATTGACTTCCTCACTTTTTGTATTTATATGATTTTGCATTATTGATTCATCAATTGGAATATCATTAAGGTTTCCCGAAATAAGAGGAATATTAATTTCTTCAAGTTTACAGCGTTTAAAAATTGCATATCGTTCAGATGATATTCTTTCAATTTCAGATTCTGCTTCAGAATTCATTTTAAAAAGCAAATCAGTTTGCTTTGTTAGTTTATTTATTTCTTGGCAAAGTTCATTAACAACTTGTGCTTTTTTGTCATGTTCTTTTTTTTTAATTGTATGAGTTTCTCGTTTTTGTAGCAATTCAGTTTTTAAAATGTTTATGGTTTCTTGAGTTTCTTTTTTTTTTTTTTCGAGTTCTAATATTAATAATGAATCTCTATTTATAAACATTTGTAGTTTTTTGATTCTTTCAGATGTTTCGTCAAGTCTTTGTTTTTCAAAAGTTAACCTATACAAAATTAGAATTGGTAAAATTATTCTCATAATATAATTCACTGATTGTTTAATTTCGATTCCTGTGTCAAGAAACTCATCCTTTTTTCTGTTGTTTCTTGAACCCATGATCCATGACTATTTTCATATTCTCTTATATTTTTTACTTTTATTTTTGAACAAAAGTCTTGAAAAATTTTATCCTCTATATCGTTTATTTTATTTTGAAGCTCTGATATTTTTTTTGTATTTTCATTAAGCAAGTTTTGATCTTTTTCAAGTTTAGAGGGCATTTCTTTTAATTGTCTTTTTATGTGCTCTATTTCTTCTTTTTTTCCATTAAGATTTCTTTGTATTATGTTCTACTAAAGTTATTATGAGAGAAAATAAGTAAATATGATACCAAGTTTTCTTTAGAAAATTCAAGCTGTGGCTTTAATCCTGAAATATTTGAACTTGCAATTTCTTCCGTCATATTTCGTTTTTTATCTTTCTGTATATCTTGGAGACGATTCATAAGATTATCGCGGAGTTGTTTAAGAGCTGAAAGTATTAAATATATTTTTATATTAAATGTTTTGTTGTAAACCTTCGATTTCGTTTTCATCCCATTTTTGTTCTTGTTTAAAATTACGATTTTGTCCTCCAGTTATAAGTCCTGCTTTATGAAGAGCTGTTCCATCTAATGTTACAACTAGAAATGTCGTTAATATAATTTATTAAAATAAACAAAAATATACTTTTGGCTTCTATATCCCTATTATAGCGAATATTTTTAGCAATATTAAAATCATCACATATTAATGCATTTCCAATTGCAAATTGTATAGCCCTTTCAACAGAAGATTCATAACTAATAACGTCGATTGCTAAACGTGCTTGAGGATGAATATTTCGTAATTTTTGGTCAATAGATTTGACTTGACATGTATCTAATGGTATAAACGTTAAAACTCCTAATCTTTGATCATGAAGATATTCGATACATTCCTTGGCAATTTTTTGGTTGTTAACAACAATAGAGTTTATATTTTTTCCGCAAATAGTAGCAACTGCAATTTCATATTTTCTTTGAGTAGGCTGGTATAAGTCTATAATGCGTCCACGAACTCCTGGAAATATTCTCTTCAATGTATTAACAATATCTTTTGTTTTTAGTTCACGTTCTGATTCTCGTTTGTCTGCGTTAATTTGAAGCAATTTATTAAGGCATTCTTGTAATTTTTCATTAAGCTCTACTTCTTTTTGTGCTATTCGAATACGAGACGAATGAGCAACTTCTAAATTACTTTCTTCTCTTTTTAAATCTTGCATTAATTGGTTTACTTTTTCGTTCATCTAGTAAAATATAAAATATTGTTTTGAAAATGTATTTTAATACTTCAGATTTTTGCATAGAGAGTAAATAAACTTCATCTTCAAGAATGTCTTTTTGTTTTTTTAATTGGTTAAATTTTTCTTGAAGAATGTTAGTAGATTCAGAATCTATTTTATACTGGCGAAGTAGATTTTCCAATTCTTGTTTTTGAATAGATGCTTCATTATTTACTTTAGTTTTTAATTTTTTATATTTTTCTAAGTCGAAATCATTAAAAATAACACCTTTTTGTTTTGCTAATTTTGCTTGTTTCTCTTCAAAATTTTGAAGAGCTTTCTTTACTATAGATAAGTCTTTTTCAAAAGATAAAATGTAATTTGATTGTCTAGATTGATCCCTTTCTATTTCATTAATCCTAGAGCTATATTTTTTAATGCTCATGTTTGCGCCATTTATTTTTTCTTCTGCCGTTATAAGAGCTGGTTGTTGTTCTTCTAATGCTTTTTCTTTTTCTCTAATAGATTTTTCTTGTTTTAAAATATCTTTCATTACTTTTGCTTGAATTTTTTTAGTTTCATATAAATTTTCTTGAAATTTTTTCTTTTCTCTATTTAATTCTGCAGATTTAGAAATATTATGAAAAATAACTTCTTTATTGCTGTTTATTTTGCATTCTAAATGAAATAATTTCCATAACAAATGTAATGCAATTGCATCGTCCTAGAAAAGTTAATTTTATTTTCTATCACCAATAAAATTATACTCTTTCATCCAATTTTGCTGAATAATTTTCAGCTTCTGCTTTTTGTTCTTTGTATTGCTTAATCTCTGCATTAATTCCTCGTTTTCTATGAAAGGCATAAGTAGAATTATCTATTGCTCTCTCCTGTTCTATTTTAAGTTTTTCGTATTCAGATTTATATTCTAATGATCTAGAAATTCTAGACATATATATATTAAATATTCAATTATACCCGCTTATTTGTTCTATGAGTCTAGTTAAATCTTTTGGAGATTGAGATGCAATTGCCTCTACATCACCCTTGATTTATTATTATATAATTAAAAAGAAAAAATATTTTTTATACCTGAAATACTAAAAAGTTTTTTGCTTTAACAAGAATGTTATGGGCTTCAAGAGCTTTATTATAAGCAGCAACTGTAACTACTTTATTATCAATCAGACACTCTGTTACTCCGGACGGAGATATTCTGGTTGCAATAAATTAGAAAAATTTATATATTTGAGAAAATGTACGTTTTCTTGTATTGTATGTAATTTCCGTTATCATTTTCATACACGAGCATTACCCATGCATCATTAACTCCAATATCTGGTTTTCTTTGTAAGCTATTTTCGTTTAATATAGTTTCACGATAAATGAGGTCCATAAAGTGAGATGAGCGTAATTGAGATGACTTAAGACCTAAAACAAATGATATAGCATCCATTAAATTTGACTTTCCTGTATACGTTATTAAATGAAAAAAATAAATACTTAAATTTTTTCCTGAGCCATTTGGTCCTATAATAGATGTAAAATCATAAAATGGACCTATTATTTGATGTCCTTTATATGATTTGAAATTTTGTAATTCAAGTCGTACCAATCTTCCCATAATATATATTTATACTTATTATTACGTATAGTAATGTTTTTATATTCTTTTATAAATTTTTATAGTAATATTTTTATGTATTTTATATTTAATAGTTAGGAGTATTTTTGGGGACGCGATTGTTGCTTAGAATTTAATTGGCCTTTATTGTTTTATATTTATAATAGTTTAATGAGAGAAACTGAAAAATAAAGATGGTTTTAAATGAGAATGAAGAGATGGAGTTAGGGATTGATGATGTTGAGATAGATCATGAAAAAGAAAGTGATTGGAAAGGATTAAATAATTTTTCAGGCGAATTTAAAAATAGTGAAAAGGTATGGTTAGGATTATTTATAATGAATAATGTAGAGTTTATGGAATAGGGTCAAGATTTGTCTATTCTTGAGTCTAATGTAGTGGACATAGCAGAAACTGGTAAATCGTTTTATTGAAAGAAATAATTTTTTTGTTAAAAATACTAGAATCACTAAACACGCTGCGCACTGAAGCTTTGTATTTAAAGGGTGTGGAAGATATGTCTACAGAGGATGTAGAAAAATATTGTATCACTTATTATTTAGCTGTCTCTCCTTTGATTGAATGGATTGATGATTCATCATGTGATTTATCTATTTTGTATTAATTTTTTTAACTTTAAGTATAGGTAATTTAGTATATCCGGATGCTTCTACCGCATTATCTGCACTTTCTTGTATTTCTCAATCTAAGATTGATACATTGTATGTTAATTCTCTTGTACCGGCAAAAATGAATCCAAAGCATAATAATATACAATTATTTATAAGGCATTCTAAAACTTCTGATAAGAAGGCCCCAGGTGCAAGAGAAAGAAGTAGATGGTATCTTTTTCATCCGCATCCTAGTGAGAAAAGGGATTCAATGTAAATGTTCTTTGTGAATTTTGATTAAGTATTTAAAGCTCTATAGACATCGTCATAAACGGGATGTCTTTCAACGATCTAATTCACATAAGCGTATAAGACATCGGCACAGTGTAGCGACTGATTCATTGTTTAAAAAAAATAGACCTTTATTATTATCAATGTTACATGATTCTTTATCTTCGCATTCAAAACATGATTTTCAAATATCTGAAAAATATTCATTATCTGATTCTTCAAGGAGTAATATTGAATTGTTTCCAGAAAAATTATCGATACCTAAAGTAAATCGTTTTGTCCAGATATTACATTCTTCAACAGATACTGCTACTCTCAGTGAATTGGATAAAATACCACATAAAGAGTTGTTTCCTGAAAAATTACAAAAGCTAACTTGTAAAGAACAATTTTTTGAGGAATTGAAAAAAACAACTCATAATCAAGTGTTATCTCAAGAATTGAATAAAGTATTTCACAAAGAGCTTTTTCCTGAAAAATTATTAGATTCTAAAAGACAAGTTGGTTATTTTTCTTCTAACGATAATATAACAGAGAAGATACCTCTTACTTTGACTATAAGAGGCTCATCAAAATGTAGAAATAAAGCAGCGAATATGTTTTAAATTATTATTCAAAATTTGAATAAATGTATTAACTTAAAGTTATATTATCTATTAAAAAATTAATAGTTTTGTATTTTATAATTTTTTAGTTATTTTTTTAATTAAAATTTTGGTAAGTTTTTTATGGATAAGAATTGTATGAAAGTTTTGATTGTTTTAATTACTTTCATTAATATTATGTATTACTTATAGTAAATAGATTTTAAAAAAAACTATATTAAGATTATATGTTGAGATTTAAAAATGCTAAATTGAATAATTGGTTTTAATAAATAAGATTAAAAATTAATTTTGAATGTTTTTAGATTTTGATATTATAAATTAGTTTAATATCACTTCTAGTATTTTAAGATATTTAAGATAATTAGTTAAATTTATATATAATTATTAATCTAAACATATATTTATAAGTTTGTATTATTTAGATTTTAATGATCCGAATATTGATATTTTTAGAAATTATAACATTAATTTTAAGCTTTATTTTAATATTTTTTAAGTAAAAAATGTATTTTACTATTTTTATGTCTGATCAATTTTTAAAAATTATTAAAATAGTATAGAATTTATATTTAAATATTAATTGTATTAATATTTTAAAATAAAGTTTAAAAATAAATTTAGTTATATATTTAATCTATTATATTTGCATGGATATATACATAGATATATTGATAATTTAAATTTCTAAAGCTCATTAGCATTAAGGAGATCCCCAAGTGTTTTTATATAATAATCAGGTATAATGTCCAACGTGTTTTTTAGTATATCATCTTCTTTGCTTATTCCCTTTATGATTTAGAAAAAAACAAAACAATAGAAATATATTGTTACTGTAAGTACTAAACAGCTTTTTATTCCTGAATTTTTTGCAAATAATATATCTGTATCAATTCTATCTCCAATAAAACATGTTTTAGATTTATCAAATTTAAATTCAGATTCTATCGCTTGAAGCATTTCTAAATTCGGTTTCCCCAGAAAAATTGGTTCCCTTCCTGATGCACATGAGAGAGGTGCTGAGCATGATCCTGCTCCTGGGAACAATCCTCCTGATGTAGGATATGTAGAATCAGAGTTAGTCACAAGAAATAATGTGTTTTTGTTTTGAAGATAGTTAAAGGCTTTAGAATATTTTAGATAATTTATATGTAAATCAAGACCACATAAAACTGCTCCTACGGATGGATCTAAGTTAAGATTTTCAAAATCCTCTATTTTTATATCTTTTCTTTCCACTGGATCCTTTATAAATATGTTATAAAAATTAGAATATAATAAATATATAGCTACCGTTCCCCCTATATACTTTATTCCTTGTCTATCTAATTCTTTTTCAACTCCTTCTTCTCCAAGAATGTATACTTTTTTTTCTTTAGGAAATTTGACAATATTTTTTAAATATAGCGCTGCAGAATATGATGAACTAAATATTTCATTCTATAATATTGTTAGTGAACATAATTTGAATACTTTGAATTACTAATTCTACTTTAAATCCTAAGTTTATAAATTTTTTTTGATATTCTTCTCTTGGTTTTGATGAATTATTTGTAACAAATGCTATGTTTTTTCCTAACCTAAAATTAAATATTTTTATTAGAATTAATATTATTTAACCTTTTGATCTTATAAAATTTAATGTTTCTGGAACGTTTGGCAATAGTTTTGTGCCTTTCCATAAAACACCTAGAATTAGGTAAAATGAGATTAAATATTAAAAATATACCATCACAATCAAAAAGAAATGTATCAAATTCTGAAAGGAAATTTTGATAATCAGATTTAGTTAGAAGTTGTTTTGTATACATAAAATATTTTGTAATATCGTAAATTTAGAAAAGTAGAATTAGATAAAATGCTTATAATTAAGAAAATAGTTGAAAATATTTTATTTAGGATATTTACAAAAAATAAATTTAGGGAAGTTACAATTTATGTTAAGTATTTAAATTTTGTGTAAGGTCAGTAAATGTAGAGTAAACGCATTAAATATGGTTAATTTTATTATAGATAAAAGTTAGATGAAACTGATAGTTTTTATGCGATATATTTTTGAAGTAATTTGTTTTAGTTTCGAGACCCAAAATCTGGAGGCGGTGGTTGATTTTTTTCTTTTTTTACTTTAAATTCTGCAAGAATTGAAATATGACTAAATAAATAAATAAATAAATTGTAAATTTGGCTAAAATGTTACTTACTCGCTTGGAAAATGGGCATTTGGGAATCCAACCACTCCATTTAAATACTGTTTATCCACTTCTTGAAGAAGTCCTGTAACTTCAAGAGAGTTTGTTGTATGCCAAATATAGTCTATTACTCCGGAAAATCCAGGAGTATAGTTTGTAAATGGAAGTTCCCCTATGATATTATAGGAACTTTTTAGTTGAAAAGAATGTGATCTTCCATCTGTTGTATATGTACCGTATTTGCTATCCATGAAATCGCTATGGTTTTCAAGAATATGGCCTCTAGAAAGGAAATCGTATACTCCACTACCTGGAATTGAATTAAAATCTCCGCATATAATTAACGGTATTTTAGTTCCAGAAGAATATGCAGGACGGTCTTCATTCCATTCAAAATCAAAAGCGTCGTCTAACATTTTGGATGGTTTCTTACGAATAGGTATTTTTGCATAATTTTCAGCCATTTCTGTAAGTTCATCCATAAGCATTGTTGCTTGTATAACTTTAACATCTCTAAATTTCGGATCCCAATAAAAATGTGTATTTGCAATTATTAGGCGATATCCAGCTTTTCGGTGTTCAAGCAATGATACAATACATATATTATCTTTTGTCATAACACGATTATACATATCATGCGTAAGTTTATGTCCGTCACGACGTAATGGGGCTTGATTAAATTCAATTAATTGTTTTTCTAAAAGGTCAAAACTAGTTTATTAGTTTTGTTGGTATTTATATTGAAAACATACATGCATGTTTTGAAAAAAGTAGCACAACCATCAACTACTCTACGTTCAGCTTCGTTCATAGTTCTTGCACGAGATTTAGGCCAAAACAATCCTTTATAGCCCTTAATAGAGAGTTTAGGAGAAAAATATTCTTCAAAATTGTCAACATCTACTTCCTAACAATAATTTAGTAATTCTAGTTATAATATAATATATATATGCCTGAAGACAAACTATATCTGCATTATATGATAATACTTCATGTAATATAAGTTCTTTGCGATAATCCCATGATAATGCCCACGATGGCGTATAGCCATACATCATAACAGTTGCACACCTATCACATAAAATATTATAGTTGAATACAGTAAAAGTTTCATTTTCTGTAGAGGAATTTTCTGATTTTTTTCCAGGAAATGTAACCCATTCTCTTTCTGGAGGTGGGAGGGGCACTATAATTATTAAAATGAAAAAATATTTTTTAGGTTACAAACCTGGACAACTATCTCTTAAATAATAAATTAAAGACTTAGTACCATCTTTTGCTAATAAACTTTTAAAAGCGTCTGGTAGTGGATTGCCCTCTAATCCAAGAGTTTCTAGCTGATATAGTGTGCCAAATTCTGGCGGTATATTAGTTATTTGGTTATCAAAAAACAAAAGTTCTTTGAGGTTTGTAAGCATTCCAATTTCTGAAGGTAAACTAGTTAAATTATTTCCAGAAACATCTAGTTGAGTGAGAAGTCTAAGACGTCCAATATCAGGAGGAAGTCGCAGTAATTTATTGTGATTAATATAAAGAGATGTTAAAAAAGTATATCGAAATAATTCCCGACTAATGTTACGCAATCCCATACCACCCATATCTAAATTAGTCCAATCTTGTCTTTTTATTTTCCCTTCATTATTCCTTTGGACATCCTGTTTTTCTACAGGTGGTCCGTCTTTTCTATGCATTCCATCTATGGACACTTTAGTAGAATTATTTGGATCCGCAATTGCTGTTGAATTTGAAGATACTGTATGAGTAGTTGCTGCTGCGGTTCTTGCATGATGGTGGGGAGAACTTGACTGTCTAGATATTTTTGCATAAGATAATTGTTGTTGCCAATGCGGACTGCTTGCGGTTGATGCGTCAAAAGTAAGAGATGTATTGTTATTATTAACATTAGTAGAATTTCTTGATGAAAAAGAATGTTGATTGCTTAAACCATTTGTAGAATGTAAATGATCTTGTGTTTTTTGGAATTTTGAAATGCTTATTTGATTAGAATAGCGTTGAGTAGAATTGTATGAATCATGATGAATAGAATTAGTGAGATTATATGAAAGATTAGATGTTTGAGAGGGTGTTGAAGGATGGCTTGGAGAAGAAGTATCATTTCTTGAGGGTGATTCATGAGCATGTTTAGGTTGGAAAAGTCGTTGAGGTAACGAGCCATATTGTTGGTAGTTGTTAATCACATTTGAACCATTATCCGCCATGATAATGTTTTAGTCTACCTGTAAGAATACTTATTCTAAAATTATTTTTCAGGATATTCCCTTGTTCAGTAAAGTTAGATCGGAGGTTCTGACATATGGGTAGAAGATTTTAAATTTTCTGATGATTACAAAATACTAATCCCAAAAGAGAAAAAGTAGATAATATGAATATCTTTATGCTCCTTTAGAATTCTCTTTACTTTGTAAATATTAAGTATGTAAGCTATTCTTCTTGAAATATATTTTTTCTGATACTTTTTTCTTTTAAAGTATTATTTCTCGTTTTACTATGTTTCATCTTCTGATAATATAACCCTAACCCTGTAGGTTTATTTGGCAAAAATAAGTAGAAAAAATTTTAAATGTATTTTAGAATATGTTGATGAATAAAATATTTTTATTTATGATGAGTGTAATATGTATATGTTATTAGTATTTTTTTTGAAATTTTAAATGTTATTTAAAGAATAAATTTATGATTATTTTTTGAAATTAACTTTTTAATTTTTAAATAAAAATTACATTAAAATTATATTTTAAAAAAGCTATTTTTAATAAATTTTTATGTACTTCTAAATATTCGAATATTGGATTTTTTGATGACTAAAGTGAATACGTTTTGATAAGTTAAATAATTATCTTAATAAATAAATTATATATTATTTAAAAATATGTTTTTATATAATATTAGTCTTTAATTTTTTTAATATTTTTTGTATTTTTCTATTTTGTAAAAAAATGATTGTTTAAAAAAACAATAAAATTATTTATAATAATATTTGAAAAAGTATTTAAAATAAATTTATATTTATTAGATAATTGTTTTTGAAAAAAAAAAAAAACTAATTTTTGTATTTTTAATAATCTTATTTTTACTTAATTTATATATATGTTAATGATCTTTTGGTTTTATAGATTAATTTATTTTTTAATTTTTAAAATAAAATATTTGTAATTCAAGTATTCATAATATTAATTTTAATTATTTATATAATATATATATATGAATGATTGTTTAAATTTTTTGTTCTATATATTTTCAAGTTTTAATCACTAATAAAATATTAATATTTGAATAATTATATTTTTTGTAAAAATCTAATGAGTACAAAAAAAAACCGGTTATAGAAGATAACGTATGAATTATGAGACTGTTTTTATTGCCCTTAACTTGTTTGAAAAAAAAATATTTTTTGGAATATACAAATATGAGATGTTTTTTTAGGTCTCAAATTAGGTTATTTTCTCATATTCCTATCCCATTTGTTATTGAACAAAATGCATGTTAAAATTAGTTAGTATATTTTACTAATTTTTATTACTAGGGGAAATTTATTAATACTTTTGATATTTTTAGTAGGTATTTCTGGTGTTTATGTTTAATATACGATTTTGATTTTTATAGATTGTTGAAAGAAAGAATAGTCTACCTTAATGGACCGGTATATATTACTTTTTTATAAAATAATGATTTAATTATTCTTAGATACATGATGGTGTTTCTGCTGTAATTGTTGCTCAGTTACTTTTTTTAGAAGCAGAAAGCCCTGAAAAACCTATATCTCTTTATATTAATTCTTCAGGAGGAAAGTATTTAAATTTAAAATATATAATTTTTTATTTATTAATAAAATAGGAAGTGTAACTGCTGGTCTGTAATGATTTAATTCTAGTATTTTTTAATGATTTATAGGTCTTGCTCTTTATGATACTATGCAATATATTCATTCCCCAGTTTGTACGCTATGTATTGGACAAGCATCATCAATGGCATCTCTTCTATTAGCAGGAGGCACTCCTGGACAAAGATATGCATTACCTCATGCAAGTATCATGATTCATCAACCTAGTGGTGGTGTATCCGGACAAGCTAGGTGTGTATTTGCTGTATTTTTGATTATTAATAGAAAAATTAGCGATATAGCAATTCATGCGCGTGAGATTTTGAAAGTTAGAGAACGTTTAAATCTTATTTATCAAAAACATTTAACTAAAACTAAAGGTTTGGCTGATATAGGTAAGTTTTAGTAATAATCCATTATTACTGATTGTTTTAGAAAAATTAATGGAAAGAGATTATTTTTTAACTCCACAAGAAGTATGTGATTTAAAATTGAGTTTAAATATTAAATTTCGCAAGGCACTTGAATTAGGTATTATTGATAAGATTTTAGTAAAACGTGATAAAGAAATAAAGGAAAAAACATGAAAAAAATATAAACGCCTTGTTTGAAACCTATGTAATTTACAATGTAATGATTGTTGTATATTTAGAATAAAGTATTATGATACGCCACTAACTGAAAGCGCTAAACATAGATTTCTTCTTGTAAATTGAACTTTATAAACAGGTGTTTTACATGTATATAAAGCAGTCATATGATCTAATCTAAAGTTTGTCAATAAATAACTGTTTCTAGATAGATTACTTACGTTTCTATATTTTCTTTTTTGTCTTTTGTGGTAGATGCAGTTATTTTAACTAACGTGTCATTTGCAGTTTCTATATTATATCCTTCTGATATTTCAGAGATATTTTCATTATTAGATGCATCACGTTTGACATCCCAGACTCTTACTGTACAGTCTGATCCTCCACTAACAAGTACTGAACTCTCTTTTGAAAAAGAAAGAGAATAAATAGATTTTCGTGTATGGCCTCTCATACTTTTTAATTGTCTACCTGACCCAATATCATAAATATTTATAAGTGCATCATCACCTTCAATGCTATTAATTATTTACAATATTCTTAAAAAAAACAAACCAGCAGTTGCAAGCAACTTTCCATCTGGAGATATTGTCACACAATTTATAGGTCCAGAATGGCCTGTAAATACTCTTACAGCATTTCCTTTTTGAACATCCCATAATCTACATGTTTTATCACTAGAGCCTGTTGCAACGTATGCTGAATTAGGATGAAATGAAACACACTATATAGAATTAGGTTTGCTACCATTAAAGTACATATTATCTACATCTACATCACTAAGGTGTCCTGCAAAAATCCTAAGAGGATACATATGTTCACAGCTCCATAAACGTGCAGTTTGGTCATGAGAAGCAGTAGCAAAATAATGTCCGAATGGACCTATTGCGATATCCCATACTGGTTGATTATGTCCTTTATATGCAACAAGACAAGTACCAGTATCTAAAGACCATAGTCGGCAAGATCGATCTTCGGAACATGATAAAATAAATCTGCTATCATTGCTAAATGTAACCCCATAAACAGGACCTGAGTGACCAATAAATCGGCGACTATGAGACTTCGATTGATATAATATTGAGGTTATTTTTAGATTTTATAGGTAATTTTAGAAATATACCTGAATCGTTGGATGAAGAGTCTGTATTAATGGTTTTATTTATAGTTGTATTCCAGACTCTAATATAACTTTCAGAAAACCCACATGCTATTAATGATGCATTTTCAGAAATATCAGCACAGTTAAGACTACGATTGTTTGTACTTATATTATTAAAATGAAATATAACCTACCTATCGTGTGTATTATGAAAAGTATACATACAAACACTAGGCAATGATGCTTGAGGACCTAGTATAAGGCGTTTTCTTAAATCTTTAATTACTTCGATTTCTTTTTCGACATCTATGGCTTTACTATAAAACTTGTAAAAAAAGAATTAAAGAAAAAAACGACTTACGATGCAGGCAAAGGAATAGAATTTTTCATAGGAGAATCATCTGATGTTTCTTTTTTGTTTCTAAACTCTTCAAGAAGAGATTTTTCACCTCTTTCATGATTTTTTTTTTCATTTTTGCTATCAAGAATAGCAAGCTCCATTTCTATATCGTTTTTTAAATCCGTATCTAATGGCATTTCACCTAATTTCACTGGTTGTTTATTAAAACTATCTAAATGATATACATCATATCCAGAAATTCCTTCATCATTTGTAATCGTATTGTTTATAAATTGGTCAGGTCTTCCTGTGACAATTTTTGTTTCAACATGTTGATTTAATAATCTCATTATGATTGCACCACCATTAGATTCGTTTTCAAAAAGAAAATGTAACATTAAATCGAATGCTGTTCTCCACATTGTTATTTTATATTTATTCTGACGATAAAGTTTTACAAGTTCGTTTTCTTCAATATGTTCTGGTAAAGTAATAGACGACATTTGACGAATATCATATCCATGAAGAACTTCATGTTCAGATGAGTATGTAGTAAAGAATTGTTTTGCTGGGAAAAAATTATATAGAATTTTTGAACTTTCATAGATTAATACCTGAATTTGTTTGATTTTTAGAAATCAAATCAAGATATGAATGTATAAATATAGGAAATAAAACACGTCTTAATTCTGGCTATATGATTATATTAGATCTTTTGATTAAAACATTTTAGATAAAAACTCTATATAATTCCAATGAGCTATCAATCCAATCTCTTAATAACATATATGATTGGAAATATGTTTCAGCAGTACCACTGAGCCAATCTAAGGAATTTTTAGCTGAATTTAATGCTTCCGGTCCTCTTGCTGATTCTAGCCTTAGTATGGCTTCTGTTCTAGAATACCCATGCTGAGAAAGCCAATTCATTACAAGACGATTCATGTCTTCAATAGTTACAGTTCTTCCCATATTTTGTTGAGTAACGCTTGGAACAACTGGTGGCATTTTGGATAAAACACTTATGTTTACTCTACTCTCATATAAAAGCTGCTAAATTATTGTGATAGAATTAAATATTTTTAGAGTTAATGTTTTTTAAAAAAAAAAAATGCTGCTTTTTTATAAAATTAATATTGTTTTATTCGAGGCTTTCGGCAAAATATAATCTTTATAATTTAAAATTAAAGATGGGTTCAGAAGAAAATACACCTCAAATTCCGTCACGGAAAAAGTCTTCTTTGTCTTTTTCAGGTTATATTGGAGATGATGATTTAGAATTTTCAATTTTAACATTTTTCGGTGTATTCGATTCTATTTCTAATGTTCCTATAAAGACATTAGGCAGTTTAAATCGTCATGTTCGTAAAAAAAGAGATGAAGTTTTTTTTTCCCTCCAAAGGCATTTTTAATGTGGTTTTAGTTCAGGGAAAATAAGGTTAGGCCTTTACAAAGGAAAGTTGATAAAGAACTGGAGAAACTGAAAGGGCGTATAGCGGATAAAGTTGATAAATTGCAAAAAAAATGGGTAGATGGAAATGTTGTTAGGGCAAGAGATAAAGTTGCTTTTGTTCTTGGTGTTGGGAATGTGTTCTTTAGTGCTTTATTAATGGGGATGATTCCTCAAAATTTTCATGTTTGGTATTCTGTTCAAATTTTATATTTTATGCCTTTAAGATATATTACATATCATCGTAAAGGAATGCATTATTTCATTGCTGGTTAGGTTTTACTTTTTTGTTACTTAATTGCTTAAATTTTTAGATCTTTGCTATTGGGTTAATATGATGGTAACTTTCTTTATTTAAAAATTTTTATTAATATTAAGCTTCTTGTTTATCTTTGGATTCTTCCTTCTTCAAAATTTCTTCTCGTGTCTACATATTTTCTTTCTTTTGGGCCATTATCATGGGCAATTATTGCTTGGAAAAATTCTCTTGTTTTTCATTCTATGTAACCGTTGTTATTTTTTTTTTTTTTCTTGACAAAAAATAGGGATAAAGTTACAAGCTTATTTATTCATATATTTCCTCCAACTGTTCTGCATACAATTATTCATATTGTTCCAGCTGGTTATACTTATAAAAGGTTTCCCGCATTGGGGAAATTGGAGCATATTGATATTTTTCCTGCATTTATAGCGACTTCTATAGCCTATTTTGTTTGGCAGATTTTATATTATATTTTTATTCAAGTATTTAGTTTTAAAAATTCTATATGTATATTAATTTAGTAGGTTAGAAGACGTGAGAAGATTTCCGCTGGAAGGCCTACATCTTTTACATGGCTTTTAAAAAGGTTAATAATGTTAGTTTGATAATATTTTCTTATATTTATAGTTATTCGAAAACATGGATAGGAAAGCTCGTATTGAAACTTCCTGAGCCTACTCGACCTTTTGCTTTTATGGCAATACAGGTGGATTATTTATAAATATATATATCTGAAAGTTTATATAACTAAATAGTATATTTATACATTAATAACTATGGCTCCATGTCCTTGGTGGTATTCTCATAAAAAATCATCAACAATATTTTTAATATCTTTATTTGCATGGAGTGTTTGGAATGGTTTGTTTATGTTTGACTTTATAATAGTTAATATTTTATATAGGTGCTTCATATTATGGTAAATTTAATATTAAATTTAAAGGTCGTGAAATGATTTTGAAATAGTTGATGTATTTGGTCGACGTTTCCAAAAAGAATTAGAAGATCTTCGGAGAGAAGTTAGTACTTATGAAAACCCTAATACGCCTTATCTATCGAAAGTTGATGATATAGTGATTTCTGGCGATTCTTTTTTAAATACATGTTCCAATGCGTTAAAAACAGTAAAATATTATATATGTTTAGATTTTTTCTTATATATTTTAGGAATTTCAATTAAATGAATTTGTTAATTCTGATGTAAATGATAATAATGAGATTAATTATTTGCGTAAAAGATAATATGAAATATTTTATTATTCTTAATATGCTTTTTTTAAATATTGAAAATACATGGTAAATTGAAGTAGAATTTTATATTTTGAATAATCATAATTGTATATATAAATTGAATTCGTATTTTGTATTTTGTATAAATATTTTATTTAAGTTAAATAGTTGATAATGCGTATTGATAAATTGGATATAAATAGATTTTACTTGTTTATAAAAAGATCTAGTAAAAATGTGTAGTAGAAATTAATCTTATTTAGTTTGTGGTACTTATGTTTAAATTTGATGGATATTTTTTTAAAATATTATCATATTTTATATTTTTTTTAATGATTAATTAAATAATATTTATAAAATGTATTTGAGGTAAATAAATGTTAAAATTGATTGTTATTTTAGCGTTGAGTTTTTTATTTTTTTGTAGTTGTTTTTTAAGTCTAAATAAATGTAAAGTTTGATTTTTTTTGGTATTTTTGAGTTTATTATTAGATTTTAATATATTATGTTAGTTTTATTTATATAAAATTATTATGATTAATATAGTAGTAATACAAAATATGATTATGAAAAAATAAAGAATGATATCTAATAGAAATTAAATTTTTTAATTAAAAATAGAACATATGAATTATGAAAAATAATAGATATATATATATATAATAAAACATAATTATTTAGAATGTTTATATAAAATGAGTTTTTTGTATGATATATATATATATATTAATTTTAAATATAATTTCGTTTTATGTACTTTTTAATGTTATGTTATATAGTATTATAGTAATAGTTTGTTGAATATAATATTATGATTTATTTTAAGATTTGTTAATTATAATTATATATAATATTATATTATTTAACAATTTTTGAAATAATTTAATTTAAATACATTAATATTTTTTTTGTAATATTTGATATGAATATTACTGTTTTTGGATTTGATATATATATGTATGGTTAATACATGACAAGTGTATTTATCATTGAAATAATTAAATTATATAATTATATAAATTAAAAATTATAATTTTAAAATAATATTTTAATTTTAATACTTTAACGTTAAGATTCGTAATTATGAAAATTGTTCGTTTAAAAATAAAAAGGTATTTGCAAATTTTATTAAATATTTACTAAATAGAAACAATTAAATACTTTTAGCTTTAGAAAATATGGGTGATACTAGGGATGAGTCTGCTTCAGATATTAAAAGATCACCTTATTCACAAGTTGGAAGAAAAAGTTCTCAGGTTCTTTCTCCTGATTCTTTAAAAAAAAGAATTTCTGCTCCATGGACTTCTTCATCTAATAATCTTTCTGATACAAATTTTGACAATAAAAATATGAAACAACATCAAATAAATAATGAGTTTGAGAATGTTAATTATACCCAGTCAGAATTAAAACCAGCTTTTGATCCAAAAGTGGAGTTTGAGCGTTTAATGAATACACGTGCAGGTAAATTTTGTATTAGTCTTTTAGTTTCTTTAAAATATGTTAGGGGGCGTTTATGTTCCACCTGCACGATTAAAAGCATTACAGGCACAAATCACTGATAAGGAAAGTAAAGAGTATCAACGTATGTACTGGGAAGCTCTTAAGAAAAGTATTAATGGTCTTATTAATAAGGTATATGATTTGTAAAATATAATCGTTTTAATAGTATAAGGTTAATACTATGAATATTAAAAATATTGTTGTTGAATTATTCGGTGAAAATCTTATTCGTGGTCGTGGTCTTTATTGCCGATCTATTATGAAAGCACAAGCAGTATCTTTGCCATTTACACCTATTTATTCCGCCTTAACTGCTATAATCAATACAAAGTTACCTTCTATTGGTGAATTACTTCTTACTCGTTTAATTGTACAGTTTCGGAAAGCTTACAAAAGAAATGATAAGGTTTAAAAGCAATTGTATGATTTTCGAATTTAACATGTGGTTTTAGTTTTTTTGTTTGTCTTCTACTATGTTTATTGCTCATTTGATTAATCATCAAGTTGCTCAGGAATTGGTTGCTCTTGAAATATTAGCATTGCTTTTAGAAAGACCTTCAAATGATGCAGTTGAAGTTGCAGTTGGTTTTATGAGGGAAGTTGGTGCATATTTGGCTGATGTTTCTCCACGTGGTAGTAATGCTGTTTTTGAACGGTTTCGGGCTATCTTGCATGAAGGAGTTATTGAGAAAAGGGTTCAATATATGATAGAAGTTCTTTTTCAAGTCAGAAGGGATAAATATAAGGATAATCCTATCATTCCAGAAGGCCTTGATTTGGTAGAAGACGGTGACCAGATTACTCACATGTTAAGTTTGAATGATGAGTTAGATGTCCAAGAAGGCTTGGGGATATTTAAATATGATCCACTGTGGCAAGAAAATGAAGATCAATATAAGAAAATTAAAGATGAAATATTAGGTGAAAACAGTGATGAATCTTCAGACAATGAAAGCTCTTCTGAAAGTAGTGATGAACAAGGTTGTATCATATTTTTATGTATATATATATTAATTTTTAAATAGTAATTGATGATAAAATACATATAAAGGATGAAACAAATCAAGCATTAATAAATCTTCGGCGAACTATATATCTTACCATTATGTCTAGTGTTAATTTTGAAGAATGTGCTCATAAGCTTATGAAAATAAATATCCATGAAGGACAAGAGGTATTTTTATGGCTTTTTTTAATTTTTATTGAAATTATTAGATTGAAATGTGTAATATGATTATTGAATGTTGTAGTCAAGAAAGAACTTATTCTCGCTTTTATGGTTTAATTGGTGAACGATTTTGTAAATTAAATCGTTTTTGGACTGAAAATTTTGAACAGACATTTTTAAATTATTATGATATTATACATCGTTATGAGACAAATAGGCTTCGTAATATTGCTACATTTTTTGGTCATCTTTTATCATCTGATGCTATAAGTTGGCATGTTATGCGTTGTATTCATTTGAATGAGGATGAAACGACTAGTAGTTCAAGGATTTTTGTGAAAATATTATTTCAGGAGCTAATGGGTGTTCTTGGTATATGTGAATTAGATACACGATTAAAAAATCCATTTTTACAAGAATCTCTTTGTGATATGTTTCCTCGAAATAATCCAAAAAATACTAGATTTGCAATAAATTATTTTACTTCTATAGGATTAGGAATGATAACTGTTCAGTTACGTGAACATTTAGAAACTATAAAAGTATGTTTTCTTTGAAAATGGTTTTAAACTTATTTTTTAGGATGTTATTACTGAAAAACAAACTCTTTCGAAATCTACATCTTCTTCAATAAGCACTACATCATATACTACTTCATATTTATCAGGGACTTATTCTAATGATATTTCTGAGTCTTCGAGATCATGTTCTCGGTCACGTAGTCCTAGAAGAATACAAAGTTCTCGTTTTCGTAGTCGTTCTCGGTCACACAGTTCTAGAAAAATACATAACTCTCGTATGCGTAGTAGTCGTTCTAGGCAGCGAAGTCGTTCTCGTTCACGTAACCGTTTCAAAATGAATTCTCGTATACATGGTCGCTCTAGATTACGAAGTCGTTCTCAATCATTAAATCGTTCTAAATTACGGTCTTTTGGTTCAAGAAAACGATTGCGATCTCGTTCTCTGTCACATGAATCTATAATACAAGGTTCTCGTACACATAGTCGTTCTAGACTTCAAAGTCGTTCTCGCTCACATAGTCGTTCTAGGATGTTGGAGTTCCGTATACATAGTCGTTCTAGACTGTGTAGTTCTCGGTCACATAGCCGTTCTTAGAAAATTTTGTTTTAAAATATATAAATAGTTGCTTTGTTTTCTATTATTTGGATTGGGTTGATGACTTGTTTTGTGTAAAAATATTGAAAGGTTATTACTATTTATTTATTTTTATATATGTTGTATAAGATATATTATTTCTATATATAGTTTTGAAGTGTATGTTATTTAATTCGTTAAAATTTATATATTTATTTGTTGTATGTAATGATTGAAATAATATCATTCAATTATATATAGTTACAATAAAATATTATTTTTCCTAGCTTATATAAGATCATATTGTTTATGTTCCTTTGAAATATATAAAATTATTATACATTTTTCTATCATTATTTTTAATATACTAAATATGAATTTCTTTTGTATAAATGATTCTATGTTATATTATAATGTTATATTATATTACATGGTAGATATATTATATGGTAGATATATTATATGGTAGATATAGTAGACAACATATAAATTTTAATTTAATATAGTTAAAATATAATTGTATCTTAGATTATATATAGTAGTATTTTAACATGTTAGATGTAGATTTACGCAAATTATTATATCTTAACTTTATACTAAATAAAATTTATAAATTATTATATTGATATATTAGATTGGACTCATTTATATATATTTTATATTATTTTGTAAGCATATTCGGTAATTATTTTGACAAATTATAAAAAATTATAAAGAGTAACTTTACGTAATTGATAGTTATATGGTAATATATTTTTTTGTTTAAAACATTTTAAAATACTTTAAAACACTTGTTTATAAGATAATATATATATTAAAAAACATAAAACATATAATGATTTTATTATTATTGTTATAAATATTAAAATATTCATTATATCATATCTTTTGTAAATTTAATAAATATAAATTTAATAAATGTTGATTTATATCATTTAGTATATATAGATTAAGAAATATATTATTTTCTTACATTTATTTATTAAATAAATGAAATAATTATCATAATATCATAAATGAGACTAGCATATAAAATAATTATAAATAATTATATATAATATTGAAATATTGAAAACATTAAATATGCTATATAAATATATTTTTTTTCTATGTAATTTTATATTAATTATATTAAAAAATTATATGTATCGTTTTATAAAATTTAATAACTGTATATATTTTAAATATGCATGTTTATAAGTTTATAAATCTAAAATTTATAGATTATTTTATAAATAACCAGAATTTGATACATTTTAGATAGAAATAAGAATATTTTATAATTTTTAAAATCTAAAATTATATATTTATTTTGTAGGTGAATAATACTAATGATAACATAATTGTTCTTTACGTTATAGAATTTTTTATAAATATGTATTTACAATACGAATAAATTATAAATATTAAATTCAATTTATAATAATTTTATCAAAATAACATTTCGTATTAAGTTATTTATTATACATATATTATGTTTTAACTAATAATAAGATATATAAATAGATACTATAGATATTAATATTGTATAAAAAAGATAAAACAATTTATAAGATTTATAAACTTAATATTTTAATATTCGATAAAAGAAATATTCGATAAAAGAAAAATGTAATTAAAATATGATTAAAATATGATTAAAAATGAAAAAATATATTATATTGACATGAACTACATCTTTAAACTACATCTTTAATTACTAATAATACATGATATATTTCAATAATATATTTATAGATAATTAATTCAACCTATGCAAAAACAATCAATAGATCACTAAAAATATATATCTATTATTTTAAACTAATAATTTCTCAATCTAAAACTACTATTTATTTAAATTATCATACATTTTTTAAAAAATATATTTATAGATAATAAAACATAAAAACATAAACAATCATACACATTAATTATAATAAATATTGTCTAGTTTTAACAAATCAGCCTATATTAATATTATAAACTAACATATGTTTATAAACATATGTATAAAATTAACGTAAGATACGTACTAACAAAATTATATAACATACATTTTAAATGCAAGTAAATCTATTAAATATTTATATGATAAAATCCCAAAACCCATAAAATCTAAAAAAATACAAAAAATACATAACATATATAATTTTATTTCATTACTACATATATTTAAACGTTAAACATTAAACGTTAACAATTCATAATTAAAACAAAATCAAATTATATGAGAATAATATCAATAAGATAAAACATTTTGCATTTACATATCTAAAAAAAACATTACAAAACACTAAAAAACCACAACTGAACCCTAAAAATTACACGAAAAACCAATAATTATCATACAATTATATATTACAATTATATATTTAATTTCATTTACTTGATGACGAATATTCTACAAATATCAAAAAATATTTTTTTAAAAAAAAATAATACTTGTTACAGCCTTCGTTCCTTCAGACACAGCATGTTTTGCAAGTTCACCAGGAAGTATCAGACGAACAGAAGTTTGAATTTCACGTGAAGAAATAGTTGACTTCTTGTTGTACGAAGCAAGTTTTGAAGCTTCACTAGCAATACGCTCAAAAATATCTACAAACTTAAAAACACATTTCTAAATTCCAACAAAATTACCATTCACAAAACTATTAAGAATTGACATTGCTCTATTTGATATACCAGTGTCAGGATGAACTTGTTTCAAAACCTTATAAATATAAGATGAATAAGTCTCCTTTCGATTTTTTGAACGCTTTTTTTTATCAAGAGTTCCTTTCCCATGCTCTTTTTTGTCCATAGGCGCTTTTCCTGAGAAACTTTTGCTAGCAACTGGTTTCTTTTCAGCAAGTTTTTGAGGCATACTGCAAAGAAAAACACCAATTCAATTATACAACTTTACACAATATTTATTAAACCATAAAAACTAGATCAATGTGCCTTTATATTTCTCATTACATCAAAATAGCCATAATAAATACCCCTAACCCATAAGAATTCATTAAGTAAAATCAAAATAAAAAAATAAAATTTAGATTACAAAACATATATTTTTTAAAAAAAAAAATAAATATAATAGAAACAAATTGCATATTTGCACAAGATTATATATATATCATAATATATTTCATTATTTATATAACTTCCAATTATTTTTTTTCATAAAATTACTATAGCAACACAAAGGAATGTAAACACGTTAAGTTCTTCGATCAATTTACAATTTTTTTATTGATGCGGAATTTACTTATAATAACGGGGCAATAATTTCGTATTGTTCCGTATATTATCAAGCAAACCAAGAAATTCAATAAAAAAAACCAAATAAAAACGTGTTAAAACCAATATAAAAATGTCTTCTGGAGGCAAAGGAGGAAAAGCATCAGCTGGCAAAACAGGGCAATCACGATCAACTAAAGCAGGACTTACATTCCCAGTTGGACGTGTTCATAGATTATTAAGAAAGGGGAACTATGCGCAAAGAGTTGGAGCAGGTGCACCAGGTATTTGATAAGTATATTTGCATACAATTAATATTATAAAGTATATCTTGCAGCAGTCTTAGAGTATCTTGCAGCAGAAATTCTCGAATTAGCAGGAAATGCAGCCCGAGATAACAAGAAAAGTAATAATTCCACGTAAATGTATTGGTAATATTAAATTTTTGTAGCTCGTATCATCCCACGTCATTTACAACTTGCTATTAGAAATGACGAGGAATTAAATAAATTGTTAGGATATGTTACTATTGCACAAGGTGGTGTTTTACCAGTAAATAACTCTATTTGCAGATGTATTTTCTTTAATAGTCTTTTAGAATATCCATTCTACTTTACTTCCAGTTAAATCTAAGAAGTTAGGGAAAGGTAATATGTGATTTCTTGTATAAATTTAACATATTTAGCATCTCAAGAGCTTTAGTCATGCGTTTTTATATACATTCAGATCTATATGAATGGCTGACGCAGGGATATGTTTTTCTTCCTGTATTATTGTTTTGTATATAATCGCATTAACGGACGGGTTAATATCTTTTCATTAATATATTGCTTTTTAAGGATCCAGAAATTGTAATGTGTTCATTTTCCAGTGTTATACTATAAAACCGAATACATGAATTATAATAAATTTGGCATGTCCATATTCATTTTTAGAGAAATAAATATATAATGTTTTTATATATTAAACTTAATACTACATATTTGTTTAATCAGAAAAATCGTATAAATTCGTCGTATGTTTAAGATTTACTTATTTGTTTTTAGCAAAAATAAAGTTTATAAATGTACATACCTATTAACCTTGAATCGCCAGAACGTTTATTATCACTCTTATTTTTAACAAGTCGCAAAGTAGACTTCTTGTTTTTACTCTTTGACATTGGAGATGTATTACCTCTTTCTAAAGAACCATATGAACAATTTGAACTTACAAGCCACCATTTTCCCGGTGGACGTCTCTTTCTTTTTAATTTCTCTTGAGAAATATAACCCCCAAAAATAGAAAGATTTTTCAATTCATTCTCAGTTAAAGAAAATCGAGTCCTTTTTGTTAGAGGTTTCTAAAATAAATCAATATAACTTTTTTTAAGCAAATCAAATACATCAAAATTCTTCCCATTGATTTTCTTTTTTTTTTTATAATATGTTTCATTTAATTCATTATCTTTATTATCACCACATAAACCCTTTGTAGATGAACTATCAGAGTTCAAAGGAGAAAACAAATTCCTACACTCATCCGTGATGCACGAACGCTGTATTTTAGTATCGCATTTAGAGAATCTAGAAAAAAATACATGAAAATCATTTTTTATTGTAAGATCATATTTATTTGGAATTTCTTTAACTGGAGAGCATTTTGTTTTATTTACTTTTAAAACGTCACCAAAAGATTCATTAGTAGAAATAAATTTATCGCTTTCATCAGAAACCAAAGTATTTAAACATTTTACATTCTCTATAATATCATTACAATTTATATTTAAAATATACAACAAAACTACCTCTTTTTTTTGAAGAAAAATAATCAGGTTTTATCAAAGAATTCAGCTGGTTATTAAATTTTTGAATATTTAAATTTAACATATTTTGAGATATACGTTTTAAAGATTTTTTTCTTGATAAATCACATGAATTATCATATTTTTTTAAACCTGAAGAAAAAACAGAACTTTTAGAGTGTTTTTTAATAATTTCACCATTGTATGCTATTTTCTTTTGTTGTAATAGACAAGGATTTTGAAAAAAACTTTCAGATATACCTAACGAAAATCTAGTTTTTAAAACATCAGAGGACTCCATTGTCAATGAACCATGAGGAAAAGAATTCGATAACTTAAAATACGCTTCATTTACCAGTTTAGGCATTGGACTACTTGCATAAAGTTTATCAAATCTATCCAAAACGATTTGCCCACTTATCTATCAATATAAGCATGTTAAATTATACATAAAAGTACAGACTGAATCTCGGTCAGTGCTGGTTAAATTATTAAAACTATTAACAGAGGAATCATTCGTTAATCTAGATAGTTTCCAGTTACGTTTAACAATAAAAAATCTAGAAGCTTTATCAAACATTTTAAAACATTGTGTACTTGTGGTAGGGTTCTGGGAATTTAAAGAACCTAGAAACCTAGGAGCATGTACTTGAGATATCCTATCTTTCTCAAAAAGTGCGCTAGAATTAAGATACGGCATTAATATTGTTTATCGTGGTAACCAGTTAATATTTTAAAATAAAAATTAAAAATTAATATAATACAATGTATTTGTATGCAATAAAAACTATAAAATTATAATGCATTCACAAAAGTACAACTATTCTAAAACAGTGCCAAAAACAGCATCAATATTAAATATTATATTAATGTTCAGTTTTAAGCTGTTTAATATTATTACACTAACGTATAAATATTTAAAATTACATACATGTGCAGTAGGAGGAATATTTCGTTCCCACTTTGAACCACCTGGTGACGTAGGGACTATAATAGTTTAATTTACTTATAATGATAAAGTTTCTAAAAGTTTCTAAAACTAACCAATATAAGGATCAGGATGCTTATACTTTTTCAAAATTGCTTCAGTTTCTTCAAGAATAACCGAAAGACGCCAAGGATCACAAATATTTCTATTAGATTCAAAACGAGATCTTATTTTTAATGCTTCTATCCTCCAAATATCTCTTCTAATACACCAATCAAGTGATAATTTTAAAGCACGTCTATAAAGAGAAAGTACTCGAGAACGATGTGACTCAGAAAAATACAATTTCATTAAGCCTTAATAATACCAAATATTTAAACCTTAAATTGCGTTTGAATATAGTTCTTAAGTAAAATTATTTCGATATTGAAAATTTTAATAATTTTAAAGATACTTATGTTTTCTCTTATAATTTTATTATCATTATATCAAAATAAAAATCATATAATTTATATTGTAATTTAAAATTATATATATTAGCTAAATTTAAAAATTATATTTTTTTCTAATACGCATAAAAATGTAACACACAATCGCAATAACTAAAATCAAAAAACATTAAAACCATCAAATAGTATATATCCAATGCAGTATTTTATATCAAGAAGCATACAATATCAGAAAAGATTTCAAACTATTATGTTTCATAAATTTACAAAAGTACCGAAATCATATAACTTTTATAAACTTCCAACAATTAACAATATTTTTAAAACTTCATACATTAAAAAGTAAAGTTTAACACACTTTTAATAATTGTTCTTATTTTAAACAATTTATTTGAACAGTTTTCAATGTATTCCAAATAAAATCAAACAATTAAATAAAATTCAAGCATATGGTAAATCTTCTAAAATTTTAATATAACCTGATAAAAATATAGCAACCAAAACTATTCAGGTACCCCAAATGGCAGAATCAATAACAGAAGGAACACTAAAACAGTGGAATAAAAGTAGCCTAAAAACAATTTTTTCAAAAACAACTAAACTTTTTATAGAAATTGGTGATTTTGTAAATCAAGATGACGAAATTGCAACAATAGAGACAGATAAAGTATATTAATATTTTTCTTTACTAAATAAATAACTATATTCTTAGATTGATGTCACAGTCAATTCACCTGTTTCAGGAATTTTAAAAGAAATTTTAAAACACGAAGAAGATATTATACAAGCCGGTCAAGACATGTGTATAATTGAATTAAGTAACGAACAACCAAAAAGTAAATTATATAATTCAAATTTAAATATAAACTTAATACACGTTTTATAGATACATTAGATTATAAGTCTATTCAAAATATTGAAAATACAGAAACTATTTCTGTATTAAAAGAATCTCAATCTAGCAAGAATTATAAACCTTCGGAAATGGAACTCAAAAAAGATATAACAAAACAAGAAAACATCCAAGCAAAGGATGTTAATCAATTTATACCTATTTCTGAAAAATCAGAATTTAATTCATTTAATACATTTAAAACATCTCAAAACAATAGACAAGAACACATTGTAAGTTACCATAACTTTTAGTTATTTCCTAAATACATCTAAAGGTAAAAATGAGTCGAATGAGATCACGTATTGCATCTCGACTCAAAGAATCTCAAAATACTACTGCTTTTTTAACAACTTTCAATGAAGCAGATATGTCAAGTATAATTGAAATGAGGTCTTTATATAAAGATGAAATTCTTAAAGAAACAGGCATAAAATTAGGATTCATGAGTGCATTTATCAAAGCATCTATTGCTGCATTAAAAAAGGTCCCTGTCATAAATGCATCTATTACTGGATCGAATGGGGGAGATAAAATTGTTTATAGAGATTATGTAGATGTCAGTGTAGCTGTAGCTACACCTAAAGGACTAATTACACCAGTAATCCGCAATGCTGAAACACTAAGTTTTATAGAAATTGAAAAAACAATATCAGAATTATCTTCGAAGGTTTTTCTTATTTTCTAAAATATAAACTCTAATTATATAGGCTCGCGAAAATAAGCTTACTATAGAAGATACGGTTGGAGGGACTTTTACTATATCTAATGGAGGTGTTTTTGGATCAATGTTAAGTAATATGTTCTTTTCCCACAAAAATATTATATTAATATGATAGGTACACCAATTATAAATCTTCCACAAACAGCCGTTTTAGGCTTACATGCTATCAAAGATAGAGCTGTAGTAATAAATGGTCAAATAGTTATTCGCCCTATAATGTAAGATCATTTCAAACAATTATGATTCTTATTCAAACGATTAGGTATTTGGCTTTAACATATGATCACCGTCTTGTAGATGGACGTGAATCTGTCACATTTTTACGTCTACTTAAAGAATATATAGAAGACCCTAGAAAACTTTTATTATAACAACAATTATATTAAACATTATATAAAAGCGACATATATATAGTCTAACAATTTAACAATTATTACATGTATGTTTATTATTAGTTAAGTTTATACTACATATTTCCGAAAATATAAAATACTTAAAATTATACTTTAATTTTTATTATCAATATTTATTTTATCAGAATAATGTCTAAAACAAATAAAATAATCAAATATTAATAAAAATAATCTACCTTATATTCGACAATATCTTATTTTCCAATATCATATTCCCATTGCCGGAGACTATACGAAGTATTAATTCCTAAAATAATAGTAAGAATAATATAAATAGTTGAAAAAAACTTCCATTTAACTCAGATCTCCCAAGGATATCAACCTATTAAAATTAATTATGAAAAAAGTCTAAAATACAGACATGATCAGCAGTCCTAGAACCTCCACGAAGACCAAGTCTGTCAGGCTGGTGAAGCATTTCATGTACGACAACTGATATATTTGCAGGATTATCTATGTATATTAAAAAAATTATTTTTTTATATAAAAGTTATTTAATTACATCGACGTTGTTTCCAACCTGTAAACAATAAATAAACATAACTAATAACATATTATATTACCTTTAACACACATAAAACCGGTACTCAGAATATTAACCGTACCTTAATTACTTAAAAATAGAATGTAAAATAAAATTTATACCATCGCCTTCACCCATCACTACACCCTAAATTGCATAGTATTAATTTTTTATTACACGTTTATTTAAAAAACTACCTTTTCCTACAACATTAAATAAGAAACAGCAATATTAGTAAATTTACCGTATAAGGTTTAATATTAACAGTACTATCAATAAATGGTGTTTGAGCAGAAATATCAAAACTAGAAAATATTCCCATAGTCTAAATAAATGTTATAAAAAATCAAATAATTCAAATAAAAAATACATTATTTGCACAGTCACATAATTTAACTTTAGTATTTCTTGATAAATCACTATCCCTTGAACCTTGATCATACCAATAGGCTCTTTCAGTAGGTTTACCAATACCTAAAAACAATTAAAAAAAGAAAAATAATCACAAATCTTAATATCCCATAAAAACAATATATTTTCATATTTGGCGCATTCGGAAGGCTGACCTTATTATAACATTAAATATAAAAAAAAAAAAAACAAGAAAAAAACTTCTAAAGGATTAATCCACTTCTCAGGTCGTTTATTATTCTTTTTAATCTCTTTTTCTGTCCATGAAATACCATGTGAATAATTTGTACGTAGCATCTTAAAAAATTCAATATACTAACCAATAATTATAGTAAAAAACCTTATGAAACGTATGCGGTGTTTGGGCTATTAAATAATCCATAGAATCTGCCATTGTTAAATTTTTTAAATTAGATATTTTGGAATTTCTCCGAAAATTAATAAAAGAACCAAATGAAACGTTTCGTACATTTGGTATATACATATCGTCAGGAGCCTAATTATGTTTACTTTTTCTTTTTGAAATTTTATTAATACCCATGTCGCATTTCCCCATATAACATTTTCACCTTTTGGAAGCATTGAAGCAAGTCCTAATTAGTTTATATTTAATAAAAGAACAATTAAAAACAGACCAGGTAAGCTCCTAAGCAATTGTACTCTCTAATAAAAATTAACCTTATAATTATATATAAAAAACATACTTCAGATCTTGAAAAAAAACGCTCCAATCTAAAAACTTATCAATTTATAAACCAAAAGAAAGTATATCACACCCATAAACAGAAATCGCATTCAATTGTGCAGTATCTTTTACTTCACCAGAAAGTAACGCAGTTACAGCTTTTGGAGTACCCAAAAGCGATCCTGAAATCTAACACAGTAAATTAAATCAATAAAAAGATTAAAAAAACATTTATAAATGCTTCGATATGATCATTTACCCAAGATTCTCCGCCATTACCATAGCCATATGCTTCTACCCATTTTAAGAACCACAATGTTAACTGACTACCCATAGAATGCGATATTATAACTGATTTTTTCCCAGATGTAGCCTTAGCAATTTCAATAGAAGACTGAAATTATTAATACATTACCTTTAAAACATTAATTCTTTTACCTTTAACTTAGTAAAATAATGATCTTAAAACAGTTATAAATTATCAATAATAAAAAAAATACCTCTTTCTTCAAGATTTAGAAAAGATAATCTCCAATCATATGCAGCGCTAAACATATTATTAGGATCATAACCAATAGCAGCAAGATTTTCAATAATCTTTAAATAATCTTAGATAAACTATTGCGCATATTCGAATTCACCTTATTCCATATCCAATATCCTATAAAACTAAATATTAAAAACAATAATATAAAAAACTATACCAGTTACAAAAAAATCAGCTTTTAAAATAATTAAAATACAATAAACAAATATGAAATTTACCAGCACTTAATCCTTGAGCAGCACGAAGCTTTATGCCTTCAGGATCAAGCCCTGTGGTCTCATTAAGCATCAAATGACTAACCCAACACTTTTTATCCATCAAAATAGCACGAAGCATAGTCCAACTTCCCTAAATGACAATAAAACCTAATATGCATAAAAAATCAAGACCTATACCCATAAACGTTTTCTAAAATAAGGTAAACTTAAGACATTAAACTGCAAAATATTTAAAATTTAAATACATACGAGCAATTAGTTGTAGACCAACTTTCTAAACCCGTAGATATAACACCAGGAACTATAACAACACTAAAAAAAGTCAAAAAAACAAAAAAATAAAAAAAAAAATACTGAAAATGTGGCTTATATCCTTGTTCTCGTAAACGATTTCCAACAAAAAAAGCTTCATAATCAGAATTCTTATCATAATATGATAATTTTCTAGCATCATCAAATACAGAAGCAGGAAGAATATTACGTAGCTCTTCCATAAAATCTCCAATATCAGTAAAGCCTAAAAGATACTCCCAATCAAATTCAACAATATTTGATCGTTTAATAAATATTCCAGCCATAACAGCACCAACAATTATACCAAAAACAAAAACGACTCTTTTATATTGTACAAAACGTCTCTTAAAATCGCTATTCTTAAATATATTTTTTTGTTTAATAGGTAAACTATTCTTTACAAATGCTATTTTTGATAATCTATTTCTCAAAAAACCAGAATTGGATTTTATAGAAGACCCTGAACTTATTGATAAATCTTTACTCTTAGAAGACATGTGTTTAAACAATCCCTCAAATAAAAATTTAATATCTCCTAAAACAAAATTTCATTAATTATTTTAAAAATAAAACGTGCTTAAAAATTAACGTTTTTAAAATTAAACTTATTCATAATGAAAATCAAAGTTGAAAATTACAAAGATGAATCCCAGTTGCAAAGTATAATAAATCTCATAACACACGATTTAAGCGAGCCTTACTCAATATATGTATTTAGATATTTTATACATCAATGGTATGAAAATGAAACTTTAATTTCTTTAAGCTTAAATTATAGGCCAGAATTGTGTTTTTTAGTAAAGAAAACATTTCTTTCTCTAATTTTTGACTCTATTAGGCAAAAGAAAATGATATAATTGTTGGAACTATTATATGCAAACTCGAAAATCATAAAAAATATCTTCGTGGTTACATTGCTATGCTGGCTGTAAAAAAAGAATATAGAAAAAGAGGAATAGGTATATTTATTTATTTATTTATTTATTTATTTAATTTTCTAGCTAGTAAAATGGTAGAAAAAATATTATCAATTATGAAAGAAAAAAATACAGACGAAGTAATTAAATCATAAATATTTTTATTTACTAAAAGTAAAAGGTAATTTTAGAAACAGAAGTCACTAATAAAGAAGCAATAATATTATATGAAAATTTTGGATTTATAAGAGACAAAAGACTACATAGATACTATTTAAATACATCAGATGCATACAGGTTTAGCATTTAAATCTTAATAACAGTGTTATATATTAATATCCTAAAGACTTATTTTAAAATTTAAAGAACCTACTTATTCATATTATCAAAATATGCAAACAAAAAAATAAACTTTTTAAAAGTTTATATTAATAAATAATATATTAATTTACGTTGAAAATATAAAATTTCATATAAATATTGCATAAAATATTCTAAATTATATTATTTTAATAAATAATACTGATTCTTAATACATTTAATAAGCTATTTTATACCAATATCATGGTGATAACCATCCATTACTATTTTATGAATAGCTTCATTTTTATGAGGAAGAAGGGAAATCACAAAAGCAGTATCATTCCATTGTCTTTCTGTATTGCATTTCGACAATCTTATCACAAATTTCTCAGCTAATTGTTTTGCATGTTTTTCCTATTACAATATAAAAATAAACACCATATATATATACACGCACCTTCTCTATAAATGATATTAAAAAACGCATAATACGTTTAAAACTAGCTTCATCTAAAAGATCAAAATCAGTAGTTAAAGAACTGAAAATATCAGGGAAATTATTATAAATAGCATTATCTTTCATAGATAATTCAGTAAAAAACATTTTAGCGAAATCCATAATTCGACGATCATTATCTTCTAAACACCTAACCATTTGTCCAAGTTGTCCTTTAACTTTCACTTGTCCAGCAAGAATAAGAAAAGTTAAAGTCATTAAACATGTTTTCCTAACGGAAGGATCATTATCTTTCAAACGGCTATACAAAAATTCTACATTTTCATTTATAAGGTGATTAAAACAAACATTCTAATATAAATTAATAAAATACATAAACATAAATATATAAACCATATCACCAAGAGCGATAACTAAATTACTACGTATTAATGGATCTTCTGATTTTTGTAAAATAGAAAAAAGTAAATGAAGATTCGACTCACAAAACTGGGCTATAAAATTAGCTATATCCATAGTTATTATATACTTAAAACCTGAAACACACATCATTTTAGCCAAAGTCAAAGCTGCAATGGATTGCAAACATGGATCCTATAAAAATCAATAAAATTAAAAAGTATAACAAACAATATAACATTGTATAAATGACCATTAATACATATTTCTCGTACTAAAGGACCAAATTTAGCTAATAAAGAATTATGTCCATATAAAAGTTCATATTCTCTATTAAAAATAAATCAATATATATATAAAGTAGAGCTATAGAACCTTATATAATTCATAACTTCAGAAAAATCATCTTCAATAGTTCCAGTAACAAAGTCTAATTCATTATTATCAACAATATTAGATGTTTCTGAAGAATGATGTAATTTTTTAGCTATTATTGTAAGTTTTTTCTAAATACCTAATAATATGTATATATATAACCTTTTCCATCATCAGATTTCTTCCTTTTAAACTCGTTTTCGCAAGTCTCAATATAGACAATTTGTTTTACTATATTTTATTAAAATTTTATAACAAAATTATTCAATAACATACATGCTATATGTCCTACAACAAACAACAGCTGAGAAAGCAACGAAGATGATTTAATAGAAAAAGGGTTATCTTCTGAACTTGTTTTTTTAAGAGAGAAACTCTTAAATACACTTCTACATTTAGAACGTAATAAATTTATACAAATTCTATCAGGATATCTCGCAAGTAAATAAATCGCATTAATAGCTTGTTCAGCAACACTAAACCTAAAAAGTATAAACAAAGAACATATGAAAAAACATATTATATATACCATTCTATGTTTTCACTTGGTAATAAAATAATATCTCCAAGTTTTAAAAAAATAACATGATCATCAGAAAGCCTTTCTTGAAAATTGTCAAAAGGTCCTTATTAAATTAAACTAATAATAATATACTCATATACAAATATACCTTTTGATTTTTTATTTACTTGTTTCAATCTTTGCAATGCAATACATGAATAACGAGCAAGAGACATATCAGTTTTTCCATAGTCACCAAGACCAATATATAACAAACTTTCTAATCCAATAGCTATAATATCATTATCTGCTAATCCAAGCATACCAAGAATAATTATTGCACCTCGTCTTTGCTGTTTTGAAATATCTTCTTTCTGAACCCCATATATATTCCAAAGTTTTTTAACCACACTATCAGATATATGCCCTTCTTTCATCATTATAGATAAAAGTTGCTCCAAAGATGTAAGTTCAGCTAACGTTGCACCATAAGTAAGACTAATCATATTTCGTGCAATATAATTAATAGCGTCATTAGCATTAATACCATCAGGAGGGTCAAAAAATAACCCTTTATAGCATTCAATAAGCTTAGCGTGAACAGCTTTTCCTTCATCACTTGTACTTTTAGTCCATATCAAATGTAACATTTTACGAATTCCACTCTAAAACAATTAATATATATATATATATATATAACGATAATATCCTGTATACTTTAGAAGTATCCAACTTATACGCATCAGCAACAACATAAAATTCCATTGCTTCAAGAACTTCGCTTTTATTTTTAGAAGCTAATAATTGATTAACAAGAACAGAACCAGTATGCAAACTTTCTATGAACTTCAATGCCTCAAAATAGTACCTTTTAGTAAGATGAAGTTTCATAAAATCATCAGAACAAACATTACAATTAATATCACTTTTTTCATTTTCTAACATTTTCAAAAAAGTTTCTTTACATGCAGTTTTTTGATCCTCTAATTTAATACAATCAAAACTTTCAAGTATTTCATCATCATCGTCATCATCCAATACATTTTTTTTAGTCAAACCAGCTGACTCAACAAAAGGTTTAAGAGAATTTAATTGTTTTTCTACAAATTTCAAACGCTCATACCATACTTTTTTAGAAAGTTGCCCACCATGCATAAGAGAAAACGGATGAGTAGATATTAATTTAGATAAAAGTCTAATTGCATTTTTTCGAACATTAGTACTCTTATCTTCAAGACTACGTACACACAAGTCGGTAACAATTTGTCGACGTTTTGGAAATTTATTATTTAACCTAAAAAATTAAATAAATCAATTAAGATAAAAAGTATATACTCGCAAAGCTTTATATAAACCTGAATAACTTTACTTCTACAATAAGGATTAACATCCAAAAATCTTTCTTCTAATATATCAAAAAAACTATCAATTTGACTCTTATGATCCTCTGATTGTTCTTCTAAACGAAATAAACCTAAAATTAAATTTCCACAAACTTCAATTACACCGCATCGTAAAGTATAAGACTAAAAGTGTCAAACCTTTTTAATAGTAAGTAATCTATACATCACTATCTAAAATTTTAATTATCATAGTCATTTGTTTTAAAACATTTCTTGGCATTATATCAGAAAGCTTTACTAAAAACAAAGAAATTGACTTGGGTCCCTTATTATCATTACTATTAAATTCTTTCACACTCAATTCACTAAAAAGATAAGAAATAATTTCTTAATTATAAAAATTACCGCAATATTTCATCTAATAATTGAGGATAGTCATACTGTTCAGAAAGAATCTGTAAAAATTCCGCAACTGGCTCTGGCAAATGCTCATAATATTGTAAACCTTGAATAAGTGAAGTCTGTGCTCCTAAAACATAAAAAATACAAACATAGACTTGAATTAAACTTACCAAAAGCATGACCTTGGTGCTTAATTGCAACACATAATAACTTAAAAATTCTCATCTTAACTGAAACAATTTTTACTAATTGTTCATTCTCAAATATCAAATATCCAGATCGAATAAAAAGACTAAAAAAATAAGAAATAAATACTCTCATAAAATTATAAAATCACCTAACAAATACGTCTCTTTCAGAAGTTATAGGCCACAATTTACTTAATTTAAGACTAAGAATTCTACACATGACATCTAATGAATTCTGAAAAAAATAACTAAAATCTAAAGTCTCTTGTTTTGGAACTTTTTTGGTACACTTAAAATGTTTGGTCCCACGTGAAAGATTCTGGCTGTGAGAAGGATTAGAAATAGTTCTCTCTATAATAGAAACAAGCCAATAAAGAGAAAAGCCTAAAACTTCTAATATATCTTTTCTTTGATCTTGAATATCTATTTCGTTTTCAAAAATATCCTTTGAAAGAGACTCTGTAACTAATTGAAGACCTTCAAAAATTATAAAATAAACAAATAAAAAAACTCAAACCTGAAATAATTAAATCAATAAATTTATTAGAAGAACCAATAGAAAGTGAATCAAACACTCTAAAAAATTATAAAAAAATAAAACTAATATTTTACTTATTCAAAACCTTAATATTCCAAACAAACTTTTCATATATTCATCCTCTAAAATTATTCCTAAAGATGCTGAAGTAACATCAATAATATCTAAAAATATAAGAATAACTCAAATAAAATAACAATATTCTTACTATCAATAACATAATTAACATTATCTCTAGAAATATTTGCTATATTTTCATCTAAAAGGAAATTTTCAGAATCATCAAGATAAGCAGTAAGAATTTTTTTTAAATTAAATATCATGTTTTATGTAAAACCAATTTCCTAAAAATTAACCTTAATATTGAAATTATATCCTTTATATCAAAATCTTATAAACTAATTTTATCAAGAATAATTAAATTTACAATCGTATGATAACGTGTAACATTAAAATCTTAAATCATTAACAAAAATAAATGGAAAATCAAGACAGTAAAGCCGAGAAAAAATTAAAGAAAGAACACTCAGGGCTAATCATATGCGAAGATAAATTGTTTTCTGGGAATTTAAATAACAGTCAAAAAGATGATATTGATGATGACGCTACAGAAATACAAACATCGCTAGAAGATCATACAAGCGATTATCAGCCCTTAAAATCATCTTATAATAACAAAGAAGATTATTGTAATGAAAAATTAAAGAAAATTTCAGAAAATACGCGCAATGAAATAAAAAATCTTTATCAAACATTTCATCATCTTCGGAAACATTATAGATTAATTAATAAAATTGGAGAGGGTAACTATAATGAAGATGCATTAATTATAATTCTTATATGCATAAAGGGACATTCAGTACTGTATATATGGCTGAAGACTGTAATTATGATAAATACATTAACGAGTGGCAATATAAAGAACAAAAGACATTTTTATCAAATACCCCATTATTAAAAAAACAAAAAATACTTTCAAGATATGATATTCAGAAACAAAGATATGTTGCATTAAAAAAGATTTATGTGACAAGCAGTCCAACAAGAATAATAAATGAACTAAGAATTCTAAAAGATTTAAGGTACATATTTATATATTTTAGTTTAATTAAAAATTAATAGAGGAAATAATTCAATTGTGCCTATTATAACAGCAATGAGAGCAAAAGATCAAATAGTTATAGTTTTACCATATTTTAAACACGTAGACTTTAAGGTAGACATAAAATTCTATATAACAACTTTTTAAAATAAAATTAGGATTATTATCGTAATCTTTCTTTAGAAGATATACGATTTTACTTCAAAGAACTTTTTGAAGCACTTTATCATGTTCATAGAAATGGCATTATCCATCGAGACATAAAACCAAGGTTTTTAACTTATATTACTTATTTATAAATTAAAAATATAACAGTAATTTTTTATATGATGTGGAAAAAAGGACTGGTGTTCTAGTAGATTTTGGCCTTGCTGAGGTTTGTTACTTCAGTTAAAAATCTAATATCAAAATTATTTTTAGAGAGAAAACTATGATGAAACTTCTTGTCCATGTTCTAATAAAAATAGATTTCAAAATTTTAAAAATACACAAATATTATCATCTGCGGCATTCTTAAATGGAATTGAAGAAGGACAATTAGGATATCTTAGAAACGATCCAAAGTAAAAATAACACTTGATATAATTAATTTAATTCTATTAGACCAAGTAAGAGAGCAAATAGAGCGGGAACAAGAGGGTTCCGTGCTCCAGAAGTGTTATTTAAATGCACAGCACAATCAACAAGTAAATATCCAATAAACTATAATTTATTTACTTATTATTTAAAGAAATTGACATATGGGCAGCTGGTGTAATACTTCTTTCTTTCCTTACCCAAAGGTTCCCTTTTTTTAATTCATCAGATGATGCAGATGCGTTAATTGAAATAACATGTATATTCGGTAAAAACGAAATGCGTAAATGCGCAAAACTTCACAGTATGTATTTTTTAAAAACAATACATTTAGCTTTGACATGTACAGATTGCGTGTTTGACACTAATATTTCAACTTTAAACGAAAAAAAAATTACATTTCAAAAATTAATACGTTGGTCCACTGGTTTTCCAGCGAACTATGATAACCCTTTAGCATGGAAAGAGAAACTTGCTTTAAATTTTCTTGAACAATGCCTTCAGCTAGACCCTTTAGAGCGGTTTTCTGCAGAAAAAGCATTAAAGCATGATTTCCTTAAATTCATAGACATAGATGAGTTTACTGAAGAAGTAGATTTTGTAAAATAATTAATACATAATTATGTTCATGTATTCTTAACTTATTATATATATCACATCACTTTATAAGTATTAGTTTTTATAAAATATAAAAGTATGTTTTTATTATTTTTTTTATGAATTGTTAAAATCCATTAATTGCAATATCTTTCCATAAAACACAAAATTTATTAATAAGACTTATTTTATAAGTCATTAAAAAATACTTTTAAAATTAAATTATTACAAATAAAATTATATACTGTTTTTTAAAATATTTCCATTTCGATCAAAAAATTAAAATCATTTAAATGTTAGTTTTAAATGTATAAATTTATCGTGAACTTATTTATAAAAAAATACTAGCAAGAAATTCAAAAGCTCATGACTAAATTAAGAATATATATAAAATTAGATTTATGTTGATAAAAAACAGTTCAAGTATTAAGGAAACAAAAAACCATTGTATTAAAAAAACAAAATTTATCAATACAAAAGACATTTTAAACAATGCAAGTATAAAAAATTTATATAACTAATATTCTTAGTTTTTGCTAGAAATCAGGAAATAATATCGAATATGTTATTCTAGGTCAATATCAAATAAAAACATGGTTTAGCTCACCATATCCTAGTAATTCAGGAAACTTAAAATCATCTTTACTTTATGTTTGCAATAAATGCTTTAAATATTCTACTAATAAATTCCTAATAGCTAACCACGAGGTAATATTTATAAATCTTTATTAATGAGCTAATATATAGATAATATGTTTTTCATTAAAATCACAAGAGAAAATTGTATTCAAAAATGCTTCATTAAAAATTAAAGAACTTGACGGAAAACAACATAAAGTATATTATTTATAAAAAAATATTTAATATAACAAAAGCAGTTGACTTGTCAATGTCTTTCTTTATTCGCAAAACTTTTTCTTGAAAGTAAATCAATATGTTTTGATGTAGAGAATTTCTTATTTTATATCCTTACAAAAACAAATAAAAATACAGAAGAAACAATTGGTTTCTTCTCCAAAGAAAAACTTTCTTGGGATGAATATAATCTTGCATGTATATTAATATTCCCTCCATATCAGCGTCATGGTTATGGAAAAATTTTAATTGCTTTATCATATGAACTCTCAAAAGCAGAAGGAAAATGGGGGTCTCCAGAAAAACCCCTTTCTAGTTTCGGTTTTATTAGTTATTTATCATACTGGACTCAATCAATTGTTACGTTTTTATTAGAAAATACAAAAGACAAATCACATAGTTTTTCTATCAAAGAAATATGTGAAAAAACAGCAATAAGGTTATGATCATTCTATATAACTACATTATTTTAATCCATTTTTAGACCAAAAGACGTTATATATGCATTAAAAACATTAAATATACTCGAAAATTGGAATTCTTCCCAAAATCAATTTATAATATCGTATGAGAATTTAAAATCATTTGTAAAACAAAAAAATATAAACCTCAAACCTATAATCCCTGATACAGCTACTTTGTATTCATAATAACATGATATATATTTTCTAATATCTAATAACTGCGATATTAAAAATATTAAAAAATATTTTTCTAAGAATTATATAATATTTAAAATTGCAATTAAAAAGTTCATTTATTACCATAAAACACTGTTTTAAATTTATAAACATATTATTGTATTAAAAATAATTCATATTGCAATATATTAAATACAATATTTTTTTTTCAAATTTAAAAAATAAATTATTTGCAAAATTTAATTTTATTTTATAAAAAATACAAATTTAAAACAAATAATATCTATTAAAATAAACAATAATAAATTTTCAAAATTATTTTTTTCTCTATATTAAAAATATAACATCTATAATTTATATTAAATAATATTTTTCACTAGATTTCTAAATTTTTTATAACAAATTTTAACATCAAAATGTTTAAAAATTAAAAAATTAAACATATTTAACTATAAATTCGTAAAAAATAATTATTTCATGTCATTCTACTTAAAAATATTTTTTTTCTATATAAACTAAAAATTTTAATTCGGTTTCTACAATATAAATTTTTTACAAATAAAATTTAAAGTATATTATTTTTCTCAATAAACTTTGTAATGTTTATTACTACTTTGAATTGTTTAATAAAAACAAAATACTATCATAAATAATACTTAATCAGAAAATCCAAAGTTGAATTAACATAAAATTATTACAAAAAAAAACAATATATTTAAATATTAATAAATAACTTAATCTTTTTTTTATAAAAATTATAATTCTAATTAATTTTTTACACTTTGATTCAAAAACAAAATATTAAAATAAAAATAATCCTATATAAATTTATATAATATTCCTAATAAAATTTTTATATAAAAATTCATTAAAAAAAAAAAAAAACAGAAAGCAAAAAAAAAACTATAATAAAAAATAAAAACATCTTTTTAAAAAACACATTCAAAAATTTTTATTAAATTTATTATAAAAAAAAAGATAGTAAAAAATAAATTTAATAAAATCGAAATAAAAATCTTATTTAAAATTCTAAAAAAAACAGTATTTTATATTTTATTCTTTATATAATTATATATATATATATTTCAATATAAACTTAAAAAAATACGTTTAAATATAAAATATAATAAAAATTTTCTAAAACAATAAATTTCTATATATTTTTAGAAACCAAATATAAAATAAATAAAACAAAATAATCAGTATCTTACTTTCTAATAAGCAGCCATTAAAAGCTGTAAGTTCATGTGTATTTAACAAATATGATTTCTTCATTTCAAAATTATTACACTTTATTGATATCTTGAAACAACTTTAAAATTAAATAATCAAAAATATAATAAATTATAAAATACATTTGAAATTTATTTTTCCAAAATATAAATATTTAAATCTATTAAAAGATAGAATCTTAATTATATATAATCATTCAAAAATTCATAAATTAATCTAAATTAAAATACTTTAAATATAAAATTATTTACTATAAATACTTAATCATTTTTTCACTTATTTAATACAAAAACACATTTAATTTTTTTAATTCAATTTCATAAAATCTACGACTAATATTTCAAATTTCATTATTATGACAGATTTTTATAATGAAGAATATAAAAGTATCAAATAAACTACATAAAATCTATTTTAAAGAGAAATATTGAAAGAAAATACTTTACATGGATTCTTTATCTTCAAAATTATCTCAAATTCAGTCACATTCATATACAGATATAAAAATCAAAGAATTATTCAAAATTATATCTCAAACAAAATTTAAAAATAATGAATTATCAAGACAGAAATTTCAAATTGATAATATATCCAATATAATTTCTATAAATGCTAAAATTATTAAAGAATTCGAAAAAATAATAATTGTAAAAAATATTTTTTAATCATACATAATTATATGTTATTAATCTTTTTAGGAATTTAAGACATTTAGAAACGATATTTCAAGAATACAGAACTCATTGAATGAAATAGAAAAAGATGTCAATACTATTAACTCAAAGTCAATACGTTTACTAGAGCAAATAACCACTATATATGATAAAAAAGTAATAGTTAATACGAAGCAAAATTTACTAGAATCACTTAATCACCATTTTATTGTAAAAGAAAATGATATAATATTATTAACATCTATTTTAAAACCTATAGATGAAAACTTTTTTCAAGTTTTCTTCAAAATTAAACAAATTTACATAGATTGTCAAAAATTACTAATAGAAGAACATAAAAAACTTGGGTAAAACATATTATGCTATAAAAATATTATATAACAGCAAAATAGTATTGAAATTCTGGAAAAAATAAGTAAATGTTTAGATATGGCATTTGAAAAATTATACTATGTTATACAACAAGAACTCAAATCAACACAATATGAATCCTATGAAATAAAAGATATTGTGAAAAAGGCACTATATATATTATTTGAAAAGCACGATTTATTTAAGTAAATTATTAAATGTTAATATATTTTCTATTAAATAACTATAGCAAATGTCTAGAGACTATATCCGAGAAAAGACAAATTCTTTTATCAAATAATTTCCAAAGAGCTTTAGTACTTGGGAATCCTTTAATATCTATATATCCAATTGAAATGGTAGCGTATGATCCTTTACGGTATATTAGTGATATGTTAGCCTGGATTCATCAAGCTATTGCAGATGAAAAAGAATTCTTTGAAAATTTATTTAAAATTTATATAAATTCAGAACCGATTAAAATTATAGATGAAAATTTTCTCAATTTTTGTTCTTTAAAATATGAAAATATTAATAAAATTATTTTTGAAATGGTAAACAATAATATTCTTAACATATATAGAATTTTTGAGGTATTTTTTAAAATACATAATATAAATCTATATTAAAAATAATAGACAAAAGTTGAATCAATAGTTTTTAAAGTCGAAAACACTACAATTTATAAAATTGCAAATTTAATACAATTTTACAAATCTACATTACAGAAAATTTTACAAGATAATTCCTATTTATTAAAAATCCTTGATACGTAAGAATCGAAGTATAATAATTGTTAGTTTTTTACATATATTTAGCACCAAAAAAAATATTATAAACATATTTTCACAAAATATACAAGAAAAAATATATTTTATAAAAAATAGTAACTTATCAGCAGATGTTCAACTAAATCCACCGTCTTTTTTAATAGATGCTGTTTCAGAGTTTAAAATAATCAGTGAATCCTTTAAAACTACTTATGGTTCTTCAGAATCTCTTGAAAATGAATTTGAAATTATTTTAGAAATTGCGCTAAATCCATATTGCGAATTATGCCATGATATTTCCAATAAGTTAAGTGAACCACACAAATCAATATTTCTAATAAATTGCTGGAAAATATGTGAGGTATGTATATACATTACATATTAAATATATTTTACATTAAATATTTAATTTAGGAAAATATTTCACATTTCAATTTTATGAACTCTAAATTACAAAAATTTAAAAATGATATTAATAATCTTTTAGAAATTTTGGAATTAAATCAACTTGACTACTTTTTAAATTCATCCGGACTAAATAACATAATTAATATTATAGAATCAAAAGAAAAAAATGTATTTTTATATTTTTATATATTATTACTAAATTAATATTATCTAGTGTTTACAAGAATCACTTAATACGACATTAATTCAGGTATCTAAAAACTTTAATTTTTTTTTACCTTTTGCAATTACAAATGCACTTGATAGAATAAAATATTTAAAAATATTAGATACTTTAGAAATAACAAATAAAGCAGCTAACATATTCGTAAAAAAAATATCAGATTTAATAGAAATACTTCCTCAAATTACAAATGATTATCAAATTTACTTTCATTGGACACCAAAAGAAATAAAATTGTTACTAGGATTATAATATTACGTTTAATATCTTAGGGACTGGTTTTATATAATTAAAAACTAAGTTTAAAATAATAAAATCTATTTTATAAATCCAACATTTTTTTTTAATTCAACTCTAACTTTATTATTTTATAATTTCTAATAATATAAAAATTATTATAAATCTGTAACATCGTAAAACTTATTTAGATAATTGTATAAAATTATTTTCAAACAAATAAAATTACAATTTTTTTCAAAACAATTTTAAAATATAATGAATATTATAAACAAAAATATAAATGTAATTTTAAAAAATTGTATTTCAATACAAGGTCCAGAAACATATAATAAAATTTATAAAAACATAAATTTATTAAAGAATTTCTTAAGAATTCCTACATTATAAAATTAATCATATTTTCAAATATTAATAAATATCAATATAAAAACTGCGGATTTTATAATCCATAAATATATTATTAAAAGAATTAAACTTCAAGAATATTAAATATTATTGAATGAATAATATTATTTAAATTAATATTTCTAAATATCTAAAAAAATATTTTAATAAGAATTAAAAACTCAAACCCCAATTACAATCTAAAGCAAAATACAACTGCAAAAATAATGTTATATAGGTATTATCATATATTAAAAGATATAAGCTTTATAAAACTAAATCAAAATATTATAGCATTTAAATTCAAAATATAAAATTCATTCAAGGGAAAAATAACCTATCATAAAGAATGAAAAGCATCATATATTAATTGATAAATCACTTTTTTAATATTAAAAATAATCCCATAGGTTTAGCTAAATAACTAAATTCGAATTCTCATGAATATATATTTTGAACTTTAACCAACATAAAACTTAATAGACATGTGCAAAAAATAGTCTAAAATTAACCAAACACTATTTGTTGAGAAGATTAAATGCAGTATCAAGTAGATAAATCAAAAATAAAAAACTGCTATACAAATAAATATACCAGTAATATCCTACAAATATAAATAACTCATAGTGTTTGATTAAACTATGCTGATAATTATAAGTCCAAAAAGATGTCAATGTCAATTCGAACTTTACAATTAAACTAAACCATTATTGGAATAATCAATCTCTAGTTATATTATCATTCGACAATACAGTATGACCATTTACACGATCAGAATACCGTCTACCATGAGATCGAGCTCTATTTCCACCTCGACCTCTTAAAGGATGCTGACGAATATAACTCTGCTCGTTATTCAACTGACTGTTAGCATTTCCATTGCTCTGAGGAGCAACAGAACGCTGCTTAGGCCGAGGTCTATTATTAACAGGTTCATCAAGAGCACTTGGAGAAACATAAAGACGTTTATCAATTATGGATGGTATAGGTTGTATTTCAGTTGCAAGCTCTTGCTCAATTTTATATAAATTAAATCTATTAACAATAATAAACTAAAATGTTATATATTTCTATAACTTACCTATCTTCCCAATTTATAAGATTAATAGCCAGGCCAAGATGGCCAAATCGGCCAGATCTACCTATACGATGAAGATAGGTTTCAGAATTTTTCGGAAAATCAAAATTAATTACAACATTAACTGCTTGAATATCAATACCGCGTGTCAAAAGATCTAAAACAATAAGAACAAAGTACTCTGCTAAATTATATACCAGAACAAACAAGATTGCGACAAACACCATTCCGAAAATCATGAAATACTCTGTTTCGATGATTCTGTAGCATTTTCGCATGGGAATAAAAGCAAGAATAACCAAGTTCTGTAATCTTTTTTGCCAAAAGCTCAACCCTATTAGTAGAATTACAGAAAATTATCGATTGATTAATTTGAAGCTATATTGAATAAGACAAAAAAATAAAAAAAAAGATATTACCTTTGAAAAAAGTGTATTCAAACAATGAACTTTCTGCTTTTCTTCTACAAAAGCATAATACTGAGTAACTCCTCGCAAAGTAAGCTCATCCATAAGATTTATCTCATAAGGTTTAGAAAGATGTTTATCCTATGAAAAAATAAAAACTCGAATAATACTTAAAACGCAAAATACCATAAAACTTTTTACAACAAGAGGGAATGTAGCGCTATAAAGCATAATCTGACGATCTTTTGGAAAATATGCAAGTAATTGTTCTATTACAGGAGTAAACTCAAGACTTAGAAGCTTATCTGCTTCATCCATTATAAAAGTAAAACATTCACTAAATTCTGCAACACCTTTCCCAGCAAGATCCAAAATCCTACCAGGAGTACCAACAATTACATGCACAGGATCATGAAGCCGAATTATATCTTGCTACATTTAAAAAATCAACATTGCAATAAAATAAAAAAGCAAAAACCTGAAGAGAAGTGCCGCCTGTTGTAACCATAACATTAATGCCCATATGTTTCCCAAGAGTTTTACAGACATGAGATGTTTGCAAAGCAAGCTCGCGTGTTGGGACAAGTATTAATGCTTGTGTTTTAGGTTTCTTTGAATTCAACTTCTCAAGAGCTGGGATAATAAAAGCAGCTGTTTTCCCAGTACCTAGATACAAATTAAAAAACTTTAATATAAAAAAATACATTACCATTTTTAGCTCGTGCAAGGATATCTCGTCCAGTTAACGCAATAGGAATAGATTCCTCTTGTATAGGAGAGGGACGCTCAAAACCGGCCTCAAAAATACCCATTAACAATTCCCGTTTCAAATACTAATTTGTTAGCTAAGTTTACAAACAAACGTATTCTTACAAAATCCTCAAATTCATTTCCCTTTGTTTTTGTCACATCCTTTAGTAAAAATATAAGTATTCATTAAAACGTCCATAAATTAGAACAAAATACCTCAGTTTGCGGCCGTGTATCTTTTGTTGATAAATTAAGTGTCTTTTTCCAATCATCATAAGTTCTATTTGTACACAAGATTACTATAATACAAAACAAATCCAAATCAACTACTTAGAAGAATCTAGCACAACGGAATCAGGACCCCTTAAAGAACTCATCACAGAAATAAATATCCTATATTCTCAATAGAAAACTTATAATTCTATGATCTCAAACTTTTTGTTAAGACGTATTTCCTTAATATTGCCTAGTAAAATAAATCAACAAAAATATTTATACGAAGAAATAGAAAACCTTAATAAGTCTCTTCAAAAGAAAAGAATCCAAAATTAATATTTAACTCAATGCCAAATTTTAAAATATTTCTTTCGTTGTTTGAACAATCCTTGATTTATTTTACGGGTGCCCCGTAAAATTCTTTACAAAAAAGTAAATTATAAATGAAATATTTCATCAAAAATTTAACACAGAAAATATTACAAAGACATCTAATATAATTATTTAGTATTCAAATACAAAGCATATATATATATATTAATTTTATATGTTTTAACATTTAAATAAACCTAAACTTTTATAATTTAAATATAATTTAAAATTCATAAAACATACATTAATAAATTTTAAAAAAAATTGTAATTTAAATAAAAAATTATTTTTTCTTTAAGAAAAAGAATTTCTAAAACCAAAATTATCATAAAAAAATCTATTTCAAACTTTTTTTATCATATAAATAACAAAAAATTTGATCACTGTTTTTATATAATTGAAACTTTTATATTTCAATATTTAAAATAAAAAAACAATATTTACCATTAACTATTTCTAAAAACAATAAAATTATGATCAAAACATAACCTTTTAAAATAAAATAATGCATCAATAATTACTTATAAAAATAACAATAAAAATGATATATATAAAACCATAAATCTGATAACATGCATATCTTAAAATTTATAACCATAAAATATAATAACTTTACTAATACTCTATTATAACTACTATGAATTAAATATTATTCAGAGTTAATTTTTAAAAACGTAACAAAATTATTTTTCTTCTATAAAAATAATCTCCATATAATTTTATCTCTAAATATCTAAAAAACATTTTAACTACTAATTACCATTATATAAAATAAATACAATGAAATTATAACTCCTATATCTGTTTATATTAAAACAACATTAATTTTCCTTATAAAACCCAAATTACAAACATGTTACTCTTCACTCAAATGTTAATATAGCTTGATTCCTTTCAGGATCTTTCATTCTATCTTCAGATTAATTCAACTATTATCATTGAAACAGTACTTACTTAATTATTTTTATATCTGGCCCAAATCTTATACTTCCCATATCTTGAGGAGTAATTAAGATAAATTGTGTTGTGCTTGCATCACGTGCAGCATCTATCTAAAAAAAAATTATATGAAAAAAATTGAAAAAAAATAATTTACCATCATACTTATACTTATTCTACGATTAACAGCATCCATGAATACATCGCTATTAATTAATTAACATTATAAAACATTAAAAAATTAAATATTTACAATTCATCTAAACAACGAATAGGACTACCCATTGCTTCCCATATTGATAAAAGTAAACAAACCGTTGAAAAAGACTTCTCTCCACCAGACAAACCTTTAATAGTATTATTCTTAAGGATATTTTTTTCATTTATAACACGATCAGTATAAACCTAATGAAGTAAGAAAATAAAATTTTAATCAAATATTTACAATAGGTTCAAGAGTCCCTGCTTTATGATCTATTTTTAATTTCCCATTAAATGCTCTCATAGACAAAAAATGATGAAACAACATTTTTGTACGCAGTGAAATCATACTTCTATAGTATTTCCATCTCAAACGTCTTTCTTTTAAAGTATTTTGCAAATCCTATTATATATTAGAAAAACAACATAAAATTAAATAAAAATACATCATGTAAAACTTCAAGATCTTTAACTTCCATAAAAATACTCTGAAAATCTTTCTGTAACTTTTCAAACTCCTGAGCAATATCTTCTACAGTAGAACCTAAGCGCTGCTGAGCATCATCAAGCCTTTTAACCATTTGTTTAATAAGATTATCTAAATAACGTGCGTCATGATTAACTTCAACTCTCTTACTAATTTGAGAAGCTTGTTTAATGAATAAATTTACAACTTTTTCTTGTTGAATTTTATTTTCAGTAATCTCAGCAATTTTTACCAAATATTCATCAGCTTTTTTTTTATAATGCTCAGAATCGGCCTTTTTTTGAATCCTTTCATCTATAAGATCGTCTAGTACTTTCCTTAACTTCTCAATTGACTCTTCACTCTTCAATATTTTTTTTTTTTTTAGAGCTAATTCCTCTTCAAATAAAATGTTCATTTTATTCAATTTATTTTTAGCATCCAAAATATCATTATGTTGTCCTTGATAATTTTTTATTAATTCTTTTGCATCTTTAATATTCTCTTCAAGAACTTCAATTTTTCCCATATCCTTCTTCTCATTAAATTGCTCATTTATATCATCTAATTCATCTAATTTTTCATTTATCTGACACTTCAAATTCTTTTTTTGATTCTCCAATTTTTCTTTTTCAAACTCCATTTTTTTTAAAGAAACTATATGCGATTCTTGAACTTCTAAAAGAGATTTATACTCTAATTCAGCATTACTAATTAACTTATGTATTGACGACATCTGATTATCTATATTTTCTGAAAGACGGAGTGCCTTTCTCCAACCATCCAAGGGTATACTACTGGAAGAACCTTGTTTACCTCCAATTTTGAATCCATCTCGCCCATTTTTATGCAACGAATAACATGCAGTAACATTATTTGGTCTATTATACATAATTTCATCAGCTATATGTCTATCTTTAATCAGAATAGTTGACTCTATTTGATGATGAATTATAAGTTGGCGCTTAATAAACTCATCCTTAATGTTTAAAATTTTAAGTATAGTATCAAATTCATTATCAGGTTCTCCTTTAGAGTAATCAAACAAATCATCACTCCCTATAATAATACTTGAAAAACAATTACATTTCTGCATAATGTTCCTCAATATTTTCTCATCTTTGGTATTATTCACCAAAAAAGCATTAAGTGTTGTTCCAAAAAACGTTTCAAGAACAAACGACCATTCAGGTTTTAACACGTCAATAAATTTCCCAAAAGGTCCAATAGGGACTGAAGAAAAACGTGTCTCTTGTTCTATTGCTTGCACTAATATTGGCATTCGAGGATGAAACGCAGCTAAGCGATTTTTTTTTGCTTGTTGAAAAGAGATTAATTGATCATACAAAACTTTAACAGTTTTATCTTGTGTTATAATAAAATCTTTAGTTTTCAAAAATTTACTATTTTCGAACTCAATATCTTTTTGAAGTTGTTCTATTAACATATCTATTTCATAATTATTTGATTTTAATGATGAAATTTCTAAATTTAATTCTTCTTTTCTTACTTTAAGCCTTTCTTGAGAACTACCATCAATACTAAAATACTTTTTTTCATCAAAAATCCTCTGTAAACAAGATTTTATTTCTTCATTAGCTATATTTATTTGAGCTAAAAGTTCACGTTCTTGTATCATCAATTCCTTAATTTCTTCATTATTTGAATCCAATTTATGTTTTATCTCTAAAAGCTGCTGATTAAAAAGTGATATTTCATTATCTTTTATAGAATCAAGATTTCTTTGAGTATCTGTAATCTTAATTTGCAAATCAGAAAGATTGGATTCTAATTTATGATATTCTTCCTGAGCACAAATCATCTTTTTTTTTTGAATTTCTAAAAAACTATTAATATCATCAAGTTTCTAAATCATCAGTCCTTTTCCTAAATATTCAAGTACTATACTTTTTCTTGTTCTTCAACTTGAGCCCATGCCATTTCATCTTTAAGTTTATCCAACTGTTCATACATTTCACGAATTCTAAAAGTCTCTTGAAAACGAGCACGCGCATCATCCACAGATTGCTTTAAAAGATTTAAACCTTCTTTTTTTGTTTTAATAACATTTGCTGTAGTTTCGATTGTTTCATTAATTAAATTATAATCATTATTTAACTGAATTAATTGAACGCTTTTCATAAAGAACTAAAACAATTAAAAATAATAAGAAAAAAAAAACATACTTTATATTTTTCTTCAGCAGTAGAATTACCAAGAAATTGACGAGCAGTATCTTGAGTAAGAACAGTCATAGGATTGTCAACCTGCAAGCCCATATGATCATTAATCGCATCTAATTCTTCTCTTTTCGTAGATATCACACGATTATCAGAAGACCTGATTTTATATCCGCCACCAGATTCTCTAGTAAATCTTCGTTCTATAATAATAGTATCTCCATAAATATCATGCATATATGCATCATCCCCAGTATTCTTAAGTATAATTGTTACAGAAGACGAGCTAAATATTATCAAAAACATAAAAACAGTTACAAAATATACTTTGCGCCTTCTCGAATCAAATTTTTAATATTAGAGCCACGATTAGTAATAGTAGCTTTTCCTCCTAAACATACAGTAATTGCAGTAAGTATAGCACTTTTTCCGCTTCCATTACGGCCTACAAGAAAATTTATATTAGGACATACATCGACTTTTAAGTACTTGTGACACTTTATTAATTAACAATTATAGACGCATTATAAAACATTCCTAACCATAAAATTAACAAGCTCAATAGACCTTATAATTCCAGCTTGAGCACATGACTAATAGAATAAAGATTCATCTTTAAACAATATAAAGCCTACCAAAGATCTTCTGTTTTGTACAGACAAATCAACATCCCGAATATCCGGTTCAGCATCAAAGGACTCGTATTCATCATTTACAGACAATCTGTCTGATATATCTTCATATATATCATTTTTATCTAGTGTATGACCATTTAAAAAAAGTTCATTTGATTTATACTTCTATATTTCATCAATTTCATAAAACTCAAACAAAATAGAATACATTAAATACTTTTCCATGAGAAATACCAGAAGCTTTTTCATCAAAAAGTTCTTGATATTCAATTTTCCTTTTAACCATAAATATTTTTAAATTGTTTTTTATCAAACAAAATACAAACGTTCCAAATCAAAAAAATCAAAAAATAATCCAATTCCATCTATTTATATTTTTTATTATTGTACTCTTCCAATTTCTCAAAAATACATCCAAATTCACCCAAAAATAAAGAATGAAGATTTATTTTATATAAAAACAATTTTCCTTATTTCTATATTTAAACTTGTTTCTTTAGTCTATATAATATAACAAACTAAATACACCATAAAATAAGTTATATTAAAAAAATAACTAAGAACATTTACTTGAAATAGTTTCTAAAGCAAGTATATATTGTGTTTGATATAAATATAACTTATATTCATTTTCATCAACAAGCACTATTAAGATATAAATTTTATCATTTTTTCTTTCTATATAAATCAAATATTATAGAATAATTTTATTCATAAATGAAGTTTTTTTCTAGTAAACTTTTCATCTAAAGAAAATTAAACGATCAAGATAAAAAGATAATATTTATAAACTCTTACAAAGATATAAAATAATTTTTCATAATTCCTTTTAAAACTAATCTATGATGTAGACAAAAAAATATTAATTAAAAACAGAAATAAATGAATTTAGAATTTAAAAAATAATTAATAAATGATAAAAAAGGAAAAAAAAAAAAAAATGCTAGAAAATGAATTTGAAGATAAAAACTCAAGTGATACGTCTTTGGAAATTGATACAGATATAGACAAAAGTCATCTCTTTAGTAATCAGAAAAATTCCATAGAAGGCAAAAAACATAAAAAAAACTTTCTTACTCAAAAAGAATTAGAAGATTTAAAAAAAAATGAGAATCTATTTAAATCAAATTACTTCAAATTGCAAATAAACGAATTGCTACATGAAGTAACGCTAGATTTTAGCAATATAAAAGACGTACAAAATCATATATCTGAAATTACAAATATAATAGAAAATATACCAGACAAAGAAGAAAATGATGTAAATATATTTTTTATAATACTTATATGTTAATTAAGTTTAGATAAATTTTATTATAAAAGAAATGGAAGAGCTTAATATTTGTATACCATTTCCTGAACCAAAGCCTTCTAAAGATTCAAAATATAAATTTTCATATTATAAACCGATAAGCATTAATGTTATAGGAAGTTTTTCCTTAAAAACATCAGTCAAAGAGGAAGAACTTAATATCGATTTAGCTGTTGAAATGCCCGAGGTATTATTTTTATATAATTCCAACTCATATTTACTTAAAAAAGAAAATATTTCAAAAAAAAGACTACATGAATTATCGTTACTTTTATAAACGTTCTTACTATTTAGCATCTCTTGCAGCAGGCATAAAAAAATCTCATCAGTTTAAAGGAAAACAGTCTTTTCAGATTTTAAATGGAGATGGATTAAAACCAATAATAGTAGTATCATATATAGAAGGTTTTTAAGAATTTTTTTTAAAAATATTCTTCTAAAATTATCAGATAATAAAACTCTTGGTTATAAAAAAAAATGGAATATTTTTATTATACCATCACTTTCTCAAAATGTATTTCAATCACATAAACTTTTTCAAAACAAATCTTGCATTACCTTTTCAAACTGTCCAACTCCTAATTATAACTTTTCTATTTTGTCAGATTCTACAATTCATCAACATCATATGATACAACATTCTTATTTGCAATCCTGTCCAGCATTTAAAGATGCATCTATCCTAGGTAAAGTGTGGTTAAAAAGAAGAGGATTCACTTCTCGGAAAATAGGTTTTGGAAGTTTTGAATGGAATATGATTATTATATATACTTTACAACAAAGAGAAAACCAGCTTTTTCAAGAATATAGCTCTTATCATCTTTTCAAAATGGTACTGAATTTTTTAACAACACAAAATCTATTAGAAAGCCCTGTGTATATGAATCCTCAAAAATATACCATTGATTTATCAAAAAAAAAACCATACTTTTTTACATTTAATGGTATAAATATTTTAGAAAAATTATCATATTTCGATTTTAAACTAGTATTAAGACAAAAAATACATAATCATATATTGATTGTTATTAGATACAACTATATGCATCAATTACATTAAAATCACTGAATGATTCTACTGAAGATTACTTCAAATCGGTCTTTCTTGAAAAAGTAGATATTATTCCTCTTCAATTTGATTGTTATTATAGGTAATATTCAGTACTTACCAGTAATATAAAAATTAATAATATAAGTATTCCTATTCCAAAAAATTGGGCTGAATTATCAAAAGATTATTTATACCAAGTTTCATTAAAACAAAAATCTTTTACACTAAAACTTATAAACACTATTAAAGAAGCACTTGGAGATAGAGTATTTCAAGTTGTCTCACTAATAGATTTAGAAAATATAATATGGGATCTAAACTTAGAGCCTCCTTTGAATCCTATATCAAATGAGATTTACATAGGAATTCTTATCAACCAAGAAAATTCTCAAAGAATTGTAGAGCGTGGTCCATCTCCAGAACATGTTGATGCAATCAAAAAATTTAAACAATTTTGGGGAGAAAAATCAGAACTTCGAAGATTTAAAGATGGAAATATTTTAGAAAGTGTAATATGGGATGTTAAAAATAGACTTTGGCTTATCAAAGATATTATAGAATTTGCTATCAACCATCATATTGAAAACAATTTATCTAAAAAATGTCATTTTTTTGGCGCAGAATATGATAAATATATTGATTCACCAAAAGCAAATTGGCCTATAGAATTTTCACAAATCAAAACAGCATTTGATTCACTAGTAAAACAAATAAAAAGTATTGAAAATTTCCCACTTCAGATATCTTCTGTAATGCCTTGCAGTGAATTCTTAAGATACACAACTTCTAATTTTCCTTTCTTTTTGGAGACAAATAGTTTCGAAAAATGCTACATGGAACCATGTGATATTATTATTAAGTTCGAAAGTTCAGGGAAATGGCCAGACGATCTTAAAGCTATCCAAAAAACTAAACTAGCTTTTTTAATTAAATTATCAGAAGAATTATCTCAAAAAAACAACATAACTTCAAGAATTGGGTTAGAAAATATTGATGCAGAATGTTTAAATTCAGGATTTCTAGACATTAAATATAAAAACTTTATATTTCGCTTAAGAATTCATCATGATAGAGAAAAAACTCTTTTGCAAAAAGATTTAAAAAATACAACATCTTCTCCATACCGACGTGATATATTAAAAAAAGGATTAAAACTATATGATGAAACATATGTATGGAAACCAACTCATACTTTAATTTTTCAGGATCTATGTCATAAATTTAAAGCATTGTCACTTTCTATTCGCTTGACAAAAAAATGGTTTCATTTTCATTTATTATCATTTCATGTCCCAGAAATATTAATAGAGCTTATCGTTGCTGAAGTATTTATCAATTCAGCGCCCTGGACTCCACCAGCTACTGCAAATATAGGATTTCTTAGATGTTTATATATGCTTGCATCATGGGATTGGAGATCAAATCCATTAATAATCAATCTTTCAGGAAACATGTCTTCTGAAACTTATAAACTAATACAAAACGAGTTCTCAACTTTTAGAAAACAAGACCCTGGAATTAATTCCGGTGCTATGTATATTGCATGTGGTTATGAAGATAACTATTATACATGGATTTGGAATAAACCTAGTCGTGCTATTTCCGGAAGAATTACTATACTAGCAAAAAAATCTTTAGATATTCTTAAACTAATGAACAAAAAAAAAATCTATGTTAGAAATATTATCATCTTTTAAATTATAATCTAACTTTTAAAAGAAAGCTTTTTTACCTTCTTTAAAAGATTTCGATTTTATTATTTATCTTAACAAAACCTCAGAAATTACAACATCAAAAATATTTGAACAAAGTATAAAGCATTTTTTTCTAAAATAATTTAATAATTATGATAGCCATATTTCCTGAACCAGATATAATTGATATGTTTGTAGAACAACTTGAGGTTTAATATCCTTTTTTATTACAGAATTATTAATATTTACTAGAATACTTATAATGATTCTTTTATTTTTTTTTATAATAAACTAGAAAAATCAGTAATTACAGGAGTTATTAATCCTCATATCATTTCAGAAAAATCTTGGAGAATAAATCTAGAATTTTCATCTATGCCAATACAAAGTAAAAAAACAAAAAATCAAGTATTTTTTTTTCTAATAAATTTAAAACTAACTTTTTTCAAGAATATGATATGTGCGAATATTCTATCTATGCTTGGAGAAATAGAAAGACTTGGAGGCAATCTTATAAAAAAAATCGATATAAAAAATCTTGACTATATAAATAATATTGAATAATTTATGTATAACTTAAAAAATCTAAAGTAATTTGTATTGTATAAAATTAAAGTTATTTATTTTTCCTTATTCATAACGTATTTAAATAAAAAATATATTTAATCCTAAAAATAAATATTCTAAAGTGTCACAGATATAATTCTTTATAAACGAAGTATTATAATTTATATTTAGCTTAAAAAACAGAATATATATATCATAATTTTATTTAATAAATACTATTTTATAAACTTAATACTCTACTATTTTAAAACATATTATATAGTCAAGTTTACATAGAATAATAAATTAAAATAACAAGATTCCAATCTTATTAAAATGTCTTAAGTTTTTACGTTAAATCAAATATTTTTATTTAAAATTTTATTAAAAGCCTAATCAATCTTTCGAAACCATAGGATTTTCATTAAACTTTATCATAAATAAAACAATATGGTTCTTCTTATCCAAACAAGGAGAATTAAAGATGCACTAGAAAAGTATTCGTCACTGGATGATAAAAAAAACATATCTGAATATCTAAAAAATAATTTTATTCCTCATTTTATCATTGCAGATGTTTCAACAACTTTGAAAAATATTAGCCACGACATCGAAGAAAAAAAAAAAAACAGTCTAGATTATATTCTAAGAGGTACATATATATATCATGAGGAAAAGAAAAACCCAAAAAAGGCATATCTTGCCTATTATTTTAAAATAATTTAACATTATTAGGAAATTCAACAAGAACACATATTAAAAATACGTTCTATTGCAAAAGAGATAGAATATCAGAAACTTATAGGCACAAAACTGCCTAATTATAAAAATGGAAAATTTAATAAAGATGAATATCAATTGATTAAAAATCAAATATTTGCTATAATTAACATCCTTATATCAGTCTTTAGTGTTATTATCGCTATTTGGATATGGTGTAAAAACTGGATAATGCCAATGGTATATTCAATAATTTTTATATATCTATAATTTATGTTTAGAGGGTTATAGCATCCATAAGCTCTGGAATACTAATAACAACAGCAGAAATCTTTATATATAACCAATATTTATCAAAACTAGAGAAAAAACGTAAAATTGAAAAAAAGAAACAGGAAAAAAGAAAAATAATAAACTCAACAAAATTCGAGACAATGTAAAATATTTAAACATAAATCGATCTATTTATTAAATCACGTATATTTTTGCTTTTTAAACAAAAACTAAAGTCAAACTATAGAATACCATATAATTCTTTACTTTTTAATTCTAATTCATGTTCTAATCTTTCTATTTCATCTTTTTCATATTGAATCATTTCATCCGTTATAAATTCACTCTTGTCCTCAAAATTGAGATGATTATTTGTTGAAAGCATATCAAGCTGCCTACGTTGCTGTACAATATTCAATACATCTCATAAAACAATAAAATACGTACCAAATCAATCTTTGTCTCCAAATTTTCTATTGTTTCAAGATGTTTGCGATTTTTCTCGTATAATAATGCAATCCGTTCCTCCATTTCTGGGAAATGACTTTCAAAATAGTCAAAACACAGCTGAAATTCATTAAAATATTACATACCATATATCTAAGAGTCTTTTTGCTGCAATTAACAGTGTTTCCGGAGATAGTGACTCCTTGCTTTTTAATGGTGTTACAGGCATTTTAAAACATTGCCTACTAGAATAAGATACATGGAATTATATATATTATTAACTTTGTCTTTTGAGGCTCTTTTTGGCCTTTTTCAACTGTAAATAGCATATTTTCATGAAGCTCTGCATCTCGAATTAATGTCGCAATATTCTTTAATTTAAGTAAAGAGTTAGTAAAATGTCGAGGATAATTGAATTCAAGAGATGAAATACTATCAATTGACTGTTCAATACTCTCAAAACATGTTTCAATCTTCATAATAACTTTTCATTTAATATTTATAATGACAAACATTACCACAGCAACCAATACAAAAGTGCAAATCGTTAAGAAACTACAAACGTAAAAAAGGAAAAAAGCTAATTTGCACTAAACTTGATTATTTTTTTTAAAGGAAACAAAAAAAAACATTTTTTCATCAGAATTTATATTATTAAACTATTATGAAGTCTACAACAATTGAAGAAGTTGAAATGTCAGATTCTTTAATTAAAAGTAAAATATACGATGAATCATCTATACTTTCAGGTAAAAGATGCTATAATATCATAATTTTGTAAAAATTATTTATATTAAAAAGAGATTAAATACAATATTCACCTTTTAGAGCAAGCAGTGGAACAATTTGAACCATATTTAATTTCAAAAGTATTACGAACAACATTATCCTTAAGAAAGCATTGGAATGTCGAAATTTTAAAAAAAATAATAAAAAGTGTATATTTTCAGAAAGAAAAAACTCTAAACTATCTTTTAAATGTTATAGAGACAGTTACTTTCCTATTTTTTATTCTATTTCATATTTAATTTTTAACAGGAACCCAATAATATGGATTTAGTTGATTTCAAAGAAAAAGATAAAGACATATTGCCTGAAGTAGACATTTACATTCATTTAATTATACAATTCTATTTATTAGATACAAAAGAATATGAAAAGGGAGCTATTTTTTCTCAGCAACTTATTGAAAAGCTCAAAACGTTTAATCGTCGATCAATGGATAAAATTTCAGCAAAAGTTTACTTTTATTACTCATATTTTTTCGAAATTCAGGGAAAGCTTTCAGAAATCAGACCGTATAATAGCATTCTTATAATAAACATATATTAACTATAACAGAATTATTTTAACAACACAAAGAACAGCAACATTGCGGCATGATAATGAAACTACCTCAATGACGATAATTCTTCTACTGCGCAATTATCTTCATTATAATTTATATAACCAAGCAGATCGTTTAGTGTCAAAGATAACCTTTCCTGAATCAGCATCAAATAACCTTATTGTACGATATTTATATTATTTAGGAAGAATTAGAGCTATCCAGCTAGACTATACCTCAGCACACTCTCATCTGGTAGGTGCAATTCGCAAAGCACCTCAAGGAACGACTGCAGCAGGCTTCCTTCAAGCAGCACATAAGTTAAACATTATTGTTGATTTACTAATGGGCGGCATCCCAGAAAGATCTATTTTTAGACAGCCTATGTTAGAAAAGGCCCTCATTCCATATCTACAAATTGTTCAAGGTAAACTTAAATATATATATATAATCAAAATTAAGTATTTATAGCTGTACGAAAAGGCGATATTACGCTTTTTACAGATGCATTTAACAAACATGGAAATAAATTTCATTTAGATGGAACATCTAGCCTTATACTAAGATTGCATCAAAATGTACTTAGAACAGGCATACGAATGATGTCTATTAGTTACTCACGAATATCATTACGTGATATATGTCTCAAACTCCATCTCGATTCTGAAGAATCTGCTGAATATATGGTTGCAAAAGCTATTCGTGACGGAGTAATTGAAGCAAGTTTAGAACATGAAAAAGGATACATGCAAAGCAAAGAAATCCTCGATATTTACTCAACGCATGAACCACAAATCGCATTTCATGATCGAATCTTATTTTGTTTAAATCTCCATGCGTCAAACATCAAAGCATGTACTTTCTATACATCTACCATATCTAATCCTCATAGGCAATGAGATTCCCTATGAATACTCACAAACTCGAAATTGAAAATGCCGAATTTGCACGCAAACGCATCGAAAATCAAATCGTAGAAGCAGAAGAAGATTTTCTTGATTAGTTAATTTAAAACTATCCTATAATTATTCAAACATTTTTAATATATTTATTATACATCCACTATATATTTCGTTTATATTCTATATATACTTTTTATGTGTCCATAACAACCATCTCACAGAAGCCGTAAGACAAGTTCGAAGAACCAAAAAGAAAAAAAACATAAAACAAGAAAAAAAGAACAATTTAAAGAACAAGGAAGAAAGTATCTACAATTGAAATGGCTTTGAAGAGGTAAGTTGTATAAAAAAGAAAAAAAATATTTTTTTCCAAAAAAAACATTAAGGCAAAAAAAAATTACACAAGGGGGACAAGAAAAAAGTTGATTTGAAAAACACTTAACTAACATTAAAAATACAGGATTAACAAGGAGTTAGGGGATCTTGCAAAAGATCCCCCATCTTCATGCAGTGCGGGACCCATCGGTGATGATTTGGTAAGTTTTTATCTAGCTAGTATGCAGCATTTTGTTGTCATCCAGTCATTTCTCAAAAAAACTTTGACAGTTTTTTAAATATTGTATCTTTTTGAGGAGCAGAAATGATTAAAAAGTGATTTTATACGAATGATAACTATGCTCAGATGGTTCCAATTATATAACTAACGCATATGATAGTTCCACTGGCAAGCAACAATTCTTGGACCGGTATGTTGTATAAAGTACTAAGTAATATTTAAGAACGCTTAATGGCACTTAGGGTGATAGTCCTTACTCTGGAGGTGTTTTTTTTCTAGCAATTCATTTCCCAACCGATTATCCTTTCAAGCCTCCAAAAGTAATATCCATTTTCTATTTTATATTATGTTTTTTTGATATTCTATTGAAGGTCAATTTCACAACAAGAATTTATCATCCAAATATCAACAGTAATGGAAGCATATGCCTAGATATTTTACGGGACCAGTGGTCGCCTGCATTAACAATTTCAAAAGGTATAATGCTATTAATTCATCCATTTTTAACCTTCACAGTACTTTTATCTATTTGTTCTATGCTGACAGATCCTAATCCTGATGACCCACTTGGTAAGCTACATTTTTATATTTTTTCATTTGATTATATATTTTCCTTTACTTACCACTATCATTATAGTGCCAGAAATAGCACATGTCTACAAATCAGATAGGATGAGATACGGTATATCTTTCCTGAAAAATACATATGTTTTTATTTACTATATATATTAGAAGCAACGGCCAAAGAGTGGACACGCAAGTATGCTATTTAAAAAAAAGCAATGATCGATATATATTTTATCTTAAAGAGGGTCCTTATACTTATTCTTGTCAAAACCTTCATCTTTTCTCACTCTTTTAGGCTTTTGATATCTTAAGTTTTCCAAAATTCGATATTGCTTTCATACTTGATAATCTGTTATTATACTGCCTCATAGGCCTCTCAGTTTTATTAATATCAACATAATTCTATTTTTAATATATACGTTCATTCTGATTTTTACTCTATTTTTCACTATTTTTTCAATATTTTTTAGCCCTTATCAAACCCTCTGTATTTTTAAAACATATGCAACAGCCTTCTTTTAAAAACCTCTTAAAACTGATTAGGTAAAATATTATTTTGTTCATTTTAATATGTTTACTAGCAAATGGGATAAATAGAAAAATACCTGATGATATTTTAAGACCACATGCCAACTTAAAAGCTATTCTACGATCTAGAGCATATAATTATGCCAAAGAAGTTCAAGCAACAAAAGACATAAAATTAGATGATTTAAAAAAAAATACACAAGAACCATTTAGTCAGTATCTTGCACTCCAATATTTAGCTAATAATAAATATAAGTTGAAAGTAATAACACTTTAAAAAAAATTAAAATTAATTAAATATTAGTTTCCATTATCTAAAAAAATTCTTCATCCAACAGAAAACCCGGACTATTACCGTAAACTAATTGAATGTGTCAAACCAAAGACTTGTAAACCTTCTCTATTTGAAAAATGGTTTGGTTTTCGGAAATAAATTATACATAAGATAGATCAGTCTCATAAATATTTAATAAGTACTTATAAACAAATATTGAACATAAATAACTTTAAATTACCATTATATATAAAATAACTCTAAAACTAATTTACATAGATTCATTTTGTTTACAATGTGCAAGATACAATGCTTCTTCAGCATACACTTTTACACTTAAATGACGCGTTGTTTTTTCACATGCTGCCTCAACTAGACTATCAATGACATTTAAATTCTCTACAACTTTTTTTAATGCACTTGTCACCACAGGACCATATGTATACATTGAAAGTTTATACAAAATTCTTCCAAGAATCAATATAGCTATACATCGCTGAGCAGGAAATGTTGAACGTGAAAGATGAGCAAGTTCTGGTATAGAATAACCTGCTGCCAACTAATACAGTTAACTCACCCATTACATACATCAAAACAATCCTTACAGGTGCATCTGCATGATGATGTAGCCCTATATACATAGGAATTTGCCTAGAAATACGCGGAGATAAAATATCTCCATTAAAATCAAATCTTATGGATTCAGGTGCTATTTCAGACATAGATTCATGATACTCCATCTCATCTTCAGCCATTGTTGGTGGTGTCATCCAAGCAAGTTTAGATGGATCTACAGGAAGATCAGGAAAATACTTTGAATGGAGATGTTTCAAGAAATCAGGTGATGATGGGTCCAAATCTCCAAATGACGGAGGTGCAGGGAAATGCATATCAGTTGGTAAAAAAGACTTTTGTTCTTTCTGATTAGAAAGAATAGACGATGTATTCAAACTACATTTGTCAGGACATGAAAAATGTACACTTTTCCTCTGTTTATTCGTAACATTATCGACATCATTATCAGACCTTTTCTTTTGCATTAACTTTTGAACCAATTCAGGATTTAATGATTTCATCAATTCTTCTTTTGCATTTTTGATTTCCTCAGGAGACATTTTAGAAATACTTCTCATATTTTCTTCACTAATTTCATCGCTCAAAAGAGATTCTTTTTCCAGTTTCTTGTTCGAATATTCATACTGTGCTACTAATGGCTTCCAACTAAGTTTTTTCGGAACAGGGAAACCACCTTCTGCATTTTTTGGTATACAAAGCAAATTCTTTGACAGATCTGCGTCCACCTGGTCCTTTTCAACAATATCTTTCATTAACCATCCTGAAACACCTGGCTTATTAGCCGAATTCTTCTGTTGTCTCAAGTCTTTCTCTGAAATCTCTGAATCTGTTTTTAAAGGCACATCAACACGATCGCCCACTAGAAACTTATCCATATCCTTTATAAGATCTAACCAAACAATTTTTTTCCTTAAAATTATAATTACTTTTTTATTTCTCTAGAGTTTTCATTTAAATAAATTATTTTTTTCCTAAAAACAAATTCTAACATATTTCTTGATGAATATTCTTAGAATAATGCATTAAATGTTCTTATTTCCTTACTATTTTTAATACCTTATTTTTTATCACTTTCATTTATTACAACGATTATTTCAGAAAAAAGCAAACATTTTTTAATAAAAAGAGCTAAAATAAAGAAAAAAAAGTAGTATTTATCACACTAAAATACGTTTTTATAATAAAAAATACAAAATATTGGAGAATACAAAAAATCTGTTATTTTTCATTTTAAAAACAAACATATAAAACTTTCAAATGGAAACATTTAACAAAAATCAAAATAATGAATGTAATGAAGAAGTGGAAACAATATATGAGATAGAGGAAGACCCATTATCACCTGATTTACCATATACAAGTAGAGAGAATTATGGAGATTCATCAGCATCAGCATCAACACATCTTTTACATGAAAACATTCAAAAAGACGAATTTACACCTTTTCAGCAGCAGAAAAATGAAAAAAAACATGAACAGTTAGAAAAAAATAAAAATAAAGCATCTAAATCATTTATACGTTCTTTTACATCACGAATTTCATCTCATTATACATCTACATTTCATCAAAATGACGGCGTCTTTGCAAACTTAAACGCCAAACCAGAAGTGTCTAAGGAAAAATTTGAAGAATTTCCGCCATCCTATGAACAAGCTGGTATTTGCTTTTATTTTTTTATTACACTGATAACACACTCTAGCGGCAGATGCAACACCTTCTTACTGGGAAAATACAATGATTGCTCCAGGTATATCTGAAGACGAAGTATTTATTAATGGACTTCCAGTCGGAAATATTTTTGGGTTTTTATGGAATATGCTAAGTATTTTCTAATATTTTTTAATAACCAACATTGATTTTTCATTCAGTCTCTTTTTCATTCCAATTCATTGGTTTTCTTCTCACATATTTATTACATACAACATATGCAGCAAAATGCGGTTCAAAAGCGGGTCTTGGAACAACACTTATTCAATATGGGTTTTATATGCGATCTATCAAAGATAACGTATTTAATGATGACACTTCTGATAACAATCCAAAAAATGATAATCAAGAATACCAAAACGATTCTCTAGATCATATAATTATCTCATATCTTCTAATGATTATCGGTTGGTTTCTTTTATTTCGGTCTACTACAGAATTTTTAAAAGCAAGACGTATCGAAATGTGTGTTAGAGAAACATCTTCACCATCCAATACTACTCAGACAACACGAAACGAAGCATCTGAAACAGCAGTATAAAATTTTTTCTTTTTTTTAACTTTAATCTATTTATTCCTCTGGTACCTATCAATTGTTTTATACAAGGATATTCATTTTTGCATGTATCCCACATCTTTTCCACCTTACGGGCATTCAATTAAACAACTTTCTCTATTTTCCTATTAACATATTTTTCATTATTTTCATTAAACCATACATTTATCTTCATATCTAAACCTTGTGCATTGTCATTTTTCCAAATGACACAATGTTATAAATAAGAACATATTATTTCAAATAAAATTATTAACTTTATTCAAAATACAACAAACATATTTAAACTCTAAAGAAGAAAAAAATTGTCAAAAAAAAACAAATTAACATAAAATCAAATAATTATTTAAAGGTAAACAAACAAATAAAAAGATTTCTTCTATAAAAAAATTTCAAACGAAATTTAAAAACAATTTAATAATGCTTTTAATTCAATTTTAAATACAATTTTAAAAATAATTAAAAAAATTAATACAATATTACAAAACATATCTATTTCTTGACTAAGATATAACTAAGATATGAATAAATACAAAATAAATCAACAAAATTTACATATATATTCTAAAAGGCTTTACTCTAAACTTTAAAATCTTAAATATTAAAAATATTAATAACCATTATTACTTTTTTAACAAAAATAATACTAACAAATTATCAATAAACAAACCAATAAGAATAAAAATAAATTAAATAAAAAGCAGAGCAATTAAAATAAAACAGATCAAAACTTTTACAAAGTGTCCCAGAAAATCTTAAATAAAAGATATATATCAAATACACAAAAATAAAAAAACCCAAAATTATATATAGTATTAAACAATTATGAGTACTCTAAAACACAAATAAAGATACCATATATTAAAAAATTCCTTAATAATAAAAAATATATAGCATATATCATAAAATATATACAAAAAAATATATGAAATTTTGAAAAATAATATCCAGAAAATATAAAAAATATTTTAAAAATTCCAAAATAAAAATTCAAGAACAGAAAAGTTTATTCTGAAAACAAATATCATATATAATATATATTCATCAAGAGCAATACTATATTTTAGAATCAAGAACAGATATAAAACAAATAATAACATCAAAGACATTCTATTAAACATTTCTATATTATCAGACTACATTTAATAATAAATCCTGCGAAACTTATTCAAAAGTTTTATCATAGATATCTATATTAAAATCCTTCTAATTTTGTTAGACAAAGAACTTTTCAAAATAATAAAAAAATATATATAATATCTATTTGTAAAAAAATAAAGAAAATATCATATATTTTATACTATATTATTTCTTAATCTTTTAACGCTAATAATCTTCCAATCGATATTACGATATCGGCGACTAATATTTAAAAATATGTCAAATAGCTTTAAGATGAATATAGCAGGTATATAGAAAACAAAACAAATGTTAAACAAATGAATGAAAGAGTAAAATCATATAATAATGAGTTTGAATCATTTGTTTCTTTAATTCCACCAAAATACTATAACGGAAAAACTTTAAAGGTTAAAAAAGTACAAAAGATAACAAAAACAACTCACAATGGCCAAGGATTCATGGAATAAAAGGAAAAGGACAAAGGAAGAAGCACGATATCTTCGAAAGTTAAAACTTGATCCTGATTCTCAGTTAAATAACGACAATATCAATATACAAACCAATGAAAAAAAAATACAGCCCTTATTTGGATTAAACAAAAACATGAATAAAGAAAATAAACCTCATAATAGATCAGAAAAAAAAGATTTTTTTAAAAATGAACAAAATTCTACTCAAAGTATACTATTTCATGAAAATCTAGAAATATCAAACAATATTGAAAATAAAACCAATAAAAAATCTTTAATAAACAAAAATAAAGAAAAAATCATAAAAAATGAGGAAACAGAAAAGAAAGAAGACATTTTATATATAGAAAAGAAGCCTGAAACACAATCGCAACGAGCTTCTAATATTTCTGATCTTCGAGCCAAACTAGCATTTCGTATTGAACAACTTCGTGCAAATCGTAAAGCCTCGAAAAGTATGACAGATGGTTCAGCTAAGAATAGAGATTCTATTCTTGAAACAAGAAAAAGAAAAAAGCAAACTTTCTTAAAAGAAAAAAAAGAAAATCCACTAAAAAAAGAAGAAAAAAACATATCAAATGAAGAAAAAAAGCATAAAAGTGTAAAAGAAGAGTCTAAAAATGATGAAGATCTATTAAATAAACCCAAAGAAAATAGTCTTCTATATGGAAGAATAAGCTTTGCATCAGATGAAGACGAGCTTAAACCGGCTCAAAAAAAATATCAATCTATGGACTTAGCAGGAGCTCTACGACATGCAGAGGCAAAAAGAATGCGGTTGAATCAATTGAGTGATGAAAAGGTAAATAACTATCTTGCTACATAATATCTTCCATAGAAACATAGTTAAATTATGATAGAAAAAACAAATCATAGAATCAGATGCATGGAAAAAAGCCTTTTTACTAAGCGAAGGAAAAAAAGTTAAAGATAATGAAACATTATTGAAAAAATCAATGAAACGTCAAGAACGACAAAAGAAAAAAAGCGCTAAAACATGGTAAATTATTCAAAAAAATGTTTAAAGATAGCTGAAAAAACAAGGAACGAGCGTTTATTGCAAGTCTCAAAAGCCAAACAACTACGACAGAAAAAAAGAGAAGAAAACATAGAAGCTCGCCGAACAATGCGGAAAAAAAAACAATTAGCAAAAAAAAAACGGCGTCCAGGCTTTGAGGGCTCATTGCATATCAAAAACCAAAACAACACAAAAACATCCTTAGACACCCCAAAAAAATAAAAATCTCAACACCAAACAAATTATCATAAAAATATACCAAACAAAAAATATCTCAAATCCACTTACAAATTACAAATTTACATTTCATTCAAAAAACTCTCTCAAATCATTCAACCACTTCTCTCAATCTTCTACTCTAACATTCGATATTTGTCACCCACCATTCTCCCGATCTACCGACGGGACGGTCAGCGACAACAAAAAAAATACCCGTCTTTATACAGACAAAAAGCAGCTCTAAACATAGCCTTTACTCTAGATATTTCAAAGAATAAGGTTCAAATATACGGGAAAAAGACGGTCTGATTGGTATTATCCAAGTATTATTAAGATTGGAGTTGGTGTAATCCAACAGATTATTATATAAAAAATTACGGCAAAAAGCAGTACATATAATCTGTAAGTGTGAAATGGGTAGGAGTAATGGAGGTTCTGGACCAGCCGGCTGACGGACTGGGGGAAAAGGAAATGAACATTTATCGACAGCACCGAATCCTCGCTGGAACGAAGCAGCAGGGGATCAGCGGCGCTGGGGTCGACGTTCTCCTCGTTATCATAGTCGCTCACGTTCATGGACTCCTAGGCGTTCATACTCGCCGCGTAACAACTCGCCATCATTAGAAAATCCGTCTTCTCGAAGAAGACGTTCACGTAGTCCACTGGCTCCACCAGGTCACCGCCGGCCATATGATAGCCGGCAAGCAACACGGAATGCTATGATGAACCATATCCGTGAAGCCTCACAACAAGATCGCCGCGTTTATATTGGGAACTTGTCATACGATGTCAAATGGCATCATCTTAAGGATTTCATGAAGCAAGGTATGTGTTTACTTTCGGGTATCATGTTCCATGTATCCCTATGATGCTTTCTATGAATTTGTGCATTTTTTCAAACTTTTTTCATTTAATATACTTATATTTTTATAGCTGGAGAAGTCATTTTCGCAGACGTACTAATGCTGCCTAATGGCATGTCAAAGGTACGTATGGGTTCCCATGATGTTTGTCCGGCTTATTTTTTCCCTCTTTTTACAGGGTTGTGGGTGAGTATTTCATTGTTTATACATTTTTTCAAATAACATTTTTTAGAGTAGCAGAATATGCGACACGCGACGAAGCACAAAATGCTATTAATACGCTTAGTAACCAAACTTTAATGGGAAGAATGGTTTATGTTCGCGAAGTACTTTTTTCATTTTTTTTTCTTTTTGAATAGGTATTTATTTTTTCCCAATAGGACCGTGAACAAGAACCTCGGTTTGGAGGCCCTCCCCCGGGAGTACCTCGTTCATATGGTGGCTATCCAGGAGATACTCGAGGATCTTCATACAATTCATCAAATGGTCGACAACTTTTTGTTCAGAATGTACATTTATTCATTCTAATACATGTATAAATATTTATATTGCATTAGCTTCCTTATAATGTCGGATGGCAAGACATTAAAGATCTTTTTCGCTCAGCAGGTATGCTTTTTCAGTATCTCCCTTATAATTCATATAAAACAGGAAACGTAATTCGTACTGATATTCATTTAACACCAGATGGTCGTCCTAAAGGTACAGGTATTGTCTTATTTGAAACCGTAGAAGAAGCACGAAATGCACAAGCAACTTTCAATGGATATGACTGGCAAGGTCGTATTATTGAGGTTCGCGAAGATAGGTTTGCAGGTCCCCCAAGCTTCGGTGGTCGCGGATTCCGTGGGGGATATGGCGAAGGATTTCGTGGCGGTTATAGTGGGGGTTATCATAGAAATGGCTACGAAAATACACTTCCCCCTAACGACTTTACTGATGGCGCTACTGCAAACGGCGAACCCAGTGAAACCATTTATGTTAAAAATGTAACATCCAATAGCACTTGTAGATTTGTCTTCTTAATTCTTATCATAGTTGCCTTGGTCGACTAGTAATGAAGACTTGGTTGAACTTTTTACCACAATTGGTAAGGTCGAACGAGCTGAAATCCAATATGAGCCTTCTGGTCGATCAAAAGGCGCAGGTGTTGTTCGTTTTGATGCACTTCTTACAGCTCAAACAGCCATATGTATATATTTCCTTTTTCAATACTTATTTAACTTCTTCAGCAAAATTTCAAGGATATGAATACGGCGGGAGGTATACATTTTCACTTATTCTATTACATCTTTATTAACAAGAAATATAGACCCCTCGGGTTGTCTTTTGTTAAGTATTTTTCTGGTCCAAATTCTGAAAAACCTACGAGTGGTAATGATATAATGCCCGTGGATACAAATACATAATATATGTAAAACCAAGTATATAGGAAATTTGTTCACAGCATTTATATGTTGAAAATACTCGTTTTACATAGCCTTCCTTGTATAAAATATCATATCTGATTTTTCCTTATACCAAAAAATTCCATCTTCACGATTTCAATTTACCAAAACATCAAAAAAATGAAATACCTATAAATTTAAATAAATAAAATGAACTGTTGCCAAGATATCAGTGAAAAACATAATAAGGATATTCAGATCAAACGAACTTTAAGAGAATTTTATAAACTTGATACGCCTACTACTCAATTTGTAACACAAGTACCAAAACTTGATACAGACAACTTCGATATTGAGCAGTATGCTAAAGATGTTTTATGTAATAATCCTCAAACTTTGTTAAATCTAGAAAATACATTAATCCAAGGTTTTCCAGAAAAAACGTATCTAATTAATATAATTAATAAATTTTATAGAAATACACAATTTAGAATGCGAAAAAAAAATACTGGTTTATGACAATTATACAAAACTTCTCTCTGTTGGAGATGCCATTCAAAAAGTGAGAAAAACATCTTTTAAAAAGAAAGATAATCAAGTTTAGATGAAAAATAATGCAAAACCTATGGAGTCGGTTATTGCTATATTAGAACCAACACTTGCACATATTGGAACACTATCGACATTGTTAAGCGAGTCATTAGTACGAAAAGAGACAAAAGATCTATAATATATAGTTTCTTATACTTATTCACAAAATGCTACATCATACATCGTGAGATTTTATACTTAGCCAAGAATGAACAAAAATATAATCCTTATACAATCTCTAAAGGATCTTTATCAGCTTCACTCACTACTACCTCTGGTAACAATATTTTGTCATCCTGTATATCACGGAATTCTTCATAAAGAACGTCCTGAAGTCGTTTTTTCATCACACAAGACAGAAATCCTCTCTCTGTATTTGAATGTCCACCTAAAACATATAATTACAAATTGAAAGGAAAACTGTAATTATAATTTTACATAAAATAACAGAAATTCCCTTTTCCGTTGCACTCAATATATCATGATGACTTAGTTCACCAGTAAATAACACATCAGCATGCACGTTTCTTAAGATAGTCCCACCTATACTTCTTAATGTTTTCATTTCTTCTAATATACTACCTGAACCAGCACATATCCCAATTTTATATATCTGCTTACCGCCTTCCTTCCGATGCTTTTCTGAAAGAGCCAATTGAACATGATTCAAATGAAGAAGCTTCTTAATTCTTTCCACCAAAGTAGTAATTGAAATAGGATCTTCCCAACGAACAATCCTTCCCATACCGGGTATATTATTAGAAACAGATTCACCTATATTATTTAATGCACAAAAAACACAGAGTGCAAGAAAAAACAACCATCTGTATACTTTGAAGGAAGAATCACTGTTTTTTCAATACATTTATTATCACTGATACCATCCGCCAACCAATCGTTTATACCACCTACTGCAGCATCCATTGCTGTATGAGGAGAATAAACACTTATTCCTGAAGTCTAAAAAACATAAATATACAAAAAAATAGAAAAAAAAAGCAATTTACTGCTAAACGAAGCAATATTTTATGACGAGGATCACTCAATGTTAACGACTTAATAGGCTTAAAAATCGCAGGATCTAAACACAATCAAATGTAAAAAATATTCCACATATATGTAGAACTTACGATATACAATAATAGCACCTACTGGTGGATACATTCCCAATGCTTCATCTGCTACAGATGTTGTAAGATCTATGGCTAAAAGAACGCGTTTTCGACCGGATTTTATCACAGGCGATTCTAGCAATAATCCAACATTGTCCCAAGAAGTATCTGCAAGTGATTTAGGATACAATCGTTCTATTCCTTGAATCAAAGCTGCTAACCATCCAGAAGATCTCATTGTCGTCGATATCAATGTCGTCCGATAAGTCAGTAACGGCAACGACCATCAAACCACGATTAACTATACAAAACTGAAAAAACCATTATGACAGCTCGAGTTACGACAAAAATACTTGAACAAGCATTAAAAGAACGTTTGGATGCAGTTGAAACAGTTAAATACTTTTTCCAGCATTTTAAATACTAATATTATTTAGATTATTCAAGATGTCTCAGGTAAAAACTGATATTAAAGCTTTTCTTATTTAATACAAGTAGGAGGGTGTGGAAATGCTTTTAAATGTCAAGGTACATAGAAAATACCTACTTATTATGCCTTTTAAACTCTGTCAAGTTGTTTCAGAACGGTTCTACAATATGAATATACTTGCCCGACATCGACTCGTAAATACAGTGTTAAAAGAAGAAATAAACAAGCTCCATGCATTTTCACAGGTTAAAATTAGCAACTATGATCCATACACATGTTTTAAAATATATTAGGAAGACTACACACCAGAAGAATGGTCTAAGCTACGACAAAATGTCCCATCAAAATCATAATCATAGAAAACCATCCATACATTATATCATACTAAAAATCTACCCTTACTACAAAAAATCAAATATATTTATGCTTAATGAATTCATTTTTTAATTTGAACCAAAAACGCCTAACAAATCATCTACATTTGTAGACTTAGTAGAATTGTAGCTAAATGTCCCCTGTATAGACTCAGAAGAATCACCTATTAATTTTGAAGAATTTTCAGTGTCAAAATCAATGTCTAAAAGGTTCTCTAAATTCCTCTTAGAATTCGCCTGAATTTTATTTTCATTATTTATTTGTATGTATTCCCTATGATAATTGTCAACAGTTTTTAAACAAATTCAAAAACATACTCTATGGCCCTTTGTTTCATTAAATCGTTTCCATCTTTATCTAAATTTATATATGCAGGAACTAATTTATGAAAAACTGATGAAAGCGTTGAGAATTCAAGTATCAACTCTTTTAATAAATGCGGAGAAAGCTTTTTATCAAATACAGGTATTTTATTCGATAACACAATTTCCTATAAAATATTAAAACATTTTTTCAATATAAAAACATATACTTTTGTTATTTCAAAGTTACTTGAAAGTAAGCGCCAATAAATATAAGCACGATCACGTATATCCGGAATATCACATTCTGTTGTTATTATTTCAAAAATTCTTTGTATAATTTCTTCATTATTTGAAGGACTTTTCAAGAATAATTTAACTGTCGCAGTCAAAAGTTGTAACTGAGTCTTAATTCGATAAGATAAAACATAAAAAAAATCCTATATGTACCTGTGTATCTTCGTGCTTAAAATTTTTAATATATGAAGCTAAAATATTTCGGGAATTGCTAATTTTTTCACTATACTCCCCGACAATCCATATGAAAGAACTTTTTGCATTAGGTTCATCAAATAAAGACATATTTTCGCAAATAATTGACATAGATCCATCGTAAGTATGAGGATATTTTCGAAAAATATCCTTGTACAGTTAACTTCTAACAAATACAAATATTTAACTCCTAACTTTAATAACAATAACAGATTCTTGGACTACATAATTAACTTTTGTATTAATAAGGTTTAAAAGCAAATTAACGCATCGATCTGCGCTTTCTTCAATTTTTATAGCACACTGAGCAATAATCTTAATAGAACGCCTAACGAAATCAACGTCTACTTCTGAAGCATACCTTAAAATATGTTAAAATTTTTATAAACATTCAACAGAAATTTATATTACTCTTTTAATTCCATAAGTATCAGATCTATATTTTGTTTATTTGCAAGCTTTATTATAATATCCAATTTCTCTAATTTTACATATTCTAAATCATTATATTTGCAAAAAAAAACTTTAATCTCTTTGTTAAGAATATTAGGATATTCTTGGAGAATAAGATTAATATTCCTTAAAGCAACATATTGAACCTCAGGAATCGACGATACAAGAGTCACTATAAATATTCTATTTAAAAAACTACCACGTCAAGATGTGAATCTACCTAAAGATGGAGTTATTTTCCGTATAAGCTGTTTCGTCATATCTTTGTTCATAAACGGTAAATTACGCATAACCACTCGTATAGCAGCCATTACAACACTCATATTTGCATGTTGAAACTGCGGTGTCACATACTCACAAATATTTTCTGCTTCTTTCGCATTTGCAGCAGTATATTCTGACAACGAGCCCAGGATCATAACCCGTTCCCACCTAAACTTACGTAAGACAAATACAACATATATTATACCCATTACTCGGTGGATTCATTCAATATAGATAACATTCTTGAAAGCCTCAATGATGTAACAACTTCTATCTGAAGACTAGGCATCCGCTCATTAATATCAATTAATGCAGCCATTGCATTTGATATAACCTAAAATCCTCAAGATATATACTAACAATATCATTCTACTATACCATCGGACTGGTGTCATTAAGCAACTCTTGTAATATCTCCAAGAATCCATTCTCAATAGCTGCTTCAGGACTTATATCAAACAACTTTGCAACGCATATTGCTGCAGTTTTCCTCACATATGCACTATTATCCTATATATTCTCCATAAACTATAGACAATGCTTCAAACTACATACACGCAAAGTTTTCCGCAACGGTTCAAACAGATAATCAACAATCTTATTAACACGGATACATCCCATCGTTCTAATAGCTAATGCCCGTATTAAAGGATTTGGATCCTCTGAATCCTGCGTGCCCTATTATATATTGTATATATCCAAAAAAACCCACTTGAACAAATGTATTAACAGCAAGAATACATAGATCTTGATGTGTTTTAGCATAGTTCCTGTATTTAAACTATCAAATAAACATCCTATACAAAAACAATTGTACATCAAATATAAATAGACAAGCTTCTTCTGAGCAAGATCAGGTGTTGCAATATTCTTCAAAACATCAGGAAAAAGTCCAGAAACATCTTTTCCAAGTGTCATTGCAGCAATTGTACGCTGAATTGCTTCTTTTCTACTCTAATTAAAACGTCTTTATATATACATGTATTTCAAACCTTTCATGCGCATATTGAGAAACCAAACCCACACCAAGCTCATATGTCTCTCCTAAGACATATTAAAAACATATATATATCTACTTTCATATGCAACTTGCCCTTCCAAAGGCCCTGAAGAGTACGGAGGCCACGCTCTACCATGTCGACAGAAAACGACAAAGAACAACGCAATAAAAATAGATAACGAAAAATGGTAAAGAAGAGCGCAGTTATACATAGATTGCACAACCATAATAAATCTGATAATAAAATAGGCACTGCCAAATTTACGGGTAATTTTTTCATCATTTAGGACAGAGGAAGAAGAAAGACTATATTCACGAAAAGCAGTAAGTAAAAAATTGGTCAGTAATAGAAACTTAAATGCAATTACAGTTCTTCAATCTTATAGGTATAGTGTTTTTTTTCGAATCTTAAGTGCTAAAGAAGCAGGATTTATTGTTTCATGTATTGCATTTAATTATATCGCTAAAAACCGTCTGGGTCGAATCCAAGCATAAAAAGAGCTGTATGAGAAGCTAATGTATCTTTTGCATTGAAGTTAAATGCTTTGAGAGACAAAAAATGCAAGATCTGTTCAGAAATCAAAAAGAAAAATCCAAAAAATATGCCAAAGCAAATAACAATAATGTCATAAACAATTAACTCTTTTCGAAGAAGAAAGCACTCAATAAGGCTTTAAAATTGCAATCATTAGCAACTACTATTAAAATTTTTAACATAAACTCTATTACATTAATATAACAGCAAACTATCCATCAAAAATGTTATTATTTATTTATATTATGCAAGGAAACAATATTTATAGGTATTAGAACACATATAAATCAAGAATATTCTAAATGTACTAAAAATTTTTCTACTGCTATACATTTAGCTTAATTTTGGCATAAATTTTACTCTTCAAACTTTATGCACAAATCCATATGGACAAAACATCCACAACAGGGAAGTCTTTTCATAATTTCAGCAAAAATATATGCGAAAAAATCTTATTCATTACTGCTTGTATTTTTTTTCAACAATTAACCCACATCGAAAGTTTTCAAAAAATACCGACTTTTTGAGAACACTAAAAATATAAGAAATTCAATAAAAATTACATAAAAGAAACAGACAATTACTTATTACATGAATTTTTTAAAGATGCTAAAGAATTCTAAAGAACCAAAGATCAACCATGATGATACTCGCCTACTAATTGTTTCTAATCGACTTCCAATTACAATTAAAAGAAAAAACAAAAGAGAATATGAATTTAGTATGTCTTCAGGAGGGCTTGTAAGCGCACTAAGTGGTCTTAAGAAATCTATTTCTTTTTTATGGATAGGATGGCCAGGTATAAAAAAGTAACAATGTTTAAAAATATTAAAAAAACAATAAATAGGCGTAGAAGTTCCAGAATCAGAAAGAGAATACGTTATATCTAGACTTCAGGAAGAATATAATGCTATTCCAGTGTTTATGGATGATGAGCTAGCTGACCGGCATTATAATGGATTTAGTAATAGTATTTTATGGCCTCTTTTTCATTATCATCCAGACGAAATCAGATTTGATGAACCTACATGGAATGCATACAAGGAAGCCAATTGGACCTTTTCAAAACTCATATGTTCTATTGTTCAAGATAGAGATTTAATATGGGTTCAAGATTATCATCTAATGCTTCTTCCGGCTATGCTTAGAGAAAAAATGAATAAAAAATATCAGAATGTAAAAATAGGCTTTTTCCTTCATACCCCCTTTCCAAGTAGTGAGATTTATAGGTTTAAAAATTTATATACTTATGATTTTTCTAATGATTTAGAATTCTACCTGTGCGTAATGAAATTCTTTATGGAGTTTTGCATTGTGATTTGATTGGATTCCACACTTATGATTATGCTAGACACTTCCTTTCATCCTGTTCTCGCATTTTAAATCTTCATACTCTACCGAATGGCGTAGAATTTAATGGGAAATTTGTCAATATTGGCGCATTCCCAGTTGGCATTGACCCTGACAAATTTAAAGAGGTAATATTACGGAATTTAGTATTTATTCATTAATTTTTAATAGGGACTTAAACAACCTAAAGTAATAGAGAGAATAAAAGTTTTAGAAAAAAAATTTCAAGACATTAAGATTATTGTTGGTGTTGATAGATTAGATTACATTAAAGGCGTACCACAGAAACTTCATGCTCTAGAGTTTTTCCTTACAGAACATCCCGAATGGATTGGAAAAGTTGTTCTTGTACAAGTAGCTGTACCATCACGTCAAGATGTCGAAGAGTATCAAAACCTTAGAGCAATTGTAAATGAACTAGTTGGAAGAATTAATGGAAAATTCGGAAGTATAGAATTCATGCCTATTCATTTCATACATAAAAGCATCAGTTTCGATGAGTTAATTGCTTTATATGCTGTTTCTGATATATGTCTTGTCAGTTCTACTCGTGATGGAATGAATCTGGTACGTATGTATCTAATCCAAACGCAAAACTTATTTCAGGTATCCTATGAATACATTTGTACTCAGCAAGAAAGACACGGTGTGATGATACTTAGTGAGTTTGCAGGCGCAGCTCAATCACTCAATGGGAGTCTAATTGTTAATCCTTGGAATGTAAGTTACTATTTCTCTCTTTCAATTCATCACAAATAGATAATCTCATACTTCATATAGGTTACCGAACTTGCAAGTGCTATTTATGATGCAATTACAATGCCAGAAGATCTTCGAAAATCCAATCATGAAAAACTCTATCGCTATGTTAACAAATACACTAGCTCATTTTGGGGCCAATCATTTGTTAACGAATTAAAACGAATTTCTTTGTATGTATTTTCCATATACATTTCCTTCTCTTATACTTACATAGACTTGCAAAAAATATGAAAAATTCAGCTACTAATCCTCTTGAAGAACCAAAATCACATTTATCATAATTAACATATCATTCTATCTTTTTTCACACTTTTATACATTTATAATTTTTTTTTATAATTCAACAAATCAACTACATTCTTGCAACAATATACTGTCAAATATTGCTCTTGTTTGTTTTATTATATTTTTTCATTATAATTATTACTATGCAAAGAGCTTACCGATTTCTATTTTAAGCAACGCTGAATCATGCCGAATAAGAACAAAAATACTGAAAAGAGATTTATACTTTAGAAAGAGGTAAAATACTTTAGAAATTAGTATAAAACAAAGAAACTAATAAAGGTTCAAGTAACATTAAGCCTTGATACGAAAAAAAAAAAACAAAAAAAAAACGAAAAGAAACAAAAAATATCAAATAATGACATGAATCAAATAGAAAATATAAGAAGTGAAAATCTAAATATAAAAGAGTTATACAAACAAATATATGTTAAAAAGAATAGGGCAACAGAGTATGAACGTAAAGGAGATATTTTACAAGCAATATTGATATATCAATCAATCCTAAAAGCAGTAGAACAGAATTCATGTATTTTGAAAAAATCTTCTATTTGGTGTTGCAAGAAATCGGAAAAACAAATGAAAGAAATGATAGAAATGTATTGTTCACAAGCAAAATCAAAAATTTTAACATTGAGCGTTTCTATTAAAGCAAACCCCGAGTTATTTGGCGTTGTTAATAATGAAAATTTTTCTTATAAAGACAATAGCAGTGATTTTCTACCATCAGAAAGCATCAACCGTTGTTCAAAAGAAATAGGGGAGTACTATTTTTCATTCTTAAAAAAAATTCAACGAGTATCAAGTTTTCAAAAGCAAAAAGATATCTTTTCACAATCCATACGAATATCAAACCCAAACAAGGGTTTTTTTTTTGAAAATTTATTTAAGAATAAAGGTTTAAAGAAAGAATCACCTAAAGAACATTACCCGCAAACTAGAAGAACTTCTCAACCTAAACAATTTCCTCAAACACTTCGTCAAGCAAAATCTCGCTCATCATTGGTACAAAATAATGCAGGAAAAGCAGCACTATATGCGTGGAATAGTGGTGTCAATTCAATTGTTCATTCATTAAAAACAAATGAAGCAAATGGAGATAGTCCCCAACGTTTAAACGATTCAACTATTCAACTCTGTTCATCTTTATTTTCTACATCATATAAAACATCATTAAACGAATATCAAACATCTAAAGCATATCCTATTCCTGGTGAATTTCAACCGAATGATTATATAGATTCACACGTTAACAAAAATGATATAATCGATGAATTATCAAATTCAACACTTAAAGGGCATTCAGTATTTTATAAGACATCAACTCATATTCCTTCAACATCTATTTCAATATCAGATATAGAGCCCTCTTCCTTTCCAAACCTATACTATACATCACAAAAAAACGTATCATCAATTACACCGGAAAAATTAATGCAAAAAAAATCATCTTTAAGCTCAGTGTCGCCAAATGCATTTAATAGAAACGTTTGTAGGCCATCTAAAGAACAATATAATAGTATTAGTCCTATAAAAAATCGAAAACATGAAAATGAAATAACTCTTGATGATAACTTTAAAAGTATTTCTTTAGATTCACAAAATAAAATTGAAAAAGTGAGCACAAAAGAAAAGGAAGAGACTAGAGAACAACGAGCAATTAATAGCCTTAAAAATATTATTGATGAAAATTTACTACAAACAATTATAAATGATATTGTAATTAAAGGAGATGAAGTTTTATGGGAAGATATAGCAGGCTTAGAAGATGCAAAGAATACTCTTAAAGAGACTGTTATATATCCTTTATTAAGACCAGATTTATTTAGTGGTTTAAGAGAACCAGCTACAGGTGTTCTTTTATTTGGTCCTCCTGGTACAGGAAAAGTATATTGTCTTTTTATTGCTATTATTAAAACTAATAATCAATAATAATAGACAATGCTTGCAAAAGCAGCAGCAACTCAAGCAAAATCAACATTTTTTTCAATATCAGCATCATCTTTAATGTCTAAATTTGTAAGTACTACACAATACTTATCAATTATTCTTATCATTTAGCTTGGTGAATCCGAGAAGCTTGTACGTGCTTTGTTCGCTCTAGCGAAAAAATTATCCCCCAGTATTATCTTTGTTGATGAAATAGATGCTCTTTTGTCTTCTAGAAGAGAAGATGGAAATGAACACGAAGCATCTAGGCGCTTAAAAACAGAATTTTTAATCCAATGGTCATCATTAGCAACGAGCGTTGTGGGGAAAGTGTCAGAACCCATTCCAAAAGTTTTAGTGTTAGCAGCAACAAATATTCCATGGTCAATTGACGAAGCCGCAAGACGTCGATTTGTAATATTACAATGAATTATACAACCAATCTCATAATTTCTAGGTTCGGCGACAATATATACCATTACCAGAACGTAATACAAGAATGCAACAAATTCTATATTTATTAAAATATCAAACTCATACATTATCAGACAAAGATATAGAAAACTTAGTTGATATTACTGAAGGTAATTAAAGCCCTTGTATCTCTATTTATTTAATTGGTCTAGGATATTCGGGATCAGATATTACTGCTTTAACAAAAGATGCTGCAATGGGACCACTTCGGTCTTTAGGCGAAGCTCTATTAACAACTAGACAGGATTTAATTCGACCGATCTGCATAGACGATTTTAGGGCAAGTCTTCGCTCAATTAGACCAAGCGTAAGCCAAAAGGGATTAATAGAATTCGAAAAATTCAATAAAGAATTTGGTATGCAAAGTTAGATACAATATAGTAGTTAAGATAGAGTAAAAATGGACTAAAACTATTCGAGAATACACTGGATATATATAATTCCTCATAAATACGTATTTATTGTATGAAAATCATAACTAGGGATGGTGTCGTAGAGTTTATGTAAAAATTTATCTTACCATTTTATTAAACATTATGATCAAAAAATGCTACCATGGACAATTATCATGGAAAATAAATATATACCTTTTTTGCATGCTATTATAGATTCAATGACAATAAATTTTTAACAACGAACAATTCTTATACAACACATTCATGCTCACTCGTTACAAAATGCCCTTTAACTATGTGTTTTTTGAAAATCGAAACCATACTTCTTTCCCTGCTTCATAAGACATCCAGCATATAGCCGTGCTCCCTCTATTAGCTCTTTTTATCTATTTGAAAAACATACCTTGGTATGGCAGTCACTACTCTAGGTTTTATACCCCGCATAAAACCTTCTAATCCATGTTTTTCATAAATAATACTAATTGCACCTCTCAGACCCTTGCAATTTCGAATTCTATCATCAGAAGACGTTCCACGTGTTTGTAACAATGTCTTTACAACATCTAAAGGTGTAGTTGTTGCAGCAGCCACTGCACCTGCAATGCCACCTGATATAATATGAGTAATAGGATTATAAATATGTTGAGGATTCAAAATATTCAACGAAGACTCATATATAAGAAATTGTATTGCAGCAAAAGGAATAGTCATTGTAAGTGTCGTAGGATAAGAAATATAAAATGCCCAAAGCCCTTCTTTCTTAAAAATCACTCGAGCACAATTAACAGCAGACGTATATTCAGAACCACGAATCTGCATTCGCTGTTTAATTACTGATATACAAAGGTCAACAAGCTTTCACAAACAAAAAAGTGTCATACCGTCAAATGGGTTCATCAAAGCATCTGAAGCAATCGTTGCAGATGCACCTGCCATCACTGATAGGCCTATTAACACCCTAAAGCATCCCAAAGACCAAAAATACCTGTAGGCAATACCCCATCTTGTTGAGAATATCTACTGAACTGATACTTAACAAACTCATATGTTCCAAAATATAAAGCATGTGCAGGACCTGCACCAGCAACAACAGACGAAATACCTCTCCACAAAGATCTTGCACCTTCTGAAGAAACCATCCAGCGCAAGGATTGTATTATACTTGTATGAATAGCGTAAGAAGAACTAACAATCTGCAATCGGGCTAACTCAATATGTAAGATTTTGCATTCTCAGATAAAAAATACTTTTTATTGCATCAACAGGATACATTAAAGTATGCTCCTATAGAAAGGTAAGAAAGAAACAGGATAAAATATCTTTTAAAAATTTCTTATATACCATTATACCAGCAAAGGCACCAGCTAACATATTTGCCAAAAAAGAAGAATTTTTTGGAAGAGCTTCATACTCATAAGCATCAGAAAGAGATTCATATGACGTATCCATTGTATAAAGAGTGCTTCCCAGAAATCAAAAGTCTTCAACAAAAAAAAAAAATGTAACTAAAATAGTTAATAAAAAAGATATTTTCAAAGAAAAAAACCAAAATATCAATAAAGAAGATATAATACAAATAGAAGTCTATGCATCCGTCATTCTTCCTAAATCTTTTAGATATATCTTTTTATAAAACAAAAAGTGATCCAATACAATTGAATACCGGGTGAAATTAAAATATCATAATAATGAGTTATATAAAAATAAAAAAATATAAAAGCCTAGAGATATAATGTATTAAATGAACCAAAGAACACTTTCAACAAAAGATCCACATAAGAAAATAAAATATAATACCACAAATACCTTTTTAGTTAATTTACTCTGAAAAATGAAAAAAGTAAAAAAAAACAAATGTCCAAAAAGACACTATTTCATTCATTAATATAACAAAGTCCTAAAAATGCATATTAGACAATAAGCCAGCCAATTTTAGCTATTAGCATCAGAACTACTAGAAAAAAGATCTATATTTAGCATGAACATAAAATGCAAAAAACACAAAAAACATTTCAAGATGCATCTATAAAAACCACAAAATCTTATCATATTTGACCATTAATTTTGTGATTTAATACGCCAAATTTTTCCAATAAAAACACAATTAACCAAAAAAAAATTATAATTTCGACACCATAATATCATAATACACAAAAACCAAGAGCAAAAAACAGGAAAAAGTGAATAATCCAAATAAATGAGACCAATTATACGTGTTTTTAGCATATTATTCCTACTAACCAAAAGAAAACTCGTACAGTATTAACAAGATATTTTTTTTTGAAAAGAAAGATAGAAAATAGGAGAAAAGGTATATTTTTCTCTTCGAATACAAATCTAAATCCTTTCTTATAGTCCAATTCATGAAAAATTAGACCATCAATATTTATTGAAAAATTAAACCAATTATACCATTCTAAAAACAGCTTTCATTAAAAAAAACACAGTGACAGCAAACAAAATATGAAAACACAAAAATACTGTTTTTGCTTCAATTTATCCAATTTTTTTACAATTTATTCTTTTATAGAATTATCAGAACATAAAACATGTAACAATAAGAATTCATTATTTACATTCCAAATACAAAAATACTCAAAAACAAATACATATTAATATATAAAATAGATTAAAAATAGTATTCATATACTTTATGTATTTCTTATCAATTACGCTGCAACGACTAACATCGAACTACAAAAACGACAATCTCGAAATTTTCAACAGTTCAAGATGGCTAAATCAATAAAAAACATAAATAACAAGCTAGAAGGACCTAAACATGTACTCAAAGGTAAATATTTTTCAGATTGAAGTGTTTTAACTGAATAATTTAAGCTATTATTCTTGCAGACTCATACAGCAATCAATTTAAGCCATTAACACTGGAAAAACCAAGAGTAGGATATTTTGAAATGAAACTCAATAATAAATATTTCAGTGTCTTTTATTACTCGCAAATGTTCCACTAATTGAGTATACATTTGAGTTTTTGGCATTAGGTGGAGTTGAAGAGGTTTATGTATTTTGCCATGCACATGCACAAAAAATAAAAGAATATATCGAGTAATATGATGAAAAAGAGATATATGTTCTATTCTGATAAGTTTCTTTTCATTTTTTAGGCAATCAAAATGGAATCAACCGGCATCTCCATTTTCAGTACATACGATTATCTCTTCAGAGAGCTTATCACCAGGAGATGCATTACGTGAAATGGACACAAGAAAGTTAATTGAATCAGATTTTATACTAATCAATGGTGACGTGGTGAGCAATGTTCCACTTAAAAAGATGTTAATGGAACATGATACACGGAGACAAATAAACAAAAACGCTATTATGACAATGCTTGTACGAAAAGCAAATCCATTTCATCGTACAAGGTTTCTTTCTATGTTTATGTTAAAAGGTAAATATGGCTAAAAAGTTAATAGAATCAGGTCCGAAACATCAGTGTTTGCGATAGAAGCAAATACACTCCGATGTCTACATTATGAACCAATTCAAATAAAACCAAGGACAAAATTCGTTTCTATTGAGAGTAAAATCTTTAATGATCATGCAAAAATTGAAATTCGAAATGATTTGATTGATTGTAACGTCGATATATGTTCTCCCGAGGTTTGTTCAATAATTTAAGTTATAAGACTAATTTAGTTATTTTTAAAAGGTCCCAGCACTATTTACAGAAAATTTTGACTATCAAGATATACGAAGGGACTTCGTTCATGGAATTTTGACAAGCGATTTACTTGGGAAAACAATTTATTGTTATATAGCCGAAGACAATTATGCTGCCTGTGTACAAAGTTTACAATCTTATAGTATTATTACGTAATTTTCATATTTTTCCTAAAATGCTCTGTATATTTAACATATTGTAGAAGGGATATTATTTGCAGATGGGCTTATCCTTATGTTCCAGATAGTAATCTTCTTCCTGGTCAATCTTATGAATACTTAAGGCGCCACATTTACAAAGATGAAAATGTTATTCTTCCAAGGTCTGTTAGCCTTGGATCAAAAATAATTATTGGTTCCGAGACCAAACTTTTTGAAAATACAACTATAACAAACTCCACAATTGGAAAAAATTGTATAATTGGCAACGATGTTATAATTGAAAACTCTTATATATGGGATAATGTTGTTATTAATAATGGCTGTAAAATAACAGGTTCAATAATAGCAGATGACGTTATTTTGGGAAAGAAAAGTATTATACAAGATGGTGCAATTATTTCTTTCGGAGTAAAAATATCAGATGAAATAGTTATTTCAGGAGATCTACGGTTAACTAACTTTCCTCCTGAGAAAGATCTTAAAGATGATACACTTAAACTAACAGATCACACTATTGTTGGTATAGAAGGAAAAGGATATATTTATAATGATAGTGAATCATCCAATGAAGACAGCGAATCTGAAACCAAAACTACAAATTTTTCATCTCTCAGTTTGTCAATTAATGTGCGAATATAGATTCTAATGTTTATAGTATATAACATGGAAAAAATAACCATAAGTGATACATCTCTTTCATCAATACCATCGGAGGAATTCGAACAACCGCAAAGACGCTCTTCAGCAACTATGACAACTATGTCGGATGAATCAGATGCGGTAAATGAATATTTTTATAGAGAAGCATTATCAGGTTTAGAACAAGCTTTTGATGAAAACCATGCCATAGAAAATGTTATTTTAGAAATTCATTCTTTAAGAATGAGTACAAATGTTAGCTATTCAGAAGTACGAAATATAATTATCATGGCATTTCTCAACCAAATTTTAAAACTATTATCACAAGGAGGGAAATCTGTAGAAGAAATTGTTCAACAATACATAAAAAAGTGGATTTTATTGCTCGAAAAAATGACATTCACAGACGAAGATAGAGAAGAAGCTCTACTCGCTTTACAGGAGTTGTGTTCAAAACAAATAGAATACATGAAATCGTTTCCAAGTCTTTTAAAATTGTTTTATATAGAAAATATTGTAGAAGAAGATCATATCTATACATGGTTCAATAATCCAAAAGCAAAAGAAGGCTCTTTAGAAAAAAAAAGACTTTACAAAATCGGTGCAAAATTCGTCACATGGCTCCAAAATGCAGAAGAAACTTCAGACTAAAAAAGACACATAAACTCATTGTAGAATATGTATCTTTGTCCATAGTGTCTATTTTATACATTTTAGATCAACTCTCTTTCACCTTAATTTTATATACACACCTATCGAACCTCATGCATACACGACAGCAGATGAATTGACATCAAAATCAATCATGATCATAAAGCCCTAAAGGGCAAAAAGAAAAGTTAAGCATAAGAATTTAATATAAAATTTGCATATTTTTTAGTGGGTACATTGGTAATTGTTTTTAAAGGAAATTATTAGGACTAGTAAATCAAAAATTAAAAATGTCAGAAGAAGAATTCAGTGATGAAGAAGTATTTGATGAGATGTCGAATAATGGAATTTTAGAAGATAGTATGGATGAATCAGGTGTGTTCAAACGCGTTATATGCGTTTTTTATCAAAAAATAGTATTTTTTAAAGATATTTACGTGTTTAAATAGAAGTAGAGTTTGATGACAACGATGCATTTTCAGTATGTATAGATGAAAAAAACCGACGGAAGACGTATGAAGTAGAGTTTTGTGTTCAATCAATACAAGATATTCGTCATGATCAAAGTATATACGCGTAAAGATACATAAAATATGCAAAATCTCTGATATAAAGATAGACAATCATGTTAAACACATTTCGGGGATGTTTGGGATATCAGAAGAGCAATCAGCTACACTTCTTCGTCATTTTAGGTGGAATAAAGAGAAACTAATCGAACGATACATGGATAACCCAGAAGCAGTTTTACAAACAGTTGGAATTACAACAGATGTATCAGCAGTACCTGAGTTAAGAACAATTCCAGGCTTTGTATGTGAAATATGCTGTGAAGATGAGCGAAACCTTCAGACATATGCATTACAGTGTGGTCATCGTTATTGCAAACGTTGTTATGAGCATTATCTTACACAAAAAATCAAGGAAGGAGAATCATGCAAAATTTATTGTCCTGGAGAAAAATGTAAACTTGTTGTGACAGAACAAGCGGTCAAGCTTCTTGTTTCTCCAGAAATATCTCGAAGGTATATTTTACACTTTTCACATCATTTATTTAAACATTTAGATACATTGCTTTTCTCGATCGTACATATGTCAATGATAATGAACATCTTCGATATTGCCCAGCACCTAACTGTGAATACACGATTAAATGTAAAGTAGAACAACGACAATTAACATCAATTGTTCCTACAGTCGTTTGTCTTTGTGGTCAAAGATTTTGTTTTGGATGTGGACTTTCGGATCATCAACCTTGCATATGTGTATTAGTAAGAATGTGGCTAAAGAAATGTGAAGATGATTCAGAAACTGCAAACTGGATTTCTGCAAATACAAAAAAATGTCCGAAATGTAACGCTACTATCGAGAAAAATGGTGGATGCAATCATATGATTTGCAAAAAGTGCAAATATGAATTCTGTTGGGTATGTACAGGTCCATGGAGTGAACATGGTACGAGTTGGTATAATTGTAATCGATATGACGAAAAAAGTAAAATTGATTTTCGAGATCAGCAAGCACAATCTCGTGCACTACTGGAACGTTATTTGCATGTACGTCAGCATTAAAAAATACAAACTCATTAATATTGTCTTTTTTTAGTATTATAATAGATTTTCGAACCATGAACAATCTGCAAAATTAGATAGAGAACTTTATCTTAGAACAGAAAAAAAAATGGCCCAATTACAAATTACATCTGATATGTCATGGATTGAAGTTCAATTTCTTCGTAGAGGTAAATACTTACCATTTATAATTAATAATCTTAAGATAACTAAGCCATTGACATTCTTTGTCAATGTAGACAAACTTTAAAATGGTGTGTTTTTCCATTCCTTACACTGAAGATTACTAAAACATATCAGGACATATGCTTTTTCATTCTATCTTGCGAAAAACAATGCAACAGAAATATTTGAAGATAATCAAAGGGATTTAGAAATGGCTGTAGAAAGTCTTAGTGGCCTTTGCGAAAAACCCATCAACATTGATCATATATCTCAATTAAAACAAGCCGTCTTAGACAAAACAGTATATGTTAGTAATCGTCGAGAAATTCTTTTAGAAGACACAGCAAGAGGGTTTTTGGAAGATAGGTGGTCATTTAATGTTCCGTTAAAATAATGTATCATTTGCTCTTTGTGAAACTGTAGATAATGCAACGCTCCTTTAAATTCATGATACCTTTTTATTTCTGCATTTTAAACTTTTTTTCTAAAAAAATTTCTAATTATAACTAATTTATTCATTTATCCTCAAAGATACAGAACACTAAATACCTAAATAACTAAAAAAACTTACAAAAATACGTGACTTAACACTTTACAAATACATATTTACTAATACTAATTATAATTATACATAATTCGTAAATTTATCAATATACTCCAAATAATTTAAACTCATCGATTAACTCACGAAACAACGATCAAACAATACAATTTAACGATATTTTCAGTTAATTTTTTGGTATAAAAAGCTTCCAATGGGAATTTCTGGTCTTCTTCCTCTTCTTAAATCAATACAAGTTATTCGAGTATATTTTTTCATTAATTCCTGATATATATAGGTCAAAACACATATAAAACAGTATTCTGGAAAAACAATAGGCATAGATGCGTATATATGGCTATATAAGGGCGCGTTTTCGTGTGCATGGGACCTTGCATTAGGGGTATCTACAGAAAGGTGATTTTAAACATGATTTATTTCGCGTTATTAACATATTTTTTCAAGATACGTGGATTATGCGATGCATCGTGTTAAAATGCTAAAACATTATGGCATTAAAATGTTTATTGTGTTTGACGGAGGATATTTGCCAAGCAAGTCAGAAACAGAAAATCAAAGGGGAAAAAAAAGGGCAGAAAGTAAAGCTAAAGGCTTAGAATTTCTTGCACAAAACAAAAGACGATTGGCTATGGAGCAATTTCAAAAATGCATAAATGTGACACCAGAAATGGCATATGAATTTATCAAGGTGTTGTGACTGGTTTCATAATTATATAAATTAATATATAAGGCATTGAAACGCGAAAATGTTGATTATATTGTTGCACCGTATGAAGCAGATGCTCAATTAGCATATTTAGAGAAACAAGGAATAATTGATGCAATTCTTACGGAGGATTCGGATCTTTTGGTTTTTGGGTGTAAATGTATTCTTTTAAAATTAGATCAATATGGAGAATGCATTGAGATTAAAAGAGAAAAATTCCCCCAGGTCAAAGAAATAGATTTATCTGGATGGACAGATGAAAATTTTCGACATATGGCGATTCTTTCAGGCTGTGATTATTTAGCGAGTATTCGTGGTATAGGACTAAAAACAGCACATCGTCTATTGAAAAAATATAAAACAATTGATCAAGTAAACTTATTAAAATATAAAAGGAATTATATGATTTAGATGAGTTTAGCTTTTAAGAGCACTTAAATTGGAATATACACTTAAAGTTCCGTCCGATTATGAGGCACAATTTAATTTAGCAAATTTAACATTTATGCATCAACGCGTATATTGCTTAGATAAAAGATGTATTGTTATGTGGAACGAGCCAGAAATTCCTTTGGGCGATAATACCGACAGAATCGTAGGTCCTGATATACCATTAGATATTCTTCAGGGCCTGATACGTGGTGAAATCAATCCAATAACCAAGCTCCCTATTTCATCAACAAATAGTGCTAAAATATTTAATCAGACTAAAGAAAACATACAGGTAAATGCTATATTTTGCTAGAATTTATTAATCTTTAAGCCCACAAATGGATGTCAACTTTTTATTAAGCAAGAAAAGAATAACACTTTCAATGATAACATTATTACATCATTATTTGGTTAGGAAAATATCCTTATATAAACTTTTTAATTAATAATATTTCAGCCTCAACACATACAGATAATTCTCAATTACAAACGCTATCTTTTCAAAATAATATGAAAAGACCATTAATCAATGACACAGTCAAACAAACGACAGTGAAACGTTTAAAAGATAGCATTTTATCAGATATAGTATCACCCATACTAAAAGTGGAACAAAAAAATAGTCATCCAACAAAGTTCATTTCTAACGAAAACAATTCTTCAGAATTAAAAAGAAAATTAAGTGCTTATGTATTTGAGGAAATGAATAAAATAAAAGTCGAAAAAAATATAAATAACTCTGAAAAAATTAACCAAAGAAATACTAAAACAAATTTCAATGATTCTTATTCTAATCATAATAAATTATCAGATATTAAGAACTTTGAAAGTCCTATATTAAATAAATGTCCTTGGTTTAATAATGCTTCTTCAGAAAAAGATATATATACAAAAGCTTCAAAAATTGACATCTATGAAGATAAAGAGTCTTATAATAGCTTTATTTCAAACTGGCGCCAATCATTTATGCATACTTCAAAAAATCTTACTAAAACAGATCTTCCTTTATCTCAAATAGCTACTCAAAATACTATTATACTTCCTGATATAGAGACAATTACTGAATGCAAACTGTCTAAGAATACATCTCATACTAGAAAGTTACCATCTAGTTTTGAATTATCAACCGATGTCGCGGAAAAAGTAGAAAAAAGAGTATTTTAATAACTATTTGACTATATAGCTTTAGAAGACAAACATAATCCGAAACCTACAAGAAATAAAACAGTCGATATATATATTCAATCTATTTGCTATATATTTTAATTTGTATGGAATGATTATAATTAGACGATTAACTTTTACTAACCTTAAATGTACTGCTTATTAATAATTGTCATCAAAATGGAGTAATAAAGAAAATGCTTCTTTAATTTAGTGATCTTTATTTTTTATTAATTATTTAGTAACAATAATTCTTTTTATAGAGGATTTCTTCTTATACAATATAAGCATTTTATTTTTTAGAAGCATTCATTTTAATTAACAAACTGGGATCAAAAATTACTTTCAATAAAAATATTTATTTATTTAATATTTAAAACTATTAAAATAACTAACCTGTTTTGTATGTTTTATAAAAATGTGTATATACGTAAGTTTTAGTTAATAATTATAGGGTTTAAAATTCTTAAATCACGGTTTTCTTCAGATATATTTTTAATTTTATTTTACTTATTTAAAATAAAACACTTCAATACGAATAATGTTTCTAATAATTTTAATAACAATCACACACTTAATGCTATAAAAATATTCAAACGAATGATATTAACAGTGTTGTTGGATATAATGGCATGTTTTTAATGATTTTATGGGGAAAATAATCTATTATTAGGAATATGTACTATATTATCAGATAATATCACCTATTTTAGAAACATCAAATTACTGCAAGATATAGAAAATAATTCATATGGACTTCTCAATATTTCGGAAATATTTTTAAATATATTTCTGCTACATAAAATAACAACCATTACTTGCATTTTAATTGGTATTTCTATTATCTTCTCTTTTTTCACCTTATTACCTTGTATTCCATCAACAAATATCATTAAAATAACAAATTTCAGTCTCATATTACTAGGAACTATTTTGCTCACTGCAACTACTTTTGTTGCCCATATTTCTGTTTTAGCTTTATTCAATATTATAGACTTTAGCAACTACATTATCAAAACACAATTAGGTATTATTGCCATCGTGAGCAGGATCTCATGTGTTTGTATTATCATGCACTAGATGATATTCTGCTTATTCTTTATTTAGATTTTTTCTTTTCTAAAATAAGTTTTGTATTTCTATTAACAAATCGAATACGAGACATCAGTCAAGGAGAAAATGAGAAATTATAATTATATATAAAGAGATACATTTTATAATTTTTTTCATAATAAACCTTAATCCAAAAACCAGATTAATTCATTATTTATCCTTATTTAAAATATATTTTATATGCCTAACGACTAAACCACGTATCACTAAATCATGCCAAAAATCCTAAATTTAAAAAAAATTCAAAAAAGAAAGAACAAAGGAGCATTACATCCTCGATCTCGAAAAGCTAAACAGATCCAGCGTTCAGTTGATAGGGACATTCGTCTTAAAAAAGCGCAAAAAAACCGTGAAAAAGAAAGAGAAAGACAAAGTAAAGTATATTTACTATATTTAATATACTAATACAAACAGTTAGCCGTTGTATTTACTTTAAATCGTATGTTGAATTAGAAAACATTACAAAATTAAATATGGATGAATTAGGTTCTCTAATTGAAAAGTTTTTTCTAATTTTTTGATAAGCTATCACCTATTGATAAAGATAGATATATTAATCGAAATGAGACAAAAATACATGAAAAGCCATCATCCAATGTTCATCAACATCTTTCTTCTAAGCAAATAGCGTTGAAACATTTACTAGACAATGAACAAAACGAATATAAAAGTGGATTTCGTAATTAGTCCACAAAAAAAACAAAAAAAAACAAATTACATTAACATAAATTAGGAGTACCAGATCTAACGGATCCAGAAAATGTAATTGCATTAAAAAAATGGTCTGGAAACTATAACGATCTTCATATTTTAAAATTTATTCATTTTCAAAAAAAAGTCTAATAAAGAAGTGATAAATATACACAATAGAAAATAATACTAGATATGCATCAGTATATAAAACATATTAAATACATCAGACATCATAAAGTTATGTATTTTTTTTTGAAAAAATATTTTCAAACCGCTACCAATTTTTTTTTTTTTCAAAAAAAATTCTGAAATATATACAACAAAATCTTATATATAAAAACAAGCATATCTAGCATGTATTTCTTACACACAGGAAAAAGAATTTTTCGCTTAGCACACCAACACTTTTTGAAATCTCACATTTTTACATCCAAAAATTATTTCTTTGCAACAACATATACTTCTCAAAAAGCTAGATTTTCAACAAATCGTCCTGTTTGTGGATACAGTATAGGAATGTCTTTTATTTTTTTTAACAATATTATTTAATACAATTTTAGCTAGTAAAGAATTAAGTACAAAACTTGGATCAGAAATTAAACATGAAATATCATTAATGAAAGAAGAAATCCCAGAAAACATCAGAACATTCATAGATGATGGCATATTCGAAGTCCATAAGGATGCTTTTTGTTTTCAAATGCTAATTTTTTCAAGATTATTGACCATCAAAATAGTAATGAAGTAGAACTTATTCGCAACTTTAAAAATGAAAAGTATTTTTTGAAAAACAATATACACATTTTCTTATTTTTTCATAGAATTAGCATAACGTTTTCTATTTCAGACATCAACAATATGGAGTCAGAAGATTTTTATAACCATGAAAATGAAAATGAACAAATACAAAAAGAACCTTTAAAAACAAAAGAACTATCTGAATTCGAACAAGAAGATACTCCGTTTAATTTTCTTGTCCGCTGTAATATTGCAATTACAAAGGTAAAAAAATAGCAAAATAATCATCTTAACATATCATTAGCCTGGTTCTGGTGCTTTAATAATTGACGCAGTTGCACAAGACGGTACATTCGTAATAGATAATATTTTATATTACAAAGATAGCGATCTTGCATTAGCCCAAACAGCAGAAGCAGATTGGCAAAGACGTGGCGCATATATGGGGCCTTCCTTTCATAGTCTAGATGAAGTATATAACACAAACTTATGTTTTTCATTTAACATAAATAGGATGTTCAAGCCATGTTTGAACGTTATTTAGAAGAACGTGCAATAAATACATCACTGGCATTATTTATTCCTGAATATGTTAATTATAAAGAACAAAAGGAATATGTTAATTGGCTTCAAGGTGACTTGTTAAGATTTTTGATTTCTTTTCTAATATGCATTATATATAGACGTAAAAAATTTTGTTGATGCATAATTTTAACGTAAGATAATGGATAATTAAGAATTCATTTATAAATCCTAAACTCTTTTTATAAAAATATAGTTTTGTATTAAATACTCAATATTTCATTAATGTACATGATTTTACTTCACATAAACCCAAACATTACAAAATAATTTTTTTTTCTACCGGCAAAAGCGATTTATTCAGTCCTTTAATAAAATCAGCGATTTCAATGCTTTTAGAAAAATCGCTTCCTATGGATTTGGACAATTCTATAGCTTCAATTCTTTTTCCTTTATTAATTAAATATATAAACAAAATTTTTTTCGATAATGCGTGAGATGCTTTTTTAAGATAACTTATTAACTGTTCTTCTTCTTCTTTTGTAAACGGTAATTCTAAAATCCATTTTGTAGATTGTGGCGTAGAAAGACAATGCTCAATAATTTTTTCAAAAAAAGTAACTTTTAAAATAAAACAGCATTTCTAAACCATATTTTAAAAATAATATCAAGGCCAAATATTTTAATTTACCAAAAAAGAATAAGCTGATGGAATGTCTACTTTTATCAAAGCAGACATATAAAGATTAAGTTTCTCATCTGTATCAAGAGGAAGAGACATTAAACTTATGTATGCAACTGTCATTTGAGGCCCACGTTCACCGGAAAGGAAATAAAATGAATTAAGAATTTTCTCTGGAAAATTAGGTATTAGATTAGGTGTACAAAGACTGGAAAAAGCATCCTAAAAGATTAAAAATAAAGAAACTATGCTCTCAAATGAACTACCTGAAATCGCATTCTATCAAGATACCAATAACTATCCATTAATTTCCTATAAATAATAGGAATAAAAACATCACATGAAAACTTTTCATCCATATTCCAGTCCTTAAGAACATAATAATGATAACAATTCTTTTTTAACTCGTCAATTTGGCTATTTTCAACTGCAAAATACAATTTTTTAAGATCAGAAAACGTTTTAGGAGGATAAAGTTTTTCAGCTAGAATTTGACACATAAAAAAAAAAAGAGATACAAAATACACATACGATGAGGTATAAAAGCAATTTCTGTTAACAAAAGGTCAAAAAAAAGCTTCCCATCGTGTGTTTTCCGAAAACTTTTAATTGTATTTAATAATTGAACGTTATACGGAAAATCTTTTGAATTTTGAGAATAAATCTTCCTAAAAGAACTTTCTAAGGCCTAAGGAAAACGTTTTATCACATTAGAACCCCAATAAATACATTTTCTTTTACAAAATTACCTTCATCTTCTCCATCTCCATTTTTTGTTGTTAACACACGTGCACGTTGGCAAAGCAACGGCTCTAACAACAGATGTACTGATGGTTATCTGCAGATTTTTCTTAGAGGGTTTTTTTCATATAAAATAAAAGGTTTATTGCTTATTTTTAATAGGAAAATGTAGATTTGGAGATAATTGTCGCAATGAACATGTTAGAGCAGGAAAAAACGTTTTTTTTAAAGCAGATAGATCTTTTCAAGGGTATTTTAACTCAAATGTTATCAATCATACAATAAGGCAAATACATCGAATTTTTATGAAAAATAGCTAAATTTACGTGAGTGAGAGTCTAATTGAGGATGATCTAGGCAAAGATCACCCGCAATGGCCATTTACATGTTATGGTACGGGAAAAGGTCATCCAAACTTAATTTCAGGAAAAGATATTTCTCCAGAAGAATTGAGAACAGTTGCATACAAATATATGGAGAATATGGACTTTTATGGTTATGTAAATCACTGGGAGTTTTTTTCTAGTTTAAATTGATTTTTTTAGCAAAATACTATTAAAAAACTATCTGAGGAAATTCAAGAATTAAGAAATAATATGATTAGGAACTCAAAGAAAGCATGCAAAATAGCAATAAATCTACTAAATGGAAAATTTTCAGGCAATATTGATGCTATTTTTTCTAATACATTTTCATCCAGACCCTCAGCATTTTCTACATTCTCAATACAACTAAATTTAACAAAAACTCATCCATCTTTTGAAACAAACATGTCTATGCCTGTAAACTCTAGGTTATTGCTTTATAAATATCATACATAGAAACTAATAGTCGGAAGTAACGCATTCGGAAAAATAGAACCATCTACAGCCTCTTTATTTAAAAAAGACAATCCAGTTTTTTCACCCTTTTGTTCTAATTCATCTAATGGACACTCTTTTGGAATACATAACTCTCCGCTAAATACCACATCTTCTAATGGACCCATATTTGGTAATACATCATTCATTCAAGTACCAGCAAACTTTGCAAACACTTCTGCTTTTAAAATAAATGACCAATCATCATATTTAGCATCAAATGCACAAAATTCTGTTTTTGGTCAACATAATATTTTCAATTCATCTCAAACACAATCCGCATTTAGTTATAAATCAGCATTTAACCAGCAGCCATCTATTTTTGATACATCAAACACTCCCCAAATGAGCCATGAAAAAATGAAAACATCTGAATTTACATCAAATATGACTACCGCATCAACATTTGCATTTCAACCAACCTTGCAAGAGGCTAGCCTTTTATTACCGTTTTTTCTATTTTAATATTTTTTAGTCATCCAAAAGTGCATTTTTAACACCTAATCACCATACAAGTAATCCTGGAATAATTTCACCAAACCTGGATACTTCTAATACATTATCTGAATCAGACTTACCACCATCTGCCCTTAAAGCATTTAAAGCAGAAGCATTTACACTAGGTGAAATCCCAGAAATGGAACCGCCTCCTTCTTTACGCAACTAATATCTCTAATCCTCTAAAAAGCCTGTATTTATTATCTAGAATAACTAATAACAGAAAGATAGTTTATAATTAGAATGAAGTAGCACATAATAATTGTACAATAAATTACAACAAGTGAACCGTTAACTCAAATTTATTTTTTATATAAAATTTCAACAAATAACATATCCTAATATAAAAGAACATTTTTATTTATACAGAACATATTCTTCTTCAACAACTATAAAAACCCATCATCAAACACCCAACGATGATTGAGAAGACTGCTGGATCGTCACTTCCACTTCAACCCCTGCTTCCATATTTATCGAGGTAATTTGTTTCACCGTCTCTGTTGGCGAATGTAAACTAAATTCATTAGGACAAACCACTGCACCAATCCTCCATACTCAATAAGCCTCTTATGAATTCTCATCTCATAGCATTCCCACGTTTTTGATCCTTCACCACATGGTGTCTTTCGTGTTGTAATCCTCAAAACTTTTGTCGGTAACCGAACTGGCCCTTTTACACGCAAACCTTTGCTTCTTTAAATACTTCCACAACTCCAGACATAAAACATACTTTTATCTTTTGCACGACGTGTCAAATCCGAACAAACTTTCTCTAAATTTTTAACATTACGTGATGTTAAAGTAATACGAATCCGATGAAGCCTTGGCGTTGCTTCTTCTCCTTTTGAAACTGAATTTTCGAGTCAATATTTATCAAACACATTACAAAGACGTCCTACTATAGCTCATTGTTCTTTTTATATCTTTATTTTAGCTTTAAATACAGTTTTTTCTTTCTCAAAAAATCTGATCGACTGAGAATTGCAAGCCGTAATATCGAGATTTCTATAACAAGAAAATAGGTGGTCAGAATATGTTACCAAGGAAACTGTTACCAAGGAAACAAGGATAACTGGCAGCGAACATCATTATAGTAAAAAAGAAACGACAAACGGATTTTAATAAAGATAAAAAGTAGGAAAGTAAGAATGAAAAAAAAACTAAATTAAAAAGAAAATTGAATCAGTAGAGAAAAGGAAATACAAATTATAAGGATATTACTTATTTTTGAAGAATATTTGACAGATACAGAAGAATTTACGCGTATTAAAAAGAGTCAATCATTTATCTTTTTTTGAGAAAAAAGCTAAAAAAAAGCAAATTATTTTAATTAAAGAAATATAAATATAAGTTTTGAATAAGGAACAAGTATACAAAGTATACATTATAAAGAAGCTAGCATTATTTAACAATTTTTGGTCATTTTTAAGGGAAATCAATGTCACAAATTCAAGATCTTCAAGCACAGATAGCAAAGTATGAACAAGCAGCTCAACAAGCAGGGCTACAGACACCTCAAGGACAAGCATTATATCAAAATGCCTGTAGAATAAAACAAAAACTTATGGCTATTCAAAGTGGATCATCATCAAACACAGGTACTGAGATGCTTCAGACACAGAGCATGCGGCAACAAAATGCACCTGTTAACCATGGGATGAAGCAAACACTTGACATGCAAAGTCATATGCAGCAGACGACACAACTTGTAAAGGTGATATCGGAACTAAAAGAGCAATTATCCAAGATCAAAGCAGAATTATCACGCCCAAACTTAGCACCTAGGGAGAAAGAAGAGCTTGAGAAAGAGCACAATGACAAAGTTACAGCACTAAACGCTTATCATATGCATATTCAAAAAGCAAGTCATCAATTTCACCAAATGCAACAAATGCAAAATTCACAGGGGCAGGAAACAGCAATTCAAATGGGGAACATGTATCAAGGGGCACCAATGATGCAGAAGGTTCAACAGAGCCAAGCGGCGATGAATATGACCATGCAACAACGAGCATCCATGCAGCCAATGAATCAAATGCAAATTCAAGCTCAACAAATGCAACAGGTAAACAAAAATCAAGCGTCTGTGACACCTGGGATGCAACAATATCGACAAAGTTCAATGACTATTCCAAAAACTTCGTCTATTCAACAAGCAACAAACCTACCATTCCAACCGGCAACAGGACAAACCGTCTCAAACACGAATATGCATACTTCTTTTGAGAAAATGCCACCAATTCCAGAAGTTTTGAATGTTAAGCCGCCTGTTCCAGTTGCAGTTCCTCCTTCAAGACCTACATTAACTTCTGGATATGCTACAACGCCTTTGATGAGTACACCTAGCATTTCAAAACCGCCGCAATATGACATTGATAACAGCAATCGTATCTTAAGTAAACGGAAACTTCAAGAACTTGTAAAACAGATCAACCCTGACGAACGACTTGATCCTGACGTCGAAGAGGTAAAACTTTATTCTTAGAAATATGGAACCTACTCACTATTTAAAGCTCCTTTTAGAAGTTGCCGACGAGTTTGTAGAATCAGTAGTTTCTTTTGCTTGCCGACTAGCAAAATATCGGAAATCCGATACACTAGATGTTAAAGACGTCCAATTGCACCTTGAACGCAATTGGAATATTCGCATCCCAGGATATACTAGTGATGAAATACGAAGTGTAAGAAAAACTATTCCGTGTCAAACTTATCAACAAAAGCAAAATGCCATTGCAACAGCTAAATCAATGAACAAAGAATAAATTAAACATTATCCAAAACATTTATTTTTTACACTCATAATTATCTAACTACTACGGAAATATGCCTTACATCTTTATTTAATGCATTTTTTTTTTTTCACTCTTACCCTCTTTTTATATCTTAGACTCGGCAGGCAAACATCGAACAGCATCGATCATAACAAACGTTGCGTTAAGAAAAAAAAAGGCCAATGAAGTCTGTAAAAAGACGTTAATTCGTCATTGTATGTCGCATTATTATTGTTTTGACTAGATAATAGTAAAAGCTTTATGGTATGCCTTTTTCCTAGTTAAAATAGCGATTAATTAACAATATTACAGGAAGATGAAGATGGAATTGATGCAACATCACTTAAGGAAATATGGAAAGAACAAAAGGGTATTGAACGCCCAGAATGGAGCCGCTGGTTTTGTGGGATGCGTTCTCCTGCCACGAATTCAGAATTGTATGCTCTTGCAGCATCGCTTAAATCAAAAGCGCCATTGAAATTTGAAGAAAAATCCAATTATTTGCAAAAATGCACAGAGAAACCAAAAACACACTTTTTAAGTCCAAAAGGTCTATATGGAGTACCTTTTGAGCAAAATTATGAACATTTATTGCAAGAAAAAACAAACGACAAAAACAAACGGCCTTTTTTCCAATTTCCTGAAATTAAAGTTTTAAAAAAACAAGAACGGTCCAGAACACTAGAATATGATTTGAGAGCATCTGACCCTCCTATGTTTATTGATATGTATGGAACAATATCAGAGAATGATAAAGGAATGCTATGTTCATCAAACTCTACAGAATTGTTGAACAAAAATATATGTCAAAAAGAAGCTCAACCATCATTAATGCAGGAGGTTACTAAGCAACTCTGTTCAACTGCAAAAACAAATATCTTGTTGTCTAAATTACTTGATTGTTTTTCAAAACAACCAAAAGTTCTTAAAACAACAGGAACACAGACATCGGGACACGCATCACCAGTAACTAAAGTGCATCACGTTTACTCAGATTATGCACATACAGTGTCTCCTATAGCATTAAATGTTTCTCCACAAATATTTATGGATGCAAAAGAAAACTTCTCATCAAATTCAGCAAAAAAAAATTACTCATACAAGTCAAAAAAAAATGAAGAAAATCACAATAAAAGGAATTATTCGACTTATTCTGGTGTTCACTGTCTTTGTCAAAAAATTTCATTAAAGCAAACATTATTTTCACCAAATATATCTCCATGCAATTTATATACAAACAGAAACACAAGGAATTATAGTCCCGAAAAGTACCGCTTTAGACCTAAGCATACGGATTGTTTTTTTAGAAAAAAATTACAAATATCTCCTTATTCTTCAAAAAACACTCTATCATCTCAGAGTAATGTCTATCCATTTACACCTTTTATGAAACGAAATTTCCAACCTGTGAAAATATTTCATGATGATATATCACCAGATTTTATTATTCAGAAAGAACTTAGCTCGCCATTTTTCCATGAAACAAAAGTTGGTTACTCTAATTTGCAATGTTGCAATCCAATGGATTATGAAAGTAGTTGTATGAATAAACAATGTATTGGGAGTAAGTTAACACAAAATAATTCTTTAAAGATGAAACCTAAAAATGAGGTTATTCAAAAAGAAAAAATACCGTTGTATAAATGGAAAAAGAAAGATGACGTATTATCGGTTAATAACAACATAATTAATTATAAAAATTCAATGGATAATTTTTTTGATACATCTAGATTGGAAGATAGAGTAAATTCTATTTCATCATCCTTTTCAACAGCAAATATAGATAAACCAAATACTTCGGAAATATTCCAAACAAAAATCTTTTCTAAAGATAATTTAGAATCTATTCCAAAATATGAAAAAAAATCAGAAAAAATACATGTTAAGAAAAAGAATATAACACCTACACAATTACCAATTAATAATACTAAAGAAACGTATTTCACAAAAACGAATTTTGAAAAAAGAGGAAAAATTAGGATTCCTTCAATATTTCTCAATAATCACGATAAAAATTCTTTACTAAAATCTGCATCTAGAACTTCAGAACTTAATATGTTTTCTCAGAACACTAAAATCAATACAAGATACTCTTTAAGAATAAATAAATCATCTAAAGATGTTAATAAAAAAGAGAATTCTAGCCCTCAAAATCCTGCAATTTTCAATAGTAAGAAAAATAGTTATAATGAAATATTTGCATTAAAGAAAGATGAGATAAATATTAACTCATTTCAGAAACCTATAAAGAAAAGACAAGAAGTTTCAAGAATTCACGCATCTAATTTAAGTACACAAAATCTAAATATTGAGAATACAAAAAATTCTCAAAAAAACAAGCATTTTCAAATCTCAAAAAAAGAATCAATATCTCAGTTATCCAAAAAACCATTGACTGGTTATTCTTCGGTGAATTATAACGCTTCTGTAGTTAGTCCTGAAAATTTTTCAAAAAACAATAAAAATATAGAAAAAAAATCGGATAAATCTTTTAGTGTAAAAAACAAAATTATTATACCACCCGTATTTTTATTACAAAAAGGCGATAACAACACAAATAGTAACACGCTCAAAAAATTACATTCTTTAGATACTACGTCATCTAATTCAACTTTAGCTATGGAGCCTATAAATGAAAAAGGAAAATTGTATAGCAAAAGATCCAACAATTTTACTAAGGAGTTCAAGTCAGCAGGTTTTAATGAGTCCAAAAAAGCAAACTCTCTAGTTAATACAAAACAAGCATATACAGAAAATATATCGTTTTCGCAATCAAAATCAATAGAGAAAAGTAATCAAAACAAGCTTAATCTGCCAGTTTCAGTTTCTTTTGACTATAAATACGAGTGTAAAAATAACTCAAAAACAAGTTTTGAACCTTTCGATTTAAAAAAAACAAAAACGACATATTCAGAAATTAACATACCATCCGATCCCTCAATTGAAAGCATGAAGACGAAAGATGCCCTTAAGAACATGTCTCGTCATAAACATTTAGTTTCTACATATCAAGAAGCAGTTAATATGTCAACAATACCCAGCAAAATAATTAAAATGGATACTGCTAATAGAACACATCCTAACAAGATTATTATTCCGAGTGTTTTTATGGTATCATGAAAACACACTTCTCTAATTTGCCCCAAATCAAGGCATCCGTCGATACAGTTATCAGTAAGATGTAAATGTATTTTCTATCTATTTTCTTGGGCTATTAATTGGAATGGCCGAAATACCTTAGTACACAACTATGGTAATAATCATGCCATTTATAATGTTGATATTTCTTTATGAAATAGCTGAATAAAGTATGTATATTAATTTTGAATATTTAAGTGAAAAATCATACATATATTGGATACTCAATCATGTAAACAATCATCCTTAAGAACATACTTGTTTCCCATTGTCAATATCGTTCCGGCTGTCATTTAAAAATGCTCATCTATTTTTCCTATTTTTTTTGCCTCTTGTATTCAAAAACCGTGTTTTGGAAAAATCTTTGTCAAAACCACGATTCTGATCACTGCTCCATTTGCTTGAAGGCAATGCTTCATTTCCCGAAAAACCATACATCTCTTCATATTTTTCTGCTTGCCGAGGCTTTAAAGTCAGTATAAAAATAAATACACATACACTCACATTTCTATCCAGCATCATCTTCCAACACTCAATCTGCTCATCAGACAGTCCTGTACTTGCCTGAAGCTCCTTTCTACCACATGACCGTCGTGCCTCCATAGTCCGATTAAAAACCTCCGGAGACACTATATATGTTGTATACAGTATTCCATCTACCCTATTCATTCTGCACTCTTCCCGAACCTCCCCATCACTAGAACCTGCTTCTTCATATGTATCATCTTTTTCATCCTCATCATTAACAAACACCGAGTCCATTATCATCTGCTTGTGTTCACGCACAAATAACTTGTCCTCCAACATGGCATCTGCTGATGCATATCTTTATCCATTAGATCTATAACTTCTTTCTAAGCACATACCCCTTCTTTCCTCTGTATATTTTCTGTATTTCTACTACTCTGTCCAGCTTATTTCCTCCAGGCAAACATCTGTCGTTGCCCGTAGCAACAGGACACCCACTATTCACAGGACACACCCTAAACTGCCCATTACTATGTTTCAGCTTTTGTAAAAATACACACCTTTCCTTGCCTGTGCAAGTATCTATAGACTTTTGTGTGTCCACAGTGCTGTTGCTTTCGAGAATCATACATACAGCAGCCTCGACGTCTCCGCCGCATGCGCACAGACACTCGTCGAGAAAGGCTTCCGTGGACGCCGGAAAAAGCTCCTGGAGCTTCTGTATCCCTGGTAACTGTTTCCAGGGCAACAATTTCCCTGGCAATGATGCCTCCCTCAACGCCCGCAGCTCCGAGACTATTTCCTCTGAAAACAACGCCCCCTCGTAGAACCGCTCTACGATCTCTGTTTCGAGCACCAGATCTCTCAGAAGCTCCCGTGAAACCCACTCTTCTTCATACAACCACCTAAACCGCCGGACAATCTGCTCACAAACTCCCCGTTCCCATAGAAACGACGTAAACAGCGTAAACACTAACCATAGCAACTCCTCCTTGATTCCCGATATCAATGCTCCTCTCTGATATACTCTTGCAATTAACCCTATAAATCCTTCATCGAGAAAAACACATGTTGCTGGTGCACATAGCCGTACAAAGACCATTAGTGCTTGTAGTTGCACACGTTGCTTTTTTTCCTGTATTATTTTTTCTGTTTCTACAAGCTGTTGTATTTGCACTATATACTCGTCTCGGACTCTGTGAGCTTCTATAATCACTTGTCGTTCAGCGCTGAGTGATATATGCTCGACAGTGTGGAGCACTCGCGGTGCACAGTCGAGCGCATATAATACGCAAAAATCAAAGAGTACGAATGGATGTTTTAATATTTGTAGTTTGGTGCTTTCTAAGTGAAAAACACGCTCTAAAACAAGGAAGACAGCCTCTGAAAGCTCATCCTCGGCTTTGGTAGCAGTGGCACCGGTAAATCCATGTTCATCTGCGTTTTTGCGCGGTGTATGCGCGTCAAGATACGCATATATAAAGGCAGATAGCGGCTGTTCGGTGCCGAACAGCTCTTCAAAGGCAGAATCGGGCGCTGCAGCACTGTCGCGCAGCCAAGACGTCCATGCATGCACTGCAGCGTCCCAATCAGCCGCTGCTATCTGTGCCCGAGCAGCCCTTGTCGGATATGCTGCTAGAGCATCCATACAGCATGCAGCAATGTGCTATATGCACAATATGCGCACAATATGCGCACAGTATGCGCAGTATATGCGCGGTATATGCAGTGCACGGCGTGTGCACGGAGTGCGCAGTGCGGGACATCGCAGCAGAAAACATGCACGTGCAGTGGACAGACACACATACAGCATCTGCATGGAGCAGAGTATATACATGTATACATGTATACATGTATATATATATGCATACACGTCTACGGCGGCATATACCGCGTTATAGCATAGATTATGTGTATACCACCGCGTGCACACTTATACACCGTACACAGCCATACGCATGGCCGTACGCATAGCCGTACGCATAGATAGCACAGATAGCATATACAATCAGCAGAGTATGCATATAACGCGTGTGTAGTGCGCATACAATGCATACACAGCACATATACAGCGTATATAACACGCATACACAGCGCACACAATGTATATACAGCGCACACAATGTATATACAGCACATACAGCACATATACAGCGTATATAACACGCATACACCGCGCACACCGCCCTATGGCATGTGCGCAGTGCATAGAGCGCTATACATGCGTCAGTGTGGGGCATTGTGCAGTGTGCGCTATGGACATACACTGTGCATATGTGCAGTGCGTTGTGCTATACACAGTGTGTATGCACGCAGTATGCGCAGTGTGTGCACGCAACGCATAGCATACAACGCACAGCATATATGTGTGGTGTATATATATAGCACATCTGTACAGCATACACGCGTTATATACACAGTGTACATGCACAGTATGCACACAGCCGACTATATGCTATATGTGTTGTATGCGCTGTGCGTGCAGGTATGCAGTGTGCATGTGTGCATAGTGTACAGTGTACACATACATACAGCGCGCCGCACATACTATATATACTGTATACATATACTGCACACATACATAGTATACACAGCGTATGCACAGCGCACACACATTGTATGCATTCTGCCAACTGTGCGTTGTGTATGCACTACACATGCATTATATGCGCGGTATATGCGCACTGTATACGCCATATGCGCTGTATGCAACATAGCACACTGCGCACACAATCTACAGCACACCGCAGTATTATACGTATTATGCATCCTCTCCGGACACCCTCATACCCGCCCGGACACCCGGCCTGCCACAACCCGCGCGGGCCGCGGCGGAGCGGCGGAGCATGGCGCACGACCAGGTGTGGTACTCGCGGCCGCGGAACTACGGCAAGGGATCGCGTGAATGGTATGCATCCGGGCCCTTTCGTGCTGCTAACTCTCCAGCCGTGTCTGTGGACACGTCGCCGGCGTAATCAGAAAATACGGGCTAAACATCTGCCGACAGTGCTTCCGCGAGTATGCGGTCAGCATCGGCTTTCAGAAGGTAAGCGGTCCTACCGGGGTGAGCATGCTGACAGCCCAGTATCGTTAGCGTGTGCGGTGTGTTTGTGCAGTGTGCTCAGTGTGCTGCAGCGTTGTAGGGGTGTTTGAGTATGCTGTGTAGTGTGCTGTTAGTGTAGTGTGTATGCGCTGTGTATGCGCTGTATGTATTTATGTATTGTATGCACTGTATGTATTGTATGCGCTGATACGTTTGTGTTGTATGTGCCATGTGCCGTATGCTATGTCGTGTGCTGCGTGCTGTGCTCTGCGCGCTGGCGCATGCGCGCGAGGACGGCGTGCTCGTCGGGCGGCGCGGGGCGCGCGAGCCACGAGACGTCTTTGAGGTGGAACGGCGCCTCTGCCAGCAGAGGCGCTTCGAGGACGGCGGCGTGCTGCGGGGGTTAGCGTGGCGAGACGAGTGGGAGGTGTACCGCTGAGGCAGCCGAGTGGAAGACGACGAGCGCCGAAAGGAGCTTCTTGGAAGCCGGCGCATCACGAACGAGGACGTGCTCAACAGGGCCGAAGCGAAGAAAGAGGTCGAGGAGGGCCTGCTTGTCGAAGGAGAGGTCTCTGTGCCAGCGGACCCTGACGGTGCGGTGCTGAAGCGGCACAGCGGGCGCAGGCGGCGCAGACGGGGGCGCAGCGCCCTCGGCCTGCAGCGCAGCCAGGCGCTGCCTACGGAGGGCAAGGCCCTCCTGCTGGAGCTTACGGAGGGTCTCGTGAAGGGCGCCATCAGAAGCGGTCTTCTGGGCCTTGGCACGGGTCTCGCGGCGCTCGAGGTCAAGCACCATCTGCTGCCTGTGAAGGTCGAGGGCTTCGTGCTTGCGCTTCTTTGCGAGCAGAGCCTCTCGAGAGCGGTCGTACTCGGAGCGGGCGGCGGGGTCGCTGAGGACCTCGAATGCAAGGGATATCCTGTGGAACATATCCACGGCAGCAGCCTCGGTGTTTTTGTCTGGATGGTACTGAAGCGCTGGGCGGTCAGCGGGAGACTCAGTGTTGTGTACGGAGACGCACCGGCTCTGCGGTAACCTCTGTGGATTGCAGCAGTGCTTGCGGTCGGCGGGACGCCGAGCAGATCGTAGTAGTCGTCCATGCAGGTGGTTGGAGGAGCGCAGCAATGCAGTGGTGGTTGCCATGGCAACTGACAGTGGGCAGCAGTGGGGAGGGGCAGACGGGAAATATACAGGGACGGGCGGCGGGAGAGGTACGATGCATGCAGGGATGCTGTCTATGTAGGGGATACAGTATGCTGGACGGCTTGGGCGAGCTGTTTTGTCCGGGCGGTGGCTGCCGGTGAGGCGGGCATGCTGCTATATAGTATATATAGTATATATAGTATATATAGTATAGGGAAGTGCGGGTCTTTTATTGTATGCACGGATTATACACGGGAAGTGTGGGGAGTGGTGAGTTTGCAGTGGAAGCAATGCACAAGCGCAGTTTGGCGGCAGTTGTGTGTTTTATGGATGACGACTTTTTGACCGGCAGCAGAACATGTGTTATGTACAGCGGATGCAGGCAGATATGGATCAGTGAGTGGGTCAGTGAGTGGGATAGTGTGGGGATATACACACGTGTAGAACAGGGGGTGCAAAAAAGCATTTTCCAGCTATTGGATATATTTATACTAATATCAGACGATAACAGTGTGTGTCAAGAAATCGAGTAGATTATTTGCGGGGTTTAGGCGTGGAATCGAGTATTTGGGGAGATTGGGATTATTTGTGAAGCAGTGTGCTGCACAAGTATGCTTGTGTGCATTAAATATCAAGACTAAGAGTGGTTTGTTTGTCTCTGTTCATCTTATTTGACAAAGCAAAGATCTATATTAACAGCGTTGTTGAATTGAGAGTAGAATAATAAAAAAAACATGTATAAAAGACCTATAAAGTCTATTCTGCAGTTTGATAAAAACATGAATTTAGACAAGGATTAGGTTGAATGCCCAGATCATGCATTACATGAATAGTAAATTTATACAGTAAAAACACCAGCGTATACAGTAAAGCATTAGAGTATTTCTATTTTTATAGTCTTTTTAAATTGTCAAAATATTTCTTTGAATAAAATAAGCATTATAATAATGTTTCGTTATGTCTAAAACCTATTTACTGCATAATTGTAATTTATTGGTGACGTATTCTGTCGACAATATTGATTATTGTATATATGAGGACAATTCATACGTACTTGTAGGCTTATTTATTTTTCGACATAGATGCATGTATAACTCTTTAAAACAATATTAATCTTGAATTTTTATATTGATAAAAGACATACAAAAAACTATAATTACAAATCTGATGAATACAATAGCATGTAATCGCTATACTGTTGCAATTATTACCAAAAAAGAATGCACTTATTATTGTTAAAGGCTAATAACAGTAAAGATTTCTATAAATATTAAGTTTTCAATAGAAAATAATTCAAAAAGTTCATGAAAAAACGTATTGTCCAGAAAATAAGATCATGCTGATTGATTTAGAATGAATTCAAGCTCAATAAAAATTAATACCATGTGTTGATAAAGTATAAATATATAATATATATATAATATATATATATAATATATTATTTATAACATGTCAAAAAATACAAACTTTCTTTAAAATCAACAAGTCTGTCACTTATTCTGATCTAGAAACCGTTTTCGAGAAAAAATATCATCAAGTTTTATACCAAGTCCGGGCTTATTTGGACATAATTTAAAGAATTTTTCAAACACTGTATCTTTAATAAGATCTATCGATACTTTATTATGAATACATTTCCGAATACTACTTTCAAGATCGGATTCTTTCGGTAAACCATAATTATATGGATACTTTTGATAGTGAACAGACAAAATATCATTAGATATATTTAACCGAGGAGCATCATCACGATTTTCAAAAAAAGTGTCAATCAATTTGTCAGGAACATCTAAAATTTTTGACGGATTCCATACAGGTAAAACAGGAGGTTTTCGGATTAATTTTGCTTCAACACCTTCCATGAAATCATGTCTTCTCTAAAATATATAAGCAATAGCAATTAATTAGCTAATAAATTAAATACAAGAAGATGACTAGCTATATTGAGTTCGTTATTAAATGCTTCCAAAATATTCCATTTTTTTGCTTCTTGTATTTCACGTAGAGCAATCTTAATACTAGTAGGAGAACGCTGGTTAAGTTTGCCAATAGTCATTTCTGCCCAGTCTGTTTTTTCTTTTTTTAAAGCGTTAAAAATTTGTTCAATTTTTTTAAATTTAAAACATCTTTCCATATGTTGACTTATAATTCATAATAATTTAGAAAATTACCTATCAATTGCTTCACGTATTTCTCCACCAAGTTCATACTTATAATTTCTAGGAGGTTCGCCAGAAAATTCATCAATCGCTCTATCAACAATATTAAAATATTCTATGCTACTACTGTCATCAGTATTCAATTCAGACAATCTTGAAACAAGAGATTCTAATCTATTTGAAGGTACATAGTGTGTAGCAATGCCAGAAATTCTATTTAAATTAGGACAAAACATTATGTTAAAAATAAAACTTACAATGTATCAAAACCATAAACACGTTCACCTGTCATTCCAATATATTTTCCAATTTCACCATCCATTCGAGATAAAAAAAAGGACGATCCAGCATCTGGAAAAAATCCAATATCCGTTTCTGGCATTGCAAAAACAGTATTTTCTGTTGCAATCCTAAAAGGTGCATGAATAGATAAACCCGCTCCTCCACCCACTAATATAAATTAAATATTAAACTTTACATACATACAAAATATTCACTTGTAATCCCATCCATTAATGAAATATAAGGTTTTTCACGAAAGGTAGCAATAAGGTAATTAAGACGATATTCTTGCTCAAAATATTCAACAGCTGTTTTATACCCATTTTCTGAATCAGATCGACACATTTCTAAAACAGCTGACAAATATAAAAATCCTTCCTGTATCTACAACATTCCAATATACCTGCAACATCACCACCTGCACACAATGCCCGATGATCTATTCCACGAAGTAAAACAATCATAGTCAATGGTGATCGCCTCCATTCCTTTAAATAATCAGCCTCAATGAACGTACTTAGAAATTTCTTATAACTATGAGCTTTTCATAAATATTTTTTATCATTGTTTTAGTTAAAGCATTTAATTTTTTCGGTCTATTCAAAGTAATCATCCGTAATCCCAAATCATTATCAAATAATACATCATTCTGAAAAAATAAACATACTTTCAAAAAACTTTATATTTACATTAACTACACTTTTCATTGCAGAAAAGTTTACTTTCTTCTCATCAAAAATAAGTCATCAATCATAATAAAAGTTTATTTATCACTACCTGTGTATATTTTCTTAAAAAAAAAAAGTAAAGATATGTATATTTAAAAAAAGGAACAGCTTTTTTAGCTGCTAGAAAAAATCTTTCCATTCAATTAAACATATCTAGAAAAAAACGTTTTATTCTTTTTTTTTGTCGTTAACCCCAATCTCCAAATCGAAGATACTATTGTCAATCATTAAGACGTTACAAAAAAAGATTTTATGAAGAAAAAGGGGCATTTGATACTATATTATGGCAAAATTATGGAATATAATATATATACTAAATAAAAGATTGTGTAAAGGAGTATTTAAACCTTTTGTAGTGTTTTTTTCCGTTTAAAATAACTAACTTTTTAATTATTTTAGGTTCAAAGAATAAATATTAGATTATATTCAGTACAAACTACATTAATACCTTTATCTCATACAAAATACGGTTTTAGTATTCTTTAAATAAGATTAGGTTTTGTTTACACGCACTTAGATGCTTTTTCTCAAGTTTTTACAACTCTTTACTCTTTTCCTAATATGAAACCTGTACGCTTTCAAATGTTCCCTGCAAACTTTCTCAATCTTCCTCTTAGAAAAGATATTCTTCATCGTGCAGTAGTCTATGAAGCAGATAATTTAAGACAAGGAACTGCATGCAAAAAAAATAGGGCAGATGTTCGTGGCTCAAATCGAAAGATTCGTCCACAAAAAGGCACAGGTCGTGCTCGTCTTGGAGATATTCGATCCCCAACTATAAGAGGAGGTCAATTTTTCTAGATATTTATCTATTTTTGACAAGTTAGGTGGTCTTGCACATGCACCTAAACCTCGTGATTTTTCTACAAAACTTCCACGTAAAATCTATTATTTAGCTATGCGAACAGCATTATCTGCTAGATACAGAAGAGGACAAATCATTGTTATTAATCATACATTTGAATTGCCAACACATAAAACAAAAGCTATGGTAAACGTGATAAAGACATATGGCTGGGATTATGATGGTGGTGGGACAGTCTTTATCATGTATGCTCGTAGAGAAAACTTTATATACTCTACTGCAAATCTTGGAAAGCATTGTATTGTTCGAAATGTTAAGGAAGTTTCTGTTAAAGATCTTTTAATGAAAGAAAGAATTATTATTGAACGTAAAGCACTTGAATGGCTTGAGGAAAAAACAAGAATAGAATAATTACATATTTTGAAAAATTATTTATTGTATATCATTTGGAATTTATAATATTTATATAAACTTATTTTTTAATTTTTATGAAAGCTATCGACCTCAAAATGATGGAAAAGTTTATTTTGACAGAATATGAAAAAAAAAGCCAAATATACATTAAAATACATGCTTTTGTAGTTTTTTCGTCTACTTAACATTTTATTTATCAAATAATTTTCAAAATGAATTATTTTTCATATCAAATTTATAAAACATTCTATAAAGTAAATGCAAATTTAATTTTTATAAAGTATTCCACTTTTTTCCAGAAAATTAACTAAGATATTCTAGAAAAAGTTTGAAGCATATAAATTTATCTTATTATATACGTTTTATAAGTATACCATCTAAATCAAATAAATCTTTAATAAATGAATCACAAAATTTATCGTTACAATCCGATTCTACTATATCTCAGGATAAATCTAGGAAGGAAAATGGTCAAATAAAGTATCCCAGATTAACTTATTTGGCTCCAAAATTGGGAGTTAATAAAGCGTATGATGAAGCTTTAAAAATTATTGAAGCAGATCGTCTAGAAAAACTTGAAAAAATTAAAAAAACAGAATCTAAAATAGAATATAAAATAAAATGTAAAATCTGAGATTTTTTTAATACTAACTAATATTATTTTCAAGATTCTAACACTAAAGATAAAGAAGCACAATTAACAAATTTAAAAAAATATTTAAATCAACTTAAAATATTGGCAGATATTAATGTTCCTGAAATAAGATGGAGATTTAAAAATAACGATGGTAAAATTTTTATACAGGGAAAAGAAAGAATATTTAAACTATCTAGTGGATATGACCATTCCTGTTTATCGTTATTTAACTGAACAAAAATGGATGAAAAAACCATATCATCTTTTAATGCAGCGTGTAGAACAGATGTATGTTATACCTGATGCGTATGGAAGATTTAAGCCTACTGCAGAAATTCTTCTTCGATTTAACAATGAAGAACTTGAACCAGGAAAATTTGTTCCTAATTATATCTCTGAAACTGAACCTACTATAGAAATCAATCCCTTTTCAGACACTGAAAAGCTTTATACAATTGCTCTAATTGATTTAGGTTGAATCCTATTTATCTTGTTATTAGACTAATATATACAAGATGTCCCTGATCTAGAGAAAGATTCATTCAAAACATATCTTCATTGGCTTATGTATGGTTTTTTGTTAAAAAACAAAATATTAACTAATTTTAGTTCCAACATTCCAATTTCTCCCAATAATACACTTGTACAACCATCTATTGCAACTATTTTAGCCTCTTATATTCCTCCACATCCACAAAAAGGTAGTTTATACCATCGATATACGTTACTCGTTTTTGAACAAACAGAAAAAAATTCAAATAATTCTATTATTGAAAGAGACCGGTTTGATATTCGTGAATTTGCATCTTTGAATCATTTTAAAATTGTTGGAGTCCATTTTTGGCGTAGTCTTTGGGATGAATACGTAGATAAAATTATGTTATCCATGAAGTTGCCACCTTATAAAACCATGCTTAAAAGATGTTAATTAATCATTAAAAATATATGTTGAATAAATATTTGTACATTACAGTAAAATCATTAATTATTAAACGTAAAAATTATATTTTAAAGGATCAAACATTCATTTTTTAAGAAAAAGTCGTAGAAAGCGGAGAAAGTTCATTTTTAAACCATTTGAAATCTGGTAAAACTCTACAAACAACTTTTCCTTTAATCAGTGCCATAGGAAGAGGACCATAGTTTCGGCTGTCTAAGGAATGAAGCAAATTGTCACCCATTACCCACACATGGCCCTCTGGGACCTATATTACATCGTTTAAGCTAATGCATCGACATTTATTATAAAAAATCTACCTTAATAAATTCGGCACGACTCATTAAAGGATCTTTACAAATAACATCACCTGGCTATTTTATAAACACTGAAATATATATTTACTGAAAAAATCACATACCATTCCTATAATCCGTTTTGCAATTCGGATATTTGTCGTCCCTGGCTTAATTGCAACGATAATATCTCCTGCTCGACATCCTCGTCCATTCTTTCCATGCCATTTATCAACTCCCAACAGATCTCCGTGAGCATTTAGTGTTGGTAACATTGATGGTCCAGAACAAGGATATATTTCAAAAATTTTCTCGTTTATCACATCAATCAATGCTAACATTTGAATACAAATCATCATATTTTTTATTGGTTGAAAACGTTTAATGAACCCCATTAGAAAAAAAAAAAAAAACATAAAAAGAAGTCTTAAATAGTATGCTCCATTAATAAATATATATATTACTTATTAATTTATTTTATTACTATATTGTCATCCATTTATTATTATTAAAAAAAGTCGAGGTTACAAAGTTATACGGAGAGGTTACTAAGGTTACAGTAACTAAGACAACAGTTGCTAAAATATTAGTTTCTATGGTAATACTGATAAAATAAAGTATAAAAATTATCTTAGGTATGGTTGCTCTGACAACGGCACTTCATGATAAGGTTTAACATGATTTTTAATATTAAATCATAAAAAAATTATACAATTTTGAAAAAAAGTATTATTTTAATGTATTTTAATGAGTTTTTCAGAAAAAAGAAAAAATCCAAAATTTAAAAGGCAAAAAAAACGATGTTCAGAGGATATGGCATCCGCAACAGAAAAACATAAAGTCCAAAAAATTCATTGGGATAAATATAGCGAAAAGGATTCATCGGATGGTGAAACACATATAAATCCTCCAAATTTGTCCAAAGTTGTTGATTTAACGGCTTTTCCAGAAAAAAAAAACATTATACAATCTGCAGATACTTTTAAAAAACTAACGGTTAAAAATTTTCGAAAAACATCTTTAGAATCACAAGAAAAATACTATAATGATATCCTCCAACGTCTTGATACTACTCTTTTAAATATTTTTGAAAATAGGAAAATTGAATGGAGCCTTCAGGAACTTTATAAAGGCGTTGAAAATTTATGTAAAGCTTTTAACCATTCTAATCATGAAGACCCTTGGGCTATAAAATGCTACCGCCTTTTGGAATCTAGATCAAGAGAGTCAATCAAATTGTTATTATCTAATATTCTGGAAAAGATTACATCATATGCACATGTAGAAGGTGACATTGTCAGGATTATAATTGATGAGGGTTGGAAAATTTGGATTGAGCAAATTTCTATGATTAGAAGTATTTTTTTTTATTTCGATCGTACATTTCTACTTATTACACCTGGATTGTCATCCATATGGGATACTGGAGTAAGTTTATTTCGTGAACATCTTTTTATGGATTTATCTATAAACGATCTTTTTTTCTCCGATATTTTTACTATAATTGCAACTATTCGATCATATTCTTTAGATTTCATGAAAGCACCTAATATTATTTTGTTACAATCTTCTATAAAAATGATAAGTTCTTTAAACCTTTATGGATCTCTATTTGAGCCAAAGTTTATACAAGCTACTGAAATATATTATAGTAATGAAGCATTAAGATCTATAGAAAGTGGATTTCCGGATGAATATTTGTCTTATATTAAAAAAACGCTAAATAAAGAAGAGAATTTTTGTAGTGAATTTTTTTTAGAACAAACAAAATCAAAAGTTATTCATGTTATTAAAACTCAATTAATCGAAAATCATTCTGAACATATAATTAATATAAGCTTTGAGGAATTGATTGTTAAAGAAAAAGTTGAATCTTTAAAAGACTTATATATGTTATTAAGACTTATTAATAAAGTAGATTTAATTAAATTTCATTGGGCAGAGTATATTAAAGTAAGGAAAATATGTTTGAAGATTATATTTAACATTGAAAGAAAACTTGTAAAACTTTAATATTAGATCCTAATGATGACTCATCAATAATACCTTCACTTTTAAAGTTTCATTCTACTTTAAATTCTATTATTTTTGAATGTTTTTCATCAAATGAGTCGTTTATTCAGACACTTCGAGAGTGTTTAGAATTTTTTATTAACAGTTCTATCAATAATCCATCTGAATTATTAGCTAAACACATTGATAACATATTACGCACTGGTAATAAGTCTTTTGATGAAAAATCTCTCGAAAAAGAAATGGATAAAGTATTAGAGCTTTTTAGGTTTATACAGGGTATACATATACATATATATATATATAATTATAACTTTAAATAATGTATTTAGGAAAAGATACTTTTGAAGCATTTTATAAAAAAGATCTTGCCAAAAGATTATTACTCAATAAAAGCGCAAGTGCTGATGCAGAAAAAACTATGTTAATGAAACTTAAAACAGGTATTATTTTATTATAATTTTAATACTTGATTTTTATATATTTTAGAGTGCGGATCAGGATTTACACAAAAGCTGGAAGGAATGTTTAAAGATATAGATATTTCAAAAAATTTTATGATCTCTTATAAGGTTTGCATTGTTTGTATACATGTATATGTTAATTAAATAAGAATTCGAAATTTGCTCAGGAAAATTCATCAAATTTAAATTTATATGTAAATATTCTTTCACAAGCGTTTTGGCCTCCCTATCCTAATATTTCTATAAATTTGCCAGAGAAAATGATGAATGAGTTAAATTTATTTTCGTCTTTTTATTTTTCTAAACAAAGTGGTAAAAAATTAACATGGAGACATAACTTGGGACATTGTATTATTAAAGCTGATTTTCCAAAAGTATTATTTTATTTATTATATATTACTAGAAAATACTAATTTATTGAAAGGGTAAAAAAGAATTAAATGTTAGCTTATTTCAAGGAGTAGTTATACTTTTATTTAACAATATCCCTGATAATGAAACATTATCATATAATGAAATAAAAAATTCTACAAATTTAAAAGATAAAGAATTGATTCGGACATTACAATCATTGGCATGTGGTAAAGTTAAAATACTTTTAAAAATTCCAAAAGGAAAAAATATAAATACTACAGACCTATTCATGGTTAATCTTTCATTTTCAGAAAAATTGTTTAAAATTAAGATTAACCAAGTTCAAATAAAAGAAACATCAGAAGAAAACAAAATCATTCATAAAAATATACAGAAAGACCGAGCATTTGAAACCCAAGCAACAATTGTCCGAATAATGAAAGTAAAAAAAAAGTGTAATCATACAGAATTGGTTCAAACAACTATAAATGTATTAAAACAAAGAGGTATTACATCAGTTGAAGAAGTAGAGTTAGCTATTGAAAAACTTTTGGAAAAGGAATACATAGAAAAAGAAGGAAGCCCTAGTATATATAATTATCTTGCATAAATCTTAAAAGTAGTCCGTAGATAAATGTGAAAAACATATAAATACCAGATGCATGTAGACTTATTGTCCGAATATATTAGAATGGTGTTTTGTAATATAAAGCAAAAATAGATATAATTATATATGATGTTCGTATTAACCATAAAATCTTTATTTTTCTTTCATTTTTTCTATAATTGTCGCTTTTATTCTTTCATGAGTATCTTTACATGCAATTAATGCTTTTGATAGTATTTCAATAAACTATTTCTATTAGTTAACTTCAATAATTCATCTTATATACTTGATTTTCTGTAAAAAAGCCTATACTATCACATAAAATAAGTTTTTCATCTGGAAATGCATAACACACAACATGAGAACTTGTAGCATCCTGTTACTTTATTTATTTTCTTTTTGTAGAATATGATTATAACATACATTTAATATTTTTAAAGATGGATTTAAAATAATAGATGTTTCACCCTCTTTTGAAAGAACTGCTAATGATACAGCAGAAAATGTATTTGTCATAGCAACACCAGAATCAAGAAGCGATATAAATGTTGTATTTAATATAGCTGCAAGCAATGATACTATCTGTTATTTGTTAATCAATAACAATTTTATTTTTAAGAAAAATAACATTTTCAGATTTTTCACGAGAAATAATTTGAATTACCATTTGAATGAGTGTATGAGGATACATTGTCCGCATTATCATTGGTGATATAGTTTTCCATATAATTTGTTCCATTTGAATATCTTTTGTACCTAAAAATATGAAAAATGAAATAAATAAAATTAGAAAAGGAAAATACTTGATCCCCTTACATCAGGTCTTACAATTACATCTATTGTAGCTTCTCCAATTACTTCATCTCGTGTTTTTGTCTCTGATGGGCCAATAACAGCACAAAGAATCTTGTTTGGACCTATTTTTGTCAAAAATAAATCTTTTTAAACAAAAAAAAGAAAAATATTAAAAATATCTAATATACCTTCTTCATAAATACAAGATCCTTCAACTCGAGTTAATAAAGATGTTTTAAAAAATATATTTTCCATCTCTTAAAATCGAGATAACGCAATAATGTTGATCGAATAAATGAAGATATAGTAAACCACAGTATTAAATGTCTTTGACCATTTTAACATGAATTGTTTTTGATGAAACATATTTTTATTTTTTTCAGAAAAAAGAAATAAATCTTTAAAAAGTTTTTTAAAAAAAGAACAAAAAACATATTTCTTATAAACAACAATGAAAAATCTATCTATATAACATAATTATTCAATATTATTTTTTATCTTTGTGATTTTTAGCTAATAATATACAAAATAAGATTTTAATTTTTTTAACAGTCGTAAAATATTTTAGAAAAATTCCTAAAAGCCTATATATTTATTTTTTATTCATTGAAATAACGCTTCATTTATTTAGGGATAATTTTATAACTTAAAACAATATTTTAATTTTTATCAGAAAACTATATAGTTAGATCTTTAAAAAATTTCTGTAAATATCCCAATTGATATCTTTTTAAAAACATTATGTTGAAACCATTTAATTTTTTTAGTTTTAAATAAGAATTTTAATATCAAAAAATAGTGTTTTATTACATTTATATATATCTGAATATTTTTTAAATACATCTATTTAAATAAAAAATATTTAAGTGCGTTATTTAAATAAAAAATCATTTATAATTATTTAGATTAGTACTATTCAAGATTAATTTGTTTTCTTTTAAAACTATTGAACATTAAATATCAAAAATCTAGATAACTTATATTTAATTTGTCTTTTTATATCTTATGATAAAAAAAGAATCTAAATAAACAATTAGTACGAAGGAATAGTATGTAAAATGTTGTTTTTTTCTATAGTTTACTTTCAAATATAAAAATCGAATTTTTATTTCAACAATAATTATTTATTTTTCCAAAAAAATATTTTTTAATAAAAAGATCAAGTAAATATATCCTCAAAATATGGTACTATTTTTTATCTTTCTAATCCAACTTCTAGTTTTTTTTTCTCTTTTTTATTTATTTCTTCATAATCCTATTTAATCTAATGGATTCACAAAGAAATTATATTCACTTTAATCAAGCAAAAATTGTAGATTATATAGAAGAATGGTGTGCAGATAAACTTCCAGACGATGGTTTATTATTATTATTTAATACAGTTTCCTTGTAATTTTATTTATAGATATTATTATACCTCCCCAACATCAACCACCACATCCTGACGATGATGATGGTCAATTTTGTTATTTTACACTATATTAATTAATTAATAATAGTTCCGAATCAACAAACAATGAATGGCATTCTCCGAGCACAAAAACCGCCAGAGCCTGCATGGCGGGACCTCGGCTTACAAGAATTAATGCAAAAAGGTCCATCTGAAGAAATGCAAGAAGGAATTGGACAACGTCTCAAAGAAATTCAGCAAAATACGCGCTTTCAAATTATGGAACGACAAAATTTACATTCTTTTTAGTATATAAATATTTTCTTATGAAGTTAAAAATCAAAATTGAAATGAATTAATGTAAATTAATATAAAATGATATCAACTAATATAGTTTTTCACAAATTTTCACATGTTTATATAAATACAAATATAAATAAATATAAATATAATCGATCCAGTCGATATTTATATTTTGTTGAAAAATATTTATTATATACTGATTTTTTCACTGTATACTCAAACAAAATATTACACTACTAGCTTCTTATACGTTGTCGTAATCCTCGTTTTTGATTGTACAGGATGGCTTTTAATGTTCTGTGAACACTTTTAGCATCATAAAGCATACCGTGATTATTTTCATTTTCATATCCATAAATACCAATACACTTAAATCCATATTGACGTGCTTGATTTTCATCTATTGAGAGTGTATCTTTGCCTCGAATATAGATAATATGGGTAATAAACTTAGGAATCCAATATTCAAAATCAATTTCTTGATCAATTGGTTTTAAGTGAGTAACAAGCCCAGTTATCAAGGCCCGTATAAAGTCCATACCTGTAAACTCTTCGCCTGTTTCTCTATCAGTTGAACCATTTAAAAAAACAATCTTGTATATCAATTGAGGTGAATCCAGGATTGCTTTAGCTACACCATTGACTATTAGACAAGGAAGCAAACTAGTATAAAGCGATCCAGGACCATAAATAATTGTATTTGTGTTCTTAATTACTGATAAAATCTTAGGGTTTATGTTCGGATAAATTCGGTTACCATAAGAATCAACATAATAAATCTGATCAATAGGGGATGGTAAATTAACGTTATTATCTTTTTGAACAAGAGTATTTTGTTGAAGAATTAAAGGAATGCTATAAAATATATTATAAAACAATCAACAATCAAGCATGCAAATCATACTGTGAAAAATTTCCATAATTTTCGTTCTTCATATTATTATCAATGCAATCATTACTTAAAATACCACAATTTGAAGGATGCGAGATTTGATTTTGTCCATAGATGACCATTCCATTTTTTAATTTTGCTGCGATATGATGGGTGAAAGAAGTATTAATAACAGGTAATACTTGGGCATGAATATGTGTAATACTTCGAAACAAAAAAATAGCACTTTCCAATGATCCAAAAAACTAATAGGTCAGTCATTTTTAAAATAAAAAAATAAACTTGATTTACTAAATTGGCACCTGTTAAAAAAAAATTACCCAAGCCTAATTTCCGTTATTAATACAAAATGCTAAAAGGAAAAATATAACTGTACTTCCATTGCTGAAATTAAATTGAAAATTATGTCTAATACGTTTTGTCAATTCTGTTTGCAAATAAACAAAAAACATTCGTATCAATTGAACTTTTTCAGATGAAATATTCTCCCACAAACTATCTCATGTTAAACATATACGTATGTTAGAACGGAGAATAGAGACATATGTGATCCTTCTACGACCTTTTGCCATTCATAATATGCTTCTTTAGTATCAATGGACAAACGGTGCTTTAATAATCGTTTAATATGCAACAATTCCATATTTTTATTGTCTTCTGGTATTAATCTAATGAGCCTTGATTTGATATCACCTATGCCAATACCACCCTATAAAAATATGTTAATTGCTTCATTTTTTTCCAAAAAAAAGATATTTCTCTACAAAAATACGAAGAATTTCAGACGTAGATCTAAAAAAGCTTCAACAATATGTTTTTTTTTCCAAAAAACTTACCCTCCATTGTCACTAATTGGCAAAACATATGTTGATAGAGGAGAAATAGCTTGAAAAGATGAAACCAAATCATTTACTCCAGATCCTCCACTAAAAACAAGAATTTTTGGTTCAAAATCTAGTAAATTTGCTTGATCTATTTGCATCTATTTAAATATATCAATATCAACTCGATATCAAGCTTTTGGTTTAACGATACAATAAATTTAAAGGTGAACAAATCTTATAAACGGAAAAAAAAAGAAAAATACATAAAAAGCATCTTTAACAAAAAGATACAATCTGTTTCGCCCGTATCTGTCCATCCAGCTTGTACTCTTAGCGGAGGGCTTTCAAAAGCGAGATTGGTATGGCGGCACAAAGATCAAAGTAATGATATAAAAATCAAATACACATGTATTGTTGCCGCATGAAAAAGACTGGGAAGTGATCTAAAAACACCAGCCTAGCAAATCCTATAAATATATTTCCATATTTTATTCATATTTTATATTTTTTTCGTTTTTTTAATACTCCTGGAAAATATATAAAGTTAAATTAAATAGTTTTTATTATTTCTGAAATAAAAAAAAAACACAACTTATATCTACAAATCATCTCTGATATGACCAGACACTACAAAATACTTAGTTGTAATTTATATTTAGTTTTTACATACTTTTTCAATAAACCATCACGTGTTGCTAACCGATTAATACAGTCATCACTTTCACCTTTACTACGAACAAACCCACATAAAGCATATGTTGTATCTTTTCCAGGGATCTGTCTTCCGTCGGAACTTACATCACAGATATTAATTTGAATAGATGCATGATCCTTTGCTTTAATCAAACGATTTGTTGCAGCACTAAGAAAAAACAAATTTTAAATGCAAAAAAAAACATAAAAATTCTAAATACAAACTTACCACTTTCTTGGAACATATAAATCAACTAAAACACCTTGATCATTCTCCATTTTTTAAATTTTAATTTTTTTTATAAAACTTTGAACGGAGATCGTGCTATACTACAAAAATTTAAAAAATATCTTTAAAAAAAATTATTTTAAATAAACTAGTCAATACTGAATATTGTATTGTTAATAATTCATTGGGAACTGTTCAAAAATAAAAATAAATATGATTGATATATAATAAATATTAATAAAATTAATATTGTTTTTATAAGTTTACTATGAAAAGCTCATTTTTATTATCCAATCTTGACCTATCCACAACGTTTTAACTCGTTTCCCAATACCTAGTTTTTTCCAAACTTTCCGAGAAATTCCTATATCAGCTAAAAATAAGTCTTTTGTTACGTATTTTGATCTAAGAGCAAAAAGAAGTCCTGTTTTGGGAAGACCAAGAGATAAAACCCATTTAGACTTTAGAAAATAAGGCGGAGAAACAGGAATGCCTATATTTATTTTATATAGTTAACGATACATATCAGAGAAACACTTTACCTGTAACGATATCTAAACCGCTCGGTAGATCCAATGATATAACATTTGATTCAGATTGATTAGCCCACTCAATAAGACAGTGAATTTTATTTCGAACATTATCATCGACTATATCTGCCAAAGAACAATGACAACCAAAAATGGCGTCAATAATTAATTCAGGAGTTTGAAATGATTTAGAAATCCTAAATAATTCATCTGTTGAAACAATCTTCCCTCCTGCATCTGAAAAATTTTGCAAACTCTAACTCAATATTAGTTTACTAAGCAAATAAATAATGTTTTGCAAACAGTTAGCATTTGTTTTTCCATATTTTCATTAACAATAACAGTTATAACTTTTATTCCATGGTTGCATAGTTGTCTTCCAGCAGCAGTAGCATATGTTCCTGTTTGATTATTACCTGCTAAAATTATCACAGTAAAAGAGTTATTTCTCTTTTGATTGGATTTAGAAAAATCATTTAAAAGTCGAGCAACTAGAAATGATATTCCTCTCGCGGCATTTTCTATTACCATTTCATTTGAAATACCAGTATTAAGAGCTATAGTATGTAAAATTTAGAATATCAAAAACAAAATACTTTACTTGAAATATATTCAGCTTCAATCATCTTTATTTATGATTAAAAATAATGAAAATTAGAAATAATGAAATACCTTAGATGGTTTTATACAAGGACACTCTAGATTATTTTTTATATTTCGTAATTTCTTAATCTTCCTACTAACTTTATCAAAACCAGATAAGGATTGCTGACTATTGAAGTTATGATTATATATTTTTTGTTGAGCAGAACTTTTATCATATCCACTAGATAGTATGCGATTCGAATGAAAAAATTCACTATTAAGTTTATTTTCATCTCCATTTGTCTTAAATATGGAATGATTATTTTCAATTAATGATTTTTTTTTTTTTGTAGGCATAGTAGATACAGCTATATCATTAAGTAGCTCAGTTTTAGATGAACATTTGTTAGATGTAGGCCCTAGAGCTGATGCCATTATATTTGATTTCCGAATTTCTGAAAATACTTTATGTTTATCAAATCTTCCAAGATTCCCTTGGAAATCAAATTCCTCATCACGATACTTATTAACATCTTCATTAATCCAATCATCATGATCTACATGCTTGAATTGACAACAATCCTTTTGCATAGCATTGGTGAATTTTTTTTTTTTGTGATTATATGTTTTATAAACATACTTATTTGAAGTATTTTTTGACTTAGAATAATTTAACTCAAAATTACCAGACTTTTCATGCAAATGAGGTGATAAAGAAAGCAATGTTGGATCTTTTTTCGACTAACATACTGCATCAAAAATAGAAAGAATAGGAAAAAAAATACTTTTTTTGAAGAAAATGACGATTCCTGAAAGGATAAATTTTGCATATGATTAGACGTCTATATAAATGTTATACAAGTTTCTATAATAAGCCAATGTATATACAGAAATAATTGCAGGATCTATAAGAGGAGTAGAAGTTTTTTTTTTCTTTTTTTTTGTATTAAAAGATGATATAAAATTCAAATCTTTAATATTGGAGCCATCTATACGCATTTCATGCATATATTTCCCAGTTGACTTAAAGAAAACTATTTTACAGAAAATACATCATTAGACAATGATTATTTTTTATATTTTGGGAATTACTATTTTTAAGAAAGAGACAACGATTAACAGAGTCAACGCCTGTCATTTGTCCTTGGACAACTGTATTATCATTTAATATAACTTCAATTTTGAGTCCTATAAATTGTTTTTCCATTTTAAAAGTTTAAAGATTTTTTAAAAATTAATATATTAACGCAGAAATCAAAGATATAAATATAAAAAATATGTGAAAAATAAGGAAAATTATGTGTGCTTAAAAATAAAAAAAATAAAATATATTTAAAACATTATAACATGTTTTAAAACGATTTGTTTTTTCTATAAAAATATAATTTTTTCTAAAATTTTTTGTGAAAAGTATTAACGTGTAAATTAAACTAAATTGATTCTTCGTTATAAAAACATACCTTTTTTCTATGCTTTAAATATTGGTTTTGTTTTCTTTTAATGAGATAAAAAATGCAAAAAAATATTGAACTTATACTACTGATAGTTAAAAAAATCCAATAACGCTGAAGCTATAAATATAAGATATAATAATTATATAAAATATGATATAAATACCCAAAAAAAAAACTGTGCATCTTTATGATGCCAAGTGCTACCATGAAAATCCTTAAATGTTTGATTTGAAATATCAGATGTAATAATACGAACATATTCTGTTGTAATTGTATTTGACGGCAAATAATGCATATATTTTTCTAGCATGACAGAAAGAAACAAAGGACCTGTTGTTGCCATAACAGTAATATATGGAAAAATCCAATTTCGAGAGGCGGATTTTAAATGGTTAATAACATAAAGAAAAAATGGATGATATGGCATAGATCCCATGACATCATTTGAAATACCAGTAGGTTTCGTTGTGCGAAGCCATGCGCTGTATGAAAGTAAAGGATCAAGGGGCTGAAGACATTCCTATTCGAAACATTTTTTAATTATGTATAATCAAGTAAAAAACATACAATGTCAAGATCAATATATATACCTCCGTAACGAACAAGAATAAAATATCGAAGTGAATCAACTCGCTGAATTGTATAAGGATACTTGTCATATTGCTGGAGAAACCACGGGTATTCTTGTGCAATGAAATTACGTGCCTTTTCATCAGTCCATAATATATGTTCATAATTTGGATGCAATTTTTTACAATGATCATATGCATCTGACCATTTTTCCGGTATTGTCTCATTTTTCCACGTTTGATGAATAATACGTGGAATAACTTCTTTCATGTTTATTTTATAATCTTCTGAATATGAACTACTCCATTCACGAATAGCCACTGACTTGAAATTCTCAAACAACAATGCTACTAACGCCCATGAATAATCAATAAAGACTACTATTAATAGTAGCACTCCAATTCCAATAATCATTGTCCATATTTTCATTTTCAAACAATTTATTAATAAAGTCTTCAATTTTATCCGTAAAAAATAATTTCCATAGAAAAAAAAATAGCCAATAACAATAAAATCCTTTTTATTTTATTTATTCTAAAAATCCTTTGAAATTGTCTTATATTGACATTTTATTATGTAAATATTTTTTGATATCGATAAAGCTTATCGTTTTTTAAATATTCTCTTATTTCTACTTGTATTATATTGCAAATACATATAAAAAATTCTACATAAAATATATATTCGTTCATTATTTATACTTAGAAACATTTTTTTTTCTTTAAAAATTTTTGTATTTTTAAAAATATTTCCAAAACAATCTAATTTTAATCATAAATATTTAAAAAACATACCTTTCTTTCCCTGCCAAAGACTGGGTGGCGCAATTGGTAGCCGCGTTAGATTCCAATATTGGTATTATCTAAAGGTTGCGGGTTCAAGTCCCGTTCTGGTCAAAGGCAGTGACCTTTTGTTTTAAAGAAATACAGAACTTTATAATAAACATTAAGTTTAATTAAGATAAACTAGCTTTTTGTATTTTTTTTGTGTTATTAAAAGCATTTTTGATACGTGATAAATATAACATTGTAAATTACGTTATACTTCGAGATTTCGAATGAACAGACAGAATATCAACTTTTCATAGAAATAATTTTAAAAAGGATAAAAAAGATAAAAAAAGCATAGATATAACCAGAAAAAAGATCTTGATGACATTGTAGTAATTTTTCTGATAAGAAGTGTTTTTTCTCCGAAAAAATAGTAGATTTTTCATGATTTATGGGAATTTAAAAATTTTAAAGGATTAAAACATATAAAGAAGCATATACCTATATTTTGTATAAAAAGAAGTATTTTAGATGGGCATTTTTTCATGGTGTTTTGATTGTGATTGCTTCAAAGGTATATTAGTAGCATTAACAAATGTTTATGGAAGATTTTATTATATAATTAACAATACTTAGGACAATCTCAAACAACACTTTATGAACCTTTGTTAGAAGGTATATGCATAGCATTTTCTTTATAGAAAAGGGAAATTAACATCGAGATATAGATAGAGAAAGAGAAGCTGTTTCGGATCTTTTACAATATCTTGAAAGTGTAGTCTAAAAAGCATCTTAATGGGTGCTTGAGCTAATAGTTTTTCTAGAGACCAGATGTTAATTTCTTCAGTAGCGAGCCATTGTCTGCACTTACAACACTTGTTTATTCTGATAACCTTGATCTTCAAAGGAGTGCAGCACTTGCATTCGCGGAAATAACAGAAAAGGGTAATAAGTTTTTGATATACACAGTATGATTGATGAGCAAAGAGATATGTGAAGTAGGTGCAGATGTACTTGAGCCAGTGATATTCCTTCTTGGAAGTTCTGATGTTGAAGTTCAAAGAGCTGCAAGTGCTGCATTGGGAAACTTAGCAGTTAATAGTAATATTCTTTTACTTGTTACTATATTAGTTAAATATAAAATTAGTGGAAAACAAATCATTAATTGTTAAAATGGGAGGCTTAGGGCCTTTAATAGAGCAAATGTCATCTACTAATGTGGAAGTTCAATGTAATGCAGTAGGATGTATTACTAATCTGACAACTCATGGTGAGCATATTATTTGTATTGTTTAACATTTTTTTATTTTATAGATGAGAACAAAACAAAAATAGCCAATTCAGGCGCATTAAATCCTTTAATTAAATTAGCCAAATCTAGAGATACAAGAGTGCAAAGAAATGCTTCTGGTGCTCTTTTAAATATGACTCATTCAGGTAATCTATTATTTTAAAACACTATTTTTAATTTAAATTAATTATATTTAGATGAAAATAGACAACAATTGGTTAATGCAGGGGCAATTCCAACCCTTGTATCTCTTCTTTCCTCACCTGATGTCGATGTGCAGTACTATTGCACTACTGCTCTAAGCAATATTGCAGTAGATGGTACTTATTTTATGAAAGGTCATGTATTTTGACTTATTATTATTAGCCTCAAACAGAAGAATGTTGAGTCAAACAGAACCACAACTCGTTGAATTTCTTGTATCTTTAATGAATTCTTCAAATCCAAAAGTTCAATGTCAAGCAGCACTTGCATTAAGAAACTTGGCTTCCGATGGTAAATATCATAAACGTTCAAAATGTTATTAACACATTTTATAGAAGAATATCAATTGGGAATAGTAAAGGCTAATGGGTTGCCTTCATTGCTTCGTTTATTACAATCTTCATTTTTTCCTCATGTATTATCCTCTGTTGCATGCATTCGAAACATATCAATACATCCTTTAAACGAATCACCTATTATTGATGCCTCGTTTTTAAAACCTCTAGTAAAACTCCTTTCAACTAGTACTCATGAGGAAATTCAATGCCATGCTATTTCTACTTTAAGAAATTTAGCAGCAAGTAGTGAACGAAATAAATGTGCAATTGTTGAAGCAGGAGCGGTGCAGAAATGCAAACAGCTTATTCTTGATGTGCCTGTAAATATTCAAAGTGAAATGACAGCATGTATTGCTGTTCTTGCACTTAGCGGTAATTTTATAATATCATGCATGACTATATTTAACTTTTAAGACAATTTAAAAGGACACTTGTTGTCTCTTGGGGTTTGCGATGCTCTTATTATGTTAACAAGTTCTCCAAGTATTGAAGTGCAAGGGAATAGTGCTGCTGCATTAGGTAATCTATCATCTAAAAGTAAAAATTTTGGTCATCAAAAAGAAAGCGTGGCTTGTACAGCAAATGATTATATACCATTTATTAATGCATGGAATGAGCCAGGCGACGGTGTTCATGGTTATTTGTGTCGTTTTTTATCTAACGAAGATATAACATTCCAACATATTGCAGTTTGGACACTTTTGCAATTACTAGAATCAGAAAGTAGTTGTATAATTACTTATTTTATAAAATTAATGTGTTTCAGATAAAAAACTTATAAATTTAATTCAAACAAGTTCTGAAATTATATCATTAATTCAAAACATATCTACTAGAGAAATTCAGGAAGAAGGCGAAGGTGAAGTTATTATTTTGGCGAGAAAAGTTGATGAAATGATAAGAAATTCTGAAATATAATTATTTTAATTATATTAACAATAACTTAAGTTGCTTGGTCAATCTTATTTTAAGTAGTTTTATTTTTTTAAATTTTAAATTTATCTAATATTTAAAGTTTAATATAAAAGTATAAATTGTAATAAATGATTTATATTTTTTTAGAATCATTATTACATTATATACTTTTTCATTCCTGAAACATAGATATATATTAGCTGTTTTTCTGATATCTACTATATTATCAAAAAAATACCAAAATGTTTTAGATGAAGTGAGAAAGGATGTATAACTTCATACTAATAGTTTTAATTATTTTTTAATCAATAAATGAAATTTAGAAATAGTAATATGTTACTACCAATTTAAATATTTTTTTGTTTTTAATTTTCAATTGAAATATTATTAAAAATAAAACATTTCTCTAAAAGTAAAATACTTTTTTTAAAATTAAAGTAATTTTATATGTTTTTTTTGAATATCAAAATAGCTACTAAGTGCAAATATTACTTCAATGAAAATCAACCATGTTATAATTAATTCAAGACGATGTGCTGTATTTTCACTCAATACTTCCCTAAGAGTAAATTGTAATTCTGTAGCATAATTAAGTTTCGTATTAACAATATTTAATCTCAAATCTATATCTAAAGCTTCAAGTGTTTTTAAATAACATTCTAAATAATCATGTCGTGTTTTATATAAAACAAAACATATTACCTTCTAATTTTACATTTTCCCAATAAAATTCAGGAAGATCAAGAAAGTTTTCTGGATTAAGATTAAAGTGCTGACGAAATCTGAGAAGAATTCCTGTTTTTTGAATTATTTCACGTCTCTTAAGAGGAATTTTTCCTAATGCTAAAGAATCTGGAATAGTTTTAACATCATTTAAATAACTTTCAAGTTCATCTTCTAAAACTGCTAACTTGCTAGATCTAGCCAAACTTTGTGCAAAAGACAATTGTGCCATTATTATATTATCAGAAGAAGGTGTCTCTAAATTTAACAATTTATCATGATTAAAATCATTTCCAATAATAATAAGATCCTTTTGAACTGAAATAGAAGTTTTTCTTAAATAAATTAATATTTATTCATTTTTATTGTATAACTAACGTGCTTTTATCTATTTTGTAATAAAAAGCTTCTGTTTTATATTTACTATAAGAATTGATCTCAATTTTAGTTAATTTATTGCGTATTATTGTTTTCAAAAAATCTTGGCTTTTTTCTATAGAACCCCAAATAACAAAAGATCCAGATAAAAATATAAATATATCATGAAAATGTGTATCTGATGACCATTTTGGAAGATAAAACGCACTATTTTTTGGTAAATAAATAGCATTTTTTGGTAAAACACTTTTTAAATTTAAGAAATCATAAGATTCTGCTGTAGAAAATGCAATTACTTTAGACTAAATTATAATTAAAGATGATATTATAGAAACATAAATACTAATAAATTATTATTAGAAGAAATATGTGTTTTAGGTCTAAAATTTTGACTTCCAAGTTGTTTTGATTTTAAATCATAAAGAAATCGTACAAAACTCTTGAAAAATCAATAATAAATCTAGAAAAATTTAAAGACATACAAGTTTTTTATTTTGCTTTTCTGAAAATTTTATTATAAAATTCTTCCAATGTCTTTGAAAAAATATATTTCGAATCATAGATACGATAATATATTATAATCTGTAAATTAATATTTGCTATAAATAAATAACAGATACTGAAATATAAATTCATTACCCGTTTCTAAAACTTTTATATTTTTGATATATATTTTATTTTTTATTCATAAAAATCATTTTTAGACAATTATTATTCTTTTTCAGAGAATATTTATTTTATTAAAAATATACGTTTTATTTAATATAAAACATTCATTCATTATTATATCAGAACATATTTGTAAATATGTGTATATTTACAATTAAAATTTAAGCTTCATCAAGAATCATAAAATTTACCATCTTTTTTGAATTTAAATACCTCTTTCATATTAAATTGTTCATATTAATAAAACCAGAATACATTTTGACAAAATTCATTTTTTTTGAATTTTCAAAAATATTTTTAATTCAAAAATACCAAAAAAAATAAACTTCAATCAATCTATAATGTTAACTATAGTTTTAAATATTAAACTGAAATAGGGTGATTTATGAAAATATGATAAAAATGGAAATAAAACTAAACAATACGTTAATACAGATAAAAAAGTATTTCTTTAAAATGCTTATTCTACACACCATAAAATATTGATACCTATTTTTCTTTTTTTTGTAAATCAAATATGAAACCATCAAGACAAATCCATATTATTAAAAAAGAATAAAAAACTTTCACTTCTTCTTTTTCAGTTCATTAAGCAACATATATCTGCTTGTAAATATATATAACCACCTAAACCATTTCATTTGGCTTGAATGACCTTCTATCATTGCTTTTTGTAAATTAAAAACATCAAAAGGGGAATTTATAAAAAAATATATAGTATCTTTCCTATCTTTATTATTAAATAACCTCAAAATACTAGTATTTAAAAGTTTGTAATATAAATATAAAGCCATAGTAATAAATAAGTCAAAAAAAAAAATATATTTTCGCAATATAGAAACAGTAGTTAATACATAGATAGAAGTTTTCCGTGTTTCTAACGAATCGAAAAATGATATGGCACCATGATAACATGCTATATGATTTGGATGTTTTGAAATCCCAAAATGATCAAAAGTAATTAACTAATCATATAATTAGTATTATTTTTAACAAACAAAAACTCACAATATCAATATTTTTATCAGCAATTATTTCCGATAATAGTTGAGAAATAAAATTTGGATCCCAATATGACGTCATAGAATCTTGTAATTGACTATTAACTGTTAATTATAACTAATAATTATGTTATTTAAGAACCTATTTTCAACTATTTTGATATTTTGTGGAAGAATTCCAAGAATATTGCACGATTTAATGAGTTCTTTTTTTCTTATTTCCCCTAAACCTTCTGCATTTCCTAAAACATATGTTAATTTTTTCATAATTCTTTTTTTGAAAAAACCATTAGAAAGACAAACAAGATAGATCTCATTATCATTTTTTATTTGAAATATTGAAGGTCCAAAAAACATAACTTCATCATCAGGATGTGCTATAAGAAAAAGTACTTTTTTATTAGAAAACCATGGTTTAAAATGAACAAGAAATGACGTATTTCTCCATATTATAAAAAATGCAAAACATAAAAACATCGTAAAATTGAATATAAATATAACATCCATTCTCTTCTAAAGAGGTTACTTTTATAATTTCCTGAATATAAAACACGTTTAAAAAAAAAAACTACCGATGTCATCCTAAAGACCTATAATTTTTATGTAAATTTAAAATAACGATTATCTATATTGATAAAACTAGAATATTTAATAACAAAACAGCGAGATTAGTATAAAATATTAATAGTATATAGAATGATGCTTTTTTAGATATCATCTTATATTTTATATGGCTATAAATATATAATTTGATTTAGAATACGCTTAACAATAATCATTGTAGATTAATTATATTTTAAAATATTTTAGAGGTTCTTGACAATTATTCCATAAAAGAAAGATAACATATTGTATTCCAAAGAGTTTTATCAAGTTCAAAACACCTAGAATCTCTAGAATTTCTTTCAACTAATTTTATAAGTTGTTCAAGATTATCAGAAGGAATTTTACGATTTTTATGACAAAGAACTGAAAGATTATAGAGATAGTATCCACATGCAGAGTTTTCTGAATTTTTAGATGCTAAAGGTATATTATGATCAGCACATCGTATATAACTTATTTTTATATGTTTAACAAGTAAATCAGTAACTATAGGAAAAAGTGTATGAAATTGATTTGTTATATTCGAAACAAGACATGTGATTTCATAACGCTCATCAACATATGAATTGCCCTTAACTATTTCAAGAGATGTAGACATTTTTTTTTCTAAAGTCATATGATAGTTAGATTGATACCGTATTAATTCAAAAAATGCATCAAAAACACTAGAAAGAGAATTTATATAATAACTTTCGTTACTCCATGAAAACTTAGCGACATATGTTATATATTCTAAAATTGTACGAAAAACTTTAATTCTTCTATAATTTAGAGCCATAGATATAGAATCCATAATATAATGATTCAGTGAATTGCATAATCGTTTAAATGCTTCAAAAACACTTGCATGTCGGAATTCCGAACCATTAATTATTGACGTTGGTAATAAACAAGACAAATAAAACAAATGAAAAGAGTCATAAAGTTTTTCAGATCCTACAATTATCGTATCTAAAAAAGAAAAAAAAAGCAAAATATCCTACTTGAATCATGGAGTAGTATATTTATTTTTTCCATATCAAATATATGTTTATTAGACGTTTCTAACTGAAGATGCATATCTTTAAACTGAGTATCTGTATAAAGAGACATATTTTGATTAACTATACGAATATTATCAGAATTACTCCTCACAAACATTTTCCAAAAATTAAACCTTTTTCAAGTTCCATTACTTTAATACGTAATTTAACATTTTCACGATCTACACTCTCAAACAAATTCCGCCAAAAAGAAACAATATCAAAGCATCCACAATTGTCATTTGCATCTTTTTTTGTATTCTTTTTTCGCAAAGCAATCCGTATATAATCAATATATTCTAAATAATTTAAACACCCCATAAAATATCAAATAAATCACCTTCAATGGTTAAATATGGCTGTTTCGACTGACAAATAACAATAGCCTGTAAATAACGTCATATATAAATAGTTTTTATCAGTATTATCCGCTCTTACCAGAGCAATTTGGAACTTATTTGGAATCTCCATTTTTTTATTGTCTACAAACACGCGTCATCGATCAGCAAATATAAGGAGATAAGAGATAAGAAGTTAAAATACAGAATAAAAATAAAATATAAAACGAACAGTATCTATAGATACTAATTAATATAAAAAGAATCTGTAAATATAAATGGGATTAAATGTGAAAAGAGAAGTCATAAAAGAAAAATAAAATGTTAATGACTGAGACAAAAATATAACTTATATAAATGAATTTTTTATAATGGAAAAAGACGAAAAAGCTGTGCAAAATTATGTATTTTGTTATGTAAAACCAGAATTCGATATATGTATAAATAAAAGAATAAAAAAACCAAATGCCTAATAATGACTACGTACTACTCAGAGTTTCTTCATAATAAACTTTTAAGCATTCTCAAAAACTTATGCTTAAAACATTATCTTATTTTCTACAATTTTGAAGCCTTTAGACATTAACATGAGCCATTGTTTTAATAAATAAATCTGCATTAGCGTAAACATTCTTCAAGCATACAACATGCACAGCAAGCCGCAAGACTTTCAGACTTGTAAGACTATTTCCTAAGGTCTAAAATAATAAACTTACCATGCAAGACACCCCGTTGTTGCATGACTTGTAGAGGGTTGTTGCTGAGCATAAACTGGTTGCTGCTGTAATCCATATATTAATTTTTATCTTGTATAAACCAAAATTTTACCTGAGGATAATAATTATTGCAATAACCATAAGTATTAGGAGGGGGAGGGCATGGGTAACCGCCTTGATAAGCCTGTGGACAGTATGACTGTTGTGGATATTGGGGCGGTGGCTGTGTATAACATTGATTAGTAGGACATTTATCATTTTCATACTGCAAAACATCAGTTACATGATTTTTCACGAAAAAAAAAGGATCCTTATAAAAAAAGACCTATAAGAACACTTACATATTCTTTAGATGACATTTCTTTGTTCAGATAGCTGTTTTTTGCTATTTAATTAATTTATTTTTTTTGTTGAGGTTAGATAATTCTATCACGGAGTACTAACAATAATAAGCAACGTAAAAAAAATAAAGTAGCAAGAAAAAAGCTTTAAGAAGAGAAATTGAAAGTTATTTGCATTTTTCTTAAATATATATACTGAAAATAAAGAATATTTGAAAAAAAAAAAAACAAAAAAAAAGGAGTTTTTTTAGTATTCTTTTAAAAAACATGTATACATTAATTAAAGGATTATATATTAAATGGAACCAAAAACCCACATATTCAGTACTTATTATTGGGATGGAACATGTAGGAAAGACGGTAAATAGATTGAATAGGACAGAAATATTCTTATAAACATAGACATTTCTTGAAAAAGTTAAATCTATATACAATCACGTTTCTGCACTACCACCAGAAAGTATTGTTTCTACAGTTGGCCAGAATAGTATAATTTCTTGTATTAAGTAATAATATATATTAATTCAAATAGTTGGAAGAATTACCATTGACAAAACTAAAATTCAGTTTTGGGATTTAGGAGGACGATTATCTTTAAGAAGTCTTTGGTATCCTTATTTTTCAGAGTGCCACTCTGTAATCCTAATGTTGGATTCAACAGAGAAGGAAAAAATTCAGGAAGCTAAAGATATTTTTGGTATATTTTCTAATTTGATATTCATTATGTATAAATATATATTCTTAGAAACACTAATTAATCATGAAAATATTAAAGGAATTCCCATACTTATATTAGTTAATAAACAAGATATTTCTGGATCTCTTAATATTGAGGAAATAAAAGCAGCTTTCAATAGTATTATTGAAAGATTAGATTCACATAAAAATCACATGATACCGACAAGTGCTATTAATGGGTAAACTGGGTTTTCCTTTATTTAACCTTTATTTATTTTAAAAGGACAGGAGTACAAGAAGCAGTAGAATGGTTGAAAAATCAAATGGAACAAAATATATACCTACGCAAACCAATATATTAGCAATATATAAAGTTTGAAAAAACCAGCTTTCAATTTATTCTTAATATATTTACACTTTTTTTGCAATGTTATATATCAAAAATATAGCATTTGAGTATCCTTTTAAAACATAAAATATTATATTATTTAAAAGACTATATTTTACTAAGTTTTTCTAACAGTTGTTTTTTTTCACATAAAGCATCAATGTCTTGGTATTTTACATATTCAGATTGAATAGATTTATTCTGCTTATCATCGTTAAATACTTCAGGACTATTTTTTGACATATAGTTAATTATAGGAATATTTGTAGATATAATTGATAAACTCTTTTGAAATTAAATCTTAGTATTATTGATATCATTATACTTACAGTTGATCTTCCTTTGATTTTTTCTTTTATTTTTCTTTTTTCCAAAACAACGTCTTTTTTTAATAGATCTATTGGATAATTTATGTTTGTAATTTGTGTTTCGTGTTTTCTTTGCATAGATAAATTTCCGCAATCAAAGTTCTTGGGTGTCTCATTAGAATCCAGTATATTATGAAAATCAAAGTCGCCAAACTTTAATTGATTTTGACATGCCAAAAGCCATTTAGAAGATATGATTTTGTATTTTGCATCAGTCATGTTTGTTTTTTGATTAATATTTAATAAAGGTTCATCAGAAATTACATGAGTTACAGAATTATTTAACTCTGTGGATATCCTAATACCTAATTTTTCTGCTAATAAAAATATTTCATTCATATAACTCTAAAAAATTATAAAAATATAATTATTTAAGTACGTTACCTCTTTTATATTATGAAAATATAAAGTAACTTTAGTTAATGTTTTAGGTGTAGAATTAGAGGAATTATTAATTTCTATATTAAATATTTAGTTTTAATAAGAACATATATGTTATTTTCATAACCTTTAACTTGATTCTTTTTTTCCCATTCATTTAAATCAATAAGTCTCCCTTGTTTTATAATTTCCCATAACCAATCTTCGGTTACTATTTTTATATTCCAATCTTTTGCTTTTATATATTTCCTGCTTTTTTTTGATTTACTATTATAAATAAGCAAATTTCTTTTATTATTAAGACTTTCATAATATTTTGAACCTATTATATTTATTTTTTTATAAAATAATTTCAAGAAAATATACCTAAAAGAACAATAAGTTTACTAATATGCAACAAATCTACTCCAGAAAATCCTGTAAGACATATTGAAAGATCCTGCATACCTAATATAAAATTAAAAAAAGACAAGAACTAAACTAACAACCTTCTAATGGAAAACTGCAAAGTAAAGGCCTACAAAGAAGATGTTCTGATGGCTCAATGAATTTTTTATTATGTAAACATCTTTCAATCCACCACTCAGTAACGAAACAACCTTTAGATATATCCGGAAACTTAAATTTTGGAAGATCATGAGAAACAATTATATATATGTGAATAGAAGTATCTGGGAAATCGTGAATTGTTTTACACCATAATCCATCATGCGATTTAATTATATTTTCAAGAATTTTCGTCTTTTCATAATATTAGTACATTTAATATTATAATATCTAGAAAATACTTTTCTACTATCAAAGGCCCATGCATAAAAATATAATCCGAAGAACATGCCATTTAATTCATTATTTTCGGTATCTTGAATCATATTAATAGGTGTTAAATTATCAATTTTTTTAGGAAGATCGTTTTCATATTTATGATTTTCATTTACTATATTATTCCAAACTTGGCTAAGATCAAGTTTGATTTTTTTTATTTTTTTTTTTACAAACATTTGTTGATCTTCATCTTTTTCATTTTCTTGCATTGGAAACCATGAACCTTTTCCTAATTCTTCAGGAGCCATATCAAGACTAAAAAAATGCTCTTCTAAACATGCTCCTCGTTCAATACTTTGCCAAAACCATTCAGGTCTAATCACTTTGATACCCCATTTAATGCCGAATTCATACTTCCTCCCAGATGCATCTGTGGCTATCAAATGTGTAGTATCTTTTGTTAAATCTGGTGTATATTTCCCCCCAAAACAAGTAATCTTTTCTTCTATTTCTGATCTTTGTTCTGCAGGTATATTTGTTACACAAATTAACAAATTATAAAAAGGAGGTAAAATATGCTTTTTTTCAAACTTCTTATGTTAGAAACAAAATTTGTAATAACTGTTTCTACTTCTAGAAAATCAATATCATCACCATTCAGCCATTGTTCATAAATATCAAAAATCCAACCAACATGCATAATCTTCATATCTACTCGGTGCATTGCAACATACTGTATCTTTAGAAAAAGTCAAATTTCCATTAAAATTTACTTTATATTTCATTGTATTTAATTTTCCTGCGATCAAATGTGTAACTTGAGACGTCAAGTCTTGCGTATAAATTGCACCTAATTTCGATGCTTTTAAAGCCAAGTCTGTCTAAACAACATGTGAGAACTCAAACCAACTAGAAACTAACAAAAATACTTTAATTTCAGATGGAATTGACGTGCAACATACAACAATACCACAAAGAGGTTTTAATCCATCATTAAGCTGTTCTGACATCTTTAAAAAAAGATTTATATATTCATACAGGTTTTGAAAAAGATATTAAAAGAATTGCATAGCTTAAAGCTGTTTAAATACTTAAATATGAATTTTACTTAATTTTTGAAGATCGAATATTAAGTTATCGATCTTAAAGGAACTTAAGATACAAAAAACATGGTTACGTGGCTTTAAAAGCCTGAGTTTTTAAATATAAACATAAAAAAATTCTTATAAAATTTATACAAGTGAATATTAATATAAGACTCAAGTTTAATCATTCATTAATTCGTTTGTTATTTTATTCAGAAGTATCGCTAGATTTTGAAGTTTCTGTTACAGTATTTTGCGCTGAAAATGACATTAAAATAAAATAATTTCACAACTAAATACGTACTTTCTAAATTATCAGTATGATTCAATGTATTCTTAGATAAGACAGATGTTTTTTTTGAAATTTTATCCATAAGCTCAGATCCAAATTTTTCAATACTACGATTTAATTCACCCTTTTAAATGTCAAAAATAACATACAACTTAAATACAACTTGCCTCTAAAGCATTAGCATCATCATATATCATAGACCCTTCTTCATTATATGTTCGTGCATTTTCGAACATTTGGTAAAAATCTGCCTTAAAATCGTCTAATGAATTATAATAAGAATGATCGATTCGTTTTTTTATCTTATTCAAAGCAATAGGATTTTTTATTAATATATAATAGTCCGGATAAATTCGTTTATTAGGCAACTCCAAAAACATTTCAGCCCTAGAATGATTTGTTTCAGGATTTATAGAAGAAACAACAGCATTGTAGCATTTTAAAAATACATCCTTTAGAATTATAGATTCCTCCGAGCTTAAAGAATCAACTGAATTTTTGTTTCTATTTTTCTGAGTACAGTAAAATTAGCAAAATAAGTTATGAAAACATAAAACTTACTTTTTCTCTAGAAATTGAAGAAACTTTTTGACGTTTCCGTCGTTCATCATTGTTAGAATTATTAGAATTTGTTTTATTCAATCTATTACGTTTACGTTTATTCATTTCTACCCCAGAAGAACCATTTGATGAATTAGATAACAATTTGTGTTTTTTTAGTTTATTTTCTTGGCGTTTTGTTGCCTTTTCAGATCTATTTCGAACTATTTCTTCAGGAGTAAGTTCACCTGGATCAATAGTCTAAAAATATTAATTTGGAATTTTAATAATTAAATGAATGAACCTCTAGCCATTGTTCTTCTGTAAGATCATCATCATAATGAATTTGAACACGTTCACGGGCACCTCTACCCGTTGCAGATATTACTTCTTCAGGTTCAGTAAAATCATCCCTTCTATAGACTTCAGGAAGTTCTTCCTCAGACATTAGACGCTCTAGCTTTTTTCCAGGACCATATGGAGATTCTAATCGTAATTTTTCATCCATTTCTCGAAAAATCGATAATTCTTCATCATTACGAGCAATTATTTCATTTAATTCATCATCATCAAATGCTTCATTTTCTTCTCCACCATCTGCATTATCATCGTTTTCTGTTTCCAATAAAGATCTTAAAAAAGCTTCTCTTTCTTCTGCAGTGGATTTATTATCAAATTTCCCTGCTTGAATAACTTTTCCATCAATATCAAGTTTGTACTGAGCTCTTGCCAGAATATTTTCTTCAACCGATTTTTCAGTAATAAGTCGTAATATTCGTACTTCTTTTGTTTGTCCTATACGATGTGCACGATCTTGAGCTTGAAGATCTTGATGAGGATTCTATTTCATTAGAATATGATCAAAACACTAATTAGTATTACCCAGTCGGAATCAAAGATTATAACAGTATCAGCGCTCTGTAAATTAAGTCCTAAACCACCTGCACGAGTACTTAATAAAAATATGAAAATATCTGATTCTTCATGATTAAATTCCCTCATTGCTGCCGAACGATCATCTGCTTTAGTAGACCCATCTAATCGCAAATACTTATATCCTTTAAAATGTAAATAATCTTCCATAATATTCATAATAGTAGTCATTTGAAAAAAAATCAATACCTAATAGACATTTAACAAAAAAATAATAAAGTTTAAATTTTTAAAATACTCTATGTCCTGTTCTAAAAAATTTTGGCAAAATTCTATCTAAAAGATCGAATTTTCCTGAAACTCTCCAAAGATTATCGTCACTAACTTTTTCCGGATTAACAATATTTTCAACTTCTTCAAAAACATATGGATGATTGCAAATTTTCCGAAGCTGCATTACAATATTTTGCAAACCTTTACGACTAAAAATATAAGATTTATGTACTAGGGATATTCTTAAAAATTACCCTTTTTCTCCAGAATTAACATATAGCATTCCATTTCTCCTCATTTGAGAATACAATTTACTTTGAAGAGCAGAAAATTGGCATTTAATAACTTTTTCAACTTTATCGGGTAATTCAGATTCAACATCTTTTTTAAGACGTCTTAATAAAAATGGTCGCAGAACTTTATGCAATCTACGAATAACTAAAATAGATTCTTCCTCGGATAATTCAATCTTATCTTGACCACCTGTATTCGCAAATGGCGTATTAAACCACTCATCAAAACTTTTTACTGAATTAAAAATCTTTGGTAAAACAAAATTCAAAAGAGCCCACAATTCAGGAAGATTATTCTACAATTTATTCATTATTTTTTATTTTTAAAAAAGATTAAATGCATACCTGTAAAGGCGTACCTGTAAGAATTAAGCGATATTTCGACGAATAATATGTAGTTAACGTGTAACTAAGCTTAGACTGAGTATTTTTCATACGATGACCTTCATCAACAATCATATAAACCCATTTAATTTTTCCAAGCACTGGTCTATCTTTTATAACATATTCATATGTTGTTAAAAGAACTTGAAAATTTCCTTGTCGAATTTGATGTTGAATATGCTTTCGAACAAGCGGTGGCCCTTTATAAACAATTTTTGAAACAGAGGGCGCCCATTTTTCAAATTCTAAAGTCCAATTTGTTAAGGTTCTATAATTTCAATTAAAAAACAAAATTTAAAAATTAAAACATACGATAGAGGAACAATAATTAAAAAAGGACCATTCTGTCTTTTTTTCTCTATTAGAAACGTAATAAGGGATATTGTTTGAATAGTTTTTCCAAGACCCATCTCATCGGCAAGAATTCCATTAAGTCTATTATTATATAAAGATACCATCCACTGAAGCCCTTTAAGTTGATATTCTTTTAAATTACCACCTAATAATAGTGATGGTTGTTCAATAATTGCTTCTTTTATTCTATGAGCAACATTATAGTAATCAGCTTTTTTATCATCATCATCTTCCTCATTTTCCTTATCCTCAGGTAAATTATGTTCTTCTGTACCAAACTCATTTTGTTGAACTTTAACAGCTTGAGCAAGAGAATCAAGATAAGCATTTGTTTGTTTCAATAAATGTGTAATACGTGTATCTTTTGCTTGATCAAGTAGTTTAAGGTATGCTTCTTCATCATCTGCTTTAAGTGCTTGTAAACGTTGTTTTGCCGTTCGCTCCAACCGTCTAGACTCTTCTTTTTCAATATACGAATGATATGCAAGCACTGATCGACCAAGCTTAAAGACCTTTGCTTGCAAGGCCTTTTGTTTTTGTATAACATCATAACCATGTGAACATATGCCTTGTAGATAGCTCACTTGTTTTTGTTTCTGTATCTGCTCTCTATTCGTTCTATGTTGTCTTTCTAATGCCTCTGTAAGACGACATTCCTTCAATGATCTTTTCTTCATCCTCCTAAATGCTGCTCTATCGGATGATGCTGTCAATGTATTAAAGTGAGTCATAGAATATATAATCTCATCACGTAACATCCTTTGTTTATCAAGTAACCTCAATGATTTAAGTTCAATTAAAGCTTTTAATTTAAGCCTATTTGAGGTATTCAAATCTTTGAAATTATGAGTCTTTTTTCTCGTATTTGTAACATATATATCTTCAAGAGTACTAGGCAGACGTTCTAATTCAGAAATCCGATTAGCTATACGATGGGCAACCGCAAGTTTCCTTTCATTATAAATTTTTTTAGGATCAATACCAGATGGCATCATACTCGGTACCAGTACACGTTGATGTAATTTTTCTTGATGGGCCATAGAAAACGAAGAGCTCAAAAGAGATAAATTACTTCCTTCTGCATGCGGCGATTCTGAAAGAGTCGAAGCACCCTCCTCTTCTGGTATGATTGGTGTTTCTAAATTTTTTTCTTTCAATGTTCCTTCTGATTCTCGTCGTTCTTGTCGCATCAGCCATTCTAATTCTCCTTGTGGGAGTGTAGAGGACGGTGGTTTTTTTACAAATATTGCTTGTTGAATGTTTGCAGGGACTGGTAAATTCTTAGAAATCAATTTAAATGCTAAAATTTGATTTCGCAACGTTGTTAGCTGCTCTGAAGTAAATATCGCCTGGTCTCCTCCATTCTTTTCTTCTTCCTTGACAACATGTGCTACATGAGGTGCCTGTACTGCCTGAAATGTCTTAGCTAATGCCTCTCTAGGTGCAGTTTCTACATTCTCTGTTTTGACTAAAGATCCTTGCTTCATATTTTGATGGCGATGATATTGTGCTTGTTGAATCGCTTTAAGAATAATAGAAAGTTGAGAAAACTCTGCATTAGTCGCTTCTACTGCACCCTGATTACGGAGCATCTGCCAGCGCTATGTATATTAGCTATATCGTATATATATCGCAAAAAAAAACAACTAACGCACCCAATACATGGACTGAATGTTTTCACGAGTAAGTCCTAAAGGTATATGTGCTACTTCATCCATTTTAGACCTATTTATATCTGTTCTATACTCTTTTTTTGCACAAACACTTCCAACCGTGATCCACCCGTAGAAATTAAAAATTCTTTTGAAACTCCTATATTAATCTACTAATACACTAAGAAAATAACTCTTCTAAGCTCAAATAAAGAGTAAATATAGTTTTTTATTTGAATTTACTGCACAATTTACTTTTTTTTATTTATGTATGTCATTCTTGCATTTTGATATTGAGACAATCGTTAATCGTCCGCAATGGAAATCACCGTGCGCAACCATGGAAACGGGACACATGTGTACATGGATGCCATGGCACCCAGAAACAATAAGCAAATGGTATATGGAATATAGTAAAGAACAAGAATGAGAAAGATAAAACAAAAAAAGTACTTCATGTGGATATTATATATATACATATTCTCTAAATACATTTCTGTAGTTTTGGATGTTGATCATTAAGAAATTTTGACATATAAGGACCTATAGATATTTATCAGCACATGTTTTTTGTTATCAAAAAAAAATACCATCAGAAAAATAACCAAGACGACGATAATATGCTCGGACACCAACACCTGAGATGACGGCGATTTTGTGGCTTAAATGTTCATATTTTGCAATTCTCTCTGCTTGTTCCATGAGAAGCATTCCAAAGCCCTGGTGTTGAAATTTTTTAGGATCTTTATCATGAATTGGTACAGCACTGCCATATACATGTAGCTCTCGTACAATTGATGTTGGACAAGCAAGTAATTCAGAACGAAAAGTAGTTTGAGGAGAACAACGACGAAGACGGAGTAAGCCTATTAAAATATCTTGTGTTGGATCTTCATAACTTAAAAATGTTTCCCAACCACCGTTGGCAGTGTAATCTCTCCGTAAAAATTCAATTTGTTCTGGACGAACTTTATGATGAATTTCTTGCATGCCTACCTCCCGTGTACGAATATCTCTACAGGCCCATCCAAGGTGCTTCATACGACTCAGTGCAAGTTCCCGAAGATTGCCGTTTTCAACGCCGGAAGAAACAAGGGGCATTGGAATATCACGTTGGATTCGGTAAATACGGGTCCATGGAGGAACCATGGCAAGAATGTTAGCTATCAAATCAACAAGGACGCTGGGTGTATAATTCTTATATCGGCCAGTACGCCAGAGTTCATATAAACCTTTATCATGAATAAAGTCCTTAATTTCAAAGATAATAGTGCAGTTACCTGTACCTCGGATTACCAATGTTGGATATATTTTTAATCCGTCTGTTCTAAATGCTGGATTTTCAAAATATTCCTGTAGAAAGTATCAGATAAAGTCATTTTAGATCTAATTTATATGCCTTAAATTGGTAAAGATCCCTCTCTATTCCTACATTTGGAAGATCCGGCATCATATGAGATACTATTTTAAATCCGGCATCTTTTGCCAAACAAAATGTTTCACATACTGCTTTAACAGTATGTCCTCGATTTGTATCTCGCGCCACATCTTCATAAACACTTTGAACACCAATCTCAAGTCGAGTGCAACCATAACGCAACATCGAGCTATAAAAGTTGTCACAATTATTCAAAAATAAATCAAATCAAACTTAAGGTGCTGATCCAAACAATAATCTGGCCTCGTTTCAATAGTAATACCTATACATTTTGTTTTTGACTTCTCCGAAAACCTAATTTTCGAATTAACCACTCATATTATATAATACAAATACAACTTGACTGCTTCATCTACGTTATGTGTAGTATAACCAGATAATGCATTATGCAATGATGCAATAAACCAATCCCTATATGTATCCGGTAAAGACATAAACGTTCCTCCCATAATAATATACTCTACTTTATCAACTGCATGCCCCAATGACCTCAACTGCTCAATCCGTCCACGAGCCTGCTCATATGGATCATATCTTGCACGAATAGCCCTCATACTCGTAGGTTCATAACCTGTATATGACTGAGATGAGTACTCAAAATCAGAATCTGGTCCTCCTGGACAATATCTATTCCAAGATCAGACATTTTTTAGGATTGTATCTTTGTACACGCAAATATTTCCCGTCATAGCGATGTGTGGACATCTTTTCAATCAAAAAAACGAAAAAGCACATTGAAAACCTCACCTGTGAGGTTTAGACATCACTGCTATAGGTGCTACTCCACTTGCTGTACGAACTGGCTTTGCTTTTAATTTTGGAAGCAAATATGGCTTATAAAAATCCGGAATAGCTGCAATTATATCCACCAAACGAGGCTGAATAGAAAGCCTATATTTTCTACAAACATTCTGCTTAATCGCATTCAGATTTATATCTCTATATTTCCCAGATTCATATGTACGAATAAGTTCAGAAGCAATTTCTCCACATGCTTTAACTATCCGCTCCGTTTCTGAGCATTCTGTAGCAGATCTTTCTACAAATAATAGATTTAAAGACATATTTAAGTAATCTGAAAGGATTTTTTCTATATTATTTTTTAATTTTAAAAATTATTTTTTATTACTCATTTTCGTCTGAAATACGAAAAAGGCCAATTTTGGCTTTTTTAAAGCAAATAAACTGATCAAAAAAAATAGAAAAAATTAAAAGAAATAAGAAAAATTTAAAAAATAGATGGGGATTAAATCAGAAAAAGTAAATTTTTTTAAAAAAAATAATATATTTCCAAAAGTTTGTTCAAAAATGGATTGTTTAACTCGGATTTTTGAAAAAGTAAGAAAAATATTAATAAGTATTTTTTTATAAAAATGTTTTTAGAAAAAGAATAAAACAATAAGAGATCAGAAAGTTTATTCAGAGAAAAATGTAAAAAATAGTTTTCATTCTTATTCTCAATCAGCTATATCAGATACATCTTCAAGCAAGTTTATAGAAAATCGTTCAAAAGATCCTTTGATTAAGCAGAAATATAAAGATTTGACATCTTCACTGCCTAGTTGTGAAAAACAAAAGTATTTTCAGGAGATAAAGCTTGATGATGATAATTATATTACGATTTCTGGGTTTATTATTAATAAACCATATCAATTTTTATATTATTTATTGTGTATAATAACAGGAGGTTTTGTATATTTGATTTTCTTGTGGGTGCCTCAGTGGAAGGTGTCATTTACTTTGAAACCATCGCCTTTAAGCACATGCAATTGGGTTGTTATTAAAGTAAGTTTCAAAGTTGATTAAAACCAAAAAAATAACAGCATAAGGATAAATATAAAGAAATTGATGTACTTAAAATTAAAAAAGAAGACCGTGGTGAGCTTATATTTACTATTTATGAAGGCTTTCAAAATCCATATGACTTTCAGACTAAAAATGAGAGTTCTGAAACAACTCCTTTCACATATATTGATTATCGATATCTTCGTTTTATTTATTATCCAAAAGAACAAAAATTTATACCTACTTATAGTTGGAAAGATCCTCTATTTATGTTGCCAATTGAAGATATTTCTAAAGGATTAAGTACTCGTGCAAGAGATGACAGAGAAGTTATATTTGGGAAAAATCAGATGGATATACAAGAAAAGTCAGTTATTAGATTATTAATAGATGAAGTATATAATAATAAACTAAATAGTGAGTTGCTTATAACTATATAGATTCTTCATTATTTTTATATTTTTCAAATATTTTCTATTATATTATGGTTTTCTGACACATACTATTACTATGCATCGTGTATTCTTGCTATTTCAGCCATGAATATTATTATTTCTTTAATAAATACCAAAAAGGTATTTTTTTTAATATCCTATGAAAACAAACATAATGTTTTTTAGAATATACGGTTGCTTCGTATAATGTCTAGATATATATCAGATGTCCGTGTTTTGCGAGATGGAGTTTGTATTTACTCCAGTTTGTTAAAATTTACTAACATTAAAGGGGTTACTACTTTGTCTTCTGAACTAGTTCCAGGAGATATTTTTGACATATCTGATCCAAATTTGAGTATTGTCCCATGTAGTTCTATATTATTAACAGGTGATTGCATAATAAATGAAAGTTCATTAACAGGTAAATTTTTTTAATTTGTATTTAAAAATATTTAATAAAATAGGCGAATCTATTCCTATTTCCAAAATATTTGCTTCTAAAAGCGCTGTAGAATTACTTAATCAAGTTGAAACTGAAGTTCCTAAAGAATTGCACAAACATTATCTTTTTTGTGGGACTAAAATTATTAGAGTTCGAAAGCCATTTTCTAAAGATCAGCAAGCACCTGCTTTAGCTATGGTTGTAAAAACAGGGTTTAATACTTCAAAAGGAAGTTTAATGAGATCTATACTTTTTCAAAAAAGCACTAGTTTCAAATTTTACCAAGATTCTATGCGTTTTGTAGCTTTTATGGCTATGGTTGCTATTTGTGGCTTTATTGTCAATGTATTAAGATTTGTTGAAATGGGGGTACAAATTTTATTTTTTTTTTAAAATTAATATTAATAATCGTTAGATTACATGGAAACTTATTATTGTAAGATCACTTGATCTAATTACAATTGTTGTTCCTCCTGCTTTACCGACAACTTTAGCAATTGGAGCTAATTTTGCAATTTCAAGACTTAAAAAACGCCAAATATACTGCACTAGTCCTTCTAAGTATTTATTTCAATATACAAAAACATATATTGATTTCAATAGAATAAACATATCAGGAACAGTAGACATTATGTGCTTCGATAAAACAGGGACACTAACAGAAGATGGTCTTGATGTTTTTGGAGTAAGGGTTATAGATACTCCTCATAATAGGTAACTAATTGTATTTATATATATTAATTAAATAAATTTTTAGATTTGGAAAAATTCATAAAGAGTCTTTAACATTGTCGTTTTATGCCTCTAATTATAATGATATAAGTCCTCATAATAGAGACAATGCTATACTTTATACTATGGCAACTTGTCATTCTTTGAAAGTTCTAAATAACCACTTAATTAGTGACCCTTTAGATCTAAAAATGTTTGATTTTACTGGATGGATATTTGAAGAAAATCAAGAATATCTATCTAAAGATGATTCTCAAAGTTTTGAAGATCAGAATACTGCTCATGATTTCAATCAAGAGATTGTGTCTTCTATTGTTAAGCCTAAGAAAGATCTTCGAATCAATGATATTAAAGATTCGAATTTTGAAGTATTTCCTTTATTATGTTATTCGAGTTCAACAGTTAATTGTTTTAGAATATATCTTCATTCGAACTTGGTGTTATAAAAACTTTTGAATTTATTTCTCATTTACGAAGAATGAGTGTTATAGTTAAAGAATTTAGTTCATCAGATATGCAAGTTTATTTAAAAGGTGCTCCAGAGATTATGAAAGACGTATGTCTTCTTAGCAGCTGTAAGAAAATACTAGTTTATAAACTTTTTTAATGTTATTTCAGTGCCAGAAGATTATGATCAAGTTATTTCATATTATACGGGACATGGTTTTAGAGTAATTGCATGTGCTATGAAAGTTCTACCTGATATGACTTGGATCAAAGCTCAAAAAATGACAAGAGAAGAAGTAGAAAAGGATTTATTCTTTGTTGGTTTTATTATTTTTGAAAATAAACTCAAACCTACGTCCTCTGAAACTATAACTACACTTAAAGAAGCTGATATAAGATGTGTTATGTGTACTGGTGATAATATTTTAACATCTATAAGTGTTTCTAAAAGATGTAATATAATACAGCATGATGTGCAAGTATATATGGCAACTATACAAGGTTTCTATGTTTTTTATGAGTTATTGTATATTAATTTGTTTCTAGGAAACATTGATTCTCCTGATGCTAAGTTGATATGGGAAAACACTGAAAGTCCAGAAATGATATTAGACAATGATACATTGATGGTAATTATATTTTATATTGTTTTATGTCCTAATTAGAGTTTAGCCTCAATATATTCCATCTGATTCAAATGATCCTTCATATTATAAAAATTGTTTTCCAGAAAAATATTTCTTGGCAATTACTGGAGACGTCTTCAAATGGATGATTAATTTTTCTCCATATGATGTTTTTGAGAAAGTAAGTATTGAATAAGGGGTTTAGAGATCTTATTAGTCTAGATGCTTGTAAAAACTCAGGTTTTTGCCAGAATGTCTCCAGATGAAAAGCATACATTGGTCGAAAAGTTACAATTGTTGGATTATTGTGTAGGTTTTTGTGGGGATGGTGCTAATGATTGTGGTGCATTAAGAGCAGCAAATATTGGTATTTCTCTTTCGGATGCAGAAGCATCTATTGTTTCCTCTTTTACAGACAAAAAGTTTAATATTACATGTGTTTTTGATCTTATTCGGTTAGTAATGTTATATACTGTTTAACAATTAGTAATTAATTTGTTAGTGAGGGTAGAGCTGCATTAGTTACTAGTTTCAGTTGTTTTAAATATATGGCACTTTATTCTGCTATACAGTTCATTTCTGCAAGTATTCTGTATTCATCTGCGTCCAATCTTGGTAATTTTCAAGTATATTAATTTTTTTTTTTTAATATAGCTAATATGTTTAGTATCTGTATATTGATTTGATGCTTGTACTTCCTATTGCTATATCCAGTAAGTACATTTGTTTAATACTGAATAATTCTAAATATTTCATAGTGGGTCGCTCTGAAGCATATCCTAAACTAGTTAAGAAACGTCCAACTGCAAGTTTGGTTTCTAATAAGATTATTGGATCACTTTTGGGAAATATTTTTATATTGTTATCTTTACAACTTACTGTTTATTATCTTGTTCGTTTACAGGATTGGTATGTAAAAATATGTAATTTAGTTTTTTAACAATATAATTAGGTATGAAAAACCATTGCCCCGGTCTGATCTTTTTGATGTTTCAAACTCTGATAATTCCGCATTATTTACATTTTCTTGCTACCAATATATATTAATTGCGGTTATACTCAGTATTGGACCTCCATATCGTCAACCTATTTATCGCAACAGTATTATTATGCTTTTTTTTAGATTAACAATAAACTGATTATTTTAGGAATATTTGTTTTCTTTATAGTTGTTTCTTTGATTACAGTGACTCTTATTTTATGTAAACCAGCATCTTGGATCTATGAAATACTTGAGCTTTCGTATATAAGATCTGATTTTTGTCTCATTATCATATCTCTGGCAATATTTAACTATACAGTTACATGGCTTTCTGAAAAGTATCTCTTTTTACCCATTTCTATCCAAATCAGTTCAATGATTAGAAAACTTTTATGTTTAAATACAACTAAACGGAAGAAACGTTATGAAGAGATACAAAGTGCATTAAAATTTTGAGAAAAAAGTAATTTCTTTCTTTTAAAATGCATAGTATTTTTTTGTGTATTTAAATAAAATATTATAAAGATTATTTCGACATAAAATCATTTATTCTTAAGTATTATTTATAATAGTAAAGGAGGTTTATTTATTATGAAAAATAAAGACAAATAACATTTTTATTGTATTTTTATGATAATGAAAGAAGATATACATGAAAGTAATGAAACAATACTCAGAAACATTAATTTGATTAAAAAACAGATTCAAACACATCATCAGAAATCCCTGCTTCTTTAGAAAGACTAGATTCATTTTTTAATGTTTATCAGGGTTAAAGAACTCTGAAAAATAATATTTTATTAATTTATACAGGCCTTGTAGGTCATAATAGAAATATTCTTATTAATTATTGGAAAAATACAATAAAAGAAATAGAAACAGATAATCATGATTTTAAAGTACATCAGATACCTTTATCCAGGATAAGAGTGAGTTTTTTAGTGCTACATATAATTATATTTTGTTTAAAAATGTTAGAAGCTTATGAAAACTGACAAAGATGTTAAAGTATTAATAAAAAGGCAATTTTCTCTGCTTAAATATAATACAGATGATATCTACTGAAGCAACAATTTTATTTGCAAAAGGGTGTAATATTTTTATTACAGAGCTTACATTGCGTGCATGGATCTATGCAGAAGAGAATAAGAGACGAGTATTACAAAAATCGGATATTGCAAATGCGATATCTAAGTCAGATATGTTTGATTTTTTATTAGATATTATTTCAAAAGAAAAGGTATAAAACTATTCAAAAGATATAAATTTTTGATAATAAGTATTTCAAAGTTGGATCTTATTCCGAAAATTCAGATTCCATCCATGAATATGAATCAAGAATGTCATAGAATCAGTCCATATTATCAAGGACTGGACAGATTTTCGAATATTGGTGATAAAGCAGACAAATTAGACCAAATGTATATCTTGAAACAACCATCTTATATAAATTACAACTCTACAATTCATGTAATAAAATTATTAATACTGTTTTCGTTTTCTTACAGAGACAGTAGAACACTACAAATTCATCATCAGACTTATTAAAATATCAAGGATTGCAAAACATAATACAAAACTGTGAATCTAAAGAAATGAATATAAATGAATAATATTTATAAAATTAGAAGTCATTTTTTTATGTAAAACATATAGAGAAATATATTTTTATAATTAATGACATGCAATTGATTGCAATATATGTATATTTTAATAATATAGGGTAATCTCATAGTTTATATTTAATCAACTGTATATAGCTTTTTTAAATGATAATATGATATTATGCATTAACTTAATTTATAGCCTTTTCCTTTAAAAGCTGATTTTTTAGGTGGATCTTTCTGAGTATTTTGTCGATTGTTAAACAAAATACCAAAAGGCCTTCTTATAACTCGTTGATTATTTGATGGAAAAAGGCTTGTAAACCACCTTGGAACAGTTAGACGGGGGCCTCCACAAGAAGGCAATGTGTTAGTTAAAAATTCGTAAAGATGTGCACTTAATAATCCACAACCATCCCGCAAAACAACAGGAAATCCATCCATAAAAAATGAAAGTAAAAGCATACAAAATGGCAAATATCGAGCCTACTAAATTAACAATAACTTCACTAATATGTAAATAGATACCTTTATTCGAAAAAACCAAAGACTAGTAATTGTATTTAAATTTCTTTGACTCCAAAAATAACATATTGATAAATTTAATGCAGGAAAATATACAATAGATGAAATGAAATAACTAAGAAACTAAAAACTGTTAGGAATTGAACAATATTTTTTTAAAAAAAGTATAAATGTCGGCTGCCAACAACCAGCTTATAACATAAAAAGTAGATATAAGCCATCTCAAACGTCCGTATATATACTTTTACCATCTTGCCGGTCGACAAGAAGATAAAAAGCTTGTTTTAATATGCTCCTCTCACCAGAACCCAGCATTTCATAAAATATGTTAAAAGTGGGGCAGAAATCAGGAGCGAATTTTAATAAAAATTTTACTTACCAAAATTACTGTTGCATTAAATACTAGAAAAAATGAATAGTCCGAGACACTCTCAGTAAAATAAAGTGTCTCAACTTCATTACTAAACCGATAAACTAGAAATAATCTTAATAAAAATTAAAAAAAAAGATAGGGATACGTGAAAAAAGCGATATAACCAAATTTAAGCCTCCGCCTGCATAAAAAAACGCAGTAAAAGGCCTCCAAAGCTGCCCTCTAAATGTATATGGCCATATATTAACTAACTGAGCAGCTCTAGCAATACCCAAAAGAGGTGTAATAGAAACAAATAACGAGCCAGATAAAAGAAATAAAGTAACAGGGGGGATAGAATGGATAATTCTAAAATTCTATTATTGCTAATTTTAATATATTTTTTAGAATATACCTTGTTATTTCATTATCCATAGCCACATTTAAATTTTTTTAAGTCCGGAGTGTCGGCAAAAATTGACGGAGAATATTTATAATAAAAAAAGTATGTTGAATAATATGAATAAAAGAATGTTTTAAATAGCCGTTAATATATTTCCAAAGATAGAGAATACCCCAGTTAAATAATATAGTTTATATAAAAAAAGTTCTTTGTAAAAATCGTAATCTAAAGTAATCTAAAAAAACAAATTCATAAAAACTAGTTAAAATGCAAATGATAAGAAAAAACATGTCAAAGTAAAATATGCGGCAAATTTTATGTCCTAAAATTAAGCTTCTAGAAACCAGAACATATTATCAACTATTAATAAGTAAATTTAAAAAAAAAAAAAAAAACAGAAACTTTAATTTTATATAAATATCCATGATGAAATAAGTGTATTCTTTTTGATTATTTGATAAGTATTTAAAATTTTTGAATGTCTAACAAATTTTACAAATGTATATTTTCAAAAAAATAGGATTATAGACTTAATTAGCTTGAATACGATAACGTTTTGAATCAATTTTGCGTTGTTTCCATTCTTCCTTCCTTTTACGTTCCATAGTTTCCTCAATAATGATTTTTTCTGCAGTTGTTAGCGGTCTTTTTTCTTTATTTTGTACTTGTTTTGAAGGATTAGATTTGGTTATGCTTTTAAATACGTTTTCTTGTTTTTTCACAAAAGGGACTTTAATAGAATAAGAGCTTCCCTGATTCTCTGAATTAGATGACTCGTTTTTTTCTTCAATAGGTGGTTTTGATAATGAAATCGAAATTTTACTTTCATCTCTTTTCAATTCTTTTACTACATTTTCATGACTTTGTTCTTGATTTTCTTTCATCTTTTTTGCCCTTTCAACTTGCTCATTAATCATTTTAAGCTCTCTTTCTTCATCTCCTTTATCCTGACGATCTCTTTTGATAATCGACTGTTGACGGCGTAACGCTTCAGGTGAATTATCAATCCATGAAATATATAACCCTTTTTCTGTCTCATCTACCCTACATATTCCTTCATAGCCCAAATATTTTACAAATTCTGTCAACGTAACCCATCTAGTAGCATTCATTCTTACTATATATTTTTTATTAATCTTTAAACTTTAGTTCTTTTTTACGTACAATGCCCTTTGTCTGCAATATATTCTTGATAAAAGTGATTTGCATGAACACGTTTTTCGCCATGAGACGTCCTTAATAATTGAATAAAATTATTTTTAAACTCTACAGAATAATTGTGAATATGTCGATTTGGATTTTCTCCAATCAACAACATTTGTCTTACATGTGCTAATATCCATAAGAAAAACATGTAAACACTTTATCCTCACCTTCTGACTGTGTATGACACTTAAAACCTTAAAAATTTAAAAAATCTTAAACATAGAAAAAATATATTCTAACCATTTTCATCTCGCATTTGTTTTTCACAAGCCTGACAATACCATCGAAGGCGTTGAAGACCTTTAGATTTCATTCGATTTGCAAGCCATTTAGGCGTCCCTTTCTCTGCTTTTCCTCCCATTTTTTTTTTAAATTTTGTGTATCGATTTTGATATTAATCTATATAAAAATAATTTTATTTTTTCTTATGTTTGAATTTCCAAGTATTTAGAATTAAAAGAATAAGTTTAAATGAAATATAAGTAAAAGAAGCCAAAATGAGTAAAAATGTCAAAAATTGAACAAATAAAATATGATCTGAATTGACAACAGGTATATGAATAATCATAAAAGAATCATTGTGATTTAAATTATGTAAAAAATGAAATGTATTATTTTGTGGAAAGTGTTGATGAAATAATTCCCAACTAGATGTAAAAGGTGTTTGTATAGTATTTACGTCTTAATATAAAAATAAGTTTTTTTTTCATTAAAAAGATAAAAATTAAATTATACCTTGTATTGATTCGCAAGAAAAAAAAGAGATAGGAAAAGGTAAATCAGATGTGTAAAACATGTCTTTTTTAGGTGGAAAATAACGAAGATGAATAGGTAAATCGACAAAAAATGATGTATTTAAGTGATTTGAAACGGTTTCAATCAAAACTACACTTCCCCATTTTTGAAGTTTCCATACAGGTGCCTCTAAATTCGTCTCTCCCCATATAAAATGAACTTTCTTGAGATTACCTATATTAAACTGTACTAAATCTTGCAATTGGTATTTATCAACAAACACTGATTTGGGAAGATAATAAAGGATATAAAGAGAGCAATAATCTTTCAATGATTTATTGATAACTATTTTTGATCGAATTTTTGTATGAAATCCTACTGGAGAAAGAATTTCAGAATAAACAGTGGAATTTTCAAGAAAATTATTAGAAAAAAAAGTCATATATGGCTCTATTGTTTTATTAGTTAAAAAAATTATATTAAATATATACCAAATGCACTAGAATTATAAAGAGAGTTTTTCCTCCAAAGATATCTAGTTTTTTCATGTATATTAGAAACAGGCTGAAGAAATCCAACATCAACATGAATTGATTTATTTTGTAAAGAATTTGAATACATGTCCAGCTGGAAACTTTTGAAAGACAATCTCCATATATATTTTATAGTTAATGTTTTAGATGATGGATCTATAAATAGTTCTATTTGAATTATATTTTCCTTATCTTTTACTTGACTACATAAGTATGCATTTAATATACAACTTAAATCTAATAAAAAAGTACTAGAAGAGAAAGTATGATTGTAATATAATTTTCCTATTTTTGTATCAATAAAAGAATCCTAAAGATAAAAATAAATAGTAAAATATATAATAAATTTCTTACATATGTTGGAATTTCATTTTTCCATATATTTTTAAAAAAAAACAAATTATCAAAAGAACTAAATAAAATAAGAATATTTAATAACTCTCAATATAGGGAAAAACTTATTTAAATTATTTAATGGATGTATTGTTATATGAAGTCCATTTGATGGAATTGTAGCAAACGGAGGAAGAAGACAATTATTTTTTGCACACCAATGAATAGTAATATTTTCAAAAGATGCAAATTTTTCTGTATACTAAAAATGTGTAAGAATTTTTCTAAATACTTAAATTTAATTAAACAAACATTAAAAGAAAGGTGCAAAACTGCTTTCAATTCTTTTAATATTGTTCCATGATTTACTAAGTTTTCTTTTCTTACATAAAAATAGGATTCATTTAATATTTTATATTTATCTTCTAAAATATAAGTAATTCTTGAATGATTCATTTGAATATCGTTTTTTTTCTAATATTAGATATTAACAAAATTAAAAGTACCATATGGCACATGTTAGTAAAATGTATAAGTATTATTGTTTTAAAGTAAAAATACTTTTAAAAAGCTTTTGATGCAATTTTTAATAAAAAAATATTATTTTTGTAAATTATATTTTATACTTAATTATCAAAATATATAGTAACAAATAATAAACTAAAAATAACCTTATATAAATTTTTAGTATTCTAAAGTTTATAATTTTTATTTTTATTATATTTTTTAAATTTATTATTTTTACTAAATTTATAATATTTTGTTTTATAAAAGAATTTTCAAATATTTTAAGTTTTTTAGTGTTCTTAATAACCATAAAATATTATAATAACATAAATATAAACTTTTAAATTATTAACTCTTTAATTCTTTAAAACATCTTTTAACTATTTCTATAAAATATTTAAACCCTAAAAAAATTAGAAGTTCTATTCTATTAATATAAAGTATAAATAAATATTAAAATTAGAAACATTTCAATTATAAATATTTTAATTGAAAATCTCATTAAGATAACTAATTTTACATTTAGTTTAGATTTTTCAATAATATAAAAAACAATATATCAAAAAATATTTTAAATACAGAAAAGAAACAAAAAAATAAGTATTCTAATAATTTAAAACATTTTTCAAGAGCTTTCTCTTAATATCAAAATATTTTAAGAGTAATTTACATTGTCAATAAATAAACAAAAATTTAAGTTATCAAAAATAAAAAAAAAATCATTATTAATATTACAAATAAAAAATAATCATATTTCTAATCTCAAAATATCAGGTATTTTTTGTTGATTTTTTGTAATTTTGAAGATCGCTTTTTTAAACGTTAAATGACGGCAGACTTTAGTTACTTTTCGAGACGATAACCAATGTTTTAAATATGAGATTTGATATTGTTTTAAGAGCTTAAAAACTCAATAATTACTAAATAATTACTTAGAAAGCATTTTTCATTAAAAGACGTGTTTTTTTTTCTGAAAAAAAGACCAAAAAAGACAAAATATTTAAATTTTTAGAGATCTTTTCATAAAACTTTAAAAATTAATATTAGAGGTGTCTTAGATTGTCTATTTTTCCTCTGAATATGTCAAAACGTTCCTATAAGAACTCTCATAGAAAGATTCATAGGAAAAAAGAGTTTTATAATCAAAGTTTTCAAGATTTTATTGTACAAAATCTTCAATATCTTTCTGCTTATCAACAAGGTTTTTTTTCATCTTTTTTTTAAAGTATTCGCTAATTTAATAAGAAATAGCATTAACAATAATACTAGTATTTCTTTTTATCCATGTATTTATTCCATCTCAGAATATTACACAAAAACTTTTTTATTTATCTTATTGCAATGTCACACATTGTACTAAAGGTAAAGACGATTGGTACTTTGTTGCATTCTGGATAATCCTATTTTCCTTTATTCGTGAAAGTGCCATTCGCTATATTTTTATCCCTTTTGCCCGAAATAATGGGGTTATGATCAAAAACCTTAATAAATTCTCGGAACAAGCTTGGTGTTTTCTATATTATCTTATTTTTTGGAGCTTCGAAACAGTAAACAAATCTTTGGTAATATATATCTCATTAAAATATTTAGTATATTGTGTATAATAGCCCATATTGGTTCAACTATAAACAATTATGGATTGGATATCCACATATTGAGCTTAAAAAATACTTTAAATGGTATTACCTTGTTCAGTTCTCATTTTGGATTCATCAGATTTTTGTTTTAAATATTGAAACACGACGAAAAGATTATTACGGAATGCTTTTTCATCATATTATTACATGTATCCTTATATTCATGAGTTATGTCTATCATTTTACCCAAGTTGGTAATGTAGTCATGTGTATTATGGACATGTCGGATATTTTTTTATCAGTTGTGTTCTGCTTTAACACTTTTTTAAATACTAATTTTATAGTTAGCGAAAATGCTAAAATATTTAAAAATGCAAAAAACTTGTAATTTTTCATTTTTTATATTTCTTATTTCATGGATTATCACAAGACACTTTTTCTTTCTATTTATATTATATTCGACATATAAGGATGCTGGTGTTATCATTTCACACAAATGGGATCCTATAAACAATATATTTTTCACCAAAAAAATTCACATGTCGTTTTTAGCATTACTTTCTGCATTACAATTTATTTTATGCTTTTGGTTATGTCTTATTATTAAAGTTACATGGAAAGTTATTACAGGACACGACGCAGAAGATAATCGTTCAGAATCAGAAAATGATTCAGCATACGATGATGCATCAGTGCCGCAAACACATTTAAATAATACAGAACTTCAAATTTCAAAAAGTAAGAGATCTAAAATTACAAATATTTTGGAATGAACTATTCTTAGGAACTATGTCAAAGATAAATTCACATAAATTCATTAAGATTAATAGTTGTTAAATACTGGATATAAACTGGTTTACGAGCTTTAATCACTGTTAGTCTTATAAAAAACTATAAATATTAAAAAAACCATTTAAATCAAGTAAAATATCTTGTAAATATTAAAAACGCACTCCTTATGAAATTATACATAAAAGTATCTTAATAACGAAAACTATTCCTTCTGTTATTTCTAATTCTTAAATAGTCCCAATTACTTAACTATATATAAAAAAATCTTACAAACCATATTAATATTAATCATTTGTTATAAGCTGCAAATAATTACTAGGAACAATTCCTATGGTTCCATCTTCTTTTCGAGCTTGCCACCCTAAAAATGATCTGTAAAATACTTTAGTAAACAAAAGTACATACACTTCCCACTAATATCGCCTATTTCTAGAATCTCATCTTTGACAAATGATACTTCTCGAGGATCATCTGGACTTGCATTATCTAAAAATATCACTGAAATATCAATTTTTTTTAAAATAAACGCACATGAATATACAGCTTTTGCTCTATGCGGGTATTCATTAGACGCCATTATACTATTTTCTGTATTATTCAAAGAATTTAATGGCTGAAGATTATGAGAAAAACACGTTGATACTTGATTATCATTGGAACGAGACCCATTGAAATTTTCATTATTTGTTATAATATCTTTAGTCAAAGCTGGTCTAGAAATGAACTGATTTTGAGTATTTTTACAGGATTCAGATAATATATATGAGTTTGTCCATGAGTGAAAAATTGAATCATTTGTAGTTCCGAAATACAACACCCATATAGCCTTATAATTGAAAAGTTATAACAAAGATATGTTAAATATTTTACAACTTACATTAATAATAAAAAGAAAAATATATCCAGAAACAACAATAGGTTGAGATGGTTCAAAACCATATAACAAAGAATTACATATCATCAACTCACAAGAAATCACAACAGCTATATGCCCAACTAACTATTTTACTCAGACAGCATACTTCATATCAAAAAAGCATACAGCAATTCGATATGTATCTCCTGAATTCGATAGAATTATTGCAATAACACAAAAAATAACAAAAAATTGATATACAATAATCCACCATGAATAGTAAGGAAAATATACAGCTCTAAGACTTGCTATAACTGAAGAAATAACCACAGTACCCCATCCTATCTAAAATAATATTAGATAACAAAACCTATAAAAAGACATACAAGAGCGAGAATAACAGTACTTAGTATAAATAGATCGTCCGTCAAATAACTAATATCAAGTTGTGCTTTTATCTGACTGAATTTTTTCATACGCATTTTCTAATTGATTTTAAAAAACTTAAAAAGCATATATTAAAATATAATAATAATAGAAGAAAATATCCTATAGAAACAATAAATATAACAATTGAATATATAAAAACCAACTTCTTAAATCCTTATTTTTCTAAAAATCCTAAATTTAAACAAAAACAAAAATTTCCAATTCTAAGCAAATTATTTTAAATTTTCATAAAAAAAATACTAACACGTACCAAAACAAAAATCTATGCAATTAAAACAAATTTTTACAAAATAAAATAATATCAATTACTTTCTATTTTTCTTTTTATATATTATTCAGTAACAAAGAATAGAAAATTTTATTTCACACTAACAAATCTAAAATGGAAAAAAAATAAATATAAAAAATATGCAAAAACAAGGTGACTAACCAACATAATTAGTTTAGTTATAACAAAATAACTAATATTGATACGTAAAGTAAACAAAATAAATAATTATAAGTGGTGTATATATTAAAAAAATAGCCTAAGAAAAAAAATGAATTAAAAAAGAACAATGCGGGATTCATCTTTAAGAAATTGTCTGCGATAATTAATAATTGATTGAGCAACTTTTGTAATATCTTGAAAATGAGATGTACGCAAAGCCTGAATGATTGCACGTAAACCCGCACGATAATTTTGCTGTTCTTCTTCTGTTTCACCAACAAGTAGTGAACTCATCTCTATAAGTAGTTGATCATCTAAAAAGCAATAAATATATATATAAATAAAGATTATAATATTATAAATCATAAATTACAATTAACAATAAATAGTCGTACCTGTTTGTCCAATATCTTTAAAATGTAAAAATTTACACGAATCATCATTGCATACTCCTCCTGCTGTTTCAAAAAAACACAATTTTTTATTAGGATCAGAACGTGTACTATATGTTCGCGAACGAAATCCTCCTTTTACCCATGACAAAAAGTAAGGATGAAATCGAAATGCATGAAAAATTCGAAGTGGACTAGAATATTGCTTATACGAAACGAAACTATTCTAGGTCCAAGATTAAAACCTTTTCTATATTTTAAAACAATATCTACCTCATCAATAACTGTATCTTTTAATTCTTGTGGATTGACAACTACATTCTTTTGAGGATTAACAGATAAATTCATTGAAAGGTCACCTTCATTACAATTAAAAGTTTCAAATGATTCATGTGTATTAGTCAGCGTATTAAAGCTGCCATTAGATTTTTTAGTTTCAATAACAACGTCATTATTTTCCAAATTTTTACTAATCTCATCATGTTTAACAGAAAGAAATACAGTTTTCTCTGATGACTCAAACCCCTTTTTAACAACACCAATTTTATCTTCGCTATTAAAAAGACTAGAAGTTTCAATCTTTTCATAATTATCTTGATTAGATAATAAAGCATTAGTTGATGAAACGGAAATTTCATCTAAACAAAGTAAATATCTAATTAAAATAAAAATTTCAAATACTTTTGGAATTCATAATAGTAGTCAAATTTTTAGGTATAGAACAAAAATCTGTTAAATCTTTCATTAATTCATCTCCCATACCCTGCTTAAATTTATCAACAGAATCAAGAGCTACCCTAGCATCCTTCAATTGCACTTCAATATCAGATTTCTCTTGAAGTAGCTTTTGAAATGATAATTCAGCTTCGCTAAGTTCATTTTTTAGTTTCTGAACCAATAATTCTTTTTGAAAAAGCTGTACATTAACTTTTTCTAAATCTTCTTGAAGAGTTTGTTCTTTTTCATAAAATGTAGCCTTATTTTGTCCATTGTCGAAATCTTTAAATATATCTTTTTCTTGATTATTATCATGCTTGGGCAAATTTCCGTTATCAATACTTGCTGTATTCGAGATTGAGATATAACTAGTATCTTCTGTTGGGTTTGTTTTCTTTTTTTTTGAACTTTCTAATCTAGCAATTATTTCCATCATATGTTTGATTTCTTCTTCTTTTTGTTTCAATTTTTTAATAGCATCCTTTTGTATATCCTCCACTTTAAAAAACTTTTTTGATTTATTAGTAGTATCATCTTTATTAATATTATCAATATTTTCATCATTTTCATCATCCGAAAATTCAATTACAACTGAAGCAGCAGATTCTGAACCAAACTTTTTCCGTGATACGAAAGTACGTTCATCACCTGAATCCACTGTTGAAATGTATTTTCTTTTATGAGAAACAGAAACTTTTTTTTGTATATTTCCTGACATCTGCATTTTTTTATCTATAGAATCCCGAATACTTTGCAAAAAAGAATCAGAATCTAGATGTTGATTTTTTTTAGAAGAATTATCATTCAGATTAGATGCATTTAAAGATTTAATATTATGATCAACAATGCAATTATCTTGATTTTTTGAAGCAATCTTTGTACACTCTTTATCATTGTCCTTTAAATCAGTATTTATATTACTTTTTTCCTTGAAATTATCTTCCTTTTGAGAAGTTTCTACGCCTGGTAAAGATAAACCAGCTTCTACAAATATTTTATGAAGAAATTCCTTATTTATTCCTAAATGAACCAAATATTCAAAAGAAATCCCTTGAGAAGATAAAAATTGAACAGCAAGCTTTCCTTCAAGTTTAATATTTGAACCTAAAAATATAAGATTATCAGCTTTTCTCAAAAAATAATAATACTATTTTGTGAAATAATAGATTGATATAAATTTGAATAAAATGTCGTATTATTTTTCACTCGAGAATACCTTTTTTTATCCATAAAATACACAAAACATTAAATAATACTTACTTCTTGTAAGGCATTTTATTTATGTAACCCATTTTTTTCAAAGATGCTTTCATAGAATCAATAAATTATTATAAGTAAAAATTCCTTACGTCTTCCAACATTATTAGCATATGTAGAGTTCTTTTCAGGAACTGAACTATCACTAATCTCCCCTTCTTCTTTTTCATCCATACTCTGGTCATTTTTCTGTTCATTTCCATTTATTTGTTTTGGCACATTAGATTCTTTAGAAATACATGTAGAAGATTGCAAAGGAAATTTTCTTTGACTTAACAGAGCTGCAAGACGAAGCTCATTCAATTCCATAGGCAAATATATCTCTTTAATACTATTAACTCAAGTGCTTTTTTTCTACATATATAATAACCTTAATCAGATCCTTTATATGGCAAAATCACTTCAAATTCAAGATATTAATTAGATAAATATAAAAAAATCTTCTGAGATAACTATCATATCTTTTCCTAAATTATTCAACAAGATATAGACTTTATTTAACTTCTTCATTTATAGCGTGTCTAAAATTCAAGTTCGTTCCTGAAAATTGTGTATTTTTAAACCGAAACGATACTTAATTTTAAGAATTAAATGTTAAAAAAATATTGAAATAAATAAAAAAGATAATGCAATAAATACGTTATCAAAGAGTTTTTAATATTTTTTGGTTTAAAAAGGCGTTTTTTTAATATTTTTTGGTTTTTTTTTTGTTCTTTTTAAAAGTTAAATGAAAGAAATAAGAGATCAACTTCAATTCAATGGAAAACTTTCAAAATCTAGTATATATTCGAATATCAAGACAATTAATCCAGAGATTCATCGATCTATGGATTCATACCTTGAAGATGCAGCAGCACAAGCCGAATTTTCAAACAAAAAATGGGTTTGGGTGAAAGATGTGGAAAAAGCGTTTATTAAAGGATGGGTGGTCAAAGAAGAAGGGGATTGCCTTCATGTTAGGTGCTTGGACGATTCAGTACCTTACATTTTTTACTATTTTGTCAAATTAAGTTATTTAGGATCGTATAGTCAAAATCAATGATGTAGATAGAGTAAATCCTCCAAAATTTGATAAAGTTGATGATATGGCGGAATTAACCTACCTTAATGAAGCATCAGTTGTTAATAATTTGAATCTAAGATATTCTAGCCGACTAATATATGTGAGTTTATATTAAAAATGAATCATATATATATTCATAGAGATAGACGTATTCAGGACTATTTTTAGTGGCAGTAAATCCTTATAAGCCACTTCCTATTTACACAGATGATTATATTAATATGTATCGAAATAGTAAACGATGTGATTCTAAACCTCATATATATGCTATTACTGATCTTGCATTCCATAATATGCTTGAAATGCGTGAAAACCAATCTATACTCATAACGTTGATTCCTTCTTGTGTATTTAAAAATTGCTTATTCTGTGATTAGTGGCGAATCTGGAGCAGGGAAAACCGAAAATACGAAAAAAGTTATTCAGTATTTAACAGCAGTAGCAACTTCACAATCAAACAAACATAATTTAAAAAATCTAGAACGGAAAATTCTCCAAGCAAATTATATTTTGGAAGCATTTGGAAATGCTCAAACTATTCGAAATAACAATTCATCACGTTTTGTATGTTGTTTTATTAAGTTATAAAATAATGAATCGTTTCAGGGAAAATTTATAAGAATAGAATTTAATAGCAAAGGACAAATATCAGGTGCCAATATAGACTGGTATCTTTTAGAAAAGTCTAGGGTAACTCAACAAAATGCCTCTGAAAGAAATTATCATATATTCTATCAACTTCTTGCAGGCGCATCTAAAGAATTAAAAAGTTATGAGAATGATAAATTTTATTAAATTTCTAATCTTTTCCAATAGAAAAACTATTTCTCGAAAACTCGATCAATAATTTCGTTTTTCTTAAAAATGGTGCTAAATCTATAGATGGTGTAGATGACGCTTTTAATTTTTCTCTTTTGAAGGCAAGTTTTTTTTAATTTAAAATTAAAGTTAGATCTAACGTTTAAAGGAATCCTTTTTTATTATGGAATTTTCAGAAGATGAACAATATAATATTCTTAAATTAATAGCATCTATTCTCCATTTAGGAAATCTTAAAGTTGTTTCAGATAGATCCGAACAAGCTAAACTTTTGAATCTTGATCAGGTAGAACGTTTATGCTACTTACTTGGCATACCTGTTTCAGAATTTACAAAAGCCTTATTATGTCCAAAAGTAAAAGCAGGGAGAGAATGGGTTGCAAATGCAAGATCATCTCAACAAGTTATATATTCTTTAGAAGCTTTGGCTAAGTCTCTTTACGAAAGAGCATTTGGGAATCTTGTTGAAAAAATTAACAGTACAATGGATAAAAATTCAACAAAAATGCATTTTATAGGCGTACTTGATATCGCTGGATTTGAAATCTTTCAAGTAATAACTATTAAATTTATCGTAAAATAAATTAAAGAATATATTATAGGTAAATAGTTTCGAGCAACTTTGTATAAATTACACAAATGAAAAGTTGCAGCAATTTTTTAACCATCATATGTTTATTTTAGAACAAGAAGAGTATGCAAGGGAAAATATTGACTGGAAGTTTATAGATTTTGGCCACGATTTACAACCAACTATAGATTTAATCGAAAAGACAAACGTGAGTTTAATTTTTGTACTTGCTTTTATTAATTTCATAGCCTATTGGGGTATTGTCTTGTTTAGATGAAGAATGCGTTATTCCAAAAGGTACTGATAAAACTTTTACAGAAAAGTTAGATTATATATGGAGAGATAAATCACCTAAATATAAACCGTCGAAATTTTCAGGAGAAGCTTTTATTTTAAAACATTATGCTGCAGATGTTGAGTATTCTACTACTGGTTGGCTTGATAAAAACAAAGATCCTTTAAATGAAAATATTGCACGAATTTTAGCATATTCTAACGACAAATATATTGCAAATTTATTTTTGGATTTTTCTGAAGATATAGATCTATCACCTAGAAAAACTATAGTTAAAAAAGGTTTATTTCGTACAGTTGCACAAAGACACAAAGAACAACTAGCATCTTTGATAAAACAACTTGAATCTACTCAAGCCCATTTTGTTCGTTGCATTTTACCAAATCAATTTAAAAAACCTTTTATTTTTAACTGTCCTCTTGTATTAGATCAGCTTCGATGTAATGGGGTTCTTGAAGGTATTAGAATTGCAAGAACAGGATTTCCAAATCGACTTTTGTTTTCTGAGTTCCGACAACGCTATGGAGTTCTTACTCCTTGTCTTTCAAATGATTATATGGATGGAAGGAAAACAGTCAAACTTATGCTTGAAAAATTAGATATAGATATATCTAATTACAAAATTGGTCTTTCAAAAGTATTTTTTAAAGCAGGAATTGTAAGAATATATAATTGTTATTCTTATTACTTATTTTATAGCTCGCAGAACTTGAAGATCGCAGAGATTTCTGCTTGCAAAATATTTTTACCCAACTTCAAGCAATTTCCAAAGGATACATTCAAAGAAAAATAATTTCTAAGAAATTTTTTAGATATAATGCAACATGTATTATTCAAAAGAATTTAATGATATACTTAGATTTATGTCAATCACCATGGTGGAAGCTTTTTTTTAAAATGAAACCTCTCTTAAATGCTACATTTATAGATGATCAACTGCGTAAAAAGAATGAAGAAATCGAAAACCTTTCAAAAATAATTAAAAATGAGGTATTTAAAGAAAGATCTTAATTGATATTTAAAACAATAGGCTTTAACGAAAAAAAAACTTTTGTTAGAAAAACAAACAGCAGAAGAACAAAAACTAAAACTTGAAGAGACTCTTCAAAATGAGCGTGCTCTTGCTCTTGACAAAGAAGAAATACTAAAACGAACTCAAGAAAGAGAAGCTAAACTATCTGAACAGCTAAGAGATGCAATCGAAGATCTCGATCGCCTTGAAGCTCAATGTGATGACTTGTTAGCAGTTAAAAAGAAAGTTGATATTCAAGCTGAAAAATGGAGAATTGAACTGCAAAACGGTAGTATTTTAATTTCAAAATTAGAAGAAGAAAAACGTGATTTAATAAATCATATACGAGACTTAGAAGCTAAAAATAATATTCTTTCCGAAAAATGTTTATCTGCTAATGATGCTGAAAAATAGTTTGTTTTCATATTTTATTTAATTAATACTAAATGTTTAAAGTGAATCTCGTATCAAATGCTTAGAAACTTCTTTATCAAAAAAAGAATTAAAAATTGCTCAATTTAATAAAAAAATTGAAGATGAAACTTTAAAAATAGAGATATCTTTTAGAGAAAAAGTATACTATTTTAATTATTATTCTTGTTAATTTTGTTAGCTTAAAAATTATGAATTTCTTCAAGAACAAGAAAAAAAGTACAAAAAAGAAAATGAAAAATTATCCATTCAACTTAATGAAATGTCAACTAATACTATTAGTCTTGAAACATTTATACAGAAAAAGGTTTTTTTTTTATGTAATAATTTCAATTATTTAAAATATATTAGGAATCTGAAGTAATTCATTTACGTAATGATATTTCAGAATTAATTTCTGAAAAGGATCAATTAAAGCAAGAATTAATAGCATCATCTGTTAAAAATGATACATTTAAATCCGAAATAATAAATCTTACTAAAGAAATACAAGAATTAAAAATAGCAAAACAAAAAGCTGAAAATGATGCTATTGAAACACAAAATGTATTGCATAAAAAAATGTCTCAAGATGCAAAAGCTAATGATATTAAAAATATGCTTGAACGACAACTTTTAGAGCTAAAAGAGGAGTTAGAGTCCGTACATGAAGAACTTAAGCTTGAAAGACAAAGTAATATCGATTATATAGAAAAAAGTAGTAGCGAAACTGCAAAATTAAAACTTGACAATCAAAATCTTTTTAAATATAAAGAAAAAACAGAAGAAGAATTTCAAAAATTAAAACAAGATTTCCAAAAGATTTCAGAAGAATATTCAGAATCTGAAAAAACTAAAAAATCTATTATGAATGAAGTAACTCTTCTTAGAAGGAGAGCACTTAATGCTGAATTAGCACAAGATGAAATTGAAAAAAATAGAATTAGTCTAAATCAACAGCTTGCAGATATTACTTCAAAAGCTAACATAGCTATAAGCAATCTTGAAGATTCAAATAATGCAAAAACAAAACTCATATCAGATATTTCTCTTTTAAAATTAAAAATTGAAGACCTTGAATCTGAAAAAACTAATCTTCAAAGATCTTTAAAGCATTCTGAACAAGAGGTCCAAAATCTTACTTCTCGTGTTGACATTGAACAAAAAAATAGACTTCAGGTAGAGAAAAATTTAACAACATCTAATTCAGAACTTTTGAAACTTCAAACTCATATAGTAGATATAGTAAATGAAAAACTTCAAGATATTAAAAAGGAAAAAAGTTCTATTGAATCAGAAATTAAATTATGGAAATCTAAGTATGAAGATAATATTGCTTTTACAGAGGAGTTGCAAAAACAAAAACAGAGAATTACTATGGAAGCAGAAGACCTTGTAAGCTTTTTTTTGTTTATTTTCGCATAGCTAATTCTTTTAAAAGGAACATGAATTAGAACGAGAACATCAAATATCCAAATCTGCAGAAAAAATGGTAGCCAATTTAAAAGTAAGAATATTATTTAAATATATTAAATTATTAAGTAACTTTTTTAGCTTCAATTAAATGAAACTAAAACTTCTCTTCAAACAGAAAAACAACAATCTATAATTAACCATAATAATTCTATTAAATTTCAAAAAAGATTTCAAGATGCACATAAAGAAATTTTGGAATGTAGAAAACAGCTTTTATCTTTTCAAGAAGCGTTGAGGTCTAATAAAGTAATATCTCCTGATCATAAATCCGATATTGATACTCAAAAATTAACTAAATTAGCCAAACAGCTGGACAAAGTACAAAGCGCACTAATAATATCAGAAGAAAGTAAAACTTTAATTGAAAAGCAATTTAATGAAGCAAGAAAACAATGGAATAATGAACTTTCTGCTCAAGAGGCAAAATATATGGAGTCTCACCAAAATTTATTAGATGAACTATCGCAACCTATTATAATACCCTCACATCAGTCAACACTTTCATCATCAATTTTTCAGAAAGAAACTAAGAATATTTTTACTTCATCTAAAATTGAAAATACTAAAACAGATAGATTAATTAAAGAATATGAAGCACATGCTCATACAATTGATGGAAAAGAAAACGAAGAACCTTTTTATTTAGATAGAAGAACAATACAGGCCTTAGAAAGTGAAATCGAGTCTCTTGAAACACGCTTAGATATGTCTGAAAAACAAAAAAAACAGTTAGAAACAAAATTAGAATTTTACCACTCAACTCAATTAAATGGTAGTTTAGACATGAAGAGACTTAAAAGAGAAAATGATAGATTACATGAATTATTAAATGATAATGCTGATCAACTAATTACTTTAGAAAAAATACAAAAAAATGGTATAATGACAATCAAAGATTTTCAATCAAAATCTTTAGAAGAGCTTGAAGAAAGTTTTAATTCTATTGCTGAGTCTAGAAAATCTTTATTGTTAGAGCAAAAAGAAACTTTAGTAGAACTAGAATCTGCTCGTAAAGAAGTAGAGCAACTAAGGAAATCTCAATCAAATTTACAACATGAATATTATCTTCTTCAAGAAAAACTTAAAGAATATGAGTTTTCAGATGAAAATGAGGAGCGTCTTGAACTTATTCGTGAATTAGCAGAGATACAAATGCGCTTTGAAATAGAAAATCAGCGTTCTACGGAACTTTCTGAAAGTCTAACATTATATAAAAATAGAGCTGAAGAATACTTTAATAAATTAGAAACAGCTGAAATAAATGTAATCAAAGCATCTAGGTCGGAAACATTTGCACGTAGTCAACTAAAAGATGCAGAAGAAACTATCTCTAAAATGCTAGAAGAAAGAAAAGAAATGGAAGAGCATTTCCACTCATTACAAAAACAGATTCGAGAACTTGAAGCTAAAGTATGTTACTCTAGAGTAACTAAATCTAATTTTGTTAGATTGAAGATAGTTCCGTTGAAATATTAGAAACAAATATGTCTCGACAAAGGGTAGAACAAGAACTTGAAATTTATAAAGGAAGAAGACAAAAAGAACTTGAAGATAGAGAATATTTTTTAGAACAGACCCGTAAAAAATATCAACGAGAGCTTTCTGGTATTTCTAATGAGCTTCAAATTGAAAGGGAAAACTCTATACAAGTTCTCAGTGAAAATAAGTATTTTTTATTTCAATTATATATTTATAATTAACTATAAAAGACAACTCCGTGAAACTCTTGAAAAATTACAATTAAATTGGGATACAGAAGTATTAAATAATTCTTCTTGGGAAAGAGAAAAAACTAGACTCGAAAGTTCTGTTCAGGATTTGACAAAGGCATATCAAGAAGCTATAGATGCACAACAGGAGACTCAAGAACAAGTCATTTCTCTTTTTTCACAAATAAGAAGTATGAGAATTTCTATGGATGAATTAGAAGTTGAAAAAAGTCAACTTCAAAAAGATAAAAAGGCATTAGAATTAAAAATAAATGAAATTTCATCACAATTGAATGTTGCAGAAAGAAGCCAGGGAATATCAGATAGAACCAATTCTATAAAAGATGTTAACTTGTTAAAAGCAGCAATTGCTGAAAAAGAAAATATAGTAAATTTAGCATTAGAAAAAATGAAAAGGGCTGAAAATTTAGCTCATGAAGTTCAAAAGGAAATAGCTATCGAAAGAGAAACTAATATGAAACTATATGAGGAAAAAGTATTTTCTTAGGTTAAACTATAACAGGTTTATTAATGCATATATTTAGGCTCTATTGGAGAAAGAGAAAATGTCACTACAGATAAAACTTGTAAATATGGAAACCAAGTTATATTCTTCAAATGACGAAAATGAAGATTTTCTTTTAAAAAAAATAAAAGAAGTTAGATAGCTATTAATGTTTACAAATAGACTAATTTCAATAGCTAGAGGATGAATTATCTAAAAGGGACTTGATGTTAAATAAAGAAAATAAAACAATGCGTTTCAATGATCGCTCAATTAAAGATTTACAATATGAATTATCTCAACGCGATAGAACCAAAGAGAGACTTGAAAATGAATTAATTAAAAGTAATGAAAAAATTCAAAAACTAAAAAAAATAGTAGACGAATTACAATCATCAGAATCCACAAGCCAGCTAGCCGCACGTCGTGCAGAACGAGAAGCTAGAGATGAAAGAGAAAAGTCATTAAGGTACTATTTGATTTTTTTAAAAAAAATAACTTAAATATGCAAAGATTAGAAAAAGAACTTGAAAAGGCAAAATCAAGGATTGAAACTGCATCAATAATAAATAAAAATAACACCATAAAGTCATTAAATAGCTTAAGTTCTAAATCTAGTCCATCTCGTTCTGATACAAATAATACTCGTTCAACTGAAAGTATTCTATAAAAAACAACTTGTTTTGTTAAAAAATGGATATAAAGGAATCATATTACTCAGTGTTTATTTCCACTAACTATACCATACTAATTACTATATCAATACTTGCTCATACCCTTTTATTATATAATCAAAACTTTAATAAAAATTTCGTTTGGATTAATATTTAAGTATAAATTTCCAATATACATTATAATTTCTAATTTTAATTAGTTATACTATCATGAATTAAATAATAATTATGAACCTAATAAAACCAGACATTTTGTATAATACATATTTTGATATTCAAAAATATTTTTTATGAATTTTTGTCTTTATAACTCCCGAATTTTTCTTCCCATTCTAGCAATTGTTTAGTTAAGTTATCCATCATCTCAAAACTATCAAAATTATAATGAAACATATCACTATTTGCATCTGAAGAGTTTTCGATTATATTATTTTTATCTTGAGATATATTTATTGTTTTTTTCTTATCTAAATTTCCTAAAAGATTTTCTTTTTTATCTGTAATTTCTTTATCTATTTTTTGTAATAATGGAATAAATAGCCTTTTCCTATGTTCTTGATCAGATGCCATTTCTAATTGTGTTCGGCCTATATATTCGAGAATAGCAGCTACACGTTTTTTCATTTCTGTCATAGTTATCTTTGCTTGAGGAATCCGAGGACGAGAAGGCTTATCAATAATATTTAATACATTTGGAAAAGTTTGTTCAGAATCTTTTTGAAATAGTGTATGACGAGTATCATGCTGATATCGTACATTAGATAATACCTTTTTTGGTTTTGCTTTAGAACGAGGTTTCTGATCAGTTTCAGTAAGACGATTCATATTATTCTGGGTATTTGTTTTTGATGATATTTGCTTTGATTTAGAAGAATTTGTTATAAGATCCGAATTATCATCTATACCTAATAAACTATTAAAAAAATCATGTTAAAAATAAGAATTCTACTTTTAGTCTTTTTTTCGTTAGTTTTTCCTTTACTTTTTTCATTTTGACGCCCTTTTGCAGAAACATTACGTGTATCAATTCCTGTATTTGTTTCTTTCTTTCGTTTTTTCACAGAGGTAGTAGATTGCTCTTCCCCCATATCACTACATTGGGTATCTAATAAAGCTTTCGGAGAAACTGACAATGCTCGAATCCGTTTTGTTTCATAATTGCTATATACTATAAGAAATGTTTATCTTCATAAAAAAAATACATAGATAATTCAGGAAGATCAGAGTTTCTTCGTCTTTTCCCCTTTCTTAGTGGCTCTTTTTCAACACTTGCAATTGGCTCTGAAGGAGCTTTTTCAATTGCTTTTCCCAGAAACGTAGGCAATTGCGTCTCATACGTAGTACCCTTAGAATTCATGATCCACTGCTTTTTAGAAGAAAAACAACGCAATCTTGAAACTGGTTGCATATGTTCCGCTAACGGGTGATACTTTGAAGATGGAGGACTTCCATTATTAGCCAAAACCCTCAGATTGAGAACACAATGCCTACGCTTTCTGTTTATATATGATATGATGCAAATCAGGACGACATATTTCACAATAATAAATATCTGGAATCTCTTTTTCATCCGTAAAACCCACACAAAACCCATGCTACCAAAAACTTTATCAGTATCCCAAAATATAAGTACTACACACCCACCTGCCACACCAAACAATGATCACACTGTATATACAAACTTCCAGAGTCTATTTCTTCACTCTGAACATCCTGAAACCCACAGACACACCGTGTAGTCTCTTCTATTGACTGTCCTTCCCGATCTCCACTCAGAGACACTTGAAACTCCGGAAGTGCACGATGAAACATTGTCATCTTGTATTTTTTCTAAAATATTCATAATATACTATATTTATGATCAATTACAGACCTTTTCCTTCCTAAATCCCACCTACAAACCTATAAACCTGCTCAAAGTTGTTTGTCTTTTTGATGAAATCACCGGGGGAAGTTCGCCTTTTTATAGTTAAAGCGAACGTTCTCGACGATAATAATAGTAACGTCTTAAATTTTAGAAGAACGCATTAAAGGGTCCAATTGGATAAAAAAGAGATAAAAAAGAAGAATATAAGTATTATTTAATAAAAACATGGGTATACAAGTAGTGAGTGTTTTTTTCCGGGAATTTTTAGAGTGAATATTAGCAAAGAAAGAGAGATCATTGATCTTAATAGTAAAACGTATGAAGATTAGTAAGAAATTAGACAAATTTGTGTGGAAGGTACATGTGGTGATTAGACGCTTTTTTTTAAGTACAATCTTTTTTTGAGGGAAAAAAAACGCCTTAAAACAAGTGGTTTTTGGATATGTTTGTTATGAAGAAGATTCCTAGAGATTGAAGCAAATAACGCGGTATACTTATTATTGTAGAACATAGAATATTTAAAAATGTATAAAGGGTGTTATTTATTATACAAACAAGGACTTTTTATGATCAAAAAACGATATTGAGAGTGTATTTTCAGTAAAAATATGCACAGAATAAATAAGTTGATCTTTTTATAATAACTTATAATAATCACAATATTAATATTAAGAAGGTATTTCTATGAGACTAGGTTGAATTTAGGACGAAAAAACATGGGAAAGAAAGATATTAATTAACAAATACATTTTAATGTAGATGCAAAAGAACGAAATTTAAAATGAACAAGGATAAATATTTAACATAATATTTAACATGTTTTTTCCGTTCAAAAAAAGACTAGACAAAATGAAAAAGTATATCTTATCGGGTTGCTATTCTTCAATTAATATAGAATCTATACTAGATTAATCTTTCATCCAAGGAATAAATATGCATTTGAGGAAAAACTAATACTAAATAAATGATATTACGCTTTTACTTTTTTTTTATACTTTTTTTTTTAAAAATCTTAAGTTCATTAAAAGCGCGGATTTCGATGATTTTAATAAAAAGACAACTTCTCTCATAACCCGTCCTTTATTTTTAAATAAAATAAGTAGAAACAAAATACTGAAGGGGTTTATACATGTAAAGATTTTATTCTTTTAACTAGTTTTATGTGACACTTTGAAGAATAGGTACTTTTTTTATGACAGAAGTTCAGAAACTACGAGAAAAACAAGACAAAGGAGGGTTCGAAGAAACACATTCACAGAAATTACATCATCAGGTAACTCCAGAGCTGTGTCCAGTGCAGAAAGATGAGGAAAAGCCGCCCCAAGAGGCACCTCAAGAGACACAATCAACTTTACTTGGAGAGTCAGCAAAGTTAAAAGCTCAATATCATCGACAGCTTGCGTCGTGTAAGGAGTTGTTTCCAGATTGGACAGAAGAGGATATCCTTTATGTGATTCAAGAGGTCTCGGGTGATTTTGAAATGGCAGTGGCACGTATATCAGAAGGTTAGATAAATGGAAGCTTTTTTAACATATATTTTTTAACAACATTTCTTTTAGGACGTGTAGGGAAATGGGGGGAAGTGAAGAAAAGAGGAAAAGATAAAATAAAAAAGCAAGAATCTTTACAAAATTCAACTTTATCACTAGGGGGTGATAGAACATCCCGTGACAAGGGTCGAGACCCTAAAAATATTAAAAATAAAGGTAAGAATTCCTTATATTATTGAAACCATCTAATATCATTAGAAAGCTCTAGAAGACGTGGGGGTGAACGTTTAAATGGTGTGTATTTTTTTTTAGAGTAATAACTAAATGATTTTAGGCATTTCAAGACGAGATCGTCAAGCAGGATCTGGTTCTATATCAACTTGGGACGCTTCTAGAAATTCAGAAAGTCACAGAAATTCATTAGATCCCTCAGGGTCTCATCCTAATATGAAGTCGTCATGGCCTTTATATCAACAATCAAGAAATTCCCTAAAATCATGTCAAAATGCAAAAAAAAATATGATTAATAAAACAACAATTGAATATGATTTAAAAGAAACAAGAGATGTTACGTGGGAGGATTTGAGTCATGCTAATCAGGATTCCAGATCTGTAAGTGCATGGAGCGATGCTGCAACCAAGGCATCATCAGCAACAGCAGGATGGGGAGAAACAGGGTCTTTTTGTATTTCTAATCTCGAATCTCAAAGTTCAACAGTTTCAAAGCCTCGGACGAAAGTTGTTTCTTCTGGAATTAAACCTTCATGGGCATCTTTGTTAAAACAAGAATCAGCACCGGATACACAAGAACAGCAGATCTCACCTGTTTCAAGAACATCATATAGATCAGATGAAAATTATACCAATGCATTTTCTATCTCTAAATTAACTGAAAAAAGTGATCGTGAAATTATAAATGGAGCTAACCATGTACCTATTGTTTCTAAGACACCCTTAACTACATCAAATCTAGAATCAATGAATAAAGAAAATATAGAACACATTGTATCATCGAAAAATCTCAAAAATTCTGTAAACATTACAAGTCAATCATTAAATAATAATACAGCAAGATTTCATGGGTTTAATAAATCGCATTCTTCTAAAAGCTCTTATCATAGACATTTAAACCAAGAAGCCCCCGTAGTAATGCCAAATTCAAATAATATTTCAGAAAGAGTTGAGGTTCGCTTTGGAAGTTTGAATCTTGCAGGTCAAGAGAATGGCTTATTTTTAAATAGAGAAAAATTAAAACAGGAATCGTATGTTGAATGTTTAAAGTATGTTTTTTCTAATAAATTACATAGTAATTCCATGCCGCAAAGTGTTTCCATGAATTTTCATACAGTAGGCCCAACTTTACAAGGATCCCAGTCTGCAGAAACTTCAGAACAAAACGAATTACGGCAATCCGAGAAAATGTATCCAGAATCGTCAAACTCAATACAACACCCACATTCATTACCAAATCGGATGTCAACAGTTCCTCCGAATCTAAACAGACCTAATCAGCAACTATCCGTACCTGACCAGAAACATGGTCAATATGAGTCATTTGATCAAAATTCGTACACTGGTTACACAAATCAAATTCAAGACCAAGGTTCAAATTTTAGAAATTTTTCTGTTCATGGTGAATATCAAGGTTTTTATGGATCTGATGATCCAAGATCGCATTTTGCACAAGGGTATTATGATCCTTCAACATTTCCTCGTGGACAATTATCCAACACCGTTATGCATAGAGATGCATCTAATATTGCAAATGAATATATTCAGTCATCTAGATTTAATACGTGTGTATCAGAAGGATCAACTATTCCTTCTCAACAAGATATTTCTGGCCCTGTTATGCCTAAACATGTATCGACTAATCCCAATACTGTTCCTCAGCATCATTCATCAACACAAGGTCATTACCCTCAAACACAAACTTACCCAATCCATCCATATTACAATCCTTATGCAGCGTACTATATGAATCAAGTAATTTGTTATATATTGTATTAACCTTATTTTTAATGTTTTATAGTATGGTTATGGAAATTATCATTATGCAAAACAAGATGTATATAGTCAATCACAACATGACTATCCTAGACCCTATAACGAAAATTCATATGTTGGTTCTGATCCAAGCGGGAAATTCAATGAGCATCGTGCAGATATAACACGACCTACTAATATTGCCAAGTCTCGAGAATACTCCAGACCTAAATCACTAAGCTCGGGTCCTAACCAAACAACCCAGTGGCCTTCGCAGCAAAAAACTTCCACTGCCACTAATTCTCTTGAATACAACAATGAAAAAATTAATCCTCTGTCTCATCAAGGAAATCATCTACAAGTACAAAATTTCCAACAACAAAGCCCAATTCGACCAATATATCCTGGATCCTCTCATACATATCCTCCACATTTAGCACAATCATCACAACAGCCTCATTATCAAGGAACATCCACTACGCCTGCCACTTCAAGTGCTCCCACTACTACAGGAATCCCTGCACCATCAGGAGCACTAAATACACCAGTACAATCAACAGCAACTGCACCTCCATCAACATATTCTATTCGCAATCATAACATTAGATATCATGGACCATATCAGCCTTTATTAAACCGTCAAGACCATTCAAATGTCGCATGGACTAACTACGCCTCTCATTAAGACTCAATATCCTTCTTTATACATAAACAACTACTAAGAAACATGTGAATTGCTAAAATATTAATATATTTCTTTTTGTTAGGGGCTTTTTTTAAACATGGCAGTGATATGAGCGTAATCATTTACAATAAACACATTACATTTTACTGCTAATGCAAATGACCATTTATAACAAGTATTTTTATTATGTATTTATAGCGTACTTATTTAGTGTAGACGTTTAACCGTCTAACGGTAACTTTAAATAAATTTATATTGCTTCAAAGACTCTTAAGAATACTGGATTCTGCTAATGCATGTTCAAGCAGTACAAACCAAGCCATATGAGGTAAAAAATCATATTATCTATACACTTCTTATTATTTAGGGTCAACGGCCAGGAACATCGGGTAAAGAAATAACAAAGATAATATAAGAGTTATTTACATAAATTAAGGATTAAGAAAAAGAGTTACTGTATTTCAGCAACCTGGATATACTGAAAATTTTCTGGAAGCAGTGTTTAATGTAGTCCGGCCTTCCAGTAACTCTGTTTGGATTATTGGTGGCGATGGACGGTATTACAGTCAGACACTGATTCAGACAGTTATACGTATGGCAGCAGCACATGGAGTATGTTTTTAGATGCTTTTATGGCTTAAATATAAATATTATTAGGTTTCAGTTCTAGTAATTGGACGTAATGGTTTGTTGTCTACACCAGCGGCATCATGGATGATCCGGGCACGAGGAGCAATGGGCGGGCTGCTTTTGACAGCATCACATAATCCAGGTGGTATGTTAAAGTATCTACAATATATATTAAATATTGATTCTTGAAGGTCCTGAAGGGGATTTCGGTATCAAGTTGAATATGAGTCAAGGTGAATCCGCATCAGAAACGGTGATAGACAAAATCTACAGTTATACACGGACAATTACTTGGTATACTACGTTAAATCTTCCTGAAGTATGGTCAATTTTTTTCTGGAATTCAAAAGATTAATAAAAGAAGGTGGATTTAAGCGAAATCGGTGTACAAGTAAAAGATGGATTTACAATTGAAATAGTTGATCCAGTACGAGGCTATGTTAATTATATGAAGGAGATATTTGATTTCGAGATAATAAAGGCTTTTTTTCAACGGTTCCCGAACTTCAGAATGCTTTTTGATGGATTACATGGGGGTAAAAAGTTCTTGAAATAAGATTTAAAACTAATATTCTAGTAACGGGACCATATGCAAAAGAAATATTCCTAAATGAACTTGGATTACCCGCATCATTTCTCCAGAACTGTATTCCTTTGCCTGATTTTGGTGGAGGTCATCCTGATCCAAACTTAGTATATGCAAAAACTCTAATAACGCGTGTAAATGCCGAAAAAATTGATGTAGGATTTGCTTCGGATGGTGATGGAGACAGAAATATGGTATATTGTCTAGAAACACTTGTTAGTCCTTGTGATTGTCTTGCAATCATTGCACATCATGCAGAAAAAATCCTATATTTTAAAGAAAAAAAAATTTATGGTTATGCCAGAAGTATGCCAACAAGTAGTGCATTAGATTTGGTTGCAGAAAAAAAAAATATGAAGTGTTACGAAGTTCCAACAGGCTGGAAGTTTTTTTGCACTCTCTTTGATCATTGCAAAATTTCTTTATGTGGAGAAGAATCTTTTGGTATAGGATCATGTCATATTAGGGAAAAAGATGGCATTTGGGGCATATTAGCTTGGTTAAATATTTTGGCTGTTATTAATATGGAATCCAAAGATCAACAATTCAAAGGTGTCCTTGATATTTTAAATGATTTTTGGAAAATTTATGGGCGAACCTACTTTTTACGTTATGATTATGAAGAGGTTAATGCATTAGGTGCTTCAAGGGCGATGACTCGTTTTTCAGAAATTATTCAAGACAATGGTTATATTGGAACATCACCTATTGATGGTTTTAAAGTTCAAGATGCCGGTGATTTTTCCTACCATGATTCAATTACTGGAGAAATAGTTGAACATCAAGGTCTTTATATAAAATTTGAAGGGAAAAGTAGAATTGTTGTACGTTTATCAGGCACAGGAAGCTGCGGAGCAACCATAAGGTGATTATTTATTTATTTTTATACAATTCTTATTAATAGTAGATTGTATATTGAAAAATACGAAGCAAATCGGCAAAAACTACATTTAAAACCGAAAGATGTCCTTCATGTATTATTTGAATATGCAGTGAAGCTACTAAACCTTAAGGAATATATAGGTACTTGCACACCTACGGTCATAACATAAATGATAAGTGTTTTGTAAAAATGTTTACAGCTTATTCAATATTTTCCACTATTTTATTAAGTTTGTGTTTAAATTCTTCTAAAGCACTCAATTCATCATTTTTTATTTTTTTATCAAAACGTTCTTTTTCTACTTTTAAATTCTTAAACGCATCTTCTTTAAGAGCAACTAATTGATTAATATCTTGTTTAATTTTTTTCTACTCACGTTAATTTATACATATTTAGTTTAAAACAATATACTCTTTCATCCATGATTTCTTCATAAAGTTTGTAATATTTTGCATTAGTTGTATTGTCATCTAAAAGTATTAAATCATATAAAATATGGTTTGCATAATCAAAAAAACCTGGATTTTTTTTTTCTTGTAACTTTTCTAATCCTTCTTTAAGATTTACAATTTCTTCTGATAGTTGATTTTCCAATGTAAGATTTTTGTGATTTAAAACAAAACTCTTATTTAACTTTGTTTTTAATGCATTTTGAAGCTTTGAAAAAGAACCATCTAACTGTTTTACTATAAAAATATTAATCTTTTGAAAATAATAAAAAAATATACAAATTTTTAATTGGTTTTCAATATGTTTTGAATCTTTATTCATATTTTTTCAAAGTTTTATCCCAAAATCATTATCTTTTTTAATCATTCTGATTAATAGACTTAGATAGAATTAAAAGTTATCTATAATTTATCATAAAGATAAAAAATTTAAATCAAGTATATAAAAAATTATATTAAATAATTTACATTTTTATTTTAAATTCAACATAAATGTATCTTAAAAATAATATCATTTATGTAGAAAAATATTTTTTATTTATTCTATTTAAAATAAAAAATAACTGAAATTTCAAAATAGTAAATTTATATTATATCATAGACACTATTAAATGAATTCCTTTTAAAATACCATAAAATATCACAAATATACATTTCCTTTTTCCTTTATCATCATTTTCTATAACTTTTCTTTATATTTTCTTTACTTGTTGCTGATACAGTGGTTTTTTTGTTTTGAGTATATGTTTTCGCAGTTTCCTTTTTTTTCACTCTTTTTCCGCTATCTACTACGCCCGAAGTGTTTACATAAGACGTATTTGATAGATCTTTCTTTACTTCCTTAGCTGATATCTTTTTCTCTGATACTTCAAAAGATTTTGTTTCTTGTGGTTGTTCTATAGTTTTTGAAACTTCATTCTCTAAATCTAATAAATCCTAAATAGCGTTAGGAATTACTTCATCTTATAACACATATTCTAAATAAAAAATAGCTCACTTTTGTTGCCCCATGCCATTTTTTATTCAAGACTAACTGTTGAGTATGTTCTGTTTGGTTTAAAATCTTGATCCATTGTTCAAGAAGCTTATCTGCATCCTTAACTGTCTGCTCTACAATCTATATACGCTGTATTATGTCCAGAAACCCTCATTCTCCAGACTATTTACCTCCATATTTTCTTGTGCCTTTGTTAAGCCAGAAATAGCTTTTTCAATCACTCTATTCAATTTTTGAACACTTTCAAGCTCTTTGAGCAACATAGTATCTCTTTCTGATACTTCTTTATCAGAAGAAATGCCTGATTGCCCGGCTATTTGTAAACGAGAGAAATTTGTTAATGGATCATCTTGAAAACTCATTTTTGACCCTATTTTTAACGCTTTTTTCGCGTTTTTTTCCGTATATATATAAAAGAGTCTCTTCTAGTTCGTTATCAATAATTTTTATTAACAAAAATACTACACAAAACCTACTTTTTTCCAAAATAAATCCTTTATTATTTGACACAAAATGCTGACGTCGGTCGTTGCTATGGTTTCATTCACGTCAACCACAATTAACTACAAAGATTCAGCAATTTTCATGATTTAAGCCATTTTAACGCCTTTTTTTTGCTTTAAAGACTCCAAAAGGCATCTATAGGCATAGAATATTTATGAAAAGCCTTTCAACGCCGCCTCCACTGTATCCACAACTACCACCAACACCTCCGACTCCACTTCATGGTTCTTTATATGATGATTTAATAATAGACAAAAATAAGCAAGAATATACAGAAGAAAAGCCTTTATGTATAGAAAAACAATATAAAAAATCAGAAGATTCGTTTTTTACGCCAAAAACACCATATAATATTTTAAAAAAAAAAAATGAAGTTTTAGATGTATGGAAACCAGGTTTTTTTCCAAGAAAAAGGCCTAAAGAAGAAGAGGAATTATGGGAGGATGATTCAGAAGGAGCAAAGATGTTTTTTTATGATGAAAGAAACCCTTTTTTTTCAAAAACAAAAAATATTTATGATTCGACGAAAGAACCTATAAAAAAATCGAATGAACCACACACACCAGAAGGCTTATCATTTGTATTGTATGTTTTGGATGTGTTAGAGGCGTTTTATTCCCTAACAAATTGATAGTCGTGGTAAAAAAGTGATACGACCATTTGAAGGAGAAATAAATGATTTAAAACCCAGGAAACTTTTCCAAGAAGTAATGTCTTCTTTGGGTGCTACACTTGATGAAGTAGAAGACGAATTTACTCCAATGAAACGTAAAAGACGAAAAAATAATGTACAGATGCAAAATAAATCATAGAATGATAAAATGACTAATTTTATTTAAACGTGTTCAAGTATCTTTACATATAAATAAACAGCATCTATATACTAATCACTATAGTAGTATGTTTTTTATAATGTTTTAAGGCCATATGGCGGGAAGCCAAATAGCATTGCTGGTTTATATTTTTTGTTTTAATATAGTTTGAGTATTGAATTATTTTGTAAATGAGTCTTAGTATATAAGAATGTATACTAAATAGGATGGATTCTTAAGGTCTTGGAAGTATCATATCCATAGATCTGCCATTGAGCCATTTTGGATCAATTAATTTTTCACGCTCTACATATCTAATATAACATAAGAAAAAAATTAAAAAAACATAGACACATACAAAGATCTATATGCATTTCTGATGGTAGAGTCACTCACTCCTACTACTTCCGCTATTTCCCTTGGAAGCTTGGGATGTTGAAATAAATATGACGCCATGTAAATACCACTAGCAGCAATAGAGATAGGTGAGCGCCCTGCAAGTGTCCCTTCAACACTTGCACGACTCGCTAATTCAGATGCTGCAATCTGAACGGATGTAGGAAGTGACAATCTGTTGCAAAAACGAACCATAAGATCTTTTGGGGATGTAGAAGAAGGTACATATGAATCGTCTGTTTTCCCTGTATTATCGAGAATGTTGTTATCTGTCAACATCTTTTGAAGACTCTTAAAAACGCGCCCTATCTCTTTCTTAGGAACATTAGTTAAAGTACAAATTTCTTTAAACGTTCTTGGTGCTTTTCCCTGGCGACAGGCAATAAAGATACACGCAGATATAATAGACTCATTGCTTCTTCCCTTCAATGCCTTGCTATCGTCTACTCGCTTAAAGACTTGCTTAGCAATGTCTGAAATAGATTTCGGCAAGTGTATAGCGTCACACATTGCACTGATTTCCCGATACGCAGACATTAGATTCCTCTCACCCTTCTGAACTACAGACCTCCCTTGTGTCTTTGAAAGACCATGACCACCATCTTGTGTAGATATAATTGTATCTAACTGAGAACCGTTTAATAATGGGTTTGCAGATGAACCTACTCTGGACTGATTGTCACCGCCCTCATCATTAGCAAACGTCCTCCATTCAGACCGTGTATCCACAATCCTGTCCCCTACAACTAGTCTACGAAATGAATACTATAACACGTTTGGTTCAGACAAATTACCCGCAGGAACCACACACAGTATCGCCTGAGGAAAACTCTTCAACTAAATTCGGAGGATCTTCCTTACAATCAGGACAGATAATGCGCACATTAAGATTAATGGCTCCTGGGTTTGTTATATATGAATCTGCTGTCGTTGATGGCATTTTTTCAAATCAAATTTTTGTATAAAAACACACAGAAATAAACAATTCTATGCATCCAAAAGAATATTAACTCTCAGATCTATAGATTTTTTGTCTATTTGTACGCTGATAAAGAAACTTGAGGCTATTTGTCATACTGTTTTAGATATTTTCATGAAAAATCAAAAAGTTATTATTACAACCTTTTTTAACGCTAAAAACTCCAACCAAAAGCCAGTTTCTTTCAGGAACCAGAAACACTTCTTTTAAAAGCTATTAAAACCTTCTTAATTCATCTATTAACACTTAAAATCAAGAAATGAAAAAATATAATTTTTGATGGATTAAAATTAAAAATCTGACGTCGACATTAAAAAAAAACTTAATTAATAATGTTGAATAGAATAAAAGCAAATGTAAGACAAAGAAATAATATATTTTATACAGAACTAACAGTATTCTTCTTTAGAGACACATATTTTTGAAACAGCAAGTCCGAAGATTTTTTCAATCATCATATCAACATCAAGGTGGTTTTATAAAATCAGACTTTATACATGTTTTTAACATTTTAGACATTGTTCAGGAGCTTTATTTACGTGCCTTAAGGTGTTTTTTTGAAAAAATGTTTTTTTTTTTATATTTAAAATGGTCTAGAAGCTGCAAACCATATACAGTTAAGCCTACGGATTCAGAAGGCCAAGTAAAGCTTTGGGAACTTCCAAATCCACCAAAAATACCTGAAATGAACTTGGATGTTGATGCTCGTTTGGATGCATATGAGAAAGATAATGTAACAGAAGCATCTGCAGCAGCAGATACTGCAAATCCTTTGGATACTTTGTTTGAGGTGCTTAATAGAAGCCAGAGAGTGTTAATATTTATTTTTTTAGGAAGAAAAAAAGGATATGCAACATTAGTTGTATATTTCCTGTATAAACTTTAAATGGTTGTAAATAGGTGATGATAGGTGACGGTATGTGTTTTTTTTACTTAAAATATTTTGAACTAAAAAGAAAAAGGAACTAGGGGTTTGAACACATAATATGTATTCATATTTTTAGAGCTTTTTAGATTTTTTGCTATAAAAACAAAAAAACGACTCATAAATAAGATTAATATTTTTTTTATTTTGAACAAAGGTATTGTCAATATCTATAAAAACAGCCTTTAGAAAGTGCATTTCGTTTATATATTATTTATAGTTTGTTTTTTGTCGATTAATTTTATCATTTGATTATTAATTGATAAAATGTCTTTATAATTACTTGAATTTTAATAGAAGAATCATCTAATTAAAAGTGTTCATATTAGGATATTCTTTATTTATCTTTTTCAACACATATAATTATTATTTTTTTAAAAAAACTAATAATTTATATGAAAATTTTGATTTTATCCAAGAATCAAAGTAAAAATAAACCCTTATCTGTTATATAGTAAAATGACGTTAAAAAAATTCATAAGTAGTCTTTCAAGGAAAAAGTATTTATTCATTATAAATATTTCTAAAAAAAAACAAATAACTTAAGACGATTTCATATATAATTTTTATTTATTTTAAAAACATTATAAATATTAAAAAAATTAAATAAATATATATGATCAAAGGAAAACAATATATTTTAAAGAAAAGAAAAAAAAAGTAAATATTAAATCATTTTTAAATTTAACTTCAAACTTTTAAAATATTTTTAAAATGACAGAATCAGATATTTTTATAGAAAAAATAGACAAAATATTAATGGATTCACTGGAATGGGACTTGAAAAGTTTAATTAGTGTTTTTCCTTACTCAAAAAATACTTCAAATGATGCAAAAAAAGATTCAAATATTCAAGAAATATTAACAAAAAAATGTCTTTTTCTTTTAATAAATTTAAAAAATAACATCTAAATATCTGTAGGTATAAAAGATCTTGAAATTACAAACGAATTAAATAGCTCTATAATGGTATTTCAAATAAAATACATTTCTAAATAGTAACCGGATATAGTCTTGTAATAAAACCTTGGATTCCATAGAATCTTATCTTTTTGACCTGCAAAATAATCTTGAAGCAATCAATAATGAGATGGAGTCTTTAAAACTACGTTCTTTAACTATTAATCAGCAATTACAAGTACGAAAGGTAAATAGAAAACTCTTATAATTTTCTTTTATTTAGCAAAAAAGAATACAGAAAGAAGAATTAATGATGTTATAAATGATTTCATTCTTCCCCCTGAAACTATTTATTGTATTTCAGAATCAAAAATCGATGAAAAATGGTTACATAATCTTTCTATTCTTGATAATATGTTAGATCGTTTTGATGCTAATAAGAAAGAACAAGGTTCATGTAAAATACAAGAATATGTAGAAAAAGAAGTAGAAAAACTTTTATGGATAGTATGATTATTTTGCTTATTTTCTATGAAATTAAAATAATCAGGCGATTGGACGAATACGAGAATTTTTAATAAATAAAATCAAAATATTATATACTCCCTATAGCAATTTAAGAGCAATTCACCAATCACTTATAAAATACAAATGTTTATTTACTTTTTTATTTAAAAGACAAAATCAAATAATTTTTGAAATTAAACAAACTTATCAAAATATTATTCAATGGTATTATATTTATCATTTTGAAAAATATAAGGCTTTTTTAGAAAAACTTGAAGTAATTTTAATATTAAATAATTTAAGTTTAGTTTTATTAACTTTTTATAAGATGAATACATTTGATACTATTGTTTTAAATTGTGAAAAAACATCTAAAAAGAGTAAGAAAAATTAGAATATTTATATGATTTTAACATATATAAGATACTGCATTTCCTCAAAAAAAAATACAAGTTTTCTCATCATATCAAGAATTTGATATTAACCATAGAGCTAGTCTTATTTCAGGAGAAAATCAAAATATTATTATGACTCATATTTCTAATGATGATAAAAAAGTGCTAAACATTTTTATATTAAATGAATACTAAAAAATATAGACTCATAATTTGGAATTCGTTTTTTATAGTTATAATCAAGTTTTGGTTAATAATATCATTTTAGAATATTTATTTCTTTCGGAATTTATGTTATTTAATAATTCTCAGGAATTAAACAATTATCTTAAAAACTTATTTGAGACTACTTTATCTGATTCAAAAGTAAATTTATGTCTAATTTTATAATTCTCTAAATAAAAAATAGATATTTAATCAGCAATTAATAGAGAACTCATGCGATATTATAGGAATTCTTCTTTCTGTAAAAACAATAGAAAAACTAAATTCAGATTTAAAAAATAAAGAAATTTTCATTTTTGATGATTATATAAACGAAATATCTACATTGCTTTGGAATCAATTTGAAAAGTCTATTAATTTGCATTGCAAAAATTTAAAACAAATATCAATTAAAAACTCATTAACAGAAAATCATAATAGAACAATTCCAGATGTACTTACACAAAAATTTGGTGACCTGTTAAATGGAATTTTTATTATGTTTTCTAAAAACTATGATAAACTTATAGAAACAAAGTAGGTTATTATTTATTAGAATAATATATATTAATCTTAAGTATTCAAAAATTAGTGGACAGTCTCATAATATATCTTACAGAAATTAGTAATAAAATGAAAAATGAAAAAGAAAGAAAACTGTTTCTTTATAATAATTACTCCTTAATGCTAGCTATAATTAATGTAAGTTAAATTGAAAAAAATACAAAAACTAAACTTATATAACTATATAGAATACTGAAGGATACTTGGCAAAAAAACAACAAACATATTTTTACAATCTTCAGATTAATATAAAAAAATCATAAATTTTTAATAACAAAAATAAACCTTTTAACTGCACATGATATTTAGACAAATAAAATATCTCTAGTTTCCATTAAAAACATAACTGATCTATAGTTTAGCTTCAGATGGTATACAAAATGTACAATTATACGTCAAAAAATTATTTTCTAGAAATCGAAGTATCATACATTGCATATAATACTCCTATAAAAGACATAATAAACATAAGCTCAACGCCAACAGCACGCTTAACGACAAATATGGAATCCAGAAAAAATAAATTTTCCCGAAGACCTTTATAAAATATAGAATACGCCACTATTGCTTTAACAACAGAAAATGTCATTGGATCAATTATTTTAGAACTTTTTCCCTTTCCAGATTCATGGAAATTAAATATTATAGCAGCAATTAAAGGTACAAGTATTGCCAATAACCACCAAGTCAAAAAGGGTAACCAAAAATCTTTAAATGAAGAAAATACAGAAACGTCAGGCAAATAAAAAATCTTGCCACTAAAAGAACCAAAATATGAAGGAAGAAATATCTTAAACATAATCAGGTCAATTCGTTGGTCAAACAAATAAATACCCCATATGTCCATGGAACCAAAAATTTTAAGAGATTATAAAACTCATAAATACAAAATAAAAAATCCACTACTAAGACCCTGGATAAACGTTTGCGTATATTTAATAATTTATCAGGAACAAAATGAGGTTGAGAACAGTGTTCAAAATCACTTTTTAAAGTTAAACCCTTAGCAAATTCAGAAATGCAAATTGTATCGGGTATAGCCGACTCTGACGTATTATTAGGGGTCACTTTTACAACATTGTCTATCTTAAATTGGCCTTTTTTGTTCTGATCCACAAAAAAAGTATCATTATTTTTATCATCAAAAGAATCACCTTGATCACTCCTAATCATTAATCAATTATATATATAACAATCACATAATAAAAACATACACAAGTAAGGGCTTTTTGACAATAGTTTTCTGCAGAATTGCGGATTTTTTTCGAGAATTTTTTACATTATTTGCAAAATATCTAATACAATTAAACCATATTAAAATGCAATTAAATAAAATAAAACCCAATATTGGAAGAAAACTCTGCATAATAAGATGAAAAATTCGGATTTTTAGAAAGTGAAGCTTCATTTTTTAATAAATAATCAACAATTCTCGTTTCCAAGTCAGCTTTTAAACCATCACTATCTGAGTTTATTCAGTACCATTTTTTCAAACCATTAACTTACTTATATTCAACTGCACTGCAAGATGCTGTAGATCGCTTTTTTTCATTGTTTTTAAAGTCATTTCTGCATATTTATTTTGTGTTTTTGAAATCGGTACTATCACGAAAATCAAAACAAATGGATTTTTCACGTGTCAAGAAAGATAACAAAAATTAATTTGAAAAATAATGATAATAAAAGTGTTATCTTTTTAGATAAAAATTCGAGAACTTAGTATTTCTTAAGTTGAATAGCTGTATTGACAAAAACGTATTAAAAGATAAACTGATATTGAATAAATTAATGTTATAACTTATGTATGTACTTTAGAAAATTAGAATCCAATAGAAAGAAAAAGTATAAAAATCATGTATTAGTATGTAAAAATACTAACTCGAAAATTTTTTATTTTCCTTTATCTTCTTTGAGTGAAACGATTTGATTAAGAACTATCTTTTCAGGCGTACTATCTTTATCCATGCAAAAATATCCAATTCTTATAGCTTGAAAACGAAGAGTTTCAAATTCTAAATTTTCAAATGTATCTGTATGATCTTTAAGTTGTTTTTGTTTAAGTTCTTCAAAACCCTTTTCAATTAAAGCACTTCTCACAATATGCTCACTATCCCTATTAATATTTGCTAGAAATCCATCTTCATTTGTATGTGATGTGGGTTTTTCCGAATTAAAGAGCTGTTTAAAAATTCTAACTTGATCAATATGAATAGGAGAATCACCATTAACAGTTTCTGCTATCCAATGAATATATGTCTTAGGTTTTTCGAAATTCTGAGTTTCATATACAGCCCTTACTTCAGAAACTAACCCAGATACTGGATCAGTAGTATAAGAAACAGCTCTAATTGGAAAAGGTACTTTAAGAAGCCCCACCAATTTTCCTGGAGCTAAACGATAATAATTTAATGAATCCTCAACACGAAAATCACTTCTATCAATATATATCCGGGCAGTAAAGGGAACATAATGAGTTCCAAATGTTAAATCGTCCATTTTATAAGGAATTTCTACCTCTTCATAATAATCAAAAGGAAGGTTTTCAATAACAATCAAAATAGGATCAAGGATCATCATCAAGCGAGGTGTTATATTCTCTAAAAATTTTCTAACCGAATTTTCAAAACGACTAACTTGAATATTTATTACAGCAGTAGTAACACCAAGTTCATTAACAAATGACAATATTGCACCAGGAGGAACACCTCGTCTTCTATATTAAATTAGCATGCAATTTTGAATAATTTAAAAAAATTCCTTAAAGCAACAAGAGTATAAAGTCGAGGATCATCCCAACCTCTTACTATACCTTCTGATACAAGTTTTAGAATTTTTCTTTTGCTCAATACAGTTCCAGTAATCATTAGACGTCCATATCTTTTGAAATTATAAAAAAAACAGTAATATGAACTAACTTACTCGCTTTGTTGAGGTCTGTACACTTCTAAAGCATCACAGAGCCAATCATATGAACGTCTAGAACCAATAAACTTTAAAAATTAATTTAACTTTTAAGAGAAGAATATGAATACTTCTGTAGTACAAAGAGAATGTCTAAAATTAATTAATATGAAAAAATATTATATAAAATATTTTCAAACGTTATGTTTTCTAAAGAATCAACAAGACAATGCGTAAAATCGTAAGTAGGATAAATTCTCCATTTGGTACCTGTTCTATGATGTGGAAAGTCCAAAATTCTATATGCAACTAGATCCCACATTTGAGGATTCCCATCTTCTAAATCTTGTTTCATTCGAAGAACAGCTTCTGAAACTTTATATACACCATTTTTCATATCATCAAAACCTTTAAGATTCTCTGAAATAGGGCGATCACGATGTTTACATGCAATTCTCGGCCCATGATTTTCTCCACCTCTTCCATATTTTATTTCAGAATCTGTACAAATTAATGAATCATATATATATATATATATATATATATACCATTACAATGACAAATATATGCCTTTCCCTTTTCAATCAACAAAACGGCTAAACGATACAATTCATCGAAATAATCGCTTGAAAATGTAATCGCATACGGCTCAAATCCTAGCCACTCAACAATTTCTTTGATAGACTTAACGTAGATATCCTCCTCTGCTTCTGGGTTAGTATCATCATAACGCAAATAACAATATCCTCCATGATATCTACTTTGTTTATTATTTCAACATCATTTTATAATATATTATACTTTGCATATCCAAAATTAATAGCAATTGCTTTACTGTGACCTATATGTAAATATCCATTAGGCTAAAAACTTTAATATGACTAAAAAAATATATTATAAAAAATACTTCAGGTGGAAACCGTGTTACTACTCTTCCTTTCGTGTGTTTCAAATGTTCTTCCATCAATTGTGGATAAAGTTGTTTATTTCCCCCTGGTTTATGTAATCTTGCTAAGAACCCTTCTTCAAACATATTGGGAATACTTTCAATTGCTGTTGCATCTTGCTGATATAGTTTTTTTTTATCTTCCGAAAAACATATTGAGGCCTAAAAAAGTCAATACACACTCTTTGTTTTTTTTTCTTAATACATCTTTTTTAGTATATCCCACTTCATCATCATCTGATCCTTCAAAAGAAAGTTCATTTTCAACATATCTTTTCAACATTAATTGATCTGCCCATTTTAAAAGTGGATGTTGACGCAAAGAACTCAAAACTAAAGCAACTTTTTTAGACATAGCACCTTTTATAGCCTTTCTATTATTCTTTATATATGTATGAACTTCATAATGTAATTCTTTCTCATTAATCGTTATTCCTTATTAAATATAAACATATAAACGTTTTTATCAATTTTTTTACCAACACCAGATGCTTTGTCTAGTAAATCTGAATCAAACACATCATTTTTATCCAGAGCATAGCGTATTGCAGCTATTTTGATCAAATAAACAAAAAATCAAGATATAATATCATACTTTCAACTTGTAACGCTGTTTGGAACTTGTTTGACATAATTCCACGACAAATATAATCTCTTCCACATTCTCCAAGAAGTCGGCCACTTGTAGAGAGAATATATAACAGTTTTCCCTGTGTTTTTGTACAACCTGAAACCAAAACACCAGCTTGAAGCACATTTTGTGCTAGAAGTTTGCTTAATTTTGTGTTTTTTAATGTTTCTTGAATCTTTAAATCAGATAAACCAATTAAACGGAATGCATTTTCTAATGATTCAACTGTATTCAAAGAATCTTCCGACATTTAGGAAGTTTTCAATCTTTTTTTAAAATCTCAGCTTTTTTGAACGGTGGATAAATCGAACAGGAAAATAGAGAGCCTTTTAAAATTATCACATTTATACTTAATAATATCATACAATTTGATATACATCTTTACAAATAGAAACTTTTAAATAAACATTCATTAGCAATCCTTTTTATATAACTAGTTCATTTTTGCTCCTTGATGATCTTCATTAATCAATTTCAAAAATCCTAATATTAACATTAACAAAATATTAATGAAAACACTGATATACCAGAAAGGCGAACCATATCCACACCCTGATGATCATCACTTTCAACTATTAAAAAATGAGAAACGAAAAGTATACTAAAAAAAGTACCTGCTTGTAGTAATCCCTCTAATAAAGAATCTACTTTACTTTCTTCAACACCTGTGCATAAAGAAACAACTTTTCTACACTTGTCCTCTAATTCAGAGCTTCTTCCACGCAAAGAAGTAGCTAGAGCACAAAGTACCTTAGCATTTTTTTGATAAGCAGCAATACGTGCAGATAAGACTGGAATTGAAATAAACAACGGAGATTCTTCATCAACAACATCAGCTAGTGATATATCTACAAAAAAAGGCGCATCGGGATCGATTTTTTCGTTAAATAAATTAGTTGTATTAAGTATTTCTTTCATTTTAAAAGATGGATCAGAATGATGGTTATAAAAATAAAGTGTCTCTTCATTAATTGCTCTTTCAATATTCTTGCATTTTTGCTGTATATCAGCAAGACAACTTGCCCGCTTTCTTGAATCTTCCAAATCTTTCCGTAATCCTGCCAACGTTCTTGTTGCATCACGCAAAAGTCCATGAGCAGAATCAATCAACTCTTGCTTTTTATGTATTTCATCATAAAACTCTTTATCCATTGTAGTAATTACAGTTCTCAAAACTCCATAAATGTAAGCTAATAATAGTACTAGTCATAATAAAAACTTACATTCAAAAACATCCTCGCTTTTTTGAACAACTACATCAGAGATAACAGGAGATGGATTTTCAAATACATGAAAAGATGTAGGTATTTCTCCAGTAATACCAAAATCAAGAGGTCGTAAACCAGCTTTATTCGGTATAGTTGCATCTGCACCAATATCTAATAACTGCTGTACTATACTTCTATTTCCTATTCTAGAAGCTATATTTAAAGCAGTATCACCGTTTTTATCCTGATAATCTACAACTTTAGCAACAAAAGATGACAAAGTTAATCCGCTTCCATTTTCAGAGCCTTTAACAATCCATTCAAGTAATGTTTCTAAATAATAACGACTAGCAGAGCTCCGACCCTTTATACCAGCCGTCAAAGAAATATGATGTAATACTGTTCTTCCCTGATGATCAACAAGAGGTATAGCCGGATATATATATTCAAGAAGTTCAGGAAAAGTAGATTGATCTAAATTATTTGTGACTAATACGGCACGAATGAGTGACGTTTCTCCAGAAAAATTAGCACGACAAGGATCTGCACCTTTAGAAATAAGAGAAGCAACTAAAGGAAGTCGTGCTAAAGCAGACGCCCAATGTAAAGCTGTATGACCCAAATCATCAATAGGTATATCTATATCTAAAACATCTTCCGAAGACGTGCTAGTCAATACACTAGGAACACTCTGTATATCACTATCTAAAAATATACTTGTTAATATATCTCTCGATCTATAAAAGTTTTGAGCATTTTTTTGATCCAAAGGTTCAGATGGTTTATTATCCATTTTTAAACTCATATTTATAAAAGCAGGATGTTCTTTTCGAGCAACACTTGGAGATATGATAGGATCTGGAGGTCTATGCAAATATTCTGAATGTTTTCTTGAAGACTCTTCATTATTCACATTTTCATTAGTTTTAGAATTGTTTAAAGTCAAAATTTGATTATTTGGGTAAGGAGCAGAATAATAAAAATTGTTATTATGATCCATTAAAGCATAATTAACATGCTTTGGAGATGGTACCTTTGTTCTATTAAGAGTTGAAATAGATGATGAACTTGATGGATATGTAGCATAAGATGGTTTTAATTTTGGTAGCTCCTTTTTATTATCTACTAAATCAAAGCTTTGTTTCCTTCGGAAGGCCAGTGCTTGTTCCTTCGTAGGTGTATTATTATTTTGATTGTCCATACTAAGATCTAAAGAGAGAATCGGCCATAACATTTGTTCAACACCATATTGACGACAAAATTCTACACCTCTTTCAAAAGGAATCCTTAGGAATATTAAATACAAAGAAGATTAACATAATTCGCATTCACCATGTTCCTTGATATTTCCCATAACCGCCCTGAACTTTTTCATGTTCACCAACTAAAATCTCCTTTTCAAGAATTTTTGTTCGTTTTCCCTTATCAATGCCAGCAACTTTTAAAATCTGCGTGGCATTAAGGTATGAGTTAGATCTTCTTCGCATCACTGAAATTCCTTGACAAATCATTTCATACACAGGTACACCGGAATATACAGCCTTTTAATCAATTAATAGGCAAATTTAAATAATAAAAAAACAAAAAACTTACAGAATATACTTCAGAGCTTGAAACGCTGTGATTCATGTCTAGTTTTTTCGTAAACTTAATATAAAAAAGAAAAAAAACATCATAATTTACCTAAACGTGAAGATCAAATTTATATACTTTTTCTGACGCCTAAAAAGGACAAATGCTACAATATCTTAAAATATTAACCTCATAAACATTATAAAGCTAATTAAAATAAGCAATAATACCTTTCGCAATATTTTATTAAAATCCCTTCTTCAAGTTTTTATTAATATTTAATATATTAAAATGCCTCAAAAACAAAGTCTCATAAAAACACTTAAAATATCAAAATTCCTTTGTATAAAACAATCTTTAAAATACTTAATAAACTATTTTTATAAAAAGCTGCTTTTTAGATGTGCTTCTATCTAATTTTTGTGTATTGCTTGACATCGAAGATTTAATTATCGATCATAATAAATTAATATATATACTATAAAATTTAAAAAAATCATATACAACTTGCAAAACTAATAAAAGCCAGTAATGTATAAAACCATGTATTTTGTAAACATAGTCGTATATGTATTTTTAAAGGCCTCGAGAATATTGACCATTTTCATAAAAATTTTGTAAAGAAAAAATAATTTCATCTAAACCAGAGAGCCATTCATTAACAGACGTACGTAGAATTATTGGATCTGAGCAAATCTTTGAATAAAAAGCATCTCTACGTGGACAGTTTTTCATTGCCATCTATAAATGTAAAAAATAAAAATAAAAAGACAAAATATACGCTAAAAATAGGTCGTACAAGAAAAGAATGATGTTTTTTAAGTGTTTCATCATAAGCTTTCGAAAAACTAGTCGACAATTCTTCCTTTTCATTTTCCATACTTCTATGTAAAGCACAAGAAGTAAATGCAAAACTTCTACAAAGAAATATTAGAGAAAAAAAACAAATACCTAAACAAACCTAATCAACCATAAAAGTCCCTCTGTTGCAACGGTTTTTTTTTGCATAGCTTCGTTTTTTACAAGTGACTCAAGAGTTTCAGATTGTAAAGGATATTCTACTATATAATCTCTGATTTTCTAAAGAAACTTCAACCTTTTTCAAACAATAATAAGTAATCATACTTTTATATTCTTTTTAATATCATTTTTAACAATAGAAAAGATATTTGCATCTAAGAGATCTATAATCTTTATCAACAAGAAAAAAACTATAATCTTTACCAATAATATTGAGAAACGATTCCGATGCTAACAAAAACTCAGAAGCATTAATGCCAGATGAATCAACGGAAATGTCTCTAAAACTCTTCTTAACTATACTAGAAAACTCTTGATTTTCTGATAAGGACATTTTCTCGAAGTATTCATTCGCTTATCGATATCTCTTAATATTAAGAGAAATTATGTGGTTAATTTAAAAACTATTAAATTTATTAATTATATGAATTCCTATGCAAAATATATTCATCTATTTAAATATACATATATTTTCTTTAAGATATTGTATTATTGTATTTTCCATATATTTTAAAAAAATATAAAATAGTTAAAAGAAATCTTCAAAGAGATCATATTCATTGATAATTTGCATTTTATTTCTTTAAACCAAAAATGCTGTCTAATAGATTCATAAAAACATAAATCAAAATATTGTACTAAAAATAACATTTTAAATCCTGCCAGATATAATAAGACCATGCAATCTATTTTACTTAAATACCCATATGAGAATCCATGCATTCTTAGAAACCACTAAATGCCTTCAGAGTTCCTATTCTTTTAATATTTCAAAATACTAAACATATGTAACGCAAAAAAACACAAATACATAGAAACCCCAACCAAAACTTTTTCTTATATATTGACCGCTAGTATATGTCATTATTACATTAATCCAAGCAAAAAACAATGCTTTATAAGTAACGCTTTATAATATATATAATACACATAACATGTTGAAAAATATAAAAAAACATATTTTTTTATATTACTCATTATTCATTATGATCTAAACCTTGATACAGACAAATCTTCCACTGTTCCTGGGCAAACTCTTACATGTCGTCCAGAACCTTGCTTAACACGACCAATTCTCCACCATGGCCATATAATATGTGTAATTTCTGCTTCAACCAATGCGGTAGGAATCTTTAATATCACGTTATTTTGCTTTTCTTCATATTATTCAAGTATATACCGCTCCATATGTGTTACTATCACAAGATCGAAAACCTTCGTCTCCTTCGATCCATATATAACCTACACTATATTTAAACATAAACATAAAATAAATAAAATTTACATACCTTTTGGAATCTTTACACGCACACTAGCTCGTGAACGCGTCTGCACTACATCTCCTTCTACTGCAATCACTCTTTTTGCCAAATACGCTTCTGGCTCAACCGGAGATCTATATCTATATAAGCTTACCTCCCATATATTCCATAAACCATCTAGTGCATCCCGCTCTCATTTGATCCATATTATATACATCAATTCTATACTAAATCTGCACTAAACGTATTATATATTTCCTACCTAACCATCACCACCTGTCCACGTTCAATTGCAAGTGTGCCGTCCCGACGATGAAGTCCCCATCGCCACAGCAACACCCAATCATTCCACAGACCATTTACATGAGGATTCAATGTTGGTTGCATTGATTGCCCCTCTACCATTCCTACACTAACAAAATGATCATTTACAAAAACTAGCACCGGCAACCATGCAATAAAAAGACCTGTTTGCCGCACCAGTGCACCTATAAACGAAATACGAGGCATTTTCTATATTTACAACCTTTTATACAATCTTTTAAACACTTATTGCCTCTATTACAGCGTTAACATGGGCCATTTAAAGTATATGTTAAAATATATATGTATACTCGAGTACACTGAACACATCTCACGTTCTGTAGCCGTAAATAATATAACGCGTTTCGCGTTTCGCGTACCGCGTATCAATTCTCCGACTCCATTTCAACAGCATAGATAATTACAGAGAATGACAATGCGGATTTGGAAGCTTTCAAACGAAGTAGGAGCATCATTATCGTCTTGTCAGGTTATTTTGGACCTTTCTTCAGCAGTAAAAGAGCTTTTAGAGAATGCATTAGATGCAGGAAGTACAGTAATTGGTAAATAACAAGTTTAAAGAAAAAAAACCAATTTTTTGAACAGAAATCAAGTTTAAAAACTATGGATTAGAGTTCTTAGAGGTCTCAGATAACGGACATGGAGTTTTAGTTGAAGATCTTGAACATTTAGGTCTGTATATGTAGAGTATATGCATACAAAACTAAGAGTGCAGCACAACGGCATGCAACGTCCAAAATACAGACGTTTGAAGACCTTGATACACTTTCATCTTACGGATTTCGAGGGGAAGCACTGCATTCACTATGCAAATTAGGCCGTGTAAAGATCATTACGGCGGCAGAAGAACAAGTACCACATGCAACAGAGATTACATATGATCAAGAGGCAAATATTGTATCAAAAAAGGTTGTTTCATCACATGTATGCGTAATATATGCGTGATATATGCGAGGTTAATAAAGACAGAAGGGTACAGTTGTACGTGTTGAGCAACTCTTTTATTCTCTTCCTGTACGTAGAAAGGAATTTGAACGGAATTATAAGCACGATTTTCAAAAGGCACTTTCCATGATTCAGTCATATGCAATTATTACAACGGGTATTAAGCTGTTAGTAACAAATGAACAGCCAAAAAAGTAATAATTACTGTATATTTTTTCAAGGCTTATTTTCAAGACCAAAAATAATACATTTTTCAACACGCGGAAATATGCATATAAAAGAAAATGTAGCAAATCTTATGGGAACACGGCTTTTGCCTACACTAATGGATATTAATTGTAAACTTTCAATATTAAACTTATAGTAACAGCTATTTTTTATAAAAAAAAATAACTATTTTTAGCAATATTGAAGTGTCAGGACTTTTGTCGAAACCTATTTGTGGAGAAACATATATAAACGCAAAGAAACAATATATTTATATCAATTCTCGTCCGTGTATTCTTCCACAGGTTTTTTATTTTAAATATCTATTGACGCTTATCAATGACTAGATAACGAGAGCAATTGGAGAAATATATAAGATGTATAATATATTGCAATATCCGTTTATTCTTATAAACTTAATAATGCCTAAAAGTAAGTTTCATATTTTTATGTACATTTATATACATGTATTCTAAATATGATTAGATTCTTATGATATAAATGTATCAGTAGATAAAAGAACAATTTTTCTACATCATGAAAAGGAGATCATCTGTGAATTAAAAGTTTGTTTTTTAATCTAGTATAGATATATTTATAAGAATTAATATCTTTTAGTCTATTTTAAATGATTTATTTCAAAATGCATCGGAAAAAATAGATCAAGATACAATTTCTTTAAGTCAAAAGTCTAATTTTAAAAATTTAGATCAATCTTTGGACAAATTTACGAAAGAAAGATTTTCATATTCCACAAATGGTATTTTTAACTATTAATTTGTCTTATAATTTAGTTATTTTTAATATTGGTTTAGATTCCAAAACTACACGCGGTGAAAATAGAGAAAATATTCCAGAAAAAACAAATATGGATACGAATTCATCAGAAAATGTTCCTTTAAATAAATATCTTTTTAGAAATAGGTCTCAAGAAAAACAAAACACTTTATCTTCAGAAAAAGATATAGATAAAAGTTTACGTATTGAAGAATTGTCTTCAAATAATAGAACTAAATATCACCAAGAAAGTGATAAATCGAACGTTTCAGTAAGTTTAAAAAGAAAAAAAGATGATGAGTTTTCTCAAAAACTATTAAATAATTCTACAATTAATTCTAATAATGGGTCTAAATCCCCAATTAAAGAAAATACAGCAAGTGTTCATAATGAACAAGGAAAAAGTGAAAAAACGATACCTCTTTCTGATAGTTTTTCTAAAAATACAACTGAAACAGACAACATCGCTACATTTTCATCTGAAGCAAATAATTCTATTACATGTGAAATCTCCGAATTAGATACTTTAAGAAATAATGATCATTATACAAGAAATACAATTAGTAACGAAACAAAAAAGGTTCCCGAAAATGCGAATGTTAAATACTTATATGAATATGAATATCGAGAACTTAGTACTTCTATAGTTACATCAAAAGAAGAAATTAAGAAAAAATTTTCTGAAGATTTTTTAAACACAGATTCATATACGGAAATAGAGTCATTAGATGTGTCTGATATGTCTCGAGAACAGTCAGAAAACCAACTCAATTTAGCATTATCCAAAAAAGACTTTTTTTCCATGAAAGTTATAGGTCAATTTAACCTTGGATTTATCATTGTATCTTTGCCATCACACAAAGAAGGATCTAAATTAGAATTATTTATTATTGATCAGCATGCAAGTGATGAAAAGTATAAATTTGAAAAACTCCTGTTAAATACGACTATAGAAAGTCAGCCATTACTAAAGTAAGATTTTTATTATTTTTTCTTTTTAAATTGATTATCGTATTTAGACCATACCAATTGAATCTTACTATAATTGAAGAAATTGTAGTTATGGAGCATATAGAAATTTTAGAAAAAAATGGTTTCAAGATAGAATTAGATCATAATAAAAAACCAGGGGAAAGATGTAAATTAGTCTCTTTACCTCAAAATAAAGGTGTCACTTTTGGAGTTGAAGGCAAGCAAGTTAAGCATAATTTCATTTCTTATAATATGTAGATTTAGAAGAAATGATTTCTAAACTTCAAGAGAATCCACAAAAAGATGTACAATGTAACAAAATTAGAAATATTCTTGCATCGAAAGCATGCCGTTCTAGTGTAATGGTTGGAGATGCATTAACGTTAAGTACAATGTATAATATTGTAAAGCGTATGGGAGAAATGGATAATCCATGGAACTGTCCTCATGGAAGACCAACAATTAGAATGATTGGTAGGATCTCACAAACATAATTATCAATTTTATTCTAATATTAAATACAAACAATACTATTATAAAATTTTATAATACACCAACCATTTTATGTTGAAATTAGGTCCCAAAGATAATTAGAATAAAAAAAATGACTATATCTGGGCTCTATATTAACCTCATGTACATCACTGTTGTTTTTATTTCCTGGTCTATTTTAATAAAGCATCACTAATAAGACTATTTATACGTATAATAGCTTTAGTATAAACACCGGTATCGTCCTCAAGCAAGTCGATTCCAAGCATACGGTAGATCTTCAGTCGGAGCCTTTAATTATTAACAAAACATACACATTTGTTATGGATTTACAATGTAGAGTCATCTGTCATCAACTCTGTATCTTTCATAACATCCTCTGATTCAAGCTGCTCCAATTCTTCTTTCAACCTAGAGTGCGTTGCATCTAAAGTATTTATCGATAATTCAAGCTCATTAATATTCTTTGCAAGGCTAAACTTTTCACGGTCCATTGCTAATATTACAGAAGCATGTTCTGCTCGAGATGGTGAATTCTGGCTTGCTAATGCCGATGATTTTGAAAGCTCAAGTTGCCTCTGCAATCCTAATACATATTAGTTAAATTCACAACATCTATATATACACCTTTCAAAACGGCTTTTGAGTTTTGTTGTTTTATTTCTCTGTTTTTACATGTTGCTCGGAAGGTATCTTGAATACGGGAAATTGCCTGAAGATCTAAACCAATCTGAAACCCAGAAAGAGTTGACTGAATCAGTTCTTGAGGCGTCTCTCCTATCATATTTATTCAATTAAATTTTAATAAATATTATATCGCTTTGTTGTAAACATAGCATCACCAGGGCAACCACATACTTTCAACATCGAAGGCGGAAACAACAGATAAAACAGTACTTTTGGCACTGTAATACTCTATTTTTAAAAGATGAGCGAACGGAGACCATCTGTATATGAAGAGCCCTCTTCTCTTCCAAGTATGGGTCCCTTTTTTTCGAAAAAAACGGCTAAAATCACTACAGATGCAGCAGAAACAGAATCAGCACTAAAACCACACGATCTTGAAGTATTACGTCGACAATACCAACGGGAATGGCCCTTTGTAAGTACACAGACAAAGTTCAACTATGCATGGGGCCTTGTCAAGAGCCGAACGCGGTCAGAACAACAGGACGGTGTAAAACTTCTTTCAGGTACATTTTTGTTTTCAACCACTTGATTTCAACATATTCCTTACTTTTGCACTGCAGAAATATACAGAGAGTCTCCAGAACGCCGTAGAGAATGTCTTTACTATCTTGCACTCGGCCTCTACAAACTAGGAAGCTACAGCGATGCTCGCCGCTATAACGACCTTCTTCTCGATAAAGAACCCGACAATATACAGGCACGTCATCTCCAAGCACTCATAGACCACAACGTCACAAGAGGCATCTATTCTTCCCTTTTATCTCTACTAACTTCTCCTCCAGAAGGCTATTTCGGCATGGCCATCATCGGCTCTCTTCTTGCCTTAGGTGGCCTCGTCATCGGCACCTGGGCTCGCCGCAGAAAATAGCTTCCCCTCTTCTCCTCCGTTTATCCTCCATATTTCCTCTCTAAATCTCTTCTTTCAGCACTTTTTCCTGTATTTTTTTTCACCTTGTCTTGGCCTTCTTCTTCACCCCCGTGTTTGCTGCGTAACATGGACACCGCGGAATCCGCTCACTATTTTTGTCACGCGTGTACCACTGAATTTACAGCCGCAGCACAATGCCCAAGATGTGGCAGTGATTTTATTGAAAGGGTAGGTAAATCCACTGGTTTATAGAAGCTCTTTTGCAAAAAAGCAGCTTTGATAAAGCAAAGATGGTGCATATTAAAGCAGATACATAATGCATATATGAGGCGTATAGCACGCATGTAAGACGTATACAAAGCAGATCATTAAAGAATAAACATATAAAACAAAGGAAAAAGACAATAAAGGGGTTTTTGAAGGGAAATATTGGGAAAAAAGAGAAAAGCATTGGTAAAGAATAGACAGCAAGTATGAGACATATGCATTGTATTTGGCGTATATACAGCGCATATAGCGGATATAATAAGCATATAATGAGCATATAATGCATATATTATGTATGTATTGCGGGTATAATGCATATAATGCATGTACAGGACATATAATGTGCATATAGTGTATATATACAATGGATATGGGGCACATACAGCGCATATAACAGGCATATAGCATATAAAAACATGCAGTTCGATAGTGTACGTGCCGTATGCTAGTATATGCATTGTAATGCATACGGCACGCATATATAACGCATATATACCGCATATATAGCACATAGTGTGTGCATATGTAGCGTGTGCAGTGTATACAATGCATAGAATGCACATAGAGTGCATATACAATGCGTGTACATACGCATAGATACAAGAGGAACATACAAAACAGCAATTTTATACAGGAGAAATATATAGGATATATTCAGGAAAAATACAGTGCCTTATGTACAGCATTGTATTTGTTTTTCAGGCATTTGAAGCGCATTTAGCGTATTCAGGATGTCTTGGTACGCAAAATAATGTTTTAATAGACCAAAGAACCAAGCAGTGATGTTTTTTGTGTCTAGGGATGCTGTTTTGCAAGATATAAATCTGAAAAGGTATTTTTTATTTTTAAGATGCTCAAGGACATTTTTGGGTATTTTATTTGAGTATTTCAGGTCGTCTGTGTTTAGGCGATTTTTGTCTGTTTTTCAAGGATTTTTAAGTGATTTTTGAGGCTTCAATATGGATTTAGAATGGATTTTGTTTTTTCAGCTGTTTTTAAACTTTATTGCACACTAGATTTTTAATATTTTGGATGATTTATGGTGTTTTTCAATGTTTTAATCCATCATGTTTTAACAACACCTATCTTATATCTTTGCAACATCTTTGCAATATTTTTCAGAAGCAAGTTGTAAAATATCTGGCTAATACTAAACAGATTGAGGCAACAGATGATCCTCGACAATTTGCTCTACCTCCACGGATGCCAGGATGGGTGTGGTCTTTTGGACATCGACCGGTTACATTATGTGTGCCAGGAGCAAATGTAGCAACAACAACAACAAGTTCATCAGGGGAAGATAATAATGCAGGCATAAGTAGTTCGTGTGGGGCTGTTTATATGAGCAATGTGACGAATACGGATAATACGAATAATACAGGCAATACAACTAGTGCAGATGGCACAGGTAGTGCAGACAGTACAAGTGGTGCATGTGGTGCAAGTAATACAAATAATGCAAGTAATGTAAGTGGTGCATATAGTTTTTCAGCTGTGGTAGACGCGGGCGGGTCTGCAGCTGGTACTTCAGATGGTGTAGCTTGCGGTGCGCCGGCAACTCATCTTTCTTTATCAGCACAATTTGAAACAATGCTTCAAAATATCCTTTCAAGCATTGTTGGGAGCAATGCAACAGTGGATATTGCTTTATGTAATTCATCAGGGCGCCATGATACACATACACATGAAGAAAGTTCATCAGCACCAGCGGAAGAAACAGAGAGATCTCGACCAAATAGCTTTATCTTTAGAAGGTCATTTATTTGGTCAAGACATCCTTCTGAACAGCAAGAAGCACTGCAGGGCGACAATACAGGACAGAATACCGGGCAAGAAATAGAACAAAGCACAAGCCAAAATACAAGTCAAAATACAACTCAAAGGACGGAGCAGGATGCCCAGGAAGGTACACGTACAACAAGAATTCCCATACATGATTTGGCATCATTCTTAGAAAATGCATTTGGAAGTGGGTTTCCCGAGGATGGACTGACAACAAGATCTTTAAGTGGTTTTTTTTCAAACATTTTTACAATGAGAAATCCGGGTGATTATGTTTGGGTATAATGAAACACAATTAGAAAAAGTATACTAATAAAAATACTGTTTAGTCATCTACTGGCTTCGATAATATCATAACACAGTTGATGGAACAATATCCATCGACAAATGCACCGCCTCCTGCATCGGATGAAGTTATTAATGCTTTGCCTAAAACAATAGTTGAAGAGAAAGAAGGTAAATCATTTGGACAATATTTCATACGTATCTAATAAGTATAGAATTAAAAGATTGTGCAATTTGTAAGGAAAATTATCAGCTCAAAGAAGTATATATAACATTACCATGTAAACATTATTTGTAAGTTATATAATTAATATGGGATTAAAAATTAATGTTTTTAGCCATGATAATTGTATCATACCATGGCTGAAAATAAATAATACATGTGCAATATGGTGCGTAAACATATTTCTTTATGCTTTAAGTTGAACATAATTTAGTCGTGCAACAGTTGGAACTAATATACCAAATCAATTCCCTAATTCAGAAGGCGATAAAGAGGATGATAAATCAAAGGATTTTGATAGTAATATGGAAGATCAGTTGGAACAGGAGCCTCCCGATTAATGTTGGTATTAGTGATCCGAAACCCATGATAAGACATGTCGCACTTGGCTAAAATACATCAAACAATACTCTGGTTTTTATATATTTATTTTCATAAACCATGTTTTAAGATACGGTTTATTAACGACCTTGTGTTTCCTGTTTAATGTCATCATGCAGTTTTTGAAGTTCATCTGTTTTTTTAATTAAATACGAACCAAGATTGTCGACCTGCTGCTTCATCATTAATATATCAGATTGAACACTTTCTAAATCGGATAATCCAATGGCAGATTTGATATTGCCTTCTTTTAGTCGTTTTAGCTCTTTTTTTTTAAAATTAAGCATCTTTTCCAGTTCATGGATGATGTTTAATAAATGTTTATCAGAGACATCTGATTTTTGTTCCATATTTGAGTAGTAAATGCCCTGTTCTCGTCTTTTCTCAATACTATCGCTGTCTTTTACTGTATATCCTTTAGAAAGATCAGATTTTGTACTAGGAGACGTATATTTTGAAGTTTGTGGTGAAAATGTGCTTTGTTCATTATCATGATGGATAGATGTCCTTCTCGTATTGTAGTTTGCCGGGCTTTTCTCAAAAATAGCTTTTAAATGAACAGGAACTATATTTGGTACACAAAAACCCTTATTTCTTTGATTTAAAATATGAAGAAAAAAAATTACTTGGTCCCTATCAATTGATTCATGTAGACGAGGATTTACCAACTTCCTATTGCATATTAGGAGAAATATAAATAATAATAACCTTACCATGCGTCTTGAAGTTCTGTATCTGAAATATCTAAAATTGCATACAAATTTTTGAGAGTATCAACTTGAATAGATTAAACCCTATAAAATACTTTTTTCAAACTTACAAGAAATATATCCATATGAATCTGCAGTTGATGTATATATTGTCTCGTAATTTTGCTTATCAGATGGTTGTATATGCCAGTCAAAATCATACCGTAAAGCCTTCAGAAGTCATTATCAAACCATTCATTTAAAATAAGACTTTATACTCTTGTTTTGTCTGTAATTTGCATAAATTGCTGTTTTTGTAAATTTTCATTAATAGCCTGACGAGCAGTAATCAGATGAGCTTTTGATGTCGGAATCAAAAAATCCGGCAGCCGTGTAGGAACCTCCAAATAAACCTCCATAAATAAGATACATCTTTTTCCTTACTTATTCAATACATACATTGTTAATAACGTCAAAAATCAATCGCATCGCAATACAAAACTCTTCAAAATCAAGATTTCCATCACTGTCGACATCTTACATAAAATAAACATGTTGTACCACACAAAATACGTTATACCTGCCAAATTCCATATCTTTTCAAGCTGATAATTCGACAATTTAGAGTTTTTTAACACATCTGCTGCTTGATCTCCACTTAAATACCCGTTTTTCGGATTTAAAGAGATAAAAATCTCCCTGAAAAAAAATAAGTTATTTTTTCATATATATATTCATTAATTTTGCTTATTACCAATATTTTTTCTGCTCTTCTGTGGTTATTTCTTCCATCAAAATAATTTTTGTAGTTAATTTTTTATCATTAATGTTGATAAGCTACGGAATTTTAAAGTTCTGCAGAGCAGACAACGTCATCAATTTGAAAAAAAAAGAGAGTATGAATAAGGGATAAAGGAAAAGTTTTTTTACATTTTTAAACATATAAAACAAATTCTAGAATGACTTTAATTAATAAACCCAATTTTTACGGCTTAAAACGGCCTAATCATATGAATTTGAAGGAGTTTTTTAAGTATGCTCAGAACAACTCTTTAAACCCTCAATCTCCATATTATAAAGGAGTTTTTTATGAATATATAGTCCAAAATACGCTTCAGAGATACAATATGGATTTAAAACATGTAGGAGGAGCAAATGATCATGGTATTGATCTCCGAGGAAACTGGTATTATAGAGGGAAACAAACAAGATATCAATGTCCGGTGATTATACAATGCAGAAATGAACAAAAAAAGACAGGTACTCAGTGTGTTCGTGAGATGGAAGGCGTTTTATCCACTGAAAGTAATAATACTTTGGGTTTAATTTCATGCTGTGGATTTACACAAATAGCACAAAGACAATTATTAAAGGCATCAAAAGCTATAGCTATGTGTGTTATATTGCCAAGAGGAAACAATGGATATCTCCAACAATTTATCTGGAATATGAAAGTTAACGAGTTGATTAAAGGTCTTGGAGTGCAAATCAGATATATAGAGAAAACAGATGAAAAATCTGGTGTTGGAGAAGGACCATACCAAGAACTCGTACTAACAATTGACGATCAAATCATAAAACAAGGAAGAAATTACGAAGAGAAAATATCATAGTATATTAAATGACAATATATTAAAAAGATCTATGAATATATCAAAACCAATAAATACAAACAGAATAAGCAAACCATTCTTGAAATGAAAATACGAATTACTCTAACAATAAAATGAAGTTTTTTGTTTAGTAAAAAAATCATCTATAAAATACCGAAAAGAAGGTAAAGAAGGTGTTAAATGAAAAATTATAAGAAAGAATGATAAAAAATTAATCAAATGATGCACAAAATATGTGTAATAGAGTCCATAAATAGTCAAAAAAACAGAAAAAACCAAAAAAAGAACATCAAGCACTTTCCCTGCGCTGAATAATGTTAATATTAGAAAAAAAGTTTGTCCAATTTTTACCCTGATTCTGCTTGCATAATCATTTTCTTATTAGCCAAAAATTCAACAAGAATAAGAATAGGCAAAATAGAAAAAATGTTATGATGTGATGAAAACGGTAATAGCCAATTTATCGACATCTTCCTTAACCATACAATCAAGATTGGAACATTGATGGGTAAAAGTAACAGCATTAATATTAAAATGGAATGCACATAATTATAAAAATTCTGATAATAAAAAGCTTTTTCAAAATCCTAAAACATAAGTTTTAGAAGAAACAAATATTTACTCCATACCCTTTTCTGCGTGCTAATTAATGCCTTAACACATGTAAAAAACTGTATAACACATGCAAAAAGATATGCAAGTTGATAAGGAACCATAATGGCTACAAGGAATAATAATAGTATAATCGCTATTATTCTTTGTTTAAGTTTCAAACCAGAAAAACAAAAAGAATAAAGGAATCGTCTGATAAACAATTAGCACTCGACTGATCTAAAAAAAAGAATACCTTCTATTAATGAGTTTAATATAATGTTTTCGTAATAAATTGTACCCAATCGCTGCAAAAGAAACAATAAAATATGTTACTTGTGCAAATATAAATGCAAATCCTAAAGAAATAGTAATGAAAAGAGGCCCTAAAAACCAGAAAAAAGAATCTCTGTATCCAAAGAATATATTATTGTTATTCCATAACTTCCATGTATCTTTAACCCATAATTTTTCTCTTAATTTCGGATTGAACAAATCATCCATATCTATTGTTTTAGGAAACTGAAATAAGGACAAAAAAACAAATAAAAATGATGCTATTATAGATAATGATAAAAAGGTATCTCGCATAAAAAACTCTAATGCTTTATTAAAGTTAATAAAAACACCTAGACGTATTAAAAACTTTAAGAATTTTCAAATCACCTTGTACCATAATTATTATAAATTTTAAACTGTTTTCTTAAAGATAACAATGTTATAACATATGTAAATATTATTAAAGCCGTCCAGAATTTGATAGCAAGTTTTCCAAGACTACCGTAAAAATCAAGAGATACTGAAATATCGACAGGTTTAGTACAAGTAGGATCTAGCCAAAATCGTATTGTTAGTCCACGTTTTACGCCATTCTCCATAATAGGAGGTAAAAATGGAGCAGTTCCATGAAAATTAACATCGATTTTTGTCATATTTACAAAATATTTAGATTCATATGGACTAGATATATACTGTTTTATAACTGGAGGGAAAAATGAATGATCTATAAAATTTTAAAAGGAAAAAAACAAAAAATAAAAAAATTACCACAACCAAAGTAATTCATTTTTAACTTGTACGCAAAGAGACTATTATCAATCCCAGGAATATTAATGTCTGAAACCAAAGGCCTATTAGCACCCAAAGTTACGCGAAACGCATTCCATGAAAATTCTAATTTTATAATTAGGAAATTACAATAATAATAATAATAACTACTTATGGGTCTAATTTTAGACTGAACTTGTATTACATTTTTATTAAAAAATTCAGCTATTAAAAAACCTTTTCGATTCTTATTTATTCTATCCACTACCGCAATAAATTGGTAGTCATCAAGTTGACTGTTTGTATATTCAAGATACGTGAAAAAATATGTCTGAATTTTTTTTATATTACTCTGTGAAGGTAAGCGGATGAGATCGTCCTTAGAATCTTTGCATTTTAGCATTTTGAGATCACTTTTTGTCAAATTTTGATAAAATCTGAAGTCAGAATTTTTAGTCATAAATGACGGATGAAGTTTACACAAAAATATCTTTATTTGATCTTTATCCGTTCCTGTAACTCTTTGATCGGTAAATAATGAAAAGGTAGTGAAGTTAAATATATTTCTTGGAGAAATAGGCAAGAAATATATACGTTGGCAGCCGGATGATTTTGCTTCGAAGGATTTTAAAACATAACGGCTCTTTGATGGAAAAATATCATATACGGCTTTTCTTCTTAAAAATGGACTAATCAATGAAGCTAAATGAAGAGATTAAGCACTTAAAGGAAAAAACATGAAAAAGCATAAATAATTACCTTTCAAAAACTTGTTCTCAACAGAATCTTCAATAGACATAAGGTAATATTTTTTGAAAATACGAATACGAGAAGATAATGGTTTGGTTTGATTGACAGATTTAGAATCGATGATGTCAAATAATGATTTAACAATAACTTTACGCAACTGATCACACCACAATATTGCTTGATGATCCATCCCGGTCCATACCATAGGAATTGACGAAGAAAATACCGTAAATCCATGTGATTTAGGTACCAAAGAAGACACGTCACAATAATCAGACGACACCATAATGTCCAAATTTCCGCCGGTAATAGATACAAGACTAACCGAGTTCAAGGGATTCGATTCATTTTTATAAAAATACGAATACGACCAAAACTTATTAACCGAATCATAAATATCCTTCATTTTTCGATCAAAAAGAATGGGAGGTAACAAGTGAGGCGTGGAAAGCGTAATAATCGTATTTATCGACCCCGAAAGATAATTCGGCATTGTCATCATCACCCGAACCACTATACCTCCCATTGAATGGCCAATCACAATCACTGAATTCGGAATATACGGCTCTGATGATACATTTTCCACCTTTTTTACTTTTTTATACAACGATAAAATATATTTCACTGCTTCGTTGGAATAATCCACTTGATCAAGCAGCGTTTGCCCATGAAATGCCGTAAAATCATTGTTAAAATCCACTACTCTCGTATTAAAAAATCTTCATAAAACTTAATAAAAGCTCCTCAACCTGCAAAAAAATCCAGATTCTTTCTATATTGCTTACTCAACACCGGGTCCAATTGTAACATAGAATACTGGTTTGCTGCTTCCGACGCAATACTCCGCACCTGCTTGTAACTCCCTGCATTCCCTGGTATAAAAAGAACCGGAATCCCATAAAGCTACTTTCCATTAACAACAAAACACCCGGGAAAAACCCTACATCATGCAAATTCCCCAATTTTTTCTCCCGGTACAAATAAAGATTATACTTGTCCGCATGTTTCGTGTATCTTTTGTCAAATTCAATTAACCTCATATACGATGGATACATCGCGGGCACTATACACGCCGACTTGTCTCTTTGTAAATATATAAATGAATAACTCATCATCCCAAGCATCACCGCCGAAAACCCTGCTATCAACACTATTCCTGCCCTCAATACCCCGCCCTTTCCTTCCCTCATTCCCTTTCTATAAACCATTTCCTCCCAATTTCTTGCTATCTCCCGCCACTTCTTTCCTCGTTTCTTTCGTCTTCTTTTCTCCCCTTCCTTCCCTGTAAATACTACTCCTCTCCTTCTTCCCCGCTCTACACTCCTGTCAACTACTCCATCACTCAATTTCCAATTCTTCTCCCGGCATTCCCCATCTCTATGATCTTGCATTAACTTTCTTCCTTTGAAAATATCATTCTCCACCAGGTTGCTGCTTCTGCAGCCCTTTACTGCCCCTGGTGATACCTTGTTCTGCTTATACCCACTGCTTAACCTCTGTCTACTTCTCTTTCTATTTTTGCCAGCTTATCCTTGGTTTTTGCTGTCGTTTTTGCTCTGTCTTATAACATGTCAGATTTCGATCGAGGTGTCGGCTGTCCGGGCACAGACTTAAGAGTATAATATATAAAAAAAGCCAAGATTAAGTCGAGCAGAAAATCCAGAAAAAATAAAGGTAAAAAAGTCACAGGAAACTAATATACATATATTCTCCGACATAAGAAAAGCCCCCTGCAACGCCTGTCCGGGTTGTATGCGTCGATACACCAGGTTGTATGCGTTTTATTTGGACACATAGGGGTGTACATATACTACACATATACTACGCATATAACACGCATATACCCCGCTTCTTTTTTTCCTAACTTGTTTACATCTCATCCTATGCTCTTTTGTCCCGTTTTATCGCCTTTTGTCTCTGGCAAATGTGCCGTGATTTATCACACTGTCTGTCTTAATATACACGTACTATCTACTAATGTAAGACGTTAGTATTTTTTTGGTTAATTAATATAGAATTCTTTCCGAAAATGCTCGAGCGTTGGGTTTGTGTGTGCGAGCGATGTTTATAAAGGTACGGGCACGTCGAGGGATCAGTAGAACGCCTTCGATAGGCGTACGGACTTTTAAGGCGGCTTTAAGAGAGTTTTTGAAGAAAGTTTTGAAAAAGAACAAAAGCAGCGTTTAAACAGTGTTTAAAGGGCTTTTACAGAACGTTTAAGCGATATTTAGAGAGGCTTTAAGAGTCAATAAGGATATTTTCTTTGTTGGCAGATATTGGAGCAAAAAGAAGCACTAGCAACAGCAAAAACCCTAAAGGCTATTGCAGAAATATATATTGGGGCATATTGTGTTGTTGAAAGATTGTATTATTGCAAAGGATACTACAGTTATCAGGTGTTCTGTTGAAAAATACTGGATTTATACACGGAACAGCAAAATATAACACAGTAGATAGAGTATAAAGAGATAACAAGGGAAAAAGAAGCAAAAAAGCAGTATAATAGAGTGGATATTTGTATAAGTAGTGAATAGTAGACAAGATGTTGAAGATTTTCAAAGAAAAGGGATTTTCCCAGGCAATAGCAGGAGGAGTGGGGCTTTTTGTAGGGAAGAATGAGTGTTGAAGCATTGCTTAAGATTTGATAGTCGGATGGATATCTGAATGGGGTTTCGGGGAGTTTGACGACAATTATAGGGAATATCTACCCGAATGAATATACAACACAGAAGAAATCGCTTTTGAACTCGATGATTTTTCTTGGAAATGTTCTTGGAATGTTAGTTTTCGGATATGCGTGTGATAAATCAGGGCGAAAGTATTCGTTGATAGTTGCAAGTATCTTTCTGGTGGTATTTTCTATTATGTCAGCGGCTGCATATTACAAAGGAACGAATGAAGGGGTCATTAACACACTGATCATCTATCGATTTCTTCTTGGTGTGGGTATTGGTGGAGGTATGCAAAAACGGGGTGTTAGAGAGCTATCTCAGCAAAGCAGCCTTGAAAACAATGATATATTGAAACTGCAGAGACAAAAACAGTTTTCGAGGCGCAGGAGGATTTTTTTTAATATATATGATAAAAATGGGATACTGATGTTTTTTTTCTATAGAATATCCAGCTGGATCGACAACCATTAGCGAAGGTGCACAGGAAATGAGTGGGAAGCACAAGCACTCTATGGTTAGAATTGCATTGACTTTATTTTGGAATCTTTTTTAATTTTGAACAGTTCATTTTCCTGACCGACTTTATGATCTGTATGGGATTCGTCGTAGCCGGGTTTATGTCGTTTTTGCTGACAAGCGCCCTTGGGGAGAGTCGTCAGTCGGTAATATGGCGTTTGTTACTTGCTATTGGCTCAATTTGCCCACTTGCTCTGCTCATTGTGCGTTTCCGTATGGGTGAACCAGAATCGTACCGGACATATGCCATGAAAAGCGTTCGTATCCCTTATAAGTTTGTTATTAAGAGATATTGGAAAAGGTTGTTTTTTATATCATTGGGTTGGTTCATGTATATTTCATTATATTGTTTTTACACATCCTAATGTTTAAATAGGTACAATTTTACATCATATTCCTTTGGTATTTACTTTGCGCCGGTTCTCCAGTCAATTAATAAAGATATGCCACTTAATCGGATATTTGGTTCGTAGTTGGCTTCTTTAATCCTCAGATTCTTATTTATATAGGTTGGACAACACTCATTTATCTCTTTTACTTACCTGGTTCGTTTTTCGGTGCTATTTTGACTGATTATGTTGAGCCAAAAAATGTTTTCGCTATTGGTGTTTTTGTTCAGGGTGTTATTGGGTTCATAATGGCAGGCAATTATGCAACATTGAAAGATAATGTCCCCCTGTTCGTTCTACTTTACGGGCTTTTTATGACGTTTGCCGAATTTGGTCCAGGAGATAACATCGGCAATATTTCAGCAAAAGCCGCTGCCACTCCTGTTCGAGGTCATTTTTACGGCATTGCAGCTGCTTGCGGTATTTCATGTTTTGTTTTCCTCTTAAAGATATCTAATTTTTTTAGGCAAAACTGGTGCATTTCTTGGTAGTTATGTTTTTAGCTATATTGTTCAGAAATTCGGGGGTTATGGCACTGTAAGCGGAAGTAGAGGCCCATTTTTTATCGGAAGCTCTGTAGTCATACTTTCTGGCTTTGTTTCTTTATTCTTTTTCCCAAAACTTTCTCAAGATTGTGTTCGTGAGGAAAATGAACACTTTAAAATCTGGCTTGAAGAACAGGGTTTTGATACAGAGAAAATGGGTATTATCTATAATACTCAGCCTCAAAATCTTCAAGAACCCGCTGAAATTTCTGAAAAAGCTTAATATATACAGCTTTTTTGGGTTATGTTTTGCATCAATTTAAGAATTAATTTTCTGCTTTTTTAAACTTTATTTTCTTCATGACTTGATTTTCTTCAGTCCTTCTGCATTCTATTATTCATGTTTCTTTCATCTGTATATTATCTACTCTTGATACATTCTCTATCTATACATTGTACTTATACATTATATTATATATACATTGTCTATGTCTTCTATTTATACATTTTCTCTTTTCTATATATAGTCCTTCTATATATTCTTTCTTCTTACTCTTTTCTTTCTATTTTATATTATTTATTATTTTATCTCGCTTTTCTGCCCCAACAATTCACATTCTAAACACATATATAGAGATTACAAATATGCAAAAGTAATACATAAAAATACACTAACTGCGCTTGAAAAAGCGATTTCGTTCTTTGCATTCGCTTACGTGTCTATGCAATCTCAGCTTATACAAATACTTGGTATAAAACGTTGTTATCGTATACCTTTAAAGATTTGTACTATTTTTTCTCTTGTTCCAGGATGCTATTGGGCATTAAAATCGATTTTAAGTGCATATACAACACATACAGCATGCATACATCGCGCATATAGTCCAGCATATACGGCAATGGAGATAGAAGATAGGCCAATAATGAATTTGGGGAGAAAAAATAGTGCTCAACATACATATAATTCGGTTTCAGCACGCATACACCTATGGGAGGCATGGACAGCAGTAATTTGGTTTCTTATTTGCTCAGTTTTGTCCTATGGATTGACAGATGGGCTGCTTTCGAGATGGTATACGGGGGAAATATACAGCAAAAATAAGGGGATATTGATAAATATACAGGATTATCAGATATTCACCGCATGCGGTGCTAATTCGGTTAATTTCTTTAAATATGATGAATGCATATTTAACGGGATGGGTTGTGTCATCAAATGATGCTTTTAAACGGCTTATTTTTTCAATTTTTATGGCATGTATACTTGCGTGTGCATATGTAGTACAGAATTATGTTACAAGTGATATTTTGTTTCTTGGTACAAAGGAAATTCTTCCGAATCGACATTTTAATCTTTTTGATATTGGGGTTTTTGTAGTGCTGCCGATAGGAGCAGCAAGTTTTATAACAATGTTACTAGCATTATGGGCATTATGGGTGCCAGACCATGTATAAAGCTGGCAAAGAGCTATTTTCTTGGATAAAAAGTAATATATGTATTTTACGGTTTATATTTTAATAAGGTTTTTTTATGAGATAGTTATAATGGTTTGTAAAGTGTTTAAAGTATTTACAGCATGTTTTTAATGTATTTGTAATATATCAATGAGACAGGTATGAAGTACGATAGTTTTTAATGGAATGATGAAGTATGTTTGTCAATAGATATAGATGAGTTAGATATGAACATAGTCATTAATTGTATTAAGTGTATTTTCGACAGTAAAACCTCCAAAGGCCTGATATTTATGGTTCAATTCGTTTCTCCCATGGATATGATAGTTACTTTCGAGTCCACCTGTTTTTGGCATGGCAATTGAGTAAAATGTACGAAATATACGACTATGAACCAATGCCATACAGCACATTACACATGGTTCATGAGTTGTTATAACTATTAGGTCTTTGCACAAATAAGATGCATTCTCTATGCTGGATTCTAAGTATAAATTAGTTATTGATAGGAAAAAAGCAAAGATATTAATGTCCCTTTTATTTTACATTTCTGGTTAACTTTGGTAATACAATTAATGATAGAATGTTGTAATGGATTTTTTGACAATAGCCTTGAATCGCAGCATTCCGTAATTATGTTAAGGTTCGAGTCTACGATTATTGTTGCGATTTTCATTTCTTTACTTTCATTTGCAAAGTTCCATACATGATTCATTAATGCTTTTAATTTTAAAAGAGACTCATCCGTAAATTTAATCTTTTTAGCCATATTTATTCGAAAATGAAGCGGCCACAGTAAATTCCATACACAAAATTGTGAACGTGTTAACGGTGGATATTTCGACACCTGTATTATTCTAACATCAACATCTATTGACTGCTCTTTCAGTTTTCTTTTAAGATCCTCAAGACTTAGACCCATTGTACTGTGTAAAATTACATCTAGTTTAGGTTGTCTATCATTTCCTTCAACTTTTCTTACTCGTTTTAAATATGAAAGATCTGATGGATCAAACGCTAAATATTCATAGATAAACCTCTTTTGTGTCAATTATATTATTTCTTTAGGAAAAATTTTTACTCCATTATTAAAGATGTTTGTTTTGCTTCTATTTGACATACAAAAACATCTACTATATATAATTGTTAATTTATCTTACAAAAATATAACAAAACTACTTGTTTCTAGTGAACGTCTTTCTATATTCGAATGGATCATATTAAAAGGCCATTTTTCTGTTTTATCTTCACTGATCAAGCACTCTGTTGTCTTTAAACAAGTCGTCTTAGCCATATTATAGATTTATTTTTAATGATTGTTGTCTTAACACCAGATAAAAGGTTTACTTAAAATAGTTGTTATAGCAACACTTTTCTTTTCCGAACCTCTAACTTTTAATTTTTTAGAATATCATTTAAATCCTATCTTTTTGTTAGGAAAAAGGAAAAGAAATTGTATTATAGTGTTTCTTTCATTCTATAATAAGGTTTTAAAGGTATAAAGTTTTTTTTTTTTGATTTTTATTTAATTTTTTTAAAAAAAAGATAAAAAATAATTTAAGGGTCTAATAAAATCTAAAAAAAAAAATATTTTTGGCGTTTTTTTATTCATAATGTTTGAGAAGACATATTTGAATGTTCCATGTTGTAGAAATGCGGAATTTGAGTTTAATTGTGAGAAAAATATCTATGAAAACTATGTTAATCCACTTTTTGGAAATATGGATGAAAAAAACTATGTACAAGCAAAAAGTCCGGACTGTACTCTTTTGAGTAATCCTTCTTATATTCCTGTGAAAGATTTTTCGTCCGTTCCTAGCAATAGTTCTTCATCTTTAGATGTTCGTCAGGGATATGAATACAAAAATAGTTCTTTTTCTGTAGAAACAGTATCATTATCTGATGTTGTTTTGAAAAGTACAGGTGAAAGTCAACAATCATTTAATGTGTGTTTTCTTTATTCGTTTTGATAATGATTTTGGACTAATAGTTTTTTTAAAGGCTTATTCTGGTTTCAATTCATCTTATCAAAGGAATAACTTAGGAAGTACAACAACTGAAATGAAAGAAAATTTTACTTTTACTTCGGATATGCATGAGATTAATTTTCCTGCTCCATATATATTAAATATTTTTGGGATACCGGAAAAATCAAGGGTTGAGACCCAGGTTAAGCTAGAAATGAAACTATCATACAATTTTCTTTTAAATTCATCACCAGTGTCTTCATATTCATGGTTTAAGCTTCCAAGATGGAGTATTACGAAAGAGAAATTAAAATTACCAAATTTAAAAGATATCCCTAAAAATATAGATCCAGAAAAAATATTAATAATAGAACCTAGTGTTGTTTGTGCTAGTGATGTTAAAAAAAGCGTTTTGATTTGTTCCGGATGTATTATACGCGAGGTTAGAATTTTGTTTAATAAAACTTATTCTAATTTTTACAAAGCGTAAACGGGCTATAAGAAAAAGAAGAAATAAAAGCTCAGTAGAATCATCTAGTGGGAATTATACTAAAGATGGGGCTCTTATACCTATAGAAGATGAAGAAAAAAAAATTATTGTATTTAACCATCCTGAGCTTTCTGAATTTAAAAATAACTGCATAAATATACCAACAAGAATAACATGTTATTGTAGACATCATAAAGAAAATATAGGATTTAGGTGAGTTTTCTTATTTATATTAATTATCTTATATTTTATTAGGATTTTAATAAATTTAAAAGATAACAAAGAACGATTAATTGCATCGACATTATCTCGATCATTTATGATAACTGATGATCATAAAACCAACGCAAAAGCGAAAATAAAAGAAATGAATAGTTATTGTTCAAAAATAACGTAAAACTTTTCTAATAAAAGTTTAGGACTACATTCAACATTAAATTTATTGCCGCAATTTTTGAATCTTGCAGGTTGTAATTCTCAAAAATGGAAAAATACTGCTCCTAGAGGACAATTGCATAAAAAAATTCAAAAAATTCCTAAACAATTATCAACAGAAAAATCGAAATCAAAGGCTGATATGCAAAAACTTGCTTATTCTTCATTAGATTCTATAACAAATAATTGTGTATCTCATAGTACATCTGAAGATGGCTTTTTTGATTTTTCTGCTGAGAATTTGATTAAATCAGCTCCTACTTCTTTAATTTATGTCCATAAAAATATCTCTCATGAAAATATTTCTCATAAAAATGAACCGTATATAATTCGTGATAGATTTGTTGAATCTACTTCAATTGAGGATCTTTTTATGTCTGAAAACGCTTTAGAAACAGATTCTGGCATTTTATCTCGAGAATCTCCATTTATTTCTGATGAAGATTCTACTTTAGAAATGACTTGTCATGCACCATATATTGCTTCTGAATCTAGTTTATTCAAATTTTCAGCACAACCTCAACGGTTTAAGAAAAGATTTAAAGGGAATGTTAGTCAAATGAGTCTTCCGAATCAAATAGATATCTCTATGCCAAACATTTTACCAATTGGATTATCTTCAAATCCTGATGATATTCCAACGATTAACTATATAGTTCCCTCTGAAGGTCCTATGCATGGTGGAATTGAAATTACTGTATTAGGAACAGGCTTTTATTCTGGTTTAGTATGTACATTTGGTGATAATTCTGCAACTTCTACACATTGTTGGAGTCCTACTGTTATAGTATGTACTTTACCTCCTAGTTCTATTCCAGGATCTGTTATTGTCAAATTCAAAGATCATGATTTGGCTAATTCTAGTGTTAAAAATAAAAAATATTTTACATACAAAGATGATAATGATCGTACATTAATGGAGTTGGCTCTGCAAGTGGTTGGCTTAAAAATGACAGGGAAATTAGAAAATGCTCGAACTGTTGCTATGAAAATTTGCGGATTAATGCCTAATAATTCTTATGAATCTAATTTAATACCACAACAATTGAGTATAGGATTGTCTTTAGCCAGCTCAGAAATGGCTGCAAAAGGTTCATTAGCCTTCGATTTTCATAGAGCTAATTATTACTTTGAAACAATGTTTTTGCAATCTAACAATTTTCTAAATTTAAAGCAAACATCTAACGCATTTTATTTATTGTATCAGGATAGACCGAATCAGATATTATTACATCTTACTTATATAGAAAAAATTCAGAGATACATAATAGAATTGTTTTCTCAAAAATATTATTTTAGAACTATAAAGCATTCTGATTATAAACTTATTCATTGTTTAAGTTTGAAAAAGATAAATAGTATTGAAAGGGTGTTTAGAAATACTGGTGAAAATGAAGCTATTTATATGATATTGTATAAGAAAATATTTAATTTAACATATCCAAATGATTATCTCGAAATATCCAACTTTTTACGATTATCTAGAAATCATATAGATTATATTATCGTTAAATTAATTTTAGGATGGTTATGTACCAATAATTCTTTAGTTAAGAAACGATCAACAATATCATCAAGTGTTATTGTTAATACTTCCAATGATGAGTTTTTTGATAATTTTTTCTTAACTAAAGAGAGCAAATCATTTTTTATTAAAAACCAGTTTAATAAAAAGAAATCATCTAAGCTTCAAATAAAACAAAGTGTTCAAAAAACTAGTCTAGATTCTTATACTAGTGATAAATTATCAATAGTATCATCTTTTTTTACTGAACTTATATTAAATGATCAGCAAGATAATAAAGTTGTAGAATTTATAGATAGTACGAATGAAAAAACTGAAGATGGGATATTTACAGTTTATAGTTTTTCAGAATTTTTAACATCTGCAAAGGCAAAATTAGCTTCTTTATTTATTCCAAACATACTTCGTAACTCTATTTTTCCGCAATTTCTAGAATTTAGTCAATTTTGTCCTATAACTACTTTTAATTCTTTTATTCAGCAGTATCCTCATAGTAATAAAAAACTTTCTTACTCTGAGTCTCCAAATGCGATAGAAAATGACATTCAATACAATTGGCGGCAACTTTTGATATATGGTCCGCCTCCTCCATATTCTGAAATTTCAACAGATGAAAATATTTCTAAACTTTCATTTAATGATTTTACAGATCATGTTTTGCTTCAGGATAAGTCCCAATGGCATTTTTTTAAATGGCAGTCAAAGACATTTTCGAAATTTGGTACCAACGAATTGACATTAGAACAACAGCGGTCTATTAGAGAATATGCAAAAATAATACAGGAAATAGAAAGAGATAGAATGCTGTATTTATTTTGGGTAAGTAATTATCTTTGTTTAATGTTCGGAATTAATATTATTAGCTTCCTGTCTTAGTAGTTCTTTTATTTCTTACTACTTTAAACTGGGTACAGAAAAATAATTATATTGAAATTGATGATTTGAAAATTGTATCATCTCTTGCTTGAACTATTAAATATAAAATTAAATAGTGAGAGTTTAATATTGGTTGCTGTTAATATGTAATTAAATTGGAATTTATAGATTTTTTAGATATTTTTAACAATATAAAAAATTATTTAAAAAAATTGTTTTTATATCTATTGTATAATATTTTATTAATATTTTAAATTTATCATTCTAAATTTGTAAAATTATTTAAAATTATAAAAATAGTTTAATAATATTAATATTTAGTATTTAATAAAAATTTTAAAAATAAACATTAATTATTATAAAATAATGCTAGAAATAAAAATATAAGATACATTAACCAATAATTTTGTTTATATTGTGCAGGTTAATATATTTAATTAGTATTTATATGTAATTAATTTTTATCATTTTTAATTTATAGAATATTTAATTTAATTTGTTCAGCTTCCATTTTGTTTTTAGAATTAACTGATTGAGTAGCTGGCGTTTCTACGTGTTTATTAAGATGTTTCTATACATATAAATTATATATATTCAACAAACTATTCAACTTACATTAAAATTTCCTAAAACTTGAGAAAACATTGTTTTAATAATTTTCTCAGTAGGGTTAATTAAATTTAAAGAATATAGAATATATGTTGTAAAAATTAAAAAAAATATAAAAAAAAAGTAAAGAGGATTTCGTATAACCATTACAATCTCGTTCCAGCCAAGAGCCAGAAGCAATACATAGAAATATAGTGGTATTCGAGTAACTGTAGCTACAATGCTACGTTTAGCATCAATATAGATAACATCTGCTACTCGTTTAAATTTATTACTAAGCTGTTGCTGTTTGATTAAAGAGATGATATTCCAAAACTTTTTTTGATTACAATCCTAATGAATTAATATAAAATATAAATAATCCAAAAACCATACATCATCCTTAGGTCTTTCAAGTTTAGGATATGAACCATCTTTATATTTAACATCGGAATATAATGGAATGATTTTCAAAGTCTATAAAAATTAAAATAAATTAAAACAGTAAATACTACATCTTCAAGAACAGCTTTATATATTCCGTTAATATCATCACTAGGTTTCCAAATTCTTGGGACACCGTTTTTGTCAAATCTAAATTTATCCTCAAAACTTTAAAAATTAAATGATTTATATATAAATTAAACAAAAAACATACGTATCTCTTAATATAAGGAAAATAGAATCTTCTGTAATTTCTTGTTTAATTTTATCCTTTAAGAAATATAAAGTTTTGTACTTAAATTCTAATTGATTTTTTTCGTTTTCTGATTGAAAAACGTTAAAACCTAGGAGACTAGTTAATAAGTATTGAAATAAAATATTTTTCTAACTAGAAAGCTTTTGAGAAAAAACTTTTATAAAATCATTAGTTGTTTCAATATATTTTGAAATAACGTCATCCCAAATATTATCACAAGGATTCTTTAAAATTAAAGAAATAGGTTCATCTAATTGTACTTTAAAGTCCTTTTCAGTATTAGTAATCAATTTAGATATTTCTTCTTTTTGAAAAACAGATGCTATTTTGTCTATTTCTTTTCTAAGTAATTCTAATTCTTTGTTAAATGACCAATCTGTTCCATCAATACAACATTTTGATGCTCTAGACCTAAACTCATCTTCTATTATAGAACGAGAATTGTCTAAAAGATCTTTGAAATTGAAATCTTTATATTGTTTTTCTAGTCCGCTTTTCATAATATTTTTAAATTGAGCAATACTTAATTTAAATAGTGCTCCTATTTGAGTCATATAAAGAATATACATTCTTGAATGAAGTTTATTTATTAAATCAGAGCGTTTACGAAGATAAATTTCATTATAATATTGTGATCCTTTTTTATCAAAAATTTCCAAAGCAAATACTTTTATTTTCCTCATTTCTTCATCTAAATTATCAAGAAACTTTTCTAAATTCATAGATTTCTCCAAAGATTTAACCATAGGCTCTATTGTTTCAAGTACTACTTCAGAAATTTCATCACATCGATATTGAGCTAAAAGTTGCTGCTGAGTTGGTAAATCAAGATCTTTATTCGTAATAATCTGTTCCCATATTCCTTTAACGTACACAGAAAATCCATCAGCTGGGACTCTTTTATAATATTTAGAATGAAATACAAAATTAGGGTCAGAAGGATTGAAGAATCTAAAGAATTTAATATGCTAAATATATAAAATTTTTAAAATAATATACCTTTTTTGTAATTCTAAAATATCTTGTTCAAAAACATCTGGTGCTAACATTTTATGAGAAAGAGCAGTAAATTGAAGGTCAAAAAAATCGTCAATTGTACAATTTTCTAAATTTTCAGGCTAATCATATTTTAAATTAGAATATTAATATCTATTGATAATCTACCTTTGTCAGCAAATTCCAGATACGTTCTAGATCAGCCCTTAAAATACTAGATAAATTTTCCAAAGGTGTTGTTCCTACATAATCTCTAACCACAAATAATATAAGAGAATTTTCTTCATTTCTATACTATGAATTTATATGATATATTTTTGACCATAAGAATTACCTAGATCTATTTTTATGAAACAATTGAAGGTTTACTTCAAAAATAATTTTTAGCAAACCCATATTTGCACCTTGATATAATCCAATTTGGTGTTCCCATAGATTAATAATAATCACATCACTAATTGCTAGTGCAAAAAGAGCGGATTTTCTTTCAAAGTCCTTATATATTTAATTCTAAATACATAAATGATAATATACCATACTTGATCATCTCCTCGCTCTCGTCCATCCATGCCCTCCACATCCATAATTAAAATATCAGCATTGCATGATTTAGAAAGCCATACTCCTACAAAGAATGATTAAAAAATTACATAGAATTCTCATTAATACCTTTTGTTGTCTGTTTTCTTACAGATGAGTCCATAATCCTAAAACATGTTGAAAAAAGTTTGTTCAACAGTGTACCTAAAAGATAAACAAAATACAGACAATGTAAGATCAAATCATACTTTTTCCTGTAGATTGGCTTCCTAAAACTGCAACAACATTGTAATTAGTGCCCTGGTTCTGTAGTCCTGAATCTTCTATAAACTTTATCAAATCTACACTATTATCTTATTAATTTAAGAAAATTAAAATAAAAAAAGCTTGCTTAAATTCCTTGTCTTCTGTTATAAATTGTATATTTTTAGACGTTTCTTGTGTGCTTTCTTGCTTTTTGCTAGAAGAGTTATCCATTATTTATTTGAATTTTCTTAATTTTGTATTTTGAATGCGGTTGAGTGATCGATGTTTTAAAGTCCTTAAACTCGATCCTATAAATAATATATAAGTTTATATAAATCTAATTATATCTAAATAGCTAAAAAATAAGAAAAAATCAAGTTGTTTTTGTTTAAAAAATAAAAATAAATTATTTTAAATTTTTAATATATTTATAAATATTTAATAATTTTAATAGCTTGGAAATAATTGTTAATGAACAAAAAATAATATAGATTTCTGAAATATCTTTTTTAAAAAGATATAATAAATTTTTATTTAAATCAATGAATATTTTATTAATGTTTTAGATGTTTAAAGTTTTATAAAGATTTTTGTTTTATGTTTGATTTTTTTATATGAAATATTTTAATAAAATTTAAAAAATAAATATAATTAGAGAAAAATACTATTAAAAGGCGTATCCTTTATATTTTAAAAAATATAAATCTTATAATCTTCATATATAAATAATTTGTATATTATTAATTCATTTTTCCAAATATATTAAATATATGTATTTAAAATATCACAAAAAACAAATTAGAGCATCATTATTTTTTTAATCTATATTTTATTTTTAAAAAAAAACAATTATTTTTATATAAATATTTTTAAATTATATTCATATAAGAAATTTATCATTATCAAATGAATTTCGTACTCTAAAAAAACCATTACCTAAAAATGTCATCTACAAAACCAACAATAATATGTAAGTATTGTTAATATTACATATGAATATAAATAATTCAACGTAGATAATGATAATTTTGATTTATGGCCATTAATTTCACCTATACTACAAAACTATCTTCCTTTAAGAAACTTACATTGGAAATATAATAATCGTTCACTTAAATCTATTCATTATCTAGATGTGGATATAAAACCATATAATCATATTAATTCAGGTGAAAAACCACATCAACTATTAAGTCTTTTGGACATGCCATATTTAAATATGTTTTTGGTAAAATGCGATGATATTGATACATATCGTAGTTATATTCGTGCAATGATTCGGAAATGGCATAATTCAGTTTTAATGAAAAAAAATCAAGAATGGCTTATAATACATGTTACTTTTCAGTCAGATTCATTATCTATAACTAGAAACACTACCCCTTCAAAATTTTTAACTATAAAAACATCAGTATATGATAAAATTAAGGCCGATTTTAATGTACCAAAAAAAGATAGGTATGCATTTAGTATTATATACTTTGAAGATCTCATTATTTAGATGCGTCCAATTACGCTTAGGAGATACAGATGAAATTGATGTATGGCAAGATCTGATAATCAAAATGAAAGAAGGTATTCTTACAAGCTTTAATACTAGAATAGCACAATATGAAGAAGATATAAAAAAAATGGATTCTCAAAAAACTTTACCAGGATGGAATTATTGTACTTTTTTTATCCTAAAAGTATTCTATTATATTTTTATAAAATTCAAATTAATATATATCTATATATAGGAAGGATTAGCTCAATCTTTTGAACATATGTCGCTGATTGAAGACGCATTGATTCAATATGATGAGCTAGAGTCATTATTTTATCAAACATTAAGAGGTTATTCAAAAAAATAAATAGCCAAATATTTATTTATTTAGATAATCAATTAACTTGGTTTGGTAATGCTGGAGGAACACATCTAAATGATGATTCAGAATCTATATTAGATATTTCCAAAAAATCATATCGATTATTTATATTACAAAATACAATATCTTTTTTTGATTTCAGGATTTATTTATTTGCTCGTCAGTGTCATTTACTTCAGAAACTAAGAGAATATGAAGAGATTCTTCAAAGAGGGAGAAATTTCATTACTACCATGGCAGCAACATTGCGAAAATATGAAGAAACATTAGTCCCTTGGTTTATTGAAAGTTGGGTTTGGAATAGTGTTCATAATCTTATAAGTATTACGAAAGATATCTCAAATAATAAAAATATTTCTGCGCTTAGAGGGGAACTTCTATTCTTAGCTCGACTGCAGGTATTTTATAATGTTTAATTTATTCATGTAAAATAACACTTCTTAGCTTGACAAAATTGGAATTGCATTTGGACATATACCAAAAGATTTATTGTTTAGTCATAAACTTACTAATGTTCCAGAAAATGATAAGAAAATAAGATTAGAAGAAAGTGAACATATTACAAATATTAAACTTATTCAAATGATAGATTCTAAAGAAGAATTTTTAGAGGAATATCATGTAATGATATCTAAAAAAATTTTTCCTCAAAAAGTTTTAATAATATTAGGTTTTAAATAGACATATATTAAAAGAATTTCAATATGGGAATAAATCAAATGCTGAAAAAAGAATTCTAGGTGATATAGCTGCATTTCAACAGTTAGTATAATTGCATTTTACATAGTTAGTTAATCTTGTAGTTATTTAAAACATTACAAGAATGCTGCTGAAATTTTAAAAAACATACCAGAATTATATTCAAAAAATGGTTGGGGAAAAATCGAGTGCTCAATAATGCAAACATATGCTTCTTGTACTCTTGAAAGTGGAGATATTGAGAAATATGTAAAATCATGTTTATCTTTATTAAAATCTGAAAAATATTTAACACAAGATAAAACATCATTTTATATTAAACAAATAGAAAAATATGGAAAAGCTTTAAATAATGGTATTTATTTAAAAAAATTATAAAGCTATTTTATATATTTTTAGATATTTTATATCCTTTAGAAAGCTATTTTTCTGTCCAATTAAGCACTTTTATCAATCAATTTGAAGATAGAGATACTTATTCTTTAGAGTTGATATTAGACAGTAAAATTTCTATGGATATTTCAATAGATAACATAAGCCTAAAAATGCATAAGGAAACTGATAGTCAAGAAATATATTTTATTAAAAAAAATCATGTTGTAAAACATGGTAAAAATATAATACATTTACTGTCAAATGTAAGTTCATAATTTACTATTTAATTGTTAATTTCAAAAAGATAACTAGTCTTGGAAATCATATAATAGAAACTATTAAAATAAGAATAGGAAAGATTTATCTTTTAAAAAATTTCTTACATTCAGGAAAAAAACTTCGTATAGCTTTATTTCCAAGAATAGGTTCTCTTAATGTTAACATTACATTACCTACAGATAGTATTGTTCTTAATTTTATATACATATACTGAATATTATAGTATTGCATAATGAACAAAAAATATCTATAGAAATAGATCCAGGAAAAAATGAAGTTGTTTCTGGTCATTTAGATTTAAAATTTATTAATCAAAATCTTAAAATTGATACTTCTAATGCAGAAGCATATTTTTTAAATAAAGGTATAATTAATATTATTAAAAAAAAGCTAAATAATTAGAAAAAAAAAAAAATCCATTTAAGTTAAAAGAAATTACAAAAAATAGTGTTTTTTTATTTGATGCGATTAACCCAAGTGAAATACTAGTTCTTATCATTCCATATTTTTCTGACAATGAGGTTTCGGAAATCAAAGTATTCTAAATATATATCTATTATTTACAATATTAATATAAAAAGGCAAAAATATCAGTAACGTATACTACGAAAACTACTGAATCATATATTTTTTTATCTAATTTTATTTTACCAACTATTTTACCATTATCAATTAACGTGCAAAATTATTTCAAAAAAAACTGGTAAAAAAAATATAGTTTTTCTTTTTCTTATATATTTAGTATCTTTTCTCAATTTATAGTTTCTTCTAATGCAATATCTTTACGAATTACTAATACAAATTTGGAAGATTCAAAAGATTTTTCTATTTTTTCAAGTGAAATTTCAAATAAAACTGTAAGTATTATTTTTATTATTAAAAAATTAATGACCCGTTAGCTAATCCTTACTTCTCAATCAACATCCTTTATATTCAAAATTGTTAAAAAAGAAAAAATATCTAACTATCAACATTTAATTTTTAATGTAATATATCATACATTAGAAGAAGGTAAATTTTCAAAAATAAAACTTAGATATTCAATTTTAAAAATCTCTTAGAAGTGTTTTATATTATTTCTGATATGCTTTTTCATGAATTACAATTAAGCAATTTTCATAAATATTATTTATACATAATTCATATTTTTAAAAAATTCCAACTATCTAAAATTAATTATGATGATTATGGATTAAAACAAACTATTTTTTCAAATGATCATATTAATTATTGGGAAGAAGAGTTAGCTCTTATTGAAACTAATGATAGAATGAAAATAATAAAGATTCTGCAAAAAATTATGCTTGTAAGATATAAAATACAATTTTGCACTTTTAACAATTTAAGGAACTTGAAAATATATCGATTGATAAAAAATTATCAAATTGTCCTCAAAGAAAAATCAGAATTCCTATTAAAATACCGTTTATTCATGTATTGCATTCGGTGGATTTTATAATTAAATCAAATACAAACACTAATAATGATATTTACTCAATTCCAAAAATAACAGTTGGAGAACCCCTTCATGCAGAAATAAGAATACAACAAATATTAGAATGCGAATTAGAGAAAAATTTACTTGAAAATTCGGAATTTTTTTACGAAATATATATTGACAACAATATATGGTTATTTTCTGGACACAAAAAAGCTAGGTTTTTTATTAAGGTTAGTTATATAAATACTATAATTATTGTTGATCTTTAATCAGAATAATTGCTTACAAATATTTCCTATAACATTAATACCTTTAAAATCTGGCCATCTTATGCTACCAACTGTCAACATTACAACAGCAGCAACTTCTATTTGTTTTGAAGTCGACTATAACTATAGTATAAAAAATATTCTTGTTTTACCCTCAGAGTCATCAATAACATTCCATCTTGGATCGATCGATCATTCTGAACCACTATACTCAATGTAGAATCTTACAAATCATGTATACATTTATAATCAAAAATATATAAATATACAGAGATACTTATAAGTAGTTAATTATGTAATTTTTAATATTTTTTCGATTAATTTTACAGTAGGTTAAAGATCGAGGTTGCATTTTAAAATTAAAAAACGATATTTTTTTGCAAATAAATAAAAAAATCTATTTAATATTTATTAGGCAACTTGCATAAACGAAATATACCATTAATTTGTTTTTGAATCATTATTTTTTTGTTAGCTAAAAATTTACTATGTTGTCAAATCAATCAGATGATGAGATTTCTTTTTATAATTTTGAATATCATAAAGAGGCAAATTTACCACGGATATTGACTGATGGGCCACTAAAGCTAAAAAAAAAATCTTTTATGAATGACAGTTTTCTTTCATCAGAAAGTTCTATCATAAGTAAGGCCTATTCGTATTCAAGTCTTTTGTCGATTAAAACAGCCTCATCAATTCTATTTAATAAAGAAAAACAAGAGGATGTAGATTCAGATGATTTGTTGTCACCAGTTCTTAGTAATTCGGTTAATTGCTCAGCATCTGAAATGTATTTGACTAAAGCTATATTTTATTCTTCTTTTCAAATACATGCTTTAAAATCTCATACAGCAAATATATTGGAAAACGAAATTTTTGTTTTTGGAGGCACTAATGACTTTGAGTGTTTAAATAGTATTTTTGTTTTTGATTTAGGTAAGATTTGTATATTTCTCGTAAAGATTAATATTTTGTGTCTAGATACAATGTATTGGCATTTTTTAAAAATAAATGGGAAGCCTCCTATGCCTTGTCAAAATCATACAGCAACCAATGTTGGGAAAAATATTGTTATTTTTGGAGGAAACGACGAAAAAACATATTATAATACAGTACATGTGTTTGATGTAACAAGATATTATTGGTATACTCCTATTACATCGACAGTCAAGCCTATTCCGAGAAAAGGCCATACAGCGTGCTTTTATAATTCTTCTATTTATTATTTTGGCGGTGAAACAGATACCAAAGCATTAAATGATCTTTGGAAATTAGACTGCTCTGATCTAGATTTTCCAATATGGTCAGAAGTAGAAACAACAGGACACAAGCCATCTCCTAGGGCATACCATTCTGCTAACATCATAGGATCCAACATGGTTATAATTGGAGGATCGGTTAGTAGCAGCAGTTATTGATTCAAATGTAACCGTAATATAGAACAACATAGATGTTTTTGGTGATATATTTATATTGAATATTGAAAAATCCCTCTGGATTAAAGTGAATATACAGTTGTCGTTGCCAAGATTAGCTCACAATTCTACTATTATAGGTCCATATTTGTTTATTTCAGGAGGGCGTGATAAACTGTCATATTTTTCTGACATTTCTTTGTTGAATATAAGTATTTATCACTAGAATTCTGCTTTTTTTTACACTCTTCTAGCTACCATGAAATGGGAAAAAAAAAAAATTAATTCTGCCGTATCGTTTGAAAGAGCACACCATGCATCGGTATTCAGCGATTTTAGACTGTTCTTTATAGGCGGTACTGACGGAAAAACTTTGTTTTCCGATATTTATTTCGTTGAGCTAGCAAGCATGGCTTATTACTCTTCAGTATCCATCTGCCATTCCTTGTGGCTTGTCACTGATCTATTCTAGATGACTGGTGCTGAAATAGATCCAGCAATACTTGATCCTGGCACTGATCTCGGCTAGATCTCGCTCCTTTACATACAAACTAAAGATCTGCTTTTAACTCATCCTGCACTCTCCCAGGGCATGCAGAATACCTCCTAAAGCTCTGCCGCTGGGCCTGCATGGCCCTGCGGCGCTGTCTTGAAAAACATGGGCTTGTAAATCTTGTGGACAAAATCAACTTGTATAAAAGCACTCTAATGTACAATACAAAGCCAAACTGGCTATCTGCCGCTCCGCTACTCCTGCAGAATCTCCTCCAGCAGAGGGTCGTCCGGATTCAGCGCCCCTTTCCAGATAAGCATTTAAGCATCGCCCGCCCCCCCTGCTACTTACGGAAAAGCTCCATCTTGAACTCCCCCGTCTCCGCATCGATAAGTCGCGTCGCCAGCTTGTCGATCGCGATCACACTCAGCACCGTCTGCACATAACCCTCGATCAGATCGTCCAGCGAAATGCCCAGCGCTACCCTCGTCAGCCCTCTGCCCGTCGCCTTTCGCCCTACTATTAAAGTCCCTGCCCCGTCAGCCCACCCCTAACCCCAGCTCCACAAAACTCACTTCCGGTCCATCAACACCAGCCTCTGCGACTCCGTGCTGAACGTCCCATCCGCGTTCTTCACGCTTAAATTCGTCCCTAACATCTCCCAACTCGTCACCGTCGGGTCATCACACAGCTTCCGTTGCAGCGGCTTCCTCGCCCGCCTTGCATATGTCGCCACCGGCCGGAAGCCCCCCGCCTCCCCAACCGTTACCATGCACCGCACGTCCGACACAAACGTCTTGCCCTTCTTGTCCGGTATGCTCCCAATGTCTGCCACGTCAGCCCCGTTAGCTTGCTCTTCGCTTCGCCGCCCATACTCACGGTACTGGATGCCCTCCCTCGTCACACTGCTCCACCCCGCGTTCCCCACCAAGCTCTGAACGACAAACTTGTCATAGTGGTGGTCTGCCTGCATAAAGCGCTCCAGCTCCCGCTCGTTCGTCACTATGTACACGCCCTGACCCGCGTTACTGTACGGGACTTTGACGACTGCATTCCCCCCCCAGCTCGAGACGATCAGCGGCACCTCGCTCTTCGACACATTCGTCAGGGTTTCTGGCGTCCGAATTGCCAGGCCTGTGCCCGACATTTCGGCATTGAATAGCTCGTACCTTCAGCGCTTAGCTGCGCGCAAGTCAGCCCGCAGCATACACCTACGCCTTTGCCGCCATCATCTTGTTGCGCCCGCCCGCAAGGCACGAGACAATCCTGTTGAGGACGAGGGTGCGCGTCTTCAGCGGGATGCGGTTCCAGGGCGCCTTAGTGACGTAGCGGAAACATGCGCGGACAGAGTGCCATGCGCCGCAGTAATCGCGCACATAGAGCACGCCCTGGTCCCACCTGACAGGGGGATCAGGGTCTTTGTCGTAGAACTCGGCAATCCAGACGGGCTCGTGGGTGAGGTCAGCCATGACGGTTGCGTATCTGGGCGGTCAGCAAGGCAGGGGAGCAGGGCAGACGCACCCAAGCGCCTCCATCTCGTTCTTGTCGTATATCACGGCGAGCCCGCCGAGGAGGGGGTCGGCCTGGGAGAGGGAACTCTGGAAGGCCGTCGACAGGACCGTATGGTAGCTGCCGCGTCAGCCGCCGTGCAGCGCAAAAGCCGGTGCACACGCAGACGCATGCAGTGCGCATACAACACGCATATACTACGCATATATACCGTATACACTGCGCATAGAGTGCGCATATACACCGTATGCACCCACATGCCATACGCACTGTATGCACAACGCATTACACTGCACAGAACACAGTGCACTGTGCACCAGTGCATGCTGTGCGCATAACGTATATACTATGCATACAGCACGCATACACAGTGCATATACAGTGCATATAACGTACATAACGTATAGAGCGCACACTATGTATATACTACACGCATTGTATGCATTATATGCAGTGCGCGTATACACTGCGCATATGACGCATACATAGCGCATATACGACGCATACAGTCAGCACATGCACATATGGTATAGTCAGCAGAGTGCATACGCTGTGCAGACACTGTAGATGGTGCTGTGCATACAATGTACGCTGTGCTGTGCATGCACTGCGCACACAATGTATATACAGTGCATACACCGCGCATATATGCCGCATGCACCGCCCTGGCCACATGCACTATGCATGCAGTGCACCGTACAAGCACCTACCCCCCGTGCTCGTCAATGTCTGAGAGCAGAGGCATGCTCTTCTGGCCCGACGGACACGAGTTCGTCTCGACAATCACCATCTGCCGCTGGCCGTATGCGTTTGTGACGTTGAAGAGGTCGGAGCCCGCCCACCGGAAGTGTGTTGGTGTGTAATTGAGGCACTCTCTGAGCCTTTTTTCGTTGACGCTTGGGTTAAGATGGCAGTACCGCAGTATGATTCTCTCGTTCCCGAGGTTGAAGAACGATGAGACGAGCGGGTGGATCTGTGCATTCACTGTGCACTTAGTGTTTTGCAGCGGAGCCGCGAGAACCTACAGCATCTCGGGTAGAAGCACTCCTGAGGCTCAAAGTCACCGGGCCTCTTGAGCAAGGCGTGCTTTCTCGGGCGGCTGTGCTCGGGCACGGCATCGCCTGCAGTCTCGTCCGTCGGCGGCATGGCGGACGCGTCTGCTGCCGCCGCAGAAAGCCGGGGCTAGCCCGTTGGCATGGCGACAGATGCCGCGGCAACACATCGTCTAGGTAATGGTTGTCGTGGTGATTGTTATCTAGGCAACAATTGGCAGGGCAACAGGTGTCACGGGAACTGATGACAGGGCAACGGGTGGCAGGGCAACGGGTGCTGAGCAGCAGTGGCAGGAGCAGAGTGTATAGGAAAGGGTTTAGAAGAGACAAAAGCATTAGAATGGGTGGCCAGAGGCGGCAGTGCACGGCGCAAGCGCCTACTTGCCGATCTCTTCCATGATCTTCTTGGCCTTGGCTCTGGCCTCGTCGATATCGCCAACCATGTAGAATGCGTTTTCAGGGAGATCGTCGGCACGGCCTTCAATGATTTCCTTGAAAGAGCGGAGTGTATCCTTCAGGCTGACAAGACGGCCCTCTAGACCCGTAAATACTTCAGCAACAGCGAACGGTTGAGACATGAACCGTTGGAGTTTGCGTGCACGTTCCTAGAAAAGCGAGTTAGAAGACAAAATGAAGAGGAAAAAAACGAAAAGAGAAGGAGGGAATGGGTTTGAAGAGATAACGGGGGTTGGAGAGGAAGCAAAACATACCACAGTCAATTTGTCTGCCTCTGAGAGCTCGTCCATGCCTAGAATGGCGATCTTTTTGCACTATCAGTCTTATTTCAAAATATCAACGCATGCTTACGATATCCTGGAGAGATTTGTAGCTCTGAAGGATGAACTGGACTTCTGAAGCGATCCTATAGTGTTCTGGAATAGAGATCAGGATTTTCCATAGTGAAAAGCAAGTTGCTACCTTCACCAACAATACGCGGATTCATCATGCGAGAGTTTGAGTCCAATGGGTCAACAGCAGGATAGATACCGAGCTCAGAAATGCTTCGAGAGAGTGTTGTTGTTGCATCCAAATGAGCAAAGGTTGTAGCGGGCGCAGGATCTGTCAAATCATCTGCGGGAACATAGACAGCCTGAATCGATGTAATAGAGCCTTTCTTTGTCGTTGTAATACGCTCCTGCATACCACCCATGTCTGTTGAAAGCGTTGGCTGGTATCCAACAGCAGAAGGAATACGCCCAAGAAGGGCGGATACTTCTGAACCCGCTTGAGTAAACCGGAAAATATTGTCGATAAAAAGCAACACATCTTGGCCTTCTTCATCACGGAAGTATTCAGCAACCGTCAATCCTGTTAAAGCAACACGTGCACGTGCTCCAGGAGGCTCATTCATCTGACCGAAAACAAGTGCTGCCTTCGATTCGCCATCTAATTTAATAACACCTGTTTGAATCATCTCATGATATAAATCATTACCCTCTCGAGTACGCTCTCCTACACCAACAAAGACCGAGTAACCCCCATATGCTTTAGCAATATTGTTAATCAATTCTTGAATAAAAACGGTCTTTCCCACCCCTGCACCACCAAATAAACCTATTTTTCCTCCTCGAGCATATGGTGCAAGTAAATCAACAACTTTAATACCAGTTACAAGAAGAGAGGGTGTTGTTTCTTGCTCAGAAAATGCAGGTGGTTCTGCATGAATAGGTGAAAATTTTACTGCTTTGATGGGACCACGTTCATCAATTGGGTCTCCAACAACATTCATAATTCGCCCAAGAGTCCCCGGTCCAACAGGAACTTTAATAGGTCCTCCTGTTGCTTTCACTTTCTGACCACGAACAAGGCCCTCTGTCCCATCCATAGCAATAGTTCGAACAGTACGCTCACCCATATGCTGAGAAACTTCAAGAACAAGACGTTTTCCATCAGGAAGGTCCAGATGCAATGCATCTAATACTTTAGGAAGATCTTCTGTATCAAATTGAACACTAAAGTATTAATAAATTGTTTTTTTTTGCAGAAAATAAATCTTACTCCACAACAGCGCCAATCTTAAATATACTTAAGCAATTATTGGAAAAATTGTATATAGAAAAATACGTACCACTGTTTTTACTCGCCCAACAGGCAAATTTTGTGCTGGTGTTTCAGATGTTATCCAACGGACTACTTAAATCAATATTTTGTCCAAAATAAGGCGAAAAAAGAGAAAAAAAGCACACATACTATTAAAAAATGAAGAATCAACAGTTCTAGAAAGAAGTGGTTGAACAACTGGCCGAAAACATGCTTTTTTTGCTCTTGAAGCAACCTGTCCTTTATGAAAAAAAAGGCCAATTCTACGGGTAAAAAACATGATTAAAGCAGAAATAAAGTCTAAAATAACAAGTAAATAAAGAAATCATGTAAAAAAACATAAACCACCTGCTTATTTTCTAAATTTATATCTTATAAAGCCGTTAGGCACAGTTTGGGTTGTTGATCGACCTAACCTGGTGTTCCTACAAAATCGTACAAAGGGTAAGAAAATTAATTAAATGGCAAAAGAAATATCATTATATATATATAATATGATACAAATAATTAAATGATATTTAGAAAAACATTCTTTAAAGTATTTATTATATAAATTAGACCATTGATACAAGTGCCATTACAATGGCTGTTCGTGTAGGAATATAACACTAGATATATGTAAATAAGTTTAAATTAAAGCAAAACTGTACTTGGATAAAATTTTTCCGTCCATTCCATTCGAAATCAGTTGTTTGATAAAGAACAGTTTGATCAATATGTTTTAAACCGCCAAACTCCTTAGAATCAGTGTATAAAACGACTTGATATGTTCCAGCAACATCTATACCAACACTATTTTTTATTAGAAAAAAAAATAAAATATAATAAACGTACCGGTAATCAATAAAACTTTTACATGGATGAAAATTGAATATAAATAAAAGACCAGCTCTTTCATAAACAATAACTTTATCAACTAAAAATAGATTTAACTTCATAAAACAAGCAAGAATTAAAATACACTCATTCTTGAGAGAAATATACGCTTGAGGTGAACTAAGCCAACAATATTTTTCTTCCATATGTTGTAAAGTTCTATCAAATTCATTTAAATATTTATAACGTAATAAGTTATCATCAACAAGATTCCACTAAATAATATTAATTTAATTTTATAAAAGAAAAACTATATACCTGTCTTCTAGCGTAATGGAAACTATTATTATTACCTCTATTAAAATTAGTTAAGTATAGTAATCAAAAAATTTATACATTCGAGGAAAATCTAACCACTCCTTAAATTTAAATTAGTTAGTTGTTTCAAAGTTTTTCAAGATACATACAGGATGACCAAACTCATTTCCTTCAAAACATAAATATCCTTCACCACCCAAGCTATGAGTAATTAATCTAATTTAATTTAGAAATAAGTACAAAATTAAGATTATACAGTCAACCTAATCATCTAATTTATATATCAATATCAATAAAATACTAAAAAAAGAGAAATACTTTATGTAGTGCAATTCCACGATCAATAACAGGTGTGATTTCAAAAATATTACTCATATTAGTATACCTAATAAGTTAGAAAAACATGTATATCTAAAAAAATAAATTACATTTCTTTATCCATTAACCAAAATGCTAATGTTTTATCACCTACAAGTGCTTGATCATGAGATTCAGTGTATCCGATAGTTTTTTCCATATATCTTCTATTTGTTAATGTATAACAAATATGACCCATATCCCAATCTTCATCTTTTATATTTTTTAGAAGATTAATCCACCTTGGTTTATTAATTAGACTATTTAAACATAATTTTTTTTACATATCGGGTAAAGCCATTGCCAAGCGATAATCAAAGCCAATGCCTCCTTTAAATGTAGGTATACACAACCCAGGCATACCAGAAACATCTTCAGCAATTGTAATACATGATGGGTAAAATTTATGAAGAACTTCGTTTGCCTTAATCAAATATCAAAATATATTATAATAAAATAAAAAAAATATCTTACCAAAATTAAATATCTGATTCCTTCTTCATCTGAATCAGAACCAAAATATTCATTATAATTTCCTGAAAAGCTAACACCAATACCATGATGAGTATACATTATACTTGTTACACCATCAAATCTGAAACCATCAAAACAATATTCCTCCACATAAAATCGTAAATTTGAAAGTAAAAAACGCAATACTTCATAATTCCCATAATTAAAAAGCCTACTATCCCATAATTCATGAACTCCTTTTTTTCCTTCATGAAAATACATATGATCAGTTCCATCAAACATATTAATTCCATCTTCAACATTTTTGCAAGCGTGAGAATGAATAACATCAAGCAAAACTGTAATACCCATACCATGAGCTGTATCGATTAACTCTTTTAGTTCTTCCGGTGTCCCTATAAAATATGAGGAATAAACATAACTTAATTAAAATAGACGATATACCATAACGACTTGAAATACAAAAAAAGCTAGTAACATGATATCCAAAAGAAGCATAATATGGATGTTCCATAATTGCCATAAGCTGTAATGTATTGTATCCCAAATAACGAATACGTGGAAGAACATTTTGCGTAAATTCACGATAAGTCCCTATACGATATTCGTTTGTACTAATACCTACTATGCTGTATCAACAAAAATATATTAAAAGAATAATAGCTAAATGCAAAAAGATAGCGTTATTGAAATCACATAAAAGTAAAAATGTAATGAAATAATATAAAAATATTATTCAAAAAATTGAAAAAAAACATAAATGTATGATAAATAAAAATATCGAAAGTTATTTCAAATCACCAAATGTATAGAAACTAAAAAAGTGTTAAATTAATGCTAAGAAAAAACCCAAAAAAATCCCAAAATGTAAAAAGACTTTGTTACGAAATCATAAGCAAATTTAAGGCAATAAGGCCAAAAATTGCAGAACTATAAAGTTAAAAGCAAAAAAAGTATTTCTAAAAATGTACCTGTTTAACAATATAAATATTTAAAATTATAAAATAGATCTAAAAGCTAAAAAAGTAAAAAACACAGAATAATAAATAATTAATGTCAAAGAAATATGCCAAAAAATCACCAACCATAAGCAACTTAAAATACTAAAAAAGGATAAGATTCCTATCATAAAAGATATATTAAAGTCACATTAAAAAAAAAACTAAAGATATATTTATTATGCTATCTATTGCATCATAACTAATGAAGAAATAACTTACCGTGAACTTCATAAATACGTAATGCATTTGGCCTAGGTGGCCTTGGATTCTTGAAAATATATGTTTTCTCTGGATTCCAAAAAATTCCATCATAAATTGAACTAACAGAAAGATCCTGTGTAACACGTCGGATCCATGCCGGAATTCGATAAATTGTATCACCAGACGTAGTAACCATACATATTTTTACACGCGATTCATGAGGAATAGCTACTTTCCCATTTACCGCTGATACAACTACCTCAAATATAGAATGTACATCTTTAACCATTGGATGCCGTTGAGTATCCCATTCATCTATGAATCAGTTCCTACTTTTTTCCTAATACTCCCTTACTAAAATCACCAACTAAACTTGCTGAAACAGCATTTGGTGCCCATTCACGATATACCAGATCTTTGTTAGGCTTTACATGTAATCCCATATGCAAATAACTCCGTGTAAACGAATCTAATCCTTCTGATGACTCAATTAATTTAATAAGATTCTTTACTGATTCATATCTCTTCTCTAAAACTTCATTATATGGCAGCAAAAGTGGATCTATTTATCATCAATAAATTTTCTCAAAAAAGCTTTAAATTTCGCTCAAACGCACCAAGAGATATAATATCCAGCATTGTTATTAAGAATCATTTGAAAATGTTTGCTTATTCTCTATTGATTTACTACAAATTGCTTCTTTTTTGCTATTGCTTGTTATCAATATTTTTTGAACGTCAACCTTAAAATCGTTCAGCAGTTTAGCACTTAGTTAAATCAAATAGGTTGTTAAGGCAACATATGTCACGTGACTCAGGTAATACATTAAAAACAAAGATAATGCAAGTTTAAGAAACAAGAATAATTTAAAAAAGAATTAGACTTCCCATAGACGAAAGAGAAATTTTTGCTTAAAATTTTTCTAAAAAATTAAAAAATTAGCACATATTTGTCTTTTGAAGATAATTATTCATAAATTCGAAAAAAGAAAACTTGCTTGAGTCAGCACCATATTGATAAATAAATCTAGATGCAAGGAAAGAACCAAAGGTTGCTTTCATATAAGACTCAGGCACGTGTTCTAAAATTTTATTGAGACCCTGCTTTTCTAAAAGAACTGAAGGCAGTGCTTCTTTAAGAACAACATTACGTAGAGGGATATTATCCCACAACTTTGCACGTTGGATTTCCTCATCTAAGCTTGTAATGGCATTGCTAAGCTCGTCGGATAAGATTGAGCGAAATTTCCCACTTTTTTGATGTTCTCTCCATATTGCTTCGAATTCAAGTCTTGCATTATTTTGGATAATTTCTTGCACTTGTTTCACATAATCTTGATAAAATTGAGGAATCTTTCCATCATGAATACACATATTCTCGATAAAATCATCATCAGAAAATGCTAGTGATGCAAATACTTCTAAAGAACTTGAGGTTACACCTCCTTTATTTGCAGATGAATCCTTATACAAATTACATCCAGCTTCTTCTAATTTTACTTTGGCATCTTGCGCAATAAAAAGATTTGCTCCTTCTACAATATAAGGTATACGACATTTCCCATCATGAATTAGATGAGAAACATTATTAAGATTAATTGCTTCTGGCCGACCACCACAAGGAACTAAAAGGTCAGCTTGGTATCTAAGATGCGCAGTATCCCTAAACTGGGTGCCATTTGGCACTACTTCGCCAGAAGGCAGCGTTAAATTCTCATCATCCAACAAAACGATATACCCAGAAGAACTTAATTTCGACCTATCGAAAAAAGAAATCATTTTACGTTCTCTTGCAAGCCGCATAAGTTCTGGACGGTTAATCCCTTCAGGATCATATATAACACCGCTTCCATCAATAATACAAACGTATTTTTCACGAGAAAGAAGAATTTCATTTGAACCAAGATCACCATCTGGACCTCCTGTTTGAATTTTGGTAATTTCTTCTTCCTTTAGATCCAATTTCCGATATATTCCCAAGATGTACTGCCGGATAGATAATGATGTCATACCATATACGTCGTGTGGGATTCCACCAAGACGTGCTGTTTTTCCCGTGAAAAAAGATTTCCACCATAATGCACCCCTCATTCGAGCATGTTCAGTAGCCCAATCAACCAAATTTGCAGTATTTTCATCTGGACCACAGAATAAAATTTCTTTATGAGAATAAAGATCAACAATCTTATCCTTAATACCGGGTGTTTTTCCTTCCAAGAGTAAATCAATAATTGAATCAATATATTTTTGAAACCCAACAACGGCTTTATCTTGATGCTCCATATCAAGAAGAATAACACCTTTAGCACCACCCTCAGGAATATCCTTGTTTTTCCTTTGCTGAGTATTTGCAAGATTATAATTTTCATCAAAAAGGCTTCTAGCATTAATGGAATAGGCTTCTTTATTTCTACTTTTAACAATTCTAATGCCACCTCTAGCAACATCTCTAAAACGCAAATGAAATCCCCTAAATTCCGACCCAATGACTAAAAACATTCCAAACAACTTTTGTGGGTACTCAATTTCAGGCAGGAAATCGGGATTTAAACGAAAACTTATTGCTACTTTAGTTACTTGGTAAAAATTAGTTTTCAAAACATGAGTATTGAAAAGATGAAACGCTTCCATTACTTTGTATTCATGATTATTATTCGTTTGACGTGCAGTCTCTTCCAGAATCTCCTTTTCATCTAAAAACCTATCGATTTGAATACGTTGATAAGATAGTGTAGGCCCTAATTCTTCAACCGTCATGTGAGAAGAAATATAATGTATACTAGCAAAAGAAATGTAAAAGAGCTTAACAAGTTCGGGATACGCTTGGATAATCTCAAAAATATAATCACGAGTAAACGTTTCTTCACGAAGACGACGTTTCAACTTGGTAAGAACCTCGAAATGAAGAGGATTATTCATATCCAAGATAGAGCTAAGTGACGAATATTCAGTACCAAGCCGATTAAGAAAATGTCCGATGAAAACAAATACACAGTGAGCATAAATCGCCTCTTGTAAGGATAACTGTCCTGAAGCGAACTGTGCGTGGAACCGATTTTGAGGAATACAATACAATAGTGATGCCTCTTTAACAATCTGATGAATACTATGTTCAATCGGAGGATATTGCGCTGCCTTTTCTAAAACCGGGATCAAATAGATACATATAACAGTAACACCTATACCAAAAAATCAGACAAAAACATATGATGCATAAGCAAAATCTACCATTCGAAAACTGTTCTACATATTTCCTAGTCGATGTCAATCCTAAAAATGGTTAATAGGCACATTTCTTTAAGGAATTACATAATAACCATAATAATGATAAAGATTCGACAATGCTGAAAAATAATATTGTGTACTCCCCCGTTTATACCCAATAACAATACGCCTTTCACGTGTACCATCTATTTCATACATCTACCACTGTATTAACATCTACTGCTACACAAAAACATTTTAAAAACCTCAATCACTGGACCAGTACGGTTCAAAACGGACTCCACAACGCCTTGATAGATATTAAACGTACGCTGAGTAACTTTTTCGAGAAATGTCTTGTCCGAAACAACTCGTAAATCTGAAAGCTCTTCTTTTGATGGAAATGGATTTACAAAATCACATTTAGTCACAAAATACGAACATAATTGTTGTTTTGTATATGTATTGATCACCCCCGATGACCGGAATGTTTCTAGACGATATGCCTTTGATGAATTATTATTCAAATAAAGCTCTTCGATCCTATTTTTCATCAATATATTAGATACTATGTGCTACAGCAGAGCAGTGCTGTTGTGTAGAAACAAAAAAAACTATTTATAAAAACTCCCATACAAAATTAAAACAATATCAAGATCAATATGTCTCAGACTTTATAATATCACAATACAATATCGCAATACAACGCTGAAATTATATCCATGCATTTTTCTACTATATATTGCCATTGCACTGCCCTACTTTACACACACCTCTTCTCATACAACGGCCCCTTTAAATTTGTCTCTCCAGGTACACTCGTATCGATATATACTGCATGATCATCATCTTCTCGCTCCAGTCGAATCTCTAATTCTTTTGAGTGGCGAGAAAATGCCACAATTTTTGCACTATAGAGAGCTTTATTCATCAGTCAGTATATACTGTATATATAATATGTATAATATACACTGCAATATACGTCATGTGCACACTATATACACTGCATGTATACTGCAAATATACTGTACGTATGCTGTACATATATTGTACATTGCATATATACTATATACACTATATATACGCTGTGTATACACTGTATACATTATGTATATATATACATACACTATATGTAGTATATACACCAATATATGCTGTACTGTATATATATATATATATATATATATATGCATATATATACGCACACATACACTATGTATATAACACATATACTCTCTGTATATGCATATACTGTATATACACTCTATACACTCTATACACTCTATAAACATCATATACACCGTATATATCGTATATATCGTATATATTGTATATACTGTATATATTATGTATGTTTCTGTTACATACCTAAAATATGGTTTGCTATAGTTCCTACACTTTCTTTTTGAAAATACATATCATCAATCCCAAGATTCTCATAGAACCATCTTGTCTCATTCTTTACCAAATCCCGAGGAATAAACCCCTGATTTTCTAAATGTGCTACAACCTCGTGCATCTGCTCTCCTTTTCCGTCGAAATGAATCTCTGAATATCCCGGTGTACCATCTGACAACCGATGATCTCGCGGTGTTGGACCCATCTTGAGCAGATGCACTGGTATACCTCCCTCTGATGTCCTACAGATATCAATTGGCATTCAGACCAATTCTAATCTATGCGCTCTGTATGAGCTGCTATATACGAGAAATCCCGCCAAAACCTCTCTATACAAAGCTCTTTAGATATATGCGGTCTTTTTCTACGTATATGTGATGTATATGCGTTATATATGCGCGTTATATGCGCGTTATATGCGCGTTAATTATGCACATCGATATTGCCGCTTTGGCACGTGCATGTACACACGGATGTCCTTAACACCGAACAAATATGTCTGAAATCCTAAACCCAGAAAAAGATAAAAAAGACCGAATATACAGCAAAAACATGACATTCGTACAGAGAAAAATGTATATGTGCCAGTATACAGAATATATGCACAGTATTTTTGGGATATATGCACCATAGATATTGAGCTCGAGCCACCGTCTACATCAACATTATCGATAATCGGTGTCGAAAACGGTATTTAACGTAGTGTTTGAATAGCGCCCATAGAGATGTCGCAGGGAATATGCGCATATACAAACGCATATCGCCCAAAAAGATGCTTAGAAATAAGCTGTCAGCCAATGGTATTAGTAATGATTGGATTTTTTACCGTTACAGTAACAGCAGTGATACTTACCATCCTTTGGGTGATTTCATAAGATAAGAAAACCGTAGACTAATATGTGTATAGTTTATCCATGAAAAAACAGGTAAACATAAGTGAGCAGAAAGCAAAAATAGCAGCGCATATACAATGTAAATAAGTGATTGACGATACATTTATTCCATGTATTTGATATATTTTTATGATTGTCCAGACAACATGCATATTTATATATTCTATATACGAATGATCTGCTTGAGAAGCGCTTCAATCTGACTATGTGAAAGCAATGCAGCAGTATCGGTGATAGGAGCATCAGCATCACTACAAAGAACACGGATCATTGCATATACATGTATAAATAATTTATGCAAGTGATATGAACCGTAAGATATTATATGTGATGATATGGCCGATATGTCTTTATCGAGACGGATTGCACCTAACTAGATTGAAGTTAGCAGAAGAGTATGAGATAAATCGTAGAATAGATGAATAAAAAGAATGTTTTTAAAGTTTTTGTAATTTAGTATTTTGATAATATTAATTTAGTAATATTAATAATATTAATTTAGTAATATTAATAATATTAATTTAATAATATTAATAATATTAATTTAATAATATTAGTAACTTAATGGAAGGTGTAGTGAATATGGTTATTTTGCTTACCTCATTTACTTTAAGAGTAGATATGATTCCCTCAAGACTTTTTGCAACGAGTTGTCCAGAAATTTCTACAAGACGGTTCATATTTTCATCAGTCAATTGGTTCTATTAATGCGTTAGCATGAAGAAAAAGATGTAAGTACTATGCAGGGTCCGGACCTTAAAATTAACCATAAGATTGTCCCAGCCACGGACAAATTGTCTTTGAATGGGCTGTTCCTGTTCTAACTCATCAAAGTATGTACTTGTTATGACGTATAATGATTTTCGAAAGCAATCATCAAGTAGTCTTTTCAAACGAGCTTTAATGAAGTGTAAAAACAAAGTATTTAACCCATCCTGAAAGCATTTTTAGTGTTAATAGCGGTATAAAGAAGAAGATACATTTAAAATATCAAGAAATCGATCTTGTAAGGAAACTAATGATTGAATATATTGATACACCAATGCTGTATCATTTTCACGTGGAAATAGTTTTTTTATTGGTGCACTTTTCTCGCATGTGCTATCAGAAATTATTTTTTTAATATAAGATTGAGATATGTCTAAATTATTAAGTAAAATAATAAAAGAAAAAAAATCATTTTCCTCATTCTCAACTCTGGGTGGGCTTTTGATAGATCCCGATGTTTTAAAAGATAGTGTTTGGTTACTTAATTTTCCCTTACATACTAACATTTGTCGCTGAACAATTCCAATATAATCCATCTCCATTATTCGCTTTATTCCAATCAATATTTCCTGTACCAATGCGGATTGGCTTGTATCCAAAGCTCTATTGATAACTTTCCTTAGTACATACATTATATCATCAACAAAAGATGAAATGGGTGGTGTAGATGTAGTGTCTTGTTCATTCAATTGAAATGCTTTTTCCACTGAATGACGCATAAAAAAGAGTTCCATATTTTTGTAAAGAGATTCAAGTCGCCCATAAACTTCCACATTTAATGAAGAAAGTGAAGGAGATAATAACGACGAAAACAGCACAGTTGAATTCATTTGTTTCACTGATTCGTTATGCAGTACCTCTGCATTGTCTATATGTTTTTGTTCCTGCTTAATTGTATATAAAAATCATTAAAAATGTATTGCTTACCTGGAATTTTCGTGCAACAAACCGATCATACAATGACCACTTGTGTAACATGTCTGAAACTTCCGTTAAAAGTAAATCAATATTTTTAATATCAATTTCTTCAGTTACAACGTTAATTTTATCAACAGAGGAATTTCTGGAAATATTGCTTGTATTTGTTATAGTTGGTGTATTTGTGTAAAGTGAAGATTGGAGAGAGTGTGAGGATGAAAATGATTTAATAAGAAATTCAAATGCATATGATTGAGTATATATGAGCTGAATTACATTAACAGCATAACAACAATCAATATTGAATACCTTTCTTGCAACCTGACGTTCTTTCCAAAACATTTCAACCAAAATTGCACAGCTTTGAAGGCATGCCTTATGAAGCTGTTCTAAAATAAAACATGCTGCTGTATATCCATAAGATTGAATCACAACAGGCACATGCATCTCCATGACTTTTGCTACATATTCAAGAAGCTTTGTCATGCGAGATGAAGCAGAAGTATTTAAAAGACCAGGTAATGTACTAAATCCAGAAGATATACCGACTGAAATATCATTTGAAGCAGTATTTGAAGAATCATGTGAAAATCTACCAAAAATAGAGGAAGATGTACTAATTCCACTTAAAGAGCTAGTAGACGCGATTGTTGTGTTAAAGTTTGTAGCAGATGTATGAACCTTATTTAAAACACTATCTAAAATACTACCCTGTGTACGAACTGAGGTACTATTCTTTTCTAATTCATTAATTAACATCATTATTTGGATCATTGAATAAAATACCAGAAATACTAGGTGATTTAAGAGACGTATTAAAAATACTACTCGAAACACTCAATGCACCATCTGAAATACCACTATCATTTAGAGTATTCGATGGCAAGCTAATAGAAGCCATTCCAGCGTCTACAACTGATGTGGCAGAAATGCTTGAAACGGACCCATTAGTTGCTGTAGTTACCGATGCAGTATCATTTGCAGTATGCTGCAATGTATATAGCGTAATTCTCTGTGTAATAACACGTATATACGCATCAAGACCCTCATTCATACGTCCAATAATAGGAAACATACGGAAAAAATGTGTCATTGTAGGCGCATCATTTGCAGCAGCCGCTGCCTCAAATTCACGCAGAAATATATAAACCAATGCAGCCTCTGCTGATGCAAGAGCAGCCTCTGCGTCTGGAATAGACGCTGTAGGTACTGCTTCTGCTGCAAAACCTTCTAAAATACCCCGATGATCATCTAAAGTGCATGGCTGACTCAATTTTTGGCTATTCTGATCCGAAAAAAGACCATCTTTGCACTCATAAGACTCTTGACGACATTTTTGAAGTTTCTGAAGCTCCTTCGCTGCTTCTTCCCAGTGACGCTGTTCAAGAAACGTTTGAAGCGCATGTAATGCAGCCCGTATTGAACGTACCTCTGCAACACGCTGTATACAACTATATGCGCGTTTCTGACCTATCATCAGTCCTCTATATACAAAATATACATTAAAAGGCATGTTGTATGCGCATTGTATAGACTCAATTCTTGCTTTTCATCAAAAATATATGTATTTTAGATGTTTCTCAATCCCCTTTCACTGATTATTCAAATATGCATTCCACATTCTTTATATCTGCTTTATATGCATTTTATATCTGTGTTGTATACGCTATATATGTATTTTAACATCATCGCCACACTCTATAAATACGCTTCAAGTATACGTAGACATCTTATTTCTGCTATATATTCCCATATATGTATTATATACATATTATGTTGAGCTTTTGTGTTTTAAATGCATTATTTAATTCTTTTTTTTTTTTTATGCCTTTTTTACTCCGTATTGTATCAACTCACCTGTTGCTGCTGCTTCGAACGCAGTATACACGCTGTCGGAGACAGCTGCATATAATTCATGCTTGTTGCACTCAAAAGATCTCGTGTAGACTCCTGTGCTGCAACAAGAGTCAAATACTGCGCATTTAGTCCGGAAATTGCCGCATATATGTCACTGCCTAGTAGTAGTTGCTGTTCTCGTGCCTCCAAATGCGCCTGCTCAACCTGCAACTCTTCAAAACCCCGTTCCACCTCACTGACTGTCACCCATTTCGAGCAATTCCCGCTTGTCTCCATCTACTATTCAAGTCTAAATAACGACAAAACAATAAAAATAATATAATAATGTACCAAAAGATCATCAATATTCCCCAAAAATACTATTTTGATGAGAAATACATAAAACGTACACTATATGTGCACATTACTTGTATATATACTTTGATATATTAACACTGTAGACCGGTTAACGGTAATATCGATGATACGTTTATACTGTATATATAATACGTATATAATTCGTATATACTACGCATATACTGCACATACAATATATGCAAGTGAGTGCTTCAAAATATACTGCACGAGCTATAATAACATCAGATAACGGAAACACAGATATCTGAAGAAACAACGCGTTTTAATGAAGCTTTGTTGTGCCGCTACAGCGTTATCACTATTACATTACGGGGCACTCAAAGCAAAATGTACATAAGTGATCGGTTGATCGATAAGCACTTTGCGTTAGTGTGCAGAGCACGGAGTACATACAACACGTATATATAACGCATACAATACGCATATAACCCATATATAACACATAGTACGCATAGTGTGCACATATAGTGTATTTATTGTGTATATTATCTACACTATATACATTCTGTATTATATGCACTCTGTATACACACGTGCATATACGACACACATTGTACACCATATATACAGCATAATAGCGTATATATAGCGCATACAATACGCATATAATACGCATATAGCACGCATATACACTGTAAAACAGTGCATACGCTGCGTATACTGAGCAACGGACTCAGACATAGTATTTCTACGCATATACCCGGTTTTTCACGCATATACCTGCAGATTGGCGCGACGACTCACTCCATCGATCCGTAGTGGCTTTGGATGGGTTTTTTCACGAAGCAGTGGTCCCGGAGGGTGAGTTTTTGCTTTAGAGAGTGCATAATTGACGATATTTTAGCCAAAATGTGAATAAACGCAACACAAAAGCACTGTTACGCGTTAATCCATCTGTACTTCCAGCGGCACTTCTTCCAGGCACTTGTACAACGCTAGATATTAATGGACTGCGTAAACGTGATGGAACCCTTATTTTTACTTCACAAAAACATCGAACACAGGCAGAAAACAGGCGTGCATGTCTTCAGAAGCTTAAAGATGCTATTAATGCAGCAAATGCAGCCTCTATGCCTCCACCTGTTCCCTCTGAAGCACAACTGCAGCGTGCAAAAGCACGGTAACTATATTTCCATAGAGACTCTGGCTGATGATCCAGTGTTGCCATGGCAACAGAGAAGAGGCTTCGTGACAAGCATTATCAGAGCAACAAGAAAGCGTCCAGACGTGCAGGACGGTGTGAGGAATGGTAGATTGTGAGTGAACTCAAGCATAGTCTATATGTATATCTATATGTATATATACATGTCTGTATAAATATGCCTGTATAAATGTCTGTATAAATGTGTATATACATACATATCATATTGGAGGTCAAATCTAGAGAGAACTCTGTGTTTAGATGCAGAAAGTGTGGTTGGGAACATAGGGTGTGTTTTTGTGCTCAGATCGGTGCTCTGGAGCCTGTATCTGGGTCAGAATTCATGTTTGTTTCGGGAATAGAAGTAAAGCGCTTTTGTAATTTTTTAAGTTTAGGAGAAAGAGGACCTAATGTTTCAAGTTTCTTTAATGTAGTGTGCAAAAAGCAGCTGATTATAATGCAAAGGTTGTGGTCGAGCCCTTCTTTATCAAGAAATGAATTTAATAAAAGACAGAATTTTTCATATGACATGATAGAACAGTTAGTTTGTGTGGTGAGCGTTTCGAATCCCAAAAGTGATGATTTGAGTGCATCAGGAAAGGATGTATTGGACACGTTTTTTAAAAATTTATGCAGTGGTAATGTTAAAAGTGCTACTTCAGCAAGATCAATAGTGGCTACTTCTCGGATCAAGGATACTATTTCGTCAAGCAGCCTATATTTGCATTCTAGGTTATCAAATGACTCAATCATGTTGTAGAATGATTCTAATAATTCAATATTATTTTGTATGTGTTGGATTGATGTTTTGATTATGATAGATATAATTTCGCCATTCATTACAGGATTATCTCGAAGATTTGGCACTGAACCACTTGATTGCTTTGGATCCGTATTAGTAGGTACAATTGAATGAGTTTTTTCGTATTTCTCAAAAGCTGTCTCGGAAAGAATAATACAATCATCATTTATTGTTTTGACAACGTTTTTTTCTTGAGCTACTTCTTCGATATCTTTGCCTTGGACTATTTCATCTTGAATTGATTCGTGATCACTTTTATTATCCTCGGTCCCGTAAATTCCTAGTATTTTGTGTCGTGTTGATAGTTTTATAATATAAAGCAGTTCCATTCTACAGTATTCAGTCCAAAGCTCAGGAGAATGCATGTTTAATCGTAAGCCTCGTTGCATTGTTGCTCGTGCGGCAGACATATTGTTGTTCCAGTTTAATTCATGGTATCCTGCAAATATCCATAATTTAGGTTTTGTAGGATGGAATTGTAATGCTCTATTTATATTTTAACAATGAAAAATACTTCTTTATATTATATTTACGAAGCAATAACTCTTCCGATGATCTTTGTCGATTTTTCATGCTGTGCATAATGGATATACTGAAACCATAAATCAATATCACCATGGAATTTTTTTGTAGCTCTTTCAAAAATAAGAAAAATACGCCGTACACCTCCCCAATCTGAAATTGTTGGCTTTCCTTTAATATCTATTGAAATAAGATTCTTTTATAAAAAATTATATTGAAAAACTTAATCTTTTTGCTCTTTTTTTGCGCAATGCTTCTAAATTCATTTCATACTCTATATATTTCAAAAAATCACTCTTTTTCACAATTCTGCGTGATAGTGCATGTTCAAATTCGCTTCTTTTTTTTAAAATTGAATTTATTTCCACAGGTGTAAATATTTTTTTCTTCTGCAGATCAAGTATTTCAGGAAAAGACTAAAAATATCATTCAATAACATAGAACAAATAAAAACATTTATAAATATACCTTTTCAAGGTAATATTGTGCTTTTTCCGCCATTTTCTATTTTAAAAATTTACAACTTTTTTACTATATTTTTTAGACTTTTTTTAAAAAAAAAAAACTTTTAATTAAAATGTACCTTTTAAAAAATATTTTTAAAGAATTTATTCTCAAAATAATCATTTATTCTTTCTTTTTTTATGTTTCAATTTTCATCATTTTTTTGACGTTCATTTCTCCCTATTGAACCTTAACTTTATTAAACCTAACTTAACCCTAAAATTTATAACTGAAACAAGTTTTTGTATTTTACAAAAAACAAAACAAAAATACATGTAAAAGCTGTAAATTTCGTGTTTAATTGTTATTTATGTATAGAAATGTATATTTTATACATATTTTTATCAGTATTAGCTTTAATATTTATCACAGTTTTTAGCCATTACAGTCATTTATTATATTATATCGAAATTACGTATTAGACATTTATACGGGAAAAGGTAAGAATTTCTTGAAAGTATTAAGATAATGTTAATATTTGATTAAAAGGCTATTTTTAGGAGTACAGTATCCTTCTAGACGCTTTTTCTGTGTAAAATGAATAAATCTATGATTTATTTGACATCTAGTAATGATAAATCAAAAAACGATATAGACAATCAAATACCAGAAAAAAAAGTATTTGAAGTAGAAAATAAAGATTCAGAGGCATTTTTTATCGAAGGTAAGGCATGTTCTCTAAAAAAAGAAGAGAAAACTATACATTCTTTGGAAAACACAAATCAATTGCAAAAAATCAATCAAAATCATCCAAATAAAAGGAAACTGACAAAATTTGTCTCAACTATTATTAATAATGTAAAACATGCCTGGATCAGAGCAAAGAGTGATTATCAAGAGTCATTGAAACGAAGGAATAGGCGTTTGCTGACGAAAAAATATGTACATTCACGTTCTTTGCGTCAGCAAAAAAACTCAACAAAAGTAAGAAGACGTATGCCTTTTCCTAAGAAAAATAAAGATATATCAACTGAAAAAACACTGCATGATGTTATTTCAAATGCCTCGACGTTTTCAACTACTTTTCAATCGTGTACCGAATGGTTACCTACTGATCCGTTTAAAGTTCGTGAATCGCATATACCTTTAGAAACTTTAGATAAAGAAAATAAGAAGGCTCCTTTGGAGACATTGGATGTGGTGAATCATCAATTGGAAACATCGATGGAAAAATCTTTTGAGGTAGAAGCTATATATTCCGAGGTAACATCTTTAAAAGAGGAACTTGAAGAAACAAGAAAACGGCTTGAAATGTTTGAAAAGAAGTATGGCTTATTTGAGGATCTTTTTGTTAAAACAAAGAATGATTCAAAAACACATATTGTTCTTGAAACAGATGATTATGCGATGAATGATATAACACGTTTATCACTAAACCCCTCTCAAGAATCGGCCGCGTCTGCAGGTGCTTTAGATATTTTTAACTCTGATAAAAATCATGAATTTGATGACGATCCTTCTCTTGAAATATTGTCTCCTGTTGTTCTGCAAAATAAAAATTATGATTACAACATTGCTGCAATTTAGGTATTTCTGAATAAGCATTTAGGTATTTTAGTTGCTGTTATCCTTTTGGCATATTTTTATTAAGGGTTTATTAATCATAATTTGTTGGTTGTCAATTTATTTTTTTTTTGAAAGAAACACATGTTCTTAAGTTTATAGGATTTTGGATCTTTTTATATTTAAAATATATTATCTTTGGTTTTTTTATATTCATATAAAAATATATCAATATTTAAAGCTTTATTGTTATCGTATTTTTTACGTCGTGTTTTATTATCGTTTTTAGGAAAATAAATGTTTAAGTACTTTTAAAGGATTAGACTCCATTACATGGTATTTCTTTAATGCATTATCTATATATTTAAACTAATATTTTTTTTATAGGGTGAACGAATCGTTTGTGAAGATTGTATTGAGAAGATAATTTCTCGAGTAAAACATGACTGGGCTACACCTGCAGATCAGAATAACATACAAGTCTCTTCTGATGATCCTTACAGAGTGAAGCTTAATCACGATGATCCTGAACATCCATATATGTGGAGTTTTAAAAAGAAAGCTTTATATTTTGCTATTATATTTTTTATGACTTTTGTCATGTAAGTTTCTTTTATTCATTAAAGACATAGATATTGATGGTTTAAAGATTTTCATCTCTCACGTTTTATGTACATTTCAACTGGATATATGTTTAGACTAATTTATTAAAGGTACCACATTTATTAGTTAAACCAGAACTACATAGATATCTTTTTTTATTATCTGTGTAAATGATTTCTGTATTTCTCAAAGTGTTGTAATGCAAGTATAGAATGCTAATCGGACTTGCATTCGGACCATTGATTGGTGCAGTAAGTTTACTTATATTATTTTATATGCTAAAGTATTAAAGCCCTTATCGAAATATTATGGACATAAAAGATTATTTTTGGTATTTGTTTTCGTATTTATGGGTATGTAAGACATTTTTCAATCTTCATTTTACTGAAAAATAAAATATAATAGCTGTTAATTTATGTCTTGTAATATCATCATACCAAACTTTAACGACAGCTGTGCTTCGATTTTTAAGTGGATGTAGGTTAAGTGTTAAAGAAGAATTTTAAACTAATTACATAAAAGTGTTAGGGGGTATAGTTTTTAGTTCATGTAGACTTTCAATATTCGATATATTTAATGAAACCAAAGTTTCTTTTCCTGGGGTTTTACTTCAAAGTTCTATTATGCTAGGGCTTCATACGGGTCCTATGCTTGGTTTGCTTATAGAAAAATATAAGGATACTATATGGTCATTTTGGATTGTATTTGCTTTATCGAGTTGTATATTTATATTAGGAATAGTAGTACTAAAAGAAGCATCGCCTGAAGTCATTTTAAATAAAAGATTATCTAGACTGCGATGGATAACAGGTTCTTCACGTTTTATTGCTTGTATAGAGGATAGAAAACCACTAAAATATGTTTTCATGTCAATATTGAAAATGTCTTGGGGTATTGTTTTCTTGTAATTTGGATCTACCTGTTAATATTTAGATATTTTAATTAGAGATTATGTAGTTTTATTCATCATTCTAAGCAAAATTGTTTTATTTAGTACATCATTCCTTATATTGTTTGTAAGTAATATTATTATAATTTTTTTTTAGTTAATTTTAGATAGGCTCATCCATTTTCATTAATGCAAACATATAAGTTAGATGTGCCAGAAACATATATTTCATTACTTTTTCATACTCTTGGTGTAGTTTTGGCGATTTTATATTATAAAATTCAATCTAAGTTATTTATAAAACGATTAAAATGTAATAAAGTTGAAAAAAAGCTTCTTCATCCTGTCATAATGTATCCTGTTTATATAATAGGTAAAAAATCTAATTTAGTAATATTCTTGACGATCATTAGCGCTATTTTGGATGGCATTTACTACTAAAGAATTTTTTCATCATTTGATTCCCTTCTTATCTCATATTATTCTAGGATTTGCAGAAACATTAGTATTGGTAAATATGACTTATATTAAGTTTCTATTTACTAACTTTTATCCAGGATGGTCTTGAACAATATATTGAGACTTCTTATTCAGAAGAACCGCAAGCTGCTAATATCAATCTATCTTTTCCTCTTCTAGTTATTGCTGCCATTCTTCATGGGTTTATAAAAAGTTTGTTTATTTTTATATAGAAATATATTGACTTATTTTAGTATCTTTAAAAGGCAAATTATCTCTTTTTATTATCATTCTTGCTTCTCTTAATATTTTTTCCTATTTTGTTCCCTTTAGTATTTCTCTATCTTCAATTTGATTAATAATAATATATATAGTTTTATTTATTTTTGGACCTGCTTTTAGGTCTAAAACTCAAGAAAAATAATTATTTTCTTAATAATATGTTTTTGTCTTACAAAAATATTTAATATATAATTTTCTATATTTATTTTTTTATTTAAATCTTATGATTTATTTTATTTAATAGTTTATCATTGTAGATTACTTTGTATTCTATTTTACTTATTCAATATAAAGTATATAGAAATAATACGGGTTTTAATTTAAATAATCTTTATTAAATAACATTTTCTAGATATCTTTTAAAATTGATGTTTTTATATTTGGAGTTAATTAAAATCTATAAATAAGTTTAAAAGGATTATACATGATAAAAGATAAACGGAATTTGATAGGTTTATTTAGTATTGGCGTTTTAAGTGGAGGAATAATTACTTTTTCTTCTATTTATTTGTTAAATAAACAATTTATAAAAGTACCAAATACAATTGAATCAGAACCTAGAATTCCAAACTATGGCAGTAAAAGTCCAGTTAATCCTCCTGGTTTGTATCAGTATTCTAATCCGAGGCCTATCAGCGATTGTTTAGTTCGAAAAGGATATATTTCTTACTATGATAGACGTTTGAAAGTCCCTGCTTGGGTATACTAGTATTTTTTGGATCAAAAATGTTTCCTGATATTCTACAAAGGTTTTGGTTCATATTACTCCAACATCTTTAAAAACTATTCATGGAAATCGCAAATATTCAAAATTTAAAGAAGATTCTTATATACCTGAGAAGTTTCGTGCTAAATTAAGTGATTATTTTAAAAGTGGATATGATAGAGGGCATCTTGTGAGTTATATGAGTGAAATGCATGGCTATTAATATGCTAAGGCTCCTGCAGCAAATGCAAAGTTTTCACAGGAAGCTCTTGATGAAACATTTTATCTTACAAATATTGCTCCACAAGTAGGAGTAAGTTTATATTGATTTTTTATCACTTTTAGTGCTTATAATGCTATTTAGGAAGGGTTTAATCGAAATTGTATGTATAATGGGCATTTTTATTTTTAAATATTAATGACTGAAGATTGGGAGCGTTTTGAAAGTTTTTGCCGAGATCTAACCTCTAATTACACATCTGTTTATCTTGTTATAGGTCCTTTATATCTTCCAAAGAAAGACCCAGATGGAAAATGGAGAGTTTCATATGTATTATTTTAATTTTTAACAAATTTTATGACTAATTATACAAAGGAAATGATAGGTAGCCCACCTAATGTTGCAGTTCCAACACATTTTTTCACTGTTATCTATGCGGAAAATGATTCGAGGAAAGACTCTGTAGCAATAGGCTCTTTTGTTTTTCCAAATGCAAAAATAGATGACAATACAAAATTAACAGATTTTATAGTACCTATCAGTGCAATTGAAAGGTAATTCTAATATACGCTTTGAGTTTGCTTATTTTTCTTATTTTTTAAGGGCAAGTGGTCTAGACTTTGAATATAAATCCACCAAGAAACAAAAAGAGTTGTGTAAAGAAGTAAACTGTGCTACGAAACAATATATTCTTAAAAAATATGATATTCAAAACATTTAAAATTTAATTAAAAATGATCAGTACTCCGAAAATGCTTTACTTTTTTTGAAATATATGGAATAATGACTGATAATGAAATTTTATTTTGACCTGTACAATCCAGAAAATTATTTATTTTGGTTTAAACATCATCAAGTCCTAATGACTGTGCTTGTCTTTCTTTTTGAATCCTAGCAATATATGTCCGACTAAATAATTGGCATTTTGATAATAATAGAAGATTTTTATACACACCTTACAATATTCCATGCATCCATATATCTTGCTATGCATTTCGAGACACATGTCTGTTAAAGAGTCAATAAAGTAGTATATATATATATTAAAAAACATGTTCAGTGCTTTCAAAGCGATTTCCAGGCTTAGGAATACATCGATCATAACATGTTTTGTTTAATTTCTAAAAAACCATAAAATTATTACTTATTAAATAAAAAGAGATATTTACTCCAATTAACTCTGCTGCATTTGCAACTGCAAGCTCTTTTTTGATCGCTTGCATCAAAGCTTGTTTTTTGTCCTCCATTGAAGTTATAATATTTCGAGTGTTCGAGATTTTTCGTTCGGATAGAAAAGTCTTCAACTAAAACGAATAAAAAAAAGTAAATTTGAATTATGTGCTGAAACAAAATATCCCCTATTATACCTTATTGCTTGATATAATATTGTTGAAGTTTGAAAATTATATTTTTCTAAAAATTGATATGTTGAACTATTATTTAACAAAAATAAAAACTTAAAAAAAAATTGTGTTTTATTAAAATAGAGGATGTAGTTATTGTGAATATATTGTTTATATTTTTTTCATAAAATTTAATCATAAAGTGCTTTTATGTTTTTGATTTATTTGCAGCCCGTGCCTTAAATTGCTTTTTAATTTCATATGCAGCATTTTTTAGTTCTTCTTTGTCTACTCCATCATCAATACTTTTTAACACATTTAGTACAACATCTATGAAGTTTCCATGAGATTTATCATCTCGAAATCTATAAAAACGCCATCTTTTTTTAGAATCGCAAATACATTCAACTAATCTATAAAACTATGAATAAAATGAGTGATGTAGTAATTTCTTAAACCTATGGTTAAGAGGTTCACCTAATGCTTTCATTTGTTCCCATTCTTCAGGGCTAACATACATATCGTACATTTCAGAGTATTTATTTCCACCTTCCCAGACAGAAAGTTTAAATTTAGGCATAGAATCATAGTTATAATCATTCAAACTTCCAGGTAATAATGGAAATTGTAAATTTAATAAAAAATCTACAGAATTTTCATTAGGAGGTTTCCATTTTAAACTTAAAATATAAGAAATCTAATAGAATGTAGAAAAACTGTTCTTACAGGGTTTCATCAGTTCCACATGTATAAGGAGCATTAAGACATGTAAATATAAGCCCATCATTTTTGTGCCGAAGAGACGGAATAATATCTTTAAACATCATTTCAATTGCATAAGAAAGCTCCATTCTTTTAAATTCAATACTTGATATTTGTCAAATATAGCTCTTTTCTTCATTTTTCAAGTACCTGAATGGCATGTTTTGTATAAAGTGAGAATATTTAGAACAAAATGCATTCAACGGATTTAGAATATTTTCCTTTAAGTACTTTAGATATTAGAATTCTTATTTAGGTAAAAAAAAATTTCTACTCCAAGTCGTTTATCCAAAGGTTTATTTAACAATAATTTACCCTGAACAGAAAGACAATCAAAAACAAGATACCTCAAAATTCTTCTTCCTTCTTCATATTCATCTAAAATTAATTCTCCATCCAATAACGTGTCATTATGAAAATTTCGAAAAGATGGATCGTTTAAAACTGGAAAATGAAGATTTGAAACTTGATAATAATCATTTTTTCGATCAATCTTTAGAAAAATATAAGATAAAAGTCCATTAAAATAAATAAAAGTACCAAATATACTTTTTCCCATGATTTTTTAAAGCTATCTTTTTCTGCAATCACATATAAAAGTGCACGAAGACCATCTGATTTTTCACATAAATAATAACTTTATAAATCATCAATTTCAAAAGAAAAAAGGCATTCATATACTCATTATTCATAAGAGTCTGTATATGGCATTTTGAGAAACTGACAGGTTGAGATCCTAAAAAATAAGGCTATCAAAGATATATCATTTAAAAAACTTAAAAAACCTGGAAAAGAGTCGTTTGAACGCTGCAAAAGTCTTCGGACTCGATCTCTAAGGTCATAAAGCTCTTGACCATTGATCTTACTGCCTTTAATGTAGGAATAATGGTCTTTCATAGGCTTTTTTGTTATTTTAATGAAATATTGGAAAATGATAAGGTTGATCGATGATTAGTAACTACCAATTTTTTTATATTATAAAAAATTGTTAAAAAATGATCTTAGAAGTGAAGAAAAACATAAATTAAGAATACAAAAGAGATATTTCTTTTTAGGTATTTTTCATGATTTTTTTTTTTTAAATTTTAAATCTCATGAAAATTAGGAATTTTTAGTATTTAAAAAAATTTTTGTGAAATACATAATTTACAGCTTTTTTATCAAAAAAAGTATCAATTATAAATATAATAAATAAGTATATATATATATTTTTATTTATTTTTCTTTTTTTGGCTCTAAGAATTTAATTTATTCGTGAACATTATTAAAAATTATATTTATAATGAGTATTCAATTTGGACTTAATATTTCAAAAAGCAGTAAAATTCCTAAAAATACACAAAGGACTGTGGGTTTATCGCTTTTTGGAGAAGAAGATGAGAGCACTGATGAAAACTTTTTTGAAGATAGAACAAAAGTAGTAAATCAAGAGCTAAATTTGCATTCTCAGTTTTCATATAAAAATAATAAAGATAACGACTATGATCGAGAAATTGATCCTTCAGGTATAAGGTTTTTTTTTTTTTTCAAAAAAAAAATTACATTTAGTTTATGAATATGATGAAATATATGATGAAATGAAAGATGCGCAAAAAAAGCGAAGAACAGAAACAGAAGAAGACAAGGAACAGAGAAAGGTATACTAATGTTTTTTTTTTGTTTTGATATTTATTTTTTGTAGCCAAAGTATATGGATAAGTTTTTCAGATTAGCATCTATAAGGGAACGTGATAGATTAAGAGCTCAAGAGAAAATGCTTCAAATAGAAAGACAAGCCGAGGGCGATATCTATAATGATAAAGAAAAATTCATTACAGATGCGTATAAAAAACAACAAGAAGAGTTAAGTCGCTTTGAAGAAGAAGAAAATGCAAGAGAAGGTGGGTTTTAAATAATTAAATTTAGATTTTTTTAATAAAATAAGCTTTAATGAAAAAAAAATCCAAGGGAATTATATCATTTTATAGAAATATTCTTGAAGAAACAGAAAAAGATCATAATGAAGTAATTAAAGCAATTTCAAAATCCCATAAAATTTCAAAAGTAACTGAAGAAACTTCGAAAGAGAGAACAGCAGAAGAAATAGCGAAAGAGTTAAATGAAAAGGGTGCTAATGTTATTGTGAATGATGATGGTGAAGTTGTAGATAAAAGACAACTTTTGTCTGCTGGACTTAATGTAGCTAAAAAGTCTATAAAAGTATCACAAGAATTTTTAAAAATGCAAAGAAATTCTTATAATTCTAAATTTACTTCAAAACCTTTTGATGCACAGAGAAGGGAAAGGGAATTTTTATTAATTCAAGAACAGATTAAAAAAACGGAGAAAGAAAGGGAAGAAATAGAGCGTTTGAAACATGAAAAGCTAGTCATTGATAGTCAACAAAAAAGATCATCCGAAGAAATTAATAAGATAAAAGAGAGATACTTAAAAAGAAAAGGTGAATATACTTTGTTATTATAGTATATATTAAATACAGTTTAGCGGAATCATTACACAATTCTTAAATACATTTATATTTTAATAAATTTAACGTAAATATATGATTTTATAGTTTTTAAATGAGAAACATTGTGAAATTTCATTGTGAAATTGTAATGATATATAATATCCAAGTTAAAATTAACCCAGTGACAATGAGTCCTAGAAAGATTTTAGTTAATTTCAATGAAATTTCTTTTGATCTAAATATTATATCTTGGTATATTATTTTAGATTTTTTGTTAAATAAAGTAAAAAGGCAATTATTGATATATCTTTTGTTGTAAAGGCTATCATGTCGATAGAATGAAGCAAGAAACACCAGTGAAAACATATTTAATGTGGTAAATAGCATAACAATAAGGTTAATATCCGTATTCTACAAATATTAGTATTTTCTTAATTATTTTATATATAACATTTAAAGTTCTTTTCTTTTTTAAATTTAATACAATATTTACTAGCTAACAAAATAAGTTTGATATTAAATAATTTTAATAAACGTACAGAATCCATTATAGTATTTCCAGATATTTCTATAGTTTTATAAAACCCAAATGCTATTAATACGTTTTTTGAAATATATAAAGTTAGTATAATTAAAATAATAGACGAGACGCCTTGTCCAAGAGAAAATAGAGTAATGAAAACTATATTTGATTTAATTGGTAGTAATAAAGACATAAAACTTAATAATGACATAAACAGTGAAATCATTACTTTAAACATTATAATATATTGGAATTTATAAAAAAAACTTACGTATTATAAGACGATGACCATAATGATCATTAACCCATCCTATTATGGGATATAATAAAAACTAAAAATTTGAGTCAATAGTAACAAAAAAACATAGAAATACAGATAATAATAAAATCCTAGACGAAAAATCTGCTGTAATTATATTTTCTAAAAAGTAGGTATGCTTAATTTTAGTCAAAAAACTGACAAAAGGATTCCTTAAGAGAAAGAATGTTAGTGATTAATTGAATAAAATAATTAACCATACCAAATACAACTACATGAAAAACAAACTAATAAATACCACCAAAAATAAACTGACATTGTTTCTATATTTTTAAAAACTCCTTTTTTGTTAATGAATACGTATAAGACTTTCTTGTTTTTATTTATTGCTTTGTTGTAAATTAGAGATAGAAAAAAAGAAAATAACGACAACATCAAAGAAGTAACAAAAAAGATTTTGTTTTGTATTAAATTTTTATCAAAATTATTTTTTAAAAAAGAAAATATAAATTCAATCTTAATATGTTAATTCTTGAATATGTAATGCACATTCCTTACTAATTTCTGAATACTTAGTATAATTGAAATGAGAAAACCCAGTTTATCTTGCTGAAATATTTCAATTATAAGTATTTCTTGCAACATAACAAGTGGATTAATACAAAAACTGAATAAATATTGTTAATCATGTTTTTTTTCAAAAATATAATTACTTGGATATAAACAGTCCTAAAAGAGTAAAATATTTCATGTGCAAAAATATTCCAACAATACAAAGACAATGACCTAAAAATATAGTGCCTGTAATATATATTGGAGAAAAACGTATTCCTGTTACATATTGGATGTATTTTTCTGTGTTTTTATAGATATATACCGTATTTTTCAATAATGAAAATAAATATTATTGGAATCAAAGAATTAATTAACATATAAGCCCCTAAAATATATTAAATCTTTAATAAACATACATATATACCCTTGAATAAAGTGAGCCACGGTTCCTCTATATTTAATCCCTTTCTTTATTATTTTATGCTAATATATATATCATTAGAACCTTGTATATACCATATATCCCAGAATGAAAAATATTTTCAAAATAATAAATACCTATAACACATCATAAGCTTTTATATGTGTAATAAAATTATATTACCAAGAGAAAAACTTGAAATTAATGCTAATAAGATTATTTTGACTGCCCATTGACGTTTTTCATTAAGTGTTTCTTCTTTATTCTTAATAAACACTGAATATCCTCCATAAACCTCTATATCTTCACTATCACTGACATTTTCTTTTTCTTTTACAATAAGATGTGATAGTTCAAATGATTTAGGTGCTTTTTCATGCTTCATTATAAATTCGTTATACGTAAGATGGAAAGGAGAAAGTTTAATATTTTAAAAAAATAAAGCAAGTTTTATTTTTATAAGATACCAATAAGAAGAATGGTATCTGTTAGTGTAGTTTTAGTATTTTAATTTATTTTAATTATTTATTTATAGAATTAGAAGTTTATGATGTAGTGTAATATTTATAATGGTATAATTATAAAGTGTAGACAATAAATTTTTCTGAAACTCTAAAACCTCTTGAAGGGTTAATAAATATAGTTATTTTATTAATTTCTTTTATTAAATTTATCTCGTAAAATTTTCATTAGAGATATTCATTATAATGAAGTGTTCGTTTCTAAAAGTTTTTTTTTTTTAAAAATAACTTATTGATTTTAAAAATTTCCTGGAATATCTAAAACAATCATTTTCTGTAAATTTATTGTATGCCTGTTTGGAAAAGTAAAAAATATATTACCAATTAATGAAAGTATTCATACCTCGGGTATCCATTGATTAATCTTAGCAATACGATTTTCATTTGTAGGATGAGTGCTAAGCCATCTAATGAAAGATAAGAATTAATGCTTTGTAAAAGTATGATAATACTTTGGTGGTGCTTTAGTTTCAGCCATAGACATTCTTTTCCATAGGCGAGGTGCTTCATTTGGATCATAACATGCCTTAGTTATAAATTATTATAAATAAAAATATTGCAGAATAAAAAAAAACCTCGCTCATAAGTATTAATCCTATATAATCCGCTATAATAAATTATATATTAAATAAAATATATAAAAAAGAAATATTACCTTCTGTTTCTAATTTCCTAGAATTAGGTTTTAGAAAACAGAGATCTACAATAGCTCTACTCAAAATGGATGGATCATAAAAAAGAGATACAATAAAATAACCAAAAAGAACAAGTTTTGTAAAAGATAGTTTTTCTGCAGAGTGACGGGCAATTTGATGAGCTGTTTCATGAGCAAGAACTACAGCAAGACCATCTTCATTTTTACAAATGGGTAATATTCCTGAAAAAACAAATACTTTCCCTCCAGGAAGAATAAAAGCATTACGTTGAGGATCATCAATGACCTATACACGTTTAAATTCACATCAATGGCAACATTATTCAAAAACATGAATTTCCCATTCCACATTTGTTAACTTCGATGCATTGATTAGTCTTGCCATTACTTGTTGTACACGACGTGATATTGGATGATTAAGGGGTAAAATCCGTCCCTTATATTGACGCATAATCTGAAGATATGTTTGTTGTGATAACCGTTTTTCCATTTGAGGAGAAACATCGTTAAATCTTCTTCTGTTTGATACAGGAACATATTCTAAACATGTTTAACTTTTCATTTATATAATTCGAAAAAAAAACCTAGATGTGATACATAATATGCTCCTGCAGCTACAGAAACTATAGCTATTTTATATTCAATAATTTTCTGAAAACTCAAAATAAGATATATACCAGCAATATACCAATTTTTTCTATTTTTTGATGAAAAACCTTCACGTTTAAAACTTTTATAATTGCTATAACTTCCCGGATACCATTTCTGAAAAAAATATCGTCTGTTTGTGAAAGCTTGATTGGAATTTATATTTTTAAACCGTTTACAGATCAATGAAAACATATTATGGTAAATTTCCAAAAAAAATGTTTTAATTAAAATAAAACCTTTAATTTTTTTATGGAATGATAATTATTTCCTTCTATTCATAAAATTTGCAAAAATATATCTTTAAAAATGAAAAAAAATCCTATTTTTTATTTCTAAATAATATATATTAACTTTAAAAAGAAAATATTTATTTCTTAAAAACGTTACTTTCTAGTCTTTTAATAAATGAAAATAATACTTATGATTTTCTTATATAATTATTCCTCAAAATTATTAAGATTTAATTTTTACTCGAATTTCGAGTAATTGGAGCTTTGACGCTATTAATTTTCTATATATTAAAAATTAGGATAATTACTTTTAAATTAGAGGAAAAATGACAAGATTTTTATCTAAAATAAATGGTTTTAGTGTTTTTTATGGGTCCTGTTTGAGGGGAACACGTTCAATTTCTATAAGTTCTCCAGCACTTGAAAAACTAAAAACTCGAGCAGAAGATGAAGAATTATACCATATTAAATTGCCAGAGAAGGCATTTCAAGCATATGATATTGATTGTCCGTCTTTAGATGTTGTTATTGGAAAAAAGGAGCTGTTAAAAATTTATTATAATATGGTAAAATGTGCTAGAAGCAAATTATTTTTTATAAAAGTAAATTTAAAAAACATACTAATACATACCTTTAGGTAGTAATAAGGCGTATGGAGACAGCGTCTGATTTGCTATATAAATCGAAGAAAATACGTGGATTCTGTCACTTGTCTATAGGACAAGAGGCTGTTGCGGTAGGCATTGAACATGCGATTACTCCAGAAGATCAGGTAATTACATCATATCGATGTCATGGATTTGCATATATCCGTGGTGTTCCTGTTAGGTCCATTATTGCGGAGCTTTTGGGTCGTGTAGGTGGAGCTTCTCGAGGGAAAGGAGGCTCGATGCACATATTTGGAAAAAACTTTTATGGAGGCAATGGAATTGTTGGTGCACAAGTTCCTGTAGGTGCAGGAATAGCATTTGCTATGAAATATCTGAATAAGCCTAATACTACATTTGCTCTTTATGGAGACGGTGCTGCAAATCAAGGTCAAGTATTTGAAGCTTTTAATATGGCCAAATTATGGAATATTCCAGTTGTTTTTGGATGTGAAAATAACAAGTATGGGATGGGAACATCTGCAGAACGCAGCAGTGCAATGGTTGAATATTATAAACGTGGTCAATATATACCTGGTATCCAGGTAGATGGAATGAATGTTCTTGCTGTTAAACAAGCATCTGCTTTTGTAAAAGAATATACGCTTAAGAATGGACCAATTGTAATGGAAATTCTTACATATCGCTATGGTGGGCATTCTGTATGCTTTAATACTTTTTATTTTGGTTAGTAATTTATCGTTTATAGATGTCTGATCCAGGAACTACATATCGTACACGTGAAGAGATTCAACATGTACGTAGCACGAATGACTGCATTTCAGGCTTGAAAGATGTTATTCTTGATCTTAATGCTGCTACTGAGTCTGAATTGAAGGTATGATATTTTCTTATCTAATTCTTTTTTTAAAAAATTCAAGGATATTGAAAAAAATGCCCGAACTTTTGTAGATAAAGAAGTTAAGCATGCTGAAGAAAGCGAATTCCCTTCTTCTGATCCTGCAATACTTTTCAGTGACATTTATCTGGTATTTTCTCTCTCTTTTTTTCTTTTTTAACCATTTTTTATAGCCTGGAACCAATCCAGAAACATTTCGTGGCCGCTGGTCTGGTGAAGTTTATTTTTCTAAAGACATTTTAAAAAATGTATAACTTTATGTTTTCATATTAAATTTATTTTAAACACTTTTTTCTCTTTCACGTGCTTTAATATAACGTTGTCCAAAATTTTGATTTTCATAAAAAAATTAGAATCTTTTAAAATACCTTGTTTCAGGGAAAATGTCATTGAAAATGCCAAAAGCACCTGGTCCGATGCTCTTTAAAGAGGGCTATCGTGTACAGCAAGGTGTAGATAATGCAGTTGTACGAAATATCCATGCAATCTCTGAGCTTTCAGGTAAAATAAGAATTATAGGTTTTTTCTTTTTATTTTAAGGACTTATATGTGTTTTTAGATATTTTAAGGACTTCCTATGGTCCTAATGGACGCAATAAAGTTATTGTAAACCATTTACAGGTCTTTGATTTTTTTTTTTTTGATTTTACATTAAATTTAAATAGAAAATGATGGTAACATCAGATGCTGCAATAATTCTTCAGGAACTTGATGTAGTTCATCCAGCAGCTAAAATTATTGTTATGGCTAGTAAACAGCAAGATACAGAAGTATTTAATGACTTTTGGAGCGAGTTTTTTTGATTGGTTATAGATGGGTGATGCAACAAATTTTGTTCTAATACTTGCTGGAGAGCTTTTAAAAAATGCAGAAGAATTAATTAGAATGGGGCTTCATCCTTCTGAAATTTCTCAAGGATATGAAATGGCACAGAATTATGCATTGAAAACGTTAGAAAGTTGTATATTTTTTAAATGTATCAATTGATACTTATGGAATGCAGATTTCTCAGTAGATAAAGTAAAAGATATTTTTTCAGTTGATGAATTGTATAAAGCGATTAAATCGTCTATTGCAGCAAAACAGTTTGGTTATGAAAAAATACTTGGATATCTTGTGGCGGAAGCTGCATTAATAGTGCTTCCTAAAAATCCTTTAAATTTTAATGTGGACAATATTCGTGTTGTTAAAATTTTGGGTGGAAGTTTGAATGAGTCAGTAGTTATTAAGGGAATGGTTTTTTCTAGAGAGCCTGAAGGAACAGTTAGAAAAGTATGTTCTGCAAAAGTGGGTGTGTTTTCGTGTCCACTAGATATTAGTCAGACGGAAACAAAAGGCGTTGTCCTTTTAAAAAATGCAAAAGAAATGCTTAGTTTTACGAAAGGAGAGGAAGTTCAGTTAGAATCTGTTACGATAACTATTTCTTTTGTAGCTTTGTTTAATGATTATAGATGGTTAAAGAGCTTTTTGATTCTGGAATTAAGGTTGTTGTCACTGGTGGTGGTGTAGGCGATCTTGTTTTGCATTATTTAAATAAATATAATTTATTGGTTATAAAAGTATTGAGTAAGTTTGATCTTCAAAGACTTTGTAGAGTTGTTGGAGCCACTCCTTTAGCAAGATTGGGAGCACCTATGCCAGAGGAGATGGGATTTGTTGATGTTGTTGAAACTATTGAGATTGGTAGTGATAAAGTAACTGTATTTCGTCAAGGTAATAACTTCTAAGGCTATAAATATGTTAATTGACATATTAGAAAATGAAAGTACGAAAACAGCCACTATAGTACTTAGGGGTGCTACTCAGAATTATTTAGATGATCTTGAAAGAGCAATCGATGATGGGGTGAATCTTGTCAAAGCTGTTATTAAAGATCCTCGCTTAGTTCCTGGTGCAGGTGCAACTGAAATGGAGCTGTCGAAGCAGATATTTGTCTATGCAGATGATGTTTCCGGAATTTTTCAATATTCAATAAAAAAATATGCAGAAGCATTTCAAGTAATTCCAAGAATTTTAGCGGAAAATGCTGGACTTGATTCTACAGAAGTTCTTGGAAGACTTTATGCTTCTCATTCTTTAGAAAATAATCAAAATATAGGTGTGGACATCGAGGTAATATTTTTTTCTCTGAGAGAACACAATTTTATGTTTTTAGGGAAATAATGATGCAATTATTGATGCAAAGGAGGCTTGTATTTTTGATGTGTTGTCTGTCAAGCTGTGGGCATGTAAACTCGCATCTGAAGCAGCGTTAACAATTCTTCGTGTTGACCAGGTATCATTTTTTCCAGTTTGCTTGACTAGACTTACATATAAAGATTATTATGTCTAAACCAGCAGGCGGACCCAAGCCTCCAGGTCCCAATAAGGATTGGGATAATGAATAGACTGTTTTTATGCATTATTTTTTGTTAATATTTTTTTTAATATACATTTATACATTTTTATCCGATAGTTTATTTGATGGCTTTTAATTTTTGTTTTTTTGTTTTTTTAGAGAAAATACATCTTTCTTGTTTTATTATATGAATAGGTTTTGTTTTTTTATTATTGTTGTATTTTTATAAAAAAATTCTTTTATAATTTTTATAATTTTTTTAAACGTTCACACAAAAATGTCGTTAGAATATCAACGATAAAAGGAGATTCATTTTTAAATATTGAAAAGTAAAGGTTTTTTGTCAAAAAAAGTTTTGATTTTTGAATGGTTTTTATTTCTTTTATATAAAAATTACAAATATTCTGTTTTTTTTGAGATTAATTTTCACAAATTTTAAATTTATTTTAAAAAATATTTAAATTTAGGATTTTTTCAATGAAATCAAATAAAAAAGAAAAAAAACATATTAAAACTAAATGTGTGTCAAGGGATCTGTCGAATATTAGTTTGCCTCAAAATGTATCTAAGAATAATAAGGAATTCGATAATCTTTCATCATATTCTCGCATGTTAGAAAAAACGCATGGTTTTCACATTTACAACTGGATGAAACGGAATTCTACAGGCCAGCCTCTAAATAGTCCACGTAATTCAAGTGGTTCTGATATGTCTTTTGATTTGCCTTTTTCAGGGAATAATTTTCATTTTCCTATATCTCAGTCGCTTAATGATTTTAATATAACATTGAGCAATAGAGAAGTTGCTTCTAATACATTAGAGATGTTTTTGAGAAAGCATGTTCCCGTGCAAAAGGATAATCATGATATATTTTTGAAAAAAAAATCAGTGCAATATACTGAGTTAAATAATCAAAATAAGCATATAGAATCACTAACGAACAAAACTAAACATAAAGGGTGGATGACAAGGAGGATGGAAACAGATCGAAAATTTTCTGGGTTTTCAAAGTCACATAGTAGTTGGAAATTGTATATGACAGTTTTATCTGGATCGAAATTATATTTTTATATACCCTCTCAAGAAGCATATGTAATGGCGCTTGAAAGTTCACATTCCCCTTTGAATTCTTCAAAGAATAGTGCTTTAATAGAATATACCTTTTCTCCATCAGAGTTTGATTTGAATGTTAGATCTATTTTATATGATGCAAATAATTTACAGAGATATTTTTTTGGAACTGTTTTAACTGAGTTTGGGAGTTATCTTCAAGGTTTTGAAAGAAATATGAATAGTATATTTTTGTCAGCAAATGCTATTATATTATGTTATCGTGGAACATCTCTTACAAATAATGATCAGGGTCTTCCTTATAATTTAAATATATGTGACATTGATTTGAAAAATTTATGGAAGCTTGATATTGTTTATAATATATATGATATAAAAATTTCATTTAGTTTGTTAAAAGATCAGGAGTCTAATCTTTCTAAAATTTATGATAAAAATGTTTATCTTATGGTTATTAGCAATCAGAAATTTTTAAGACGATTTATTTTGTCCAAAAAACAAGTTTTGTCTTTTTTACACAAATATATATTATTATTGGAAACATTAAAGAAAAAAGTTGAGTTTTCTGTTTTAGAAAATACATTACCAATGAAGCTTGATTATGAATTACCTTCGTCTATTATGGATGCTACTGAAGATATCTTGTTTGATTCTGATGGAACTTTAAAGGGTGTAGCAATCAAAGAAATGTTAAAAATTATGTTAGGAGCTACTAATGTAAAAACAAGTTTAGATGTTCTTGATTTGTTTTCTACTACTGTAGGTTTTTGGGGCTCTTTTGAAATAATATTAAAAACTGCGTTATCTATTGTTTCAGAAATACCAGAAAACTTTACTTCTAATATTGAAAAAATGATTAATATATGGTGTGATAGATGTTGTAGTCTATTTCAAGATGACGTATTTGTTAATTATATTGAAGAGTTAATAAAAAATGGTGTTGATTCTAGAAATATTGTTTTAGGTGAAATTTTAAAAAATAAAGTCAAAAATACAGTACTTACTGTAAGGGAAAATTTGTTTAATTTAATAACTATAGGTTTTTTTTAAATATTTTTACTATTTTTTTGACTTTTCGTTAGATATATCTGCTTATATGGTTTATGACGATACCTCAGAATCTGGTTTATTTACAAATGTTATTTTAGAGATACCACCTGAAGTATTTTCTCGTGAATTATATTGTTTTCATAAGTATTGTCTTAATATATGGGATCCATCATCAGATTTATCATTATTTTTTAATAAAACATTATTTAATTTGATTAGAAATCCTTTGGTTTTTGGACCTTATAACATACATTTTGTTACTAGACTCATTTTCGATCAGCTTTTAAGGACAAATGATAAAATGTCACCTGAATTTCGGGCAAGGATATGCACATATTGGATATCAGTTTCTATGCATTTAAAAAATTACGGAGATATGGCAGGTTGGCTTTCTATTATTATTGCTTTATGTTCTCCCTCAATAGTTCGTTTAAAAAAATTATGGTCATTAGTTAGTTCGGACTTAAGAAGTTTTATAGATAATTGTGCCCCTATTATGAATCATTTGCAAATATGTAGTCTTTATATTGACGATGAAGTTATAACTATACCTGATATTTTAATTCTTTGTAATCAGTATAATTTTGAAATCTCTACTTTAACTATACCATATTATGGAGAAGTTTTAAATTGTATTGAAACTTCAAAGTTTTTTTTAGTAATTTTCCCTTATTATTTTTTTATTCTAACTTTTTTAGAATTTTTATAATAAAATAGTAGATGTCAAATTATGTAATGATGTATTTGTTTCAGTAAAAAAAAAATTAGAAAATTGGAAAAATACAATATCTACTAACAAAACATTATATAATTATAATGATAAAGACAGGAACACTCGATTGCAAGAAATATTTAAACAGCTTAATTGTATCAAAAGTAATCCACAATCTATATTTTCTGACATTTTCTTTAAAAAATCAATTAAATGTGAACCGTTGCATCGTGGCTTGTATTTGCAACGTGACTATCCTCAAAATATGCATATCAAAATTAATGTTTTCGCTTCACTAATATTTAATTATATATATATTTCATATAATTTACTTGACTTTAAGGATTTATTCGAAGTTTATAAAAATCAGAATACAAGTATTAATATAAAAAATCGGTCTAGTATAAAAGACTCTTTTTCTCATGACACGTCTTTTCAGGTATCTAATCCGAAGGATATATATAAACATTGGAGAAGAAATTCTTTTCCGTTCAATAAATATTCTATATTTACTACACATAATCGTACTCCTGATAGTAAGCCTCAACATAAAGTAGTAAATTCAAAAAATAAAGTTCCTGTGATGTTCCAGAATGTTCGAGATATTCTTGAAGCTAATCAAACATTGTTTTATTATACTGATGGTCAGTTGATTTTACGGTCTACGTATAATATTTCAAAAAAAATAAAACCAGGGGGTCGTATTAAGATTTCTAAGAATGGTAATTCAATATTGAAGTTTCTTATGAAGATTAACATATAAGGTAATAACATGTCTAAAATCTCTGAGAATGAAAAGTTGGATAATAGAGCGGAATCTGCTCAAAAGATGCTATGTCAAGTTGTCGTTAAAGCAGGATCTCTTGATCGTCTTGTAGATGTTCTTGTTTTAGGGATAGATGATTTTAGTGGGCGTTTAATCCACGAGCCAGGTGATATACAGGTTGATCTTTATATAAATCTAGAAAGATTTCGTTTAACTTTTTTTTCTACATTTCGTTCATTTTGTGCGCCTTCTGTTAGTATATTTAAAGAATATTATAATATTTCTAATGATTAATCAGACTCTTCTTGAATATTTTCGGAAGCGTTTAATTGGTTCTAAAACTGTTGCATCGCAAATTGGAGTTGATATGAAAGTTTCTGAATATGTGAAGAATAATGAGACGTTCCCGGACTGGAATTTGTTAAACGTTAATAATAACTTACTTAATTACGATTTTTATTTAAAAATACATGTTGGTGTCTTAAAATGCATGGTATTATGGCTTAGTAATTATTTCTGTGATTTTATTGATAATTTGGATGCATTAAATGGATTTTACTCTTTTTGTAAATCAGCTAATGATCAGTTGCAAAGTTGGAAAGAAATAGTATTAGCAAAGAATGAATTAGAGCAACATATGACTCAATATCTTGATCTTTTTAAAAAAGTTACTGATTTATTTATTAAGTCTTCGTATCGACCACAAACAGAATTATTGCATATTGTACCTATCAATATATTAAAAGAAATTGATGTTTCTGGGTCATATAGTGATGAAGGGGTTTTAGATTTAGCCTATACTCTTGATAAATTAGCTGCAAGCTTATTTACTAAATTAAAATTAGAAGATTGGATATATTGCTCTGAGCTTCTTGAAATCCAATCTAGAGACATAAATTCATTTTTTGAATTTCAACAGTCAATATCTCTTGAGAATGATTATATGTTACACGATATATATAGTTTATTGAGTCAAATTCGTAGAACTCAGACTCATGATTTATTAATAAACGTGTTACCTCTTCCAATAAAACAGTTATTTAAATTGAGGCATAGCATTATTGAATGGGTTGTTAGTCAGGTTACAGATATTAATATTGATTGCTCTACTAGAACTGATCGGATATTATTATATCTTCGATTGTTAAGTGTTTATCAGTTAACAGGTGCTCGCTTAGACTTTTTTTTTGGGCCTTTTGATGGAATTAATTGGGCCAGAAATAAATATCTATTACCTTCGTTTGTTGGAAATGCTATTGCTACTGCTTTGGTTCGTTCTGAATCTAGATTGTTTACATATGCTTGGTCTATTATAGCATCAAAACGGGGTTTAAATGGCCAGGTTGAAGATCTTGTTTCTGTTATTCCTCAAGTGACAATTAATAAATCATGCTCATTTACTCCATGTATTGGTTGGGTTTTTGAGCATTTACTAAAAATTGTATTTTATATTCCAAATGTGGTTGGAAATTCTCAGCATATAAATTTTATTAAACAAATATTTATTTATGATTTTATTTTGCATATAATTAATACAAGTAATTCCATGACATTGAAGACTGATCAGAAAGAGGAATGTAATGATACAAGTGATTCGATTCTTAATATTCAAGTTCATGACATAAGGACTCTTGAAATGGTTTCAGAAAATGAGAATTATCCTCTGCGATTTAGCAATATAGAGAAACCTTTCCAAAGTTTAATACAGAAGAAAATGACAATGATTGAGAAAAATCAAAAGCACTACGAAGATATAAAGAAATATTTTAGAGGAATTGAGAAAGATGATGAACAAAAGAACATAAATAACAAACAAGTTCATAAAGAAGTTTGTAGAAAGGTGTTATCTAAAACAAAGAATAAAAGTACTAATCTTTTGAAATCGGCTTTACCTATTGTTTCAGCTTTTACAAATAATTTTAGTTCAGACAAAATCTCTAACATATCTACAGTGTTATCTCCAGAATTGTCTTCTGGTTTTTCTACAACACCTGCGCCTAAACCTTCTGATATTGTTGATTTGATTGATTCATCTGTAAGCAGTTTAGAAATCTCAAAATCTGAATATATGTTTAAGATTAAATCAAAAAATGGTATGAAAATGCTGCTTCGTGCACCATCACCAAACGAGCATAAAATATGGTATCAAAAATTTAAAGATTTATCTATTATCACTATTACTAGGAAAAAAAATGTTTTAACAAAAAATATGCCTGCTGAGTTAGCAAATGCAATAGCAGCTAAAAAGGCTTCTGCTAATCTAAATTCTAATGCATGTAAGTGCATGGATTAAAAATCGTTATTTTTATTTTAATATGTTAAAGGTTATGGTGTGGATTTGGCGATTTTATGTTCTCGAGAAAATAATAGTATTCCTAAAATTTTAAATGATTTAATTAATGAGATTGAGAGCAGAGGTGGGTTGCTGAATATTTTTTTTATTTTTTAATAATACAGTAGGTCTTGATGAAGTGGGAATTTACCGGGTTCCTGGATCTATTGTTAGCGTAAATGCATTGAAAGCACTACTTAATTCAGGGGAAGCTGTAAATTTAAAAGATGATCGTTGGGCTGATGTTAATATTATTGCTGGTGCACTTAAATTATGGCTACGTGAGCTTCCAGAACCTTTGATGACATATAAATTATATCCTCAATTTATTGATCTTTCCGGTAAGATTATATCTACTATGGATTTAGTTGATTTTTTTTAGATATTCCTGATTACCATAAAAGAATCACTGTCCTTAAAGAGCTTATTCAAAAACTCCCTCTTTATAATTATTTTTTAATTAAGCGACTTGTTGAACATTTTGAAAAGTAGTTTGTTCCTTTTTTATTATAGTTATCTAATTTGTTTTTTCTATAGAATCATTAAAAATGAAGATACCAATCAAATGCATGGTATGTATTTTTTTGCTTACTTTTTATTACTTTCATTTACTCACTGTTTTACAGCACACAATCTGGCAATTATTTTTGGCCCTAATTTCTTGCAGCCGTATCCTTCAGATTATTTGTTTTCTCAAGCAGCTTCCCATCTTTCGAAAATCCAAGATGTTGTAAAAGAGTTAATTATTCGTCGGAGCTGGATCTTTGACGATGATTTTATTCCCAAACTTTAAAGTTAATAACGAAATAACTCTTTTCTTAGGCTCTGTTTTTGCCATTAATTTCTTACAAGTTCTTTGTTTTTCTTCAATAAAATTTTTGTAATTTCTTTAATTTTATCTTTAAAGCTTTTGATTTCATTATCTTCTTGTCACACCATTTTTCTTATCGTCACGTGATCAGTATCGTCACGTGACTCGTGTTTCATACCGAGTCGTGCCGCACAGCCCATCGACAGTTAACGGCGAACGACGGATGGCGGAGGTTAGTAAGAGATATTTAGCTATATTACTGATAAGAATAGGCACTTTGCAACTTAGAAACTGATGATGGTTAGTGTTATATATGAATACAACATGAGTTTTTATGGGTAGATAAAATATTGCATTGATATTTATGACAATTTCTGTGTTTTTTATTTTTGATATTTTTCTATTTTTTGGTATTTTGGATCACTTATAAATGTCTTTTTGTTTTTTCTTGGATTTTCTTGAATTTTCTTTATTATATTCTCTTTTTTTAAGGGGGTTTTAATGTTTTTTTTCTTATTTAATGTTTTGAGGATGAAACTATATGAGTAAACATATTCAGGCTATTTAAACTTATTTAATTTGATTTATTTTATATATATAGCTTATATTACTCATGTTTTTGTGTTTGATATTCTTTATTTTCATGGCTAATATATTTTTGTAAGAGTATAGGTATAAAGAGAAATGTAAGCAGCTTAAACAAAAGATTCGTCAGACTGTTGCAGAAAATGATATGCTCACTGTTAAACTCGCACGTATGAAGCGTAGTATTCAGCGTCTTCGTCTTGAACGGGCTTTTATTCTTGAAAAACTTGAAGAATGTACTCCTTCGGCTGATGAAGATTCCAATGCGTCTGATTCTTCTGTTCATTCTGTACTTACATAATATTTTAATGTTTTTGGCTTATTTATAGCAGTTCAAGCGTGAAAAAGATTCTTCACATTCAGAAAATCACGACCCATTTGTTCATTCCAATGTACGTGATACGGTACCTTCTTTCATTCAATCTCAGTCAGCATCTTCTGCCACTACAACTAGTTCACGAAGACGTCGGACTCGTGATCCAGATGCTCCAAAACGGTAAGTTATTGTTTTTAGCATGATTATATTTTTGATTGACATTTTTTGGTTACAGTCCGTCTAATCCATTTTTAAAGTTTTGTGATGTTCAAAGGGAGAAAATTCGCTCTGAAAATGAAGGAGTTGATCGATTTGATGTTACTCGGGCATTAGGTGCTGCTTGGCAAAATTTAGATGATGAGTCACGGAAACCCTATTATGATGCCTATGAATTGGAAAAAAAACAGTTTAAAATAAAGATGGATGAGTATGAGAGTGGGAATTCTCGACTTTTGGCTCAACAATCGAAATCTACATCATCAAATGAATCAAATGTTCGTCAAAAGCATTTGAAAAATTTAGAAAAACATGATATTAAGCCTTCTAGAAATACATCTACAGATCTTGATGATGATTCGAGTTCACATGCGAATTATAATCAAGAGTTAGTGGACAATGATTCGACAAAATCAATTTTACCAATGGAATTCACACCAACATCTGCTACATTTAGTCATGATACCTCTTGATTTTTATCTGTATTTTATCATTATAAATGAATGTTATTTAAAGGTTAATATTAATTTTAGTTATTTCACTTAAGATCTTAATATATTTTTCAAAAATTAAAAAGATGTTTTAAATATCTTTTGTTTTTAACGAATTTATGGTAATTATTATGATTATGTTTATCAAAATAACTATTTGATATGAATTTAATCTAATACTTTTACAATGTTTTGAAAGATGTGTTTATAATATGGTTGTATATTTTTAAAACATTAATAAATTATATAATTATTTAAGATATTTGAGTCTATTTAACTTTGTAAAAATTATCTTTTCCAGCTTTTAGTATCTAGTAAAAATGGAGTTCAGCTTTTTGGATTGAAAAATAATTTTTGATTTAAAAAGCAGTTTGTTTTTATATTTATTTTTATTTATTTGTTCTATTTTTTTGTTTAAAAAATTATTTAGTTTTATTTATTTTGTATTATAAAATGTAACTATGTTTTTATAAAAAATAAAAAAATATTTAAAAAGGAGATAAGATTTGTTTTTATTGAAAGATATAAACCATTTTTCATAAATTATTCAATAGAATAATAAAATAATCAAACTTATGCATTATATATTAATAAAATATAAAACTCTAAAAAGATGTTTTTTAAATATATAAGATCTTAGAAAGTTGTTGCCATATAAGTTTTATAATATTATTATTGAATATAGAAATTTATTTATTAATTCGTAAATAGCAAATATTGAATATTTTAATAAGTAAATAATTTAATTCACCATATACCATATTTAATTATAATTATAAAAAACACATATAAATTCAATATTTTTACATTAAAGGTAATAATTATCAGGCAAATATTTCATATTAAGGGCAAAAAATTATATAATTTTAATTTACAGACTTTTAATATTATATCTGTCTACTATCTTTTAATAAAGATTAAACAAAGGTCAAATACTTTTCGAAGTATAATTTTTAATAAAGATTTTAACAAACAATAAACATAACAAAAAATATTTTTATATTTTTTACTTGTTTAAATATCAAAAAATAGCATCTTTTTTCATAAACCGGTTTAAATATATTAAAAAGCAAAAGAATAAAAATTAATTTAATGTTCATATTATATTTTTATATATACAAGTGTATTTTAAAATTTATTTTTAACTTTACGTTAATGTAAAAAAACCAATATTTACGTAGAATAAAATTTTATCATAAATAAGGTTTTAAGAAGTAACTTGAGAACCTAAAGAAATGAAATACGTTCTCGTAAGTGGAGGTATATCTTAAGATTTTTTACTTTTCTTCTAATCTTTTTAGGTGTTATTAGTGGAATTGGTAAAGGTGTAATAGGTAATATTTAAAATACAATAAAACATAGTAAACATTAATATCTCTATTAGCATCTTCCACTGGGCTTTTGTTAAAGACTGCTGGTCTTAAGATATGTATTTTTGTCTTATTATTATGGTTGGATTAAAATATACTATACGTTTCAGCGATTAAGATTGATCCATATATGAATATTGATGCAGGAACAATGAGCCCTCTTGAACATGGTATTTAGAAATTTTTTAGAAAAAAAAACCTCATTAAATTAGGAGAGGTCTTTGTTTTAGATGACGGAGGAGAAGTTGATTTAGATTTGGGGAATTATGAACGATATCTTAATATTACATTAAAACGTGAAAACAATATTACAACAGGGAAAATATATAGTCAGGTTATTGAGAAAGAAGTGAAATTAGCAGATATATAGAGAATTCACCTTATGATTGTTAGAGAAAAGGTGATTACCTGGGAAAAACCGTTCAAGTAGTTCCACATGTTACCAATGCGATTCAAGATTGGATTGAGCGGGTAGCAAAAGTTCCTGTTGATGAAACACTTGAAGAACCTGATATTTGCGTTGTGGAGGTAAATATAATATTATATATATTGTTTATTTATTTATAGCTTGGCGGAACTGTTGGTGACATTGAATCATCTGCGTTTGTCGAAGCAATGCGTCAGTTTCAATTTAGAGTTGGATATGATAATTTTGCTGTTATTCATGTGTCTTTAATTCCTACAATTAATGGTGAACAAAAAACCAAACCAACACAAACAGCTATTCGTGATATGAGAGGACTTGGATTATATCCGGATTTTGTAAATCAAATCAATGTTTTTTATATGTTTATAACTTTAAAAGATTGCATGTAGATCAACAAAGCCTTTAGAAAATTGTACTGTGGAGAAAATTGCAATGTTTTGTCATGTTGGGCCAGATAAAGTTTTAGTAGTACATGATGTTTCATCTACATACCATGTACCTATACTTCTTGAAGAACAGGGAATAATTGGATCACTTTCAAAAAGATTAAAGCTAAATGATATCTATATTTCAGAAAAATTGCGTAAAGCAGGTAAACAACTTTGGACACAATGGAAAATGCTTACGGAATCGTATTGTATACATTTTGTTTTCTTTCGAATACTAATAAGCATACAGATATGATCGTTTGTATAATAGTATATCAGTTGCTATAGTTGGAAAGTATACGAATCTTCAAGACTCATATATTTCTGTTGTAAAATCTCTTGAGCATGCATCACTTAAGTGTAACAGAAAGTTAAATATATTATGGATAGATTCCACAGATTTGGAAGACGACAAAAAAATATCAAGCCCAATCACATATCATAAAGCATGGCATTCTATTTGTTCAGCAAAGTATTAAGCTTATTTCAAATTCTTTTATTTAATCATTGAAGTGCAATTCTTATCCCTGGAGGATTTGGTGTTCGAGGAACTGAAGGAATGATTGCTGCTGCAAAATGGGCACGGAAAAACAAAGTACCATTTCTTGGTATTTGTTTAGGGTTTCAAATATCTGTGATTGAATTTTCAAGGAATGTTTGCAATCTTAAAGGTATATTATATTATTTTATTTTCAGCATTTTATAATCTGAGTCTCCAATATTTATTGTTGTTGAGAGATATTTAAGGAATGCAAGATTAATTTTGTTCAATTATTTGTACACAATATTTCTTCATAATTGTATACTTTGTCACTGAACTAACATATTTTTTTAGATGCCCATTCAACAGAAATACAAGAGAACACAGAAACGCCGGTTATTATCAATATATCAAAAATTGATAAGCTATATTATGGAGGAACTATGTGTTTAGGTCTTAGAAAAATATTTTTTCAAAAAGATATTGAATGGAGTAAAATAAAAAAATTATATAATAATAAAGATTCTATAAATGAAAGACATCGACATCGATATGAAATAAATCTGGATTATGTTAAGCAATTAGAAAATGCTGGTTTAATTTTTGTTGGAAAAGATGAATCAGAAACAAGAATGGAAATTTTTGAACTTAAAGATCATCCTTATTTTATCGGTACGCAATTTCATCCTGGTGTGTTATATTTTTTATTTGATTTATGAATAATTAATTGTATATAGAATATTTAACAAGACCATTATCACCATCACCTCCATATTTAGGATTAATTGCAGCTAGTTGTGGAATTTTGGAAGAAATTTTAAAAAAAAACCAATTATAATACATCAAAAGCCCTCAAAAAACCTATTGAATATAGTTTATTATATCTTATATAGCATTTATTGTGTAACATATTAAGAAATTTTTTAATAAATTTTGTAACATAACGCAATACAGCAACTATTTGTTTTTAGAAAAAATGTTATCTTTAAATAATTTTATTTCATGACATTTATTAAAGTTTTGTTTTTTTTTAAATAAGGATATTTTTTCAACAATTCATTTTCAAACTCTTTTGCTTCGTTTGCTATATTTCCTCCTTGTTTTTGGGCTTCTCTTACCCAAAATAGTGATTTATCAAAAGATTTTTCTTCTTCATATAATCTTGCTAAATTCATTTGACTTATTTGAAACCCAGAAAAAGCTGCTATTTCATACCATTCTTTAGAAAATAAAATATCGCCTTTTTTTCTATATATAGTACCTAAATTATGAGCTGCTTCTAAAACGCCATTAGATGCTGCTTGTAAAAGATAATTCAAACTCTCTTCATCTGATGTATAAAGAGATCTTCCAAAATGTCCATTAGGATTATCTATATAAATAAATATACTATTTTCCTAAAATTATTTAAAACTTGCCCATCTCAGAAGCACGAATAAACCAATACTTTGCTTCTTTATCTTCTCCCATGCGTTTTTTAAGAACAGCTAAAGAAACCATAGCATCTGAATTTCCTCCTTCAATAGATTTAAGATAGAATCTTTCTGCTTGCTTATTATTATTTAGTTTCAAAGAAAGATTTCCAAGAACTAGTAATGCTTTTGTATTTCCTTTAATTGAAAGATTTCTATAAATATACAAAGCCTCATGTAATTCACTAGATGAACCAGATTTCATTTTTTTTTCAGCAATGTATAACATTGCTAAATCACTTCCTTTTAATGACGCTATTTGAATAAGAAACTTACAAAAATCTTTTTTTTTCTCTAAAATCAATTCAGACACCGGTGCTTTTAGCATAATTCTAGCAATCAAAAACAATTCATCTGCAGATACTAAAGAAGGAATAAAATCACCTGCCTTCATTATAAGTAATTTATTGTCTAATGAAAACGTTGTATCTGGTAATTCTTGTTTTAATAATTTCATATGTTCAATAATATCTAATATTTCAGAATATGTTTTTTTAATAACTTTTTTTCTTTTTGCATAAACGTACAAAGACTTTGGGCCAAGAAGATCTTTTAAAGCATCTGTCTCATTATTTTTATAAAAAAAATTCATTTTATAGTTTTGATGGTATTTCGTGTGAAATAAACACACTTTTGCACAAAAAAATATATTAAAAGCCCCAAGTAAATATCCAAATACAATATAAGGTTTGTCATTCCTGTATAAAGTCCAAAAACCCTTTTTAAAAAGCAAATACATATGTTTTTGCCAGTCCTTTTTAAGCAAATAAAAAAACTATAAATATCCTAAATTAATTTAAAAAACAAAGATAACTTAAATATATCCAAAATTTCTCTTTTATTATCTATTTTGGCCCTTTTTCATATATTATTTTACATATCTTCTTCTAAACCTTATTTCTCAGTCCCTTCCTATCATCTTGATCTCCTTGACAACCGTGGATTGCTCTGACAACGTCCAAAACATGACGAACAACATCTACGGTTAACGACAAATAAAATGAGCCTGAAAACACATATTGCACAGCAATTTAGAGAAATTATATGGTATTCTCTAGATAATGGCTTAATATCTAATGCAACATTTATTGCTGAACGGCTTTATTGGTATGATACAAGCAATGCGGACGCAAAACATCTTTTTTCATTATGTTTGTTAAGATCAGGAAGATATTTGACAGTACTTTATATGACAGAGGGAGTAAAACACGTAGGATGTGCGTATATGTATGCACAAGCATGTCTACAGCTTGGGAAGTGTAAACAAGGGATTGCAGCACTTGAAGCAGTGTCTTCTCAGTGGACAAAGAGTAATAATATGTGTACGAGTATTTGTAGAAGTTTAAGGAGATACTTACAATATATAAGACCAGCACGATGATATTTATCGGTGTCATTTGCCAGATGCAGCAGCAATTTTTTGTCTTTTGGGTCATTTGAGCAAGAAAGGTGGTATGGTTAAAAAAGCTACAGATTACTATATTTGTTCGATCAAGCTGAATCCGTTTTTATGGGAAGCTTTTGATGGGCTTTGTTCTCTTGGCAAGCTTCATGTTTTTGGATGATTTTCTGTATAATAATGGCAACTAGGATGCAATCTTCATGTAAAAAATATATTTAAAGTAACAGTAGGAATGCAAGCAGAACGATCAAGAGCACAGAATATTCCTGTGCAAGCGAATATTTTGCAAAATGTTGACCCTTATATATCACAAAACACTGATTCAGAAGCACATTCAACAAGTCATATGGTCCATACACCAGATATATTTAATTCACAGAAAAATAACACACCACCTTTTATATCTCATTATCCACAATCATCATTTTTAAATCGTTTAGAAACAACGGAAACACCAGGGTATTTGGCTATGTAATAATTTAACAAATTAATTAATATTGTACAGATCACCAACAGCACAGCAAATAAAATCATCTGAAATGATTCATAATTTTTTAGACCATTCTGTCGCAGGGTCATCTAGTTTTATTAGTCCTCCGAACTTTTTAGATACTAAAATTCGATTAAATCAAGCTAAAGCAAGTCCTACAACCCGAAGTAATATTGATAAAGATTTTACTGTAGAATTATCTTTTTTTATTTGTAAATGATTGACTTTAATGTTTAGAAAAATTCATCACCTATAGACATTCCTCAAAGAAGAAGTCAACGTCATTTACCTAATGCATCGAAAATTGCATCAAAATTGGCATCTACAACATCATCAATCAGAGATGGTCGAAAAAGCAAATCACAAATGAATCGGTCAAAACAGGAAGAGAATATTCAAGTACAAGAAATACAAGTAAATAATATATATATATATAATAACAATTTAAATGTTTTTAGACATTAAACACATCTCAATCTTGCTTTCAATATGGTCAAAAACCAAATGGTCAAATAGTTATGTCCTTTGCAGAACGCATTGAAGCAGAAACATGCTTATTAGATTTATGCAGGTCTATTGCAGACGGATGTCATGCTCTTGCTAAATATGATGGCGCAAAAGCAATTGAATATTTTAAATCATTGCAACCTATTTCTCAGCGTAATTCTGTTTTTGTTCTTAGTAAAATTGGAAGAGCATATTTCGAAATGGTTAATTATGATGAAGTATATATAAATTTCTATTTTCTGGCTTTATTTATTCTTCTAGGCTGAAAAATACTTTTATCGTCTTCGAAAAGCTGATCCTACAAGAGTAGAAGACATGGAGATTTATTCTACAGTCCTTTGGCATCTCAGGAAAGAAGTTGAGTTAAGTTTTTTAGCCCATGAAATACTTGATTTAGATCGTCTTGCACCTCAATCATGGTGTATTATTGCAAACTGTTTCAGTTTACAAAGAGAACATGATCAGGCATTAAAATGCATTCGTAGAGCAATACAGTTAAATCCAAATTTTGCTTATGCGTATACACTAGAAGGGCATGAATATGTTGCAAACGAAGAATATGAAAGAGCTCAAACTTCTTTTCGTAATGCAATGAGAGTTGACATGAGACATTATAACGCTTGGTAAATTATCTAAAGTTACATTATTTTTTTAATACAAGTAGGTATGGAATTGGAATGGTATTTCTTAGAGTTGGTAAAAATGACCTTGCAATGTACCATTTTAGAAAGGCAGCAGAGATAAACCCTACAAATGCTGTTCTATTATGTTGTATTGGCATGGTCAGTACAATTAACATTTTTGTTTGTATATTTTAAAAAGTTCAGATTGTAGAACGTAACAAAGACTTCCACGAAGCATTACAGTTGTATAAAAAAGCCTCTGAACTTGCGCCAACGAGTGCTCTTGCTAGATTTAAAAAAGCTAAAATTCTTGTTTGTCTTCGGCAATACCATGTATGAAGTACAATTCATAATAAAAAACTAATTATTTTATTGTAGTCAGCGTTGAAAGAATTGCTTTTATTAAAAGATTTGGCTCCTGATGAAGCGAATGTTCATTTTCTTTTAGGGAAATTATATAAACAACTAGGAGATAAACCAAGTGCTATGAAACATTTAACAATTGCTCTAAATCTTGACAACAGAGCTAGTCATTTAATTAAAGAGGCTATCGGTCAGTATTATATTATTTATTTGTTTGTTTTAAATGTTAATAGAGTCTATTGATGAACCAGAAGAAAATTTATTAGGCGAAACAGGCGAAGTTTACAAAAATTTAGATAGAGAAGAATAGAATTTACACAAACATACCTACCTGTTCAAGAGTATAATTTATTATTACATTATTTTAGTCACATATTTTATTTAATCATCTCAATTATGTGTAAGCATAACTTGTTATTTAATTTACTAAAAAGCAATAAATAAATATCATTACAAAAGAACTACTATTTCTATGTTTTCATGACTTTTTCTTAACTTAGACTAAGACCCACCGAAACGTTTATTTTTTTAATAGCAATTCAATTTTTAGATTTATAATGTATAATATTGGGTTTTGGTCAAAATCATTCCTTTATTACTTTACTTTATTTATTTCAGCATCATTTGGCGTTGTCTCATCTGCTGTTTTATATTTATTAGGTAAATCAAATATTAGTCAATGGTTAACAGCACGTGCTTGTAATTTAATAACTTCCCCTGCAATAAGAGTAAAAATACAAGTTGAAAATGAGTTTTTTATGAAGACTAGACCGTGTGTTTTTATATGTAATCATCAGAGGTATTAAATATTTTTTATATGATATTTTATTGATAGATAAAAAGTGAACTTGATATTCTTTTGCTTGGGCGAGTATGTATATATTTTTAAAAAGAATAAGATTTATTGGTTATTTTTAGTTGTTTCCAAAATATTGCAGTATTGTAGCAAAAAAAAGTTTAAAATTTGTTCCATTTTTAGGATGGTTTAGTAATTAAGCATTTTAAAAATTATTTTATTTTTTGATTAATAATTCTAGTGATTCTCAGTAATACTACTTTTATTGATAGAAGAAATCGTGAAAGTGCTATCAAAACAATTGAAGAAGCTTGTAAACAGATTAGGGATAACAAAGTAAATGACCTATTAACTGATTATTCTAACATAAAAAAGCAAAGTGCATGGATTTTTGTTGAAGGGACACGATCTCAGTTCAAAACTCCAGATCTTCTGCCTTTTAAAAAAGGTGCTTTTCATTTAGCTATACAAGCTAGGGTACCAATTGTTCCTATTGTAATTGCAAATTATTCTTCTATTTATCATTTAGAAAGTCGCATCTTTAAATCAGGAGTAATCAAAGTAAAAGGTATAGTTATCTAATTTACATTTATTTATATTCATGATTTATAGTTTTGGAACCAATTGATACAACATCTTTTTCACCTTCAGATATTGAACAAGTTATTTTGGAAACACACAAAAAGATGCTTAAAACTATAAAGGAATTACATCAATCATAAGAGATCATAACAACAATTTTTAATAGTTTTTTATTCATTATGCATTTAAATAAGTTAATATTTATTTGTTTATATTATTATTTCTTCAAAAATATTTTCTTGCTTTCTTCTCATATATTAATTAGATTTTATACTTTTAATATTCTAAATATGGTTAGTTTTAATTTTTTTTCAAACTATAATCTAAATTTTTAAATCTTACTGTTGAATAGTTTAAAGAGAACTAAATATATATATTTCACTCGAATAATATCACATCTTATCTCTACAACTAAGAACATATAAAGATTTCAAGTTATGTGAAAGCATTAATAAAATTGTAGTTTAAAATTATAAAGTCCTGTACTTTAAATTTTACTATAAGATCTCGATTGAAAAATGTAAAAATAAAAAAACTAAAATATAGGATTCAAAATCTTTAAAATTATTGAGAGGAAAAATAAATATTCTAGAAAAAATGGAATTATTTAGTGTGATTAAATAATTATGACATTAATAATTTTTCTTAACCAAACAAAAAATTTTAAATATATAAATTTATTTCTAATGTTTTTAATGTTATTATATGCTCATAGTATTGAAATTCTTTATTTTTTAAGGAAACATTATTTTTATCATATTTTTACCTTAATATTTAATGATGAAAATGTCAAATATTATAAGATACAAAAATAAAATTTTAACTTTTAAAAAAAATATGAATTATAACTTCTTAAAGAATATTTATTTTTATTTGAAAAAAAATATTATGGTAAATATTATTGAAATGTTCTAAATTTACTTTATCGTATTTAGGTTCAGAAAATAAAACTACAGGAATATAAAAATCTTAACAATATTTTAATCAAATTCGTTAGTCTTGTTTTTTACATAATGTAATAAATCTATTATAACCTTTGAATTCATTTATATTATAATTTTAACTTTAGGGAAATATTTACTTTGATACTTTATTAGGTATTTCGTCTATTAATGATGAATGTTTTAATAGAATATTAAAAGATTTAGTATTCATAAATCTCCCTATACATTATATAAAAACAACTTTAAGCATTTTAACGAAATATAATTATTAGAAAAAGCTTCTAAAAGAGTTATTAGATAACGAAACAATCTCGTTTCTTAAAGTGATAATACTCTATTATAAAGTATTTATTTAAATAATCTTATATTACTAATATAATTACTAGTTTTTAGGAAATTGATTATATTTTTACTAATATTAAATCATTTAGATCTCCGTTAATATTTATTATTTCTGAATTATTTAAATAATTTATTTTTTATCTACTAATATTTCAAATTTGACATAATATTTAAAATACCAAAATAATATATACATTATAAAAGTTGTTTGGATATGATATTGAATTAGATTTAATTTATATCAATAACTTTCAAATATTTTTACATATTCTTAAAATTAATTTTCGAATATACTTTTCTCAAAAATATTAAAAAAATAAATATAGAGGCTTATATAAAACAAAGTAACAACACTTCATTATTATCTTTTATTTTCTAATGATTTTTCATTCAATTTACAATCAGTTACTATGACAACAATCGATGTTTTGATTTTTTCTAAACATTCAAAAATTCAATATATATAAGTGTAACTTTATTTAAAAATGAGTGAATTTGATGCCAATAAACAGAAGAAAGGATTACGTAGAACATATGGAAAAAGAAGACTTCCTTATGATATTTTTGGAAATTTTAAAATGTGGAATGATATAGAAAATTCACCAAATTTAAAAAATAAAGACAATAAATCTACAGATGTTTCAGAAGAAAATAAAGGTTCATTATCGTCGTTTTCTGGTTCAAAACTTTCTCCAAATTGTATTGGTTCTATAGTGAAAAAAGCATCTTTTTTATACAAAATATCAGTCAAACAGGACCAAGAAAATTCACCATTAAATAAATTAAAAAAACCACTTCAGAATCAAGAAAACATTATGTTGCATACTTTTGTCTCTACAGATAAAAAAAATCATTTAGAAAGTATAGAATCTACGAATACAAATCCATTAAAAAATACTTTTTTAAATAAAACAGAATGTCTTTTGAAAAGTCAAACAAAAAAAAAGCCATCAATAATGGAATCACTACTCTCTTTTGCATCTCAGTCTGAAATATTCAACTTTTCAGATTATATTTCTTCATTGTTATCTACATATACTATATCTAAGCTCGGAGAAGCTTCTTTTAGTGAAGTTTATCTTATAAAAAATAAAAACGATGAAGTTGTCCTCAAGATTGTTCCTTTTGGTAAAGAAGGTCAAGAAGATCCTCAAGATGTTTTACATGAAGTAAGAGTTACTCTAAAAATGTCATCAATAAATGGTTTTGTAAAATCAAAAGGGTATGTTTTTTATAATCAAGACTTTTTTAATTTATTTTTTAGGTTTGCTATTGTTAAAGGAGTTTATCCAGAACATCTTATTTGTTTATGGGATAAATATAAAAAGGATTTTAAATCAGAAAATCCTCGTCCTGGTATTATTTATTTTTATTTTATGCTATATTTTTACATATATAGATTTCTACCGTGAAGATCAGCATTTTTGCATCTTGCTGCTTGAAAAAGGAGGAAAAGATTTAGAACATGTTAATATTAAATCATGGAAACAAGTTAATAGAATATTCTGGCATATAGTAAAAGTTCTATCTGAAGGAGAAAAGAAATATGAATTTGAACATCGAGATCTCCATTGGGGGAATATATTAGTTAATGAAATTTTCGATTCATCAGAAGATTTATTGTCCGAACTTAGTTTGTATAATACTCATTTTCAACAACCATGTATTATTATTATTGATTATACACTTTCTAGATTAAGATGTAATGATCATATAGGAAAATTAGCTTGGAATAATCTTGAAGATCAAGAAATTTTTCAAGGCCATGGTAAGTAATTTAGTATTAATTATAAATAAATAAATTTTTAGGTGATTACCAGTATGATATATATAGAATGATGAAAGATTATGTTTTTTCTCTTAACAAATCATGGTCAGAATTTATTCCACGTACAAATGTGTTTTGGTTGCATTATTTAATAGATAAGCTTATTCATTGCAAGGGTCTTGTGCGTCCTCCAACAAGACTTTCAAAAAGAACAAATTCCATAAATCATGCGGATGTTGAAATAGAAAGAATGTTTTATGAAAGAGTTGAATCTATATGGAAAACAATTAATCCTAAAAAAAAGCAGTTTAATGGAAAAAACCTACTAGAATTTAATTCTGCAGAAGATGTACTATCATGGGGAATAAAAGAGGGATTAACTTAACTTGTAAAACATAAATTTCATGTTTGATATATTTATATAAATATACTAGATAAAAAATTAAAAACAATTTCATTAAGCTAAATAAAATTTAAACATATATTTTTTTATTTTCCAGTTCAGAGTCATTTTGTTCGTATCTATGAACTTTCATAGATTTAAGAACACGAAAATAGTCGTTTTCAATAGATTTATATGTTTCTTCTAATTTTCTCAAAATTTCTCCTTTATTATATTGATTAAGATTTTCCTAAAAAAAATTAGCGCAATACATTAATAAATAATCAATAAAATACAAAGTTTTTTTTATAGATTCTTTGCTTAACTTGAAGGCGATAATCTTTATAATCTTTTTCATTTTTCATATTTAATCTTTCAAGAAGAATTATTTCCATACATCTAAAAAATTGATTCTATTTTTTATTATTAAAATTCAAAAAAAGAAAAAAAATACCAGCGAAATTTTATATTTTTTTTGTGTTTCTAAAATCCAAGAATACTGAATAGGTGCCTTAAATTCTTTGCTATCAAATATTCCATATGATTTAAGTCGAATAATATCTTGTTTGTCTCGTAAATACTCAAATTCTTCTGAAGGATCTTCAACTGTAATTTCTTGGACTTTAGGATCTGATAAAAAATATATATACAATGCATCATAAAATTTCCCTAAAATAATTAAAGTATAATTAATAAATTGCAAATTAATACCCCCATGTCCTTGTTTTTGAAATGGTGGAAGAATAATAAATTGTGCTATCCGTGTACGAATATTATCAAAAGATTCTCTTGAATACCAATAATATGAATATACAGTAGAATACCCAATAAAATGGTAATAACCACTACTATTTACTAATCTTCGTTTTTCATATCTTAAAGATGTTAATTATAAAAAAAGTTTAAAAAATATACAATAAAAAAATATTCCATTTAAAATCCTCAATATCGATATAAGATGCTCCTTCTATAAAAAAAAGTGAAAAAATTTGCAAATTATCAATGATTTTTTTAACATTTGGATCAATTATTGAACTCTAAAGATATATTTGTTACTATATTTAAAGTAATAAAGTTTATACCATAAAAATTTCGAAAACAGAGTCATTTACTTCATAAGAAGATATTTTATCCCCAGGAGGAACAAAAAGATGAATATCATTTAAATGAGAATCAAATACTACAGAATCCGTCATAATAGCTAAAATAATTTAAAATTTCACTATAGAAAAATAAAAATGTACTTTTTGGAAGGAACACCTGAAATAATTCTTCTACATTTTCACATGACATTTTCTTTTTTTCATTGACTTTGTCTGTATATTGAATTTTTAGATATATTTGTAAATCATGACAAGAAAATTTCAACTAAATAAAATCAAAAATAAACTGAAAAAAAAAATGCTAACATTTATTATTATATCTTTATATCCTTTGATCTTCTCTTCTTCTCCAAATATTGGATATGTATATACTGGATGAAATATATCAGGTTTTCGTGTTTTATCATTATGTACTAAAAATTTAAGCTAAAAATACAGAAAAAAGAAGAAAACATACCAATTTCAATAAAAATTACATCTCTAGCATTATATGAATAGCTTTCTGAAGTAGAAAGTCCCATTTTTAACTCTTTGATTTTTTCTTTAAATTCTAACAATTTCTAAACGATAATTGCTTAGTTAAATAAGTCTTTAATCTTAAGAAACCTAAGATTAACAGAAAATTATAAAATTAGTGGAAAATACTTGAAGAAAAATAATAGTTAATTATAATTAATAATACTATTTTTTACTAAAAAAATACATGAATATATTCTTAGACAATTTTTAATTTTTTATAAATTTAAAGAATATATTTCTCATAAATTTCCCAATGACTAACTCGCACATGATTTCCATCTCTGATGCCATTATATTACTTGCATAATTTTTAATATAAAATAGAATAGGTGATTTAAAAACTAAAACTCCATTGAAAAATATAAAAAAGTTATTTTGCAAAAATACTCAAAATATTAAATATTGTTGAACAATATTTTCTTTTATATAATTTCAAAAAAAAGTTACTATAATATCAATATTGATTTTAAATTATGCAAAACGTTTATACACATTTCGACGTTCAATACGTTTCTTTTTGTATAACCAAGTATGCTTAAGATTATGTAGTGATAATTCCATTGGAGGTGCAAGAACTGGATTATTTTTTTCTAACAAGTGGATACCTTTTTTCTTGAGTTTCTTAATTTTATGTTTACGATGCAAAAATGTATTTAAATGATCATCATGTTTTGAAGAATGAACAGCCTGGTTAATAGTATTAAGATTATTCTTTTTCAAAGATATTTTCTCACTAACCTTTTTATCAGAACTAGATTTTAGTTTTAAACTCTTTTCTGTTTTTTTCATATATATTAAAATTTAAATCGCTACGCAATAAGTAAAAATTTGTAAAAAAATTGATAAAACTTTATTATTTTTAAAACAAGGAATTTTGTTTTCTTAAAAAACTACAAAATATTTAATTTTTTTAAAGAATTTTAGTGATTCTATTTTTAAAAATAAATCGTTTTAAATATTAAAATAAACAGTTAACATCTGATAGTCCTATGATTCATGTTATAAAAATATATAAATATATTATCATAGAATATGTATATATATATATATATATAGAAGTAATTAAGAAGGAAATGCGTTTGTGTTTAAATTGTGTATCATGTAAAATAAATTTTGAAAATGTTTAATTTTAAAAGAAAAAAATTATGAATTTTCTAATGAATCTAAACTTTAGTATTAAACATATCAAATCTTTTTTTCATGTACACATACCTGTTTTATTTTGTTGTAAAGATTCAGAAAGTGTACTTGAACTCTGAGAATCTTGCTTTTGAGAATTTCTTTGCCGCTCTTCTTCTGCACGCCGATGCCCCCATCCACCACGTCCAGGATCATACTCTGTTCTGTATTCATCTCTTACTTGGCCACCACTTCTACCACGACCATATTGTCTACCCTCAGTAAATCCTGGATCAATATCTGTTCGAATCACACGATCATCAAGTTTTGTCCCATTAATAAACTTCATACAGTCCAATGCATGCTCGTGGGAATAATATTCAACAAAACAAAATCCACAGTATGTTTTACTAAAGCGGTCAAGCCCCATAATAATTCTTTTTACTTCTCCACATCTAAAAACTTCATTAGTCTTTAAAATATTCGCTATCAACGCTACAAACTTGGAAAAAAGCTCATAAATCTGTTCTTCTGTAGTATAAAAGCTAAAAATATTTAACAATTCTTCTCTTTTTTATTAAGACATACGACAAATTCCCTACATACAATGTACTTGAATTGTTTAAAGACGGATCTTTGTTTGAGCGCTAAAAACATATTATTTAATATAAAATGAACACTTATATAACTTATTCTTACTCTAGAATACCGATCAACATATGTACTTGGTGTATCTAGCCGCTGAAGTATTGACATGTCTTATATAAAACTGATGAACAAAATGATGAGGTTTCTAAAGACTACCTAGGTAACAGTTACCAAGGCAACGACTATTAAAAGCTAACTCGTAGAATAAATTTTTAAAAGTAACTCAATTAAAATTTAAGATATTTGAAAGAATTTTAGATGAAATGAATGATTTGTTTGAGTATATTTCAGATGAGAATTCTTGGATTCATTCGTTTCAGAATCATCCTATTTTTTCACTTTCAGAAAGAGAACAAGGTAGTTTTAAAAAGGATTTGAAAGAAATAAATTAAGTTTTTTTTTTAAAAGAAGGAATTAGAAATATAAAAAACAAAAAGCTTTTGATTGCTATAAGACAAACAGAAGTATTTGTAGCAGTAGATAAAACAATACGTTATACAGATTTGAAAGAATGTAAATTGGATGAGTTCCAGAAAAACTACAAAATGAATTATAAGGTTTTTATGAAAAAATATTAAAGGGTGTTGTTAATTTTGTATTAAGGAGTTTAAGCTTTCAAAAATAAATTTTTGTATAGAACGTTTAATTATTAATACATGTGGTTCAATTTTAGTTGTTATAGGTGCTTATGATTTAGCAGTCATTTTCCTTCCTACATACTTGAATTCGCTTGAAGGAAATAACTTAAGGTACGAATTTTTGCTATATTTTTTTTCTTGTTTATATAATATCTAGAATTAATGAAGTTGGCCGTAAATATTATGGAGAAACTGAAATCGTTTCTGTTTTATTTCATCCTGCAAGCAAAAACTCTAATACTATTTTAGTGTTATCATCAGATGCAGTAATTCGGTATTATATATATTTATTTAAATATTTTCTAATAATCAGAGTATTCGAATTATCTTTAAGCTTTGAAGAATCTGAACAAGCTATTGATCTTATTTCTAGAACAGGAAGAACAAGAAAAAAAGGATCTTTTGTTGTTAATGAGGATATCTTTCAGGTTTCAGACTTTTGTTTTGATTCAAAAGCAAATGAATGGTCTCTCTTTACACTTCATGTTCTTCTTCAAAATGGAGATATTTATTCTATATGTCCATTAACACCTAGCAACTGGTAAATGATTTGATTATGTTTTTTATTAGTTCTAAAATATACAGCATGGTTCAACGTGCGTATTTAGATCGTCTTGCATGTTATATTTCTACTAAAACTCAACAATTAAACAAGATTAAAAATGATCCTACTTTAATTTCTCATGAAGAAGAAAATATGCGTTTACAGACACGCTGGATATCCGATATTTTAGGACAAATCTCACTTATTAATGATTATGGCTTAGGGTCTCCATTATCACAAAGTCTTGATGCACATGATTTAGTTACTTTTTCTCGTCCAAATATTTCTAGATTTCCTGTTTTAGTACAAGGTCCATTTTTGTTTCAGCCTGCACCATTAGAATTTTCTTCAAAACATGTTATGGCTTCTAATATTATTGCCTTAGGAACAAATACTATCGGAATATTAGCTATTTCTTATACAGATGGTAAAATAGATATTTGCATAGAAGTCGATAGGATAGAGCCGAAATGGTTTTTAAATAAAGTAAATAATGAATTCAATGTTATATATTTTAAAGTTTTATAGAATGAACAATATCAATCAACCAATTATTTATCAACTTATGAATCTATTATGGTTATGGATTCTAAAAACGTACTTAAACCAACAGAAAACAATGTTAAAGATTCATTCCTTATACGAGATCTTAGAAGAGCTGACACATTTTATTTTTATTATAAAACTAGTATTTATTCTATAATGTTAGGATGGCTTGAAAAATTAGAGAAAGAAGATAATATTGAATCCAAAACTATTGATACTCTTTTATCTGAAGGGATACAACATTCGTCTGTTTCTAAATTAATTGATATGACTCCTTTATCATGGTAAATACATAATTAATATTATAATTACTAATAGACAAGCCCGTTACCAACTATAATAGGATATGACTTTTTAATGCATGCATATTTTGGGTATTCTCTTATCTTTTGGTCAACAGCATTTCATTGTACTGTAATTGAACTTGATATTACAAACCAAATACAATCAGAGAATATATTAACAGAATTTACTAAGGATACAAATGTTTCTGAAAAAAATGAGCATTTGAAATATTTTTCTTTAATTACATTCCCAATTTATTCAATTTCACAAGAATCACTTGACTTTTTAAAACAATCTTTTCATACTACAGTGCCTAGTGAATTTCGAAATAAATTTGTTGCTTCTCAAGAATCTCTTCGCTTTTTAGGAAAAATAGCATTAGAAACACGAAAAAATTCAGAAAAACTCCATAATTTAATAGTATCTATGTACCGTAGGCAAGTATTTTGTTTTTATATATTTTTATATTTATGTTTTCAAGATTAGAGCTTCAAGGCCAAGAATTTACAAGACAACTTGAAAAATTGTATACATTGAAAGATAAAATAGATATTATAACCTCTAAAACTTCATCTGAAAGACTTAAAAATGCTATTGACAATCAAAAGATACTTCAAAAAAGAGCAGATCAAATTTTGCAAAAATTGGTTAAAAGTCATTCTCCAACATTAAGCGATCATGAGAAAAAGTGGTTTAATGAATTAAAAAGAATAAAAATGAAAACATATGGAAATAAAGGTTTTAATGAAAAAATACAATTAGTAAGTATTATTTTATTTAAAATTTTATTTTAAATATTTAGCTTTCAAAACAATTTGAATCAATAAAATCAAAGAAAATTAATAATTCCGTAATAGATATTTCTCCCAAACCTGAACTTTATGAATCTATTCCTATGTCTCAAATAAATCAAATACGATTAATTTTAGATGAACAGTGAGTAATTTTTATTTTATATGTATTATATTTAACTATTAATTCAGAGAGCACCATATATCTCAAACCAAATCTAAATTAATAAAACTAAATAATATATTAGGTACTAAATTAGAAACAATGGAAATATATTAAACTTTTGTTTATAAATAATTATGTAATTTCTAAATTTTTATAAAATGACATTAATATTATTAATCTTTTTATGTGTAATTAGTCAATGTGTTTATAATTATTTAAAACTATAAAGCATAAAAAGCATTATAAAAATAAGCTTAAAATTGCAGCCATAGATAGTTATTACACTAAATTTAAAAAACAAATATTTTTTATAAAAATCAATATAATAGGATATCAAGTTTTCTAAAAATGTTGTATAAAATAAAAATCACAATATTTTTTATGCTAAAATAATACTCATAATAAAATTAAGCATTAATTACTTATATTCCAGTACCAAATATAAATTAAAGAAGGTCATTCCTAACAATAAAGTTATTTTCCATCGATAAATTTATTGAGCATCCTAAATAGATCAGTTATTTTTAATTTTTTTTTAAAACTACCAATTCAACAAATGCTAAAGCTTCTTCTTTTTCAATTGTTTGAATACTTGACACTTTATTTTTAAAAACAATTCCATAAAACTTATCCGCAGTTTGTATCATTTCAGGTCTAAATGTTGTGCAAATAAATTGTGCACTATTTGACATTTCATGAAGCATTGTTGCTACAGCGGTACGATACTGAGTATCTAATGCTGCATCAACCTAAAATTTAATCATTTTTATAAAAAATAAAACAATAAATTACTTCATCTAAAAGATAAAACGGCGCAGGATCACAACGTTGAATAGCAAAAATTAATGCAAGAGCACAAAGGCTTTTTTGTCCTCCACTTAACTGTTGTATTCGCTGTTCATCCTTTTTATTGTTAAAAGATACGCTGATAGCAACTCCTACATAATTTTCAACAGGATTTTTTTTATTTATTTCATCTTTATTATAATCATCATGATTATTTTCTATATGATCAATTCTTCGTTGCATAATAAGTCGACCTTTTCCTATAGGCACCAATTTTTCAAACACTTCTGAAAAACTTTTTGAAACTTGCTTAAAATTTCTTTCAATAGCTTCATCTTTTCTTTGATCAAGAACTGAAATAAGATTTTCTATTGATGCTTGAGATTCATCAAGTTCTTTTCGCCGAACTAAAAGAGCATCTCTCTGCTTAACAAAGCTAGTATATTGTTCAAAAGCCTTTTTATTAACATGATTATATTTTTTAAGAGCTTCGTTTACTTTATGAAGTCGTTTAACGATCTTAAAATTAAATATATATTCGATATTAAAAGGGGACTTACCATATTTGATTTAATAGAAAAAAATTTTTCAAAAGCTTCTTCAGGAAGTACTCCTAAATCTCTTATATTTTTATTACATTTTTCTTTATTTTGTAATAATAAAGCTCTTTTTGCCATGTTACGTTCTAAAGCTTTCTGATGCTTTTCTATATCTCTGGCTTCATCATTTTGTTGATTCTAAATAAAGTATTAATATTTCGAAAAATATTCTATAAAATTCTTACCTGAAGTAATATCTTCTTTTGATCTTTATTATGTAATTCCGTAGACAATTGATCAATAGATAATTCAAGATCACTATATTTTTTAGTAATAGCATCTATAACATTTTGAACATGAGAAAGATCTTTTTGTATTTCATCTAAATTAACATCCATATCATCATCATTTAAAAAACTTTGTGCTTTTAATTGATCGCGACGCAAATATAAATTTTCACGAAGTTCAATTTCTAATTTAATTTTTTCTTTTTCTAGCTCCATTCTTTTCATATTATGAGTAGTATATACATCTTTAAGCGAATCTATGGTTTTATTTAATTCTTCAAGGGTATCTTCTTCTATTTGCATTAATGTTTTTTTAAATTCAATTTTCATTTCATCCTGTAATGACAATAATTGAGAATTTAAAGAGTTTATATTAAAATTTAAATCATCTAAAAGCAATTTCTATAGAAATTAGAACATAACTCTTTTAATAATATATTTTTACTTTTTTTGACAACATATCTTGCAAAATTCCTTCTTCTTTTACGGCTGTTGAAAGTTCTATTCGAAGTGGGTTATAATTTCCTTCAATTTGGTTCTTTTTTGCTTCTAAAGTCTGTATTTTCGATAATTGTTGAGTAACTTTTTGATCCATTTCTTCAAGCGTTTTTTTAATTTGAATAGTCGAAGAATGATTTTCTTCATAAATTTGCTTAATTTTCTTAAGAGATTTTATAGCCTCTAACTTAGAGTTCCTAATATCATGAAAACCGCCTGTAAATGTACCCTTTTTATCGGATCTATCACCCTTTAATGTTATCGCGGTAATATTATGAGCACGAGAATACTGAGATGCTATATCAAGAGTTGGACAAATTATAGTTTTTCCAAAAACCTTTATATAAACATTATTTCTAATAAAAACATATACTTACTTGCTCAAAAGCTTTTTGATATTTAATATCATAATTTATTTTTTTTAACATTGGTATAGCATCAGGTGCATTAGGAAAATCCCCTACTTTTGGAGACAAACGATTAAGAGGCATACATGTGACTCTTCCACCTTTCTCCTTATTTAAAACATCAATAATTTTAGAGGCTGTAATATCATTATCAACAACAAGATGAAATAAACTAAAATAATTATAAAAAAAAAGTAAAGAATAAAGATTAACCTATTTCCTGCTGTAACTTCAACTGCAGTTCTATATCGATCATCTACTTCGAATAATTCATATAATGGACCATAATAACCCGTTAATTCAAATCTTTGTGCAATTTTTTTAGCATTCATTAACCCATAATTTATATCTCTAGATATTGTATTTACTAAATTTCTTTCAGCCTGATTTAATTCTTCTTTAATATGTTCTACAGTTAAACTCAATTTAGCTTCTTGGCGCCATAATTCTCTAAAAAGATTAACAAAAATAATAGTATAGTCAATATTACTTTCGCTCATCCATTAACTGATCACGAAGTATTTTAGCAGATGAATGCTCATTTGTAAGACTTTCTAATGTTTCTGATCTATTTTCAATTTCTTCTCTTATAGATTTTATACGCTCTGAAATATCTTTAATATCTTTATTAAGTGCCCCTATTTCTTCTTCTAATTCAATTTTAGATTGAGTTCTTTTTTTAATATTTTTTTTTAAGTCTGAAATCTCTTGCCGCAACCATGCATCTCGTTCATTTTTATTTTTAAAATGAGAATTACGAGTCTTTTTAGCATAGAGTGAATTTTGTTGACTTTGAGCGTTCTCAAGTCTAAAAGATTTTTTTAGAAAAAAAATATAATTTAAGAATCATACTCATTTTTAGCTTGCATTTCCTCATGTTTCACTTTTTCGAATTCTAAAAGAAATGATTCAAGAAAAGCTTCTTTCTCTCTAATTTCATTTTCCAGGTTTTTTATATTTTTTTGATGTATATCTTTCGAGTTTTTAAATTGATTATCAGATTCAGAAAGATTTCTTATAACAAATTCTAATTGTGCTCTTTCCTTAATTCTTATATGTTTTTCTTCTTCTGCTTGAGACTTTTCTATATTTAATAAATGTAATTGCTGTTTTATTTCAATAATATCCTGATCAATTTCCTAAAATAATATTAAAAATTGTTTATAAATAACGCAGCAATACCTGAATCTGTTGTTCTCTTTCTATAAATGTATCACATTTATCATCATTCAAATTAAGATTTTTAATTCTCTCCTCGTCTATATTACTAAGTGCTTTATTAACTTCTTCTTGTTCTCTTGCATAAATAGTATATTCTAAACAACGACGTTCTCGGTCCTTCTTTTGAAATTCTTTAAGTTCATTTTTTTCTTCCTCAAGTTCATTCAATCGTTCATCAATATATTTCAACAATTCGTCAATCTTTATTTTTTTAACCATTGTTTCTTCTAAAATTTTTAAAGATTCTGCTCTACGTTGTTCATAAACCTGTGTTCCCGCAATTTCTTTAAGAAGAGCTAATCTTCCAGAATCTTTTGTGTTTGTTAATGCCATAATCTATTAAATATAAACCTTATTTATTAGTAATTTATAACTCATACTCTTCCTTGTGGAACGATGTAATATGGATTACTTCGGGAAAATCCTGCACTTTCTAAAAGATTCATAATATCAGATTTACTACAAAAAATTAAAAATATTTAAAAAAAATGATGGGCTTAACTTAACGCTTTTTTTATCTAAAGAATATTCATCCTTCTTAAGACCAATAGTCCTCCTAATAACTACATCCTCTTTTCCTGTCTAAAGGTATTAAAAATAAATGAAAATATTCTAAATACCGGGAATCTGTTGTCTGTATTATCAAAGATAATTTCTACATATGCGCTCATCACTGATTGTCCTGCACCCTCCTATATATATTAACCCATTTTTCAGGATTATTGGATCTATATACGTGAAGAAGTGCCTGACGTTCTTCACGGCCCATATGTGTGTATTCATCACTCAAAACAAAACGAATTGCTACACCATTAAATCTATTATTTTATAAATGAATAAAATACCAGAAAAAAAATTACTTTTTCCAGAACCATTTTTGCCAACTAAAAAGTATTACAATATAATCTAACAAAATGTATATAAACTTGCCAACTACATTATATTTAGGACTAAAGATATCTGTTACTGTTTGATCTTTATACGACTTAAAACCTTGAATAATAATCTAAAAACCATTAGAAAAATAGAAAAATGCATTAATCATGTAAATTGAGAGTTTTTACTTGTTTTATGTGCATTTATATGTATTTTTATTGGAAGTATGGTTTTTTTTTAATTTTCTTTTGACGTTTTTTGTAGACTTTAAAAGTATGGAATTTAGAAAATAGACACAATTTATTAATTTTATCTATAAAAATGATGAATTCTTATAAAAAAGATAAAAAAGCTATAAATTGTCATCAGAATGTTGAATCATCTGAAATTCCTCGAAAACTAACTGGTTTTTGTGTTTTTATAAGATAATTATAATTAGTACTGATATTATATTAGGGAGTTCTGAAGATGATACAGAAAGTAAAGAGTATATTCCAGAAAGCTCTGAATATGATACAGAATATAATGAGAGTGATTTGAATGGCGAAGATTGGGTAGAAATTGCAAGAAATAAGGGTTTGTTTGATATTGAATTTGTTTTAAAAATAATTAAATAAAGATTTCACAAAACAATATAACCGCCATAGAAATATTTCAGAAATCTCAAAGAATACAACTGAAGGTTTTAAAATGCTGCCTCGTATGAATGTGCATGCAGCAGAATCAAATTCGAAAAGAACAGTTAATTTTGAAACGGCTGATGTTTTGAACAAATATATGAACCGCTTAAATCTTGAAAGCTATATTCCATTAAATGAAAAGTATTTTTTCTCTATTTTTGTTTAGTCTTCTTATATTTTAGAACAAAGATATCAAAAGATAAAGCAGATAGAGCAACTACTGAAAATGTTTTAGATTTGAGGACTCGAATTATTCTTTTTAGGTTAATCAATAAAGGATTTATATATAAAATAAATGGTTGCATTAGTACAGGAAAAGAAGCAAATGTTTATCATGCAGTTACAGAAAAAGGAGAACAAAGAGCGATTAAAGTCTATAAAACATCTATTTTAGTTTTTAAAAATAGGGACCGTTATGTGTCTGGTGAATTTAGATTTCAATGTAATTATAGTAAACATAATCCAAGAAAAAAAGTTAAACTTTGGGCGGAAAAAGAAATGCGAAATTTAAAAAGACTGTATCAAGCAGGAATTCCTTGTCCTGAGCCACTACACCTTCGTATTCATGTTCTTGTTATGAGTTTCCTTGGAGAAGATGGATGGTATTTTTTGAAAATTACTTTGGTCTTATTTAATGAGTTAGGCCATATCCTCGCCTTAAAGATGTAGTTATATCAAAAAGTAAATATGCAGATTTATATTTGCAATTGTTATGTTATATCAGAATTATATATCAAGTTTGTCACTTAGTACATGCCGATCTTTCAGAATATAATATTTTGTTAGTTATTTGTTTTTTTTTTATAATTATTGATTTATTTAACAGGTATCATTCAAAAACGCTATATATTATTGATGTATCTCAGTCTGTTGAGCATAATCATCCAAGGAGTTTAGAGTTTTTAAGGATGGATATTTCTAATGTTAATAGTTTTTTTCGAAAAAATGGTGTAATTTGTTTAAATCAGAGAGTTATATTTGATTTTGTTATATCTGACTCTGGAGGAATAACAAAAGAAGAAATTCAAGAAACATTATTTCAAATGCAGAATTCAATAGAATGTCAAGAACCAGAAGATTTTAAGGAAGATATCGTATTTAAATATTCGTATATCCCTCAGACGCTTGAGCAAGTTCGCAATATAGAAGAAGACTTAGAATTAATTAATAAAACACAAGGAGATACTCTTACATACAAAAGATTAATTAATATTCCTTCTGAATCTAAAACAGATACTAATACGGAATCGGATTCTTCTGATAAAACAGATTCAGTATCAGACGATGAATTTACTAATGATAAATCTGAATCCAATTTATCAAAATTAAAAAAATTCGAAGATAAAACTGTAAAAAAAGTATTAATTGATGTTTTATTAAAATGTTATTTGACATAATTTAGGAACGTAAAATTCAAATTAAAGAATTAAATAAAAAACGTAGAATATATAAAATGCATAAAGCAGAAAAGAAAAGAAAAATTAAAGCATCTAAAAAAGGAAAAAACAAGTAATATTTTTTTGAAAAAACATATTTAGTATATTTACATAATAAAAATTTTATTAACAATATATATTGATAATTACAAGTAATGCTTTTGACTTATAATGGTACTTTTTTTGGGAAAAATTAATAAAATATATGAAAATATTAAATTTAAAGTTTTAAAGGTTTTTTATTAATATTATGTAAACATGTATAAAGATCATATGTTTTTAAAACAACTATGATAATATAATGAATATCTTGGATTATATTATAACACTTAGTTTTCTTTTTTTACTATTAATCTTTTTGTTTTCCTGTTTAAACTGATTACCCCAATTTATCAAATCAGTAAAGAATGAAGTATGAAGTTTTATTTTTCGTTTTGTTATCCAAATATTAAAAGTATTAAAATACACTTTTAATACTCGATTTATTAAATTTATATCTTTAGAAATAATTATTTTAATAAGGAATATACTACACTGACTATGTGCTGTTCCTAGAACCTTTTTTTTTATTTTAAGTCCATCTCCATGTACTTGTTTAAGAATATCAAAAATAGTTTCAATGTTAAGATTATCCATATTAATTTTTGCTTTGCATAATCTATTTCCAATTAAATTTCGAGCTTTATTTAAAATAATATCGCTCGAAGTAGTACGTATTAAAACCAATAATGGAATAATTAAATTGAAAATGATAGGATCTTCATTTCGTGCTTTTAGAAAAATATCTAATATATCTAAAACTTTACTTTTAAAATCAATAGTATTATTTTTAATATTAATAATTTTCTTTTTATTTTTTTGATTTTTTCTTTGCTTTAATATATCTGCTATATGCTTATCTAATTCAAACATTTGTTGATCATTTGCAGATTCTTGAGAGTCATTTTCAGTATTTTCAGTAGGAATATTTATAGCTTCTTTCACTATATTCTCAAGTTCATTATCTATTTTAATACCGCTAATTTCATCATCCAAATCATCTGTATCGTTTTCATTATTATTTAATAATTTATGATTATTATTAGTATTGTCATAATCTTCATCTGAAACTGTTTCTTGAAATAATGTATTTTTCAACGAATTTTCGTTTGCTTTAAGAACCTAATAAAATATTAAAACAGATATATATATATATATTAACATTTATTAATAAAGAAAGACACTTATTGTTTATTTTATATATAAAATATGTAAATACTTGTTCAACCAATTTTCGAAGTAAAATAGATTGTTTAGATAAAAATCCCAATAGAATATCTGTAAGAACTTCAACAGTATCTTCATTAGGTTCAGGTTTAGTTTTTTCTTTAAAAAAATTATTATAACATATTTTAAGTTCCTATATTTAATTAATATTTTTTATTATAGATTTATAAAAAATACTCTAAGAACTGAACTAGCCTCTGGATCATCATTATGAAGTTGTATAATTGATAATGAATATAATAATTCAAAAGCAAAAAGTTCATATAGTATATTTCCTTGTGAATTAGATTTCTAAAATCATTAAGTATATTTTTAATGAATAATTAATTACTTTTTTCAGAATTTTTTTAAAAATTTTTATGGATTTATTTTTAAGATCATGAATTTCTGGATCCATATTTATTGATAAATCATATTTTTCTGATTTAGACAAAGAAATGATTAATTTAACAACAAAAGAAGACCAAAAAATTTGTTCATGGATATTTTTACAAGATTTTATATTAGATTCATTTTGAGAATTCAAATATGCAAGAGATGATGAAAGACGAGATCTTAATATAATTTTTGTATTAGAAGAAAACGAATTTTCTGAGTTTGACTAAAAATTGTTAATTTTTAATAAATATTTTAATATTTCATTACCTTAAGATTAAAATATCCATAAGTTGAAAAAAATGTAATATAATCTGTTATCCACTCGTTACTTTTATTGCATTTCTTATTTCTTAAAATACTAAGCATAATATCAATTGAAATCTGACGTTTTTGTTCTATATCTTTTGTATCTTTCGAATGAGGAAAACATGTAATTGTCTTTAGTAATTGTAAAATATCCCACAATTCTTTTTCAGTTGATAAAGAAATTAAAGATTCTATAAGTTTGGTTTTCGTGATTTTATCAAAATTTAAAGCACCTAAAGGTCCCAAAAGTGATTTAATTATTGGAAGAATAGTCTCTTTTCGAGTATCAGCCACAGAAAGTATACATAGAAGCTAATATATTCATATAAATATAAATATACAAATATATATATTTATATAACATACCACTTTGTTTGAAATCTTATTTAAATATCTATCCTTATTCGATAAATGATTTATAAAACATCGCATAAAATTTTTAGAAAACATATGTGATATATCTGAAATTTCAATTTTAGGTAATGTTAAATTAAATATTTGAAATCCCCAAAATTTTTTTTCAAGAGATGATGTTGCTGAAAAAAAAGATTCTAAATATTTATAAATGAAAAATATAAATTATTAGATTATTTACCATCGATAATTTTAGTCCAGAAATCTAAAAATGATAAATTCACAATATTGCTTGTTTCTGATGTATATATTTCTATAATTATGTCCCATACAAAATGTAATTTTGTGCTCCAGTTTCCTCTTTGTTTTGTTTCTGAGTCAATATTAACGTCTTTTAGAACCTTAGCCAAAGTTTCCAAGTTAGAAGAATCAAGTGGACTCAAAGGATTCCATTGAGTATCTCCAATAGATTTTAAATTTTTCTAAAATATTGATTAACATTGATACCAGGTATTACTAAAATAAAAACTCTTACAATGATTTTTTGAATTGTTAATATTATTGCAACTCCTTCTTGTGTTTTGGAGAGTTTTGAATCACATATCTTTTTTAGTACCATACTATAAATCTCATGAGACTGATCATGACTTTTAAGTTGTATTAATATATTATTTATCACAGAAAAACATGGCTCTCTAAGCCATCCTTTTTTTAAAGATAATGAAACCAATATGCTAATTATATTTTCAATCTTTTCTATAGATTTTGTCTTTTGAAGTATTTTAGAGACTGAAATTGCTTTCAAACCAAATAATCTACCAAACAAAAAATCTCTTTCTTCCTTCAATTATTAGTAAATATTCAATTGTTAACTAAATTCTACATTTGAAGAAAGATTCCCCTGTATTGCTGTATATTTTTCAATTAACTTAACAACATGTTCCACATCTATATCTTTAAATTCTGAAAGAAACTTAAGTTTATCAGTTTATTTTCAAAATTATTTTTTTTTCTTACCTCTGATAATGTTGTTGAAAATCCTAACCGGCTATGATCTCTACTACTTGAAAGACCTTTTACCAGTCTTTTTAATGCATAAAAACCATTTTCTCCTAAAAGGTTTTCTAAAATTTGTTCTGGATCCTTATAATTTTGTTTTTTTGGATTTTTAGGGATAGTTAATCGAACATTTTCAATAATTTTTAAAGCTGATTTTTCACGTAATTCTGGATTATTTGATGATAAATCCCAATAATAATCTAATTCTGACATTAATCTTTTTTTCTCTGTATATCGACTCAGCTTATGTTGCTATAACAACCCTATCTAAAATGAATTCTATTTAAGTCAATAAAAATCTGTTATTGTAAAAATGGTGATTTTTATGTTTTAAGAAAACGTTTTTATTTTAAATATTTTTAAAATTTAAGTATTTTTGTTAAAAATTGCGTTTTTATATGGTCTTTTTGGATTAATTAAAAAAACAATGTCAGATTTTATATTAGTTTATGTCAAGAGACAGAAATATTCTTTATACAATTATTCCAAGTCTTTTTAGTTTATTTTTATTTAGGAAAACATTAAACAATACTCCTGTTTTTTGGTGAAAAAAGAATGTTCCGAAACTTTTTTATTGTGTTTTTCATTTTATTTTAAAACAACTGATTTTTACGTATATTAATGTAACTTATGAATTCTTCAAACTATTTCTAAAAGTCTTGTGGTTAAAACTTATTTTACATTGTCGCTCATTTATAATAATGAATAAAAAATAATCTTTTTGAAAGACTATAATAAACACGGTATTTTAAAAATCATATTTTATAAAACATCTGGATATCAAGAATATTCTTACTGCAACTTTTAATAAATATAGAGCAATCCCAAAAACTATTTAATAGTTTAATAGCAATACTCAACTTTAAAACACGAATACATAATGCAAAAGATAACCATGTGTAGACAAATTAACAGTATAAAGAATTGTTAATATATATATGTTAATATATATAATGAGAAAAGGCAAAGAGATAAATTACCATGACAATCCATGCAAAGTTTTATTGTAGCCTAAAATATCCACTCAATAAAAAATTCTATGCAACAGAAATAAAAAAATTAGACATAAAGCATCATAATAGATATTTCTTGAAAAAAAGGATAATCTTTTAGGATATCATATGATTAAGTTCGTATAGCGGTAAGTGTGCTTCCTGGAGCTTCAAGACCAAGTGATGAATTGATTAGATGGTTATAATAAAGATCAATTGACGTTTTTGATTCAGAAGACGGCCTTGACATATTTGACGAAACCGAATCTGAAGAAATAGAGGATAACGGTGTATGAGGATAAAACAATGAGGTATCCGAGGAAAATGATATTGATTCTGATGATAAAGAATCTGGTGAAACAAATTTTCTATGGGATGAAGAAAAGTCACATACAGGATTTTCGTTCATATGAATTTTAAAATTAGCAGTTTGCGTATTGATTTTATCCGACCCCCTAAACTAAAAATAACCAATAAATACAATGATGCAAAAAAGAAGAATGATACGTACGAAACAATAATTATTTAAAAAATTTTTGTATGAAACAGAATCTACCGAAGGTTTAAAATTATCTTTAAGCAAATTAGATGTAGTCTTGCTTTTTTCAAGAGAAGTGTCCAATTTGGTATTATCTAATGAAGGGGTATCCGAGGTATCATTTTCAAAAGATATATTACACTGAGTAGTAGATGAGGCCTTCTCTATTAAAAATAAATTTGAGAAATATGAATGAACATTTTTTGTAGAAATATCAAAAGAATCATTATATCTTGTTTCTAAATTCGTGTTTTTATTATCATAACCAATGGTATTATTAGATGCTTTGATAGCAGCTGTAAGTGAAGCACTAAAATCATATCGAGTCGAAAAAAGATTATTGGAAGATTGCTTTTTACGTGATAAAGGTGGTGGAGTAGTAGTGAGATCATTATTTTCTAGTGAAAAAGAAAATGAATTACTTTTATACGCTCGACGTGTGGCTAAATGGGTATCCATATTAGAGTTTATATTGTTTTCAGTATTACTATTCGGCGAAGATAAAATGGGATAATGTGTTAAATGAGGTTGTGTAGATGTTTTTAATTTCTTCCGAAATTCTATTCGATAATTCATGCCTAAATTATTATCCCAGAACTCAGCACCTAGAATTCTATATCGAATACAAAGATAAAGCGTCTTATCTTCGATATTTACTAGTTCATGAAGCTTAATGTTAAAGACAAACCGATCAAAACCATCATATTGCTTTCTAGGTATGTCATCCGTATACTCGGCATTCACCTCTGATATTGTCTGCCAATGGTCCATGGTAAATCTAACTCCGACAGATTTCTCAAATGCTAAATTTTTCACTACTACTTTTCCTAATAAATTTCGTTTATTTGAAGATAAATATACACTTTCTAAATGCACATTTTGTGATAAAGACATTGTTCTTTCCTCACTAAAATTTGCCAATTCAATTTCCAACTCATACGTTCCTTTCTCAATCCACTGTGTTTTCTGGAATCCTTCCTGATGTTCATACAAATCGTATCCAAACTCCATATCACAGCTATCCTTTTCTTCCGGTGATGCATCCGCACTCACTGCAGTTGGCTTTTCTGCTTGTGAAAAATGTCTGATTTGCTCCAACTCTGTTGCAAATTGTACATTTTTGTGCAAAATTGGCGTAGATGGCACTGACTGTGAACGTCCTTGTCTCTCCCCTTTCAAAGACGATTTAACTAATTCCCCACTTTTCTTTCGAACCATCCGAGGCTCTGCTACTTCCCTTAGAGACTCTCCTACTCCTTTTCCATTGTCTAATACACTAATACTTGGAAATGATGGATTTGATGATATTTTTCTTAAATATGATGACCCTATAAACGAATACCCTGTCGAATGCTCTGTTCTTTCATAAAAAGTATTTAAAGATGATGCTGATAAGCACGTTGAAGAACAGGCTGGTGAAATAGGCAAAGATGGAGATAAAACATGTTGTGCATGATGTGTTTGTATCGGTTGCATTAACTGCTGCTCTGTCGACTGCATTTGTTGTATTTGTTGTGACTTTTGTTTATTAACAGCTCGACTGTTCCATTCCGTCGTCCACATACCAAGCGGTGCAGCAACTACCTGCTCATTATATGCACTAACATATGTCCCAATATATGCGTTATTTTCATTATTATATGCATTGTTTCCCGCCATATATGTGATATTTTCTGCCATATATGTACCTCCTTTAATATCACTTTTACTGTTCTTATTCATATATACATTTTTACTGGTACATCCACCAGTTTCCTCATTACATGCGCTTGTTTCGTTTATATATGTATTATATTTGGCTGCATATATAGATGTACCTATTAAACATGTTTCTTTCTGTGAATTTTCTGGTTCTATCTCTTTTTTGCATATATATATTGGTCTATATGCTTCCTGAATATTTTCTACTCCTACTGTCTGCCTTATTTGCGGCTTGGAATCTTCTTTGTTATTATATTTATGGTATTTTTCCTGGGCTATTTATTTTAACACCTTTTTTGTCCTATTTATTTTTTATTTACCTGCAGCAGCATCCTTTGTTGGAAGTTCTACGTGAGACATGCATGCCGGTGGCATATACGGCATTCGTGCTGCAGAGTGCCAGATATTTGCTTAAAAACTGTTTAAAGAGTATCTTCTCTATTGTCAGCTTCTAACAGGACTCTTTCTAGCTTTTAATACACAGAATAGTAACTGCAGGCGTCTAATACGTTGTTAACGTAGCTGTGATGACATGAGGCCGATACAGTAGAAATGTCGAAAGGGAGTCGAGGGGCGCAAGTGTAAAAATGTAGGATAGTTAAATAGAGTTTTAATGTATATACTATTAGTGAATTAAAGATGAGATTAGGATTTAAAACAAAAATTAAAATATATGTAAACTAGTATTAAGATTATATTAGTTTTGAAGTGTTTATAATAAACATTGGAATACCTTTATAAGTTAAAAAGAAAATTTTAAAAACAAAGATTTAGAGTGGTGTAAATGAAATGTTTTATTTAGTGTAAAACAAGAAGAGCTAAATTATAATTATTTCTACTAAAAAGATACTAGATGTATTTGGGGTTGATAGATGAAAGGCCACCCTGCATTCCGTAAAAACAGTGACTAAAGGAGAAAATGGAGAAAAAGATACAGTTGAAAGTAAACAGAACATACTTTAATAAGATATTTTGAATAGATATATATTTTTAGGGAAAAAAATACATAAGAAAAATAGTTAAATATAATGGCTTTTATTTAAAACAAAAGTTATTTTAATTTTTTGGTTTTATATATATTGAAAGGTGTTTTATATTGCAAAATGTCACTAAAAGATTAGATTTTCTTTAAAATATAAGATTATGGTTTATTAGTCTTAAAATTTTATTAGTCTTAAAATGGATAATCGAAGATTAAAAACAAGGTGTCCTTTGGAACAATCAGGGGTAAACAGATAAAAAAAATGGAATTGCATAAATTAGATATGGAGTGCATTCATTGTCTTTTTGTTTTTGTTGAATGGCATTATTTCAATGGAATGTTAAAAACAACTCAAAACAAAAAGGTTAAATAATAGGATTAACTAAAGAGTGTGTGGAAAAAAATAACAAACAATATAAAGAAGTTTTTTAGAATTTTCTGTTTTTATATAGCTTATATTTTAGTTTATTAGGGTTTTTCTTTGAATTTAGACTATTTTTAGTTTAATCGACAACTCTAGTTTGCTAGCTTTAATTATGCATAATACAAAGATATTATTAAAATTAAACCAAAAAGTAAGTAAAATTGTATTATGATATAATATGTATTTATATGTTATTTTAGATTTTTTTTTTTTATTTTATGTTTTTCAATTTTTAATATCTACTATTTAATCAGAATCCTAGATTTTCAATATTAACATATTTTATAGCACTAAAAATGTTTGTAGCTGAATTCTAGTTATTTTAAGCTATATATTATGGATATTGATATTTAATACAATTTTTGTTGTATTTGATTTTTGTATTAAATATTATTTTATGAATGTTGTAAAAATACTTTTTATGTTTTTTGTATTATATTATTTTAATATATGGTTATGGATAACAAAAATATTATTTTGTTTGCATCCTATTCAATATCTAATTTATAGGTTGTATCTGCAGATTAAATAGTACAAATTGAAATGATATGAAAATGAATGTTTTTTTCATAAAGCAATTACATTGAAATAATATCGGTTTCAGTTCTATTTTGAATATATTTCTAATAATTATTATTTGTTATACAATGATTTAAATTATTTTTCATAATTGATCAAGTTTCATATACTATATGTTTTTACAGATAACTATTACGACTAAATTTTAATATTAACAAAAATTAGTTAAATACTTTATGATCATGTGTTTTTGTCTTATAGAAGGATATTTATTACACAACATACACTATTAATGTTTTTTGTGTAGAGTTTAAAAAATTATTATTAGATGAATATTAAATCATAAATTATCTTTTAAAAAAATAAAATCGAATATAACATGAATTGTAGCTGACAATCTAACTACACTAAATATGTTCAACATTGTGAAAATTTCCTATATACTTTTACGATATTAATTTTTTGTTCTTAAAGGTATTTTGTCTTAAGTTTTATCATTGATATTTAATTTAATGTAGTAGAAAAAAACAAAATAAAGGAAAAATATACAATATTTCAAAGAAGTACATAAAATGGCATCTAATATTTAATAATCCTATTAAAATAAAATTATATTCATATATTTGGTATTTAACTAGACTAGCTGCACCTCGATATCCTCGAGAAACGTTAGACGAGTAAAAATATTTCAGTTTATAATAACATAGAAAAGTCATTTAAATACAGTGGAAACACAGTATATATAATGGACACGTTCTCTTCTATGTCCATGGATGCAAGGCTTTTGCGCGCAATTTCAAAAATTGGGTTTCATAAACCTACATATGTACAAAGTCAAGTTATCCCATTGGCATTAGAGGGAAAAGATGTTTTTGCACAAGCACGTACAGGATCAGGAAAAACTGCTGCATACTTAATACCTATTATTGAGAGTCTTTTGAAAACGAAAAAAGTAGTTGTATTTTTTTAGAGAAAAAAGACTTAAATCAAGTGTTAGACACAGGATCAACTAGAGACAAAATCTATAATACTTGTGCCAACAAGAGAACTTGCAAGTCAAGTAGTTAAGAATATTAAAGAACTTACGTTTTACTGTGGGAAGATTGTAAGAGTTGTGAATTTAGCTGCCAATATTTCAGATAATGCTGCAAAGTAAAAAATTATTATATTTTTATTGTTTTTCTTACAAAATTTAAGAATATTGGTATCCGATTACCCTGAAATTGTAGTTGGTACACCTTCTAGAATCTTGGTTCATTTAAATGGATCAAATCTTCACGTTCAAGAAAGTTTGCAACATTTAGTTATTGATGAATTTGACTTAATTTTGTCCTATGGATACTTAGAGGACCTAAATCATATTATAAGATATATACCTAAGAGTGCTCAGATGTTTTTAATGAGTGCTACCTTAACTGAGGATGTTGATGAGCTGAAAAAAATGATTTGCAAAGATCCAATTATATTAAAACTAGATGAGACAAATAAAAATGCTAATCTTGTACAGTACAGTGTGAAGTATTAATGAGAAATTATATTGTTTCTTTTTTAATCTTATTTAGATGTAGTGAAGATGAAAAATTTCTTTTTGCATTTGTTATACTTAAACTTCGACTCATAAAGGGAAAAATTATTATATTTGTCAATAGTATTGATCGTTGTTATAGACTAAAATTATTTTTGGAACAATTTGGCATTAGGTGTTGTATTTTGAATTCAGAACTTCCTGTTAACTCTCGTTTACATATCATTGAGGAGTTTAATAAAAATATATATAATATCATATTAGCAACAGACGAAAATGATTTATTAAAAAAACCCGATTCTGCTAGTAGCATAAAAGGTAGAGTTATATTCTTTCTTTGTATTTATTTAATAAGCAATTCAGAAGAAAACATAAATTGTGATACTACACAAGCAGTCTTGAAAAATAATTCGTCAAAAAAACAAAAAAAGATACACAGAGATAATGAATATGGAGTATCTCGTGGAATTGATTTTAAAAATGTAACTTGTGTATTAAATTTTGATCTTCCAACTACTGTGAAATCATATATACACCGATCTGGGAGGACAGCTAGAGCAGATAAAGATGGAATGGTTATGTCGTTCATTGTCCCGGAAAATTTATGGGGAAAGCATAAAAGTACTATACTAGAAAGTGCAAAATACGATGAATCAATATTTCAAGCAATAGAAAAAGATCAAGAGGCTAAAGGAGCTACAATTAAACCCTATAGTTTTAATATGGAGCATGTTAATGCATTCAGATATCGAATGGAGGATGCATTAAGAGCTATAACAAGAACAGTTATAAGAGAGGCTCGAGAAAAAGAATTGAGAATGGAAATACTTTCAAGTAAAAAACTTAAAGAATATTTCGACGAAAATCCAAATGATTTGGAGCAACTTCGACATGATAAAGAACTTCATCCAGCAAGAATTCAACCACACCTCAAACATATTCCTGATTACTTACTTCCAAAGAAAGACCGAATAAATATTATTGAAAATATTGGACATGTTAGCTTTCATAAAAAAGACCCTTATCGAACTCGAAAAGCTCGTATTTCTAAATTTAAAAAAAAAGGAAGACATTTTAAAAATAAAAACGACCCTTTGAAATCTTTTAAATAGTATTATACATGAATGATGTGATATAGATATGGCATGATTTATTGACGTTTTTCATAATGCATGTAAAATAGAAACCCATTAAATCATTAAATTCATTAAGTTACTGCATTTTTCGTACTTGTTTTTTCTAGTTGAATTATTTTATCTTTATATTCTTTTGTCATCTCTTCTACTTTCCTTAATGCTAGTTCTAGCCGATCTAGTTCTTCTTGTTCAGTTCTTTGACCTATCAACAATTAGTTACAAATTCTATTTTTACCAAGTTAGTGTACTAAATGGATTAGAAGGTGTACGATCCAATGGAAGAACAGCCCGTGAATGTGTTGTTAGAATTTCATACATAGCTTCAGTAGGTTCGTTAAATATCTAGACATGACTTAATTGAGATAAAAAATATATAATAGCTACTATTTCATCATACTGATAACTTGTTACAGAAAGACCTTGTTCCCGTATTGTTTCAGAATTTGGACCATAAGGATGCAGTTTTAAATGATGAAAAAGACTAATACTTTTTTCTGCTGCCTCTGGTACAAAATAAATACGAATAGCAATATCAAATTCACCCCATCCTGTCTCTGAAACTTCAAAGGGGCTCTGGTCAATTGCTAAAACTATCTTAATTTCTCTGCTTAATACTTTTTTTTTGATACTTCTTGTAGCATTCGGATAGGTGTCATGTAACTTAAAAACTACTTTTTTAATAAAATATGACAAATCCTCATTATATACACCCCTTACTGATACTGTCCATGAGTGTGTATGGTCAGAATCTGGTTTTTTTCTGTCTCCCAAAGGCATAGCAACATTTCCTACTACAATAGGCCGGATAATTTGGCATTTAGGAACACGGGTTGTAGGCGCCATAAAAAGCTTTTAATTTTTCAATATTAAATATTAAAATATTGTTTCTTTTTGAAATATTCTGTTTAATTTAATGTTAATTTTGATTTAATTTTTTCTAAATATTTAACATCATTAAAACGATCAGACGTAAACCTGCTTCACGTATCCTGTAAAAGAAAAAACCAGAAAAAGACAGAAATAAAGGGAAATTTGGCTTAATATATATATATAACAATGGAAACTAAAGAAGAATATCAAGTGAGCAAAAAAAAACAGAAAAAAAAGCACTATTTTAACTGTAAAAAGGGTTTTTGTAAAACAGAAAATCATAAAAAGGAATTGTCTGAAAAAAATGCTGAAAAAGAATGTTTTGATATAAAAAGTAGAATAGAAAAGTTTAGACAATTGAGATTAAGGATGAGAGTTTCAGAAGAAGAAAATCGGAAGGACTTATTTAGTGAATATTGCCGTTTGAAAGAAGATCCAAAGTTGGCAAAAAAAATTGAATTTAAACGTCAGAATGCTGAAAAGAAACTTCAGAAACAAGAAACTATAGAAAAAGGTGAAAATTATGAGAGAAAACGTGCATGGGATTGGTCTATTGAGGAATCAGAACGATGGGATCAAAGGATGAAAGAAAAACAAGAAGCACGTGATAAATCTTTATTTGCAGGTTGTGTTATACAATATTATATAAAATTATGTATTAAATGGTTTTAGATTATACACAAGCAGCTCAACATAGTTATGAAAAATTGATGCGTAAATTTAAACCAGATTTAGAAGCATATGAAAAAGAACGGGCCAAAGTGATAGGTGATAAGGAATCTTTAGAAGAAAATTCGTCGGATATGTCAAATACATATGAATCGTTTTATAGAGATGCAAACTTTCTTGGGTTTGCAAATAGCAAGCCAAGTAAGAAGGCAATTGATCGTCTTGTTGATGATCTCAATAAACAGTACATCTTCTATATGATACATTTTATTATTAACTATTTAAAGGGAAGAAATGAGGAAGAAGTCAAGAAGACGGTTTGATCCTGATAATGAGGATGTTAGCTATATGTATGTTCTAAAAAAATGGTTTATTGTTATATTAATCGGGATGTTAGAAATGAGAGAAATGCGAATTTTAATAGAAAAATTTCGAGGTATTTATATTAATTTTTTAAGAATGCTTCTTATTTTTTAGATTTTATGATAAATATACAAGAGAAATTAGAGAAAGTCTTGAAAGGGGTACAGCCGTATAAGCATTGTTATTTCAGATTTTAGCCATTAGGTGTTTAAAGATATGCTGGAATTGCTTATTACAATAATATAGACGCATATATATATATATTCTGAGTACAACATATTCTATAAATTTTTTTTTTACAACACTGTTGCTAATTTTTCAATATGTTGTATACTTGCAATACCTTTAAATGTTTCGTCGTGAATGGATTGAATAATTGCATCTGCAACAGTTTCTACTTTCAAAGGCTTAACTCCCACTGCATCTATGAATGGTATTTTTTTGTCAAATAATCTGTTTACATTAGAAATTGTATTAATAATGCAAGCAAGAGGCATAGAGATGGGTCGTTCTTTTGAATACATAAAACCTATATACATTAGTATCAAAAAAGTTAGAAAGGCATGAAGAAAGTACCTGGTCTCATAATAATGGGTCTTATATTTGGAAGAGAGCAAATATAATCCTCGGCTTCTCTTTTTGACTCAATGTATCTTCTAGGGATACCTGGAAAACCACCTGCTGCTGAAAGATAAACGAAAGGCATGTTCGTATTAATTCTTGATACTTCATCGGCTACTTGAATTGCTTTTTTCACGTTTGTATGAGTTAAATAGATATTTTTTGTAAAAATTACCAAAATCTCTATTTAATTTATTATAGCTTAAATTTTCATCATGAGATGGCTGAAAAGTAAGGGATAAAAGATCTTTTGCAGATAGGAAATGCTTGTATTGTGATTCTAATAGAGTTCCTACAGAGTATACAATGGCAGAACTTTTTTTTATATGTTCTTTAACCAAAATTTCATCTTTTAAGTCACCTTTACACCAATTTACTTGTTTTAGCCATTCTGGAACACTTGAATTATGTCCTGCACACTCTGGTTTTCCTTTTCGGCTTATTTTAGGTCAGCTAGGGTTGAATTGATCTTTAATTTTTGTTAAACCTTAATGATGTAACTGTCCAACCTTTTTGAATAGCAGTTTTGCAAATATGTTGACCTTTAATAAGTCAAATACACAAAATATATAGAAAAGTGATCATTTTCAACCTAAAAAGCCAGTTCCCCCAAGTACAGTGAGGTGACGATTCATTCTCAATTTAAACTATTTTTTAGCTTTTTGAAATAATCGATCGACGTCAAAAAAGTATTTTTAAAAATAAAAATCTTTTAAAAAAAGAAAATAAATAAAACAAATGACTTAAGATATATTTGTGAATTTTTGGTAATGACTTTTTTGACTAAATCTTTTTTTTTTCAGAAAAAAATAAATAAATTTTGCATAAAAAGATCAAGTACTAAAACATTGAATCTTGGGAAAAATGTACTATATCCAGCAATTCAAAAACATTTAAAGCTTTATGAAACAGTCAATATAGATGCTCTTGTTTATGGATTGCAAGATTTTTCAAATGCAATGGATAGTCTTTTACCAGAAAAAAAATTTAAAATGATTCGTAAATTACAAAGATTATATGGAAAACCTCTTAAGATGATTGTTTTGTCTCGAAGTTCATCTAAATTCAAGTATTCAAGTCATTTTGAAAGAAAAAATTCTCGTTTTGTATGTACTTGGTTCTTTCGAATAAAATTAATTTTCTCTTAGTTACTTGCACAAATGGCAGAATGTTTTAAAACATTTGATAAAGAGAGTATTCTTGGAATTTTAAATTTTTCTGTTTATTCGGAAAATGTTTCTGAAACGCTTATATCTTTCTATCTTTACAAAATATACTCTCTTAATAAAAGGAATGAAGGCTTGCCGCTTTTAAAAGAATTTTTAGAAACACTTATTAATTCTGATTTGAAAAAAAAACTAATGAATATTTCGGCTATTAATATTGCAAAACTAGAAACTCGATATTTATATGAAGATATAGAAATTCCATGTAAGTTTTTAATGAGTTTTTGCATTTACTAAAATATTAAACATCAGTCTCTATGATGTTTGAAAAAAAATCACTTTCTGAAGACATATATAATATGGTTAGAGTTTATATATTGAAAATTTATTCTATACAAGGTAAAAGTCAAAAAGCCATACATATACTTGGTGAGTTAGTTAAAGCCCGTAGAATTCCCTCCTTTTCAATCATGAATATCCTATTAAGAACTGTTTTGGGTAAAAATACATTTATTAATAATATAAAAAGAGAGTCTGATCTTATGTTTTTTTATAATAAGATATTTTCTAATTTATCTCCAAACTTTGAAACTATTAAGATTCTTGCAAACTGTTCTTTAACCTATAATGAATTTGATAAATTATGGAGGTTTGTCATTAACCATCCTCATAAAAATAAAATCATAGAAGGATGTCAAATTGAAATTGCACGGGCTTTTTTAAGGCTTGGTCAAAAAGTTCGACAATTATCTAATTCTAGTATTCATTTAAATGCTAATGCTATGAACTTTCTTCAGTATCTTATATCAAATGTCAAAAAGCTATATAAAAATACAATTATTTATTTAACCCTATGTTGTTCTTTATTTGATAATTTTATTGGTCTTAAACAGTGTTTTAAAATTTTAAATTCACATCACTGGGAATTATCTACAAAGCATTATGCTACAATTTACAGACAAGCTTTCAATTTAAATTTCGAAAATTTAAAAGTTTGTAGACACGAATTTGTCAAACATTTATGGATGCAAAATGAGCAAAAAACCTTGATATCTTTGCCAAAAAAGCATCCCAATGAGCATTCTTTGGTTGAATATGTTCGATGTATGGGAAGTTTTAATGATCTACAAGAGATTCTTCGTCTTATAAAAAAAGAAAAACCAATTAAAAAAGGAACTATTATCGGGTTCGTAGAGGCACTCAACCTTGCAAAGGCACACACAGAAAGCTTATCACTATTGAGATTGCCGGAGCTTAGAATAAACATGGATTTAAACATAATAAAATGTTTTTTTAATAATATTCAAACGAGACCTGCGTGGAACGATATTTTGCATGCTGTTTCTATAGAACTTGCTCGGAACCAAATTACTACGCCACTTGACTTTTTTGCAAACTTGTGGGAAAAAACCATGCATCAGAACTGCTCCAAAGAGTCAATCATATTAAAAGAAAACTACGTAGTAGCCATAAAACATCTGGTTAAAGAATACACGGTACAACTAAATAAAATTATAAAAGAGCTGCAAGATCAAAGAGACATCGAATCCGCTTTGACACAGCTTGAAGCCATTGACTATTCTTGTGTTACAACACTGCATTCGTAAACATAAAGCCACCAATAAATACCCCTGTTTCTTTGATTTATAATTCATAAACTTTTGCATCTTATTGATGAAATTGCTCGTTTTACAATATGTGCCGCACCAAACCACCCTTGTTTCCAGCTATAGTTTGGTCTAGAAAAGCCTGCTCTGCCACAAATATTCCTGTATTTTGCACTTTCCTGTATTTTTTGTTTTACTGAGCACATCCAGCGCAAACACATCCTGCGTTCAACCCCTTATAATTTCATTGATGCACCACAAAAACTACAACCCATAATACATGATAATACCCGTATTTTGCACTGTGAAATACCGTTTCAAACATTTTTATCTGCAATTATCGCTTCTTTCGAATCCGCTACAATAGGACATTTTAAAGCATCTTAGATAACACCCTCTGCTCACTTGCTCGATTTCGTTAAAAATACAATAAAAAGCCCAAGCACCACAAGACTAAGAAGAAAAATACATTTTCTTTTTCGTGATTTTCTTTGATACGCCTCTGCCTTTCCCCGTCAGTGCCTGCAAACCCCGTCTTCAGATACCTTGCTCAACTCCTTGCTCGCCTCACACATAGACTCCCCCGTATTCTCGATATTCGTACTAATCGTGTCCAGAATACTCCTGCTTGATAAGACCAAATAAAAATACACAAACTCTCCCCACCCCTGGTCCGTCACTACTGATTGAATCTCCTTGAAGATATCCGACAGCTCTAATATCCTTTTTGCAATATCCATTATATCTCTCTCTCTGCGCGCAATTTCTTCCTCTGATTCTCTCTGTACGACAAGCATCTGCCCATCTTCCGGACACCCTTCCCGGACACTCCTTCCTGTGATAGGGACACCCTCCTCTTTGGGGACACTCTTTCCATACGTGTCTGTAAGAGCACCCGTGTGTCCGGATCCCCGATGCAGCTCTGAGAGGTCAGCCTTTGGCACATATGCAGTGGTGCTACGCTGAAGATACAGCGACTGCTTCTTCTTGAAGAGCATGTTTTCTGCCTGAACCTTGTTTGCCAGTGCAGTCTGCACATTTCTTGCAATGGCCGCTTCTGTCGGTGTCGCTCCGTGCCGGGGGACGACCGTCCTTATCAGGTCCTGGCACCTCCTAAAGCCCTTTCTGGCGAGTCAGCGCCGCACACAGTGCACACGCACTGCACATGCACTGCGCAGACAATGCATACACTCCATACACACTGTATACAGCATACATGCAGTGTACACTCTATTGTGCACACACAGCATACTATGTATGCTATACTATATATATGTATGCTATACTATATATGCTATACTGTATACACCACGCATACACTGCACACTGTGGCACTATACATATACAGCATACACTGTGTATACTATACTATATATTATGTATACTATACACTATATGCATAGTATATGTATATATTGCATGTATAATATATTGCATGTATATGCTGTATATATACAGCATATACAGTGCATACAGTGCTCTACTCGCGTTGTGTATGCATGTCTGTGTATATACAGTGCACACTACGTATATGCGTACACTGTGCAGTGCAACACACACCTGCAGCACACGCATGCAGCGCCACTGCGCCTCTCCCTCATCGTGCCGGCGGTCGTCGAACCCCGGCAGCATGTTCTTCTTGTACAGTCGCTCCAGTGCCTCTCGCTCTCCGCTGATTTCCTGCAGCAGCCTCTCGACTTCCCCGACGCATGCTGACCAGTCGGGCGCCAGCCAGTCGAGCTCGACTGCGTCCCCGAGCAACCCGCAGTGCTCGTCGCTGTGCGCTGCGACAGGGTGGTGGACGCACGACTGTCTGTACGCAACAAACAGCCGCGTCCGGTCGCGCGTCGCCATCGCCGCCCGAGAGCGGCCGCTGCGCGTATCGCTCTGCGCCCGCGCACACCACAACATGGCTGGCGGGCAGGCTGCGCAGGCAGAGCAGAACCTCACAGAGGAGCAGATTGCAGAGTTTCGCGAGGCGTTTTCGCTCTTTGACAAGGTGTGTGTCGCTGCACCGCACGCACTGCACTGTGCGTGCACTGCATATAGGCATATAGGCATATACAGTATATACTGTATATACAGTATGTAGCAGCATGCAGACATGTGTAGCATATATGTATAGCATACACGCATAGTGTATACAGTGTAAGCAGTGTATACACCACACACATTATATGCAGTGTATGCGCATTATATGCTACGTGTTGCATGCACGTACAGTGTGTACATAGATGCACTGTATATACAGCATATACACATACTCCGCACTGTATGCGCACTGTATGCAGTGTCAGTGTGCATGTATGCAGCCGTGCAGTGTATGCACGCAGCATTGCACAGTGCATACAACACGCATACAGTGCGCATACAGTGCGCTGCACACACAGTGCGTGCATTGTACGCATACTATACATATACTGCATATATATGCTATGTATATACGCAGCATATACTGTCCGCATATGTTATGCAGTGTATACACATACATAGTATACGCATTGTATATACACTGTGTATGCAGTGTATGCACTCTGCTACTGTGCGTTGTGTATGCGCTGTATATGCATTATATGCGCGGTATATGCGCGGTATATGCGTTGTATGCTGCAGTGTGCAGTTGTGCTGCGTATACATGCTTACTCAGCAGGATGGCGACGGATGCATCACCACCAAGGAGCTTGGCATTGTCATGCGCTCTCTTGGGCAGAACCCGACCGAAGCCGAGCTTCAGGATATGATTAATGAGGTCGATGCAGACGGAAACGGGACAATTGGTACATTTTGTGTATTTTTGTCTGCACTGCCTGACAACGGCAGACTTCCCCGAATTCCTGACAATGATGGCCCGAAAAATGAAAGACACTGACTCAGAAGAGGAAATTCGGGAAGCGTTTAAAGTCTTTGATAAAGACGGCAATGGGATCATTTCAGCAGCAGAACTGCGGCACGTGATGACCAATCTCGGGGAAAAGCTTACAGACGAAGAGGTGGACGAGATGATCCGGGAGGCAGATGTGGATGGTGAGAAAGGGCAGCAGGGCGCCGCTGAGCACACAGGAAGAACAAGGAAAATGTATAAAACTAGAGTGTGGATTTTAGGAGGGAGTTTGTGTATTTTTGTGGGAGCGGGATTTTTACTGTGGAAGGCGCTAACACTGTGCCAGTGGACATGGCATAGAGGAGTGCAGCGGTGGTGCAAAGGCGGTGCAGCGCTGTATACAAGAAAAGAGCGGGACTGACGCAGATAGGGGACGGAGCAATCAACTACACTGAATTTACACGGGTAATACAGAAATACATGTATAATAAGTATAATGAAAACTAAACGTCTAGATCATGCTTAATAAATAGTCGTCCGAAAGGTGTTGAAGGGAGGGAGGAGGGAAGGAGGGGAAAAAAGAAGGAGAAAAAAAATGTATAAAAAAGAGTCTAAAGAGAAGAATTAGGAGAGTTTTTAGAAGGAGAATCAGGAGACAGAAGGCCGGGCTGTGAATCGGATGGCTGAGGGGGAAAGGAAAAGTGGGGAGGAGAGCCATGAGTAGCGTCTATGAGTTCGTCTTCAATACTGAGGAGACCGGCAAGTTTAAGGTCGTTGACGATGTTTTCCGCCTGCTGAAGGGGAACACTGGCGAGTACTTTGTTGATATTGTCAAGTTGGCCGCTGTAGAGAGCGGCTTGAAGGTCGGGAGAGAAAGAATCAAAGATCTGGCGGGCCATTTGGGTGTCGGGGTCGTCGGAGGAGGGGGGAGGGATGGAAATGGTGATTTTGGTGTTGGGATCAACCGCGTGGAGCTGAATCTGTTCTACGGGGGAAGAAGTGTCACGTTCCAAGAGAATTTCCGCAGCACGGACCTTGATACGGGAGTAGGTTTGGTGTACATCGTCGTTGAAGAGTTTATGTGCAGCGTGGTTGGCAGAAGTGACACTGGGAAGGAATGAGTGAGAAAAAGAAGGGAGGAAAGGAAGGGGAGGTGATGTACCGCTGGAAAAACAAAGTAACGCCGTCTTTGCCGAGCTGGCGACAGTATTGGAGAAGAAGGCCTTGGTGGACGCATTGTTTGGCAAGGGTTTCGTTGCCCTGCATTTGATAATTGAATGCATCGATGAGTAGGCCGTCGGTTTCTTGTTCGTCAGAGACGATTTCCGGATGAAGACTGATAAATTTGAGAAGGGTGTGGTAATCACGGCTGTCAAGTTTGGAAAAGTCTCTTGCAGCACTAGAGGGTTCTATGTGTTCGGTGGTCTCGTCTTCGGTATTGGTAATATTTTCCGATAAAGATGTTTTCTCCAAGTTTTTCTCTTCAAGTGCCTGTTTATTGAGGACCTCGACTGTTTGTATTTTTTTCTTCTCTTTTTTCGCTGGTGTTTTTGTTATAGACTAGTTTATTAGATAAGTGTCAATTAATATAGATACACACAGAACTTTCAAAGCCGATCCGTATATCTTCGGATGTTATTTTTTCCTTGCCTTCTTCTTCTAGTTTTTCAAGGTCTTCAGTGGCCTTGATGATTAAATTTTGTAGTTTTTCAGTGTTTTTTTCGAATTCCTGAATAAATCTTGTACGGCGTTCTTCCCCTTCCAATGTGTTGAGGCTTTGTTTAATTTGTTCAATCAATGTTCCAATAGACACATGATATTTTACAGCACCTTCTATGTTGGGTATGTTTTCCAACTTAATTTTATTTAAAACATCATCAATGACATTGTCTGGAGATTGATTTGTCGTTGTTTTCAAGCTTTCAATTATCCTTGAGATTTGTTCCACCAAACCAGTGTTCATTTTCCGAGTAGCAGTGATATCCTGGATTGCTCTTTTGCGTGCTTGACGTTTCTCATGAATATCTCGCTGTTTCCATCGGATAAAAGAGCGTTTGTCGACATTTGGATGAACTATAGGCTATTTTAGTCTTTTTTTTGAAATTTCCAGGTGCCCAAACCTTCTATATCACTGGAAATGCTCGTTAGATAACATGTACCTGCCTATATACCTATTATCTTTACCTGTCGTCACTCAATTCCAACTTATCCCATTTGGAGTAATCTAGAACCATTTTGAACCAAAAAAAAAGCTATTTAAAAGTGGTATAGAAGTATATTGTTGAAAATAGATATTTCTAATCGAAATATAGCAAAAAATCTGCTGAAAACAGTACTATTTATGGATGTTTTATTGATATATAATATATCACTTTTTTCTGAGGTTCGGGAGAAATCTCGAGTTTAAATGTATTGAAAATCAGAAAAAAAGTATTTTTTTATAAATATATAGATATCACTGGAATTGAAGATATTCAATCGGTTTTACTTATTTTTGGGATAAAAAAGTTTTTTCCATGTTTTTTTCTGAAATCTTGATGACAACAAAACAATGCTTTTTAGGGAGTTTAAAACATCATTGAAACTTATAAGAAAACAAAATAATATGTTTATTCGTTTTTTATATACACATGAGTATGTATTGGCAAATACTTCTTTGAAACAGCTGCTTAATTTGAGAATTAGGACTCTATATACGTGTAAATGGAGTTCTTTGCGATGCCATAGATTTTGCTTTGTAGAAAAAAGGCCTTTTTATTTGATATTTACTTCATCATCAAAACGTCTTTTTTTGCATCCTGGTTTTAGAAAAAGTATTTATTATGATCATGTGTGTTTGCAATAAAAAGATGTATATTTGTAATTGTGATTAGAAGAATGGGAAAAGTCATCAAAATGGACAAAATACAACTATTCACTCGAAAATAATGTTTTCCGAATTAAAACGCTTTGTTAAATTGCTTAAAGGCGAAACTAGAATGTTATCGGGTAATTTCTAAAGATATCTATAATATCTCAACGTGGTAGTTGCTATTATTCTTCTGTTTTTTGGGTCTTCTGTTTCTATGTCTATGCCGTATATATATGAACTTTTTTTGAAAAAAATCTTATTTATTAAAGATATATTATTGGGAAAATTTTGGATTTTATGGTTCAACCATTTAAAGGCACTTTTTTTGGGATTGAGCCCTTTTATTTCTATACAGGACTTGCTGTTATTTTCCTAGTTAGTGGGGCATCTAATTTTGGACGTAGTCTCCTTTTACGAATTATTAGTGAAAGAGTTATATCTAAATTACGATCACGTTTATATCAGAATACTATCAGACAAAATATAGAATTTTTTAATGTTAATCCGTAAGTCGTTTTTATTTTAAAAAATTTTATTAATGTATTTTAAGGAGTGGTGATTTGATTTCACGTTTGTCTTCAGGTAGAAATATATTTTTTTACTTTGTTTTTGATTTTTCTTTAGATACAACAATCGTTGCTAAAACTCTTACTCAAAACTTTTCTGATGGTTTAAAATCTTTAATCACCACAACTGCTGGACTTACAATGATGACATGGATATCTGTAAAATTAACTTCAGTCATGATGTTAATTCTGCCACCAATCGTAATTGGTTCAGTGAGTATTATCGTTTTCTTGGTTTTTATTAATTTTTAGGTGTTCTATGGGCGTTATATAAAAGCTTTATCAAAAAAAATTCAAAAAACTTTAGGAGATTTAACAAAAGTTTCCGAGAATCTCAGAAATATATATACAAGTATTAAGAATTAAATTTTGTATTATATTTTTAACATATATATCTATAGTTAAAGCTTTTACAGGTATATTTTGAACATTTGAAATCATTGTTTATAAAATAGGCGAAACACTTGAATTACGCTCTTATAATAATAAAATTCGAAAAGTCTTCCAATTGAATAAGAAGGATGTACAACAACCATGTATATGTTATATACTTGTTATAACATAAATCTTAGGCATTTCTTAATAGTACATTTTTAGGATTAGTAAAATTTGAAAACTATTTTTATGTAATATTAAAATTTTTAGATTGGGCTATCAGGGAATATGGTAGTATTGGTTATTCTTGCTTTTGGGGGACGCATGGTTAGCAATTCTATTATAACTATTGGTGATCTCAGTTCCTTTTTGTTATATACGGCATATACAGGAAATTCTATGATTGGGTTAAGTGGATTTTATTCTGAATTTATTAAAGGGTTAGGTGCATCATCTCGGTTGTTTGAATTATTGGATAAAAAGCCATCTATAAAATCCACAGGTCTGGTTTATTTATATTTAAAGTTAGAACTTATATAATAGTAGGTATTTTTGTCACTAGTATTAAAGGACCTATTGAATTCAAAGATGGTAAAGTAGATGTCATAACTTTATGCAATATTGATTTTCAGTTTGTTTTGCATATCCTTCTCGTCCAGATATACCTATTTTTTCTAAATTATCGTTTACAATAGAGCAAGGTACAAATGTTGCAATTTGTGGTCCTAGTGGAGGAGGTAGTTAATATATTTGTTTTATTTTTACTTTTTTTCTAATAAAAGTAGGAAAATCAACAATAGGTTTGTTATTTCGGTCTTGAATAATTAACTAAAATAATAATAGCATCACTCCTTTTAAGATTTTATGATATAGACTCTGGAAAAATTACTATTAATAATATGGATATTCGGGAATTTAATTTAAAACAATTTCGAAAAAAGATTGGTATTGTACCACAAAATCCTACACTTTTTTCTGGTACTATAAAAGAAAATATTGCTTATGGAAAACCGGATGCAACATTAGAAGAAATAATAAAAACAATAAAAAAATCTAATTCTAATTTTATTATGGATTTTCCTAATGGTATCAATACTCATATTGGAAATAATGGAATACAATTAAGGTAAAATTTGTTTTTAATTATTTAATCATTTTAACTTTTAGTTAGTGGAGGACAGAAACAAAGGTAATTCAATAATAAAATAATATACATTTAATTATGTTTTTATAATTTAGGATTGCAATTGCTAGAGCGTTAATTAAAAACCCTGAAATATTGATTTTAGATGAAGGTAATTTTTAATTTTTTTTTTTTTTTTATTAAAATATTTAGCTACATCTGCACTTGTAAAGTATAGTATAGTATGTTTTTTATGTTAATTGTTCCTAGGATGGAAAATCTGAAGTTTTGGTTGATGAAGCATTACAAAACTTGATTCAACAAGAAAATCTTACGTCGATAACTATTGGTAAATATAAATCTATATATGTTATTCATTAATTTTTTATTTCAAGCTCATCGACTTGCTACAATCCAAAGGGCTCATAAAATTATTGTTTTAAATCAAAAAGGCAAAGTAATTGAAGAAGGCACTTATGCAGAATTAAGTAAAAATATAAATTCTGCATTTATGAGATTAATGAGGTCCCAAATGTGTGGATATGAACTTGTCGAAACAAACGAAATCATTAAAAAAAGCCGAGTTACACAGTAAATTATACATAAAACAAGGATCGGCTGTTATTTCATATCATTGTTTTTTAATGACAACTATATAAATCATATTTCTATTTAATACATATACAAAAACGCTAAGTATTGTTAGCACCTGGTGCATTAGGATCTTTTTCAAGGTTTAATAATAATTCTTTGAATTTTGATATATTATTATTTTCTAAACCTGATGTTGTATCGGATAAATTAAGAAGTTTCACAATGCGTTCCCATAGTGTTCCATGAGACTCTTTACTTCTTTCTAATAGAAATTCTTCTTGTTTTTTTCTATTTTCAAATTTAATTCTAGATAAATTGTTAATAATGTATTTATATACCTTGCTTTCTGAATTTCTGCCTCTTTTTTTCTGTTGTACGTTTCATAAAAGTTTTTAATAGCTTCTTTTGCTGCTTCTATTCTTTCTATTTTTTTCAATTCATTTTCTTCATCACGTTTTTGAATATCTAGTTCTCTTTGTTGTCTCCATTCTCTACATTTATTAATCATTTTTACTTATTAATAGTAACTTGTTTACTGAAGAAAGATAGGTTCCTCAACATATAATGTGTTTATGTTTGCATCTTTTGTTTCTGTTTGAGTATCATTTAAATATATGGTTTTTGAGGGTATTTCATCTTGTATTTTGAATTGAGGCTAATATAAAACAAAATCTCATAAAAAGAAAAAAATAATTACATACTTTGTGTCTATTCAGTGTTATATGGTGATTTGCTGCATCAAATTCTTCTAAAGACGGGAAATTGGACATTGTGAATGAATCTTTTTTGTAAATAGATTTTTGCTAATATTGTTTTTAGTTATTGGATTTCAATCTGACTTTTTAAGATAAAATAATTTAAATTATTGGTTTCACTAATTTTATATAAAAACTGTTTTTTTCTTAATTTTTACTTGAAAAATGTTGAATTTTCTTGAAGTTATTTTTTCTATACTTAAGATTTCAAGAATCGAACAAATCAATTTAAAAAAAAGATATTTAATTTTTGGTTGTTTTTGTATTAAATTTATCCAAAAGTACTTTTAAAAGACTGTATAGTGCTTAAAAACTGATATTATCTTTTTATTAGTTTTTTTTTGTCAGAAAAAATCTTTTTAGTACTAAAAATTTGGTTTACAAATAATTGAAAAAAGTTATACTTTTAGTTAATGGCAACTCTTGATTTAATTCGTTCTAAGTTTGCAACACTTAATACTGGATCTCAAGAAGAGATTACTAGCGTTTCTTCGTGTAATTTTGCTTTTTTTTTTGAGAAAAATAAGTGTAATCATTGTAGGGGTTTTATTCCACCGAAGAAGTGCAAAACAGATTGTTGAGACATGGATGCAGAGTCTACGTGATGGTGAATGTTTTTATATTCTATTTGGTGCTTTTTATTGACTTTTTGAAGCGTCTGGTATGAGGAAATTGAATCTGATTTATCTGGCAAATGATGTAACACAACAATCCAAAGCTCGTAAACGTGAGGAATTTGTTAATGCATTTTCAACTGTTTGATTTCTTTCATACTTTTTATATATTAATTTTATCCAAGGTTATTGCAGAAGCGATGGAAAATGCTTATTTGCATGGGACTCAGGATGTTCAAAATCGTCTTAAACATGTTGCAAATGTATGGGAACAAAGGAATATTTTTTCTGAAAATGTAATGATGGATGTTAATAAGAGACTAGAACGTATGTTTTTTTAGTATTTTTAAATCTAAAATGATTTTTAGTTGCTGAAAAAAGTGTAAAAAAGTCTTTATCAGGTGGAAAAATAGGAGGTGCATTAAAATTATCTTTAGTTCCAGAATTGGTTGGTTTTTCATATTAAAGATTTATTTTTATTCTTATAATAAATAGTCTAAACTTAATTTATTATATCATAATCTTACTGCATCAATTTCATCTTCTTCATTGTCTATTGGGTCTTCATTTAGTTTTTACACACAACTTACGGAAGCCGAAACACCTCCTGTATCTCCATTATATGCTTCAAAACTTTTTCAGTTATTGGAATCTCTTAAGTTATCTTACAATACTTCGAAGGCTGCTATTGTAGTTCGTGAAGATATTATTAAGCAATTAGAGATACTTCTTAAAGAAAATAACTCTATGTTGGCTAAGGAAAATGAACAGCTTGATGAGATTCAGAAAAAAATAGATCATGTTGATGATATGAAACAAAAAATTGAAAAAATGGTAACGGATATAGAAATTTCTGAAGATGAGAATTCTAAGCCTTCTATACTATTTAAAGAGTTTTCTTCTAATGATCAGACCATGTTGTATGAAAAACCTGTTACATATGATATAATTAATGATGAAACAAAAAGTAATTTTCAAGTTTCTGACTTGAAATCAATGCCAATTTTAACTTGTTTAAAAAATATTGAAGACGATTCTAATCCTAGAAACGATTCTAAATCAGAAATAACTTAAATTATTTGATATAATTAAAATATAAGTTGTTGAATTTTTTTGTAAATTGTTTTAAAATTCATTGTTAACTTTGTTTTTATTTTTATTTAGTATATTTTATAGATTATTTTCATATTTAAATACAAATTTTAAATGAATAATTGTTTTTTATAAATTTTAGATATTTGTTTTAATATTGTAATTTAATTAAAATTTTAAACATTTTGTTTCTATATTTGAAAAAAATATTTTTCAAAAAGTAATAAAGATATTATTTTTTAAATTAATTTTAACATCATTTTTATTTTTGTTTATAAAAATTATTTATGAAATATTTTGTTCAAAATTTTATTAGAAATTTTTAGTAAAATATATATCTTTGTTCAATTTTGGAAATAAACTTAAATAATAGGGATAAATCAACTCACTTTAAGTAATTATTTCTAAAGTAGATGTGTTTCTTCTTTTTTTTTTACAAACATATTTTTTAAATTATATCACCCATTTTATAGATCTTAGAAAAATTAAATTATGAAATAACTTTTTAAATTAAATATAAATTAAACATAAAAAATATTACATTTGATATAAAATAATTTAAATTATTATAATATCTAATAAAATTATGTAAATAATTTTCTTTTTAAAAAATATCTAATTTTATTTCCAAAAAAATATAATAAAAATTTATTGAAAATTTATTTTCATAACATTATTCAATATTTCTTAAATATAGATCATTTTTCTTTTTTTATAAACTTAATCTTTACAAATGTTTTCAAAATCTATTTGATATGTACATTTGTATATAATATATCATTTATTATCTTTATTTATATGATATTTTAAATTTATCTATTATTCACTTACAATTTTTCAGTTTCATTTATTTTTTGATACTACGTTTAGGCATTATCAATAACTACGTCTTGAAAAAAGTATGCCAATATCTGGGTAAGTTTACATATTTTTATTAAAAATAAAAAGAAATTAATATCTTTGAAGTGTTTATTTATGTCAAGATGATACAGGGATGACACTTATGGAGAATATACGGCAAAGATTGCTTTTATTTTTGGCACAAAGTATAGGTAAATTTTAAAATTCTATGTTTTTAAACCTAAATTATCTTAGGACGCTGGTCTATGACATACAAACTCTATACAAGACCTAAAAAGCATCTTTATATGGTTTCTTTATCTTTTTGTCCAGAAGTTACTTTTTGTAAGACTCAACAAATATCAGTCAAGATGGATGGAGATTTTGAACAGATGATCATAAAAACAAAGTTATGGAACATAAGACAGATGTTTCAGGTTCCACGATTTATTCATATTCTGAACAATGTTTATTTTTGGATAGCTTGAAGGAGATGTTTATGAAATCAATGATTTTATTGTTCGTATAGCAAGTACAGATAAAGGTCTGGTGATTAATGTAAGTGATATAATATTTTAGTTTAAACTTTTTTAATTTTTTTAGATTGAATATACAACATGTGATACAATTTCTCAGGGACATATAGCAATAGAAAACCTTTTGATTGAATGTTTAATTCCTACATTTAAAAATGTCTGTATTCGCTCATCATATAATGAAGTTGCTTCAAATGATCTAAAATCAACTTTAACATCTGGTTTTCAGTTTATAGATGTTTTAAAATTAGAATAATATATTCTGAATGCTTGATAATGTGGTATTATATCTATTTGAAAAATTATTAAAATATTTACTTTTAACACATATTCTGAAAGGAAAGATATAATTCACTTTTTTTCATTATATTTTCTATCTATTATAACTTTTTATTGAATACGAAAATGAAACATCATATTTTTTGATAGATCATTAACATTTTCTTATTTCTTTTACATTGTTATATCTATGAAACGATTAAATGAGTTCAAATTTCTATTTTTCATATATAGAATTGTCAAAAATTTTATATTTTAAAGTTAATATAAAATTTAAATATATTATTTTTTGAATATTTATTCTAGGTTGGCTAAAAATTCTAAATATGGTTTGTTTTTATTATTTTTCTTGGTTTCTCATATAAATTTTGTTTTTATGTTTAAAAATAAGGATAAGACATAGTTTCTACTATATTTAAAGTTTAATTTTTTATTACGGTTATACCTATGTCAAATATAATATGGTGTTTAGCTTTTGGCTCAATTTAAATAATAAATATATATTAAATAAATATATATTAAAATTTAAAATATCTATTTAATATTTTTTAATATATTTCAAATACTCATCGAAACAATCCAAAAATTAAGTTTTTTTTGATATTTACATAAATTTTATTAAAACTAAAACATATTATTATATTTTATTTATTGCATTTTAATTTAAAATTACTTATCTATTTACAGGTATATTCTTTTTTTGTTTGAAATATTTTTAAATTTAAGTTTAGAATTAAGTTTTGAAAGAATAGAATTTTAATGTCACGACATTCAAAAAGAAACACAAGTTTATCATTTTTTACAAATTGTATTATTTCAAATGGATAGATTTTTATATTTTTGACTTTTTTTCTTTTTTTTAGATGAACGTTCTATGTTAGATTATGGAACTAAAAAACAAAGACTTGAAAGTGATTCATTTCGTCAATTTGACGCATGTCATCTCTGTATGTCTCAAACTCGTGATACTGTTTCATGTCAGGAAAATGGAGATATTTTTTGCAGAGTCTGTATTATGGAAAATCTTTTATCTCAACGTAAAGAAATAAAGAAAATGGAAGAAGAAATAGAAAAAAAAAAACGTCAAGATGAAATTGAAGATAAAAGAATAGAAGGAATTGCTAAAAGACGTGCTATTAAGGATTTTGAAGCACAGCAAATGATTGCTAATTTGCATCATCAAAATACACATAATGATGAAGTTTTGCAGAAAAAAGAAATTAAAGAAATTTTTGAACTTGACAAAGAAGAGCTTTTAAAAATTACAAAAAATGACAAAGATAGGGAAAAAATGAAATATATAAAAGAGAAAGTAAGTTAAAACAAATTATTTTGAAAAAATGTTTATTATAAGGAATTACGATCAATACCAAAAATTAATTCTTTTTGGATTCCATCATTAACACCTTCTGTAAATACCAAAGAGACTATAAAAAAACGGAAAACTGTACCTATTTGTCCAGCATCAACTGCTAATAAGTCTCATAAAATATCGCTAAAATCTTTAATTTCAGTTCATTTTACTGAAAACGAATCATCAGAAAACAAGAATCCACAAAGAATTTGTCCAGCTTGTAAAAAAAAACTTTCAAACATATCCGGAGCATATCGTAATTACTTGCTTTTTAAAATATTTTCTTTAATTTATATTATAGTTATGAAGTTATGCGGTCACGTTATATGTACAATATGTTTAGATCAGTTTGTTCGCGATTCTGGTGTTTGTTATGTATGTGAAACTAGTTTGTATTTAGAAGAAAAAGATGCAGCAAAAAATATCTCTAAACTTTCAATTGTAGAACTCTCTAAAGAAGGGACTGGCTTTAGTGCTAAGAAAAATGCAATGGCTGAGAAATTTGATGTAGCCTTTCAAGGGAGTTAAATTCGATTTTTTATATCTGTCATTCTATGTTATTATTATGTATTGCATTTATATATGTGATTTTGGTTTGTATACAATTTTAAAAATCTATTATTTATATATTCATTATTCAAGATAGATCTAGAAAAATGTATAATGATATGTCAAGTACTGATTATCTGTATCAATTAAATATATGATTTTCAAACAATTATATTTACATATGCTAATATCTCTTCATTGTGTGTTTTCACATTATAATATACTTCTCATCTTTATTAGATACCTTTTTTTGAAGTGATGCATCTGTATGATTTATTGTGTTACTTGTACTGCTTTTTTCTTCTTGTATTTTTTCAGTTCCATGTCCTGTATCTTTTTCAAGATTTTTTGTACTTATATGTTTATTAATTATATCAACTAAGAAGTCGAATTGGTCAGTTGATTCAATTGCACTCTTCCTAAATAAAATATAAATATTAATAATACAGAAAGAAACTTTAATACATATGCAAAACAGTTACTTTTTTTGCTTGTTTAGCACGAGCTTGTTGTATTGTTGCATTTACAATTGATTCCATAAAAAGTTCTAAAGCTTTAGAAACAATTACTGGTGTAATTTGTGCTACTTTCCCTACTTCTTCGTCTAATATTTCATGTTATTTTGACTATTTAAGTAGTATAAAACTTACCTGCTTGCATTATTTTTTTAATTCTTGCAATAGGAAACTTTGACCTGTAAATTGATTTATTTGGCGGTGAAGTCATTTTTGTAGGAAAAAATATAAATCTGTTTAAAACAATGGCTAAGTTTTATGTAAAAATGGGTTTTCTAAACTTTTAAATTGGATATCACTAGTTTTTAACGTTAATGGTATTGATGTGTGCACGGAGATTCCGTTAATATGTTGCCCGAATGTCTTATAGATAACCATAAAAAATGTTATTTAATAAATGATTTATTAGAAGTTTCTTTTTAATGCTGGGAAAATATTGAATTTTTTCTGTATAGTTTAAAAATATTTCTAAATATTTATTTTTAAATTGAAGTTTTATTTTTATTTATAAAGATACTGTAATGATATTCTTTGAAATATCTTAAGTTTGGCGTCATGAGTTTGACAAATGATGATTGATGTTTAAGAGATAGATTTGATGTATTGGAGATTTTTTGTTGTAAAATTCTTCTGATTTTTCAGAAACCCATATTTTTGTGGTTTTTAAGGATTTCAGAAATCTCTAAATCTCAATGTTTTAGAACAAAATGGCTATTGACACTAGTCATCTAACTTGATCTAATCTGATGTCAAACTATATGGCATATTACTGTATTATTAACTAGATTATAAGTATTTATTAGGAATGATTATGATTTTTAGAAAAAATAAGTATTTTGTAAAATTGTTAATTTAATTCTATAAATTATTTGAAAAACTCAGTTTTAATAGTAAAATCATTGAAAAAAGATATTGTCTGTATTATATATTTATATTAAATTATATTATATTTTGAATAATTAAATTTTAATTAATTCCAGTTATAAGATCTTTTTAAAATGATATTTTTAAAGTAAACAAATATAACAAGATAATTAAAGTATTTAAGGTGTTTTTTTAGAATTAGAATAATAGTTTATTATATGATATTTTTATAAAATATTATAATTAACTTTTTATAGAATCTTTTTGAATACTTATAAATTAAAAATTTATGTATCAGTTCTTAGTTTCCTTAAAGTAGATAATACATTATTCATCAATATTTATTTTAAAAAAACTTCATTTATTAGTTGTAATAAATTTGAGATAACATTTTTTTGTTTAAAATCAAAAATCAATATAAGCAATTTTTTCTAGTAAAACTTAAATTTTTAAGAATGAATAACAAATACTATAAATTATTATAAAAAATATTTTAGATATAGAATAATAAAAATCTTTCTGTATTTAAATAATTTTATTTAATTCTATTAACTTTATAAGAATATTATAATTATTTCTATAATATTATCTTCAGTATGTTTATCATAATCTAGAATGCCAATCAACTTTTCTGAAAATTATTGTATTGATCTTTTAAATTATTTTATTTTAAAAGAAATATGTTTTAAAATATTATTTTTTTCTTGTAAAATTGAAGAATTTAACAAAAAGTTAAAATTGTATTACAATCTAACATTCAAAAATGATATAATAATATTTATACAATTTATTATAAGCACAATTTATTATTTGCGACAAATTATAATATTAGTTTTTTTAAACTTGAAAAATTTTTTGGAATAAATTTCAATATAGCTTAAGATTATATAATAAAAATAAAATTGCTTAAAAATAGAAGCATACTTACAAAGATTAATCAATTTTTTTAATTTTATTTGAAGAAAAAGATTCAATTTACAAAAGATAAAATAGTAAGATATTTCTACTTGAAAGATATCTATAAAAATAAAAAATATATTATTAAAAATACCTTTGTGAAATACATTTTAACTATAAATATTCCTTTTTAAATTACTACAGATTTATATGTCATAAAATACTATTAAAATATTAAAAATTTTTACATTTTATTATTGATTTCTAAAGTATTTTTTAAGAAAAACTAAATATACATAAATATACAAAATGTTTTTTTCTAAACTATATTAAATATATTATTTATTTAAAAGACTATGATAATGTTAATAAAAATATTCAAATTCATTCCGGTATATTAGATAAACTCGACATTTATTAGATTTTCCATAAATACGAGATTTAAACTTAATTTTTTTGATAAAAATATTATTTAAAAAACTTTTTTTATAAAACACAAAATGGAAAACTACAAATTTAATATTCTTCATTCTTCACAAAAATCAGGAGCTCTTCAGTTTGGTTCTTTTTCTTTAAAATCAGGGCGTCAAAGTCCATATTTTTTTAACAGTAGTTTTATGAATACGTCTATCCTTTTAGATTTATTAGCAACAGCTTTTTCTCATATTATTTTGAATATGAAAATTGAATTTGATGTGATCTTTGGATTGGCATATAAAGGAATTCCTTTAGGTGCAATCACAGCGATAAAACTTTATGAACTTGACAAAACTAAGGCAAATATTGAATTTATATACCATAGAAAAGAAAAAAAGGATCATGGAGAAGGAGGTAATATAGTAGGCACATCAATAAAAGAAAAACGAGTATTAATATTGGACGACGTAATTACAGCAGGAACTGCAATCAAAGAGGCAATTGATATTATTGAAAAAGAAGGTGGAAAATTAGTCGGAATTGTAGAAATATTGGACCGCCAAGAAAAGAGATATAATAATGAAGCTAGTACAGTTGAAATGCTACGTAAAGAATACCAGATCCCAGTAGAAGCGATTATTACATCAAAAGATATTATAGATTATTCCAAAAAGATGTTAAATGAGGAAAATACAAAATCAATCCAAGAATATTTAGAAAAATATGCAGCAATTAGCATTTAATAAAATACAATACACATTATCCAAAACAATTAACGCCTTTTGTATATACATGATTTGAGTAATATACCGAAATCTTTTTTATTGTCAATTTTATCATTTTTTTTAAAGTATAAACACATAAACATTTTATTAGAAACATCAGTCTCGATAAGTGAAAATCCAAGTGAAGTTAATGCTGTGCAAAAAGCGTTTCCTTTATTATCTGTAAACCGGGACTTAATTTCAACAATCCATAATTCCCCACTATGTTAAATTTAACATATAGCTTTAAAAAAGCAAATAAAGAAAATACTTTATCTTCAAAACCCTCCATGCTTCTTTTAAAAAGTCTATATAATTTGTTCCCATAAGACTTAAACAGAAAATAGCTATATCAATTATCGAATCAATAAGAGGTAACTATTAGATTAGTTTTTTATCATATTCAAAAAGGAAACTTTATACAGTAGACATATCGCATGCAACAACAAATGGATTCTCTGATACTAAATCGTAACTATATATTTTGATATTTGGTATATTTTTCATTGCTTTCGCTATTTTTGCATCACCACACCCTAAATCAGCCACTTTAATCATTAACTTTTTAGTTTTTTGTATATATAAATTTAACTTCTTAATCATTAAGTTAACTGGATTTTCTGGCCAAGATGATACTTGGTTTTGAAATCCTATATGATACTACATTTATTGAACAAAAATATTATTTTTAAAAAACAGTACCTGTTTATATATTCCAGGATATTTTTTAAAGAATTCTAAAGCTTCTTTTCCTGTAATATTATATAAATGTTCATTAATCATACGAAATTTTCCTCCTGAAAGTTTTAATTTCATTTTTTGTTGTAATTTTGTAAGTTGTTTATCCTTATTCTCTTTTTTAGAAAACGCTTCATTTGATCCATTCGAATATGATAAAGGCTCTTCAAAAACATATGAACAATCTTGTTCTTGTGTATCTTTTTTAATACTTTTTTGAGATTTTTTCTCTAATTTTTTATTTTCAAGTAGTTTTGAATTGTTGTTATTAAAAAAAATACATTTTTTTCGCCTTTTTTTAAGTATATTATCTACTTTTTCTTTCTTTTTCCTTATTTTTTTCTGTTTTTTATAATTTTTTAAATTTTGAAACATATTTTGAATTTTCAGCTTAACTCAAAAAAACTTAAATAAAAAACATTATATGTTCCTTATATACCAAAATTAATTAATAATGCTTAAAGTTTTATATTAAAAACATATTTTTCATGGAATTTTCTAAGTCATTTAAAATAAAAGATTAATATTAATGATATAATTTTTAAAAAAAAAAGTTATAAAAATAAAAAAATATAAACACATAAAATTATATTTTTAAGCCTCAAAAATACCATATGAACTACATGATTTATGTAAAAAAAACTATATGAATTGAATCGTTGGTATAATATATTAATCTTTATTAAATTCAAAATAAAAAATTAGCAGCCATAGAAACATCGCCATCAGCTGCTTCAAGCGCTTGTATTACTTCTTCTCTTGAAAATCCTAAAGCTTCAAGCTGACGGATATCTTTTTCGGGAAATTTTGATTGTTCTTTATGATTTAAATAATCAGGAACACAACTGCTGCCCTGAATTGCTGGCTGTTCTACAGTACTAGTAATTTTAGACTGTCTATCGCAAGATCCCGGTTCAGGAACATAAATCGCATCCACTTTAGCACTATCAGGGAGTTCAGATTCTGATAAAAAAGGAATAATAGCGTCGTTAATAATAAGAGCATTTTTTTTTAAATCTATGCATGCTTGATGACTTCTAAGCATCTTGAAAAAATAAGTAAGTACAATTAACAATAAATTAACTAACATCAAGTCCAAATAAAATATCGATATCTTTTCCCTGAAAAAAATCAAAAACATAAATGATTAAAATAATGCCTACTTCTATAATTGTAAAGCTACATGCTAAAAATAATGGCCCTACTTTAATCTGGGCACTATGAACACGTCCAATGATATTTGCCATGCCTACCCCTTTAGCTATACCAGAAAACCGTTTATCAATTAAATGCATAATTCTTAAAATAACTAAATATATATTTATTTACATAATTCAAACTTACCCACACGCTTTTGCACATGATGGACTCACTTAAACATTAATTTTTTCAAAAAAATAAAAAGACACTACTTATAGTATTCTGTGCCCCTGAATCAACAAATGCCTTTACTTTATGTTTATTAATCTCAACATTTATGTAAAGCATTGTTACACGACCAAAACTTTCGGGATGATACTCCATGGCGTTCTCTAAGTTCTCCATCACTGCTTCTTGGCTAGGAATATAGTTAATTCATTCAAAAATAAGAAAGAAGACTCTACCGTATAATTTCTTCAATCCTTGCTTGTGCTTCAACATTCAATGGATCAGCGTTTAGTGCACTCTAAAAACACATTAATCCCGCAAAAAACGTCATCTTTAAAAAGAGAAAAAACACACAATTTCTCTCTGCCTCTCAATCTCAAGGTTTTCCTTGCTCATGTACAAATTCTGTACCATTTTTTTAAATGTTTCAGGATCATTGACAGCTGCATCTGCAAGCTCTGGATGAGTCTAAAAATAAGCTAAAAAAAGGTAAAAAAAAAACTTAGTTAACTTGATGTATCATCTCCAAAAAATGTGGCTCTAAAAGCAGCCGAAGTCTTAATATTTCTGGGTCTAATGTATTCCACATCAATTTAAGTTTTTTGTACGTTGCATAATTTTCGATATTCAAATTCTTGTATAAAACATTATGATAAATTATTATTAAGAAAAATAACTTTAAATTTTTAAAGAAATGACAGGCAATGGAATATATAAAGGCTCTACAGAGCCTAATTTTCGAAAAACATGGGTGTGATTTGGCCTATTTTTTATAAAAATAAACATTTTTAAAGATAAACTAATAATTGAAATAGGATTTGGCAGAATATGCACAAAAAGCAGCAGAAAGAGAAGCAGAAGAAAAGAAAAATGCTAAAATAAGATGGGAAAAGAAGCATGGAAAGTTTAAGCGGGAACCAACGCCTCCAGATGTTAAAATTGTTGAAGCAAGAGATAAATTAAATCTTGAAGAAAACTTGAACAAAACAGTGCTTGTTCCATATGGAGCATCTGTAGGACGACGAGGAAAAGGGGCTGGATACTATTGTGAAACGTGTGATGAAACTTATAAGGACTCAAATAGTTGGATTGATCATTTAAACAGCAAACAACGTATCATCCGTATTTTAGCAAGTAGTTTATAAACTAATATTATCTTTTGTTTAGATTTAAGGGCAACAAATCAAACATTGCGACAAGATCGAGCAACACTCGATGATGTAAGGAAAAGGCTTGCATGGTTAAAACAAAAGATTGCAGATGAGAAAAAACATGTGGAATTTAATTTAAGTCAAAGAATTTCTGAAAGAAAAGCTATTGAGGAAGAAGAACGTAAAGAGAAGAAAGAAAAGAAAAAGATTAGATTGAAAGAAAAACAGTTAAATACAAAAAAAGATGATGATTTGATTTCAGTGGAAAACGATACAATTGCTCAAATGATGGGATTTGAAAATTTTGGGTCGACAAAACTCTAATTATTGGAAATATATTCACTTAATATTTATTGATGAAAAATAACAATATTTATTCTACATAAAGTACTATTTCATTCTGTATCATAATATACATATAACTTTAAACAATAAAGTCATTTAATTAATTCAAAGTATTCACTTTCGAAGAAAGAGAAAACAAATTTATAAATGAATAGCAAAAGATATGATATAATAAAAGCGGATTTGGTACATTTTTAGAAAACGAACTTGTGAAAAATCTAATTATATATCTTTTTTAAGAGATATTTTTAATACTTAAATAGGTCTAAATTAATTTATTAAATGATGACTTTTTTCCTTTTTACTAATATTTATATCTGTTATTAAATACTTATTTTTTAAAAAAAAAACAACATAGAAACATTTTGAATAAGAAATATGTTGAACTTTTTAAAAAAATTAGTCAATTCTCTGGACATTTTCGTAAGACATTTTTGTAATATTATGGCTGATTTATGACCTATCTAACAAAATTTATATCATCTGATAAAATTATAAAATTATATAATATATTAAATCTTTAAAAATTTTTAATTAAAAAAAAGTATTTTGGGAATATGGCCTTTCTCATTCATATTGAGTTATTTTTTAATTATTTTTTTTAATAAAATTTAGAAATTTTAAAAGGAAATAAAAAATGAAATAAACTATTCCTAATAAAAAACAATTATTTTCATATAAAAATTACACTCTTATATGTATAAATCTATGGATATTACTTATTTTTAACTGGTATTGACAGACTATGATAACTTATCTCTGATATCTTCCCCAACTTATATTGAAGCATTTAATAAAATTTTTATCAACTTATCTACTCTTTTATAACCCCAATTTCATGTTTGGTATAATATACTTCTGAAAGCATATATTTATTATAGATATTGAAAAAAACTAAATGTTATATATCGTATGTTTGTGTATGTTTGTGTAAAAATTGATATACTTTGCTTATATATATATATAAGTTTGCTTTTAATTCAATATTAATTCAATATTCATTTTTTATATTTTTAAAAACATAAAAATGAAAACCACTATTCGAAATAATAGTAGACATTATAGTATACCATAAATTATTTATTAGCATAATTAAATATTTAAAAATATAAAATCCTTTTTTCCTTTGAGCTTTTAAAGTTATTAATATTTAATTTAGTATTGGTTATCTTTTAAAATTATGCTTTCTAAATTAATAAATAAATGATGATATTTTAATGTTTAGAGACGTAAGTTAATTTTAAAACGATTTTTATTAGAAAAATCCAAGTCTTAAAATCAATATATGAATAGAAAATCTTAATAAAAAATAAGAAAATGCTTAAACTATAGATAAATTTTAAACTACAAATATTCTAAATCAAACCCTTTTAATTTAATAGTCATTTTTGGCAGTCCTCTTTTTAAAGACAAAATAAATAGAATATACATTTAAATATTCACTTATTTATTTATTAATATTAAAAAAATCGTTAAAAATAAATTCTATTATTTATCAAAAAGATCTTTATGTTTTTATAGGTTTAATTTATTATAAAAATTATAAAATGTTATTCATCAAAATCATTATAATTTAAACTTTTTTTATAATATTTATCATTTTTAAAGACAAATTTGTTAGAATTTGTCTTTTTATTTATTTTTACCATTTATTCTTTAAATATTAACAGCTTACTTCTCATGGATAAGAGATCCATAGAAAAAGAAAAAAAAGAAAAAGTTCAAAAGGAGAAGATTCTAAATGAAATAGCTATTGTTGCGGGTACAGTTATATTAAAAAGTAATTTCTTTGATCAAAAATAATAAAGAATAGGCGCGATCAATCGTCACAAACACAAACGAGGTATACTAAAAAATAAACACAAAAAGTGCCTCATTAAGGATAATTAATAGGGGGAATAGATGCTAAAAATACCAAGAACTTATCATTTAAGCCACATCATTATCCAAGAAATCCCAAACATCGATCAAGACATATGTCTTTGGTAGTTAGCACAGGACATACTAGCACAAATATAAATGATAGTACCCAGCCGGCATCTTCTGGGTGGATACAAAAGAAGGATAGACATATCCAATTGATTAATGCCAGTATCTATGACAGTACAGCAAAAAAACGAGCTGAAGCAATCGAAGAAACGCGTTTGTTAAAAAAAATGAAACGGGAGGAGTTTTTAAAAGAAGAAAAGCCAAAAAACTCTGTAGAAAGCGATGTGAAAGAATTAGTGATTAACGGTGTTAAGTTTTACATGAAAAAAAATGGAAACAAACTTATTCGAGCTAAAGGTATATATATTTCTTGTAATATATTCATTATTGGCTTACAAGAAAGACAATGATCCGTCTTTAAAAACATTGAAAAAAGCTTTTGTTTCGGGTTCTGTTTTTTGGAGAAGTAAGAATGGAAATTTATGGAGTGCATCTCTTGTAAAATCAAAAATTAGGTATTTTTAGAGACAGTTTTTTGTTTCATGCTTATTCTACAGGAAAAATAAATTACCTATAAAGAAAATTGAAAAACATTGTCAGTATTATACACGACTAGGTATTCTAGTTGATTTTAATCCCGTTAAATTATTAGAAGTTGAAATTAATAATAATATAGGTAAATGTGTACAAGGCAAATCTTGTCCTTATAAACACGATCCAAATCATGTAGCAATTTGTCCATTATTTATGAAAGGGAAATGCCAGAACAAAAACTCATGTGATTTATCTCATGAGCCAACGCCACATCGTGTTTCTGCGTGTTTACATTTTTTACGTGGCCGATGCTCAAATACTAACTGTTTATATGCTCATGTTAGAGTTAATCCTTCTGCTCCTGTTTGTAGAGCATTTGCAATAGATGGCTATTGTGAAAAGGGTATAGAATGCCGAGAAAAACATTTACGGGAATGCCCTGATTTTTCTGAAAAGGGCACATGTTTAATAAAGAATTGTCGACTTCCCCATATTGAAAGGGCTGCACGCAAGCGCAAAGAATGTTCTTTAGTTGTTAGTGATGATGAATCTCCTATATGTTTTGAATCTCATGGTTTAATTTCAAATACCAATATCCAATCTACAGAAAATTCAAGTGATAATGATATTTCGTTCAATGAATTCGATTCAGATTCTTTTAGTATTCCAGATTCCTCTACAATTGATGCTGATCAAGATTTCATTCGTCTATAATTTTTAGGTTCTACATTCTACATTTTCAAATGTCTCGGAGTATTTTATTTTTTAAGATTAATCTCATATTTGGTTAATATTCAATGTTTATTTCTATTTTTCCTCTATAAACAGACTATTTTGTATTTCCAATACTCCAAATATAATAATTATCACTATACATTAGACTGTAAATTTTTTATTTTTTTGGATTTTGATATTATGACCAATAATTATTAAAAAATCTAGGATGCAAAATACTTTCAACATAAGGAGTATTAAAACATCTAATCTATTTAAATATAATGATTTTAATTGTTTTTAAATGGTTTAAACTTTTTTATATTTTAATTGAATTTTTTTGTATGATATGAGAATAATAAAATTATATACTTTAATAGAAAATGGTTGAACAGTTTATTTTTGTAATTTGTTTTCTAAAGTTTGTATTTTTTAGACTGCAAACAAATTTCAAAAAAAATTATAAAAATATAAAAATTATGAATTATAGAAAGTTATGATTTTTAGGTTTTTAATTTTTAAAAAAATTTAGTATATAAAAGATTATAAATTTATTGTTGATTAAAAAAATTACTATATGGAACGAATGATTACTAAGTCAAATAATTTTTCTAAAAATGTTTTTCAATGATATTAAAAAGTATCATTTTACAAAGCTAAAATCTTTTTTATCAATAAAAAAACTTCAATTAGATAAATCTAAATTTTTTTTAAATTAAAAGATTTTCTATTTTTTTTAAATTTATTCAACATTTGCTATTTTAAGATATTTATTACATATAAATATATAAATATATAAGATGAATTATTGTTTTTATTTTAAAATTAATAAAATATTTTAACATATTTTTACTAAATTATAGCTTAGCAACTAAAATATTTTTAAATAATTCTTTTAAAATTTTAATGAAATTAGCTTTTTTTATAATAAATTTGAAATTTTAGATTTACTGATTTAAAACATATTTTATTTGCATCAAAAAATCATAACAATAAGTATCTAACTTTTATAAAAGTATTCTGCATAAAAATACTAGTAGTTGAATCTGAATTTAAAAAATTAAAAACTATTTAGGAAAAATTATTAATTTCTAAATGACATTTTTATCACTTATAAATTATTTTTTGAAGATTAAGAGAAAATCAAACTATTTGCAAAAATATAAATTATATTATTAATAAAAATAACATAATTTCTTATAAAAACATGATATATCAATTAAAATTGCTTAAAAAAATTAATGCAATAAATAATAAAATATCTTAGTAATATTTAAATGCTTAAAATTATAAAGTATTCAAAACAATAAGTATGTACTTAAAAACAATATATAAATGTCTAAAAATATGAAAATTGTTTTAGTATTTTTTATAACTTTAAAATAAAAAAATAAAAAAAAACAGAAATTAAAACTTCTAAATTTATATTTATTACTTTATTAAACAAAAAAACAATATATAACATAACATTAAACACACTATAATCCAGTAAACAATTTTTATACATAAATTAACGAAAGAAATAAGATTTAAAGTAGAACCCTAATTTTTCTTTTAACGAAGCAGATAATAGCTTTTCATGGCATTAAAATCAGCTCAGATTTTCTCATTTACACCCTCAGAAATAGCATTTATTGCTGAATCATCTCTAATTGAAATTATTCCACTGCAAACAATGGATGCACTGCCGTTGATCGGCGTATGAATGTTTTCAATATTTTACATTTTTAACTTATTTTAAAGGAAAATATTCCTCAATTTAACCCGCCACACAGAGTAACAGTGCCTTTATGGATGGCTGTTTTCTTAAAGCGCCAAAAACGAGCCAATATCCTACCTCCTTCATGGTTATCTCAAGAAATATTGCAGGATTTCCTTGATGAAGAAAATAAACCAGGAAATGGCTTTTCACCGTTACCACTCCAGTGGCTTGAGATATCAAATATTTTGCTTGAAGTGTCTTGAAAAAAATCATGTTTCAATATTCAAATTAATATCAAATTAGTGCTTCTGATGATATGGATCAACCAGATCTGATCCGCCGTCTTTTGCGTGACTTAAGAGAAACAAGACAAGGAAAAACAAGACAAGGACTCTCTTCTTTAAATGAAACACATCTTCAAATGGACAATCTAGGTTCTATGGAAATTAATGAGATTCGGCCTTTTTTTGCAAAGTAAAACAAACAAATAAATAATAAGAGCTAATATATATTAGATCAATGGATCAGATGCGGCGGCTTAACGCACTAAGTATAGATAATGAAGATATGATGAATGAAATGGATGAATAAGCAAAATACAAGTGATTAAACTTTTTCTGATGATATAAATATAAGTTGTGTACTAAAAACAATGATATATGAAACATATGTTTCTACGAAAAAGCGACATCCAGCATAAAAATGATGAAAGAATGATAATTTATATTTAATATATGAATACCCTCTAAAAAATCATGATATTTGCGGTATAGGATGAGTTGATAAAGATGGTCTCGTTATTTTTTGAGGCTGATTATTATTTTTTGGCTGAGTAGCAGACTGAAGGAATTTCGGGACAGAATCCTACATATATTAAAAATAAATAAAAATGATTCATTTACTCACTCTTGCCATAAGTCTAAATATTTGTTTTTGTGCTTTACTAAAAAGATCAACAACAGAATCCAAGGTCTTTTTCATAGTCTCCTCATCACTTAATATAATTGTTGTCATAAAATCTGCTAAACTTTGCCTTAATATATAATCAAGGTTAAGTTCACAAGGCGATCCCTCTACAAGAAAAGCATTATACATTTCTATCAAACTGTCAACCACGTATAAACAATTAAAAACATATTTTTTACCATAGGCTTTTGTTAAAGCTTCATGAATAGATACTGAATTCGTAGCATGTTCAGCAAGTTGAAAAAATTCGATAGACTCTAGATAGAAAGAAAGATTTTCCTCACAGTAATTTTCCTGTAAAAATACCCGAAACTGAAAACGCAATGCAGGATCTTTTAAAATAGTAAAAAGACGTTTGTGATTTGTTTCATTATTTAAAAGATTTGCAGCAGCATCATAAAGATTTTCTTTTTGAAGAATTGAAGAATTAGCATCGACCTTTTGCAATGCACGAAATTGAACGTTTTTAGTATTAGATTGTTTTTTACGACCGTTTCCGATAGAAAAGAATTTTTGTTTAGAAGATGGCGCATTCAGTGAAGTATCAAGATTATTCCAGCCTGATATTGAAAGCCCCTTCTCTGTAAGCATATAAATATCATTTTTGGATGAACTAAATTTGAAATTATCGCTCTTGGAAAGTAAATCAGTATTTTCGCGGACAATTAAGTTATAATTAACAAAAATAGTAGCAATATCAATTGCTTCTCCATACGTCATGGTTGTACAACATCTCATAAGCCATAAAAACGCACTTAGCCCATTAAAACAATACTTAGAAGACTCGAGATATTTTTGTTCAATAATACGAACACCAACACAACCATCAATATAGTCATCAGCAGAATCTGATATATTTGAAGAAACAAAATTCGGTTTCGATCCAATAAAATAACGAAATATAACTTCAGTCATAAAGGGATCTTGTAGTATCATATCAGTTTTAGCATCACGTTCAATAATCACTAATTGCATTGTATTATATCGCGAAGCAAGAAGATCATTAACAATGCTTATATCAACGCCATTACGCTTAACAAACCGCGACAAAATAGTGATACCTTTCGGTGTCAATTTCCAAATAGCTTTATCTTTAAATATTGTAAGATTTTTTTCACTAACTGATTCGATAAAATGGGAAAGAATAAACCATTGACATAGTGATTTTGCTACATCAGGCGCCATACTAAATGTCGTAGTGCTTGTAGTAACCACAATTTTTGATGGATCCTAAAACTCGAAGTTAGCCATCAGACACAATCAGATACACTAAAAACAGATATTTAAAAGCAGTTGGCTTGGAACTTATTACAAAATACTGGAACACAAGATTAAAACTCAATTCAACAAAGAAACCTGGGAAAAAAGAGACATTGATCAAATACAAAAAGTTTCTACCCATTTCTGTCCGTTTCAGCTCCTAAATTAACTAGTGTTCATGCAAAACTTCTTAAACACTCTGTTTACAACCAACTGCACTTCTAACACTTTATTTTATACCTTAGCATCCGGTGATCGTGCTGAATGAGTCAGCTTTAAATATCGAAGGTTAATTAACGCTTCTTCTGTTGTAAAAGAAAATGAATGTGAACGAAAATGCGTCCTGTGAGTACTGAGAGGAAGACTAACAATGAGTGTAGAAAACAAGTCTTTATAGTCCTATACCACGTAAGATACAAATACACTCATTCTACACTCTCAACTTGTGTAAAAGGACGGCCATCCGTTGTCATCCGCATTAAACGTGTAGATGCTTGATGCATTTTCCCCGGCCCAAAATAACACTCTGCAATAGCCGGCTGCAGCTTATTTGCCCTTATATCCCCTTCTATATTTGCCCAAGTGCCAGCTATATATGCTGATGCACCAACTATATGTGAAGAAACTCTGCGTGTATTCGCCACTTCTTTATATATATGTATTTAAATAAGGTTTTTTCCTGAATTTCTGATATAAATATGCCTAAATACCACTTTGTGCAGGATAAATCAATTTATATGCATATAAAAACCAGATAAATATACAGTACCAAAGTATATATACTGGAATATATGCACTCTAATATGCCTTATATGCACGTCAAATATACGTTATATGCACTTTAATATGCCTATATGCAGTCTTGGCTCTATTTATATATACTTATATATACTATATATGCAATACAGTTTTCCCAGCTGTTTTACATATATATTTTGATGAATATTAATCCTAATTCTTTATCTGTGTATATGCGTTTAATAAAAAATCTCCACGTGTAAATACGTAATAGGGGACTATTTGATTGTTTGAATAATAAGCTAATTTTTACTTAAATTTAGTGTATTTTTGTATAACAAAGCAATATTTGCTTATGTATAAATCATTTACGCCACAATTAACAATTCCGATCAATTTATTACGTTTCTTTGTTTAAGAGAGCCGAGCGCCGATTACCAAAGCGATAATAATATGGCGCTAAGATAGCAGTGTATGAGTTGAAAATTAGTAAAAATAGAATTGAATATAAAACAATAATGAAATATTATGAAAAAAGTACATAAAAAACTATTTTTAGTTGAAAATAAAAAAATGTTAATTAAAGTGTGTCTACCTTTGTTTATTGCGTTAGATCAATATGTATACTAAAGCTGAAATAAAAAGTACAAGTATAAATTAAAACATTGCCTTAGTGCTAAGAAGCTCAAGAAATCCCACAAGATCTGATTTAAAAACTTCAATACAATATGCATCGAAAGCATCCATTCTAAGACGAGCAGAAGTTGCTCGAGCAAGCTGAGAAAAAATAATACCAAAGCGGTTCCTGCCGCAAGAAATATTATCATCTATATGATCTAAAGGAGAGGATGCAGAGACAGAAGTCCCAAGTAAGAGATAAGCGTCTGTACGCTCATTGAGAGAAGCAATTACAAAAGGAAGATGTCGTGTTCGGCCCTGTTCACGTTCCTGCTCCTATTTTCACTATTAATACTCCATAAACAGTGTATGAACAATAGATATATACATTAATTGCATCGGAGATCCAAAGAGCCAATTTCGAGAGAGCAAATGGATGTGTAAAAATATCAAGATCAGGCCCTTCTTTTAAAACAGCAATTCGAAAGGCTTTTAAATGTCTAATTGCATGTTTATCTATCAATGATGTACCAGTACGCACAATTGCTTTTTGTAGTTCCATGGCCACTTTTAGTGATGAACACAAAGCATCAATACTATAGCGAATAAGTTTGAACAACAACACTTAAAAAGCCTTACTCATCCAATGCATCAAAGGCATCATAGAAGTAATTTAACCAAAAATCTCGCATTAAGTTCTCTTGTTTATCATTAGTACTTTTTTTTTCCAATGACTTATTTTCTTTATCAAGTTCGTATTTTCCATCTTTATATTTCCCTGTTTCTAGAAGTGCACTAAGCCCATAACTTGCATCACTAGCGCTTAATGTACATTTAAAGCCAAATGTTCGAACAAAACTTGGAAATACCAAATTATTTAATCCATACAAGGGTGCAAATTTATCTAATTTTTCTCGAAGACTCTTTTTTAAATCCATGTCCATATGTGTATATACTTGATGACATTGGTTCAAAGAAATACCCATTTTAGCAAACAACTTGTGTAATCTTTTTTTACCATATTCGGACCAAACTTTTAATTTAGTCCCTAAATAAAATGAATAAAACATAGAATCATATAAACTCCAATGTCGAAATAACATAAAACGAAATTCTTCTTTTGCTCTAATTGAAGAGTCATCTGCTGTTTTTCCATTTGTTCTTTTTACATTTTCAGTATCAGAAGTAGACAAAGGATTCATGCGATTAACTTCATCCTTAAATAACGAATATAACTGTAGATATTTACTATAGCTCATCCTCCTATGCATTTCTTGATTTGTTAGTCCTATAACAGCAAACCAAAGTAATTCATTATCTTCTTTCCCTATATCAGAAGCGAGAGAATACATTTGGCTAGATATACATTCTCCAAACCATGTACCAGAATCATAATAATCTGAAATAATTTTTTGATATTTATAATATTTTTTCTGTGTTGCTTTTCGTGAATCATATTCTGTAGAATGAGGTGAAGAAAGTAAAGTAGACTATAAGAAATAAATATTTCTAAACAAAAACGTACATACACACATCTAGAAGCTTTTCCTGATCTTTTTCTTCTTCAAGTGACTCAGAAGCTTTATGCTCATCATCTGTAGACGACTTATGTTTTTTTTTGCTTAACTCTTCTTCAAGATTTTCATTTTCAGAAAAATTTTCTTTTTCATCAACTAAAGAACTATCATCACTACCTTTTTCTAATTCTAAGTCACCCATCTTAAAATATTTAATAAACTATAGCAAATACAATCATTATTAGACCTCAACTAATGCATCATATGCCTTGCGTTCTTCGTATAGCTTTTCTTCAATATCACCATCGTCAAAAACAAAAATATTACTATTCGAAAATGCATTATCTAAGTTCCAGGGACGATGAGAATCAATAACATATACACTAATATGATCTTGAGGAGTAAGATACTGATATAAATCGATCAAAGCACCACAATTCAATAATATAAGAAACTTCAACTAAAACTAGTAATTAAAACAAAATCACATATACCAGCAAAAATTATACATTTTCATTGTTTAAAACTACTGTTTGATTTATATCCATTAGATCTTGATAGCCTGATATTGGTTGAATTTTATGAGAAATAAAATCTTGTTTCATCAATGTCTGATTTTATACTGTAAATTCTCTTGTAAACTACAAATAGACCACTCACTGACAGCATTTTACATGCACAAAGCGCATCAACATCAAGAGCAACAAAAATTAAAACTGTACATGATCCAGACAACGAAGCTACTTTAATTCGCGAATATGCGTCAGCGTAATTCGATCTTCTTATAAACATTCGCTAATACATGTTCTATTTCACCACAATTGTTTTAATTATATCTTATTTTATATTTTAATTAAAATACCTTATATTCATTTACTTTAATTTGAAAAATAACAATGGAAAAGAATAAGATCTCTTATGAATTACTCAGAACAAAAACACGTTATGATTTAAACACAATTTAACTACTTTTTTACATAGAAAACTAATATTTAACGTTATAACGTACACCATTTATGAAAAAACAGTATCACGTGACATTGAAAGATAGAAATCTAATAAATTTAACAATTCTCTTTAAAAATCAAGAAAAGCAGAGTTGGCAAAGCGTAAAATAGAATGAAATGCACAAAACAGAACAAAATGTATAAAATAATGTGAATGTTTTTTGTATTTAAAGACTATTAGTGTTTAAGCAATAACCTCTTTAGACCATCTTTTTAAAATGGTTGGTATTGTTTTTACTTTGTCCATGTAAGAAATAAGATCAATAAGTGTAATTTCGATATGGTACATCCGGTATTCACGATCCAAACCGCTGGATGATTTTGAAAGGGTAGTATCGGAAGGCTGAAGGAAATTGAGATCGCATAATTTCTCCCAAGCATCAAGAAGAATATCTCTTTCCCAGAGTCTAATTGAAGAATTTTTAACAATTGAATAAGTAGATGATGATGCAGACTTTGTAACAAGATCGTGATATTCCTTATATACCATATTGAAATTAAAAGTATTAGTATCTCGTGTATCAATTTTTGCTGCACACACTAATAATGAAAATTGTAGCAATGAAATTCCTAGAAAAAAATTAAATATCGGATGAAAATAAGAAGCTATTCACCATTTAAAAGCTCTGTTTTGGTAAATGAATGAAAAAGATTTCGAGAAAAAAACATATTTTCTTGTAAGTTAAATGAAGATGCAGATAATGATGTAACAGGTATTATACAATGCGAATAAAATTCCTTAACATCTTTGGATGTCATAAATATTCCTTCTACAAGTTTATAAACCACATTTCCTTTTTCAAACAAATCCTATAAATGATATTAAAATCAAAAATATAATGTTACTACTCATACATCAACATGCCTATTCCAGTCCTTGATAAATTGTAATTCTTTTTCTTTTAAAAAATCATCAGATGAAAGTTCATAATCAATAGTTAAACCAGCACGACAAATTTTAATAAATAATTCAAGATTATCGGGATATTTAATTTGAATTATTCTATGACTAAATCTACTTTTAACTCTTTTTTCAAGAGATTCTACTGAATCCTTTAAAAGTAAATTACAAAAATAAAAAAAAAAGATTATACCAATGTAGATGTTAACCCAATAACTGCTATAGGTGCCTTTTTTGTTTGAGATATATCGAATAAATTATATAAAAGAGTTTGACGATGATGTTGTATAAAAAGATCAAAATTATCTAATATAAAAATTACAGAAACAGAAGTTATGTTATTTGATGATAAAGTACTATGATATGTGTCAGATTCATCAAAAAAATTATCGTCATTAATAAGATTAAGTTCCTTAGGATGCGATAAAATAGTCAAAATTTTAAACAAATTATCTGAAAAGCTAGACTAGTAAAAATTAATACGAAAAAAAATTAAATAAAATTGAATACAACATTCTCTTGAACATCTAAATTCATTTCTACATTCAATTGTCTTGCAATTTCCCTTAATGCAAGTTTATCATCTGTTTGAATTATCCCGTTTAGTCGTACAACAAAAAAGTGTGAGGAAAACTCGCTAAGACTAACAATTGCTGTATCAAGAATATTAGATTTTCCGCAAGATTTCGGTCCAATAATTAAGCAAGAGTTACTTTCTCCCATATTAATAGTTTGATAAAGCAACTCACGTAATTTCTTATATTCCAGGTCCAACCCAATAATTGGTGCATATTTCCTTCCAGTAAGCTTTTCCAAAATATGATTTTTAAAATTATTAATAATCGATTTATTTTCTAAAGTATTTTTTTTTTTGTATTCATAGCTAATTTCTTTATAAAAACTTTCAGAAGATTTCGGAGTACTCTCAACTATAATCAAATCCTTTTCTGTACTATGATCAACAGGATCTGGTTCTATAGTATTATCAAAACTAAAAATTATTAATTGTAAAAATTACAATATTATGATTACTTTATTAACGTCTTTTTATTTACCGTTTTTAATGGCTTTATACGTTTCTTTTTAATATTTTGGACATCTAGATTTATAAAAGGCGACGTCAAAGGATCATCAGAAATCATATCAGTAGAATCATATTTTTTTTGAAAAGACTCAATATTTGAATTTAAAAAATATAATTCATCTGGTTTCTCATATGCACTACCTGATAAATCAACTTCTATACAATCACCAATACTGCTATTTTCTGAATAAGATGCTTCCTGAAAAAAAGTTTCTATCTTTTTTTTCTTTCTTCTTTTTCTAGTTATTCCAGACGTCTCTGTATTCAAAAGGTCAAATATATCACCACAATCATCTCTTTTTTCATGCTTATTTGAAGTCTTTATAAGCACTTTTGCAATTTTTTTTTTATTTTTATATTTTTCATAAAAATAGTGCTTTTTTGGTATAGTAGATTGATCTGCTGTTAACTCGTCTTCTTCATCGGTATATAGTAAAGAATTTTCAGTATCTTGTCTGAATTGATTATTATGTTTCTTAGTTTTCCGAATTTCATAGTGATATCCTAAAGACTGTTTAATTGGTGTTTTTTTTATTTCTTGTTCTTTTTTTCTTTTTTTCACTTTTCTTTCCTCAGAAAAAATGGCTACATTTTCATTTTGTCTATCTAAAGAGGAAAAATATGAATATTTTTTCATAATTACTGGTTTATAGACTTTTTTAATAGCACTATTATTGCCATTTTTTAATATATTATGAAATGTTTCGAATAAATATCATAATTCCTTATAATCTTATTCAAAGTGTTAATTAAGATATTCATTTTAAACACAATTGACTTACTTATTTTTTTTGAATTTAAGGAACTTTATAGACGTAGACAATCATTCGTTAGCGTCAATATATAAAAATATGTAGATCGTCAGGAAAGCTGGAATTTTGTTTAAATTATTAAAAATATTTTTAATTTAAAAAAATTGTATTTTTCTTTTAATATTGTGAAAATATAAAATAACTTAATTATATTCTCAATTTCAACCTTAATAAGCTTTAACAATTTTAAGATTTTGTTTTTTTTTTATAAAAATTACATTAAAATTTATGTGAATATAAAAACACAGATAGTTGAAAACTATTAAAGCAAAATTAGGCACTATAGTATACTCAATATGAATAAATAATTTAAAAAACAACCAATGTACTGATAAATTGATTTTATGAGATCCTTTTGCATCTTTAATTAAATGATTATATTTTTAACTTTTTATTGTCCTGTTAATATATACAAAATTAATATCTTAAATGTCCATATAAAATTATATAACTTTTACAAGAATTATGCTTAGGATGAATGATTTGATAAAAACAAGTATCTTTTAATTCTGAAAACGACGTAAATTCGATAATTCATCTAAAAGAGTTTGAAGTGCTTCATCAGATTTCTTATCTGCAAGAGATGGCACAAGTGTACGTGCTTCTTCTGCCTCTTCACAGCAAAGTGTCCCAAGTTGTGCTGTTTCAAAGGAATGCAAATCTGGGTCACCTCGCAGCACTCTAAAAGCTGCGTTATAAAAAAGAAAAAAAGACTAAAACAACCTTTCAGCAGCATGAACTGATTCTTGTGTTTTAAATCTTGCAAAAATATTAAGATAATCTTTTGTTTTTCTCATGACACTAAAAACAATTTATTTATTAATAATAGTTCATATAATATGCAAAAAAAAACGAAAAAAAACATACTCAGTCATAACAATCTCATCACCAAGTTCCTTCTGACGTTGAGAAAGAACTGCTTCTAAAATAATTTTCGCTTCGCTTACAGATAAACATGTTGCATTAGTAAACTCTAAAAAGGCCATTTTGTAAGCCTTTTTTTCCGGAAAAAAAGGCACCAAATAACAATTACCTTCTCCTAGCTGTAGACGAGATGCATCTTCTTCTCCTACTCGTGTTCTATGACGTATCCGATGCCCCCGTGCAGCTATTGGCATTACACTATTTTTGAAATGTTTTAAATTTTCGGTCCTCAATCTTAAAAAATATATATAGAAAAAGGTCTTTTAATAGCAGAAAAAAAGTGGAAAAATAACAATATTCAGGAAAAAATAGTACTATTTACATCAATTCTTAGATATTTTTAGAATTTTGATATTTTTTAGGATTTTATTTGAGTAAAAACGGTTTAAAAATAAGTTAAAAAGTATTGTCATAAAGTTAATATTTGAAAAAGTAAAAATAAAGTGTATAAAATCAAATGAACAGCTTAAAATATGATTTTTTCACTTTATATTATCAATAAAGCAGGAGGACTCATCTATCAGAAGGATTTTAATGAAGGACTTTTACGACTTGATTCTAATGAATATCTTGTTCTTGCAGGAATTTTTCATGGGTAAATGAATTCGATATAATATTTTTTTCTAAGAGACCTTTTTTCTTAGAATACATGCAATTACTAGCAAAATATCACCATTAGCTGGTCTAGGAGGACTTGAAGTTTTAGAAACTGATACCTTTTATCTCCAATGTTTTCAAACACTTACTGGTACCAAAATTGAATATATTTTATAATTTGTTCTTATTTTTTTAGGAATTAAGTTTTTACTTATTACAGAACCTCATCAGCCTAACGTAGATACACTTATGCGAAAAGTTTACGAACTATACGCAGATTTTGTAATGAAAAATCCTTTCTATCAAGTTGAAATGCCAATACGTTGTGATCTTTTTGATATTAATGTTACAAATATGCTTAAATATATCTCATAATTTATCATACTTTTTAATATTTCTATAACATTTTAGTTTACTATTTATAAAAAGAAACTAATCTATGCATATTAGTTTTCAAAATGTTCTATGATATTTATTATTTGTATAGTATTATTTAAAATTTTTTTAATATAGAAGACGATTGAATATATTATTTTATTAAAATTGATTATGGAAGATAAAAATCAAAATGATTTATTAAAACCTCCAGTTAAACGGTCTATGGAGGTTTTAGATAAACACTTCTTTAAAAAATCTGTTCTTTTGAGTGCTGCTATTGTACCTTTAAGTTTAATTGCATCTTTCCGCAAAATATGTTCAGCGTATTTTCTGTTTTTATTTACTATATGTTTTTAATATTTAAAGAGATGTTTTAAAGAACAATATTTCTATTGTTCCTATGGATTCTTTATTTAAAAAAGTCCTTTTAAAACCTAGAATTTCTCCATATGGTATGTTTAATTTTTTTCCTTAAATATTAAAAACTTTAAACTTAGATTTATCAAAATTAACAAAAAGATCTTCAGAATTTATAAAAGAACATAAAATTTCCATTATTCCATATGTTTTAGAATTAAATTATGATTTTTGGAATTCAGGTTAACTAAAGTTTTTAATAATATATTATAATTAATATATTATCAAAAGATGACATTTTAAGCGCAATTCTTCCTGAAAATCTTCTAGAAAGCATTCCCTGTAGTTTTGCACAAGTGGGACATATTGGTAAAACAATAATTAAATAAAATATGACTGAAAAATAAAGCACATATGAATATTCGTGAAGAATATCTTCCATATAAAAAAATAATAGGTGAAGTCATCCTTAGCAAGAATAAAGGTATACGAACAGTTGTAAATAAAGTAGATATAATTGATACTACTTTTCGAAATTTTAAAATGGAAGTGTTAGCAGGTGAAAATGATTTTTTTGTTGAACATAGTGAATCAAATTGTCGTTTTAAGTTTGATTTTTCAAAAGTATATTGGAACTCAAGGCTTAATGATGAACGTCATCGGTTAATTCAACTGTTTCAAAAGGGAGATGCGATTTGCGATGTGTTTGCTGGAGTGGGGCCATTTTCTATTCCTGCAGGCAAGAAGAGGGTTATTGTTTTTTCAAACGATCTGAATCCAGATAGCTATAAAAGTATGAAAGAAAATATATCTTTAAATAAGGTTTACATGAATTATAAACATTATTTTACTAAATTATAAGGTCGATTTGTTTGTAAAAGCATATTGCAAAGATGGCCGTCAATTTATTCGAGATTCTGTTCATGAATTGATAGAATTCTCAAAGCAAAAAACTATTAATGTTCCAAATGGAAAAAAAACTAAATCTCAAGAAAGTTTTCCTAAATTTGAAAATATTTTAATACCCCAAGTATTTAAGCATTTTATTATGAATTTACCGGAAACATCCATTGATTTTTTGGGTATTTTAACAACTATTTTCGTATTCTCTTACTAATTTAATAGATGCATTCAAAGGAATATACTCTGGATATAAACATTTATTTCTTTCTACTAAGAATTCACTTCCTACTATTCATGTCTATTGTTTTTCAAAGCTATCTCCTCCTGATGACTTAATCCCAGTACGTTGTTACTGTTTACATAAAAAAATACTTATTTTTCAGAGACTAAGCACATCTCTTGGAATTAACCTACTTAAGAACAATGTCAATATTCATTACGTTAGAAAAGTTTCCCCTAACAAAGTATGGCAATTCTCATTTTTCTTAATAACATATATTTAGTCAATGTATTGTTGTTCATTCAAATTTCCTGAAGAAATTGCATTTAAATCCATCTAAAAACATTTTCACTACATTTCTCACATATTTTAAAAATCCTTTATTTTTAACCAAATCAATTATTTCAGTTTTTAATGGTTTTAAAATAAGGTTATTCCAACTGTTTTATTAAATTATTGTTAGTTTAACTTTAGAACAATAAATATAAAACTAATAGAGTCTAGCTATTTTTATTGATTCTGGTACTATTTTCTAGATTTTTTCGCAAATTATACCATAATCAATAAATATGTTTTTTGGTTTAATTTTTGCAAATTATCAAACTGTATAATTAAAATGTGCTAATTTACTCTTGCTTTTGACGTCAATTTGCATTTGAAATTTATTTTTATAAATTATAAGAGTTTATAATTCCACTAAAAATATAATCCATTAATAAAATAATATCTTTTTTTTTTTATTTTTCTGCAAGATGTTATTTTTTTGAAAAAATAACATTAATTTTGTTGTGAATAATGCAAATTCTATCATTAATAGCACTAATTCTGTCATATTAACATTACCAAAAACACAATTATTCATTAAACTTCTTCTAAAAAGTATCTTTTGAGCAATTCATCTATATTTCCCCAGTTTTTTGAGCCATTATTACCTCTATATTCGAGCCTAGCTTTACATCACCACTACCAACAAATCTACCACTTGGACCACGTGGTCGACGTACTGCATGTTTATGTCGACTTTCATGTAAGTATGGCTTATTTGAAAGCTCCTTAAGAGCTCCCTGAAGATGTTTTCTTGCTTGTCGACGTTTTAAAATACGATGATATTGCTTTGCATTGACAGGAAATGGCATAGAAGGGTTTGAAGCATCCGTTTTACATTCAGGTAACCCATTTTTCCAGTTTCCTTGCAATTCTGTAGTGTATATTGATTTTTTCTGCAACATAAACTCTATACATTGACTACCCTTTATATTGGATTGTAAAGAACCCGTGCAAACGTTAGAAAATTCTACAGTGGGTCTACTTTCACATTGTTTTTGCTCACTATTATATTTATATTTTCTATCATTGCATTGATAATTATTTATCTCTGTATTCATTTGCTGTTCAATTTAATTATCGGTCGTTAAAATGTCAAAAGATACACGTAAATATGTAACGACGATATGTATAATATGAATATATAGAAAACATATTTGCTAATCTTGAATATTCTAAATGCCAAAACACTAGTTATATTTATTTGAAAAGCCATTTTTTTAATATAAGTATAAGATAGATATGTTAATATCATATAATGTATATAGTTTTAAAATGATGTTGAATGATGCAAAAATAGTGCAGATATTAGCTTCAAAGAATTTGTAAGTCCTAAAAAGTAATTTTGTTATATATTTTGCTTGAAAATTAATAAACGTTGAGTTAATAAACACTAATAAAAATATTTCTAGTTTTTAATTCAAAAAAAACTCGATTATGTTTATGATCTGCAGAATTTCTAATAAAATTAACTATTGAAGCTTGATTTCATTTAAATTGTGTATAAATAACAATTTATAAAAGCTGTATCTGATGAGATCATAAAATAAATTCAACAGCTTTTTTTAATTCCCTGAGCTCATTTTATAATATAGGATATGTTTTCCTTATTTTCTGATGCAGCATGTCTTGAATAAAGCTCTCTAAGAGTCATGGTCCGTATAGCTCTTGGAATACGATTAAGACGCATCTCTCCACATAAAAGAACAGTATTTTGAAGTAATAAAGAATAAGATTCAATCTGCTGAAGCCTTTGATTCACTATAAATAACATCGTAAGCTTCCAGTCTTTTCTAACCATATATTATCAACTTACATTCTAAATCTAGATTTTTTAATAATTCTTCTTTTTTTAAACGCTTTTTTAAGCTAGTTTCAGAAATATATATATCTTCACGTTCTTTTGAACTCATTATCTTATATAACTATAGAACTATAGTATTTCTTCCTTTGACGTATTTTTTTATTATTAATTGTATATATTATTTTGTCTAGACACCACACCGAGACAGTTTTCTCGATTGATATACAAATATACAAAATATTAAAAAAAAGAAGCAGAAATCATGACATTAGAGGCAACAATGATTGTGTAATTATATTATCTTTATAATTTTTCTATTTTTATAATTATTAACTTAGACTTTAGCATGGATAATAGTGAATTTGCACGAAATGGAGATTATCTGCCTACTCGACTTGGTTCTCAAAAAGATGCAATAAATCTGATTTTTTCGTCTAAGTTGAGAGCACATCCAGAGAATCTGATAGGGCTTATGTCTATGGGAGGAAAAGGGTACAAGTTTTTCTTTTATTTTGTATTAAATAATAAAATTTTGAGTCCGGAGATTTTAGTTACATTAACACAGGATTATGGTAAATTTCTAGCTGCTATGCATGAATCAAAAATTGGAGGAAATTCTCATATTTGTACTGGCATTCAGGTGGCACATGTACGTATCTCTTATAGTCTTTAAATGCTTCTATATATATTAGCTTGCACTTAAACATCGACCTGAAAAGCGACAAAGACAGAGAATCATTGTTTTTGTTGGATCACCTGTTCTTGAAGATGAAAAAACACTAGTCATGTTGGCAAAAAAGATGAAAAAAAATAACGTAGCGGTTGATTTTATTAATTTTGGTGAAATACATGAAGAAAACACATCTAAACTTACAGCATTCATTGAAGCCATTAATAGCGACGATAATTCGTTCGTTATATTTAATCTTTTACTTTTTTAACATCTTTAGGCACCTTACAACGATTTTTCCAGGTCCTTATTTGTTATCTGATCAACTTTTGCATTCTCCTGTGATTACAAATGATCGAACTTCAGTTCATGGTGTTTCAAATATTCAAGATGGGATTTCTGGTGAACACTTTGACTTTGGCGTAGATCCAAACCTCGATCCTGAACTTGCACTTGCTCTCCAAATGTCTCTTCAGGAAGAACAGGCTCGTCAAGAGGTCATTTTTCCTTATCTTATAGTTATTTCCATTAAAATAGTCCAGGCACAAGAAGGAAAAGCACGTGAAAATAACGAAAATACTTCTGATAGCCATTCTCAAGATCAGAAACATGAAAACATAGAAAAAATGGACATTGAGAAATAATATTACTTTAATATCATTTCTTACTATATAAAATTATCAACATATTCTTTTCTTCTTCTCATAATCGCCAACATTAATGCACATTCTTCATGCTGATATAATTTCTTTTGTTTTAATTCGTTTATACTTCATTTTGTTTTATCTTATTAAATCCTCTTAAATTTTGACACTTCTCCATCAGACCCCTTCTCAATCGGACATGTCAGATCTGTCTGGAAATTAGAAATTAAATAAAGAACCTCAAGAAGAGGCAAACAATACTGAATTTCATTGGATACAGCTTGCAGACACTGTAATTAGTGATTATGTCTTTTGAGCGAGCGAATTCAACTGAATATCAAGAACGTTCTATGTGGAGTTTGTTTCAAAGAAAACATGGAAAACGAGGAGAAATGTCTCCAAAAAATAACGCTTCTTCAGTTAAATGTATTGTTGATAGTACCAATCCGCCAAATCCAGCAGTTCGCCCTCTTTTAGTTCGTCCACAAGCTCGAGATGAATTTGGAGTTATATGTAAAGAAAAGATAAAACGTAATATAGAAGGAACAAATATAAATACATCGAGATGCAATACACTTAGAAGTAATACGGGTAGTACATTAATGCTTAATGAAACTAAAGATGATGAATATATTAAATGGAAGAATTTCATTTTTGCATATGCACAAGTATGTATCTAATTTGCAGAAAGAAGTTGGAATTTTATGGCAATTTTAGGATGCATATGACTTATCAAATCCCCCATGCCCACCGACAAGACTTAGAATGCGCTACTTTGTTCCTCCACGTCCATTTAATGAAGCAGAGCGAATTGCTGTATATTATGAAAATGTTTTTTAAAAATATAACAAGTTTCAGGCTCTCCGGCGTTATGATATTCTTCCAAAATATGATACCAGTACTCGAAGATCCCACTATTCATCGGTATCCAGTTTATCGAATTGTAAAAATGAGGATATAGAACGACTTCAACGACTTGTTGTTGCTGCACTTGACTTTTTTTCAACATCTATTGCTTTTATATCACTTATAGATGAGAATAGATGTTATTTAAAATGTGAAATTGGATTAAATATGACCGATATTGATAGAGATATTACATTTTGCACTCATACTATACTTAGTAGTGAGCCTGTAGTAATTCTTGATGCATCTAAAGATTGGAGATTTAAAGGTAAGATTTTTTTCGTTTATTTTTTAGATTTTCTTTTCTTTTTAGGAAATCCACTTGTAATTGATCCACCTTATCTTCGTTTTTATGCAGGTGCTTCCATTATTACCCCGGTATTTATATTGTATATATTTTACATCTTATACTTACTTAAAAAAAGGACGGATATCCTATAGGAACTATTTCTGTTATAGATTCCAATGCTAGATTATTTTTTAGTCCTCAAGATATCCGTCGTCTTTCTCAATTTGCACGTATGGCTATGGATGAAATTGAACATTTATCACACGTTGTTAAACATAAAAGTTCTCTTGAAGCTAGTATTCAAGGATTTTCATTGAAATCTTCCCCCGGCTTTTCTGATATTGATTCTGCGTTTACAATAAATGAATATCAAATAGCATTAAATGCTAAAGATAACTTAAATAATTCTCTTCAAAAACCTATTTCTGAACCCATTTTTCAAGATATAGATACAGCATCGAAACTTAAATTAGATCAAAATATTGGAAAAGATTATTCTTATCTTCAAACAAAAAAAACATGCGATTTTAAGAATTTTTCTACTTTTCCTGTAAAGGATTTAGACTCAAAAGTCGACAATAAGCAAAATAAAGGCAGTCCTAGATTTAGTTTTCATAATTCTCCATTATCACAAATAAAATATGATCAAGAACAAAAGTCAGGATTACAATATTCTCTTATGTCTAACGATAAAACTAATTTTTCTCAAAATTCTCCAAACACAATAGAAAATGAAACATATGAAAATAATTATATTGAATCTAGGCAAGTTTTATTAAATATAAATAAAAAAGAAAATTCACAAGTCTTAAAAAATTCAGAATTAACACCTCCTTCTACTCCAGTCAATTCAAAAATTAATTCGGTTAATCATATAAACAAAAATAATTTATCAAAAGAAAGTTCTACAGTTAATTTACGAACATGTTCTTTTACTTCTCAACCATCTGTTTTTGCTACTCATGTTATAGCTTGTACTTTAGGACTTGATCTGGTCTATATTGTTCAAATTTCACCCAACAATTGTGTATCTTTGGATTCTCAGAAAAGCAAAAACAATTATAATTCTGCTTCTTTAGATATTGTAGCTAGTTGTGGTTTACCATACCCTCCTCCTGTTTTAGACCCTGTATTGCATTTACGTGCCTTAAGATCAGAAGGTGGCCTTATTTATCGAAATCCATTTCATTTAAATGAAGACTGTACTGATTACAAAATTGGCATTTTGATACCTCTATGGAGAGATGATGTAAATGAATCTAATACAGATAATTCTTTAAAGGATTTGTATGCTAAAAGTTGCTCTGGTGTTGTTTTAGCTGGTTTTTCTAAAAATGTAATCTTTTTTTATTAATAAAAAAATTAATTATTTTATAGGAACGCAAAGATAAAGGTTTTTCTTCTGATGAAATTCAATATCTTCGAAGATTTGGCGGTGTTTTAGAGAAAGTGCTTAAATCATCAAATACCAAACAGTAAAAACTGTTTTTTTATGCTAATGTATAAACGACTCTAAAATGATAAATTTTTTAATAATATTTTAGTTTATTAATGCATGGTTTTTTGTTATACTCTTATAAATAAATAAAATATATACAGTTCTTTTATAAATAAATTATTTAAGCATAATAAAACTAATCCCTCGGCGCGCTTTATTTGTAGCCAGAGCGAGCTTCTCATTATCATTGTCATCCCATTTATTTTCACATTCATCCCATTTTTTAGTCTTAAATTCTATGTTAAATGCATTTTTTTTAGAACTAAATTTTAACATTTCCCTCGGATCTCCTGTACCACTATATACCAATAATATTGTACATTTTGGCAAATTTGTATATAACTTATATATTCTTTCATTAAGATTTTTAAATGCATCATCTACCGATTCCATATTATTTGTTGTAGCATTTTTCGACCATCCTAGAGTATATTCTAATTCTCTAAATCTTGCCCATATAAAATCATGAGAATTAATATTTTTCAAAATCCCTTCAAGAACTTCATCATCAGAAGAACATGAAACAAAGGTTTTCAAAGAATTCCCATACCATTGTCCTGGACCCCCATAATCTACGATAGCAAACTTTTTTGTTTCATCAGATCTTTCTAATTTTGAAAAAATAGATTCATTATCTATATTAAACATTCCAAATTCGGGGCCATTTTTTAATTTTAATTTAAGTAAATCTATACATGTCAAAGCATCTTCGATAGAGTCATGTCCTAATACATTTTTTTGTATTTCTCTTTTCAACCATTTATGAGCTAGCCATTTTAGACCAGGCTTATAAGGAGGACCTCTAGTATGTTGAAAAATAAAAGATGTATCAATAATATAAGGATGAGCAAATTTCAAAGACCGGAAATCCCATTCAAGTGAATGACCAACAATAATAGTATTTTTATCAATTATTTTTAATAACATTTCTTGAACATCTGTTATTTTTGTTGTTATATTAGATAATTTTTCTTCTGTTATTCCAGAATATCTAAACACATTAAAATACTAATTTCAAAGCCATTAATTAATTCTTACTGAGTTAAGTAATCAATAATTGGAGAACCTGGCTTAACAAGTTCATCATATACTGTTTGACAATCCCAATCAACAAGTGTTACTCTAGTTAATTCTGGTCCATTTTTTGTTTTACACATTTCACAATCCAAAGCTAATATTTTTTTTTTAGAACCTTGAATGTCGCTAGAATCCCTTGGAATATATGTTTCTTTCCAGTCACTAGGCAAAGGTTTCGAATCAGGAAAAATACTATGTAAAGGATAATCTCTTTCAACAAGTTCAGAATGAGACATTAAATAATCTTCCGGTGATTTATTTTGAATTTTGTTTTTTAATTTCTCACTTTGAGCAATTTTCTCTGCATTTGATAAAGGGCATTGAAGAAATGAAGAAACAGGAGAATGTATCCTATATCTTTCCCCAGGTGTACGAGTAGGAATAACATGAGAAAAAATCAATTTAAAAGCGTTCAATTTATCTGGGCAACATTCTTCTAATAGAACAGGAGAATTTGTAAGAATTGGACCTATATCAAGATTAAAAAGTGTAGGATCCAGCCCGGGTATAAGTAAAACGATAATTTTTTTAATAGAAGATTTATTCTAAATAAATTGTAAATATTTTACAACAAAGTATAAATACTACCGTTGCAGTGATCCATGATGGTGCTGACATATTTCCAAAAATCCATAAAACAACATCTCTTAAATCCTTAATAAATAAGTTATTAGTTTTTATAAGTAGAATAATATGTACCCCAATTCCAATATACTTTTCCGGAGACCGATTTGTTATTTTTATAGTAGGATATTTTTTCTAAATATATTTTACAAAATAATTACTATTTAATTTATATAAATACTTTTTCTGATCCTTTTTTTGTTCGCTTTCCATTTATCACATTTTTAAAATCTGCCTCTGTGCTATTACTATCATTTTTTAAGACATCAAAAGGATTGGAATTTTCTATCTCCTCAAAAATACTTTGATTTTTATCAAGATTTTTTGATTTATGATTTTTTCGTTTTCTTTTCTCTGATAACTTCTGACACTTTTTTTAAATGAGAAACTTTTCTACTGAATTCATTAAAAAGTACCTCTATGATACATTTTTCATCCATATTATTTTCTATTTTATTTATTCTTGATTATCCAAAAAATGTTAACTTACTATTTATAAACTCTCCAAAATTATATAAATTTAATTAATAGAATACTCATTTAATTATTATTAAAAAGTTTATACATAAGTATAAATTCTGCTTTAAACTAAAATACTTAATCCTAGTTTTTATTTTTCATCAATTTTAAAAGTTGTTTTTTAGATTCGACCGACGTCAAAAGATACACAAAATTTTAAATATAAATGTAACGGACTAAAAAGTCTAAATATTAAATACTTTTATATAATATTATATGAGCTATTGAGATGGTATAATAATTCTCATATTTAGTTGAAAATTTTCGAATTTAACTTATATAAAACTCAAAAGAAGAAAGAGATTCTAAAAAATATTTTTAAATATTGAAGGAATGATATTCAAGTTTTTAATTGATAGTGCATGTTTTTAATACTTTTTGTATTTTATGGAAGGTTTTAAATCTTTCGTCGAATCCTTTTTCTGTTTTAAAGAGGAATAATGATGGAAGAACATGATCTTGAACAAACGGTTAGAGAAAGCCAGCGTATTAATGTACTTATAGAGCTTTCTCTTGATGGAAGACTTAAGTGGCTAAGTCCTTCGTGGAAGGAGATTGTTGGGTATGCATTTTCTTATTAAAGTATTTTGAATGGTTTTAAGATAGTTAGAATTGATTCGGAACAGGCTCTTGGGCGGCCTATATCTGATTTTTTAGTTGGAGATGATAATATATTTGCACATGCTATTAATGTGTTATTGGAGGATGATTCACATATTTTTAGAATTTACTTTAATATTATTACTAACCTATCACCTGTTAATGAAACTGAAAGAAGTATTTCTTTTGCTTCTAATAATAAAGAAACTGCATCTTCTAAAGACAAGAATGATCTTTCTTTTCGTGAAAATTTAACAGGAGTCCTTGAAATGGAAGGTCATGGTATACTTATTCGTGACAGATTTACATCGAATGCTATACATGTAAGCTCTTTTGTTAAATAAAATTATATTTTTTATATTTATTTTAGACAATGTGGATAGCACGTCCTGTTATAGATATCGAATCTATAGTTGTAAATTTTGATGAAGGACTTATTAAAACTCTTGGGTTTGGCTCTCATGTTTTATCTCACTTTTTAGAAGCATTAGCGAATGGGGATTCCCAGAATACGACATTGCTTCCTGTTCTTTGTAGAATATGCGAACGTCAGATACAACCTTGGTTTTTTGAAAAGCATACAGAATTGTGTACTGTGCTTCATCGGACAGAGTCTATTGTTCAGGAATGTCAGGATATTCTTCAAGATCATCGAAAAATTCTTGAAAATATTCTTAATTTTATTAAAGAAAATAGAAATGATTCAAGAATGATTGAATATAGAAACTATCCTATAAAGTCTATACCAATAATTAACATTTTACCAAAAACTTTAGAGTCCTTTGATTCACATGATGTTTATATTTCACAAATACGTTTTCTGGAGATGCTTATAGATTACTGTGAAATCGCATTGAAAATAAACTTACCTGCAATAAAAAATGAATTTGCAAATATTCCAGTAGACGAAATTCGTATTCAATCTCCAGAATCTCAGAAACGCATATCATTAATATACAACTGGTGTCCTCCTAATGTTGAAGATATAGGTCTATATCATCTCTGTAGAGATACTAAAACATATATATCTGCTAAGGTTGATGCTGTATTACGTGTACAAAATATTATTCAGTATTCTGAAAGAATTCGTCAAGAACTTGACACCCAAGTCCAAAATATTATTGATGAAACTATACAAAAACTAGAAGAAGAAGTAATTTTACCTTCAGAAGAATCCGAATGTGAATCTGAAATATCTTTTCGACAGAAGTATTCCAATACAACTGGTGATTTTTTAGAGTCTTTGAAACCTTCTGCAATAGAGAGAGAAAGTGAAGCCTTACTATTAACTGTTCCTAAAGAATCGCCAATTTTAAGGAGTCCTGTTTTACAAAAAAGTTCTGAATTAAATACTATCGATAACAAAAATTGTCTTAAACTTTCAGCAATAAAAAATTCACCACCTTTACTTAATTGTGATGAAGTATCTTTACCGCTTGATCTTAAAAAAAAAAGTGGAATTTATGGATCGCCGAGACGTAAACCTTCTCCTGTTCGATATATTTCATCTCATAGACAAATTTCTCCACATAGAAATATATCACCATCAAGAAGAGTATCTTCTCTCAGCTCATCACCACTAAAATTTCACAGGCATCATTCATCTATATGTGATTTAACTCCTATTACATCTCCATTATTATCATGTTCAGATTTTTCTCCTTTATTAGGTGATCAAGCTACAAATTTTTACCAACGTTATTGTTCTTATACATCTGATATAACTAATCGAATACCACCTCTATCACCAAAAATCACATCAATAACACCTACAGTTCGGACCATTCCTTCTATTAAAGATTTTGAAATTATTAAACCAATTAGTAAAGGCGCATTTGGTAGTGTTTATTTATCTAAAAAAAAGGCTACTGGCGACTATTATGCTATCAAAGTTCTTAAAAAAGCTGATATGATAGCTAAAAACCAAGTAATAAATGTACGCGCAGAACGTGCGATTCTTATGGCTCAAGGGGAGTCGCCATTTATTGTTAAACTTTTTTTTACGTTTCAAAGCAAGGATTATCTCTATTTAGTTATGGAATATTTGAATGGGGGTGATTGTGCAGCTCTTATAAAAGCATTAGGAACTCTTTCGGAAAATTGGGCTAAGAAATATATCGCGGAAGTTGTTCTTGGATTAGAGTTTTTACATAATAAGGGTATTGTTCATAGGTAATTAGCAAATAAAGTAATCGTTTATAAGTCTAATTTTTTTTAGAGATCTTAAGCCTGATAATCTTCTTATCGACCAACGAGGTCATTTAAAATTAACTGATTTTGGTTTATCAAGAATAGGTTTAATAAGACGGCAACATCATGTTAATGATATTTCTAATGAATCTATTCTTGAACCTTTTGCTCTTCATTTATCTAATTCTTCTCGTTCTACATCTTGCGATTATGGAAATCAATCGTTTTTTTCTGCAAGTGCAGTGTCATTAGAATCTTCATTTCAAACTACAAATATACAAAGTTCTACAAATTTAAAAAAAAGTGGGTCACATATTTCTGAAGACCATAGTGATTTTGGTTTAAAAATTGAAGGAGACATATGTAATATATCTAATTCATTCAGCAAATTCAATTTGGATGAACATAAAAAACATTTTCTTGAAGAGGATACTGCAAGTTTTGTTAGTAGCACTTCGAGTAGTTTTGGAACTTCCAATTTTCACTCAAATATTATTGTTCCTGTAACAGGTCTTGGGAATCAGCCTTTTTTGAGTCTTTTTAATCCGAATGATACAACAAGGAAATTTGTTGGAACTCCGGATTATCTTTCTCCTGAAACTATTAATGGTAAAGATGAGGATGATACTGGTGATTGGGTAATGATTTAAAATAGTTATTAATTTCTGTTTAACATAGAATTAGTGGTCTTTAGGATGTATTCTTTTTGAATTCCTTTACGGTTATCCTCCATTTCATGGAAATACTCCTGAAGAAGTATTTGAGAATATCCTTTCTAGAAGAATAGATTGGCCAGAAACAGATGATATTGTAGTTTCGGATGATGCAAAAGATCTAATGAATAAACTTATGTGCTTGGATCGGTCACAAAGATTAGGATCTAAAGGTCCAGATGAAGTTAAATCTCATCCTTTTTTTTCTACTATAAACTGGAATACTTTACTTGACGAAGATACTTCTTTTATTCCTGTGCCATTGGATCCGGAGAATACTGAATATTTCGATGCTCGTGGTGCAGTACTTGAAAAATTCGATGATGAAGTAGAAATTTCTAATGTTCAGATTGATAAAAATATTTCCAATTCCTTAGAAACAGCTTTTCAACATAATTCTAATATAAAGAATGACTCAGTATCTCATAACATGACTTCATATTCTGAGAATCTTATCTCAAATACTCAAAAACCAAATGAAGCATCTAGAACTGATGATTTTGGCACATTTTTGTTTAAAAATTTAGAAGTTCTTGAAAAAGCTAATAAGGATGTTATTCAGAGGTTGCGTTCAGAACATTCATTGCAGGCTCCACCTATTGCTTTATATGTCGATACAGATTATCAGAAACATCGCCACAGATCAATTTCTACTATTATTCCTAAAGAATCTTCATCAACATCACCAACATCATCTGCTTCTATATTTTCTACATCTCCTAATTCTTTAATGACAAAAGTGTCTCTTTTTTCATCATTTCCTGCTTCACCACTTAATTCATTTTCATCTCTTACTAAAACTAGGAAACGTTTTTCTGCAAATATACCAATTCTAATGTTAAAAGATGATCATCCAAAAGTGTTTAGGCATACTAGGAATTCATCTTCATCAAATATCGATGATTCGTTATTTAGTAAAGTAATTTTAAAAAATACTACTACACGCCGTCGAAGTACAATGCCTCCAAGAATGAGGCCATTTATTATGAAAGGTCAAACAGATAATGCTTTTTTTTCAGATCCGTGTAGCACCACTAAGAGCTGTCAAGCAAATGAATTTTGGTCTTCATCATCTGATAATGAAGAAATGAGAAATAGTACACTTTTAAGAATACAAAGAAGGCGGCCGCATTTTAAACGGCTTTCTGTGTCTTTTTTGAATAATAATTTTACTAGGCCATTGGATGTATTAAGTAACGCTTCGAAAAATATTTGTTAATTTAATACTAATATTTTTAAGTATGCGAAAATAATCCAGTATCTAAAAAACTTCTAGAAACAATCCTAGAAAAACTTGGTTGTCGCATTGTTAGTGTATCTGATGGGACAGAAGCTATTAGTTATGCTAATGGCGATGTAAAATGTATGTATTTATATTTTTGTTTATTTTATCTAATCTCTCTAGTCGATGTTATTTTTACTGGCATAATTATGCCGAGATGTATTTTTTTCCCTCTTATAAAATAAATACTAATTTATATAGTATCTGGTATTGATTTGGCTAAAATGATTGTCGAAAGTGAAAGTATTAATAGCACTACTCCAATTATAGCAATGCCTTCATTGATGGATAATATTCCAAGACCTAATTATTTTGTTTCACAATTAGAAAAACCTCTTAGCTTAACATCAGTAAAAAATGAATTGGAAAAAATTTGCAATTGGAAATATCATGAAGGCCCTTTAACTACTTTCGACTCTGGTTCCCTCAAACATTCATAGATTTCTCTTAAATAATATACATGGTTTTATCTTTTTATTCCTTTTTTCTTTTTTACATCTAATTAATTTATCTTCTTTATATTCATCTATTTCATCTATCCTTTTACTTTTTTATTTCTATTCATAACTAAAATTTCCTTTCGATATTCTAATCTTTAATAAATGACCACTTTTAAGCTTCCTCCATTACGTAAACCTTCTGATCCATGGGGACCTTTAGATACAATAGAAATTGATGAAGATATTCTTTATGCACCTTTCAGTAAAAGTGATAAACTGGGTAAAACTGCAGATTGGACATTAGATCCTTCAAGAGATACTCGTGAACAACGACAACGACAATATGGACGATATAGAGGTAGAACGTTGATTTTTTGTATTTTTTCTAGATTTTTTACTAAATATCTTTGTTTTAGAACAATATCAGACATATGGAGCTGGAGCAGCATCTATTTTTGCATATCAGCACTCAGAAGATGAAAGTACATTTTCTATTGTAGATAACCGAACAGGAACAAAAACACGTCTTGGAAGTCGTTCAGGGTCTTTATTACGTGGCCGTGGAAGAGGAAGTTTACTACGGAGCCTTGGAAGAGGGAGTCATTTTGGTAGGACAATTACAAGAGGATATTCGGACTCAGGAAGAAATGTTCGTAATGGATTTCAAACATCTAGAGCAGTGAAGCGGTTTGGGTGGAAGGAATATGATAAACCTCAGCGCCTTCGAGATGCTAGTGTGACAGTTAGACATGATTGGCAATTATTAGAAGAAATTGAATTTAATCGATTATCAAAGCTTAGCTATGAAATGGATGATGGTGTAGACTTGGAAACATATGGGTTTTTACGGTATTATGATAAGTCATATGATAAAATTTCAACAAAGGCGGAACGTTCTCTTCAGGTTATTGATGGAGTGCATTATAATCCAACTACTACAGATGATCCGGTGATTCAAAAATTGGCCATGAATAATGAAGCACGTGTATTTATTATTGATTCTATTCTTAGCCTTATTATGTGTTCTCTTCGTTCTGTTTACTCATGGGATATTATTGTGATTCGTGAGAGTGATAAACTATTTTTTGATAAAAGAGAGGGAGGGCCATTTGATTATGTAACAGTGAATGAAAATGCGGCGGAGCCTCCATTGGAGGCAATTGAGGGTCAAAAAGAGACAATAAATACACCCGGACAATTATCTTTAGAAGCAACTTATATTAATCAGAATTTTTCACAACAAGCTTTAAAAGGACCTGATTCTGAAAAATATTTGTTTTCTAATCCTAACCCGTTTTATAACCCTGAAGAAGAGACTGAAGTTCTTGCGCCTCGTGGATATAAATATAGAAAGTTTGATTTAGGCATGTTTGGAGATGAATCTATTACTCTCATTTGTCGTACGGAGGTTGATGCAATTGTAAAGAATCACTCTGGAGAGGATTCTTTTTGTTCAATTAAAGCACTTAATGAATTTGATCCGCGAGCTCAGGGTGCAGGGGGTGCATTGGATTGGAGATCGAAACTTGATACTCAACGAGGAGCTGTTGTTGCAACTGAGATGAAAAATAATAGTTGTAAGCTTGCTAGATGGGCAATACAATGTATTCTTGCAGGTTCTCAATTAATGAAGCTTGGGTCTGATTTTTATAAAAAATTTCATATATTAATATCTTTAGATATGTAAGTCGGGCCAATCCACGAGATGTACAACGTCATGTCATTCTAGGTGTTGCGGGATATAAACCTAAAGAATTTATTTTACAAATGAATTTAAGTCTTTCAAATGCATGGGGAATTGTGCGTACAATTATTGATTTATGTTTGAGCATGCCTGAGGGAAAATATGTTCTTGTTAAGGTAAATTAATTTATTTTTTTGTTTTTTTACTCATTCTTAAAAGGACCCAAATAAAAGCATTATACGTTTATATAGTAATTTTTACAATATATACATATATATATTAACTAACATATTTAATAGAAGTTCCATCTTCAACTTTTGAAGAAACTAATGATCCTAATTTAGATGATCCTCTTGTCTTTGCTGATATAAATGACGAATAAAATTTTTAAATACTTTGTGTTTATAATAAACTATGTACTTTAGTTTTTATAAAAGTATTATACATTTTCTATTTCATTTTTTGTCATCGTTTTATGTCGGTATTTAATTTTTTAAAACATTTTTATCATTTTTAATAAATTTATTTTTGAAAAATCTTAAAAATATACATAAGTAATGTCTTCTTTAGATTATCATCGTTCTTCTTATGATCACTTGGATGATCGTAAAAGACGTTTAACAGATAGAGATGAATATGGTGATTTAATTGTCTATTTTTATTTAAAACTAATATCTAATGGATGATAAAAACGCACGGTTTAAATATGTTCATAGAGATTCTGGAAGACGTTATAGCAATGGTCGTGTTCGTAGTAAAGATTCTGATGAATATGTACACCGATATGATTCTTCACGGGATCATGGTAAGTTTTGTTTTAGTGAAAGAAATATTAAGTGTATTATTAGTATCTTATAAGAGGTTTTAAGGATATTAAGTATATATAATATGTATTTATTAACGATTAGAGCGGATCCATATACGTTAAATCACTTAGTTTCATTTTCTGCTTTTAACGAATGGTATAAATCAACGAACACGTCCACAGATATTGTAGAACATGAGATGTTTCAAAAATATGAAATATATAAGCAAGATCTTTATGCAAGGCTTGCTAAACCTTTTGTTTATGAACATATGAATTCACCATGGTTTAAAGAAAAATATTTACCTGAATTTCGACAGTCTATATATGAAAAAATTATTGAGATTAAGAAATCTGCCAGGGATGCCTTTATAAAGATGTTGAATAGCGGGAAATTTGCTGAATTTACCATAGACAGTAGTGAATCAGAATTAGATCATGAACCAATACCGATAGAAAATATGATTCATGTTTTTGAAGAAAGTTTTGATGATAATCTGAAAACATATAATAATGTCCTTTTAATTAAAAATGTTGCCCCGAATGTTAGTTACGCGGATCTTACTACGGTAAATGTTATCTTTTTTTAGATTTCCGAGATTAATTTAAAAAGTTATTATCTGGATGTCCCATTGTAAAGAATGTTGTACTATCAAATCCTAATCCCTTTCGTGGTTTTGTGAGAGAAGCATATGTTGAATTAAATGATACAAATGGTGTCGAAAATTTAATCCAGACTATTCAGAGTCAAAAGCCTAACGAAAAAGCTGGTCCAATTACTGTTATATTTTATAGTTCACCATCTTGTCCAAGAAGAATATTGTTACCTCCTCTTATGAATACACCAGAAAATCTTTCTGAAGATTTAGAATTTGCTATTCAAACAGTTAAAAAAATGGATAAAAAAATAGATGAAAATTTAGATTTTACTGAAGAAATTAAAGATTATATGGTTTCTTTCTTTTCTAATTCATCAGGAGATTTTAATGATGACCTTTATATGGTAATTGTAATCTAGTAGTAAGTTTCTAATATATTTTATAGACGAAAAAAACTTTGGATTTTTTAGTAGAATATTTACGTCATGTTCATTTTTTTCATTTTTACACTGTTAACGAATATGACTCTATTTATGAGCTTGAAAAACAGTTCCCAGGACAATTTGTTAGATTATCTAATCAACAGAGTGATTCTCAACTTTCTTTTAAACAAGGTAATAAACTTTTGTATTGTACTGTTAATAATTCTTTAGAATTATGGAGAGCAAAATTTGTTGAAAAAATGAAGATTTTTTTGGAACCAGACAAAGCAGATCTTGTAAAACTTGGAGCTAAGCCATTTGATGAAGCAGTAGAGTCTAAAATTGAATCACATATTAAACAAGAAGATGAAAAGAGATTTCGTTGTTCTGTTAATGATTGTAAAAAACTTTTTAAAGGACCCGAATTTGTTAAAAAACATATTGAAAAGCGACACTCAGAATGGTTGAATGAAGCAAAAAAAGAGGTTAGTTTAGGTTTCATTATGCATATAATCTAATGTTATTAGTTCACCCTTTTAAATAATTATGTTTTAGATACATCTCGTGTATTTCCAGTCGAAGCATATTCATATTCTTATTCAAATTTTCAAAAATATTCTTATAAGAATAATTCACATATTATAACTAAAAATAGTTTAGAATTTTCCACAAAACCCTTATCACAATCACTCACTCTAGGATCTTCATATTCTCAGTCTTCCTCATCTGAAAAAATAAATATGAACTATGATCAAGATATAAATAATAAAAGATCTTTATCAGGAAAAAGTCAATACAATAAATCTAAAACTTTTAACGAATATAAAGGAAGAGGAGAAAATACAATGTCAAAAAACTATAGAGATCTCGATAATGTTGTAGATGAAACACCTGATTTAAATTACTAAATACTAAATTTTCCTGTTATATAATAAAATATTTATTCATATTTCGACCATCATGTATATTAATATATTTTATCTATAAAAAATATATTGAAGAATAAAGTTAATTAATACTATGGAGCAATAGAAATATTTATGCTTTTATTAACTATTTTCTGTAAATACTTTATAAAATTTAATATAATTGTTATAGTAAAAATGTTTTTAATATTTGAATTATACTCAAAGGATATTTTATTCATCACCAAAGGACCATTTTGCAGTGATATCTCGTTCTAATCTAGTAATAGTATCAGTTTTTTTAATATTTGTGCTTTGCTTTTCAATTTCTTCTGAAGATTGATAATCAAATATAGAATATTGCAGAGTATATTTCCTATTCTGTACTATATTAGATGTTTTTTGAACAGGACTATCATCGGAAAATGAAAAATGAGTTTGATCTGTTCTCTGAAATCTATTATTTGATAAAATAGGCATTTTCTGACTTGGTTCTATATCTTCCAATGTTTGATTAGAAATACTTTGCATAGGTTTATGAACAGGCGTTTGCTCATTTTCATCCCAATTATTTATCATACAACGTAAAGCTGCGCCTTTTTTTGCTTTAGCTAAAATAGCTCTTCTTTCTTCTTCAAGTTCTTTTTCGGTTGGTGTACTAAACTCGAAATGTGTGTATTTTGGATCTTTTTTTGTAATAAAATTATCTTTTTGTTGAAAGCTAGACTCCTCTGACATAATATCTTCAATTTTCGACATGACAGTATGATTTTTCTGGCCCTCTTTACAAAGCTTGACAGGAGTAGGCGTACCTTTTGTAACAAAAAGGTCTTCATAAGGACGCAGAGAAGGTTTAGCTGATGAACGAGGTCGAACAGGAACTTGATGGAATTCTCTAGGAGGCTCTTCATAAGATTCGAAAATTAATAATCTTTTTGAGGGATTTTGCTGAAGCTATAAATATAATTTTTTTGATAAAAAAATAAAATACCTGATTTTCTTTAGAACTCGGTAAATTACTATTGTTTTCTATAAAAGATAAGTTTAAACAACATATTAAAATATCATTGGTACCCTTGTTTCTTATATAATAACATTGTTCCTTCCCTGTTTTAATGGGCCAAGTTTGTCTATGACTACTAATTATTTCGAGTTCCTTAAGAACTACTGATTGATCCCAAAAAACACGAATATTTGAGATCTTCTTATCTTCATCCATCTCCATGATATATATCTGAGACATATTAGATTTAGTTTATTATCATAGATTAATAAATACAAATGGAAGATGAATTTTTCGATCAATAAAGAAATTGTCATCAAGGCCAGGAACAAGCCATGCTGGGCCATTAACAAATTGTATTTCTGAAAATACTTCAGAAACAAGGCCTTTTTCTGTAATATGTAAGTTAATTGTTTCTTCTTTTGATTTAATTTGATTTTGATATTCTGTAAGTTGCAATAAAATATTTCTATTCCCAGAAAAACTTATACACGTTGTTACATATGTTAAAACGCAATTATCTGAAAATATTGATTCTGTAGGACATTCAAAGAATGCTTCATATGTTTTTAAAATAGATTCTTTTTTCAATTGTTCCATAGGGTTTTGTTGATATTTACGTTTCGTAAATACCAATATTTTAAATTTAAATTATTTTTAAATTGTTTTAGAAATTTATTAAATGATATAAATATTTGATCTAAAGTTATTAATAAAAAGTAAGACTTTTCAAGATTAGAAAAAAGATAATATTTCATAAAAATGTTTCAAATAGTAAATTTTAATTTTTTTAATCTTAGAGTAAAAAAATAAATTTGAGTATCACTAATTTACAACTATAATAAGAATTATTAGGTCAATGGCTAGGGATCTAACGTTTTAATTATCTTAAATCTGTATATTATGAATCCGATTTTGCATTATAAAAATTATAATATATATGAAAAAAACAATATGCCATATATTATTTTTATTATTTAGTATTAAATGTATTAAGACATTTGAAATTTATGTAATTGTTAAAACAGAAAATATATTTATACTAATTTAAGTAAAATATCTATTAAAATATTTGATACTGATATATTAAAATAAACATAAATAAGTATTTTATAGTTTTTTTTAAAAAATAATGAATGGGAAATTATCTTTGAAAAATATAGTATATACTTTAAGCTCTATCCCTTTTAGAGTCAAGTCTTTTAATTAAAAACTTCAAAAGTTTAGAATAAATGATATATAGTAGTAATATATCAATAGCCGAGCTACAACTGTATGAATATTTTATTTATTATTAATAAAATTATTATTTTATGTGATTATCGCTCATTTTTCTGACTTTGAATTTGAGCTTCTAAAAAAAAATTAGTTAAAAAGTATAAATAATACTTATTTATATACCCCTACGAGTTGCGTCCTCAAGAAGAGAAGTGTCAACATTTTCAGAAGGTATGTGAACATATCTAACAACACTTCCTCTAATAAACATATTTTTTACAGCACTCTAATTGTTTATTAATTATTAGAAATAAGTTTTAAAGAAAATTTACTAAATGTGGATATTTTAGCTCTTCTAAAACTTGACAATCATCAATGCGTAGATTTAAGAATTGATCGCAAGATTTTAGAATACCTCTAATAGATAAATCATTTTTTAACTCTACGACTACTTGTGTATCAATCTATAAATAAAATTAAGTTCTAATTTTATATATTTTTAAAAGAGTTTATACAAGTGTTTTAAAAAATGAATAAAAAAGCATTCTCAAAGGTTAATATTTTTTGTTTTTTGTAGAGAAAGGTTTGCGTTTAACGATTTACAAAAAAAAAGAACTTAATTATAAATAATTTTTAAATTCAAAAATAATATTTTTAATGGTAATAATTTTTATTTAGGATATTTAAAAATGTTTCTAAAAGTTATTTTTATTTAATGATTTTAAGGTAATTTGAAAAAATTCTAAAATGCAATATTAATAAAATATAATATTTTTATGTATTTTGCTCTTTCTATTGAGTAATTTGCAATAGCTTTCGTAAAAAAAATCAAAGATCATATACATGATTTATTTTTTTATTAAATATACTGCGTCCGTATTTATTAGTCTTATAAAAAATATGAAACTGCCTGCATTAACTAAGAAACAATAGAATTTAGAATTTTTAATATATTTTTTATGCCAGTAGTGTAAAATATATTTTATAAATGTCAATTTTAATCAATTTTAAGTAATTATGCTTAAAAATGCGTAATTTTAAAATATAATGATTAATTATAGTCCATTTAAAAAGCAATAAAACATTGATTATTTAAGATATTGAAAATTCCAGTATTGTTTACGAAAATGTTTTTTCCACAAGTATTTCTTTTAATTGGCCAAGCTCATTTGCATTTTCTATATCATGAATATTCTAAAAGGTAAATTAACATTCTAAAATAGCAAAAATTTCATTACACCGATAATTTTCCCCTGTTTTACAACTGCAGGAAGAGATTTTCCTTCATTGCATCGATACCAAAGCTCTTTTGCTTTTGGGTTTGTTGCTAGATCAACTATTTCAAAAGGAAGCTGTGTTGTCTCCAAAAGAAATTGAAGACGCAAAGTACTGCTTTGAATCTATTTAATGTTATATAATATGAAATAATTGTAAAAAATACAAATAATGATGCTGATGAAAATGATGTATATAGTTGTAATTTTGTTTCTTCTAGACTATCCATTATTTTTTCAATTTTTTTCAATTTTTTTTAATTTCCCTTTAAATTAAAAAGTATATTTTTAAATAATTCTTTTTTTCTTTATATTGCTTTTAATTATCCTGTTTTTTCTTAATAAATATATATACTAATTACTTTTATGAAATACTATTTATATCTTTTTTTAAGGGTCAGTTTTCAGCGACGTGGGGAAACGGCTAACCCGTTGGGCTCATAACCCAAAGATAGTACGATCGACACGTACCGTCGCTAAGTTCGAGTTTTGAGTTACACTTTTAGTTCTTATTTAAGAATATTATTTGTTATAATTTGTTATAAAAAAACATTAACTAAATCAATAATGAAAAAGAAAAAATCAATGTTTATTAGTTTATATGTACTTATTAACATATTAAGTTGGGAATAGGGTTTTTGTTGAATTTTTACAAGATTAATCTAATAAATAAAAAATAAAAGTTAATAAGAGTAAATGTAGAAATATAAATTAAATTTGAATATATGAATTTATTTTAAAGATATGTGCCCTAATAGAATATGATTTGAAAGATTAAATATTCAGAAAATTCAGTCAACTAAGGTTTTTAAAAAAAATATTAGTCTTTAGGGAGCAGGAAGAGGCAAAGGTGAGGGGGAAGTGCAAGATGATGATGAAGAAGATGTGTTAAGAGGCAATGATGGTGAAGATGGTGATGAGGAAGGTTGATATGTATGAACTATCTGACGAAATGTTTGAATTGTAGTGCCAGGATGAGATGCCTATAAAAAAACGGTAAATAAAGTGAAAAAGTAAAGAGGATTAAACTTGGAAAATACTAGTACCAGCAACAATAATATTAGCGCCTGTATTTTTTAAAAAAGTTAGAAGATGGATGATAATAAATAAAAGATCTACCAGCTTCTGCAGCAAGAGCAATTGTAGTTTCAGTAAGGCCACCATCAACTTCAAGGTTAAGGTCAGGATATCGATGCCGAAGAGTACGTATTTTAGAGATACAAGATGGTATAAACTATTAAAAACTTATTACAACAAAATTAAGTAAGTAAAAATGCTTACTGGTTGACCACCGAAACCTGGTTCTACTAAAAAAGAGTAATCAGATGAAAAAAAAAACGAGTTTTTGTAAAAAAAACCAGTCATTATTAATACCATATCCAAACGATCTACAAAAGGAAATAAAACAGAGACTGGTGTTTGAGGTTTAATAGCAATGCCTGCCTTCATTCCTGTTTTATGTATAGTATCTATGAGTGTTGATGGATTATCTAAAAGTATTATTATGTTATTTTTTATACAAAATACTAAAACTTGTTGCTTCATAATGAAAACAATATATATCGCCGCCTGCCTCTGCAAAATTATAAACCCATTGTTCTGGTTTTGATACCTGGTATTTAGTTTGATCGAATTTTAATAGAAAATTTACATACCATCATATGACAATCAAAAACAACATCATGTTTAGGAATGGCTTTACGTAAACACTTAACTACAGGTGCTCCAATTGTAATATTTGGAACAAAATGACCGTCCATAATATCAAGATGCAGCCAGTCTGCATCTAAAATTTCTAAGTAATGATTTAAATAACAAATAATTGAGCTTTACCATTTTTTATCATCTATATAGACTATAAATAATGTTTGAAATTGAAAAAGCTGTACTTACTCTGATTCCTTCTTCTGCTAAACGCGAAAAATCTCCTAATTAAATGGATAATAAGTGAAATTACGATTTGATATACAATTACCTGCCAAAATACTAGGAGCAATAATTGCTTTGGGCATTTAAGTAAAGTTTCTAATTAAGGTTGGTTTCGATAATTACAAATTAGAAAAAATTAAAAAAGTATCTCATAAATTAAAAGACTTAAAATATCTTTTAAAACATATACGAGCAGTAAGATTTTATTATTCTTTATTTTACATATTTACATATTTAATATAATTATATAAAACATGGTTTTAAGAATTTAAAATATTTTATATTTAAAAAAATCTTGTGAAGAGTAAAATATTTAATATTTAAAATATAATTTATACTTTTTTTTTGTAATTTTTTTCATAAGTTTTTTTACATTATTTTTTTAAATAAATTATACTTAAAATTATATCTTTATAAAACTTTAGACAATTATACTATAATTTTAATCATTTGTTTTAAAAAAAGTTGTTGAAATGATTTTTAATTAATATTAATTTTTGATATGTAATACAATAAATTTTACATTATTAAACTTTTAAAATTTATATTTATTTATTCATACTATAATTTATAATTATCTCAGTAAATAAAAATTTTACACAAGTTTTTATGATTTTGATTCATAGATTTTCAAAAATAAATGTATGGTCCTTTGTTTTAATTATTTTGTGGATATTTAATATTTTTTATAATTAACTGAGGCTATTTTTGATTATATTATATATAGATTCAAAACTTATTTTAAATGAATGTTTTTAATTATTATAATCATTTTTTTGCTAAAAATAATTTTATATTTTTAAATATTAGATATAATTTTTGTATCTCCATATTTTAAAAAATTATTTAAAAAGATACATTTTTTAATTTTTCTATTTAAAAATGTCTGATAATATAGAATGGACAGTAGAACAACTTCCTGACCTTTCTGGAAGAGTTGCTATTGTTACTGGTGGAAACTCTGGAATGTATGTTTTTTTTCAGAAATAAAAAATTTAACTTTTTAGAGGTTTTGTAACAGTTCGTGAACTTCTAAAAAAAGGATGTAAAGTTTATATTGCTTCACGTTCTCAAGAACGAACAAACGAGGCGATTAAGAATATTAAAGAAACTCTACCAAATGCAGATGTTTTTTGGCTTGAATATGATGCCTGTAGTTTTGATAGTGTTAAAAATGCTGCTTTAACATTTTTAAATAAAGAATTAAAACTTCATATTTTAATCAATAACGCTGGAGTATTATTTTACGTTTTTGAATACTATGATTACTTATTATGATATAGATTATGGCGTCTCCGTATTCAGAAACAAAAGATGGATTTGAAATACAACTTCAAACGAATTATTTTTCTCATTACTTTTTTACCCGTTTGCTATTGCCTATTATGAAGAAAACAGCTGAAAAAGAAAAAGAAGGAACAGTTCGTATTATAAATGTAAGCAGTAGAGCTCATTCTATGTCTTTAAAAAATATTACTTATAATGATTTAAATATGAAATCATTTCGATATTGGCCTGAATTTTTAGTTAAATGGTATATTCAATATCTCTTTATTTTTAATACATTATTTAAATATATTTCAGGTTGAGATATGCTCAAAGCAAGTTGGCTATTATTCTTTTTACAAAATCATTATATCAAAAACTTTCTCAAGATGGGATTTATGCAATATCTGTTCATCCGGGTGTAGTAAGGACTGGACTATTTAAGCATTGTATGTTTTTTAAAAATTGTAATATTTTATTAATCTTTTATAGCTTTATTTTTAAATTTTTTTTTAAACTTTTCGCGAATATTTATAGATAAAGAGAAAGGTGCTATAACTCAGATTTTTGCTGCAGCTGCCACTGATGTTGTAGAAAAAAAGCTTAATGGGGAGTATTTAGTTCCCTATTGTAGAAAAATGTTTGTGTCAGGTGATTGTAGTATAAAAGCTTCTGAAGAACTTTGGGATTTTTCCGAAAAAGAATTAAAAAATAGGGGTTATTTACAAGAATAATTCCTTAAGTGTAATATTCTTGTTTTTAAAATATATTAATGACATATATTTTAATATTTTAATAACTTATATCTTAAAGTTGACTTTTTAAAAAGTTATTGGTTTTAATTTTTTCTTTATTATTTTTTTTATATTCTTTTTTTTTTATTATTTCCTTATCAAGAATACTTGAATCCTCATCTAGGATTTTCCATAACCAATTTGGATATTCTGATTCTTTAAGTGCTACAGGATCTGAACCTTTTTTATAAATGTTAATTCCTTTTAAAATTGTGCCTTCTGGAGCCAAAGTTTTAATAGAAAAATGTCTATAATCACCCCTAGTTACTGATAATTAATATTAGTCTTTAAACATTCAAAAAGATTATAAAGTCTTAATTTTACTTAGAATATATTTTGTTAAGTTTAAAAAATGTCTTGAATATTTAAACGTTATTTTATTAGAAAAAAAAGAATTAAAATATAACGATCTTCTAAAAGATGTCATAGTATTTTAAAAATTACTAGTATCTCTATTTTAAACTTTTTTCATATTAAATTTTTGAATTTTTATAATTTTGATGATTTATCGAAATATTTGGAGATACTTCAAAATATTTTATCCTTAAAAATATTATTAAATATAAAAGATATACTGAATTAATTCTGTGTATCAGAACAGTTCATATAGTATTTTAAATATAGGTTATCTTTATATGAAATCTTTAATGTAATGATAGGTAATGATAGATATTAAGTATATAAATTTTAACAATATTGTTTTTATTCAAATTATACGCTATGAAACTTTCATAATTTTTTTTAAATAACATCATTTTATTATTTATAACTATATATATATATATATAATTTAAAAATATTGATTTTATAAATTATTTTAACCATACTTAAAATTTCTTTAATTATAAAGTTTACTTAAAAATACTTTAATCTCTATAATACTTAATATTTAAAATTTTATATTTTTCTTGATTTTTCTTTATAAAATTTGAACTATTTTTTAGCATAATAATTTTTATTAAATCATATATTTGGCATTATTTCGTTCGAGAGGCATAAATTTGTGATTAATCTTATGATTATAAATTGGATAAAAATAGTTAATATAAACCAATTGCGTATGCATAAACAATTTACTATTACTTTAAAAGTGGAACTATAACTACTAAGTCTATTTGCATAAATATAGAACTTCATAAGTTAAAAATACAAATGACTGAAAACAGAATAAAATGGGAAATTAAAGGATAAAAATTTATGCACGTATTGAGTGACGTATTTAATTTTGTAATGCTAATAATTATTTTAAGGGCATTTTTATTAATGGTTATGCTTTATAGACTGCTATTTTAATTTGATTTATGCTTAAGAATATTAATTAAATATCGTCTATAAGAAAGATTTTTTTTCAGAGAAGACTTTTATAATAACTCAGTGAATTTTGAATATTTAAATATTCATATTTTTAAGTTTATTTTAAAACACATGTCTTTAGATAAACATCAATGTTTGAATTCTAAAACTAAATCATCTTTACCATTGTTACCTTATCGGCCATCTGGAAAAGGAAAGGCTAAAATAGCAATGAAATATCGTGAAGATAAAAGACAGAGACAAGTAATTATTTATTTTTTTAATTAATTCTAATTTTGGACTCTTAGATTACTGCATCTAAAAGATTACCTGGTTTAATGAAAAAAGCTGCACAGTATAGTGAATTAACTGGGGCAAAAGTTGTTGTTTTAGTCCGAGATGAGCAGCGTAGAGTTTATAGATACTGTTCAGATGGAGAAATTAATATTGAAAAATCTGCGAATAGGATGCTAACTGATCCTGCTGAAAAAGTTTTTACAACAGAACAGGTTGATATTTTATATACATTAATAGGGAATTAACTGTATTAAAGTTTAGTGAACCTTGTAATACTTTAGATGAAAGTTCTGAAATGCACCAAGTAACTGGTTTTTCGAACAATAATTTAAATTCAATACATAAAAAAAAAGCTATAAAAGCTAAAATAAATATGGATAATTCTACAGAGCTTAAAAATTATGTTAATGAAGAATTGAACTCTGAAGAAAACCATATAAATGTTTTGGGATTAAATTATGATACTATTAATGAAAATTTTTCTCAATGGCCAATTAAACCTATAAAATCGTTTTCAACTTATTCTGATACATCGCCACAATTTTATGAAATGAAAGAGATTGGTAGTGACAATATTAAATTAATAAATAATATTTTTTACTGATTTAGGATCTTTACCTTTTTTTTATAATATACCGGGTACTGTAAATTATACAAATATATATGATATTTCAGAAAACATTTTTAATTGTTCAAATGTATCCGAGTTAAATTCAAATTTTGAAAATGAAAATAATTTTATAAATTCCGAAACTCTTTGGTGTCCTGAAAAATTAAAAATGTTTTGTTAGCTATTGTTTTTTAATAATATCTTTTACTTTCGTACTAAAAATATTATATTAAGATTGTTAAACTTTATTCTTTCTTTAGAAATTTGTGATTAGTATGTATTAAAAAATATTAAATTTTTTTTATATTATCAACAGTAGTTTATTATTTTATATTTTTTAAAATTAAGTTTTTTCATTCTTTTAAAAAAAATCTATATTTAAATTTTATTATTTTATGGTATTAGTAATATTAATATTTTATTATTAAAGAAATTAATTTATAATTTATTAAATATATTCAAGTAATTTATCTAATTTTTATTTTGTAAATAAATATTAAATCAGATGATCTAATATTTTTATAAAGTATTATTACAAATATATGATAATTAACAAACTATAATAAAGATTATTTTGTATTTAAATATTAAAAATTGAAATTTAGTTTGATAATAAATTTTATAATAAGTTTTTAGTAATTTTTAGATACTATTTTAAATATTAATATTTTAATTTTTTTCTAGATATTTTTATATATTTCAGCGAAATATTTAAAAACTTTTATTATTATAAAATAATAAAAATATTATAAAAATTAATTATTTTTTGCGAAGGAAATGCCTGAAATTGAGAAAAAAAGTGAATTAAGTTAGTATTTCTACTTATAGTTTTCTAATTAATTATTGAAGATCTTTCGCAACAATATAATTTATATAAACACTCTTTACAACAGTTAGCACAGAAAATAGGAGATTTAGAAGTAGAATCTAATGAACATACGTTTGTTAAATACTTTTTATGCTATACTCTTACAAAATTTAGATTGGTAATTGAAACTCTCACGAATCATCCTTCTGAAAGAAAATGTTTTCGGATGATTGGTGGTGTTTTGGTAGAAAAAAGTGTAAAAGAAGTCATCCCTTTTTTAAAAACAAATCAAGAAGGAGTATTTAGTAGATTTTATTAATATAGGTATTAACTGGATCAAATAGTTAAAATCGACAATAGAGCAGCTTTTAAGACAATATAAATCTGAAGAAGAGCAATTTAATAAATGGCAGAAAGACAATAATGTCAAAATAGTCCAGTAAATAAAGAAAATTAATCTTAAAGAACAATATACATGATTTATTTGTGAAGTTTTAGAATTATAAAAATGCTGATATTATAATAATCCATATGATGACAATGTAAACAGATACTTTTGAATTATTGTGACTTAAATAGTAAGTATTTAGATATTTTCAAAAGTAGTTATAGTTTTTATTAGTTTTAAGTAAGAATGAGAAATTAAAGGCAAGTCTGATGGATTAAGTTATCCTAAAATAATCTATTTTATTTTAGTTATTAATTCACATATATGATACAAAGTACCGTTAAAACCACTATGGTAACTATAGTGCTTAAAATTAACAATAAATAACATGATCTATTCCGTGTTTTTTTTTGGTATTTGTCAGCGTTTTTGAGCTCATTATCAGCATGAATTACTTGAGACAATGTTGTGCTTATATTATTTTCAATATTGTCTATCATAATTCCTTGTTCTGATATAATAGCACCTAGGTCTCGAAAGATTTCGTTTAATTCTGTAATACCAGACTCTATATTACAAATCTCTGATTCGCGTTCTAAAATCAATAATTCGTTAAACTCTACTTCTGAACCATCAACAAGCTGCATTCTAGAAATAATACATTGAATTTATTAAAAAAAAGACTAAATAAAAATACCTGGATTGATCTTGAAGAAGGGGTGATCTTTCTTGTTCGCCATCTTCAATAATTGTTTCTGAAACATGTATACATTTTTTTTGACGCTCTGCTGAGACACTTTGAGCTTTTTTGAAATTTATAAGAGCATTAGAAAAATCATTTGAAAGTTTTTGTTGTGTAAATTTATTGTGCTACTTTGATTAAATACAAAAAAAAATATCTAATTTTGCTTACAGAATCTAAAGGGAATTCATACTTAGATAATTGCTTAATGAATGACATTGTTATCTTTACAATTTCATGAGTATCTTCAGTTAATTTGTGTCTAAAGAATTATTAATTTCTTATTCGTAAATATTATAAAATATACAATTGATTTCGAGTATTTTCCATATCTCTCTTCGTCTCAAGAACATTAAGAAGCTGATTTATGGCTGAAGTATTTGAATTAATAGTAAAAATATTACGAGATGTTTGTTGTACTAAAGTATAATATTCATGATGTTCAAGCGAATTATCAGTATAATTATTATAAGATAGTAAAGGTTTTGTATCATACAAATCAGCAAAAGACATATTTTTTCCCCTATAAAACTTTCTTTTCAATGAAATATTATAACTATATTTTTTAACTTAGTCAACGATAAGTTTAAAGCAAAAATATAAATGTTTATTATTAAAAAATGATTACTATACTAAAAAGTATTTCTAGAAAAAATATTTTATTAAAATACGATTTATAATATTTTTCTAATATATCTTTTAATTTAAATTTTTTATTTATTGAAATTTGTATAAAATTTATAATATTTTCAATTATAAAATTAATGTAATTATAAATATTACTTTAATAATTATATATTGTTAAATACAATAGAAAATGACAGTATTTTAATTAAGGTCATTTATTAATTTTAATATTATTAATAGGAAAATCACGAATATTTTATGTTAATATTGAAAAATATCTATTTTTTTAAATTAAAAATTATAATTTTATTAAATATTTTATATATTATAAAATTCAAAAATTTAAATAAATTTAAAAAGATTGTTATTAATTAAAATGTTATTTAAAATGATATTTATTTATTTTTTATTTTTTTTATATAAATAGTTATAATTTTTTAAATTTTCAAAAAACCAGTTATTTTTAAAATAGTAAATTTAATGAAAAAATCTAAGATAAATTCTAAAAATAATAAATTTAAAAATAAAACATTGTTCGATTTTTGGGAAAGAACTCAAAAAAGGAAATTAAATTTATCTGATGATTTTCAAGATTGTAGTCAAGTTTTAAAATATAAGGATCCTAATTTAATATTTTTAAGATCTACTTTTTTTAAAAATATTATACATAAAACAAAAAATGGTATAATTTAATAAAAATAATTTAAATATTAAATCTAATTTTTGTTTATTTATAAAGATAATAGCATTTTAAAGTTTAGAAAAGAGTCTTTTTTACTCAAAAATTTTTCATTTTGTGATCACGAGATCTCGAATTTTGAACTATTAAATGATGGTTTTTAGAATTCCTTTTATTTATTAAAAAAGTAATAGTTTAAGAATGCAATCAGGAAAGAAAAAAAAAAATTAATTGTAACTATTTAGATTCCTATATATATATCTTTAAAAAATCAATTTTAGATCATAATGAGGCTTTATCAAATAAATTTATTTGTCCTATATGTTTTCAATATTTCATAGGGCAAGAGGTTTTTTTAAAAAATAATATTTTCTATATTAAAGTTGTAAAGGAATTTGATATTCATATAAATGGTTGTCTTTATAAAGTTAAAGAATTTGATTTGAAATATAATAATAATATTGATAAGAACATGGTGTTTACTTCGAAAAGTTCTGATATAGAAATAAATTTTTTAACTCAAGAAAATAAAACAGGTATTATTCTTATAAACACTTTAAAAAGACACATTAAGAAGGATTTTATCATTAGAAATATTTGAAAATCAGATTCAACAAAAAAAAAAAATATCAAATAAAAATTGTCCATTTTATAAAATTATACCATATATAGGATTTTCTGTAGATGCATTTGAGTTTGGAAAAATTGAAGGATGTACAGGTTATTTTTTATCGTATATTTATTTATTTTTAATCATTTTTAATTTAATTATTCTAGTCATTTTCATTCAGATCACTATAAAGGTCTTACTAGTAACTGGAATAATGGATTGATTTATTGTTCTAAGATTACTGGAAACCTCGTAATCAGTCAATTGAAAGTAAATCCTAAGTATATTATAAAATTACCAATGAACGAAGAAGTATTATTAAATAATGTTCGTGTTACATTAATTGATGCTAATCAGTAAGATTTTTTGTTTATTTTAATTTATAAAAATATTAATTATAAAAGCTGTCCAGGATCCGTTATGTTTGTTTTTGAAATTATGAAATCAGGAAAAATCATACGATATTTGCATTCTGGAGATTTCCGAGCATCTCCATTGCAAATTTCTCATCCTTCTATTAAAAATAAATGTTTTGATTTTTTATATCTTGATACAACATATCTTGAGTATATATATATTAAATACTTTTATATTATATTTTAATTTTATTTAGTCCAAAGTATTCGTTTCCATCTCAAGAAGATGTTATAAATGCAGTTGTTCAATTATGTAAAATTTTGAATAAAAATTTTATTAATAATAACGATTTTTCTGAAAAAAAGAAACTTTTAACACTTGACAATTTTTTAATTACAACTAATATAACACATAAAAATAACTGTCGATTGTTAATAGTGGTTGGTACTTATATCGTTGGAAAGGAAAAATTAGCACTTGGTTTAATAAGTTATTTTTATTTTTATTCTAATATATTTAGAAATTGCATGCTCTTTAAAATCAAAAATATATGCAAATCAACGTCAACGAGAAATAATTTCATATTTTGAAAATGAAAAATTGTCTTCTTTACTTACTAATGATCCTAAAGAAGCATCCGTTCATCTTATTAATTTTAGAAATATGTCAGTTAAGGTTAAAAATATGTATGTTTTTATTATTATAACCTGAATATTATAGACACTTAATCAATATCTTATAGAACAAAAACCTTATTTTTCTAAAATAGTTGGGTTCAAAGCAACTGGAAGATTTTATGTTTCAAAATCATGGTCTAAACAATTTTCTAATATTTATACTATGATAAAAAATTGGAAAATATTTTATGATTATACTATGATAAGACCTAGTAAAGATAGTACAAATATTTCAATATGCTATTATGTTCCATATTCAGAACATTCATCATTTAAAGAACTTATGTGAGTAATTAATATTTTAAAAATATTATTAATAAATAGATGTTTTTGTCTTTCTATTAATGTTAAAAAAATTTTACCAACTGTTAATATTCATACAGAAAAAAGTATAAATTTTATAGAAAAATGGTTTAATTTATTAGAAGATCAAAAAAAAAAATATGGATTATTTTTTTTACCTTCTGATCAAAAAACATGGTAAAAATATTTATTAGAATTATTTATTGTAATTGATTTGCATTTATAAATTATATTCTGTTTTATATAATTTTAAAATGTTTTAATTTTTCAAATATTAAAATTATAACTTAAATTAATATTATAGTTTATCATATTAACATCAGATTCGTTATAAACTATCTAGATAATTTATATATTTAATTAAAAAAGAATATAGCATTCATTATATTTTTTTAATAAAGTTTTGAAAAATGATTTCAATAATGAATTGAATTTATGAAAAAACAGTATTTATAAATTATTTATAAGCGAATATTTCACAAACCAGCTAGTATCATTTTTTCTAAATAAAATTTCAAGATTTATAACTTGTTAAAAATTTAATAATTATTTTACAAAAAAAAAGGATGAATCTATGTTAAAGTCATATTAAAGTTAAATTATTTATAAAAAATTAAATTTGTATTAAATGATTTAAATTTAAAAATTTTAATAATCAAAAAATTTAAAAAATCACGATATATATACTTTTTAAAAAAATGGCAAAATCTAGTGTAAAAAAAGAAAATAAAAATACTTTTAATAAAAAAAAAGAAATTAGCAAGATTCCAGCAAAAAAGGGAGGAATTTCTAAGTTAACTTCTGAGAAGGAACAAACAAAATCAGTCGCAAAAGCTATAAAAAAAGAAATTGAAGAAAAAAAAAAAAAGGTATAATTTGGCATATATTCCAAACAATAATTATGATATCCTTTCACTATTTATTTATTCTTTCTAACAGGTATTTCATTAGGTTGATTCAGTCATAAAAGAGTCTTTAAAAAATGATTCTGACTCTAGTTCAAATAATTCAGAAAATTCCGCAGCTTCTGATATTTCCTCTGAAAAATCTTCAAAGGATATAAGCTCTAAAAAGACTCAAAAAAAAAACTCATTATCTAAAAATAATTTAAAAAAATTGTCTGGAAGTTCAAATTCTGAAGATTCTTTAGAAAATCTAAATTACGAAAATCCATTAAAAGCTCAGAAATTATCTAAGGAAATATTAAAAAGTCAAAGTCTTTCCAATACTTCTAATTCTTCTAATAATTCAGACTCTTCTGATTCTTCAGATGATTCTGATTCTAAATCTAGTAATTCAGAATCTAATGAGTCTAGTGCTTCTGATAATTCTATAATATCTGGTAATTCTACTACTTTGAATAGTTCGGAGACAGTTGGTGATTCTAGCTCCTCTAATAGTTCTGCTTCTGATGATTCTGTTTCCTCTCACGATTCCGAATCTTCTAACTCCTATACATCTAGTGATTCTGATTTAAAAAATTCTTCAAAGGATTTTGCATCTAAAAGTTCAAGAGGTACTTTTATTTTTTGAGAAAGCATTGTATAATTTTTTAGTTGAAGATTCTCAAAAAATCAAACAAAATGTTGATTCTAAACCTATTTCAAAAAATCTTAAAAATATTAAAACAAAAACTAAAGACTTAGTTATTAAGAAGTCAATTGGGTCTTCTAAAGAAGACAAGGATATTAAAAAATTAGATAGTAGCGGAAATTTTAATAATAAAAAATTGAATACTAAGAAATCGACTAATAAAGAAATATTACTTAGTGATGAAGGATTACCTGATAAAAGAGTTACTGGTAAAAAAGAACTTAAGGATAATATGAGTTTAGACAATAAAAATGATTCGAATAAGGATAATACTTCAAATAATAAAGAAGATTTAAATGATAATAAGATCTTGTCTACTACTGTTAGTTTTCATACCACTAGTGCTTCGAGTGATAACTCTAATCTTAACTCTAACAATGATTCTAGTAATAATTCTAGCAACGATTCAAATAGTAACTCTAGTGATTCTGGTAGCAATTCTGATAGTAATTCTGACAGCGAATCTGGTAGTGAGTCTGACAGTGGATCTAGCAGTGACTCTGCCAATGATTCTGACACTGACTCTACTAACTCTGATAATGAAACTGATAATTTAGGCAGTGACTCTGATAGTAGTTCCAGTGATAATTCTAGCAATAGTTCTAGCAGTGATTCTAGCGACAGTTCTGATAACAGGAGCCACTCAAATAACAATAAGAATATTGAAGTTTTTCCGAAAAATAATTTAAAAAAAAAATCAAAAAAGGAAAATAAACATACACTTATTAATAATGAACCATCTGCTACCAAAAATATTAAACATAAAAATATTAAAGACTCGCAAAAAAAAAGAAAAGAAGCACCTGTTGAAACTGATAAAGAAGAAATTAAAAAGAATAAAACAACTACAAAGGAAGATAGTCAAGAATCTACAACTATTTTTGTAGGGGGTCTTAGTTGGAACATAAATGATGATAGGCTTGCTAAAGAATTTGAAAATGTTGGAACTGTTATTAGTTCTAGAGTTATTACCAACAAAAGCTCTGGGAAGTCAAAAGGGTCTGTATTTTTTGCAAATCAATTATTTTATTTATAAAGAAATAGATTTGGCTATGTTGAGTTTTCTAAGCCTGAAGAAGCACAAGCTGCTCTTGCATGTTCAGGAAAGGAAATAGATGGGCGCGCTATTAATGTTGATATAAGTACAAAACGTTCACTTGCTCTTAAAGATACTATTAATGCACGGGCAAATAAATATGGAGATATTCAAAGTCCGAAGTCAAATACACTTTTTATTGGTAATTTGTCATTTAAAGCTAATGAAGAGGCCATAAGAACAGCATTTTGTAGAATAGGTAAAATTTCAGGAATCAGACTGCCTACAGATCGTGAAACAGGTCGATTGAAAGGGTAATAGTATTATGTGTTTACTTAAATATTTATATATTTTTTAGTTTTGGTTATATTGAATTTTCTACTGTTAACGAAGCGGAAAAAGCTATTGAAATGAACGGTCATTTTATTTGTGGACGACCTATTCGTCTAGATTTTTCAACTACTAAAGATAATAATACTGTTCATAATGTTTTCAATAATTCATCTAGTGGTTATGAAAAAAAAATTCGTAAAGGAGGTCCTCAAAAGTTTGCTAACTCAAAAGGAAAAATGAATTCTACTAATCGTAGTGGATTTAATGAATTCTCTGTAATTTTATTTTTCTTAATGTATATTTTAATATCTATAGGGCAAAAAAACCAAGTTTTGATTTAGATTATTTAAATTTAAAAAATTAATTCTTTTTTATAACATTTTATAATTTCATCATATAATATCTTGTTTGCCTATTACTTTCAAGTTTGATTTTCATTAAAACATAATATCTAATTTTATATTTTTATATCTTTTTAAACCTTGATTTAATTTAACTTCCTTAATTCTTAAATCTTAATAAAATGATAAAATATAGAAAAAAAAAAGATCGAAAATTAATAATATTTATATTAAAATGAAGTTAATAATCAACTAAAAAAATAAGTCTTTAAATAATATAGGTTTAAAATTCAAAAATATGAAATAATAATTAAATTATTTTTTTAATATTAATTCTAAAGTTTTTTGATTGAAATTATATTAATATATATCAGTAATAAAGATAAATTTAATATTTTGTAATTTTAAATACTTGAAATTTAAATTTGAGTTTTCTCACTAAACAAAGTTTTAAAAGAAATATCATTTATAATATTTATATTTTAAATTTTAAATTATTAAATAATTTTTTTACATATTTGTACTTAAAATTTTTAAGATCCTAAAATATAATATAATATTTTGAAAGAGAATATCTTAAAAAGAAAGTATTATAAAATAGAGAAAATATTATAATAATTTTAAAAATAATAAAATTTATTAAAGTTAAATTTTTAAATAAAATATATTACATAAATTTTAAATTCGCAAATTATTGCAAATTCAAAATTAATTTATGCTTTTATATAAAATTTAGATTTATATTTAGATAATAGTAAAAGAAGGTGAAATAAAAACAAATATTTTAAAATATTTTTAAATTTAAAAAATAACAAAAATATGAACTAAACTATTTATTTAAACATAGTGCAAATTATAATTAAAATAAAATAAGAAATTATTAAAAAAATTAATAAAAAATCGAAAACTATAAACATAATAATATTTTAATATATATATATATAAAATAAACTTTTTGATTAAAATTTAATAAATAAAAAAACAGTATATTAAAAGCTATACAATTTTAAATGATAATTATATAACAAAATATCATTGAGATGAAAAAAAATTTTGACTTTTGATTATAAACAATATAATCGAAAACATATTATGCATATTCTAAACAAAAACAATAAAAAATAAATAAAACGATATAAAAAATATAAAGTCACATAATTAGATTATTATGTTTAAATTAGATCTGATATTAATTTAATATTAAATAGTTTTTTATTTAATATACCTATAAATATAATATTATTAATAAAGAAATACACATAAATAAATATTAAGAAATAATATTTATAAAATCTACTTCAAACAATTATATTTAAAAATTTTACTATACTTTAAGAAATATTTTTTTATAAAAATTTAAACCTATCAAAATATAAACTTAATGAAAGATATTAGAATATATTTAAGTAATAAAAAATAATATATTTAATAAAAATAGCATTTATATCTTTATTATGTATCTATTGTCAATTCGTTATTGTTTATGGAATTTTCATATCAGAGTTGTTTTCTCGATAACCACTTATGAAATATTTTTTATAAACCTTTATTTATTATTATTATTATTATAGATGAAAGCACTTACTATATCATGTTTTTTTACAATAGCGTACGCTTTCTCAAATATTGGTACTTTGTTTATTTTTTTTCTCATTTTTAACTTTTTTAGAACTTATTCATAGAAGATCTGTTTTACTAAACTCATTAAATATATCATTAAATTCAATAAGGTATAAAAATGTTTAAGTAGCATTAAAATATATAAAATTAACATTTTTTGTATAGTGAAGAAAGAATTTTTATTTTAATCTTGAAAAAAAGTACAACGACTGATCAATGTCAAGTAAAACTAAAAGAATATTGTGAAAATTTAAAAAATATGAACCTAGAACCAGAAGATTTGCATTATGTATTAAAAGAACTATGTAAAGAAATGAATATACAAAAAAAGTGCAATGATTTAAAAACTATGATTAAAGAAACATGTACTACACATCAAACAATTTTAGAAGACATATTACAAGAATTATTTTTTACGAATGAAGATTGCTTATTAGAAGATGATTGTATGTTTTTAGAGGGTGTATGTTCACTAGAATTTAGAAAAAAATGCAGCGAGTTAAGAGAAAAATGTAGAATAAAAAAACAAAATAATATAAAAACAGAAATTCTTTTAAGAGCATTAAGAAAAAACTTGAAAAGTAAAGAAGCCTGTGAAAAAGTTATTAATGAAAAATGTTTTTTATTGATGAGAGAAAGTGATGAGCTTATGTCTTTTTGTTTGACAGAATTAGATAAGTGCGGAAAACTTGTAGATGCAATGAAGAAGCAGTGTAGTAGATTGAATCGTGATATAGAATCATTGATCTATGATTTTGACATATATAAAACACAATGTGATTTACTACTTGAAAGATGTTATTTTTATATACTAAATTGTGATATCATTCAAAATAACTGCAAAAAGTTAAAGGAAAAATGCGGAAAAATAGAATATATATCACTAGATCTAACTTTTGACCCATTGGGAAAAAATCTTGCACTAATAGAAAAGCTAGGAAATTTAGAACTTTTTGGCGGCGAATTTAAAAGACCAGAAATAAAGGATACAGTTGATCTTTTAATAATGCTAACAAATGATGATATAACAAAATGTAAAGATCGTGTTGAAGGATGCTATAAATTTTGTAGTTTTCTACCTCAACTAAAAGATTTATATAATAATATTACAAAAAAAATGAGTAAAGAAGAAATGTGTACATCGTTAAAAGATAAACTGAGGACTAAATGTAAAGCTTTTAAATTAAAATTAACTAGCATGTCGCTATCAAATACTAGTAAAGATGATGAAGAAGTCGAATTACTAGGATCCTTTGAGCAGTTTCCAGAACTGAATAAAAGGCTTTGCACAAATTTAGAATCCAAATGTTTTTATTTCCAAAAGCCTTGTACTTCAGAGAATATTAATCTTAATAATGCATGTAGCAATGTGAAGTTAGCATGTTTAAAGATGCGGGCTTTTAAAGAAGAATATTACCTATTCGAAAATAACTTAAGAGGGAGACTGCACAATTTAACAATTAGCAGCTCGCTTAAAACATGTGTAAATGAACTATTGAATTTATGTAGAAAAGGTACAGGTATTAAGGAACCTATATTTGCAGATTTATGCTTACAACCATGGAACGCATGTCTAATACTTGCAAATGATATTGAAAAATTAAGTCGAGAATTTAGAAAGGATTTAAATCAAAAAAGAGACTTTCCAAATGAAGAAGACTGTAGAAATCTAGAAGAGAATTGTAAGATATTAGGACAAGATTCAAAAATGAATGAACTACCATGTCTTACACTAAAAGAACGATGTGATCACTTGAAAAATGCTAAGAAATTAGAGGAAATTTTGTTAGAAGAAAAAGCAGAAAATTTAGGCAATTTAGATATATGTATAAAAAAAGTTACAGAAAGATGCAATAATTGGTCTAAAAGAAAGAGAACAGAGTTTATTCTTTCATGTATACAATTAAATGCTACTTGTCAAATAATTATTGAAAGTATTAGATCTAAATGTACTGCATTAGAGAAAAACATAGAAATTGAAAACGTTTTAGATCAAGTAAAGAATGATGATGTAAATATAAAAGGACAAACATGCGACTTTTGGGAACCTTATTGTGACAAGTTTCAGCTGAACTGTGAAAAACTTGTTCAAGATAATGAGAATGATGGAAAATGTATAGAATTAAAAAAGAGCTGTAAATTACACAGAATGGGGGAAAATCAAAAGATAGAACTTATGTATGAATTAAGAGGAAGTCTCGATAACAAAAATAAATGTAAAACATCTCTTGATAGATTTTGTTTGTTCTGGGATGAAACAAAAAATAATACATTTAAGAATCTCTGTCATGATGACAATGGTACTAAAAATGATACAGCTAGAGATGAACTATGTGTAAAGCTCGTAGATAAAATGAAAAAAAAATGTACAGAAATGTTCATAAGATTAAATGATTCAGCAACAGAGATAGAAAAAAGTCTGGATATTGCTGGAAAATTAATTCAAACAGCAAAAAAAGCATTAAGAAGTGTAAAGCTTACTTTAATTTCAAATAGACGAAGAACATGTCTTAATATACATAATTGGAATACTAAGACAAATGCAAATTTAAAAAGAGATACAACTCAAAATCAATTAGAGTATTTGGAACAAAAGGAGATAGAAGTGAATATTACAGAAAAAGAAGTTGAGGCATTTGATGCAGCAACAGAAGCGTTAAAAGTCTATAGAGAAGTGGAAGAAGAGTGCAGAAGTCTACTGTTAAAATGTAAATTTAAGGAGGATTGTTCTGAACATAAAAACACATGCAAGAAAATCGAAGAAACATGCAGTAAATTGGGGTCACTGGGAGTCAGATCTTCAGAAACAAAAATCACTACAGAAACAAAAATCACTACAGAAACAGATAAAAATACAACGCAAGAAACAGCGACAACAGGAGAACAATGTACGTCGATTCCTAGAGACAAGTGGATTACGCGTACATTAACACATACATACATACCTACAGAAATATCTATAGAAACATTAACTGTAACATTGACGTCAACGCAGGAATGTCAACCGGTCAGATGTACTACTGGAAGTGAAGATGAAACAGGGGATGTAAAGCAAAATGAAGGATTAAAGATGAATGGATGGGGTCTGATGAAAGGAGTAATATTAACAATGATTATTTCAACTATGATTTAAAATAAATAAATGGGAACGGTTTAAAAAGCATATGTATTTTGGATGAAAATATTAAAAAAAGATCTATATATTTATTTGGGATGAGCATAGTTTAGGATAAGACATTTATATTTAAAAAATGGGGAAACAGAATAGAACAAAAAGTAGAGAATAATCTGAATGATTCCTTTAACATAAATTTGAACCGTATATTAGCCGAAACATGTATTTTTACATAATTAACCTGTATTTTTCTTTCAAATAGTCTTTATTTCTTTTCCAGAGTTTTTTACATTATATTTATTATCCAGACATTTTTACGTTTACCCCGGATTTACCCCACACAAATTTTAACTATCACGAAACAACCAGATACACACCAAAACAGACAACAAGCACCTTCTAAATATATTTGGTACACATAATGCCTACCTATCACAAGCTTTATCTCACTTTTTACTTGAATTCCCTTAAAACTAATTAAAAATCATTTAATATTCAAATTTGAAGACATGGTTCTAACATCTCACGTGCAACTAAAACACGTTAACGGAAACTCAAACTCAAAACACACACCACAGCGCAGCCCACCTCCGTCAGGCACAGCTTGGCGCGGGCGGTGGCGCGGGCGGTTAAGCGGGGGGCTGCAGCAGCGCAAGGAACTAGTGTATATGATGATGAGGATAATTTTTTAGCGTTGATCTTAAAAGATAAATTAGAAGGAACAGAATGCCAAAAAAAGTTAAAAGAGTATTGTGAAAACTTAAAAGAAACAGATAAAGAGTTAAATAAAGTCTATCCAAAACTAAAAGATATCTGCAAGGATAAAGACAAGAAATGCACAGATCTAAAAGCTAAAATTACAGGAAAAACAGGAAAATGTACAACACTTAAAACAACTTTGGATACGATAGTGAAAAACTCATTGCCATCAGATGATGATTGTAAAGAGAATGAACGACAATGCCTATTTTTGGAGGGAGCGTGTCCTGGTGATCTTACAGAGAATTGCAATAAATTAAGGAATAAGTGTTATCAAAAAAAGCGAGATGAAGTGGCAGAAAAAGTCATTTTAAGAACACTTCGTGGGACTCTTGAAGATAAAAATGGATGTAAAAAAGAACTTAAAAAAATTTGTCTAGAATTAGCTCAGGAAAGTAACGAATTAATGAAATTATGTCTTTATCAAGAATCAACGTGTGAAAAATTTGTATCAAAAAGAAAAGAAAAATGTAATGCTCTTAAACAAGATGTTGAGAAAGCACTCAATAACAAAAATGATTTGGAAGGAAAATGTCTATTATTACTTGAACGATGCTATTTTTACAGAGGAGACTGCAAAGATATACAAAAGTGCGATAAATCTTCCAAATCAGTTTGTATAGGATATGTACCAGATTGTGATGATTTGGGAGTAGAGTGTGAAAAAAAAAACATCACTTACGTGCCACCAGGACGAGGTTTTGATCCAACTGAGCCAGAAGTTACAATAGCAGAAGATATAGGATTAAAAGAGCTTTATAAAGAAGCGACAGAAAGGGGAGTTTATATTGGAAAGTCGTACGCAAGAGATACAATTACTTTATTAGGATTGTTGATTCAGGATGAAAGCTTTAAAACTCAACCGAATGAAGTAGAAAAATGCAAAAAAGTTCTTGAAACCAAGTGCAAAGAGTTAAAAGAACATGAGGTTTTAGGATATCTTTGTAATAAAGATGTGGCTAGTAAAAATGGAACTGATGAATGTAACGCATTAGGAGAGGAATTATCAAAGCGTAGGTTAATTGTTTCTGAAAAAATAAAAAATAAACATCTCTTTAAATCCAGAAAGATCATTCCATGGTATAACTTGTCGACATTTCTTAGTAACAGTGACTGTGCAAGGCTAGAGTCAGACTGTTTTTATTTTGCTCAAGATCAAAGTCCTCTTAACAAAGAATGTGATAACTTGAAAGCAGCATGTTATAAAAGAGGGCTTGATGCACGGGCAAATAAAGTATTGCAGAAAGAGATGTATGGATTATTCTATGGTTCAGGAGAAGCTTGGTTTAAGAAATTATTAGATAAGGTGATGAAACAATGCGCAAAACATAAAACGGCAAGTGATGAGTTGTTTTTATTATGTGTAGAACCACTTAAAGCAGTTCGAATACTTGCAACAGATGTTCAAATGAGAGCTATCTTTTTACAAGAAGAGTTGGACAAAAGACGAGATTTTCCAACGAAAAAGGACTGCAAAGAACTGGAAGAAAAATGTAAAACATTAGGGAAAGATTCAAAAAAGATCGAGTGGCCATGCCGTACTCTGGAGCAGAATTGTGATCGATTGAGAGCTACGGAAAAATTAAAGCACTTTTTATTAAATGAACACAAAGATAGCTTAAAAACTCCGGACAATTGTATACAGTATTTGAATAAAAAATGTCATGAGTGGCCTAGAAAGGGTAATAATCATTTTTCTCTTGTATGTGTTTTTCTGGAAAGCACATGCAAAATAATAGTAGAAGATATAAAAGATCGATGCAAAATACTCGAAAATAATATAAAAATTTCAAATGTCACAGGTTTTCTTGAAGATAATCGAAAGAATATAGAATTATTGGGAAGAGACTGTCCCTTTTGGAATTCATACTGTAATAGATTTTCACCTAATTGCCTCGATTTTAAAGAAGGAGCTGCTTTTTGCATAAAGCTTAAGGACTATTGTAAGCCATTCTATGAGAGAAAACTCTTGGAGGATGCTCTTAAGGTAGAGCTTCGAGGGAAATTGAATGATGAAGAAAAATGTAATCCTGAGTTAAAAAGATATTGTACAGTTTTGAAAAACGTAAATAATGCGTCAATCAATGGTTTATGTAAAAATGATACTGATAGCAAACCTAAAAATGATGAAGATGTTAGAAAGAAACTTTGCAAAAAATTAGTAAAGGAAATAGAAGAACAGTGCAAAACATTACCAGCAGAATTAAAACAACCGGCAGATGATTTAGAAAAAGATTCTAAGACATATGAGAAACTTAAGAAAGAGGCAAAGGACGCAATGAACAACTCCAATCTTATTTTATCACTCGTTAAGAAAAACGAAAGTAATATATCGAAAAATAATAGTAAGAGCAAGGATAAGAAAAATGTCGTTTCAAACGGACTTCAAGATACCACAGAACATGTGAAAATACTACGGAGAGGAGTTAAGGATGTATCCGTAACAGAATCGGAAGCTAAGGCATTTGATTTGGTAGCAGAAGTATTTGGAAGATATCTAGACTTGAAAGAAAGATGTAATAAATTGGAATCAGATTGCGGAATTAAGAAAGATTGCAAAGCCTTAGAAAATGTGTGTGAAAAGATACAAGAAGTATGTTCGAAACTAAAACCACTGAAAGTGAAGCCGCACGAAATAGTCACAGAAAGCACAACAACGACCACGACGACCACAACAACCGTTACCGATCCGAAGGCAACAGAATGCAAATCCCTACAGACGACAGATACATGGGTTACACAGACATCGACACACACGAGTACATCTACCATCACATCTACGATTACATCAAAAATAACACTCACATCAACGAGGCGGTGCAAACCAACCAAGTGTACGACAGGGGATGATGCAGAGGACGTGAAACCGAATGAGGGATTGAAGATGAGTGGGTGGAGCGTGATGAGGGGGGTGATATTAGCAATGATGATTTCAATAATGATTTAAAAAGTAAATGAATAGGATTTAATGATGGGCATGTATATTTAGTAAATAAACGAGCAGGGTAGGACAGGAAAGAGTAAAGTAGATTGAGTCATCTCTTCAGCATCAATTGAAAGTGCATTACACATGAAATCGCGTGTTCCTTATTTAATTGACCACTATTCTTTGTCTAAATAGCCTTTACTTCTCATTTATGTCCTTTTATATTCTACTTTTTATTTATTCAAATTTTACTATTACCCCACATTTACCCCGCATTTACCCCACACAAATTTAAAATATCGCGAAGTAGCCAACTACACGTTAAAAGCGGGCACCTTTAAATGTATTTGGTACACACTGCTTCTCTGACAAGTTTTATCACTAAGTTTACTTGAACACCCTTAAAATTAATTAGAAATAATTTAATATTCGAATTTGAAGACATAACTCTAATATCGCATGCAACTAAAACACATTAGTGGAAACTCAAACTCAAACCACACCACAGCGCGCCCACCTCCGTCAGGCACAGCTTGGCGCGGGCGGTGGCGCGGGCGGTTAAGCGGCAGACACAAGCACAGGGAACGCAAGATGAGGAAGAAGTGCGTCTCTTGGCTTTGATTGCAAAAAAGGATTATAGCGATGAAAGTAAATGTAAAAATAAAATAAAAGAATATTGCGATGGACTGAAAAATGTTTCATTAACATCAGAAAAAGTACATAAAGAATTAAAAGATTTTTGCAAAGATGGAAATGAAGAAAAAAAGTGCAAAGAACTAAAAACCAAAATTGGAGCAAAATGTAACACATTCAAAGATAAACTTAAAACAGCAGCTGGAAAAGACATTGTAGATTTAAAAGATACAGACTGTGCAAATGAACAAGAATGCCTATTTTTGGAGGGAGCATGTCCAGGTGATCTTACAGAGAATTGCAATAAATTAAGGAATAAGTGTTATCAAAAAAAACGGGACAATGTGGCAGAAGAAGTTCTTTTAAGAGCACTTAGTGGAAGTCTTAAAGAAAAAGATTCATGTAAAAAGAAGTTTAAGGGTGTTTGCCCATTGTTAAGCAGAGAAAGTGATGAGTTAATGATGTTATGTTTTGATGAGGAAAAAACATGCAAGAATATTATGGCTAAAGAACAAAGTAAATGCAAATCTCTGAAAGATGAAATTGAAAGTGTGCTAAGTAAAAAAGACGAATTACAAACAAAATGCCTACCACTACTTAAGAAGTGCTACTTCTATGATACCGATTGTATTGGAGATAAACCGAATTGCGAAAAGCTCACGAATGATTGTAAAGAAAAAGACATAACTTATACAAAGCCTGGTTCGGGTTTTGAGCCTATAAGACCAGGAGTTACATTGGCGGAAGAAATAGAATTGGAAGAACTTTATAAAAAGACAGCAAAAAAGGGGGTTCGTATTGGAAGACCACCTACAAGAGATGCGACTGAGCTTTTATTGTTACTAAGTCAAAGCGATGCAAGGTCTACGATTATAGAAAAATGTAAAGAAGTACTTAATGAAAAGTGCAAAGACCTTAAAGAAAATGAAATCCTGAAGGATCTATGTGATAAAGATAAAAATAAAATGAATCCAGACGGAGAAAAAAAGTGCAATAAATTACAGGAAAAACAGACAAAAAACATTCAAATTCTCATTACAAAGATCGAGACCAAACTTTTCTTAAGTAACCCAAATACAATCATTGCATGGCACGATTTATCAACATTCCTTAGTGACAAAGATTGCAGAACTTTAGAATCAGATTGTTTTTATTTGAAAGGCCAAGGTCAACTTGAAAAACTCTGTGGTAACCTAAAAGCAGCCTGTTATAAAAAAGGGCTTGAAGCAGTAGCAAATGAAGCATTACAAGATAAGTTACGGGGAAAGTTGCATGGATCAAATGGAACATGGTTTGAAAACCTTCAAAAAAGCTTGGTAGAAGTATGTAAGGAGCTAAAAGGAAAAAGTGATGAACTATTTGTGTTGTGTGTACAGCCAAAAAAAGCTGCTCTTGTACTTTCAACAGATTTACGATTTAGAGCTATTTTTCTACGGGAACAATTAAACGAGAAGCGAGATTATCCGACGGAAACAGATTGTAAAGAATTAGAAAAAAAGTGCAGAATACTAGGACAAGATTCAAACGAAATTAAGTGGCCATGTTTTACATTGAATCAGCATTGCGACCGTTTAAGAATTGCAGAGCAATTGGAGGAGAAATTGTTAGAAGAAAAAACAAAAGACTTGGATAAATTCAGTTCATGTGTAGAAAATTTGAAAAAGTGGTGTAATGATTGGGCTAGAAGAGGAAGAACTCATTTTACTCTTGCATGTGTAGCACAAAATACTACTTGCAAGATTCTTACAGAAAAAGTTGGGTTTAAGTGTGCTAGGTTGCATGAACATATGAAAACAGAAGGTGTTGTAGCTAAAGCAAAAAAAGAAAGTACAGCGGAACAACCATGCGGTTTTTGGGAACCCTATTGTGACAAATACATGTCAAGCTGCAAGGATTTAGAAAGCACTGGAAAGGATGATGGATGTGAAAAACTTAAAGAAAACTGCAAGCCATATCGTGCACAAAGAGATCGTGAGGATGCAGTTATGCTAGAGTTTAAGGGGAATCTTGATAACAAAAACAACTGTGTGACAACTCTTAACCGATACTGTACACAATTGAATAATGCAACTAACGGACTTGAAACTTTGTGTAAAAGCAAAGAAAAAGGGAAAAATGATGCTCAAACTAGAGAAACACTTTGTGAAAAATTAATTGAACGAGTGAAAAGAAAATGTAAAGGACTATTAAAAAAACTTGAAAAGGTTAAAAACGAAATAGAAGAAAAAAATAAAGAATATGAAGGTATTAAAAAGAAAGCAGAAGATGCAATGGAAAAAGCGAATCTTGTTTTAACATTAAAAATAACGAATAAGTCAGTAGATAATGCAGCTTCTAATACACCTAAGAGTGGAAAAGACACCCCACAATTTAAACTTGTAAGAAGAAATACAAAATTGCAAGTAACAGAAGAAGAACTGAATGCATTTGATTTGGTATCACAAGCATTTAGTTTGTATGTAGAATTGAAGGAGATATGCCATCATTCACTGAAGGATTGTGATTTCAAAAAAGAATGTGATTGTACTAATCCATGCGAAAAGATACAAGAAGTGTGTTCGAAATTAGAGCCACTAAAAGTGAAACCACACGAAATAACAACTAAAAACGTAACAACCACAACGACAACCACCACCACAACAACCGTTACAGATCCAAAAGCAACAGACTGCCAGTCTCTGCAAACGACAGACACATGGGTCACAAAGACGTCTACGCATACCAGCACGTCCACGACCACGTCCACAGTCACCTCAAGAATAACACTCACCTCGACGAGGCGGTGTAAGCCTACGAAGTGCACGACAGGAGAGGGGGATGATGCAGGAGAGGTGAAGCCGAGTGAGGGGCTGAGGATGAGTGGGTGGAGTGTGATGAGGGGGGTGTTGGTGGCAATGATGATTTCATTCATGATTTAAATGTAAAATGGGAATGGGATATAAGAGCAGCATGTATATTTAACAGATAAGGCAGGGTAGGAGAGGAAAGAGTAGATATGATCTCTTCAGCATCAATTGAAAGTGCATTACACATAAAGTAGCGTGTTCCCTATCTAATTGGCCACTATTCTTTGTCTAAATAGCCTTTATTTCTCATTTATGTCCTTTTATATTCTACCTTTTATCTATTCAAGTTTTACGGTTACCCCGCATTTACCCCACATTTACCCCACATTTACCCCACACAAATTTAAATACGCACTAAGCACGTATCATAATAATTCTATGGACACACTAAAGATATACTTTGCACACACTACTTCTCTGACAAGTTTTGTCACTGAATTTACTTGAACTCCCTTAAAATTAAGAATAATTTAATATTCGAATTTGAAGACATGGTTCTAACATCTCACCTTCAATCAAAATACGCTAATGGAAACCCAAACTCAAACCACACATCACAACACAGCCCACCCCCGTCAGGCACGGCTTGGCGCGGGCGGTGGCGCGGGCGGTTAAGCGGCGGGCACAAGCGGCACAAGCAGTGCAAAGTGTATATGATGATGAGGATAATTTTTTAGCGTTCATCTTAAAAGATAAGTTAGAAGAAACAGAATGCAAAGAAAAATTGAAAGAATATTGCGAAGAGTTGGAAAAAGCATCACTAGACGTGGAGAAAGTACATAAAACGCTTAAAAGTTTATGTGAAAATGGAAAAACAAATAAAGTAAATGCAAAATGTCAAGGTCTGAAAACCAGAGTTACGGGGAAATGTACAAATTTTAAAACAAAATTTGAAAAATTGGTGAAAAAAGATGCCTCGGATTTGACAGATGAGGATTGCAAAGAAAATGAACAACAATGCCTATTTTTGGAGGGAGCATGCCCTGATGATCTTAAAGAAAAATGTAGTGACTTAAGAAATAAATGTTATAAGAAAAAGCGTGACAGAGTAGCAGAAGAAGTTCTTTTAAGAGCACTTAATGGTAATCTTGAAAATCAAGATAAGTGTAAAGAGAAGATTGAAAACGTTTGTCGTACATTGGGTCAAGAAAGTAACGAGTTGATGCAAAGATGTCTTAATACAGACTCTTTATGCACATCTTTAGTAACATTAGCAGAAAAAAAGTGTACTTCTCTGAAAACAGAAATAGGAAGAGTACTAGCTACTGATAACGAATTAGGAAAAAAAGGACATTCTTTGCTTAAACAATGCCACTTTTATGGACAAAACTGCAAAAGTTCAAATAAACCAGAATGTGAAAAACTCATAAATAACTCTAAAGAAAAAAAAATTACCTACAAAGGGCCAGGTTTAGATTTTGATCCTACAAGACCAGAGGCTACGCTGGCAGAAAAAATAGGATTGGAGGAACTTTATAAGGAAGCGGCAACACAAGGAGTTCTGATTAGAAGAGCACTGGAAGGAGATATTGTTGATTTATTAGTGTTTTTGTCAGGGAAGAAGTCTTTTAGTGAGACTCAATGCAAGGAAGTGTTCACTACTAAATGTGATTCTATTAAATATTTGGCAGAAAATATAGAAAAATTATGTGGAAATAAAACAGAACGTGAAAATAGATGTAAAGAATTTGATGAAGAATTCAAAAAAAAAAAGACCTCTCTGACTGCAAAATTTAAAAGTAAACAATTTGAAGAAGAAATCGCATTATGGGGTGAATTACCAAGTCTCCTTACTGAAAATGACTGTATAAGATTACAATCAGACTGTTTTTATTTTGAAGGTCAAACACCTCTTGATAAATGGTGTAAGAATATTAAGGCAGCATGTTATAAAAAAGGCCTTGATGCGCTAGCAAATCAAGCACTACAAGACAAAATGCGAGGAAAATTCCATTATACAAATGATACATGGCTTGAAACGCTTCAAAAGGAGTTAGTAAAAGTATGCATAAATTTGAAAGGAGAGAGTGATGAGTTATTTGTATTATGCGTGAAACCAACAGAAGGAGCCAACGCAGTATTAATGGATTTGTATGTAAAGATAGACCTATTACAAGAAGATTTGAATGAGAAACGAGATTTTCCTACGAAGCAAGATTGCGAGGAATTACTGAAGAAATGTCAAGATTTAGAACAAGATTCAGAAGAAATCAAATGGCCCTGCCATACGTTGAAACATCATTGTAATAGGCTGGAGATTGCAAGACAACTGGAAGAGAGGTTGTTGGAAGAAAAAGTGAAGGATTTGGACAAGTTCGATTTATGTTTAGAAAATCTAAAAGAACAATGTCATAAATGGAGTAGAAGAGGAAGAGCGCAATTTTCTTTTGCATGTGTAGCACAGAATACTACTTGCAAAATTCTTACAGAAAGTGTAGGGTCTAAGTGTACTACATTGAAAGCACGTATGAAAATAAGTGGTGTTATGAATAAAGCGAAAAAGAATGACGAAAAAGAATCAACCTGCAGTTCCTGGGCACCTTATTGCAGCAAATTTATGTCAAGTTGCCAGAATCTAACGACTTCTGGTGGCGGAGAATGTGACGAACTTGAAAAGCAATGTGAACCATATCGTACACAAAGAGATCGTGAAGATCAAGCTATGCTTGAGCTTAAAGGAAAGCTTAATAATAAAAACAACTGTATGACAACTCTTAACCAATATTGCACACAATGGGCGAATGCAACCAATGGACTTGAAACTTTGTGCAAAAAAAAAGGTGAAGAGGACAAAAACGTTAGAAATAAACTCTGCGAGAAACTGGTTAAACGAGTGAAAAGAAAATGCAAAGGACTATTAGAAAAACTCGAAAAGGTTAAAAACGAAATAGAAGAAAAAAATGAAGAATATGAGGATATTAAAAAGAAAGCAGAAGAAGCAATGGAAAAAGCGAATCTTGTTTTAGCATTAAAAACAACGAATAATAAATCAGTAGATAATGCAGCTTCTAATACACCTAAGAATGGAAAAGACGTACCACAATTTAAACTTGTAAGAAGAAATACAAAACTGCAAGTAACAGAAGAAGAACTGAATGCCTTTGATTTGGTATCACAAGCGTTCAGTTTGTATGTAGAGTTAAAGGAGATATGCCATCATTCACTGAAGGATTGTGATTTCAAAAAAGAGTGTGAGTGTGTCGATTCATGCAAAACGATAGAAAGTAAATGCCATGGATTGAGACCACTGGAAGTGAAACCATACGAAGCAACAACTAAAAATGTAACAACCACAACTACAACCACCACCACCACCACCACAACCGTTACAGATCCAAAAGCAGCAGAATGTAAGTCTCTACAGACGACAGACACGTGGGTCACAAAGACGTCGACTCATACCAGCACATCCACAACCACATCCACAGTCACGTCAAGAATAACACTCACTTCGACAAGAAGATGTAAACCGACCAAGTGTACGACAGGAGAGGAGGATGATGCAGGAGAGGTGAAGCCGAGTGAGGGGCTGAGGATGAGTGGGTGGAGTGTGATGAGGGGGGTGCTAGTGGTAATGATGATTTCATTCATGATTTAGATGTAAAATGGGAATGGGATATAAGAGCAGCATGTATATTTACTAGATGAATGAGGATAGGGCAGGAAAGAGTAGAGTATGATCTCTTCAGCATCAATTGAAAGTGCATTACACATAAAGTAGCGTGTTCCCTGTGCAAATAGCATGTATTGCCCGGATGAGTGGCCGCTGTTTGTTGTGCCATGTCGTTATCAGTGCATTCAGCGCCTACCCCGGATTTACCCCAGAGTTGAGGTGCACCGAAGGTTGGCGAGAGGGAGGATGGAGGGGGGTGTTTGAGTGGGGAGTGGGGGTTTGCAAGCGTTGACAGAGGCGTTGAGAGAGGCGTTGACAGGGCGTTGACAGGGCGTTGACAGAGGCGTTGACAGAGGCGTTGATATAAGAATTGATAGAAATTAGTGTTTAGAAAGATTTCCATAGTGTATTTAAGCATTATTATGAAATAAAATCAAGATTGAAATAAAAAAAAGAAATATTTCAGAGATCAAGATGAACTGTAGATATTGAATTTGAGAGCCACTGGAAAAAATGAATGAAAGGGAAAGAGTCGGAGGGGGACAAGAAGGGGAGGGCCATCAAAGACGAAACGAATGGTTTAAGGTGGGGGAAGATGAATTTTTTTAAAAAAGTAAGAGTGAGTGATGAGCTGGGAGGGGAAGTGAGTGGATAAAAAAAAAGAAAAAAACAAGAAAGAAGTGTTTAGAGGAGTAGAAAGAGTGTTTAGAGTGAAGGTGAGGCGTAGTGAAGGTGTTTTTGTGAATTTAGTGAAAATAGATATAAGATAGATAGATGTAAATAAATGAATCATCAAGGATAATTGAGTGAGAAATAGAAAGAATAGAATGTAAAGGAGTGAATGTGCATAAGAATAGCGGGGAAAAGTGATGGGGAAAGAGAGAGGGGAAATTATTTTTTTTTATTAAAGTAGATTAAAGAGTTTAATATGATTAAAGCATAGAAAAAATAATAAAATGGAAAATATGAAAAATACATGAAAAAAAGAAAAAGCATAAATTGAATCTAGGAAGAGAAGGGAGTCAGGAAAAGTCGTTTTTTTCTTATAAAACACGCTGAATGGGGAGAAAGTTGAGTAGAGCCAAAGTCGAGGGGAGAGAGAGGGTGGTGAATAAAAAACAGGAACAACAAGAGAAAACAAGCAGGAGTAGAGATTAGATTTAGAAGACACAAAATAAGAAGAGAAATAGCCTTTTTATGTAAATAAAAATAGGTGAGAGGCAATTGATAGCAAGTGAAGTCGAAGGGAGGGAGAAGAGTGATGGATAAAAGGTGGATAAAAAAACAGAAAGAAGGGGAGAAAAGAGAGGAGCAACAAGAATAGAATAATAGAAGAAAAAAAAACACAAGGAGAAGAGGAACCCGTAAAATCTAGGTGGGGGTGAGGGAATAAAGATAGAGAAGGGACAGGGGACAGGGGAGGAGGAGGGCACGGGACAGCCGGGGAGGGTTACGGACA